TTTTGTTAAATAGCTTATTATAAATAAATATTGAAATTGCTTAGTATTGTCTAACTATGGGTCTTTTTATCATCTCTTTCACCACACTATTTACATTAGTAACAACGATGTTGAGGATTGAAATAGTTTGCCGATATGGTTGATTCTGAAGAAGAGAAGGGGGAGGACAAAGTTTCCCATGATGATGAGAGATTGAATTTTAATATAAGTAAAGAATTAGAAAAGCATTGTAAAGAAATCGAATCAATATACCAATTATTATCCCATAAATTAGACGCTGTAAGTTCTGCCCACTCCATTCCAAAACCTGCTGAAAAAGAAGTTGATATTAAAGTCAATACTTCAACAATGTAAAATGCTCAACGCTCATCAATGTCAAATACAACCACATTAGCACCACAAGAAATTTATAAGCCCACTGTTGGTATAGATAGTAAAGAGGTTAAACTCAAGAATGATTGATTATCTCCAAAAATGAGTTGTCAAGAGATGATAAAAATAGGCCATGTAGGGCCAATAAAAGGCAGAGATGTAAGATGCTCAAAACCAAAGATGAAAATAAGAGGTTTAAGAAAAACGATAAAAATCATGTTATTCAGACACTTAAAAGGGCCAATGTTACTGTGATTGGTAAGAAGGATGAGAAAACAGTGTATATGGCAAGCAGAAAAAGGAAAAAGAGCCTCTGACAAGCAATTACCTTAGACCATGGTTTAGAAAGGGATAATAGGTTTATAGTACATTATAATACACTTTCTAAATATCCCACATGACTGTTCATCAGATATCAGGCTGGAAATAGCTTTGCAAAATTTTCCTAAATATTTTTTTCACCTCTGGTTCTAGTCTGATGAAATCAACAATCGTAGCAGCTTCATCTTTTCTAATATCGTTGATTTCAAGCATGCTATTTGACTCCCTCCGAAATATTTTCTCCAACCTGGAGTTGATTTCAGCCATTTTTGGTGAACTTGTTGACATGGATATATTCAATATAATTTTTTTTATTTTGGTCTGTTTATTGGAGTTATAAAAGTCCTCGACGTGGTCGGTCGACAGTGATTCGAGCTCGACGGTCGAACAAAACGAAAAGATTAATTGTTGTATTTCGTTTCGTCAAGCAAACGGACATTTGTCCGACCATTTATAGCTAGAACTATCCGTATCTCTGATACGGATACATAATGTACGGATGGAATAAGCAATCCGCACAGCATTCCTCTTCTGCGTTGTAACTAACCTCAACCAGTTAATAATTGTTGTGAAGCAGTCGGATGTGTTGTAGCGAATCCATGATAATATTAAGGTAAAATAGTATATAGGAAAGAACGTAGATGAGATCGCCAACCCCTTTTATAGGGAACCGGGTTAGATCCCAGAGCGTCACGAGAGCAGACCGGTAACAGATACCGAGGGACAGGTAGGAGTCGAATGTAGACATCCGGCTGCTCTGCAACACCTTACATTGTTTTTATGTATTTTGATATTATTAGAATACTGTACACTCTTTTTTTTCAAAATTCCATTCAAATTCTTGATAATAATTCCGAGCGTTGCAACAAACCGATAAAATCAAAAAAAGAAATTCAATTACAATGCAACAAAAAGAAAACAAAGAAATTTATAAATAGAAATGAAATCAACACCATTAATGGTGAATTAGCTTGTGTGATTGTTGGATTGTATTGGGGTTATTCTGTCATCTGTGTTAATATCAGTACTTTGTGTAATGTCTGTTTTCCACAAGTTTCCCGCTTCTGTAGTCATCAAATTTTTATTTTATGAAGCGTCATGTTCCCGTTCATTTTCATCCATCGTCTCTTTTAGATGGTGATATTTCAAAGAATCAATTTTGTTTATTTCATCTCGAATTCACTTATCAGTAAAATCTGCATCCCCAGTTGAACAAATTTAAATAGCAGAAATGTTGTCAGGAGGATCGCTTTTTCTGTTTCTTATGAAGATGGACAAGGGACTTTGAAGTTCGCTTGACTTTCTTCTACTTCTGATAGCTGTATCTTCATGGTCCAAATCTCCTGTAACTTTATCTAAATAGACAGGTACAAGCTGATTTCTTTTTAAATAATACATCTTCCAATTTCCGCTTCGTCTTTCAATTTACTTTGCGTTCTGTTCCTTAAATATTCAGAAGTGGTTCCACCTGCACCATGGAGCTCTAATATTTTAGCCCATCTGGGCCCAATTTTTAATAATCCGTGTTTTAAAGCAGCTTCATCTTTCGACCATGGGCGTCTAATTGAGTTTTTATTTTTTGATTTATTTCGATGTAAGGTTTTACTTTTTTCAAGCTCAGAAACGCTTCGATTTGCGTAAGAAAATACTTCCTCAGAATTACCAAGATGATATTCCCGAGATTGAGAAAGAGAAACAGTAGACAAATTCGAACGATGCTCAGGGTTTTGATTTGGGTTCAGAGAACAAGTTGGAGAAAATGAATGTGATGAATGATGTGAGAAGCCGGGATTTTCTCCAGATATTATGGATTGTTTTGTGAGAATAGAACTACAAACATCTGAAAGCAAAGATAAGTTATAATGCGCATTAAATGATGCAGAATTATTGTTTGATGAACTAGAAATGGACAAATGATAAGTCTCAATGGGGTTATTTGTGAATTGCAGAGATTTACGAGAGGTAGACTGGTTGTGATTGAAATCGGAAATCTTAGCTTGGTTTGAAGCTTCAACCAATGACGTCAAAAAGTCATGAGAACCATTTTCACTTCCTGATGCTTTATCTATATGGTTTTGATTTGATCGCTTCCTTTAATCTTGATATACTAATTGGTTTTCTGCTTGCTCTTTATTTTAAGACTCAAAGTTAATATCATCACCATTTTCAATTGAACTAGAAAAAAAATTCCTAGCTAAATTTTTCGAAATTGATTTCAATTCAATACTTGCAGAGTCCAAAATCTTTGAATATTTGAATGGCCGAAAGGTCAGTTCATGAAATTAATTAAATCCCTGTAGTAAAGAACCGTCAAAGTTGATTTCAATTTTGGAATTTGAGAAATTACGTTGTGAGCCAAAGATTTCAAAACTGCAGTTTGTGGGACTGTCATCTAGCTCAAGTGCACACTTTCTTCCTCTTCTGCTATAAATGATGAACCCAATGTTTTTTTTAATATACTCAAACAATTCCTTGACAAATTGAAAATACTTGTACTTTTTGGCCAAATTTTCCAAAATATCTTCTTTCAACAAGCTTTCTATTCGGGAATTGCATCTATTGACAAAATCAGTTTCAGCAGGAGTTAAAGTATTAGAGGAACTTCTTCTTAATTTAAAGATGGTGGTTTTGGGAAATTACTAAAATCTCAATGTGTTTTTTTTCTAGAGTTGAAAACACAGGGCTTTATTGCTGCCTTATCAGAAGTTGAGAAATCAATAATGGAAATCGCTGAGGATATCTTTTCCGGTAACATTGACCAACACCAGTAGTATTTGTAGTTGCAATGATATCATTTTGTGATTGGTTTGACAAGGGATTGGATAGTTCTGTATCTAGAGTCACTGCATTAGAAGCAGGGCAGAATACGTTTAATAAGTTTTCATCCAAATCACTTAATGAAACTGTATCCATCATTCCCAAAGTGCAACAGATAAAAGTTGCAATATTTGATTTTCTTAGAGCAGTTTCAATGATATCTTCTTCACCTCTTAAAATCGAGGATGCGACATTTCCAGGCTTCCAAAATCCGGGCAAGACATTATGAACAGTTAAAAAGGGATTTTTTTTGAAAGTAAATTGTTTTAATTAAATCAAACAAGCGAGATAAATCAAAAAATGTTGCACCTAAGGGCGTAGTTTCCATTTTAAAAACGGTTTCCAAAAACTTAAAAAAGGAAGTCGAAATGATTAGATAAAGAATTTGAGTTGATAAATTATCTAGAATTGAAATTGTATAAATGTTTAATTGCAAATTAAGAGGTAAGCCAAATGGAGCAATTAATGGTAAGGGTGAACCACCCAATTGAGCTTGTGAGATTGAAGGGAACTTGAAAAAAGAAGGTGGGTAATATTTGTCAATTATTAAGGTTTCTATTTTTGATTTCGACAAAGTTCGAATGTCCAAGGGTTTTTTATATTGGCTTTCATCATCGTTGACAGCTTCTGAATTCTTTTTATTCTTTCTTTCATTAATCTAATTGGTATGAAAACTAGAGTTTATTTTGTTGTGTATCTAACTAGTGGTATCCACAGATTTATTGTTTTTCTCAATAGGAGTTTGTTCAGTATGATTTTATTTTTCTGATTTTCATATGTGTTGTCATTGTTAGCATGATTTGAATTAACTCTTTAGCTACAGGACTCTCGGCTTCAGCAGTTTGAAGCTACACATCTTCAGCTTCACAAGATTGAAATTTAACTTTTTCAACTTCATGACTTTAGCCTTTATTTGAAGCGACAGCTTTTATTTTGTCGTTCTGATTACAAAGGTGGTGGATATTTTGCCTTTTCAGAGCTTGGTCATTGACAGTTGATCGTTCAACCAACGCCAGAACACTTTGAGAATTTTGTAGTTTTTCTTTTTGAAGTATATACCGTTTTTAATATTTTTAACTGAGGACCACTTTTTTGAGAAGAACCAGCTTGTATTTTTTGTGAATAAATACAGGATTGAATTGAAGATGAGGTTGAAGTATGTGTGATCAAAGAAGATTAGAATTGAAATGTCAAAATCAAAATTTGAATTCTGGTATAAATTAAAAATGGTGGAGAAGTTTCTGTTATACCAGGTTCTGCTAACTTTAATGCTATTTAGGTCAACTGGGATTCTACCACTACCTATTTGACTCTAGCTAGGAAAGTCTTTTTATTTTGAAGTTGATTTTAAAGTTAGTAAACCATCTCATGAACATAGAGTAAACCAAGAGATAGTATGGATAACAATTTGTTGATTAGGTATCGTAAAGAATTTGTTTTATAAGAGGTGATACCAATTAGTGAGTCTTCTTCAGTGATGTAAAATTTTTGAAAGTCTAGAGTTGAAGGATTATTTGGAAATAGTTGATCATATAGGTCTGTTTGCGGGTCGATATTCAGGATTGTTGGGTCTGTGTTGATTATATTATCAGATTGAGTTTGTTTTTTTTTTGGCTGAATTTAGTTGAAAGACTATTGTTCGTACAACTGTTTGACCTCATTGTTTTATTTTGAGAGGTAGAGGTATTAAAGTTATTGATTGATAGTAAATTGTGGTTTGAAGAAAAAGAGAGATCAGAAGAGTATGATAAATCAGAAGAGTATGATAAATCAGAAGAGTATGATAAATCAGAAGTTGTTGAATGCAAAGAGGTTCTTCGTTCTTTCTATTTTTGGATTGAGTCGTTATTATTGAATGAGATGATATCTGATTGGGATACATCGAAAGGGATTCTTTCTCTTTTAACATTATTGTTTAGTATTATTGTTCAAGTAATGAGAAGAAGAGATAGAAGTTGGGATAATTTCTGATGCAGCACTGGAAAAGATTTCAGTGTTATATTGATCGATGAAGAGATTGGTTGAAATGAGTATTTCAGTAAATATTCCAAAATACGTAATTGTGCCCAAAATTATTATAACCGCGATAACAGTATATCAATATTCATACTTAGTTTATGATATTAATGCATATCATAAACATGAGGTTAACAAGGATTGAAAGAATGATAAGAGAGTTATCATTGAGAAACTTTAGAAACATACTAGATTGGTAGATAACAGAGTAGAAAAAAGGATCTTGAGGTTTTAAGAGATGAGGTTGCTTCATCGGCCAAAATAATCATTGGATCTAAGGTCCGAATTCGAGACAAGAATAAATGGTAGTGGGGATTAACAGCATCTGTATTAGATACAAGATCAAATACCTGATTGTCTGTATATAAAAGCAATTATAACTAGTTGGAGATACCATTTCAAATAATTCACTACGCGTTTAAATTATATTTAAGTGGTATAATTTTTTTTTCAGTACAATTTAATCCGAAATAAATTAAAGCTACAGGAACTAAACAATTTAACCCTAGCACAAAATATTAAGGAAATATAAGAATTCCAAAAAGACCAAATCAAATTTTAAAACAAGATATAAAGAAAGTTTTTTGTGAAAATGATGAAAAACGTTGATTAAAAAACCCCCAGATCAAAAAAATTGGGATTTGGTATGTTTAAATGTAGATATAATTAAAAGTCTTAGAATTATAAAACAAAACTAAGGAAAGAATTAAATTAGGATATGAACCTTGATAAGAAATTTATATAATTAAGCAGTTGATGGAGCATCACCTAAGACTCCAAAGCTTTTCTCAACATGCCATTCGTTTTGAGATTTCCATAACTCATTATAAGCAGAGAAAAGGAAAGAAGAAGCAGCAGAAGTGGATTGAATGGCTTTAACAGCAATTTTTTGTTCTTCTACACCTGGAATAGCGTTGTTGTATGGCAAACCAGATGAAGGCCATCCTGTTTCCAAAACAACAACATCTCTGTCATAACCATGTTCGTGACAAAATTGCCAAACTGCTTGGATACGTGAAAGAACATAGTCACCAGCACCTTCGGCAGTTGAGTTATCAAAGAATGGATGAGAGTTAATGCCAATGTAATCATTAAATTCACATAAAGATGGATTGCCATAGTAGGAAGAAACGGTATCAGCGGTAAGAATATGGCCGGGGAAAGTGGATAAAAGTGATTTGACAGTTTCAACAAAACCTTTAACTTGGTCAGCAGAATACCAATTGTTATAAACTAATTCATTTCCAACAATGACGGTGTCAACAACATCGTTGAATTGTTTTCCAGCAAAACCACAGGAAGCAGCAATGGACCAGATTTCGTTTTGCAAAGCCTCAGTAGAGGAAACATCGTTCAATGCAACAACCAATTTTTGAGAATCGTCTAAAGCTTCCAAAGCATATTGGACGACGGAACAAGCGTTAGAGTAAAGACGAATGTAAGGAAAGTCTTTCAAGTAGGAAACATCGGTACGAATTTGAGCAGGGGTTCTGCAGTTGTAATCTTTGTCATAGGGAGTATAGGTAGTACCTTTAAAACCTTTGACGTAGTCAGGTATAGAGACATCTCTTTTAGCAATGATGGCAGCCTCAGAAGAACCAAGGAGAGCAACAGCAACAGCTGCGATAGCAGAAAAGGAGAATTTCATAATAAAGTATTTGAGATGAGAATTAAAACAGGAAAAGAAATTGAAAAACAAGTTTGAAAAATAAATATGAAAGCTGGATGATGAAAAAACAAACGAGGGACAGTTATTATATAATAGAGCAATGAAGCACAACTATTTATACAACGATGTTCAGCACAAAATAGCAATATATGATGTCGATGTCAGATTATTTATAGCTAAGAAAGCAAGATATTTCACCAAGAAAAAAGAGAAAGAAAGGTGAAGAAATATAAAAAAAGAAAAGCGGATAAAAAGAAACCTGGTACAAAAAGGCTCAGATTAGTCTGCCCAGAACAAAAACCTTAGCAACCTGTTCAGACCAGGAACAGGCAACGAAAAGCTCAATTCCTTCACGCTTCAACGTTCTGCCTGTTTTAGACGGGAGCGCAACATCCATCGTGCAGCGCTTCTATTTTTACTTTGGGTGTGCTGCAGAGCGCACGCTGATTGGCTGCCGCACATTCCTTGTCTGTGAAGCCGGCTAACTGCTGACTCCCCGGCAGCACGGTTTGTTGACGTGCAAAGCAGAGTATGCAGAATGCATGTCTGGAAATCTTCCGAGCGCCAATTCCTTCGCTTCCTCATCTATTTGTGGACGTTCAGCTCAACAACTCCCAATCTATATATAACCCCAATGACCATATACCTTACATTTTTCCTGATCACAACAATCATATTACCATCATTGCGCATACCAGTGACACTTTAACCTAGCAATGCGAAAGAGATTTAACAGATACAAATAAACATACAAACACCAAAACAAATATAGATGCAAGCTGGGGAAAGAATATAAATATAGCTATTGATGAAAGAGATAACCACACCGTGCAGAGTATGATATAATATTCCTTTTATCGTGCTGCAGTGACTTCTCCCTCTACGACCTCATATTCCTTTTCGAAAATCTGATCAGGATTGGCTTTCATGGTTGAATTGATATTTATAGATAGCCTTTCGGGTGTTTCTGCTTTCAAATCAAACTCGGTCAAGCCAATCTTTCCTCCTAGTCGATTGAAGTTTCTATATTGTAGCCTCTTCTTGGATTGCCCATTTTTGATCAATGCCTCCCAATAGATTTCATGATTGTATTCGAAATCAACGCTTCCACCTTTGTACAATGTAATAAGTTGATCGCTGCCAATGAATTCCCCGAATTCTTCGCCAAAATGACACTTCTTCTTGGTGTATGGATCAACAAATGGATAACAGATTTTAAGAAGCACATTCACCAATATGGGAATTTCATAGAATGCCGCCAACCCCAATCTTTCCGGATAATGATATTGCAATATACTAAGAATTTCTTTCATCAACTTCACTGACGGATTCTTTTTCTTCTTTAACCCAACGCCGGGAAATTTCTTGAAATCAACACATAATCCCAATTTATCAACATTCAATGGCATATAATCTATAATGATTTCCAACATAAAAATTAAAAACTCAACCTGACGATGTGATCCTTCGGTGTTCTCCTTTTCGTTGAACAAATACAATAGTGGTCGGTTTTCTTTGTCATAGCCAAAAATTAACTGCTTCCCAGTTTCATTTTCCCCTTTCACAACTTCAGGTTTAATCACATTTTCGTGGTTGATAATCTCAAAAATACCCAAATTCTTTAAAAACTCTTCCCCATATATCCCGTTACTTATTCCAAAGCTTCTTCTCCAAACAATAGAGCTCTTCAATCGTTTAATAGTCTCATCAACATCCAAATTGCATGCTCTTAAATATCGCATCATGCAGTCTCTACTCAACCACATCTTTTCAATTGAGCTAAGCCCCAACTCATTATCTTTTTCACCGGCATTTTCTTTAACTCCTAGTTTCAATCCACTATCACTAAAGTATTCCAACACTTTCTTGTAATTAGCCTCTTCTTTCGAGCTTAGATTTTCATATAGCTTCTCTTTAATGTTATAAGGTGCATCCTTGGGATGAACGAACACCTTATCCTTCGAATTCAAACTCATTGCGTAGTCCCTTCTCTGATGGTTCTTTGATGGTTCTCTGATGGTTCTCTGTTTGCTTTGCTGTATCTGTGGTTGTTTTTTCTTACTCCTCTAATGGAATATTCTGCTTTTTCGATGGCCCCGTCCTTCCTGGAGCCATTTCTTAGTCACCTGACATTTTTTCATTCCATCAGTGCAGTTGCCCTGCATTTTTCACAACTCGCCTCCATCTCTCAAAATAATTCGTTTATTTTTATACGATTCCCATCCTACCAATCCCACCACTAGATCTTTATTTTCATATCAGTTTTCCAATCAACATTGACACTTACCTTATAAATATCCTACGTATCTCTCTTTCTCCTTTGCTCGTTTTCATTTTCAAATTGCCCTTTTGCTCAATTCTTTTCTATTCTTCTTCCTTCAGCTCTTTGTCGTATTTGATTTAATCTTTTTTAGATTATTTTCTTTCTAGGCTCTCTTGTCTTTATTCATTTGAATTCTCTACTCCTTTGTTTCTAAATTGATTACCATCTAAAAATGGATCCTGTTTATATTGTTGCTGCTGTTAGAACCCCAATTGGTTCGTTCCAAGGCTCCTTGCAAAAGCTATCCTATGTTGATTTAGGTTCCCACGCTGTTAAATCTGCATTGGATACAGTCCCTCAAATTTTACCCCAAGACATTGATGAAATTATTTTTGGTTGTGTCTTACAGGCAAATATTGGTCAAAACCCAGCTAGGCAAGTGGCAATCAAAGCTGGCTTGCCTGACACTACCATTGCTTCAACTGTCAATAAAGTCTGTGCTTCGGGTTTAAAGGCAATTATTTTTGGTGCTCAAACAATCTTATGTGGTAATGCTGACATTATTGTTGCTGGTGGTGCCGAGTCAATGACCAATGCTCCATACTACTTACCATCTGCTAGAACTGGCGCTAGATATGGTGACACTGTTTTAGTTGATGGTCTTCAAAAAGATGGTTTATTGGATGCTTATAATGGAAAAGCAATGGGTGTAGCTGCTGAAAAATGTGCTTTGGATCATTCATTCTCAAGAGAAGATCAAGATGATTTTGCCATCAATTCTTATAAAAAAGCTCAAGAAGCTTGCAAAAACCACAAATTCAAATCAGAGATTTCCCCAATTATCATCCCCGGCTTTAGAGGCAAACCACCTGTCACTGTTTCTGAAGATGATGAACCAAAAAATCTTAATGAATCAAAATTAAGATCAGCTAGAACAGTTTTTCAAAAAGAAAATGGAACTGTCACTGCTCCAAATGCTTCCCCAATAAACGATGGTGGATCTGCTGTCATATTGGTGTCTGCTAAGAAAGTAAAAGAATTGAACATTAAGCCTCTTGCTAAGATTCTCGGCTGGGGTGAAGCTGCAACCACTCCTGTCAATTTCACCATTGCACCTTCTTTAGCTGTTCCAAAGGCTTTGAAACACGCTGGCGTTTCCTTTGATGATGTTGACTTTTTTGAACTAAACGAAGCATTTTCAGTTGTGGGTTTGGCTAATGGCAAGTTATTAAGCATACCAGAAGAAAAGTTAAATGTGTACGGTGGGGCTGTAGCTTTAGGCCATCCTCTAGGTTGTTCTGGCTCAAGAATTGTTGTCACTTTAAACAACATTCTTCATCAAGAAGGTGGTAAAATTGGCGCTTGTGGTATTTGCAATGGTGGTGGAGGCGCCTCTGCACTTGTCATCGAGAAATGCGAATAGATTGCTCTTTGGACACTCATGCCCTTGCAACACTTATCCCATTATATACATATCTACTCATAGCTTCTTTTTTACTATTCATATAAATTGCTTATTTTCTAACAAATTCATCGTTCTTACTGACAGACAGGTCTTTTTCGTTTTGGTAGTTGCAATTTCCACTCCATTGAAATGGGCTGGAAATTAAACTTTTTGTCTCGAATCGCTTGCCATTAAGTTGCCTCTAGTTTTGCTTTTCGGTCAAATGATTCTTCTTTTCCCAAATAAACTTCCAACATTATTTTTGATGGGACTCTCAACAGAAATTGAACCTGTCAATAGTTCCAGAATCAAATTCAATGACTTGGAGTTGCACCGAATCCATCTGTTATATTGTTTAATTACCCAATAAAAATGAACTATTTCGGTAGAGCTATTGGTTCTGTATCTAAAACATGGAACTCCATTAATCCTGCTACGTTATCTGGTGCAATAGATGTCGTTGTTGTTGAACAACAAGATGGTAAGCATTTCTGATTGTGTTGTTCCATAACCTTTGAAATATTTTTTAAATACTCTAAAATACTAACTATCTAATTGTGTGTAGGTGAATTGTTTTGTTCTCCATTTCACATTCGTTTTGGTAAATTTCAACTACTCAGGCCAAATCAGAAAAAGGTCAATTTCAAAGTTAATGATAAATTAACGAACTTGCCAATGAAACTTGGAGAAGCTGGCGAAGCATACTTTGTTTTCCAAGCAGACAACGATTCAAATATTCCCAATGAATTGATCACCTCTCCTGTCGTGTCTGCATCCTCTTCTCCCGATACTTCTCCCAAAGTTTCTCCAGCTTCTTCTCCTTTGAGCTCACCCACATTAACTTCAACTCAACCGATCAACGATTCTGTTGACTTTTTCGATATTAATTCTGAACGACATGATGGAAAAGAAGATTCTGACCCATCTATAGATCCTCCAAATATAAAAGTCCTGGATTCTTTTCCTGAGATTAATACAGCTTCAATTCAGAATTTTGAAACAAATAAATATGCTGCCGAAAGGAATCCTTTTCTTCAACGCAACTCCTCGCCAAATATCAATCGTTCGTTCTCAAGTATAAACTCAAGAGAAATTGCGTTAGAGAGAGCAAGAAAACTAACACATACTTTATCTTTAAAAAATATTCCAACCAAAATTGAAAGTAATGGCGATCTTTTGTTGGATATAAACGGCTACAAATCTAATGAAGAAAACATTCAAAATTCCGACGAATTAATTAAAAAGCTACTTAGTGAAGAATTTGGGAATGATTATGATTTATCTACAATTATGCATACTGATGAAGAAGGAAATATTAGGATTTATTCTTACGCCAATGAATTAAACTCTTCTAATACAGAAAATTCAAATGATACATATACAACATGCGTGTCACCCAACAGTTTTTGTGAATCCACATCATCATTGGACTTAAAATCTCAAAATCAGGAGCATAATCTATCTACTGATGCACAAAATTTACCAGAAATATATTATTTCAAAACTATAAGACTAACTTCCGAACAGTTGAAATGTTTAAATCTCAAATCTGGAAAAAATACAATGCAATTCACGGTTGATAAAACAAAGGCAACAATAACATCAAGGATCTTTCTTTGGAAATATAATGTACCAATAGTAATCTCCGATATTGATGGAACAATTACAAAATCCGATGCTTTAGGTCATGTATTTACCATGATTGGCCGAGACTGGACTCATAATGGCGTTGCCAAATTATTTACTGATATTGAGTTGAATGGATACAACACATTATACCTCACTGCCAGATCAATTGGCCAAGCTGATTCAACTCGATCTTATTTGAAAAGCATTGAACAAGGGGGCATTTCTTTGCCTGAAGGGCCTGTGATATTATCGCCTGATAGACTAATGGCTGCTTTGAAGCGTGAAATTATTCTAAAGAAACCTGAAGTATTCAAAATGGCCTGTCTCAACGATTTAAAAAATCTTTATGGAAACTGTTATCCTCCTCCCTTCTATGCTGGATTTGGAAATAGAATAACTGATGCATTAAGTTATAGGTCTGTTAATATACCATCTTCTAGAATTTTTACCATTAATCCAGTTGGTGAGGTTCATATGGAGCTTTTAGAATTAGCTGGATACAAGTCTTCATATATTCATATCAATGAATTGGTAGATCATTTCTTCCCACCTGTCAATATTGATAATCCTTTAAGAATAGATGAAAGATTCACTGATCTCGTATTTTGGAGAGACCCTTTGCCAGATCTTAGCGACGAAGAGAGTGAGGGTAATACTGATCTAAACAAAAATCAATCTATTCCCATTATCTCTGATTACCAGATGAAAAGTTTTTCTAATGTTTCAGATGGACATAAAAAGAAAAACAAAGTTGCAGAAGAAGATATTTCAGCAAGCATCAATGAATATGACCAAGAGTTATCTTCTGAGGATGAAAATCCAAAAGCAAATTCGAATGATGCTGACTACAGTGATTTTGAAGGGGAATATGAAGAGGAAGAAAATGATGATGATGATGATGATGGTGATGATGAATGTTTTGATATTCTGTATTCTAATAATATAACTAAAAATCTGCATGGTACTCAGGGTTCAACTGCAAAAAATAGAGTTTGTGGGAATCAATTTGATAATGGTATAAAAAATCATAATAGTAGCTTAAACCTTTCAAAAGAGAAAGAAATGATAACAGATTTAACTGTGATATTAGGAGATGTTGCCTCAGAAGCAAATAAGTTTGTTTCAAATGAATCACAATCTGAAACTGACGATTTGGATCGCGATTTGATTAAAGAAATTTCCAAAGAAATTAACAAAATGAAAATAGATGAAAATGATACTGTTGACTCTTCAGGAGCTTTGAATGGAATTGGATTACATAAAATCCAGTCGAGATTTGTTCGAGCCACTGAGGTAATGGCCAATATAAAAGTAGAGGAACAGCAACAACAGTACTCTGAGAAAAAAAATACTGAATCAAAACTTGATGTCCAAAATAAATTGAAGTTAAATTTAAGATCTTCTAACGAATATTATTAAGGAGATTGGTTTTTTGAAATAGCCTTTAAGTTCTTCTTTTTCTATCTTTTAAATCTTTTATTTTTGGTTTTATATTGCATAAATCATCTTATAACTATTACAACAAACACGTAGAACCTAAACGAATTAAAAACTCTATATTTGGTTACCTACAAGTCCAATGATATGCAAATAATTTTGATGTTTTTTAGTAAAGAAATTGAAAAAAAGAATTCTTTGCCAAATATCAATACGAACTAAGTGAATAAAAAAGATTAAATCTTATGAATGAAGAAACAAAACAAAACCGAAATAAAATAATAAGCAATTCATTTAAAACTATTAAAATGACAAAGCAAAGTACCTAAAAATCCAAAATTGGGGCATAAATAATAGTTTTCAACCCGCAGAAAATATATAATACAAGATTAGATTTCAATTCAAAAAACTTTGAAAAACCTTCAGTTTATACTAGCAGTGTTTTCCTTCTGTTCATGAACATCTTTACTTAATCTTTCTTTGGTGGAAAGACTATCATCTGTAGCCGTTACATCCAAAGTCGCACTGTCCTGTTTTTCAATATCATCTAAATCATCATCATTTTCCAAATTTTCATCATGTTCATTATGTTCAGAAGTTAATAAGGCAAACATATTACCACCATTACCTATGACTGATTCAGACCTTTTAGGGGTTGAAGACTCGTTTGAGCGAGAAAGACTATTTGAAAGTTGTCGAGAAGAAAGCAGTCTTAACGACCTTTGTCTGGCTCTTAACCCTAATGATGCTCCAGTTCCCAAGTTTCTAACAACCCCAAGAGTTTTCAAATCACTTGATGAAACTTTACCATTCCAATTGGAATTTTGTCGACTATCATGACGGTTAGAAAATGATCGGGTATTAGTATTCAGTCTTCTTCTATCAGATTTTTCTTTTTCATCTATCCTTCTTTTTTCTTCTTCATCAGCATGAATTTGGGAGATTGTTTTAGGTCCTTGATTTAATTCGGAAGATTTCCATCTGGAACGTCTTAGGTCAACTAAATCTTGCAACAGAAAACGAACACGAGACGATATATTTGCGCTTTCAATGATAAATTGAATTCTTTTAAAAATATTGTCCATTATACCAGGAGTACTTTCCAATATTTCACCAGTAGTTTTCACCAATTGAATCAAATTTTCTAAAACATCTTCTGCTGGATTCTCAGGATTTGACTGATCAAGCAATATTTTTACAATAACCTTATTAGATAATAGTCCTAATCCAAATAATTCACCTATGAATTTAACTAATCCTAAACCACGTCTCTTTTCTTTAGCAGCTGTATAATATTCTTCAGACATCATTTCAAATTCCTTTTGTGTTCCATCTGGGTTAGTTGGAATCTTGTTTGCCCATCCTTTTTCATATTCAGTTTGACATCTTAATAACAAACATCTCCTCACTAAAAACCCGCCTTTAATGGGTAAATTATTTTTGTCTAAAGAAGTTTTATCCAGTACTGAATCACTGAATGTTTTGACTAATGTAGCACAAAACTGAGCGTACATTGAAGACCAGTGAGGTTCGTCAGTAGCTTTTGCAAATGTTAACGCTAATATTTCTTTTAAGGACTTAGCATCTTCTTCCCATCTAGATTGGGCACAGAGATTTATCAAATCAGTAGTAATAGGTTCAAAGTTCTCTAAGGTCAATTTGTTTAGTAATGACCGTCCTTTCAGAGCAAGATCATCCATATCAAACAATTCTGTTCCATCAGGTGCAAGTTTAACCTCTTTCTTTTGTCTGCTTCTTGGTACCCAACGATTTGCGCTTTTTTTAAGAGCTTCAACAACTGGGACACTTGCCGAACGAGACTGTTCCTTGTTAGTGTCGTCATAGGCTTTATTATCAAGTTTGTCTGTAGGTTGACCAACTTTGTTAGTGTTTTGTTGTTGCAGTTGCATTTGGGCTAGAGAATTAGCTTGCTGCATTTGCTGAATTGGTGCACCCAATGAACTTGAGTTGAAGTTGTTTTGAGTAAAGTTTCTTTTAAATCCACCTCTTTTAGAATTTTGACGTGAATTTTGACGAGAGGAGTTGTTGTTTCTTCCTTTAGATTTGAACTGGCCAAACTTATTAAAATTGTATGATTTATTATCAAAATTAGAATGGGAACGATTGTTGTCGTTTTTTCTAGGGTATTTATTGCCCCCTGTAGGAATGATAATAATTTTTGCAAATTCATCATTAATTATTTTAATATTGATTATCGAATTGAATTGAAAAATGAATCCTGGATTATATTTCAAGCATTTTGATTCAGAAGACTTTTCGGGCGGATAAACACCTTTAGGATAATTAAAATCATAAGGGCTTTGAATAGGGGAAGCATTTTGAAGGATAGTAGAAAACTCAGAGGCAGAGTATTCAAGTTTATTGTGATCAATCTTACCTATCAAATTGTCATTGTTGGAAATATTCTCAAGATTGGTAGTATCAGAAAAAGCGTTGAGTTGAGTAGAAGTAGTATTGATCGTTGAAAGAACTGGTTTTTCAACTAATTTTTCAGCTAATTCAATTGTTTCTTCAATTGGTTTTTCGACCGATTTTTTAACTATTTTCTCAATTGGTTTCTCAACTGGTTTGTCAACTGGTTTCTCGATTGGTTTTTCAACTGATTTCTCAACTGGTTTCTCAACTGGTTTCTCAACTGGTTCCTCAACTAATTTCTCGACTGGTTTCTCAACTGTTTTGATTAGTTTTTCAGTTGACTTTTCAGTTGGTTTTTCAATTGTTTTCTCGGTTTGCTTTACTTCAGAGTTTTGCTTGGGTAAATTATTACTGATTTCTTCGATTAAAGCTGAATTTGATTTCTGTTTGGATTCGTTTATGATGGAAGAGTTATCTATTTTTTGAATTTTTTCTTTTTCAATATTCAAGTTACTTTTGGTTTCATTAGTTTTAGACGAGTTCTTGTTAATTAATGAAGCCTGATTTTCGGCTAATTGCTCAATCTCCTTTTTGTTTGAAATAATAGTTTCAATTTGAGATTTAGACTGTGATTCTAGGATGTTCTGTTTTTCAAATTTATCTGATTGCAAAACGGATTTTGAAGAAACCACCAATTCTTTAGTGTTGGGAGAAACATCTTTCACTGAGAATGGTATATTGTCTTTATTGCTTGAAAGGGAATTATTATTTGCTGTATAGTTGGAAACTAAAGAGCTTTCTTTTTCTTTGTCAAATGACAAAACACCAGCAGAATGCTCTTTTTGAATTGGCTTCTCTGGTGTAATCTGTTTTAAATGTTTTAAAGTGGCTTTATCCTTTAGTTGATCAGGAATGTCCTTCTTTTGCTTATTTTCTGGAACTTTTGCTTCATTATTTTTAATACTTTGAGCAATGGCTTTTTTTTCATTCTTTTCTAGTATCAAACCCTTTTTCTGCATTTCTAATTTTTCTTTTAGCAATTTTTCTTTTTTTTGTTGTTCAGCTCTTGCAAGGATCAAGGCTTTGAAATCATTAATTTTTTTTTCTTTTTCTGAGTCAATTTCATGAGAGTTTGAAATATTCAGCAGTCTATTTTTGATATTAGAACTTTCAATAGTTTTAGAGCTGTCAATTTTGTGACTGGTAATGTCATTATTCAAGCTGGAAGCATTATCGGTGCTGCCGGAGTATATATTTGCTGTACCCAAATTTGAGCTTTTAGTATTATGGGTATTAGGGTTATTATTGTTGCTGGTAGTACTGCCGGTATCATTGTTGGTATTAAAAGAATGGGTTATTTTGTTTTTGGAAATTTGAGAGTTGTCATTTCTATTTGATTGATATTTTGTGGAATAGGGATTAGTTGAGTTTGGAGTATTTGCAATTGGATTTGGATTAAAACCGGATACTGGGGGATAATAAATTGGATAATAAGATCCATTTATCCCATTCATCATTGGCACATTTACTGGGGGGATCATATTCATCTCAGGATAAGGATAATACATTCCAGAATTAGGAATATATGGTGAATTTTGCATCTGGTGTGGATAGAATGAGGTATTGTTACGATAACGTTTGTTATTGATACTATTATTCTTCGAGTTATGATGATTATAGTTATGGTTATTATTATGGGTATGGTTATGATTATGAGTGTGATTTTGGTTTTGGTTTTGGTTTTGATTATAGTAATGTTGCTGGGAATTGTTTGTTGGAGTTTGGTTCTGGCTTGAACTCTGATGTGCAATTGTTGACGAAGGAGTGGAAGCTTGTTTCTGGGTTGATTTGGGGTTTGGTTTTGAGGTGGAGCTGGGATTAGTTGTTGAAATTGAGGCTTTAGTGCTCGAATTGGGAGAATTCGAAGCAGAATTCAATATTGGAAGATTTTCATTTGCCATTCTTATATAAATTTAATGGAGACTAAATTTAATATAAGAAAACCTGTAGGTTATCAAGCAATAGGAAGGTTCTGATATAAACTCCAGAGAAAGTGCTCTGAAAAAAATTTTCTCTAAAAACTGCACGAAGAGCGCGGAGCTCGCAACCAATTGCGGCTGGAGAAAAGGTGTGGCTTTGGAGCGTTGCTTTTGCTGCTTTTGGTGACGATACAGACACTGCGAAACGTCTCTGTAAACTGTGTATTGGAAGTGACTGAAAAAAAGTCACAAAAGAAAATAAGATAAAAATAAGATGAAATAAGATGAAGTAAGATGAAAATAAGTACTAAATAATAAAAACGAGAAACATTAAAACCTAAAGAAATAATGAAAAATGAAAAGAAAACAGAATCACAGCAAAAAAAAGTTTTTAATAAATATTATTATAACCAAGAATTTAAAATAAGCAAAATTAAAGATACAAATCTGCAAAAATTTGTTCCACTAGCGTTTTGTATGACCATGCATTGCCCTTAAGTTTTTTAAACTGAACTCCAAATAAGCTTAACAATGGAATTTTGGTAATATAAATTTCAAATTTCAACGGAAGTCTTTGAGTACTTAGATTCTTTTTGTTTTGCTCAAGTCGACTAGATAATATCATATCACTTGCTCCAAGCGAATCTATTGACGTGTTTGATTCCAAATTGTCAGAAATGTGTCCCTGTGGGGAGAAAGTGACGGGTGTAGTAGGCATATTAGGAATACCACCAGCACTCACATTTGAGAAATTTGAATGTCTTCGGTGTGCAAAACTGAATCTTCTTCTGTGCGAAACCGTGGATTTGTTTCCATTGCTGATAGCAGAATTCACATCTTTATCTGAAGATGAATTTGAATAGTTTGTAAATGACTGTTTTTTAGGGATGCTATAACTTCGTTTGATGCTGGGCGAATGTTCACAGACAAATCCACCTTTTACCTCCAAATAACGAACACCTAATTTTTCCAAACAGTTAATGATGTTTTGTCTTATTATTGGAGCAGGTTTGGAAGATGTGTTTTGAACATTAAAAAAACCTTTGAGATAAACGGTTTTGGGATATTGAATTGATAACATTGTATCTGGAGCTGCATTTTTGGCATTTTCCATCACTATATTTTCATCATAAATAATTTCATGTTGTTCGTCCATCACCCTTGTCACAACCCGTTGGGCATCTAACAAGTCATCTGCATTTGAAGGTAATGGTGGAGCATCAGTAGTGGATGTTTGAGGATGCTTTTTTCCAAAACTGATAGAATCTCTTCTTGAATGTCCAAGAGATTTGGCTCTTGCAGAGGGATGATACTTCTTTTTTGGTGTTGAATTTGTACTAACACTTAAACCCATGTTATTGTTAACATTGATACCAGCCTTATTGTTAGCAGTAAGAAAATTACTGTTTCCATTGGTAGGCTCAAGAAAATTCATTTCGTTATTCTTATACGTTGCAGCTGACATACTAACTGTTCTGTTGTGTGCGGATTTTACTTTTCTAACATTTTTGTCTGGTACTTCAATATGATTTTCAATAAAAGAATTATCATTGTTATTATCATCATGAGTATATCCATAGTCATAATCTGTGTTCTTTTGAGCAATGGTATTATTGTTGATATTTAGATGGTTGATGTTATTACCATTGTTAATTTTTAAGGAACCCGTACGTTTAGATAAATTATTCATATCAGGATAATCTACCACAGATTTTGTTACACGATGTCCTTGACTTTTTTGCACAAGTATATTAGGAAGGGCAGGCACTGGAGGAGCGTTTTGGTCAACATAAGTAGTGTGGATAACTGGTTTGCTCAGAGAACGGCGGTGACCACTAAATCGTCTGAATAATCCATTGAAAACAGTATTAGATTTACTATTGTTAGAGCTAACGTATAAATTGTTTGCATTATTGGAATTGGAAGATTTCGTTGAATTAGCCCTTCTAGGAGACAATTGCTGAGGAATGGATTGAACAATTTTGGTTAAACTGTTTCTTGATCCAGATAATTTAGTACCTCCACCTGAAATGATTGAAGTGGCAGCACCAGACGTATGAGCAGCTTCGGGGAATGACAACATGGGAAATGATTTCTTTTTTTCAACATTTATATTTGGTTTTTTAATAGCAGTGTTATCAGGAGAGTTGTCTTGTTCATGTAAAATTTCTCTTTCACTTTCTATGGCTTCTTCATTAAGTTTCCTATCACCATCATAAGTAACTGGTTTAGTTGAAGTTTTATTCAAAGTAGTGTGAACCTCAAAGGGATTAGTCAAATCTTCTTCGATTGTGTTTTCATTTTTGTTGTTTGAAGGTTTTGAAGTGTCAATGATAAATGGGATGGATGCCTTATTAACTTTAGATTCGTTTGTATTCATTTGAACGATATTTTCAGGTTGATAATTATTTTGATTAGATTCTTGATTAGATTCTTGATTGGAAGGAGAATCAATGAATTGCTGTGGTTGCAGCTGAGTGTTGTTGTGTTTTTGGGATAAATCCAATGGTTGAATAGTTTGGTCTAGATAATTCTGATTAATTTGTTTCTGAGAAGTTGGAATTGTCAATATTTGTTGTTGTTGTTGTTGTTGTTGTAGTAGTAGTAGTTGGTTTTGTTGTTGCTCCTGTTGTAACTGTTGTTGAAGTTGTTGTTGGAGTTGTTGCTGTTGGAGTTGTTGCTGTTGGAGTTGTTGTTGTTGAAATTGTTGTTGTTGTAACTGTTGATTAACTCTGCTTGCAAGATTTGAGCTTTGCTCTTTTAGCTTTCTTCTTTTTTTCATTTCATCAACCAAGTAGTACATTGAAACTAAAGGAGCAAAGCTAATGGTAGGATCAGGGTCTAACACGTCAATGTCAGTGTCATTGAGAAAGCCATACTGTTTTGAGTATTTATCTTCTCTTTCGTACCAATTGGAAGAGGCTATTTGATACTCATCAGAAGCAACAATTGTATTCAATTCATGAAAAATAGCTTGGTGTTTGCCCAATTCAAGATGGACCATTTCTTTGATGACCTCTGGGTCTAGAGGAAGTTTTAGGGGTTTCCTTGAAGGAACATAAGAGTTTGGAGGACCTTCGTAGCCTTTGTTCATCCAAGAGTGTGTTCTGATTTCTCTTAGGGTTGCTCTTTTATTTGAGTTAACAACTAGCATTCTGGAAAGAATTGCAATGCAATCTTCAGATAAGGTTGGCGGGTATTGGACGTTACCTTTTTTGATCTTTTCGTGAAGAATAGAAACGCTTTGATCATCAAAAGGAACCCTACCACAGACTAAGACATATAAAACGACACCAAAGGACCATACGTCTACTTCAGGGCCAGTGTAAGGATTAGCAGATAGTAACTCTGGAGCAGCAAAGTATAGGGAGCCACAGTAAGTTTTTAGGAGTTTGTTTTTGGTAAAAAGATTTGATAAACCAAAGTCGATGATTTTGATGTCGCCATTTTTGGATATCATTATGTTTTCGATTTTCAAATCTCTGTGAACGACGTTGTTTTTATGAAGGTAATCCAAAGCGGAAGCGATACCTCTAGCAAATTTTCTTGCGTGTCTTTCTTTTAGGGAGCCATGACTGACAATGTAGTCTAGCATTTGACCACCAGAGATGTATTCAAAAAGCATGTAGTAGTGGTTAGTCATTGGGATCATTTCGAAAAGCCTGCAAATGTAGGGGTGGTAGAGGATTCTGCCGAGGGCAGCTTCTCTAACAGTCCTTCTGTCTCTTGCGTATTCTTTTTCAGCTTCTTTTCTTCGCTTAGCGGATTCATTGCTATCTCTTGGAGGAGGATCATTTGCATGAGCTCTGTGGTATAATTTCAAGGCCCTTGGGACAATTTTGACGGCGCAGACTTCTTTTGTGCGACGATGCTTAGCAACCTTGACTTTTCCCATTGAGCCAGCGCCAATTGTTTTATCGAATTCCCAGTCGCCAATAGAGCGACGGTGGAAGGCTGGTTGGGGGATTTGTTGTTGAGAAAGCTGGGATTTTTGTTGTTGTGGCATTTGTGGAGGATGAGAGGGAATAGGAGGATGAGAGTTAGGGGTGTGTTGTGGATTTTTAATTTTGACAGGGGGTAGTAAAGAAGAGTCGTCATCATTTTTGATTATGACTTTTTGGGAGAAAGAAGTTATAGTTTCGTTGTCGGAGTTGGGCAGATTGATAGGGTCATTATTGGGATTGGAGTGGGTGTTGTGATTGCTGGATGAGTTTATGATGTTGTTGATGTTGATGGGGGAGGTTATTGAAGAATTTAGCATATTATTGTTTTGGATGTTATTGGATTGATTATAGCTGTAGTTTGTAGAGTTGTTGGTGTTGGTATTGGTTTTGGTGTTGGTGTTGGTATTGTTATTGGTATTGTTATTTAGGTCGTTTTGAATGGCATTTCTGAGCATTCTAGGAGTAGCAGGAACCATATTGGAGCGAGGATTAGGGTTATTGATGGGATCCGTATGAAGATTTTGATTGTTGGGGCTGATAGGGATGATGTTGTTATGATTGCTATTGGATGTGTTGTTGGCAATTAGGCTGAAGTTGATTTCATTGTTTGAGTTGATTTCATTGTTTGAGTTGATATCCTGGTTAGAGGTGTCTATGTAGTGAGCGTTGTTCATGGCTGGAGACACAATGAAAGAGAGAGGGATAATTGAGAGGTGGTAGGGAGGAGGGTTGGGTGTATGGATAGAAGTGAACGATAGATTTGGAAAGCGAGGAAAGAGACAAACAGGATAAGATATGAAGAAAATACACGAGATAGAGATGGGAGGCAGCGGAGCAGCAGAACGGAGGGAGAGTGGAAGGGTGTGGAGGGGGGGGGCAGAGGCAGCAGAGAGAGAGTGTAGCAGGAGAAGCAGGAGAAGCAAGAGAAGCAGCAGCGGATTGAAGACAGAAAGCTGACGATGGGATTAGTGCTACGGGAGCTGGAGGCTCAAACAAAGGGGCCCAGGACTGCGAAAATTTTTCCTACTGAAAAGTTGGAACAGGAGCTGAAACAGTGCTCGAGCAAGCGACGCATCCAGACGCACTCCCGTCCTGCTGGCGCTGCACGTGCGGCAAAAAGATGCCTCTTGCCAGAATTGAACTAGCGACCTTTGCATTACAAGTGCAACGCTCTACCACTAAGCTAAAAAGGCGGCTTACAGGAGCTAGGACACAGCTGTTTTGGTGGCTCCGTTGGTGCAGTGCGGGTTCCGCTACGGTTTGGCTGTTGACGAGAATTTTTCCAGAACCAGCGATATATTACTCACCTTCAGCAGCTTTGCTTTAGCTATTCTTCTCACTCCAACATGCCTCCATCTGCCAAAAAGACAATTGCCTCCTTTTCTGACGAGAGATTTCAGGCTGTCGTCTTGACCGACTCTTTCGAGAAGAAATTCGCTCCCTTGACCTACAACCTACCAAGATGCTTACTACCCTTGTGCAATATTCCCTTGATTGAGTACACTTTGGAGTTTTTGTCCAAAAACAAAATATCTGAGGTTTTTCTAATGTGTTCAAGTCAGCATTACCTTAAAATCAAGGACTACATTTCCACCTCCAAATGGTCTAACAACAAGTCCTCCCCCTCCTCCAACAACAACAACAACTCTTCTGACAACTATTTCCAAATCAAACTCATTCTAACTAAGGATTCTAACAGCGTTGGCGACGTTCTAAGAGAAATTGACACGAAGAATATCATCCAAAACGACTTCCTACTCATCTATGGCGACATAATCTCTAATATAGATCTCCAAAAACCCTTGGACTACCACAGATTGATCAAGAAAAACGATAGAAATCACATCATGACAATGATTCTACTTAACTCCTCCGAAAATCATTGTTCAAGGTCTCAACGTTCTCCAAACCTACTCATCTACAACCAACTCCATTTCCCCAACATCTCTTCCTCCAGCAACACTCACAAAACTATCAATCACAGCAACAACACCTCCTCAATCTCATACAACACTAACTACTCTTCCTTCTCATCCTTCAACAAATGCATTTACTACGACAAGATCAACCCAATCAACAAAAAGCAATCCTCAATCTCCCTCGACCTCGATCTATTCAATAATAACGACTTGTCTGACTTTTACATCTCAAACAACCTAATCGACCCTCATATCGATATCTGCTCTCCCAACATCCCCCTCTTGTTCCAGGAATATTTCGAATACAATAACTTGAGATCTGATTTTGTCAACGGCATCTTGTCCTCTGATCTATTGAAAAGATCAATCTACGCCTACATTCTAAACAACAACAATTGCAACAAAAACAATATCATCAACTACGCTACAAGAATAGACTCCTTCCAAACCTACGACTCAATCTCAAAGGATATCTTGCAAAGATTCACCTACCCACTTACCCTAGACTCAAACCTACTCTCAATTAACAACGAAATTCAGTTTTACTCTCACTTTGAAACCTCCCTTAACAATATCTACAAACAGAAAAACGTCATTCTTTCCCAAAACTCAAAGCTACTCTCAAACATCCTAATCGGTAACAACACCCTCGTTCAAAATAACGCTTTAATCAAAAACTCAATCATTGGCAAAAACTGCAAAATAGGTAAAAACACTAAAATCTTAAACTCTTATATCTTTGACAACTCAATTGTTCATGAAAACTGTCTCATTCTCAACTCCTTGATTGCCTCAAACTCAGTCATACACAAAAATACAAAACTAAACTCAAATTGTATCATTGGTTACAACTGCATTGTTGACCAAAATATATCCCTACCTAAGAATACTAAAATTATTGACAATAAAAATTACTCTCTAATCGATAATCAATTCTGCAATTCATCCCAAGATTCTTTTTATCCTGATGACAATGACGATGACGATCTTCAAGATACTGACGACAGCACCAAAAGACTAAAAAAATCTTCCCTATCTAACGACGATACTCTATCCGATCTTCTTGGTCCAGCTGGTAAAGGATATTTGTATTTATCTGACAACGATGACTCCGATGTCGATGATATTGACTTAAATCGCCTTAGTATTGATGATCAAAATACTCAAAATACTCAAAATACTCAAAACCAAAACCAATCTCTTAAAAATTACAAATCGGAAATTGAACATAAATCGGAAATCTTATCAAAAGATCCAAATCAAACTTTCCCTACTCTACAATCCTCTCAAAACCAAAACTACTTTTACTACAAATCTTTAGACATTGAATATTCAGATGATTCCGAAATCAATGACGAACCCAATGATGAATCAACTGATGAAGAAACAGACTCAGACTCCCAAAAATCAGATGATTCCGATGCTGAATTTGATTCAAACTATTCCCTAGACCTAGAGCAGGAACACTTACTAGATAAGGAATTGGGCGACGATTTGTTTGATAGATCCAATGAAAATAACCATCAAGCTGACAGAGAGTTTAAAAAGGAAGCATTGGCTACATTCAACAGATCTTTTATAAACAACCACGATCTAGATACCACAATACTAGAGATAAACACTCTAAGAATGAGTTACAATGTCGGATATAATGAGGTTCGTAACGCTACCATCATATCCATTTTCAATCGAATTGAATCTTTGATCGCCAACGATAACATGAAGTTTCAAGAATTCTGCCTGAAAGTGATGAACCAATGGATCCCTTTGTTTAGAAGACAGATCTTTGATCAAAAGGACAAGAACGACTTCTTGGACCAGTTGATCAAAATCAGCAAAAAGTACCCAAATCTTGGAGACAAGTTGGTCTACATGACCATCGACTCAGTCTACAACAATGACATTGTGTTGGAGGACGATATTCTCAACTGGTTCGATGAAAACCAGAAAAACATCAAAAACCAGCTTGTCGTAAAATACGTCGACTGGCTCAGAAACGCTGAATCTGAGTCTGAGTCTGAAAACGATGATGGTGAATCTGGGGAAGATTAAGCCCGTTTATATAGCGCTCATACACAAAAACACCATCTGCCTTTCTGTCCAATCAGCGTTCTTGTCCACCGAATCCAGCGTGGCTTGGATGACTTGAACATGCTGTATGCACCACATGCATCACCCAGCTTTGCGCCTATTATGCTGAAAAAATGCAGTCTCATGTTGGAGCCATCGCAGCGGGCTCCACTTATCGGAGATAATTTGGGGAAAAAGCCAAAGCTCACCACCCAAGAAATTTCAAGAAAATTGGTGCTCTTCAGTGAACTATTCAGGTTTTCCAACCAACCTTACTCTCGTTTTAACGTTTTTTTTGCACCCTTTATTCATTTCTCAGCAGCTTATATCGTAATTTATCTGTTTTCAAGCTCCTATCATGTCGGTTTTTAGCTTGATTTTTGGGGTTCCGGCAATCAATAAATGAATTTTCAGAAAAATGTCATCCCGATATAATTTGTTTGTTGCAATTTTTCTTTGACTGCTGAACCTATGAATCATATATAATCCATCATTTATGTCTCTCCCTTTGTTTTTTTCTGCTTTCATATTTTTCTATTATTAATCACAATAATCTTAATTCCTATTAGCTGATTCTTCTTTTTTGCTAAATTACTTTTCCAATTTTCCAATTTTAAGACTGTCTTTCTGTCTCATCTCATCTCATCCCGCTATCAGCTTTCCTACCTTACACTTTCTAAAATGAAATTTTCTTTCGTCTCTTCTCTCATAATAGCCGCTACAGCTTTAGTAAACGCTGCTCCTGCTTTGAAGCATGGTTCTGAATATTCTCAAACAATGGGTCCCGTCGCTGTTCTTTATCCCCCAGACAGAGAATGGGCTGAAACCACCGAAAGAACTGCTCCATGTGGTACCCATGCAACTGTCGGTAACCGATCTGATTTCCCATTGGACGATGGTTTTGTTGCTTTAGTTGCCGATGCTGTTGGTTGGGAAGTTTCTTTAAAAATCTCCTATTCTTCTGATCCTTCTTCCATCGACGATTTCGAAGAATGGTATCATGGTAATACTACCGATGAAATTTCCATTGGTCATACTTGTTTCTACATGCCTGATCAACCTTCCAACATCAGATCTGGTGATGTTGCTACTATTCAATTGCAATATATGGCTGATGACGAACAAGATGGTAATGTCACCCACTACGCCTGTTCCGATATCACCTTTGTTGAAGAATCTGTATTTGAAGTTACTCAGTATGCTTTATCTTGTTTCAATGCTACTGACAGTGGCTATTATTCCGGAAACTTAGCTGCTTCCGCCTCTTCAACTCTTGTTACAACCACCATCACTGCCTCCAGCTCTGATTCTGCTGCTGCCTCTGATTCTGCTACTTCTGATTCTGATAGTTCATCTACTGCTGCTTCTTCTTCATCTCAAGGTGCTGCCGCTTTTTTGAGCATCGATTCTAGTGTAGTCACTGTTGTTATTACCTTTGCTCTTGGTTTCTTGTTTTAAATGAATTAATATTTTTGTATGCCTTTTTTTTTGCTTTTGTTTCAACTTTCTTACTGCTTTTTATCTTTTTGTCACCTTTCGTTTTTTGAAAAATATTTTGTTTTATATTAAAGGTTTGGGGTTGTTAATACATATAAAATCAATTTCAAAAAATCATTTGTTCTTTTTAAACAAAAATTAATTTATTAAAAAAAATAAAAATAAAAATAAAAATAAAAATAAAAAAATAAGAAAAAAAAAAATTACTTCAGGATCAGAATTGTTTATTTTTTCAACGAATTTTAAAAATGTCTTTTTATACGGTTTTTATTGAAATTAGTATTTCTGGAATTCAAACTGGTTAGTTCTTTCAAAGTTTAATTATTTTTTATATCTTGTTATTACCTTTCTTGTAGCAGATCTTCACGTTTTTTCGATGTTATTCAATCCTACTTATCTTTGTTTATAATTTATAATGTTTTAATGAATAAATTAATTTTATACAATAACAATTCAATTTCATGAATTTATCGCTGTGTAATACAAATTATAATTATTTCGAATTGTACATTTTACTCGAAGCAAACAAAAACGAAAACAAAATACAAATACCAGTCCAAAATTACCTTTTCCAATGATCAGTCTGCTTATTGTATCGAGTTTGGGGATTCCTCAACTGCCGGAAAATCTTTGACTGCCTGGATCAATTTTTGAATAAAAGCACCAAATATCTCTTCACTTAATAATGACACATCTGCTGTGATTATACTATTTTCGTTTTTTCGTATCTTTTTTATCTGTTTTTCACCAATTAATACATCTTTCTTGTGTTCGTGGTACTTGCTATTGATTATCAAAAGAGAATACGAAAAATCTTTATCTGGATTTGAATCAAATTTAAATTTGTGTCTTTTATTATTGTCATCTTTATTTTCTTTATCATCACTGCTTCCTTTCATTCTATTATTTTTGGTGTAGATATCATCTGGGTTCTCAATCAGAGTTATGTATTCCTCAGGAACTTTGCTAAAAATCGTAAGACAAGTATTGTGGCTTTTATTTTCCATTTCATATGCGCTTTTATTATCTAATAACAAATCAAGCCATTGTTTTTTTATATTTTTTGAACCAAGCTTATTCATACTGAAACATATTATCAACATAACAGCTACATCAATACAATTTTCTTTTTGCCTACTAACATTTTCTGACTTCAATCCCAACTTTGAAACATTTTCTGTTAATTTCCTTTCTTGAATCACAAGATTGGGTTTTGACTTTCTACCATAATCACTGTTTTCATTTTTCAATTCTTGAAGTATTAGTTGAGACTCATCATATAGTCTTTTGATTTCCAAATATTCAACATAATATTTTTGAATTTGTGATAAAAAATAATAAACTATATTTGCGCACCCAGAAAATGCCACAACTAGATCAAGTAATAAAACGTCAAAGCTTGGAGTTACAAAAACTTTTTTTTTATTTATGCCTCTGGAATTATCATTTTCTAAATTACACCAATACATTAGGGACTCGAACTGGTTCGTAAATAGAGCCATGGGGGAATAAATGTCTAAGGGGTTTCTTGATTTATAGTTATTTATCAGAGATAATAATTGCTCATTTTGTCTGAAATTAGGATTGAAATAAGCTTGATATTCTTGGTAATTATTTAACATCAATTTAAGATCAAAATGCAAGGAGTTAAAACTTTCTTGAACAAAAAATTTGTTTTTTGATGAGATAATATTAATATTCAATAAATTATTCTCTGTGTTGTAATTTATCTTATTGAATAAATTGATTAGATTCTTTATCTTGTTAAAAATCGAGATTTCAATGTTATTTAATGTTCTTAATTTTCCAAAAATGTAAAATATTTTTTCTAAAGATTTAGACAATGTTGGAGAAGATAATAATAATAAAATTTTGTGAATAATCCAATTCTGAGAGTTCAAGTTGGAACCCAAATGATTTTCCAACAAAAGAATATATAAAATATCTATTGATTTGATTAGTATTGACTTTATTTCAGGACTGATAAAAAAATTCTGATCAATAAAAATGGCATCATTTGAACTATCCTGAAAATTAAAATTGAAAAAAAAATCTTCAACCCACTTAAAAGCACCCAATAGAGTTCCAATTAAAAACGACTGAAAAAAATATTGAGTGCCTTCTTTTAGGGTGTCAAAATCTATTAAACTTGAAAGATTTGCAAAAAATGATTCTTTGAAAATAATAGGAGTTAACTTGAAACAAGTTTTAATGGATGATTTACTTATAAGTTCATCAGATATACCATCTGATGACCCAAATAATGCAAATATCCAATCATTCAATAATGCCATATTTGCAGCTTCCCCTTCATTTGTAATAAAGCATGGCTGATTGCTATTCAATGTATTTAAGTTACTCAAATAATCAAGAACAAATGATTTGCTATGAGAATTTGAGCCTTCTTTTGAATAATTGTAATCGGTATTTGCAAAAGTGTAAGAAGTCATTAACTCATTCTGTGAGATATTCAACTTTTTAGTTAAATAGACAATGAACAAAATAAATACACTAAAATTGCAATAATCTTCCTGATAGTTATCGTCTTCACTGTTCATTTCAACGTCGACACCATGATTAACTTGATTTTCTTCTTCTTTTATTTCATGCCATGAATCACAATAATGTACAATGGGTAAAAGAAACTTTAAAGGTGAAACAAAATATAATATTATGTCAAGTGGTTTGTTATCAAAATAGACCCTGCCATAATTAGAATTTAATGAATTCAGATTATCACTAGGAAATGGTACTTGAAGCATACTATTCAATATTTTATATTCATTTAAAATAATTAATAATAAAAATAATCGATTCAATAGTCTGTCATTCTTCTTTTCAATTAATTCCATCATTAACTGATAAATAGCAAGTGATATTTCGTATTGTTTTAAGACTTCAAAATTGTTGAAATTTGACAAAAATTTGACAAAATTTGATTTTAATAAAGTGTTTTCATTTGAATCATCACTAGCATCAACAAAAGCATTAGCTTCCATAAAAAACAATGTTTTTAAAAAAAAATTAATGTTATTTATTGGTTCTGATGAAGAAAATATTTGAAAATTGTTCAATGTAGGACGATGTAACTGAGACTGAAAAGATAATGTTTGCTGTTGATCAAGTTGAAAAGCTTCCAAAAAGACCTTTGGAACGTTAACTAAATCAGGAAATACATCTGAAAGATAAATGTTATCATCTTCTTTTAATATTCTGGACTCGGCCAAAGAATCCTTTTTCAATATAGTATGAAAATCTTCTTTTGCAATTAGTTTTAAAGCTATACAGTTTTTGAGAAAATCATGTCTGATATCTGTTAAGGTGGAAGGAAAAGAGGAGAAAATATCCTCTTCCTCATCATCATCATTAATGAACTTAAAATAATTTGTCGAATTTGAAAAAAAATGGTTCAACTTTTTAGTGTTTTTTTCTGTCTGATTCCCAGAAACAGAATTGAAGTCAAATTTAGATAAAAAAGGTTTTGATTTTATATCGTTTTCTTCATTGATAAACAATTTTATAATTTTAATAGTTTTTGAATCTAAATCGTTTAAAAACACCGAAATAATAGCTTTTTGAACAATTGTTGAGGTTAAGCTATTTTGATTTGTATTTTCAGCAGAAAAATTAGACAATGAAAAAGAATAGTCCTTTTTTAATTGATATATAATCAAAGGAATATTTTTAACTATGAAGAGCTTCCAATATTTTAGCAAATATCTCGAGGATTTATTCAATATACTTAAAGCAAAAGATTCAAAGGATGATTTGATAACTCTTTTGATAGAGTTGGTCAAGTTATTGGAAGAATAAGAAGAATAGGAAGCATTAAATAATGACAAAAAGCCTTTTGAAAACAGAGACTCTGAAGTTAGATAGTTTTTTAGTGAGGAATTTAAATAAATTAATTTTAATATTTTATCTTTATTAATATTATTGACAATATCGCTATTAAAGGACTTTTTTGGAATTGAAGAAACCAAGGAGATTGAATTTGTGTTTTGATTTAAATCGGATAAATAATTGTTTAATTGGGGCTTTAAATAGTTTAGCAAATAAATTAAGCTTTTAATAGAAGATAATTTTAAAAGCAATTGAAATAAAAAATCGTTAAATTTTTGAGGAATGATAAAGTAGTTGTTAAGGTTGGACTTATCCATTGATAAAATAAGAGTATTGTAGTTATTGATATGCAAGAATAACTCTATTAAAAAATATAAAAAAGATCTCAAAAGTTTCAATTGCATGTTTAAATTATTGATTTGATTACTGTTAATAGAATTATTGTTGGTATTTAGAAAGGATATAACGTTTGATAAATAAGAGAAAATAGACTCAAAAAAGTTCTTTATTTTGGCCAAATCAATCTTGTAGTTTGGATTGTTAAGTACAATCTTGCTTATATTATTTCTTATTTTCTGCACATTAAAATTGAAGAAATTGAAGACATTGTCTTTATCATCAGCCTCATTTTTGATAGAAATCTCATTACCTAGTAGTTCATCAGCAGCCAGAGTTGATTTTAAAACAGCATCGACTGCAGAAGAGTTTATTAGTTGAGAAAACAACAAAGTAATGTAGTAATCGTTGTTTGTAAATTTACTAATGACATTTATCTGTATGTGGTAACTTTTCTTGTACAAAACCTTTAATAAATTTATGAAACCGTAATTTCTGTTGTCAATATCATTAATAAGAGATATATTCAAAATGTATTCCAAATCAGAAACACTGTTTAATAGATCAAAAAAGCTAGCATCTGATGTATCACCAGGATTGTTTTCCGCAAACTTAGCAATGTACTGGTCAAATAGGTGTATGAAGTTTATGGAGGAAATATTTTTCTGAATAGAAATATTAAAAAGAGTCTTCAAGGACAAGTGCTGTGGTTGATGGTGTGGTTTAATCTCAATTGCATTCATATCTGGATTGCAAATTCAACAGGAGCAGTCTGGCACTGGATTTCTTTCGCAATTGGCTGGTGATTAATGAAAGTTTGGGTCTTTTTGGTTTTGGTTCAGGGCTGTTAGATAGGGCTGTTAGTGTGATGATATCACATTCATGTTGTGACCTTCGATAACCGATTTCCGGCCGTTCATTACGAGTTAATACACTTTCAAGCATTCGTGCTAGTCGTTCAAATCCGGATGCAACATTCGATTCAATTAACTCAACTCTTTGATTTAATTCATTGATGTTGGAAGCCATTGGTGGAGTATCAAGTTCTCTTTCGTTATCACTATCAGTGTTCTTGACTTGGATGCTGTCAGGTTGACAGTCGTCGAAGGAAGGATAGATATTTCTTCTAGTGCTCATGACTTAGTAGACTTCTCTTTCCTTTTCCTCTTCGTTTATTTTATTTCTATCTAGCTATTTAGTGATCATATTTATATTGTTTGGATTGCAATCTTCATCAAGGTATTTGTGAATTAAATGTTTTTTGCGGGAACACAATTTTCGTTTCATAAGTGGTTGTCTTGTGTATTTGGTTTGGGGCAACGAACCCTAATTGCTTCACGAACGTTCGAGTTCGGATTGGGTTTTCCGGCCACACCTCGTGCAACATAATATTTATGTAATTTGCACTCCAGCAAAAGTCACATTAAACAGGACTTTATACATCAGGGCTTTATTTGCTAGGGCTGTGTGCTCTATGAATACAAACCAGAAGGACAAAGTGGGCATTTTGCTCTAATCGTAGCAAAGATACCTTACATTGGAGGATGAGAACCATTGTTGCGCTCAGTGCTGTTTTGTTTTCTGTCCTGTTGTTGTCTGGAGCTGCTGGTGGTTTGTTGTTGTCTTTAATGGACGAAAATACAAAGAACGCTTCCACTTTGATTTGCCATGGCGAGCAAAAATCCCATCCGAAAGTATTCCAACCATCAAACCAATGGCAGGTGATTCACCACGACCAGGAAATTCCTAAGGGCATCCATGTCAAGATTGATATAAACACTGGGGTAAAGGAGGGAAAGTTGATAGATGAAAAAGACGATGTTTCGAATAACGAACAGAAATCACATTTGTCGGTGGTGCAGGATCTGGAACTTGACCCATCCATTGATGACACTGAGGAATTGTTGCTGGATGAAGCTGATAGTGATTATGATAATAAATCATACTCTTTAATGAAAGATTTTATTGAAAACATGAAGTTTAATGCTGAGGATCAAAATAGTTTGGAACTCGCAATTTCTACTCTTACTGATTGTCAATTTATTGACAATGAATCAGTCAGTAAGGCCTTATCAACTCTTAGAGATTTATCTTACGATTTGATTTATGGTGAAAAAATCACTGGAAACAAAAAATTGATCCAAAGCCTCCAGAATTTAATTGAAAAGAGTGATCATGTCGATGAAAAATCTACATATCAGAAGAAAGAAAGTTGTTTAAGAATAATTTCCAGCTCAGTGAGAAATAATCCCAAAGCAGCCAATAATCTATTGAGTAACTATAAAGATATAGTGCCTTACCTAATATCACAACTAAAAGATACGGTTGGTATGAAATCCGATAAAGTAACTGATGCGACTTTATCTGTAATTGGTTCATTAATTTCTACTAAAACGTTTTTAATTGAGTTCAGGAAACTCAGGGGTTTAGAAATAATCAAAGATATATTTGTAAATGAATTTCATGAAAAAATATTGGACGTTTTCTTAGATCTATCGAGAGTTGATTCTATAGATGAGGAATTGAAACATTTTCAAGCTGATATATATAGAATTTTAGAAAAACAAATAGTTGAAATTGATGATGAAAATAATATCAAAAAATTGCTCTATGTGATGATAGAAATTAAAAAAGAGTTGAAAAGTGCAATCAAGGTCGATTTTGCTTTCATAAAATGGCTAGATAATAAATTGGAAAATGAAAATACTATCAAAAACAGAGATTTGTATGAAATGATGAGGGATTCTTTCCATTTAGTATTTGGTAATGCAATGGGCAGAAGAAAGCAATTAGCAAGAGATGAGTTGTAGTTTTCCTAAAATTAAAGCAAAATCATAAAAGTTAATAGTGGGATTATTATTATTAGTTTGCGTTGATATCATATCAATGATCACTGAACTTGACGTTGAAGTTCCAGTTGAGTCTTGAAGTTGGTCTATTTTTGAGTTTAGATGTAAAAGATTTATAATTTTAGATAAATGACTTACGTTCAATTCATATTCCAAAAATTGTTTCTGATCATTATTATTGTTATTATTGGTAGTTTGATCTATAATTTGTTTTTTGATTAAAAAGTTCACTATTAGCTTCCAGTAATATATCAATATGTCGTAATTGTTTCTTAAAATTATAAATTTAGCACTGTAAAATATCAATTTGTCAAAATCAACAAGTTTTTCGGTTGTAGTTTTAGAGTCAGTTAATTTTTGGCTATCATCAAGATCCAAAGAAAATTCTAGAAATGGAGAAGAAGAATTCCTTTTGTATATATCAATTATATTTTTTTGAATATTTAAGTTTAACAAAAACTGATATAAATCAGATAAATACATTTCCTTTGATTGAAAATCATTTAGACAAAACTCATCTAAAATTTCTTCTTCATAGGACTGGGAAATAATCAAAAGACCGTTTTTATAATCTTCAAAGTCACAAAGAAATATATTTTTATTCATTTCAACAAAGAATTGCAGGAAATCAGTTAACTGAATAAAGAGTCACTAAAAACATCAATAATAGTGTAAATTGTTGTTCTGTGGGGTGAAAAAGTGCTACTCTATAGTCTTACAGTCTTTTCCTTTAATGTTACTCCTAATTACCTTTTGCACCCTTCACTTATCCCTTGGAAATAAGGATACGTACAAACAAGTAATCTATATATGCTAGCTGGATTTTTAATCACGTGTACCAAATCTCAACAATTATTGCAAAAGGTGGAAATTGAAAATTGAAAATTTTTCCTCAGTTGGCGATAAAGGTGTGATTAGAGCAGATTAATTACTATCCATTTACCATCACACATCTATCAACTAATCACTAATAAAATGGAAAATTCATTGACAATTAAGGTGAAACAGAGACCAAATCTTATCAACGAGATTCTAAATACCTTAAAGAGATACGATGCCAATGTTATTAGAGACTTGGAAGAATACTTGAAACAACAATGTGTTGAAAGCTTCAATGATGTCCAGGCCAATTTGTGTTTACTAAAACTATACGAATTGAGCAGTGAAGATATAACTGAAGAAAGGGAAAATTCGACAATTAATATATTGTTGTTGGGATTATTGGAGTTCTACAATGTTGATTTTGAATTATACTTGCATTTATTGCCATCATATTCGTTATCCAAAAATAAGAAAAGCAGTAATGAAGAAAGCAATAAGGACAACAAAGACAATTCGGACGACGATAGAGCCAGTGGCAGTGAACACAAGAATAAAAGTGAAGAAGAGTTATCAGACGACGAAGAGTATATGAATGTTGAAAGTTTCCAAGACTCTGTTAATAAGATTTTTAAATTATATGAGTATCTCAATTCGTGCAATTTTACAAAGTTTTGGTCAGTTATTAAAAATTCTAAAGAAGCCGATTCGTATCAAGACTTGATTTTAAACTCTTTGATTGGAGAGAACTTTGAAAAAAAAATCAAATACTCCATCTTAAAATTGATTTATTTGGCATTCACTAATAACAATGAAAAAATTTCCAGCAGAATCAGCAAGAACTTGTTGAAAAACTATCTAAATTTGTATGATGATGTATTCTTTCAAAAGTTTATTAGTGAAAATGAACCATACTGGAAGATCGACAAAAAGGATCCAGAAGTAGTTCTCATCAACAACTTGAACAATTTGATCAATGACAAAGATAACAAAGAAAGCAATAACGAGGAAAAGAAGGAGAATTCCGAGAACGTTAGCATCACCATAACTAATGAAAACATCAAGATTGAGCAGTTGTCCAGAATAATCCGAAACTCTTTTGTTGTTTGAAGAGGTGAGGTAGATACTATGTTTCAGTAATAAAGACCGATTTGAGATCCAAAGCAGTGGCTCCGTAGACAGCACGTGTTCTGGTAGTGAGCCTCCACCAGATTTTATATTTAAGGGTGGATTTGATTGGCTGGAGAAGTGAAAAGTTACCCTTATCTGAGCTGCCCATGCGAATCTTTTGAAGAAAGGAATATCAGGCCTCAAAACAACCACAAGATCGAGCTTGTAGTTGACAGATAATAGAATAGTAGGATAATAGGTTAATTTTCCAGGATATATCACATCAGTACAATAACAAGATAATGTTTGCTCGCACTGTTTTCAATACCAGACAAGCCTTTTTCAGAGGTATTCGTCACAACTCCACATCTGCAAAAGCTTCAGCTTTACTTACAAAATTCAATGGTATGTTCGTCTGAATTTTGGTTTTCATATACTTCACACCACCAATGAGGTTTTCTAACCATTTGTGATCGATTTTTATTTTTGCTGTTTTGATATTTATCTAGGTCTTAAGGATTGTTCTATTTACTGGGGCAAGGTAACCATCGAGTTAGCCAAACAAATTTACATCAAGGAAAACTTGGCTCCTCCAACTACCGAAACTTTCAAAAAGGTTTACATTGACTTGTACAAACAGTTATTGAAAGCAATTGAGAATCCAAGTCAAATACTTTCTTCCTTGAAGAGCATCGAATTGTCCAAACAAAATGTCCAAACATACGGCTCATACTTCGTCCAACTTCTTGGTTTGTTTTCGTTAGGCGAGGTTATCGGTCGTAGAAAATTGGTTGGTTACAAGCACTATCCCTCGCACTAGGTTGGCCAGTTTTTTCATATAACCTATATGTATATATATATCTAATTATACTATCATTACCATTCTGTTACTGCTCATTGCGCACCACTTATTGAACATTGCAGTTCGAACCTCTCGTGCGACCTCCAATGAATATTCTGTATCAAGATCGGTAGACTGTTTCGTGTTCGATTCTTGCCCAGCGCTCGTTTTCGATGTTTCGCTGAAGGTCTCCAGCGGAAACAGCAACTTTGCACTCCTTTTCTTTGCTCTGTCCTCCAGATCTGCTCAGAAGTGTTACTGCTCGACTGGACTGTAGCTATAGAATCAGCTTGTATTATACTGTTGTCGTTGATTATATTATTCTGTATTATCTGCTTCTTTGTTTTGTTTCTCCACCACTCTTCTCTTTCCTTCTCCCAGCTCTCCTAGTCCTCTAACCATGTCTCTGTCTGATAGCTCCAACATCAAAAGCCCTTCTGGCGCCAACAGCACTACGAATAGCTCCAACAATACCAATAATGCTACTCACAATACTGGTTCCAACACTAAAAACCTCCAATTCAAAAACCCAATTCAAAGTCCAGTTTTAAAGCCTTCTCCCTTTCCTGTCCAGCTCAATATCTCTCAGAATCTCATCTCATCTCCCACTCCAATTAGAAATAACTTGCTAAACACCTCCAGATATAGACCAAACACTCCTTCTTTCTTGACCTCAAGAAACTCTTCTCCTGCTCCTCCCTTGTCCCATTCCAATTCTTATTCCAACTACAATAACTTGAACTCGTTCTTGTCCTCTACTAATAACTCTAATCTAAATAATTTAAATAGGTCCTCATCAAATTTATCGCTCTACTCAATTAATTCTCCCTTGCAAAGGCAAAGAACCGGCGATTCAATTTCAAATTTGGATCCGATTGAACAACTAAGACTAGAGCATTACAACCTAGATTACCCCATTAACGATGACTTGTTATACAACTATCAATTTACCGACAGAAACTCAAGATTTTTCTCAAGATTAAAAAAAAGAAATCTAAACCTACCAAAATTATTACCTTACAAAACTGAAAATTTCTTGGATCAAGCTAAATATTTATCTCATATAGTTACCCATCTTTACATTGCCATAAATTCTTTGGATCTTCAAGGTGTTATCTCAATTTCTTCAAATGACTTGAATTTTAATGCTTATAAAAACAACGATCAATATCTTTCCGACAATGAAGCCACCAACAACGAATCAAATAACAATCAAAATCTATTTGAAATCAACGATCACTCTAATTCTGATTCCGACTCTGATTCTGATTCTGACGATGATGATGACGATGTTGACAATTTAGAGACTCTATCTTCTTCTTCGGCTTTTACTAACTCAAAAAAGTCCTCTGCTGTTGTAAACGTTCGTCACTGGACCTCGGAATTGAAAACTTGGATCAAAATGAAGAATAATATGCCTATTTCTTTAAAGATTGATCTTATTAAAGTTTATTACTACTTATCTTTGGCAAGGGGCCAGCCAATTGCTTTGTCCGCCTATGTTGATATGTTCGTTTTATTAATCAAGTCTGATATCTACATTTTGAAACAATTTGGCTTAAGACTAGATTACTTGCCACTTTATAAAGAATTTGAAAACATTTTTCCTCATCCGGATGCTTCTTTTGATACTTTGAATAAATCAACTCACAAACATCTAATGAGATTAGCCTTGTATGCAAATTATTTTTTTGACGATTCTCCTGATACTTTGTTGCAAATATTTCAAAAGTGTCTCAGCAAATATTCAATTCCAACTGCCTCTTTATCTCTAAGTACTTTATACTCATTGCTACCTTGCTCTAGCATTCACATTTTAAAATTTTATCCTTCTTTTTTTCACATTTGGCAAAGCGCTTTGAAAATCAAAAATGTTGATTCTCACATTACAAGCTTGCTAGCAAGATCCACTGAATTTTTATTGATTGAAAGCAGTATCAATACTAGGTTGGAAAATTTGCATCCTGCCACCTTTGGTAAATTTGGTTATTTTACTCTTGATCAATTCGATACGCTTTTCACCAATTTATTAAACTCCCTTAAAATCTCCACTAATAAATTTGGTTCAACATCTTCTTCTTCCTTTTATACAGGTTTTTCAACCATGATTGTTTTTTCAATTAATGGCTCTAGATCTTTAGAAGACGATGGCTTGCTTGATAAATTAAGTAACATTATTGATATAATTGAGACTTATTTACATCCCTCAAATACCGGCGAATGGTCCTCTAATATAACTCAATTTCTAACTTCGCTAATTACTCAGTATCTTAGAAGATTTAATCTTGAATCTTTTGGCTCCCTATCTTCTCTACCTTCAGAGAATAAACTCAATGACCAAATAACCAAACGTTTTATAAACATTCTTTTACCAAAAATTTTAGTTGGAATTCAATCAAAATTGGATGTAATTGCTAGACTCTACATTGCAAGTTTGAGTGCCTTATGTTATTTAAATTCAGAGTTGGTGTTAAGTTCGGTTTTGCTTGATTTTTATGAATCTTTGACTAGTGATTCGACTCCCAACCATAGACTAATGGCCGTTATTAGACAGTTTACATTTTTAGGCAGATATTTTGTTTCAACTAAAGTATTCCGAATTCATGTTGTTAAGTTACTTTCTCTAACTATTCCTGCAATTGATTCGAATGATTTAAATAAGACCCTTTGCTGCTTGATGCTAATTTTAACTTTAGCTTCATTCACACCATTTGCTGATCTAACAAAATCCTCCAAAACTCATGATAATGAATTTATTGATCCTAATTTAGCAGACGATGTAATTCAAAACCATTTAATGTTTCTTCAAAGTAAGTTTGGAGGGTTAGATGACATACAGTTTGATGGAATGAAAAATCAAGACTATTTCACACTCGACGATGAACTCGAAAAAAAAGCTTTAATGTCGTCCACATTAGGGTTCGAAAATTTATTAAATCAAATTATCTACAAATTATTTCCCTTGGTTGAAAACTTGCCAGAACCCTCCCGCAAGGAAGCAAATTCTGAAAACAATATTCAAAAGGTTTTAACAAGAACTGTTGCTGTTTTATTTGAATCTTTATCTGATGAACTTTTTGAAAAGTTTAGTGACCAATTTTTGCTGTTTATTCGAAAAAACGTTTATTACAATGCTAATGAACTTGTTTCTAACATTTCTGGGCTAATTGTCAAAAGAGATTGCAAAAAGCAGTTTCCTAAATTTATGCTGTTTTTATTACCCAGAATCTATGAAGATATATCTGAGAATGGTGCAGGAATCTCAAGAAGTGGAATTGATGTTCTTCCTAGAGATCAACCGCTCTTTTGCTATTTAGCCATTTTAAATAGTTGCGCTCTTCACTCATATGATGCAATTTTTGAATTTCAAGATGATATAATACATCTTTCGTCAATGCTTTTTCACAAATTAAAAGGTCCTGCTGTTTATGTATCATCCTATTTTGTTCATGAAGTTTTAGATTCTTTGACTACAATTAGATTAAAGGAAACAAGATTGATAAATCCTATCTATGCATTCCATAAGGGTGTTGATGAAACATGCTGGGGTGGCTTTCAGTTTGATGAATCTCGGTTTTCAAAAGAAAACTTATCATTTGATTGGTACATACCAAGCAGAAGAGAAACTGAATTTGCAATTAGATTTTTTACTCTTCATGTTGATGAATGCTTAAATTCTATGAATGAATTGATTAGAAACTCAACTGAAATCAATTCACTGGATGTTTTATCGTTTACTGACGAATTCCGTAAATGTTTATCATATTTGAGTCATGCCTTATCCGGTATTTCTGGTTTATTGGATCCTAACTTTGATGAGAAAATGTTAGCTAACAATAATAGCTCTACCAATTTAATTGGGTTGCTAAACAGCAAGAGAAATATTCAGCCTCATTTATTAAGCAGTAAATTAGCTACAATTAGTAGAATCAGAAAAGACTATAGCGCAACTCCTAATATCTTTGAAGATCAGCAACCGAATTCTTCTGGTATTTTAGTTTCAAGCGAAGAGAATAAAGAAGAGGACAAAAATCAAAATGACATAACTGATGATAGCATTCTTGAGCAAAATCCTCCTAACAAGCAAGACGATGATTCAATGACAGAAGAGTTAGCTTCTCTTGAAGGGCTCAACATTGAATCTGTGAGGATGTCTCCTTCCATTTCAACTTCAAGTACTTATAATATTCCCTCCGATTTTTCAACAAATAATATGCTAGGCCCCTCGGGTTCTGGTTTTGATGATGGCTCAATGACCCCATTGGCAAACCCTTCTCTTACTTTAAGAGAACAAAAGTTATACAATTGCAATTACTTTTTCGGAGATGATAATTATACTAAATATTATGATGATCTATATGTCAAAATTAATCAATTGCATAAAAAGATTGGAATGAAGCTACATGATTATTTTGAATTTTTGGTGAAAAATAATTCTAATGATGTGAAGCTTATCAATATGTTTTTATATTGCTTGAATATTTGGTTTTGTGATGTTGGTTTTGAATCTTCATTAAAAGATATGGATGAAAGCAAAATTGGCTATAAGTTTATGAGCGATATTCAAGGTATTTACAAGGTCAGAAAGCCTTTTACTAGAATTACTTTGGGGTCAAGAATAATGAAGTACCATCGCCAAAGGTGTTCATTGCATGCTAATAGTCGATTCCAAACACTGGCAGATTCTTTATTATTAGAAGATTTGTTGAATTTATCTACCTCTGTTTATTCCGAAATATCTCATTCTGCTCAAAATGTTTTAGTAGATGCCATGAAAAAAGTTCTGGGATCTTACAAAGTATTGGAAAAATATTTATTTTCTACCAGAGATCAATCAAACAACATAAAACCATGCTTTGTGAAAACTTTAGACTCAAAAAACTACAAAACAATCAAGAATTTATTGCATCTTTTCCAATTTAAAAGAATTAAAAACAATGTGTTTTCTGATTATAAAAATATTTCAACATTTGTTGAGTTTTTAATTAACTGTTTGTTGTATGATGATACCACTATAAATGACTTAGCTTTTAGTATTTATAAAGATTTTATTGGTTCTCTCAAAGTCCCAAGTTCTGTTTGTCTTATCGATCTAAAGAAGATTGATTGCATCAAGCCACCAGACGATTTTGCGCAGCATGATATTAAAGCTGTTAAATGTGCCAAAGATAGAAAAAGAAAATTCTACTTAGATCAACTTAAAGGATTACAGAAACAAATATTAGAACTAGAGAAAAGCAAAAAAAACCACTGGAAGTTATCACTTTTAAATTTAACTTTATTGATAAATTTGCAGAATGATATTGATATTGATTTAAATATGGATGTTTTTAGCTTATTGGTGGAAAGAACAATTGATAAACATCCCGTAATATCTGGAAGGTGCATTAGTGGTTTAACCAAGTTGTTTGATAAAATCAACACTTTATCAATGAATGAATATGTTGTTTCAAATAGATTCGACTTGAATTTTTTGCCAAAGGAGTTCATGGTAGTAGATACCAATTCAAATCGTTCCAAAATCTCCTATACTCAACCATTTTTGAACGAAATGAAAAATATTGACAATCCTAGTTATTTCATTGACAATAAAGCGTACATTGGGTGGTTGTTTTGGGACTCAAATCTTACAGTTGTAAATCCTCAGAATTTCATTGGCATTAAATTAAAAAAACATGAAGCAGAAATATGCAAAAACCTCAATTTATTGATTACGAAAGAGTGGTTTCAACACTTGGTCCATCTAATTATACAAAACAATTATATCAAGTCAAGTTTTCAAGTGTCTCATGTTTATTTGATTGTTATAATTGTTCATTTAATTTCCAACAATTATCTATCACGTATCTCTTATCAGGATTTGCTAGAAACTTTGGAAAAAACTTATGAAAAAGATGAAAAGAGCACACATATTGTGGTCTGCGAATTTATCTGTGGTCTACTATTATCAACAAAATACACATTGGAAGAATATATTCCGGAGCGTGATAAAGCCATTAAATCAATGTTGAAAATGATTTTAGAAAATGATTTAAATCCTGAAAACAGCACTGTTTGGAAAATATTTTCCTGGTGGATTCCTTCTCATGCTGACACTCGGAGATTCTATCCCGTTATTCGTCAATTAATTGAATTTGAACTTGACAAGAATTCTAATTCTGCAGTTATTCAATCAATCAGATTGAAGTACCTCAAATCATTTTTAACAGTTGTCACCTGGAAGTATCTAGATAAAGAGAATTTATTGGATTTATTATTGAAAAATGCTTCATTCCCATATGAGGCTGTTAGAAAAGAAATTGGTGGATTGCTTTATGTTACTGTTTTTTCGTTTCTTAACGAATCATTTACTGATGCGTTATCTTTCATTGAATCAAACCAGGTAGATTCTCTTGGTACCGTTCCCTATGTTATGCCTAAACATGTTTTTGCTAAGCTTTGTAATAAATTTGATGAAATCGAATTATTGTACTCTAAGATTTCACCAGATGCAAATGTTATGGTAATAATGAATTCAGATTACGTACATGCTTCTAAAACAATGTTATCATGGTTAAATCAAATGCTTAGGTCATGTTCTTGTCTTTCGATTATCGGTTTGATCCCAAGTCATATATTTCCATTCTTGTTTAAGTTGGCAACAATGAAAGATGTTTGCAAATTGGGTAATATCAATTTGACACCATCAATACAAGGTATAGCTCAGATTCCATATACAAAAGGCCAATTACAACCAATTGTTGATATGATTGTCAAATTTGGTAAAGTCTATGCTAACAGCTGGCATGAATTACTTCGTTTAATTGTGTTTGTTGAGGTGTTTTACTTCAAGCAAAGTCTAAACCTATCTGTTGAAGATCGAAGAACATTATTTGAATATATTCAAAGTTTACTTTTTAACTCAAATTTAGAGGTGAGAGAACTCTCAAGTAGCACACTATCAGGGATGATTCATGTTGCTCCTCAGGTTCAAAGAGAACTTTTAATTAAAGAGTGTATTGAAAAATTTGGCGCTATATTAACTAATAAAAAAAAAAAGAATAAACTTCCAAATGGAGCTACTATTAAATTTCATGGAGCTGTTCTAGGCCTTGGTTCGTTGGTGGCAGCTTATCCATACGTCTCACCGCCTCCGAAATGGATTCCTGATGTGGTCAGTATTTTATCTAATAAAACCTCTGGTTATTCAGGTTTGGTGGACAAAACCGCTAAAGAGATATTGAGTAATTTCAAGAAAACTAGACAAGACACTTGGAAGGTGGATAGTAGGATTTTTTCTGAGGAACAGTTGGAAGACCTTGAAGGTGTATTATGGAAAAGCTATTTTATTTAAATTTTCTACATTAAAATAGCATGATTTTCCGTTGTTTTTTTTATAAAAATACCATTTTTTTTTTGTTTTTAATGATTTATGATTATAGCTGCTTAATCTAGATTCTTGTTTTCAAAGTTAAGTTAATGTATATTGTAATTGTAAAACGAATAAAATAATTTATGAAATTAGTAGTTTATCTGTTAATCATCAGCAGGAAAATCAGGTATATTAAACATTACATCAAACAAGTTGTTTGCAGGTGGTCTTTCCATGTTTTCAAATAAAAAATCATCAATGTTAAAACCCAATGCTTGGTCCAGGTCAAAAGGATTTCCATTTAATATGGTTGAAACTGGTGGAAGTTGTGTAGATTTAGGATAATTTAAAGTATAATCAAACAGGTTGAGAAACAGTTGTTGTTCAACACTGGCACTATTGATTGTTGTGAGAAATGAGTCATGCAGTCCATTGTTTCCGTCAATATTGAATTGTTGATCAACTGGATTGTTGATTGAATTATTTATTGGATTATTGATTGGATTATTGATTGGATTATTGATTGGATTATTAATTGGATTATTAATTGGATTATTATTGATTTGTTTATTACCAGTCTGCTCATTTTGGAGATTGTTCAACGGTTTATCTATCATGTTTCTAGTAATAATTGATTGACCACTCAAAAATTTATGTATGCCTTTCTCATAGAACTCACAATGTGTATTTTGAGGTCGAGAGTTAGTAGCATACAAGTTAGCAGTAAATTCAGAAAATTCATTTTCTTTTTGAAAATATAATCTAACTGTTTGGTTGAAAAGCTCATCAACATCGTTAGAGGAGTTATTGTTATTATAGGCTTTAACTGCAATTGTAACCATTTTTTTAATTACTGTTTTTAGGATGGCATGATTTTCTTCTAATTCATGCCTTTTTTTAAAACCAAAACAATTCATGTAATCAAAACAACATTGTATCATTAATAGTATATCATCTTTAATAGTTGCAGCTTTAGGAAATTGGATAATGTAGCTAAATAGAGTAATAAAAGCAACGCTGGGATAGAAAAACAACCAGTTGATAGTTTGAGAAAACGCATCTCTATCGATGATAAAAACTTTTCTTGTAAGTTTAATCATTTCTCTAGCAGCATTTAAGTATCTTAGCAAGCATTGATGTTGTATTTTTTCAGTTAATTTAGACTGTTGTTCAGGGTTTGGTTGCAATTTTGTCTTTAGACCTATCCCATTAGGAATTTGAAAAGCCATTCTATTAATAACTAATGAATGATAATAATAGGCAAATTTTAGCTCAATTACATTGTAGTACTTTTCGTCAAACAAATATTCAGCACTATCATCACCATATGGAGCTAAAGGATCATTTTCAGTGTTGTAATCATCACTACCCAAGACAATGTCTTTTTTAAAGATATCAAGTAATGAATCCTGCCAATTATTTAAACCAGTATTTAAATCATCGATGGAACGAACAATATCCATTAAGGATTTTCCCTTTAATGCATTTGCAGAAAACAAAGTTGTATATGTTTTTGAACAAATTTTAGAGAGTTTTATACGATAAAAAGAAAGTACAGTTGCCAAGCCGGTGTCATCTCTTCTGGCGATTTTATCAAGACTCTCTTTTAGTTTTTCATTTGACATGTTTCCTATAATACCTAACACCAATTTAATTGATTTAATATTTATTGTAGGGTCAGAACCAAGCAATGCAAAATACTTGAGGTGGTTTTCGTCCATTGAACTGACATCAACATCATTTATAATTTGGGGTTTTCCCATTCTCATACAATTGTCAAGATAATATAAGATGAACCAAATTCTTTTTTTTTCAATAATGTGCCTGGGACTCAAACCATCATAAGATTCCTTTCTGTGTAGAGATAGTTGTAGAGCTAATCTAATGGCAGTTGATAGTAATAAATGATTTGCACCATAAGTAGAGAGAGTGTCATAAAAATAGAGGAAAATAATACCTTTAATGGCTTTTAGACCGTCGCCAATAATTGAAATTTTTTGAAAAAAATAAATGGAGTTCATATAATGGGTGTCCATCAATTCTTTAAAATGAGCTTCAGTTAAATTCAATTTATATTTTTTTAGTAAATCGGTAACAATATGAGACCTGTTTTTAGAATGAATTAATTGAAGGCCAATTGAGGCACCAAAGGCAATGATGACGTTCATTATTAGAAAATCTGAGTAACTTAGTTTTTCATTTTGATTTTTATTTATAAATAAAAAGTAATGTTCAAAGATTTCAGCAAATTCTTGATTGGAAAATAGAAGAACAGGACCTTTTAAAAGTGAGTTTAAATCAAGAAATAGCTTTACAATTTCAATTCTAGGAATGGGAACAACGTTATTTTTGGTACAAGATTCTATCCAGAGTTTTGATTCAACCAAGTTGAGTTTACGGATATCAGCAGATAGATCCTGCAAACTGGCAGAGATTTCGAGATAGGAATCAATATCTAGAGGGTTTAATTTTTCTTGCAACCAATCCAAGCCTCTATTGGAAAAAATAGAGTAGGTACAATGATAAGGAATTGTGTTTTGAAAGCTTAAAGTATCATTGGAGATGCCAGATATGTTATCCAAGCACTTTTGGTCGATTTCTTGTTTATTTGGAGCGTTTGAGGGAAAATCCTCAGTAGAAGAAGAATCGATAATGGAGCTCTTCGAGTGAATCAATTTGAAATCATCATCATTACTCAAATCGCAGTCATTGTCGCTGGGAAAACTGCCCAATAAGTTTTCCAAGGATTTCCTTATATTGTTAGAAACAGCAGAGGATTTGAGCAAGACTTGAAGGACAGAAGTAATATTATCTAGTTTTTTCTCTAGTATATCGTATTTTGAGACATATTTCTTGGATCTTTCCTGTTCGATATATTCACAAGTGACCTTGAAATGGGAGCAGCTTTTGCAAGGGAACAAGCCGTCACACTTGATCTTTCTTGAGCGGCAGAAGTTACAGGCTTTAGAAACCCTTCGTTTTTTGCTGTTGGAGAAGGAGTTCATGCTCAGTTCAATAGTCTAGTTGAGGCAGCACCAGCTCAACTCAAAACGCAGAGGAAAAAGTAAGGAGATTAATCAGTCAAGGCAACGATCTGCTGGGCAATGCAGCATGAACGGAAGCAGCGTCAGGGGAAGAAGCACAACGGCGACACAGCTGCAGCTCCGGTAGCAAGAACCGCTGTGGCGGTGTTTCTGCCGCACCGACTATTTCGGAAGCACGGTCAGGGTCCCGAAGGAGGCGGAACGGAGGAGGACGGTTCTTCTGGAGCCCGTGGCGGCTATTGCCGTTTTCGAAAGCTGGTTCTTTTAGGAAACGAGCAAAGCACGATATATTAAAGACATTAACAATAAGCAAGCACTCATAAAAAGTATGGTACAAAACAATCTACAAAACTAAAGATGAAAATAAAAATAAAAGTGAAAGTGAAAATACAAAAAACAAAACCTACAGACCAATTTAACATCATCCAAAGTTGTAACCAACTCAAAGCAACACAAAAAATTATAACAAAAACATCAGCAAAAGACATAACTAAAATAATACAACTAAAATAATACAACTAAAATAATACAACTAAAACAAAAAATGAACAAACAGAATGAAAAGAAGACAAAAGATTGTATAGCATTGAATTCAAATTTTTATTTCTGCTAACCCCTTCTGGGTTTTTTAAGCGAGTTTTGCATGTCTTGAGAATTTTGTCTTTTCTTATTTGAACCTACTATATTAGTGGTTTCGGGACGATCATTGAGATATGAGGGATCTGTTGAACTCTGCGTTTCAATATCATCAGATGAGTTATTTTCATTCAAATTATTTAATATCTGATAAAAATCTTCTGGTAGAAAATTTGAAGTATTAACATCTATATTTTCTGAATATTCGCTTGAACTATGTTCAAGACTTATATTAAGATTCAAGTCTGAACTTAAATTAGGTCCCAAGTTTGAATTGGAAAGTAAACCAGCACCTGAGTAAAAAGTATTCAAGTTCATATAATTATTCAAATTATGAATTTGTTCATTATCTCTATTACCGGTTGATTGAGTAATGTTGTCAATATCATTTCCCATGGTTTGCTTGTTTGTTTGAGATTTTGAAATAATATCATTTCCAAAAACATTTGAGTCACAACAACCCTGATATATAATTGATTTGTCGAAAACCGAACTGTTCAGACTAAATTTTTGTTCACTTTTTGGTGTTGATTTTAATAAAGTTGACAGAGTCACTATATTGTTATTTTCCGATCTATTAAGACTTTTACACTTGTTTTCAATTAATTGGTGCAATGACTGACATCTAACTTCATAGCTTGAAAAAAAACACCAATGGATATATCCACCTTTATCAAAATATTTTTGATGTAAGTATTTGCTAATATATTCTCTTTTGTTTTTTAAAACACCTCCTGCACTTTTTTTTACTTTAGATAAATCGGTAACTTCAATAAATTTATTAAAGTCATCAAAATCTTTTCCATCATTATAAAATTGAATTAATTTATACTTGTTAACATAATGTGCAATGTAAAAAACTTCATCCATCAACGCCATAATTGCTGGACAATTAACTTTATTTCTACTGAAATACAATGTTCTTCTTAGTTTTGAAACAAAATCAAAATACTCTTCTCCTAAAAAAGAGTATGTTGGATTTCCCTTTTTGTCTTTTATATTCAATCTTTCATCTCGTATGTCCATTAAAAGCAAATGCAACACAACTGCTATTCTATCTTCTCTCTTCATATGGTCTGGCTCAGTATGTTTGGTATTAGGAGGCCACCAAGGAGGAAGATTTGATCCACTGTAAGGATATTGGCTTTGTTTTTTTTTATGAATCACAACAATCCACGCTTTTAGAATTTCTTTTAAATCATCTTGTCCAATAAAATCTAAAACTGTACTTATATGTGCACTGACTTCCTCCTCATTAGTTATATCTAACTGAGATGTTCTATGATCACCATTAAAAATAGCCTTTAAAGGTGGATGGAATTTGATATATAGAATTGAAGATCTCTTACTAATTTCCTCTAAAGTTTTGATGGTGCTTCTAACAGGACTGATAGGAGAAAATGTTTCTGTCTTTAAAATTTTTGTTAATGTGTTCAATATTTTATCGTTTTTAAAAACCTCTTTTAGATGTTTTTCATAATTACTAAACTGATTAGATGAATGAATAAAAGGTGATTCATTGGATTCAGCCTGCTTTTCAATTAAAAAAAGATACTTTTTCTTTTCAAGATCTTTACAATTATCATGAATCGTATGAACAAAATTTGAAAACATCTTTTGCTTTTTGTTTAAATATTATTTATTAAGAAGTAGTATAATGCAATTTGTTTAATTATCAAATAATCTTTATAGAAAATATTAAAACCTGATGTTACTAATTCAAGTTAATAAAAGCTATCAACAATAAATTTAGCAGATTCAGGAAATTCTACAGGACTTTATATCATTAAATTTCTCAGTAACTATATTTTTACGCAATAATAGTTATTACGTTTCATGTTTTTTCTTTACCTAACTTTATATTTTGTCTTTTTATCAACTCTTGTTGTTATGGCCATTATGATTCCTTTGTATCTCAGTGTTTGAAAAAAGTTTCAACCAGATGTTCCTCAATTAGGTTTGTGGTTGAATCTAATGTTGGAAAAACCGCATATGCATATGCATCATGCAGAAATATAATTAACCCTTTCTGTTTATAGTGTTGACAGTTTTCATATCAATTTACGCTTCGGTTTTCTAACAAAAAAAGAAAAGATGCATTCTGAATAGAAATAAAAACATAATTTGATTTGAGTTCTTTTCTAAATGTTTTTTATTATATTTTTTCCGTTTTAAGATGAGAATCTGCTTGCACTAAATGGTCATCTCAAAAGCATTTGAAACAAAAGCTTAAAAACAATCCATTTTTAAATAAAAAAATTCTAAAATTCATTCAGCTTATACAAACAAATCAAATTGCTTTGATAATTTTTAATCAATTTCTAAAATTACCGTATGTACTCTATGGTGATAAAATAAACAATTTTCACAAAAAATTTAATGAGACTATTAACCTAGTAATTAGGATGTTTGTTTTTCTAGTAGCTATCTAAAAAGCAGTGCTTTCTGTAGTTATATTGTATTTCCTTCTACCACTAACAAAAATTCTGCCTAAAAAGCTACCTCTAGTACAAAAAAATACCAACTAGGAAAACCACTTGGTCTGATTGCCTTTTCAAAACTAAAATCCTTAAAATAATATTATTCAAGTAAATCAGCCATATTTTAAAAACATTCACATTGGATTCAGTAATCACTCCTGGTTATGATCATTGTTCCTTCCCGGGATCTGGTGTATCAAAAAACACCTAGTAGAAAAGCCTTTAGTAATGATAAATAAAACAACTACGATTTTGAAGTGTGGTTGGAATCAACAATAAAAATATAAAAACATATAAATATAAAAACATATAAATATAAAATGACAAAACAACACCATCATATCTTGTCAAGTGGCACATTTTATCAAATTGCTCATCATACAAAAATGTTGCAGAGTGAAATCCAACCGTGTGGAAACAATCAATGACCCACAACAGCGGTCTTTGCTGAGAAATACATATAGATTTTTTTTTTTGAGAAAAAACTTTTCAACCTGATGATAGAAATTGAAAAATAAAGCAGACATATCTATTGTTTTTAAATTAAATAACCATTTGCAAAAAAAAAAAAATAGCTAAAAAAATGGGGCAACATCATCATCGTGCAACACTTAAAAAATCCAAAAAGCCTTTCAAATCAAGGCACTCTTCAAAGTCTGCCTTAAAGGCTCAATTAAAGGGAAAAATCGAAACAGTAAAATCTAGCTCAAGTAGTACTGGTAAGACAGTATCTAAAACAGCCAGAATAAACTTGTTGAAACAACAAAAAAAATTTAAGATATTATCTTCTGTTTCATCAAAAAACGTTTTTCAAGGAATTGATGGTGTTGAAAAAATAGTTACTATAATTACTTTAACAAATGATTTGAGAAACATTGATATTATAAATCAATTAATTGATACAATCAATACTAATGAATCTGCGACTAAGAAAATCGATCATATTAGTTCTCCTATATCTTCAATTTATATTCCGAGGTTCAAATCTGGATTAAAGATTATATTGCCGGTTATGAGTTCTTTTTTTGATGTTTTAGATGCTTGCAAGATCTCGGATTGGGTTGTGTTTGGTTTAAGTGCAAAAGAAGAAGTCGACAAAGCATTTGGAGAGAATTTGATAAGAGCATTAGAATTACAAGGAATTTCAAATGTTATTAGTGTAATACCAAATATCTTTTCTAGTGACAATAATCCTAAACAAAGTGCATTGATAAAATCATCTTTGTTTAGTTATTTTAATCATTTTTTTCCAAATGAGCAAAAAATCTTTGATTTGAATAACAGTTCTGATTCTCTTAATGTGGTTAGAATATTGTGTGAGAAAAAGTTACAATCTGTGAAATGGAGACAAATCAGAGGATATTTACTTGCCAACGAAATCGATTGGATTCAGGATCCTAACAACCCAAATAAAGGAAAATTAGCCATTTCTGGTACAGTAAGAGGAATTGGTTTTAATGTTGATCGATTGGTTCACTTGCCCAATTTTGGTGATTATTCGATTGAGAGTATTTATGTTACTTCAAAAAATCCAAAAAAAGAGAATCAGGTAGTTAAACCAATTTTTCCAACTGAAAACAAGGATTCATTGGAAACACTAAACGAAAACTTTGACCAGGATATGTTTGATAATGAAATGACTAAAAGTGAACCAGCAAGTAATTACAATTTGTTGGCTAATAATGATTCTGGTGTAAGAATTGACGATCATGTTTATTTTGAAGAAGAAAAGACTCAAAAAGTAAGGGTTAGACCCGGAACATCTGACTATCAAGCAAGATGGTTTCTTGAAGACGATTATTCTTCTGAAGAGTTGGATGAAGAAATTGCTGAAATTGGTGGGAATCTTCAGTTGAAGAATATGTTGGAAAATAACAAAGATATAGATTTAGAAGTGGATGATAATGATTTTGAATCAATGGATATGGATGAAGATAATGAAGTGGATGATTATAATGCCGTTGAAGAATATCGTAAAATTCAGGAACTAGAATTTGACGACCAACTTCAAGTTGAGCCAAGTGTTTCATTGAAGGAGAGATTAAAAAAATATCGAGGTATCATCAATTTGAACAGTTATAACTGGCTTGTTGATGAAGTTGATGAAAACAGGCCCTCGGAATGGCTAAAACTATTAAGAATTTACAATTTTAAAGCTACTCAGAACCGAGTATTGAAGGAATCTGGAATAAGTTCAAGTGTTAAAAATGGGGATAAAGTAGTGATTCATATCAAATTTCCTAAAAGCTTACTAGCTACTATCAGGCCTTCAAGTCAGGCGCCATTTATTGTCTATGGGTTATTAGAACATGAACATAAGTCAGCAGTTTGCAATTTTACTTTTAAAAGTTGGGAAGAATATGAAAAGCCTATTAAATCTGAATCTAGTATGGTTGTTCAATATGGTTTTAGAAGACAGATAATAGAGCCAGTTTTTTCAGTTCATAATAATACACCTAATAATGTTCATAAAGTTGAAAAATTTGCCAATCTTGGGTCATTAGAAGTTGCTACATGCATTGCACCAGTTAGTTTTGGAAATTCACCCAGTATTTTTTTCAAATTGAAGGATAAGAACGATTTTTCGTCAATCGAACTCATTGGAAGTGGAACATTTTTGAATGTAGATCATTCTAGAGTATTAGCCAAAAGAACGATACTAACAGGGCAACCATTTAAAATTCATAAATCAGTTTCAACGGTTAGATACATGTTTCTCAATTCGGCAGATGTAAACTGGTTTAAATCAATACCATTGTTTACTAAAAATGGAGTTTCAGGATTTATTCAAGAAAGTTTGGGTACTCATGGGCATTTTAAAGCCAAGTTCAATAAAAAAGTCAGCCAGCAAGATACCGTTGCAATGGCTCTTTATAAAAGAATTTGGCCCAAGAATTCCAGTATATTCAAAACATGCTGATCAGGTTTTATATTTAGGTTTCTATTGTTTTTTTTTGAGTTATAATCTTATACTATTTGAGCATCACACCCAATAGAGAAAAAATTAGATGTATAATTAATATGATAAATATGATGATAAAATTTTGGTGCAAAACCAAAAACATAATAAGATATTGTTATAAATTTGAATTAATAAGAGAACACAATAAGACATACTCGTTTGACACAGCAACAACAGGATAAAAACCAGTTTGACTACCCAATCTAATAAAAAATTAACTAACTCAAAAACATACCTTGAAAACCAGATCACATCTTTAGTTTGGTATATAGTAAAATTAATACAACCAAACTATAGATTTGATAATAAATGTTTGGTCTGTTTTTGAGTCAGTTAAAATAAAAGACAGTTAAGAATTGGTGGTTTCATTAAGTCTAAATTTCAAAAAAATTAGACCTTGTTGATATTCTTTTTTGTTTCTTACCGCTGGGCGAAGAGCTCTGGGGTATTGATTAGGGATCGGATTTAACAATGGATCAATATTACTATCAGCACACATCTTACACTTGATTGCTCGATTGTGGTCTACATTGTAAACTAGAAAAATGAGAGTAAGGAGCTCAGTATATATATGATATATATGGCTCTCCCAGCTGACTCTGCTCTTTGCAAGCAGCCATAGCAGCTTATCTGAATCCAATGGTGCAATGCTACCACTAGTATTGAGCTGATCAACCACAATGTCTCATAAATATATCTTGGATTTGCTTCAGAGGACTCTCCCGTGTCGCTGGCGCTAAAGTTGTCACGTGCAGTCTTTCTCCAACTTTGCTTTATTTTGCTCTGAAAAAGCTCAAACATCGATTTGAAACACTCCAACATCGACCATGAAGGAGCTTCTCACTGCCATTGAGTCCTTGAAGGACCAGCTTCCCTTGCAACGTCTTGATGTGGTGCTTACGTCCTTTATTCACAACAGAGAGGTCTTGCTGCAGTCTCGCTCCATCAACTTCAAGCTTGTGTCTACCCTTCTCTCTCACACTGTTCCCCGGCTATACCCTCTAGTAGCTGATGATGGCCTGTCTATCAAACCAAAAATTGTTTCTTTGCTAAACAACTTGGTTGGCTTGAATCATGTCTTGAACTGTTTATCTCTATTGAATGCCAGCTTTCTGGACGATTCTTGCAACCCTGATAGCTCGTTTGTTTTGATGAGCTCCTACTTGGACATCATACTGCTGATTATAGAAGAATCAAATGACCATCTAGTATCCAGCTATTTGCACAGTCAAAAATACTCAAATCAATCAACCTATAATTTAACGTTTAACGAAATTAAGTCCATTTTTTTTGGTTCCAGATTATTCCAAATAGTCAACAATTCGGTTATGATATGTGAAAGGCGCAATAGACATATCCTGATTAACAACCTAGCGATATTTCATGATGTAGAACTGTTTTTAAAAACTTTTTTGATCAACCAAATGCACTACTTAATGACAAACCAAGTTAATTTTAATTTAAATAACAATTATTCAAATTTGGTTCAATCTTTTCTTTATTTGCATCCAGTGGCTTCATCCATATTATTTGACAACATGCTAATTAGCAATGTAAACAATTTAAACTCATTTATTAATTACTACAATAAAATCACTTTAAATCAAAAAATGAGCTTAAATTATCTTTTGCCATATCTTTTCAAAACTTATCCTACCTCTCCAATCCCATTAATTTACTTTTTTCACAAGTTCAGTCTCAACAATCATTCAGTAATTGTTCCTTCCATTTTTGACAACTTATTAAACAATTCCCTTCATTCTCAAATCATTATTTTTACTTCATTTGTATTAAATTCAAAATCATCCAATAATCATCTTCAATTGTTTTCAGACATTATTCAATCTTATTGGGCTGATCCTAATTTTATCAAAAAGCTGTCTTTGATTAACCAAGAAATCTTAGCAAGATTTTTGTTGGTATTTTTAAATTTTTTCAAAATTTCAATTAAACTAGACATTCAGAATAATAACGATTTAAATTTATTTTTCTTTTTAAAACACTTTTTATTAAATCAAAATCTACTTTTCTCAGTAAATGAAAGGCTCAATTTACCCAACGAAAAACTTAGATTTCTTGGTATGATAATAATACAAGAAATTTCATCTATTATTTCAAACACCATTTCACAAAATACTATCGACTCTACTCTTGATGAGGATTTTGTCTCAATCGATTTCCACATTAATCAATTAATTTCCTATAAAACAGAATTACTAAATTTTAACAAAGGTATTTATCAAAAGGACTTATCTCAAGATTTTAATATCTTCACAAATGATTTATTGAATAATAAATATTACAAGAATATTGATAGCGATCAGTTTATTTTAAATTATATAACTAGTAAAAATCCTCGAAATATCGAAAATCAACTGCAAACCCAACTTGAAACTAAACTGGAAACTCAAGCTCTTAATCTTGAAAAACTATCACTAAATAACAATTCATCAATCACTCCTCAAAAATCTTACAATTATTTTGATTCGGATGATGAAGACCTCAACGATGCTGAATACAATTCTGATGACTATGATGACCCTTCTATCATCATAAATAAAAATTCAAAACCAATGAAGCCCGTTTATATAAAAGATTTGATTTCATATTTAAACGACGATTCTTCTCTAGAAAAACGAAGGATTGCTTTAAAGGAATGTGCCAACTTGTTGAGATTTAAGAATCAATTTTCAGATGAAATCAATTTTTATTCTGTTCAGTTAGCTAGACTGCTAATGAATTTGACCTCGGACAAATTTAATTTGAATAAAGAAAATGAAAACGATGTTGATGTTGATGTTGATAAAGGGTTTAACTTTGAGGAACTAAGACTAAAATCTTTAGTATCTTGCATAATTTCAAATGTTGAACAGGTCCCAGAAGTATTAATAAAACTAATTTTCACTGGTGATTTTTCTATTCAGCAAAGAATATCTATACTAAGTTCTCTTAGTTTAGCAGCAAGAGAATTGAGAGGTTTTAATGATAATGTTGCCTATAACTCCAACACAATAAAAAGTTATTTTCCAACAAAAACTTTACCAAAGCATCTTCATGATCAATTCTTGTTATTAGATGAAGATTATCGTTTAAAAAATAACCCTTCTCAAAACCTTTTGCCCTTAAATTCTGGTGTTGAAATTTTATCAGCAAAAGTCTCTGACGACCTTATGATTTCTGGTCAGAAAAGGGTCAAAGATGAGTTAATCAAACAAAGCTACAGCTCTGAAACTGATAATACTATGTTGAAAGAGGTGGGAAAAGTCTTAAGAGTATCGTCAGTTTTACAAAAGAAAAATAATTTGGAAAACAAATTCAATCTACACCATTTATCAAACATCACTGATAAATACTCAAAAATTGCGGGAAAATACTTTTTTTTCCCATTAATCGGTTTATCCTTCAATGTCTTTAAAAACGTTAAACTACACTCAAAACTTGATACTTTTTCTGTATTATTTACAAGTCAGTTAGTAAAGACTTTAGGCTTACTTTTGCATGCGTCTTATCCCAAAAGTACCGATCTCCAAGAAATGATAAAAGAACTTTTTGATGTATTAAATTTATTAAAATTCGTGGCTCAAAATGACACAATTCTAGAAGCTCATTTATTTTGCTTATCCATTATATTAGAAAATACAAATGAAGATATTTTGGTTAAAAACCATTCCAAAGTTTTATTAAACTATAAAGACTGGTTGGAACACAAAATCAAAGACACAATTAAGGATGATAAAATCAATTTACTATTTTTTAATTGTTTGGTTTATATAAATAATTTAATTGAAAAGTACAAAGTTTCTTTTTTGATACAAATTTGAATTACCATAAATATTTACTAAATTATATATCAGTTTAATGAGATTTGTAACTATTCTAGTGATAGACTTTTTTCATTAACCAAAGTTATTTTTTTAATTTTGTCAATTTCTGCTTTTTTTTTTCAAGCTTCTTCTTCTTTTGCTGCAAAATAGATTTTTTAGATTCCTTTTTCTCATTGCTGTAATGCATTTTGTCATATAGTTTTCTATGCTTTCTGGACATCATTATTTTAGCCAATTCCTTGCCTTCTTTATCTTCTTTGCTTTGCGAAACAGATAATTTTCTTTTTCTCGAGTTTTGTTGTTTCTTCTTTCCTTGTTCCTGTTGCAAGCTTTTAGCATCTGAATATTTCACCCCTTTCAATTCCAACTCTAATTCCTTTTGTTGTGCCAACTCTTCATCATCACTCTCATCGTCATCTTCGCTTTCACTTTCATCATTGTCGTCTTCCTCAACAACTTGATTTTTTTTCGATTCCTTTCCGTTAATCTTCTTTGAATCTTCTTCAGCTTCAATCTCATCTTCTGATTTTGATTCTGATTCTTCAGCAGCTTCATCTATATTTTTACTTTCATCTCCATCTAGAGGGTTTTCTGGATTATATCCAGCAGAATCACCCCATGGCGATAAATGAGGTGGCAATGTCTCACCGGGTGCATAATCACTTACTGGCAATAATTTACTTTTATTGATGGAATCAAAGACCCATTGTGGTTGTATATATGTTCTTCCAATGACTTTATTAAATACTGGTCTGTCAACAATTTGATGAGTAATTTTTTGATTGATTTCCAAGTTCTTTTTATCTTTTTCAGATAACTGATTGTAGACAATTTCAGATACGATTTTTCCTCCACAGGATAGAATTAAAAACTCTAAAACATCAATGGGAACCTCTCTTCCTACAAAAAATATTTTATTCTCAAATAAATTTGATAATGCATCACCAGAATTGGATGGTTGAATCAATGTATCTCCACCTTCTTTAACAGGTTCAAAAGTGTCCAATCTATCAGGATCTGGTTCGGCTTCTTCGGCTTCTTCGGCTTCTTCAGTGTTATTCGGCTTATCGTTGGATTCTTCGGTTATATTAGAATTGGATTTTGGAATTGGATTTTCTAATTCCAAGATGAATGATGATAATCCACCAATTGTTTTTGTTTTGAAACCATCTAATTTTGGAGGAAAAACCAAACCATTGTCTGTATAAAGTTTAAACAATATAAAATTCAATAAAGTGATGTAGAATTCTAAAAATGTTGACATAATTCGAAAATCAATATCAGAAGGTATATTTTGAGGAAACTTATATGGGGATAACCATAAGATGTTTTGTCCTTTTATGTTTGCTTGATAATATATACCTTTAATTGAAACAAATACTTTTTTCAAGCATCTTTCTCTTGCAACAAATGTAAGCCATTGATTACAAATTGTTTCACAATTATTGATTATTTGATTAGTTACTTTATTAGTTGGTGGCATATTAGCAAACAAAAAGAGCATGTTTAGAGGATCATCCAAGTCTCTTAAAGCATCAAGAAAAGTTGGATATCTTTCTTTTATTATGTGGTCTAGTTTATATTTTGGCTTGTTATCGTTCAATCTTTTAGCATCACTTATTTCACCTCTTGTAATTGCCCTAGATAGCTTTTTAGAAAATGTTTTGTGATTTCTAAATTTTGCTAACACTGGTTCATGTAAGAGATATTGAATATCTTTAGAATAATAAAATGTGACAGGTTTGGTTGAGCCTTTATTAGCTTTTCTTTTGTTACGAGGTTCTCTTGGATAAATACCTTTAAAAATACATAATCTTCGGAAATCTGCTAATGAGACTTGAAGCTTCTTAATAGCTTGAGTTCGAGTAACAAAGTTCTTTGCATTACCGGTCTTGAACTTCTTTCTGATTTTTCCCATTATGATGACAAAGATAATTGAGTTGATTCAAATGTTGCAAAATTCAAAACTAGAATAAGATTCAAATATGAAAAATATAATTTGAATAAAAATATTCTGCTGAAAAATATTTCACTAAAAAAAATTTTTTCAATCAGAAATCCGGTGCACGGATCGATAAATCCTGGGCTCTTTTTAGAAATAATCCATATAATTTTCATTTATTATAACCAGTATACAGAACTATATTTAATAAAAATAAGATGAAAAAAACTGAAAACTGAAAATTAGAAACTAAAAATTGAAAACTGGATTGACCTAGTCAAAAGGTGAAGCTGGATGACTTCCATTTTTCAAGTTTGTAAATAAAATTCAAAATAACAAAAAATGGACAAGATATAGAAGAGAAGAGAAGAGAAGAGAAGAGAATAAAATAGAATAAAATAGAATAAAATAGAGTGAGACAGAACAGAACGTAACAGAACAAGATGAAAGATAAGAGAAAAACATAGAATGTACAGATTAAGTTAGGGTGCCATTCAGTGGAAAATACAATAAAATGGAAGAAAAAAAAAAAAAATTGCATTTAGATTTATTTGCGACGAGATCTATGGGAGTAAGAACTTGAAGGGTAAGACTTCAAAAGAGAAGATTTGTTTTTTTGATGCGAAGAAGAGATGGATGAACTTGCAGGTTTTGATTTTGATTTTGATTTTGATTTTTGAGAGGATGAGGAATGATTTGAAATGGTTTTGTTAATCAGCAGATTTAAACCAGAACCACCATTATGATAATTCAAGCTCCCCTTTAACAATTCAAAGCCACAAACCAAGTTACTATTTACATTCATGACAGCACCCCAATTTTGAAATTCACCACAATAGTTTGGAGCCGAAAAGATAGTTACCAATTTCTTTTTATGAAAAAATTCATAACCATCTTCAACTACCATATGACCTCTAACAATTAAGTCAAAGTTAAATTTGTTTAGAAAAGTATCAACGGCTCTCTTTGAGAAAAAATAAGAAATACCTCTGTCATTTGGAGCCCAATCAGGAATTTTGTTAATTTCTTGATTTCTGTTTTTTTCATTGTTGAAAATCAAAGATTTAGAAGAAGAGTAAGCCGGATTAGGATCAGACCATAATAAATCACTTAGTAGGCCATTTTCTGGGATGTCAGTTGGCCTTAAAATCTTTTTAATGTCATTCAAGTTATTTAAATTTGGAGATAAACCTCCATGAATACAGAAGATTTTGTTATTGATAGTTGCAGCAATTGGTAAACAATTGAATACGTCAATAAAGTTTTTCCAAACTTTGACACCAACTCGGCGTTTACATTCATCGTAGAAGCCATAAATTCTGGTAATGTTAGCAGATTCATGATTACCTCTTAGTAAGAAAAAGTTTTCTGGGTATTTAATTTTATAAGCCAATAGTAGTAAGATTGTTTCTAAAGATTGTTTGCCTCTATCAACATAATCACCTAAAAATAAATAATTTGAATTTGGGGGGAAACCGCATAATTTGAAAATTCTTAGTAAATCGTTAAATTGACCATGAATATCTCCAACGACCTTTACGGGAGCAGACAATTGCAATAGCATTGGCTGGTTAATGAAGATTTCTCTTGATAAATTCAAGATGTAAGATATTTCTGATTTTGAGATCAAGGAGGTAAAATTTGGTTTTAGATGGGAATAAGAGTGAGAGTGAGAGTGAGAGTGAGAATGGGAATGGGAATGGGAATAAGAATGATAAGCTGGATTTGATAAATTGATTGAAATCAATTTTTCAATGATAGAATTGATATCAATTTCTGCTTGTAAAACTCTTTTATTGTATTTAGAGTTATCATTGAGATGCAAAGAAGGGGGATTGATTTGCCTATTTGAATTTAATAAAACCTTTTTGAATAAGGATTTTTGATTTGAGGCGGGAAGTGAATTGGAGCCTGAGTTGGGAAGTGAATTTAAATGGCTTGAAGACGAAGAGTTAAAAGAGTTTAAAAGATTCAAGGAATTCAAAGAGTTCAAAAAGGTTGAAGAACCCAAAGTAGAATTAGAAGATGATGTTTTGGTGGAATTAGAAGAATAGGATACAGCTGAAGAACTACAAGAGTATGTTCTGATTTGATTATTATTTGAGGTGGTTTTCTGGTGATGAGTGTTAGTACCTAGAATGGTGGACGAAAGTGACAATTTTTTCTTGAACTCATAGTTGAACAATTTGTTGATGTTGGAATTAATGGGCGAAACTGTGGGGTTGCCATTCAAAAGATGAGGTGAACCTGCAATTGAGGGAGAGGTTGATAGGGTTGAGAGTGAGCAGGATGAGATGTTGGAGCTAGATAGGCTGTTGTTGCTAACAAAAGAGGAAATGTCATCGGTATTGTTTTCATTATAGGTTTCGTTACAGGTTTCGTTATCGTTATCGTTATCGTTATCGTTATCGTTGTCGTTGTCGTTGTCGTTGTCGTTATTGGTGTTGTCGTTGGTGTATTTGATGAAGCTGGAGCCGGTTTTGTAAGGCAACACATTGCAATTGGCACGTCGAAGAGTGACGTTGGCGGCAGAAAAGGAGGGGGCAAGAGACAACCGCGACGGAGGACCGCTTTTTTCGGCGTCGTCGTCGTCGCCCTTTAGAGCATGCAGGGAGGAGGAAGCACAGGAAGGAGAAGCTGAAGCAGAGTCGACCGAGATTTCACCATTGTAAGACGGGCTATTGCGCATGTTCTGGTTGGAGAGGAAGAAGCTGAGGCAGAGCAGGAAGAGGAAGTGATAACAACGCAGAAGCTCCTTCTGCGCCAGCACAGTCCTCAACAAGTGCTGGCGATGGCGCGCGTGACTTCACCGAGACGGAGCTGCTCTCCGCTCACCCGCTGACTCAGCAATGACACATGCGGCACGTGATATCCGTAAACACACTTCACGTGTTTGGATCACGCTTGCGGATTTTTCCGTGACTGAAAAGTTGATGAAAATGGTGGTGAAAAGTATGGAGAGGAAACTGGAGAAGTGAAGAGATTCTGCCAAACGACCACAGCAAGAGCCAGTTTCTCACATTCGCCTGAAACCATGTTAAAAGCCTCGAGATCTGTTGTTTCTGCTGCTAGACTTGCTCCCAGGTTGATGCTCTTTCTGCCAGCAGGCCTGTTTTCGCTCGCTTTCTACCCATCATCCACCCTCTACCAGCCAAAGAGATACAATTCCTCCAATAGCACGGTCTCTGATACCACAGCTGTTGAGGACAGTGCTTCTGAGTTTGTTCCACAACATGATTCTTCCTCCAACTTTGATCCTTTCGAAACTGGTAATAGCTCCCAAAGTTGCAACTTCAACTCTGACAACCAAAATTTGTCTGAAAGCTCAAATCAATTAATTGATGAACTCGTTGAAGGTTTAAAACAGCTCGAAAAAACCGAAAACGCTTCTGGAATTTTCAATTTTTTAACTGCAAGTCTTAATATTCTAAGAGGTGCAACTTCTCCTTCTTATCAACATGGTTTATCCATCTATTTATCAAAGAAGTTGAGTGATAGTATAGCCTTTATATTAAAGAAAGCTGCTGATGAATCAGCAGATCCTGCTTTTGACAAAAAATTCCTTCTCAACATTAACGATATCTTGAATTATTGCATGGAACAAGATCTCATTAAACCTCCAATATTCGAACTTGTTATTGGGCTTCACATTAATGGCAATAACCCCAAAGCTGCAATCAATACTTGGGTTACATGGTTGGATTTCAAAGCTGATAAACCTTACCTTTCTGTATCGAATATCAAAGATACTGATCGTACTTATGACCCTTCCTTATTCATCAGATTATCAACCTTTATCGCTTACTTATCCAACTGTCAAATCGATCAAGTCAAACCCGATGCTCAAACCATTAAATCCCTTTTACAAATCGACAAAATTCCTTCTCGTTTTGTTTTCAATCTCCTAACTTCAAGAGGTATTATTGATAAATCAATTCTAGATTCCACAAGAAATTTGTATTTTAATTTTCAAGATGAAATCATCGATTTTGCTAAACCCGACATCTTCTCAGAAATTGATAATTTAGCTTCAAAATTCAAAGCTGATGGTATTGATAAAAAATACAACCAGTTCAAAGTGGCTGCAAAAGATCAAAAGATTGAATTGCCAGAGCTCGTTTACAGCAAATTCATGAACGCTTACTCAAAGGTTAAACAACCAGCCAAAGCACTAAGCATTTGGAATGATTTAATCCTGTCTAATATTGAATCTCCCTCAATTAACTCTTGGAACGCTTTATTAACCGCTAGCTCTTTAGAAGGATCTGTCTCTGAAAAACTCTTGAAAATTGAATCAATTTGGGAAAAATTATCTGAAAATTTTTCTCCCAATTCAGAATCATATCAAATTCTTTTGAAATTTTACGCTTCTATCAATCAAAATGAAAAAGTCGATCAAGTATTTCAAAAATTATCTTCCTCATCTTCTAGAATCCCTCTAACCAACGATATTAGAAACACCTATCTAGAGATTGTCATGAAGAAGGATTTTGCTGCATATAAAAAAATTGCCGATGAATGGATGGATTCCTTCGGTTACATTCCTCCCATTAATCTTTACAACAATGCTTTAGACTTTTATATTAAAAACAATAATTTTAACAGCGCTTCAGAATTACTTCTGGAAATGGAAAGTCTAAATGTAAAACCAAGTATCTATACCTACAATATCATAATTAAAATGATATTTAAACAAGCAGAATCAAGAGGTGAAATTGTTAACATTAAAACAATAAACAATGTTATCAAAGAAATTCATGACACAAATATTAGACTCACCTCATATCCAATGGCTTCTATACTAATTGACTTGTCCTCAAATGAAGCAACACTTGAGATCTCCAGAAAATTTTTTGAGTACATAAAAGATCGTAATATTAGCCTCAATCCTCGTATGATTCAATCCAGGTTGAAAAGTGAAGTGCTGTATGGTGATATGGAAACAGCTGAAGAATGTTTCAAAGAATTTGACAAAGTGAAATCTCCCATTGGCCCTTTTTCCTGGAATTTGTTATTAAGTGGTTTTAGAAACCATGATGACCCAGAAAAAGTCAAAGAATATTACCAAAAATTTCTCGACTATTCCATAACCAAACCGGATTCCTTCACTTACCTATTTGTCTTTTCAGCGTATCTAAATCACCATCAAAAATACAGAAAAGAAATCGAAGAGCTAATTGATGAAATGTCGAAACCTTCATTCAAAACTTTCATTGGACAAATGGTGGTGAATCTCCAACGGTGCCAAAAACTAGGCTTTGATGTGCCCGATGCGTTAATCGACAAAGCTTCTCATTCCTCTCAGCGTAAATGAGCTCCTCTGTTGAATGAAAGGTCTTCATCAATGGCCATTTAAATATTCGTTGTATATAGCATTTCCTTTATAATGTTTAATTGAGCTTTAAAAGTCTTTTCAACTGCTTCACAGTTTTTTTACGATTTTTCGTGTTTCGAAATCGAAACGCGTGTTTACTTTTTTGTGGCCAAAAGAGGAAATGCATTGTTTTGAATACTTTGAAATTTTAGATCCATAATCATACTCTTGATGTGCTTTGGCTATTGAGCGTCACTCTCATCTTTCCTATCATCCTCAACAGCACACTCTAGATTATTACAAAATGCCAAATTCCAGAAAAAGACAGGCTTCTCATCTTGACGATGAAAATGATGAAGATGCAATTCCCATTCTCTCATCTCCAGGATCTCCTAACGATGTTTATCAAATTAATAACTTACCGCCATCTTCTCCTGGTTTTCCACTTGAAGAAGATGATAGAGAAATAGTTGATGAAATCGATGATCTTGATGAAGGTGCTAACGAAGTCGATGGAGTCGATTTATTTGGAGACAATATGTTTAGAGATTATAAAAAGCTTGATAAGTTTGACCATTATGACTCCAGCCAAATAGATGACAATGACTATGGGGATGTTGACTTAGATATAGGTGGAAGAAGAGAGGTTGATGATCTTTTAAATAAAAGAGATAGATTTTTGCAAAAAGATTCCCTTCGAAATCATGGCGCTTTTTTAGATGACGAAGATGACGAATTTGCCTTTGATGATTTAGATCAAAACCGTCTACCAAGACAGCAAAGAAGAAGAAGATTTGACCACGAAAATCTAGGAATGTTAAGTGATAATGAAATTGACGAAGATCCATTAACATATGAATTGAATCTTGAAGAATTAAGTGAAATCAAGGCTCCCAGTATAAGAGAATGGATCTTATCTCCACCTGTTCAAAGATCTATTTCAAGAGAATTGAGATCATTTTTACTTGAATATACAGATGAAAAAGGTCGTTCTTATTATGGTTCAAAAATTAAGTTATTAGGAGAGATAAACTCAGAGTCGTTGGAAGTCAATTATCAACATCTAATCAACTCAAAACCGATTTTGGCATTTTTTTTAAGTACATCTCCCGAAGAAATTATTACACTTTTTGATCAAGTTGCTATAGAATGTGTTCAATTACATTACTCTGAATATGCCCAGATTCATAGTGATATTCATGTTAGAATCACGAATTTCTCTCCAAATCTTTTTAATTTGAGAGAACTAAGAGAAAACCATTTAAATTCTTTAGTAAAAGTTTCGGGGGTAGTCACAAGAAGAACAGGTGTTTTTCCTCAGTTAAAGCATGTCAAGTTTGATTGTAGTAAATGTGGTGTTGTTTTAGGACCATACTACCAAGGCTCTAATCAAGAGGTTAAAGTCTCTTTTTGCAGTAATTGCCATTCAAGAGGACCATTTAAAATGAATTCTGAGGTTACCACGTATAGTAACTATCAACAAATTACTATTCAGGAGCCTCCTGGTACAGTTCCAGCTGGCAGATTGCCTCGTCATAAAGACGTTATTTTGTTGTGGGATTTGGTAGATATGGCAAAACCTGGTCAGTTGGTCTCTGTTACTGGGATTTACAAAAATAGTTACAACGGTTATCTAAATGCTAAGAATGGGTTCCCAGTCTTTGCAACTGTTATAGAAGCCAATTCAATACAGGTTGAGGGCAGCAGCTCTAACTTATTTGAAGAACGAAATAACTATGATAACTCGGTATTAGATAAAAATTTGAATATTTACAGATACTCTGAGGAAGAAGAAAGCTTATTTAGAAAGATATCAAAAGAAAGAGGAATTGTCGATAAACTTATCAATTCGATTGCACCATCTATTTATGGTCACCGAAACATTAAAACTGCTATTGCTTGCTCACTATTTGGTGGAGTTCCTAAAGATGTCAACGGCAAACATTCCATTCGTGGTGATATTAATGTGTTGGTTTTAGGAGACCCTGGTACTGCAAAGTCTCAAATTCTTAAATATGTTGAAAAAACTGCTTATCGAGCTGTTTATTCCACTGGTCAAGGAGCTTCTGGGGTTGGTTTGACAGCCTCTGTTAGAAAAGACCCAGTAACAAATGAATGGACATTAGAGGGTGGTGCTCTTGTTTTAGCCGATAAAGGAACCTGTATTATTGATGAATTTGATAAAATGCACGATCGTGATAGAACATCTATTCATGAAGCTATGGAGCAACAAAGTATCTCTATTTCTAAAGCTGGTATTGTTACTACATTACAGGCAAGATGTGCAGTGATAGCCGCTGCTAATCCAATTGGTGGAAAATACAATAGCACTATGCCTCTATCTCAAAATGTTGACTTAACAGAGCCAATCTTGTCAAGATTTGACATTATATGCATTGTAAGGGATTTAGTTGATCCTGTTGAAGATGAAAGATTAGCAAAGTTTGTAATTGATTCTCATTTCAAGTCTCTTATGGCTGCCTCTAAAACTAGAGACTCGGAAGAAATTGAAGATAATTCTGAAATGTCCCAAGCCTCAGATGTATCTAACAATCATGGAACGATCGAACAGGATGTTTTAACAAAATATATTCATTATTCCAAAAGAATAAAACCAAAATTAAATCAAATGGATATGCAAAAGGTTTCTCAGGTTTATGCTGATTTAAGAAAACAGTCAATAGGAACAGGCAGTATGGCAATAACGGTTAGACATTTAGAGGCTATTTTGAGAATTTCAGAATCATTTGCTAGAATGAGATTAAGTGAGTTTGTGAGTAGTAGTGATTTGGATAGAGCGATCAAGGTTTCAGTTGATAGTTTTATTGGCACCCAAAAATTATCGGTGAGAAGGCAATTGCAAAAAGTTTTTATGAAATATACTCTTCCAAGAAGAAATTAGATTTTTCTACAAATTTATTTCTTCTATTAATTTATTTTTACTATTGTTATTATTTTCATTATATCCATTATTTTCATTGTATCCGTTATTTCTATTGTATCCATTGTTTCTATTATTTCTATTTTATAAAACCCTATACCACATAACATAAAATCACTGAATCTCAGAAGAACTTTTAATAAACAGTTAATTTGAACAAACGGAAACTATGCTTTCACATTATATTCATAGTTGTTGAATTCATTTAGATAATAAACAACCCCTGAAATTGTTTTGTCAATGATTAGTTTTCCATCATTCACAGCAATTTCCAAAATTTCTTCCAATACACCAATACTTAATTTAAAATGAGAGGATAACATTTGTATGTTGCACCCGCATTTGAAGTCATTTTCAGTGTTGATAATGTTGATATAAAGTTCTGAGAGGACATTGATTTGATCAAACGATTTAAGATAATCATTATTTGAAAATGAAAGTTGATAATCTGTTTCCATCCAGAGCAATATATTTTGGAGAATTATGTCATCTGTCATTTTAGAATCTTGGATTACCAACAAATTTGTTTTTGAAAACTCTTTTAAAATTAAGGGCAATTGAAGTGAAGAAAATCTTTTACATGCTTCAAGTAAATCTTCAGGTGAAATTAAGTTATTATTAAAACCTAAAGAACGATTGTAAAGAGCATATAGATCAGATAAAGTTAAAATTCCGCCAGAATAAATATTTTCCTCAAATTGGTTGAAATTATAGGAGTTATCAGATTTAAAAATATGATTATTTAGAAAGCTGGAAATATTCCTGGCCAATTCATTATAGTACAATTCTTTATTATTTAATTTGTTTAAAAAATTAAAATTATTTGTCATAATAAAATCACTAATATTGTTTGTTTCAGTATTTGGGTTTAATCCTAATAATTGTCTTGATTGTATTATAGAATCCGTTGCATTTGAGACAACCTTATCATCTGTATTTTTATATTTATTCAAGTAGTCATTAAATTTATCGGCTAACACCATTAGGTCTTTTGCTTTCTTCATAAGTGAATCCAAGTCAGACATGGAAGTATTCAAAATATTGACATTATACTCGGCTCTCTCTGTTTGTTTTTTCTCTAACCCTAAAATTCCTAAATTAGGCTGTGACCTGGACGTTTCTTTGTAATCTTTCAGATCAAATTTAAGAACTGATTTGACATCATGATTTAAATCAGCGCTTTCCATCAATTTTGATAAATTTTGCTCATCGATTAAAACTTGTAATTTATTTAAAAAGTTTTTAAAATCGTCATATTTCAGTAGATTTCTGAAACTTAACTTGATATATTTTTGCAACAAAGAAGATAATCCGTCGTCAAATTCTGTTTTAATTTTTATTTTAGAAGGTTTATTAATATTAGAATATCTAAAATTGTAGTTTTTGACAGTATTGGAAGAAATGTTTGAAGATTTTAGCTTTTCCCCACAAATTTCACAATTCAACATTAAAGGATAATTTAAGAAGGTGCATCTTGGACATTTAATTTCTTTTAGCTCTGTACCTGTAGGCTGTTTTGGGGTTGAAAGTTTATTTTTGGGAAGTAGATTTCCATTTTTATTATTTTTAGCTTTAAATTTTTTGATTGCATTTACTATTGTGTTTTTCTTTGACTTGATTCCACAATTTTGACAGTTTGGTAATTTTTTGAAATCAAAATCATTGACTAGTATTTTATCAAAATTAAACGATGAGTTATTTATATGGTTAGCAAAATAACATATTGAACAAACCCATATTGTCTCGTCAGATTCTTTGAGTTGGTTTGGCAGAAACTCAATTTTGTTTTTGAAGGAAGAATACAGGTTAGAATGATTGTAGCTGCTTAAATTTGTTTTGGAGGAAGGCGCAGAAACATTTCTTGTATGATCTTTAAACCAGATGGTAATTTTAGGAGAGGATTTAAGAAAGCCGGAATAAAACTCCAAATGATCGATGTCAAAGAGCGATATAGACAAGGAGTTGTCCTCAGGAAGAATGTTATCCACATAAATCAATCTTGAGGATGTCAAGTAAACTCTGCCATTCTGTCGACCTAGTATCTTTGCTTTGCCCTGATACAAGCCAATGGAGTCCTGGACGAGATAAATAAACTCATCCTTCTGTGTAACAGGAGTGTGGGAAGATGTTATATCTACCTGTTGCCAAAAGGATAATGCAGACATGTGTCGTGTGGTGGCATCAAAGGTCTATTGTTACCAGTATCAATATCAGTATCAGTATCAGTATTTTTTATGGTGATACCAAAGCCTTTTGTTGAAGAACTGGCGATAAGAGCTAATTGGCAGATCACGTTTTAATGGATGTGTTTAGCAGAAAACCTCTGAATTTGCAGGGAATTCTGGCAGTGGAATTGTTTAAGTGAACAATCTATTGCATTTCTACATTCTGATTGATTTCAGATATAAAGCAGAGAGGATCATCAGCTCCCAAAAAATAAACTAATCATTAATTATGATATTGAATTTGAAAGAATCCACCGTAAAAAGAAATAAAAATATTGAACAAAAACATAAAACAGTAAAAAACACTCAAAAGCAGATGAATAAGAATTTTTTTAAAGAAATTTTCGCACCAAAATATCATGAAATGAAAAAAAAAAAGAAACAAATAAATAAATATGAACAAATTGATGATGAAGGTAATCAAAGTTGAACCAAGGATGAAGAATGAAATTATGAAGAAAAACAATGAGACATTGAAACAAAGAAGAAAAGAAGGAAAGAAAAAAAAATTAAACAAAAAGTTCCAAAAAGATAAAGCTTGGAACTGAAATAATTAAAATGACCAAAACAATTAAGATAAATGAATAAAAACTTGAGATATTTCTCACATGCCTTGCTCTTTCGTATCTATTATCGAAAGTAATTGAATGGTAATATTTGGGATAATTTTGAAGAAAGTTTTCATTTGTATAATCATTTGAAAAACAAACATAGGATAGAATCATTAAAATTTTGATCAATTCTGGGTTATCACCAGTATTTGGTTTATTTAGTCTTAAGGCCTTTTTTTTCAATTTTTCCGTTGAGTACACAAGGTTTTTGCTAGATTCTCTTTTATGCCTGGAGCCAGAATTTTTCTTTTTTCTTAATTTTTTATGAGTAATAGAATTATCGTTTTTTCTTCTATTGCCATTTGAATTTAAACTGTTATCAATTTTGAACATATTTTGGTGAGAATTGTCGGTGTCTCTAATTTGATTTGGATCTGTACCGTTAAACAAGACAGCATTTCTGTTATTTTGAATTGAAAATGGATCGCCTTTATCAGATTTATTAATAATCTGAACTTCGAAATCGTTATTATCGTTGCTATCGTTAAGTGAATTACTTACACTATCAGGAAATATACCATTTAAATAATTGCTTATTCTTAAATTTTGAGCGCTTTCACTTCTTTTGATTTTTTCAGTTTCTAATTTGTTGAGTATTGGAGGCTGTTTATTATCAAATTTGTTGATATCAACAGTGGGATTGAAACTAACTCTTCTTGAGGAATCTACAGATGAATTTCTCCTGGATCTTCCAGGAGTTTTCATAGATGATCTTCTGATTAGCTTTGGTCGTTCGGGTAGTTCCTCTTTACTGATTGTATTTGATTCGGGCTGAGTGGAACTACTCAGCTTTTTGATGTGGCTATTATAGGAAGTATTTGATCTAAAGACATCGCTGAGACTATGATTACTGGGGTTATTGGTGTTGGTATTGATTGAAAGATCATCGTTGTTGTTGTTATTGGTTTCAAAAGAGTTCAGGGTTTTCTGATAGGAGGGTAAAGTATCGAGGGTCTTTGATTTGTATATGGGGACTTTTGCTCGTTCAATCTTTGGGGGCAGCTGCAATTGTTTCAAAGGTGACAATAAAGATGGATTCAAAGGATCCATAATCTTAGATTGTAATTGTTGTTGGAGGGTGGGTTGCTGGAGGTTAGTATTGTTTGACGTTGAAAATTCAGGTAAAGAGGCATAAACAGATGTCTTAGGATAAGATATTTTCCCATGATAAGGTTTTTTGTTAAGGTATTTTCTCTTTATTGCTTCATAGTTTGCTGAAGTATTGTCTGAATCAGATAAAGAATTGGATAGTGAGTAGCCCTTTGAAATGCTTGTGTCCTGGGATTCAAAGTGGTTGTAGTTCTTCAAATCAGATGATTGTGGGAGTGGCAGGACTCTAGTCTCTTCATACAGCATTTCCATTAATATTCTGGGAATTTATATAAAAACAACTTACAAAATAAGTGATACCTATTTAAACTGATTCCAGCCAGAAGTTAACCTCATTCTCACTAAAAAACACCACCAGCAAAACCGAACCTTAAGGAACCCTAACAAAGCTGGATAGACGAATTGGAGCTGCGACGAGTTTGCGTCTGACTCCACCACACCTGGACCGCTCGGCCTCCTGTTTTGGGTCTGCCGCGCTACGGCCGGAGAAGGTCCTCGAGCTGCGCATGCTGCACGTGCTGCAATTGCCGAAGCGGTGGTGAGCACGTTCGGCTGCTGAGATGTGCAGGAGACCCACAGTGCTGGTTCAGATTTAGGAGCTTGTCCAAAAAGTCCAGGTCTGGTTGTTGTGGAAGCGCACCAGCCCCAAGCAGGCTTGTAGTGCTGGTGCTTCTGTTGCTTGTGGGACGCTCACCGGCGACGTTCACATTCAACAAATCCTTCAAGTCCTGCTCAAAGTTCTCGTGTTTCCTGGCTTTCTGCGAACTGGCCAAGGACTCGCTGATTAGCAAATCGATCTGCTCTCTGTCCCTTTTTTCGTTGGAGTCATCTTTAACCAATATTTTGGATTTCGAATCAAGTCTCATCACTTTACCATTTGACTTGTTTCTTGACCTGAACACTAATTCAGAACTTCTACTGTCCACAGGCGAGAACTTCTTCTTGAGATCGTCGAGAAGCTTTTGTCTTTTTATTTTTTCTTGTAGTTGTGCAAAGTGCTCTTCCTCTTCTTTCGATAAAACAGTGTGGGTATCGTTCGCTTTCTTCTGGTTAGAACCATAAGAGTCAAATTTTGCTTTGTTTATTTGGTTTCGTTTTTCATATTTGTTTGGTTTTTTGCCCACTATTTGAGATTTAATCGTCGAGTCTCCTTCAACTTTTGTCTGGATTTTGGATTTAGCCAAAGAAAGATAGTGAAGTGATTCTTCAAGATCATCTTCTTCAAAAGGGATATCTCTGTTATCAACTTCATTATCAAGATCGTTATTAACTTCAGTGCCAGACTTGTTGTCAGAATCATGATTAGATTGATTATCAGATTGATTATCGTTTGTTTGCTCCTCATCTGCATTGTTTATATCGTTCGCTTGATTGTTGGCATTAGATTCTTTATTTGAGTTTTCATTCAGTAATGCTTTCTTCTTCTTTGCCAAATACCTTCTCTTTGCCTTTTTATCCCATTTATTGTTGTGTAAAACCATCTTCACTAAAATTTACTATTTTAAATGAGGATTATATTAACCGCATTAAAAGTAAATTCGGCTGATTTCAAGAAAACCCAAAATGGAATGAAACAATATAAAAAAAACACAATATTCCGCTTTTTCACGGGATACTATCACTTTAATCGCTTTCTACCAGGCGATATGTATCATTTGTAAAAAAGTTGTTAATTATCAGACAGTTAAAATCTATAATACCAGTAAGAAATTAGAATAATAAAAAGTTATATATGAAATCTAGCACCAGTTATTTAGTAATATATAGGAAATTTAATCTAGTAAAACAAAAAAGCGAAACCTGAATGTGAAACAAAAAATCATGAAAATGCTAAAAACTAAGTCATTAAAAGAACAGAGATAACAAAGCAAAAAATAAAATAAAATAAAATAAAATCATTAAGCAAAATTAAAAGCCATCATCGATATTATCCAAATCCCTGAAGTTATCATTTTCAGATCCAATGTTTATATCATTTTGAAGATCGGTTTCATTACGACCTTTATTTCCATCAGCGTTATTTTTGTTTTCAAATTGATTTTTGAAATGTTTTGAGATTTTTGAGTTCTTGTCGGTTAAAATATAATTATTATTGAATTCTAGTTTATCTTCAAATTCAGTGTACTTTTCGATTAAGCTATCGTTAATAAGTTTGCTATTTTCACAAGGAACATCGGAATCATTTATCAAGTCACTAAAGTCAATGGTAATATTTTTAGAAGTATTTTCATCTTTCATATTTATTGAGCTATTTAACTGATATGATGCCTGCTTGATTGAATTTGGAATTTGAATTGCTTCGCAATATTTTGTTTTGCAAGTTTTCAAACTTTCAGTTAAGGACCATTCATTATCAATCTCAGTGCTATCTACAGTACTAGCACTAATAACTTTATGGGTTGGTTCTTGAATTAAGTTCATTTTTGAGTGAAGGTTATTATTTAATAAAAAGGATGAAGATAGTGGGTTGTCACTAGCATAAGCATTAAAAGAAATCGAATTGATATTAGAATTAAAAAAATTTTGAGGAAGGAGAGGGAGGGGAAGAGCAGGAGAAGATAGTTTAAATTGGTTAATATTTTCATCATTGTTTAAATGTTTTTGAATATGTTTTGTATTTAATTTTTGTTTTCTCTTGATGTTTTTTGATTTTGAAAAGAGACCAGATATGAAGTTTTCGCCATTTCTACGACGAGAGGTTGTATTTTGAGAGATGATATTTGATTGGTCAGGTAATTTTGAGGATAAATTCAAGCTTCTTTTAAGGTGAAGAGATCTTTTTTTTGATTTTGGATCGATTGATTCGCGTTTAATACCGGCAAATAGTTCTGATTTATTCAAAAAATCTGATTTATTTTCAATGGTAGCAATGGGAGTTCTTTTTAGAATAGTTATTGGAAGATGGTTTAATTGAGAAGGGGCGTTGATGCTGGATGAGGAAGAATTGGGGTCGACAATTGTGTTTTTGAAATAGGGCATTGAGGATAAAGTATGGACATCAGCACGAGTGGTTGGGTCCCAAGTTAAGCAGGACTGGATGACATGAGATAAGTCAGATAAATCGGGTCTTTGTAAAATGTTTTGTAGGAGGATACCTTTAGTGTAAGGTAATCTTAGGCCAAGTCTTGAAGCTAGGGATTGAGCATCATTCCAAAGACCGCCTATAGGGAGATTTATTTGATTTTGGTATTGATTTTGATTTTGATATTGATTATCGTATTGATTATCATTAAGATTTTCATTATTGATGCTGTTTTGATTTTCATTGTTGGTGTCATTTGAAGATAAAAAGGGAGAGCCTAGAGTTTGTAAAAGTCTCCAAATCTGGTCCAATTCGTTAATGCCAGGAAATAAGGGTTTGAAAGTGACGATTTCGCAAGCAACAGCGCCAAAAGCCCAAATGTCGACAGGAGTGGAGTAATGTCTTTGACGTAATAAGATTTCTGGAGATCGATACCATCTTGTTGATACATAAGCAGTGTAAGGATTTGTGTTTTGAATATGGCGAGCTAGGCCGTAGTCAGCTAATTTGATGATATAAGGATGCTTGTAGGAAAGGTTTTGTGTATATGAGTTGTGGTATAATTTGGAGGGCATGACTAGGATATTTTCAGGTTTGACATCTCTGTGAAAATATTTATTTTGGTGGATATGTTTTATAGCGGCTAAAATTTGAGATAGGATTGACTTGATAGTATTTAGCGAGAAGAAGTTATTTTTTCTAATTCTCATCAACTCGTATAAATTTTGATCCATTGACTCCATCACTATATGTAATTTGAAGGAGGAGTTATCAATGAAGCACTCATGAACAAAAACCAGATTAGGATGCGACGGAATAGATAGGATGAAGATCAATTCCTTGACATTGATGTAGTCATTCAAGAGGCTCAAGCGCTTTTTCATTGTTTTGATTGCTACTAAAGGTTTTGATAGGTCGTTGATGTTTGGAATTGGGTTCATTAAAGTGTTTGAGATATTTAGGAAATTAGATAGATAGGATAGGTTGTTGTTGACATAGTTGTTTCTCATTTTTGCAGAGACAACAGAGCCAAAGCTTCCCTTTCCAAGTTCAGAGATTATCTGGTAGTTGTCCGAGAGGGACTTCAAGGGCAAGACATTGGGAGGATTGTTGATGTCTGGAGGCAATTGAGGCAAAAGGTCTTTGTTGTAGGTGGAGTGGGTCTCATTGTGAGTGGTGGAGGTGTTGTTGATGTTTTGGTGGTTTTGCATTTTGATAGGGCCTGAGGAGAGAAGGATGAATTGGGAGGCAAGAGGAAAGGAAAAGAAGAGAAGAAGAAGAGCAGAACAGAGCAGAGCCTGGCCGACACAAAACAACAGCTCGGAACGACGCGCAGGGTTCGTGCTGCATCTGCTGCGTCTGCTTCCGCCTCCGCTACTGCATCTTCCTCTCCATCCGCACCCGCTCCATTGCATGGAAGACCTTCGCCTGCAAAAAAGGACTGCTGCTGTTGCTATGGAACAAGAACCGAAACTTCTCGTGCACCTTCGGCAGCAGCACCTCTTCGCGCCCCACACCTAAGATCCGACACGCTTCTTCGAGCTCCATTGCCGGCTCTGAGCCTGGTGCTGCTGTTGCTGCTCGTCCAGCATACTCTGTCGCTATTTCTCTGTAAACCTGCGAAAACGCTGCTCCCACCACCCTCACCGATCGGAGCACGAAAATCACTATCTGTCCAGCAAACCGATGAGACTGTTCCCTCTGTTAGTATTCTGCTTGACGCTGCTGTTCTTGCTGCTTGTTCTTACCATTGTTTCTTTCTGCTGCTGTGTTGCTTACTGGGAAAAGAGCAGTTTTTTTCTTCTTGCCTTCAGCTCTTTCACGCTAAAAGCCCTACTCGACCCGTGCCCTATACGCGCTTTTCCTGCAATGAGATGCACGATTACATAGCTCATCTATTCACACTTATATAACATTAAGAACAATTAATAAAAGCATATCACAAAAAACAATATATAGAACGAAATATAAAACAAATATTCTAGTAAAATACGAAATTAAAACATAATATCAAAAACAAAACAAAGGGAAAAGAGAAAACTAAAAACTAAAAGTCAAAACATAAAATCAAAACATAAAATCAAATCAAAAATCATAAACCACAGATGAAATAAAAACTATTATTGTTCAAATTAATTTTCTCCTTTGTATAGCATACTGGAATGTATTTTCTATTTATCAGAATTCCAAAAATGAATAAAGCAATTCCGCTTCTTTAAAAAATTACTCTTCTTATTCTATTGTATCTCACCTTGTTGAAAAGATCAGTGGTGAATGTGTCTCATTTCTGCCCTCTCTATTCTTCTTGCCCATCTTCTTCTCATTTTTTTGCAACATATCAATAATTTCCTCTAATGGCTCGTCAGTCTCTTTACACATTTGTTCAACATTCAAAAACCCCAATTTTTTAATACTTTTTCCGTAAACAGAATTAATAGCAGAGATTATTGTTGATGAATGTGAAAAATCACCATATTCATCCATATTACTATCTTCACAATACATCGATGAGCTTTCATCGCTATGCTCAATAATAGTCGAATATTCCCCCTTATCTTTTCTGTCATCTTTTTTATTCAATCTTAATTCAAAATTCTCGACTTCATTCATGCTTTTCCCTTTGGCTCTTAAAGGCGCTATGTTTTTCTCAAATTGAATCTCTGATGATATAGTGTTAAATGAAAACTCAGGTCTATACTCACTTCTTTTTTCCTTACTCTCTCTATCTCCAATAATTGCGCTATCTTTTCTCCCTTTTCCTTCTTCTGATTCTTCTTCATCTAACAAAATAATCTCAATTTCTTTTCCTTCCTCATTAATCTCCTTAACACTTCGAAATTTATCAATTTTTTTATCTTTACTACCCATTGTGTTGGAATTTCTACCACTGCTCTTATCTCTACTTTTAATAGCTCTGCTTTTCCTCCTACTCCTACTCTTGCTCCTACTCTTACTCTTACTTGTTATTTTATTTCCATTACCAACTGTTTCGCAGTTACTATCATTCTTATAACAGCCATTTTCTTTTATTCTTTCAGACCCCTCTTCATTATCTGATATAATCATAATAGAAAAATCTTCAATAACTTTATCTCCACTATTTAAATTCTTATTATAATCTGATGAATTGGAATATGAGGTTTGCGAACTTCCAAGTGATCTACCTGACCCAATGGATGTTCCTTTTGACGAAATTGATAAATTACTGTCATTTTCAAATTCATTCTTATTTCCAGTATGCTTTCCACTCTTATTCCCAACCCTATGCTTGGGAGGAACTGGGGCAGATCCAATCATCGTAGAATTTCCTTCTGATAACAATGATAATTCATTATTATCAACTGATTTTTCAATAATTGGTTTACTATTAATTTTATTTTCATTTGCATTTGCATTTACATTTTTATTTTTATTTTTATTGCTTTCAGCATCTTTACTACTATTCCTACTATTCATACTATTATTAGTATTATTAGTATTAATATTAGTATTTCTGGATTGCTCTAATTTCTTGAATAATGATGACACTTCATTCAAATATTGGTTCTTTCCTAAATGTTTATTATTATTATCATTTCGATTCGGAACATTACTTGTTGATGAAGACGAAAAATTAGACACAACCCCGCTTTGACCTTGTGAAACATTCTTGTATATAGAATTAAACTGCTTGTTTGAATTATTAACAGGATATGTACCTGAATTTGCGCTGATTTGACTTTGATTTTTACCATTGAAATTATTATTAGAGTTGTTAGTTCTATTATTATTAATTGAAGGAATTAAAGGTAAACCGGCCCCATTCTCCAAGTTACCTTTAGATAGATAAGATATCTGGGTAGATGGATTTGGTCGCATGTTTTGAATTTTTTGAGGCAGTGTTCTTTGAGGCGATTGATGAACCAGATTAAACGACTGACTTATTCTTTGAGGTGATTGGGGTCGTTGAAGCGATTGGGGTCTTTGTGGTGACTGAGCTCGTTGAGGTGACTGAGCTTGTTGAGGTGATTGTAGTCTTTGAGGGGATTGGAACATTGTTTGAGATATTTGATTTAGTCTTTGAGGTGATTGAGGTCTTTGGTAAGTTTGAGGAATTCGATGAGGAGATGGTGGATTTTGGTTTATTTGCGGAACTCTTTGAGGTGACTGATTAACCCTTTGAGGTGCTTGGATTCTTTGATTAGGTTGTACGGGTTGTTGATTTACTCTCTGAGGCGATGGAGCTCTTTGATTCTGATTTTGATTGACTTGTGGAAATCTTAGAGGTGATTGGTTTAATCTTCGAGGCGATTGAGATCTCAACTGATAAGAAGAGTTGAGATTCTGGCTATTTATGAAATTTCCTGGTTTTTGATTCATCTGAGGCGAGAAAGGCTGCTTAAGAGTATTTGGGTGGATATTGTTGTTACCATTATTGGAAAATGTATAAGAGCTAGAAAGCTGTGCTCCCGGATGTTGGTTTGCTCCCACCAAGTTTTGTTTCTGAGGAGATGGATTTCTAGGTGGAATATTCGATTTATGGTTGTTCATGAGTCTTCCCCTAGGTGTAGAGGCACCAAATAGGATATTTGTACCAAATTCATCAATTTGGTGAGGTAATGGAATCGGAATATTGACGCTTTCCGACAATTGATTTGGGGTATTTTTGTTCTTCTTAAACATTTCCTTTTCTGAACGATCTGGACTGGCAATGCTGCCACAACTGTTGTATTCCAGGGAGGGCTCAGATTCAAACGCTGGAGACTGCTCAAAACAAAAGTGGTCGAAGCTGTTGATGGAAGAAAAGGAAGAAGCATTGTTAGGGTTTATATATAAATCAGAGCTACCAAACTTTTCAGACCCAACCAGGCCTGGGTTCGGGCAGGGTGAAACACTGTCACAGAGAAGGTCGAGGGCAGTGGAATGTTGTTGTTGTCTGAGGGAGAAGTTTTGCTTTTGCCTAATGGGGAATCTGCAGGTGTGTGCAAGGCCGGGCACACTTTCCAACTGAACGCCGGCTGTGCTTGGGGACGCATTGAGAGACACACTGTTGCTGACTCTGCCTCTACCATTTTTCTTGCTATTGTTCTCATCCTTTCCTGCCTCATTTGCAGTTGGCTGGCTTTCAAGCGTTGCTAGTGGTGATGCTGCTGCTGCTGCTGGTGCTTGCTGTTCATTGCTCTTTTGAAGTGTCTCCTCTGAGCAGTTTGAAATGGCTCCTTTCCCTAGAAAACTCAACATGTTCTGGATGGGGCTGTCAGTCGCTCCAAAAATGTTGTCATAACTATTATTTCCAACAAAGTCTATGCTACTTCTCCAGTTGATCTCCTCAAGTGATTTGTATCTGCCTTCTCTGAATATCAAACTTTTCCCTTTTTTGATTTTTCCAATGTTATAAGAAATAGGGAGATGGCTAATCTTGGGTGGTAAATTGATTTCCTCAGGTATTAAAATGGAGTAATTGTTTGATTTTTCTCCTGCCAGAATAAGCAGTTTTTTTTTTTTTTTAAAGGAGTTTTGTAAGGAATATGTTGAATAGTTTGAATGTGTTGAACGATTTGAAAATGCTGAATTAATTGAAGAAAATGATGAATTATTTGAATGATATGAATGATATAAATGACTGGAATGATATGAATGATTGGAATTAATTGGGGACGTTGATGGTGATTTTTTCTTTAAAGCCTTTTCATATGAATTAATGCTGCTTCTCAAATCATCATTACATAAATTCGAGTCAATATTATTGAAGTTTTGTTTAACTGAAGCGTCATCATCAATTGTATATTCAGTTCTTCCTCTCCCTGTATCCACTTTAATTGAAGTTTTTCCTTCTTTTACTTGATCTTGGAAAATTGGTGACAAATTTCTAGATTTCTTTTTCGAGTTATCATTAAAATATGTCAAGGGAAGTAAAAATTGAACTGACGAGGTAACATTACCGTTACTATTGTTATTAATATTATCCATATTATTTATATTACCTATGTTATTTATATTATCAATATTATCAATATTATCAATATTATCAATATTATCAATATTATCAATATTATCAATATTATCAATATTATCATTATTATTACTGTTTTTAAAAGAGTGGTTTGGGGGAGATGACAGATCTTTATTAGTGTTAGAATAACTAAAATTTGATGCTTTTAATGATGATTTTAAATAGAATTTTTTAGACCTCTTGTTTGTAGAATTATTGTAGTTATTCTTTAATGTATCATTCAATATATCAAGAGAAATATCCTCTAAATATTTTTTTAAACTATCACTATTTTCTTGAGCTTGTTCTCTTTTGTTTTGATCCTGAGCATTTAAACCGTTAGTTAAATCATTATCTTTTGAAAAATTTAAAGATTTTTCAAAATTAAAATCAACCTGACTATCTTTCTCAATAAATTCTTCAACTAGAGGAGACCTCAGAGAATAAATTATATTCTGATTCCGATTCTGATTCTGATTCTGATTCTGATCTTTTAACACTGGTAAGAAACTCTTAATCGGAGACGGTGAAGGCAGAGGTGAAGGAGAAAAACTTGAAGAATTAAATGAATCATTCACAGATGAATCAGAAAAATGATTTAATGCAGGCACACTTAAATAAAAGCTATCGTCATGTTCTTTTGAATTGTTTTCGGAATTATAATATGGAATTGATGCTGAAAGGTATTGCTCATGTCTAGAAGGATTTTTCTTCAAATTAAATCTGCCCATTATATTATATTATATAAATATGAATTGAAATGCAATTTAAATAAAAATGATGATGTTCGTTTTTTTGAGAATAGTGATACTAGTTAATTGAAATTGAATCTAAAGATGACTTTTCAAAAAAAATAAAAAAAAATAAAAACAATAAAAAAAAAATAATAAATAAAAGGAAATAGTCAAAAACAAATTTAGTTAAAATATTAAGATAGAAAGGGCCTTTTAGAATTGAAAAATTTATTTAATAGTACCGTTGCTTTATTATTATAACATTAATCTAAAAAAATTAATAAAAATGTATTTCTAATTATTGATAAGTATTAATTGATATGGGCTTGCTAATTGATAAACGAAATGGATTCAAAGTGTAATAAAAACATGGATGTACAAGTTATAAGTACCTTTGTTCTTAGCCTAAAAAAATAAGAAATTATTATAAATATAGGTTTTATAAGTATCTAGATTGTTGTAAAAAGAAAAGAAAACTTATTGAAATCTAAATTGTAACATTAATCAGACCTTTTTTAAGCTTTTTTTTGAATAATACTTCTCTATTAGTTGTATATTGTGAGTTTTACCATTAAACCCCCAAACGGATAAAAGTAAACAAAAAATGATTCTTTTAGTTTGAATCTGAAATTTTCCATTTTCGAAAATTGTGAGTGAAAATCATGAATGAAGTTTGAAGCTCGTGCATTCTGTGCGTTAAGATACATTTTAAACCAGCCCTGTGGGTTCTATTGACAAAAGTGCTTTTTTTCTTTAGCATGGTGTGAAGCACAAAAATATGTGAATATTGTTGATAAGAGATACATCGTCGTCAATTCTTAATCAAATGAATAGGGCAGGAAGCTTTGGCATAAGAGCATTTGCTCTGGAGATTGGCTATTCAGTAACGAGTACTAGTTTGTTGTCCTAGACAGATTTTTTTGGGGTTCCTACCAGCTGGACACCTGATTGTATTTTCCAGTATTTTAATAGTGCACTATCTTTATTTTGCAAACCAAAACAATTGTTAAACGAGGGGCATTATAATAGCACCAGTCTGCAAACTGGTAAGCTGGCTCAAATAAAACTAGCGTATTGTCCCAATCATTTTGAAGCACATTTGAATGTCTGTCAGGACTCAACCACTAATATATTAATCAGCCACATCGATTACTGCGATTATTGGGAAACCCAACCTTAGGTTAAACCATTATTGACAGTGTTACCCTGTTGTAGTCACGTGTAAAGTCTGTTGAGCTGCGAACGGAAGCAGATTGTCGCATAGACATTCCGTTGGAGTATTTTAAATGCCGGCTTAGCACTAAAGCATTGATTCAAATCCCAGATATGACTGGCGAGCTTGGTGAAACACAACTCAGTAGTGTATCTTTCCATCTTACATCTTCAGATTGACTTGCTGTTCGTCTTTATTAAAATGTCTATTTAGAATTGGCATTAAATATTTCTAATTGCTCGACTAAATAAACAAACAGTCATCGGAAATTATTTTGTATTCACATTTGATCATTCACAATTGCAATTGAATCCATTGACTTTGAAAAGTTGAAAAACTAAATTATTAATTACTCTATAGTACGAAAAATCTAAGGAGTAATAAAATGATAGAAGGCTATAAAATTAAAAAATAAAAAAAAAAAATAATCAAAATAAATACCAAGCTAGTAAAAGTAGCAACAAAAATATATGACTATTTATAAAAGGATAGTAAAAGAAATATAAAAATAAAAATAAAAATAAAAACAATGCAGAAAAAAATAACTTTGAATGGTTTAATATTAATACAGTAGTTTTTCAAATCAACTTCTATTCTACTTTCTTTTCAAAATCAACATTTGCACCAGATCTACTAGCAACCGCTGAGAGATGAGTGATTTTAGCTGATAAAACTGTTCCAAGAACTTCAGCTTCTTTTTGTCTGTCTTCGAATCTAGTAAAGACTTTTCTTCCTCTAGCAAACCAATAAATAATACAGTAAGCACAAAATCCAACAGTAATAACTGAAACATAGTTCATATTATCTTTTGTTGCTGGCATTGTCATTGGGAATGAATAGAAGACTACTGCAAAAAGTGTCCAACATAAAGTAACAATATTAGCAACTAATCCAAATTTTCCTAGCCAGAATTTTCCATGAGGAACATTGTCTCTACCTCTGTATAATAAACAGATAATTGGAACTGCATAACTTAATAATAAGAAGACAATACAACTGGTGACCATACTATTATAAGCAGTGGTTGATCCCATGTAAATGCAACCAACGACAGCACACCAGAAACATGACATGAAATGAGCATTAACTGGCATCTTTGTCTTTTCATTAACTATTGACCAGTATTTGGAACCTGGAAGACCATTATCTCTTGCAAATGACCAACAAAGACGTGCTTGCCATGTGTGAGATGCAATATTACAACCAACAGCTGTCAAGACAACCAAGCATTCTAGGAAAATAGCACCACCTTTGTTACCCAAGGCTTGATAATAAATATCTAAAATTGGGACACCAGTATTTGAGTTAAGAATATCATCCAAATTATTAATACTGAAAAACATGGCAATGGAATAAAACCAAGATGTTACAAAACCGATGGCAACAGTGCAACAAATTGAAATTGGAATTAAAGTATCAGGGTTGTTGATTTCTTCTGCCATATGAGTAGCACAATCCAAACAAGAAAAGGACCAATTGGGATTAATTAAACCAACAATAAATGCGATACCTGCACTTGACCAACCGGTACCATTATCGAACTCAGAGAAAACAAAACTGGCTGGTTGGTAGTTACCTGAAGAACAACTTAAAACAGTAATAGTAATAATTACAAAGGAACCCAATGAGGTGTAAAGAGCAGCTTTAGAGAAATGGGGTAAAGGTTTTTCGTATACGTTGAAAACAGATAAAAGAACATTTAAAATTTCATAGGTAATAAAGACATGCCATTGTTTAACAACGAAGGTACTGTCACCATTGGTGAGAACCCACATACCAACAACAGCAGTGGCGATACTCATTGTAACAGAAGCAGAAGTGAAGATCGAACCAGCCCATGCTAATGAACCACACATGTAAGCCCAGAATCTTTTGTAGTTTTCAGGAGCTAATTGGAAAGTCCAGTAATATTGACCACCAGCAGAGTTGTAGATACTTGATAATTCGGATAAGGATATAGCTATTTGAGTTGAGATAACTGCAATGATAATGATACCATAAACAATTGACATTGGACCACCAGATGAGATACCAGTAACTAAAGAAGCAGAGATACCAAACCAAGAGTTGGTTAAACCAAAACCAACACCTAATAAGGACCAAATAGTGAAGTTACGACGCAACTCTGGCTTATAGCCAGCTTCAGCGATTTTTAAATCAGCCTCAGCTACCTTTAAAGCGTTGGCAGCATTATTTCTGCTACCTGTAGAAACAGAATTAATAGAATCTATATTATGAAGTTGATTTTCCTTTTCCATCTCTATTTCTATTATTTCTATTATTTTAATAGCTTATTTAAATTTTTTCAGAAAAAGAAAATAAAAATTAAGGAGTATCAAAACTATTAAAAGTAGACAGTAAGTTCGAGAAGAAAGGATAGTAAAAAAGGTAATAAGATAGTGATAAAAAGTAAAAAAAGAGATATTTATATCAATTTATACTAATTTGTACCAGTTATATACATGATAAGGTTTAATATTCAAAAAAAAAAAATTCAAAAAATAGAGTTAATATGGTTCAGCGATGTAGAGCTAAAAAAAATAATGATAAGAATTTAATGGAACAGTATCAATTACACTCTTATAATTCCAACGTAGCTGAAGTGAATATTCCAAGCAAAAACTGTGCTGTTGATAAATGGAAAAATAAATGCAGTAATTTTAAAATTACTTGATTATGATTAGCCTATCATAAATGTAATCTTAATGTTTTTAGAGCAATCTTAGTACAATTTTGTTCACAGCTATTTCACGTTTCATGTAACTTATTATCTACAAAATGAAAAAACACAACCAAATTCTTTCTTCTATTTATCCAGCAACCAAATTGATAAAACTAAAATCTCCAGAACTTTTTTTTCTAGAATCCTGTTCAGAACACGTCAAGCGGGAAAATAAATAACCTGTCAAACCAAGGTCTCCAGGCAAAACCAGACATAGAAGAGCCTTTCTCAGTGCTTTTCATAAAGAAAAATTGCATAAAAGCCTTAAAAAATTGGCTAAGAAATGTGCAGCAAAAACCCCGAAGCATCTCTTCCCTCTTTACTGCGTTCTGGCCAATCATTTCACTAAACTGTTCTTTTTAATCGTCGCACTTGGAGCCATGCCAAATCAAAGCGGGTCACATGATACACCTCTTAAAACTGGCCTAAGCAGCTGCGCTATGCAGTCTTGTGCATAATCAAAGATTGGCAATTGGTTCAAAACGGCTCCTGAACCTAATTTCGAAAGGTGTCGGGTGTTCGGATTTTGAGTTTGGAAGTGTGGTCCGGTGTTGTAACAATTACGTGACCGGTGATAGCTAAAGAGAAGCTGTTTGCGACCCAGTTTTGTTTTGCACTGTGTTTTATCCAACTCAAAGGACTCTTCAACCATCAAAATCGCCAGAATTATAAACAGATGAGTCTGTGAGCCAGCATCAGTAAACAAGTTACCTCCAAAAAATACTTCAAAAACTCAAGCGAATTGTTTCTGAGACATTTGGGCCCACTAATTAGAAAATATTATTTGTTCTCTGTTTCCTCTCGTTTTGCATGTTAAAAAGCAGGATTTTAAAGAACTTTGAGAAATCTAAATCTTCTCAAAAAGATGCAAAGAATTTTCTAATAATTTTCTAGGTTTTTTCAAGCTAAATTGTTTCTATGCGCAGAGATTTTTTATTTCATTGGAATCGTTATAGAGTATATATTTCACTGGACCACTGGTTTTTCTGAAAAATTGCCAGATTTAGTTTAGATTCGGCCTACTAAATACAATTATAAGCAAATATCTTCTTTTTCAAATACAGTTATCAATTCCAATAATTCAAGAGCACTAATGGGATTTATTTGCTTTCTTAGATGTCCAATGGACTTTGTAAGGCTTTTCGATGTGCTTGTATTATCTTGTAATTTATGTTAATTTGGAAATGCAAAAGAAATTTTTTCTTTAAAGGCTTTTATCGAAAATATATCAAGATGTAATACTTCTGTTAATCTAATCTTGTAGAAAATCAGTTATATACATTCATTATCAATATTCTGTGACAAATTAAAGTTTTAGACTATCTTAATTCTCAGACTGTGCAAAACTTTATTTTATTCTTTTGCTATATTTCATTTTATAGTTTGGTCCAATCAGTGGCTTTCAAAGTAGTATGATTAATGCATTATGTAATACCTATTCTACTAACAATCAACTATATTTCCAATGTTTGTAAATTAATAAAAGATAATTAAAGGTCTTCCAATCATTTCAATGATTTCACTACGATTTCAAACACTTTGAAATTCAAAATATAATATATTCCAAATCCATATATTTATTGAAAAGAATCTACTTTCCTAAAACGGAATTTTTAAATCACTACAAAAATACCATGTATGTGTTTCAAGTGCATAGATTAAGCTTAGTTGTATTGTTATTCACTTTATTTAAAAAGATAATTCCGAAACTCTTATTTGCTAATAAAAACTAAAAGTTTAATGCAAATCCTAATTTAATCTTGATGGTTTGCCATTTGCCTGATAATGAAAATTACACTAGCATTTAATTTTAACAAAATCAAACAGAATAAAAAATCATCTACGTAACAAAAAAATATTTACTATTTTCAAATCATAAATACTACAATTCCACTTATCGGTAAATTGCTTGTTTAAAATACAAACAACCCACCCAACTGATTACAAAAATTTGCAAACATTTTTGAAAGATATCAAAGAACCTTGTTCAAATCACTAATCATTTTAAATGCTTATTTTTTTATTCTCACAATACAAATTAGTAAATAATATACTAAATTCAGATCTATTATTTTGATTCTTTTTTTTTTTCTTTACACATAACTTAAAAATAAAGAATCTTAACTTGTTATCATATTCTTGGTTTTTGTTTTACAAAATGCTTTATAATTTATCAATTTAAATTTCACTTATTAAAAGTTCAATAATATAATAAACAGGTCATATAATAACTAATATCAAATTACAATGACAAGAAAATGATAATATTATAAAGGATGAACCAGCATTAGGTTTCAATCAAACTTTTAAAACAATGGCTGAAGATTTCCTAAATTTGCAATTTTAGAATTGATAGAAAACCAACCCACTAAGGATAATCAAAAAATTTATAGCTTTATAGGTTTTTAATTTCATACCCAAATACTTTCCCAAATAAATTTCATGAATCTATATTAAATCTTCACTTACATTGGACCATAATCTAACCGATCGATCCCACCCGCTAGAAATGATTTTATCACCACTTGTATTAATATCACAACTCATTATTTTATTATCAATGTGTCCTTTCAACGTTTTTACTTTAATCCAACTATCTGCTGACCAAATTTTAAGTGAGCCATCATAAGACGAGCTTATCAAAAATGTGCTTGAAGAGGAATTCATCTCAGGTTTAAATTCGTTCAGAATACTGTTTATTTTATTTGCATTTTCTTTAAAAAATTTTATATCAGAAACTAGTTTATTGTGTGCTGGAATGGTAAATAATGGTTTAGTATTGTTATTTTCATTTTTTTGATTATCAAGTTTTAAATTATAACGCAAATCCCAAATTTTTATTGAGCAATCAGCTCCTCCAGTTGCAATTTGATACCCATTATCTGACCAATCAGAGGCAAAAATACCTTTAATATGATCGTTCAAAACCATTATAGATTTGCCTATTCGTAGGTCCCATACTCTCCCAATTGCGTCAAGTCCACCTGAGAACATTAATGCTCCATCACATTGAAACGAAATTGAATAAACTTCTTTTGAGTGTCCCTCTTGTAAATATACTTCTTTATTCTTATTCAAATCCCATATTCTCCAAGTTTGATCAAACGAAGAAGAAGCTAAAAACTTTCCAGATGGATGAAATATCGTTTTTATGACTCGGCTGTCATGTCCCTTTAATGTAGATATAGGCTTTGTTGATTCTAATGACCATAAATGGATTAAATTGTCTGATGAGTTCCCAGTGGCTAGAGAAATTTCTCGGTCATTTTGTGAAATTCCAGAAAAGGGATGCCAATCAATTCCTGATAGTTTGTCATCAGGAGAACCAATACAATCGTAATTTATAGACGATATCAAGTTTGAATCCAAAACTTTTAATTCACCAGCCCAAGAGCCCATTGCAATTTTATCACCTAGTGGTGAAAATTTCACTGATGATATTGCTCGGTTAGACAAAATATTGGATCCTATCAATTCAAACCTTGACAACCTATCATTAACACCTCTTCTGTACTTCAATTGGTCTTTTAATGGTATTTGAAGCAATTGATTTTGAAATGCGATTCTTCTTTTTGCTTTAAGCAAAGAATAGTTAACCAAGTATAACCGGGCTTTTGTAATTTCTTCAGACCCTGGAGTAAAAAATTCTTCATCTTCGTCTTCGTCTTCATTCTCAATATCGTCGTTATTAAATTTAGGGTCACTGTTTATTTCGTTTTCGTCATCCGACTCATACATAATCTGGTCTTCATCATCAGCAGTCATTATATTAGTTTCCAAGCAGCTTTAGATTCTCTCAATGATTCCACTGCTTTCTTTCCATCTTCAAAGATTTGATTTGGTTTTTTTCCGCTTAGTCAAAAAAATAAAACGGAAATCCGCTTTCAAACCCAAAAATTACACAATGCAAACGATAAAAAGAAAGTGTGAAATAATTTTTGTTTATTTATTTATATATAGTATAGCAGGTGAATAGCTAACAAAAGTCGATGAAGGATAAATCAAAAGAACTATAGATCAACCCCCAAACTTAGGCACAGAAGAAATCTTTGGCGATCCATCAGAAGAAACCTCGGCAATTGGGGATAACAATGAATTGTTGCTAAACATTGGAATTGGTAAAAAATTCTCATTTGAACTAATTGTTTCAAGAGATTTTAAGCTGTGGTTACTCTTAATTGAGCTATCTCTATGCAATGATCCCTCTCTTGAAAATAGTGTCACTGTTTTGCCGCCATTTGGAGATTTGAAGATATTAAAATTCGATGAGACAGATAAATCCATCAAACCTGGTTTAGGTTTTTTTGAGTAACTATTGGTTCTTAAGATTCCTCCTTTTGAACCAAGTTTTACTTCCTCTGGGTTCAAAGCAACCTTTCTCTTTGTGTCAATAATCTGGTAATTGCCTTCCCCTAAAAACTCAAAATCTTGTGGCAAGAGATTAACCTCATCCAACACATCATCATCATCGTCTCTTGCAGAATGATATACAGAATCATCATAAAGTGAAGCCCCTCGGCTTAGCATTTGATCAAGCTCATCATCATCATTATAGTCATCTTTGTAATTATATAAAATCTCTTCATCATCACTATGCATATTCTCTTGTTGAATATTGTCAGTTTCCTCTTGATCAACATTATTAAAATAATAATCGACTGTCTCATCAAATTGGGTCTTACTTTTAGGTGATGAAATTAATGATTCTTCATCATTTTTGTCCCATGAATATCTCTTAGGTTGGTTCGAGTGATTAGAAGCATTATCCTCATCGACAAAATGTTCATTCTCGTTTGGTGAATTGATAACCAACTGAGGCAAAGTTTCTTCAGGAATACTTTTTAAGACATTGTTAGGCATGTCATTCTTTTTCCCCATCAATGACTCTTGCACTTCTCTTAAATATTGAGACCTAGTTCTCGCTTTAGGGCTGCTGTTATTATCTTCATCATTACCACCATAGTTATAAGTATCATTAGCACTATCGTTAATATGTTTAGAATTGAATAAGAAATCCTCCTCGTCAGGAAGCCGATCCTGATGCAAAAATTCAGGGAATTCACCTTCTCTGGAAGTCACCAATAATTTTTTTGTTTCTCTTAAATAAAAATCTCGTTGTTTATCAAAAGAGTCGGATTCATCTCCATCAGTTTTATCATTTATGACTTTTGGAAAGGACTTGGCATTCAACAATTGATTACTTTCTTCAGCTTCTACAGTTGCTATTAAGCCGTTAGGAAACCCATCTGTTATTTCAACTATGCAATTATTAATAGAATCATCATAAAATGAAACCTTTTTTTTTTCATTATTTTTTTCTATATGGTTATCGCTATTTATTTCATTTTCATCATAATCTCGACCATCAGTGCTGAGTTCATCATAGTCTTGAGAGTCTTCAATTCTGAAAAATCTTTGTTCATCATTATCATCACCAAAAAGGTCTCTGTTAAACAAATGCTCCGTATCATCCATCATATTATTTGAATTTTCTTCATCATAATAATTCATATCATCAGCAAAATCTTCTTCCCCATATTCATCGCTAATGAAATCATTTACGTACAAACCTTGATTTTCAGGAGAGATGATTTGCTGCTTTTCTAGTATTTTTTCCTTTTCGCTGGCAATTTCAGAAGGTTTCTTATAATATTTGACTGATAAGTTCCTTCCAGTTTTGATATTTTGTTCAAAAGAAAAAGAGGACGAATTTGTTGAAGCAGAAGCTATGGATATGGTGTCGTCTGATTCTTCTCCAAATGATTCCAGGCGTTTTTCTGGTGCATTTTTGATTGCCTTATCACTAAGAATAATTGTTGAAGATCTTCCTTTGTCCTTTAATGGCATAAATGATAATCTTTTATCTTTAATATCTAGTTGATCATTTTTCTCGTAATATTTAGGAGAATCCATCAATTTTTTCTGAAATGGAGATTGTAACAGTTTTGGACTAGCTTGCGCACTATTATTTGGTGAGCATTTAACAGGAATAAATCCCATCTTAAGCATTATTTTATCTTCATCTGTCAATTTTTCAGGGGAGATTTGCAGAAATCTTTTTGATTTATCAAATATAGTTGAATTTCTTTTTAATTGTGCAAATGATTTGTCAAATATGGGGGAAATAGGTCCTTTATTATCAATAAAATTTTCTTCAGTTGGAGAAAAATCATTTTGATAAGGAGTAATCTCAACCAGCTGTTCTAAATTGTCTTTGCTTGAATTTATAGTATAGCCGTCTTTTTTGTCTATTATCTCTTCAGAGGGAGAAAAGTTAAATAAATCTTTAACATTAAGAGCAGATATAGGTGTTGGAGTTGGAAGCATAGATTTATTTAAGGTTTCATTTTCAAAACCGGTTTTATTCAATTCAGTACTATCACTATTGGTGTTTTCGTTGCTATCAATATTACTAGATAAAGAAATAGAAGTATCTAATTTGAGTTTAGGAGGCATTGTTATAGAAGATTTTTCAAAAGAGATTGGTAAGGACAGTCTATTAGATAGGAGTTCTTGATTGGTTATTTTTGGATCTGAAGTGAAAGTACCAGTTGAGTTGTTATACATTTCATTTAAATTTGGAGATGAAGCCGAATTGATTACAGCTTTTTGTGTTTTTTGTCGATTTGAATCACAAACTTGTAATAAATTTGGGCGCAGATATGGAGTCTTAATAGTACTAATGGCATTATTTCTATCGTTAGATGACTTTAACGGGCTAGTTTGATTAATAGAAGTTGAAGATTTGTGTTTTAAGCCCAATAAACTTCTCATGCTTTTTTTTCTTGCATTTTCCTCATTGATAATTAAATCATTGGCAATAAAAAAAGCACCACTTTTACGTTTTTCAGCTTTTTCAAAAAGTTGTTGAGTTGGAGTTTTTTTAATGACACTTGGTTTTAGCTTGACCTTTAATTTTGATTCCCATTGTTGAATTGATTTGTAAGGAGTTCTTCTTTTAGGTATTTCATCGAGGTAAGGGTTTTTTTCATTAAGTGAATCAGGAATAGTTGGGTAAGTATGCAGAGTTGATGCTGATGAATCTGAATTTTTTGTGCTTAAAGAGGAAGAGGAAGAAGAAAATGGGAACAGAAATTGATTTTGATTAATGGGAGAGTATATTGGGTTATTTTCTGAGGAGGAGTGAGTTGATTTGGGAGTTTTGGGAGTTTTGGGAGACTTGATTGTTAATGATGACGTTTGAGAGGTGATAGTATCTATGGGAGAATTTGAAACAGATAGAGGAGAAGAATGAGCTGTTTTTGAGGGAGAATTTATGTTATTTAAAATATTTATGTTATTTATGATACTTATATTATTTATGATATTTATGTTATGTATGCTATTTATGGTAGTGTTGGCTGTATTTTTTGAGTTTGCGAGATTAGAGTTCGTATTAGTATTAGTATTTTTATAATAAATGAAATTGTTATCACCCCATTCATGTTTCATTGTTCCTTTAATCGCTATGTCATCAATATCTATATCATGATTGTAATTGTAATTATCGGTATTATCAATATCATAATTTTCAAGATCATTATAACTGTTTGAAGAAATTTTTGTTAAATTTTTTAATTTTTTTATTTTATTTTTTGGATTTTTATTTTTAATATTTTTAATACTTTTATTGTTTTTAATGCTTTTGATATTTTTATTGATTGGAACCAAAGTTGAGTTTGAAATCTCAGAGAAATTTGAGTAATTTGAATAATTTGAGGAAGAGTGATGGTGACCTTTATAAGGAGGTATCGTTTGAGAAGATTGAATTGAATTCAAAGGTGCTGGAGTGGTGTGTTGAGAATCTGAATTGGAATTGGGATTGGGATTGGGATTGGGATTGGGATTGGGATTGTTGGTGATGGCATCATTTGATTTGGAATTAGGGCCAGAACTTGGGGTAGAATTCAAAGCCAAAGGATTAGGCATCGTTTGAGATTTAATTAATGGAGGCTTTTGCAAAGATATCTCAGAAACTTCGGGTATTGATGTTGGTATTTGTATTTTAGGAGAAGGAACCGAGATATGTTGGTTTGAATTTTGAAATAACGAATTATTCAAAATGGATGGATTTTCCAACGAAGAAGGAGAAGACCTAAACTTCATTAGATTGGGATTGTTGGTAGCAATTAACTCAAAGGAACCGCCGGAATTAGAACCATCGTTAGGAGAGTTTTCATACTCATAGTTTATTGGAGCAGGAGGAAAAATCTTGAGGTTGGGGTGAACACGATGTTTGCTGATGGTGATTGAATTTCTGTTGTTGTTGGCAGTGTTGTGAGAGCCATTTGAAGAAGAGGCAGCAAACACAGCAGCATCGCTGGCAGTGTTGGCGCTAGTGCTGTTATGAAGAGGGTGGATAGTTCCAGCGCTAGTGGAGCTCTGTGGATTATTGCTCAAGTCATAGTTACTTTCGGCGGAAGATTTTCTTGTGTGGGCTTTAATAAAGGATTTCATGAGTACAGAACCTCAGGCAGCAAAAGAAACAGAAGTGGAAACAACAGAGATGAAAGCAGAAAGGAGCGTACGAAGGAAGTGTAGAGAAGTGTAGAGAAGTGTATGTTTGTTGTATATGATTATATTATATTATATTATATTATATTATACTATATTATGATTAGCGTCTACAGACAATAAGAGCCAGTGCTAAAAATAAGTCAAACCTTATTTAGAGCAGGCTGTCCACGTGCTGATGTCTACCGGATTACGCCAGGTGACCGGAAGTAGCACAGAGCAGAAATATAAAAAGCAGATATTCTGGTGCAAAAGTGGGCCAAAGGTGCTGGGCATTTATCTTTTTTTCTGGGGGTTGAATCTATAACCTGGATAGCACTTGCCATGCACGTCTTTCTCGATCTTGCTGAAGTTACTGAACTCTTTCTTCAACTCCTCATCTTCAGTAATCCACGAGATGGCTATGAAATGGGCTATTATGGCATGGTTCAACTTGGGCTGGTAAAATCCAGAGAATATTCTGAAGTGGTTGAGATATTCAAATCTTCTTTTATCCTCGACCTTGCTATTTGAAGTGCTCAATATTCTGCTGCGGCTGTTGAAAAACTCTGTTGATTCTTCACTGCTCAACTGGCCAGCAAAGTAGTGTTTTTCGGGCAAGAGATGCACTAAATCCCTTTCAATCATTCGCAAAATATCAATTTCCTCAACTAATTCTTTCTTCTCGCCGTCAAATCTCGAAAATTCCTCGCAATATTTATCAATAATAGGTGTCAACAAGTTGATTATCTTGAATATTGTTGCTACTTTGACCATGGTAGTACGGTAAAGCATGTATGAGTTTAATGGTCTTTTAATGTAGCTTTGATCATTTTCATGATTGTGTTTAGGTTTTCTTCTTCTTGTTGAATTTGGCAATGAGCTTAAAAATCCAATACATCTTGAGGGATTCTTGCCATTTCCATGTCCACTATTATTATCATTGCTATTACCATAGCTATTATCATTCGCATTTTCATTGTAGCCGCCATTACTATTGGTTTTGCCATTAACATTGAGATTATCTTCAGCTTTACCCTTTTTAACATATTTCCTTTTACTATTAGAATTCAGACCAAGACCATTAACAGTGGACTCAGTTGTTCCAAATTGACCATTGCCACTATTACTTTTAGTGTCAAAATTTTGAGTGATCACTATCTTATGATTAGTAAAATTGATATTACCAAATGTGGGATACTTGTTTAAATTTTTATCCTTGACATATTTATTATAAGTCTCATCATCCTGCAAATAATTTTCAATTATTTCAAAATTGATCAAATGTTTAAAAAGTAGCATGTTGAACTTTTCCTTTTCATAAAATTTAAATATACTATCATTGTCATTATCATTAATTATTTCCTCGATATTTAATTTACCACATGATGTTTCAACTTTCAATTTCAATCCATTATTAGTTTCTTTGAAAGGAATTCTAGACATTATATAACCTTTAATAATCTTTTCTTCATCTTTAAATCCATCTAAATTATTATCATTATTATTATCATTATTATTATTATTATTATTATTATTATTATTATCATCATCATTATCATGATCATTAGTATTACCACTACTAGTTGAATTCAAATAATCTAATTCCATTAATCCACAAATTAATTTCAATTTTAATAGAATATTTTTTTCTTGGTTTACGTTCCCATTGTAATTATCAAATAATAAGTCATCCTCTTTTTTATTAGTGTGGATAATATCGTCTGATAATTTTGATCTGTCCATTTGATTCAACTTTTCACAATTGAAAAGTATCAATATTTTTTTAACTTCATTAATTGGTAACTGTCTATCCTTTGCAATTGATAGTATTTTTAAGACTCTATTTGATGGGATGGATGTTCTTGGATAGTATTTAATTACTTTTGAGATGAAATTGACCATATTATTTATACCGTTAACGTTGATGTTGTTAATGTTGTTGATATTGTTTATACTATTCATATTGTTCAAGTGATTCATTGGATTTAGAGCATTAAAGCCATTGATTGAGTTAATACTGCCAATACTATTAAGATTAAGATTGTTAATTCCAATATCAGTATTTATGAAGGATTTATCATTGGAAAAATTGAATTGATTTGGTTGAACTTGGTGAATTAATTGGGGGGGTTCGTTTAAATCGTTTGGAAAGGAGTAATTGGAGATTTGAGGGATGTCAAAGGAGTTTAGAGAGATCTTTTGCTGATGCAATTGCTGGTTTTGTTGTAGATAAAAAGGCTGTTGTAGTTGATTGTTTGAATTAGACGCTGGAGTAGAAGATGTATTAGCATTAGCGTTACTATTAGCATTACTATTAGTATTGGTATTAGTATTTGAGTTTGTATTAGGATTTGGATTTGGATTTGGATTTGAATGAGAAAGATAACCGTAGTTGAAAGAATTTACAGAAGACATTGAATTTAGCGAATTGGAAGAGTTTAAAGAGTTTAAAGAGCCCAAAGAATTCAATTGAATTTCACTATTTTGTGTAAAATCCAATAAGCTTTGAGAAGATTCTGATTTGCAACGTTTGTGAACTGTATTTAGATTTGAATTTGAGTTTGAATTTTGATTTTGATTTTGATTTTGATTTGGAGATGAGTTTGAGTTTGAGTTTGAATTTGAATTTGAATTCAATTGGGTTGAAGACAGGTTATCGGAATCATCGATAAGATTTGTATTTTGTCTTTTCCTTATGTTGTTAAGATTTGAAGTTGTTTTGGCGTTGTTATTATTATTATTATTGGTGTTAAGGTTTGGAAAGACAAAATTATTGGTGGAATTAAGAGTGTCAAGAGGAGATTCCAAAAGAGAAATGCTGTTGTTATTAGTAGTAGTGTTGTTGTTATCTGAAGATAATGGAGTAGAGTTGTTGAAGTTGTTAAGGTTGAAGTTGTTTAGATTGAAGTTGTTGAAATTGTTGAGGTTATTGAAGTTATTAAGGTTATTGAATTTGTAAGTGGATGGGGTTGAGGCGTTGTAGTTGAAGTTATCGATGAAAAAGGGGTTTATTGTTTTTATGAGGTTTGAAGAGTTTAGAGAAGTTGGAGAGGTTGAAGTAGAGGTTGACTGTAGGAGGTCATCTTGGTTTAGATTGAAGGTTAAGTTTGAAGTCGAGAGAGGGTTTGAAGTGAAAATGGAAGATGTGTTAGAAGTGGAAGTTGGAGTTGGAGTTTGGTTTTGAAAGGAGTTTAAATTGAAGTTTAGATTGAAGTTTTGATTTTGGTTTTGGTTTTGGTTTTGATTGTGGTTTTGTAATTGGTTTTGTAAGTGATTTTGAATGGGGTTGATGCTTGATATTGAGTTGTTTCTATAGTATGAAGCATTCGAGTAGTCAGGAGGGGTTGGGAGGCCATAGAGTAGTAAGGCTTCGTCTAGTTCGCTTATATCATTCAGAGAAAAAGGGAAGAGAGAGAGTTCTTCGTTGGGAGTGAATGTGGGATTGGGAATGGGAATGGGGTTGTGAATTGTGTTTGGGACGTTGGAAATGGAATTGGGAATGGAATTGTGATGATTATTCATGTTATTGAAGGTGTTGGTGTTGATATTATTTGAGATATTATTTTTAAAGTGATTATTATTATTGTTATTATTATTGTTATTATTATTGTTATTATTATTGTTATTATTATTGTTATTATTATTGTTATTATTATTATTATTATTATTATTATTATTATTATTATTATTATTAAAGGGAAAATCTATGTTAAAGGAATTAAAGTTGAAGAGGCTTTCGGGCTGATTCTTGATGGGACTTATATTTTGGGTGTTATTTAGAGAGTGATTAGGAGAGATATTAGAAGATATATTGTTATTGTTATTGTTATTAGTATTGATATTAGTATTGTTATTAGTATTTTTAGTATTATTAGTATTAGTTTCGGTAATTGTATTAATTGTATTAATGGTAGTATTAGAGGGAGAAGTGGAAGTATTTGTAAAAGAAAATTGAAGATTTTGAAGATGAGTGTCTAGGGAATTTGAATGGTTATTTAATTCCAAGTTTAAATCCAAGTCTAAATCCAAATCCAACTCAGACATTTTATTTTAGTAATTAAATAAGAATTAAGAATTAAGAGATGAGAAAATTAGATCAAATTAGATCAAATTAAATTAAATTAAATTAAACCAAATTAAATCAAGATAAAAAGGATAAAGGGAATTTAAACAGATAGCAAGTGTTAAGAGATGATGGTGAAGATGAAGAAGGAGAAGATGATGATATAGTGGGAGGGCAGTATGTATAAGAGATAAAGTAGTAATTGATGAATTGAGTGGAAAATAGAAGGGAAGAGAAAAGAGAAGAGAAGAGAAGAGATAAATATAATGGCAATAGAAAGATTAAGTAACGAAATAAATGAGTAAAAAAAAGTAGTGGGGTGAATAAGGTAGAATAATTAGAATAGTTAAAATAATTAAAATAATTAAAATGAAATGGAGCAAGAAAAATACAGAGATATGAAGAAAGTAGAAATAAAAGAAAAGAGAAAGGGTTATCTAGTGTTTTATATGGGTTTTTTTTAATTTTATTAATATTTTAATTTTATTTTATTATTATCTTAATATTATTTTAGTTTATTTTTTTTTATGAAAGGGAATAGAACAAAAATAAGATTAGAGATGTTGTGCAATAATCAAATACAAATGAAAATAAAATTTGAATTGAGAATAAAAACGAAAATCAGATTGAAAGCAAAAATTGAAACTAAAAAAAAGTGAGAATATAAATAAGAATAAAATTTAGGATAAAATTTAAAATAAAATTTAAAGTAGTGGTAAAATTGGAAATCTAAAATTGAAAAATCAAAATCAAAATCAAAATATAGCTTCAAGCACAAAAACCAATGCCAGTAGAAATAACATTCAAAAGTCAAGCTGAAAACCAAGCAAAGAAAAAGAAAGAAGGTTTTTTTTCTTGAAAGAGAATTGAAATAGGTCGAGTAGGAGAGGAAACAGGTGAAAAGAGAAAAGCAGGGAGAAATGCAGCTGGAAGGAGAATCAAGCAAAAGTGTAAAACGTAATTGAGGAGGAAAAGGAGAGAAAAAGAGCAAAACAACACTGGGAGTATCAAAGAGATACAACAGAGAGCATTAAGAGGATTTAGAGGATTAAAAGCACTAACACCAGAACACTGACACACCCAGCTCTAAGAGCACGAAGAGGTGGGTATCAAAGAAACGAGCAACTTTGCTGGACGAACAAATCTGGAAATAGAGTTGCCTCAACAAACAGGCAAGGAGCCGTGTAAACATGCCTGCTGCTGCAGACCAAGCGCACCGTCTTGCTTCACTTTCACGGGACTGCCGCTGACTCGACCTCCTCGACGGTTGCTTGTCAGCGTCACCGCAGCCGCTGTTTGCTCCAACCCGGTCGGAAGTCAGGTGTGGCCGCAGCTCCTCCGTTGGGCACATGCCGGTTGTGCGCCAGTGCAGACCCGGCAGGTCGTATATGCTGCTTTGGCGGGCAAACAAGCAGCCGGTTCAGCGCAGTCCCCGCGCATGCTGCACGTGCTGCACGTGCTGCCCCGCTGCAGCGGGCCATGCAGCTTGACGGCTGGGAAACGGCTGCAGCTTATCTGGAGCAATAGCAGATACGGGCAAGCTGCGGGCTGTGATTGGCTGGAGGACGTTGCGTGCTCAGGGCAACTATCTTCCACCCATTCGGCTCTGCAGCAATGGTGGTCGATTGCTATGTTTTGGGTATCGCCTTTATCTCTTACGCTGGCCGTAAATTTTTGTGCAATTTCGGTTTCCATCACACTATTTTCGAGTTATCTGCTGCTGTCTCCTAAAAATCATGCTATCTACAATGCTTTTTTCATTTTGAGGTTATTATCAATTAATACCTCTAACATCACTATCAGTTTACTAATCTCAAAAGTATACCTATAGTTATTGCTGTTTATTCCACTATCATTGCAACTTTCAACTACAAATGATTAAATCTTATTTTTTATCACTCTCATATAAAACACCGTACTATACACTGTACCGCACTAGTTTATACTCTATAGTATATACCATACTAGCGAATCTTGTTTTCTTTCAACTTGTTTTTCTAACAAAATCATTCCCATTTCTTATTTTTCACTCAATCTTTATAACCATATGAATATCTGAATTAATGATCACTTTTTATACTCCAATTTTCCTTTTCCTCTACTGTTTATTGTTTGTACTTGTTTACCCGACTACTTGATTGTGATTGTTCTTCGTCTTGCTAACGAATTACACTCATTCCCAGACTTGGTATTTATTAGATTTTTATAAAATGAAATACATTTAACTAAAATTTAAATAATTTTAACTAATTTTAAATATTTTTAAATATTTTTAAATATTTTTTACTAGTTTTAACGAATTTTATTAAGATCGATTAAAATTTAATTCAATTTAATTCAATTCAATTCAATTAAAATCAATTGAATTGAATTTTATCAAGTTGTATTGCGTTTAATAAATTTTAATAAATTTTAATTGAAATTGATCAAATTTATTGGCATTTCCATTTATTATCATTGCATAAAACTAATAATCTAAAACTATTGACTGAAATTCTCGAAAGTTTGGAAATTTATCAATTCAATATGAAATTTATATTTCAAAGCAAATAATATTAATAATTATTATTATTATAATAGCAATAAAGTATTCTAAATTTTGAAATAAAACACTATTTTGAAATAACACTATTACTGAAAATTTCGTTTTATTTCAAATTTGCCAAAAACACAAACCTAAGATTCATCCCTCCTAAACTAGCTCCTCAATCTACAATCTGCTGTCTCCAAACTACTTTCTCCAATTCCCACCTCTCATTACTCGTTTCTCTTTTGCAATTGCTCATTACCCATTACTCAATCCCAACAACCCTCACCTCCTTCCCGTTGCCTTCCCATTGGCCTATCCCAGAGCTCTGCTGGACTCATCTCTGCCCCATTCTGGCGCTCGTTTCCAGCCCCATTTGTGTCCCCATTTCGGTGTCATCTGTGCCCGCTTCCTTGCGTTTTCCGTTGCCAGCCTCTGCTGGACCGCGAAAAGCGCAGGGCTGGCTCAATCCCTCTTCTTCCATTGGCTGCCTGCTCCTCTCACACCGGGCTTTGCTCTCTGTCCCACCGACATGGTAGCCCTTTTCCACACCACCTCTCTTCATCTCTCACCACCTGGAATTCCATCCCATACTAAAACACCCATTTTCTCTTTACTCAATCGCTCCCAAAAATGACCTTCGCCCACAAAAATGACTATTCCTCTTATTTTCTTCGACTTCCAACTTCTCTCCCATTATTCTCTTATTGGTATATCCTTTGGCTTTTTCTTTCTACAATTCATTTTTCAAACTTCGAATTTCAGTTACCAATACTTTTATTTCCACTATACATTTACTATATATAAATAAAAACTCTTTTTCTTGAAATTTTAACTTACTTTTGTTTTTGTGTGTTGTTTTTTTGCTTTTTTTTCCTTTTCATGTACTTGTTAACCTATTTACACTTTTTTCTTTTTTCCTTTTTCCTTTTTCCTTTCCTTTTTACTTTTACTTTTAATGAATTTACTGTTACTATAAATCAAAAATCAAAAATCAAAAATCAAAATTATAGATCACAAATCATAAACCATAAATCAAAAATAAAAAACAAAAATCGTAAATCATAAATCATAAAAATCTCTTTTTTTTCTATCAAAATTTATACCTAATAATTTCACTTTATTTCGGAATTTTCGATTATTCAAATCCTTTCTTACAATTCTTTTATACCTCTCACTTTTCAAAGCTTACCTTATTTGCTTTCTTACTTTCTTGCTCTCAAATTATCATCTTATTTTCTTCCTAAAAAATCATCTCACTATTTTGATATCTGCTCTTCTATTCTATTCTATTCCATTCTTTTCCCACTATATTCTATTATATCCTAATACCCTAATACTCTAATACTCTAATTCACTTTACCTCTATCTTCAATTCTTTTTTTATTCAATAATATCTAATTTATTATTTATTATTTATTATTTATTATTTATTAAATACTAACCACTTAATATTTATTATTACCTATGTACCACTAATTCTTACTCCCTTACCTATTTCCATTTTGTTTTTCACTGTAATCTTTATCTTTATCTTTCTCTTAACTTACTAAATTCTTTGATCTACAATAGCAAATCTGTTTTATATTTTTTTTTATGTGACTTACAGTCAATCTACTCCGCTAATCTTTTTGGTAATTGTTTTATCAACTACTCACTATTATTATCTCCATATTCATCTTTATGTCTTATGCAAATACATTTCATCACTAACTTCTAATTCACTTCATTCACATTAACTTGTTTTACAAAAAATGAGAAAGATGAATAAAGAGAAAAAATAGAAAAATCACTCAATTGCAAGGGCATTTAAAAAATATTAGTAATAATAATAAAAAACTATCTTGGAAATTTATGTATATACTATTATCCCATTTATTTACTCTGATTCTCTTTCTCCAACTTTTTTCCAAAAATTCCCTTTTTTTTCTTTTCTTTTCTTTTCTTTTCTTTTCTTTTCTTTTCTTTTTTTCTTATTTTATTTTATTTTATTTTATTTTTTTTTTTTTTTTTTTTTNTTTTTTTTTTTTTTTTTTTTTTTCATTAAAAATTCAAATCATTTACTACTCAGCTCTTATTCATTTATTTCATATATTTTATTTGGTGATCTTCATTTAAATAATCGAAATGGCTTTGTTTTAATTATCACCTTTTATTATTTATTTATTATTTATTTATTATTTATTTATTATTTATTTGTCTTTATTTATGCCAGTTTAAATAGGAACAACATCCAACATCACTTCCTTGAATCACTCACACACCACGTGAATTACGGCTACTTTTTTTAATTTTCGCACTTTTGTCTCACACGTCAAAAACGTCAAAAACGTCGATAACGTCAATAACGTCAAAATAAAAAATGTCAAATCCTCAACTCACCATCTCTCCATCTCTCCATCTCACCATCTCACCAAATTAATATACATCTAATACCAAATACAAATCACTAACAAACAACATGATAATACAAAACATATAAAATTATAATTTGCCATTACAAAAATATCCATTGCTCCAATTGCTCCAATTACACCAACTTCTCGGCTTTACCACATACATAAATCCACCCTTCTTGAAATACATTTACACAAAACCAAAAAAAATCTCACCTTTTGAATCTCTACTCATCTTTAATCTTTTGTTTTCTTATACCCTATATACTTATACTCTCTATGGCTAATAATTTTATTCTCTGGCTTATCATATCCATAACTAATTTCTCTTTTTCTTTCTCTCAAAAATGATGCTTTCTGACCTTAATCCTGATAACTCAGTTAAAAGTATCCAATCAATTGAAACTTCCTCATCTGATGAGTTGACTGATAACTACTTTACCATCAATAATCCCGATAAATTGCAAAATAATTCATTTACTTTAAATAATTTAAACATCAATACAAAAATTCTTAACCAAAACTCTTATCAAAATCATTACTTAAATGACTACCATTACGATAATCAAAACGATGATGAAATTTTCACTTCAAGCATTGAGGATTCAATGGATGAATACACTCAACAAAATTTAAATAATATTATTAATAATAATCATAACAATCATCATATCGATATTAGTATTAATGATATTAATGATATTAACAATATTAACAATATTAACAATATTAACAATATTAACAATATTAACAATATTAACAATATTAACGATATTAACGATATTGATGATACTGGTAATGCTAATAGTAATATCATTAATATTGATAATAAAACTTATGTTAATAATGTATTATCCAAATTAAATTCTTCATCATCAGATAAACAAAATTGTAATAACGCTAATGGCAATAACGCTAATGTCGATATCCAGTTCATTGGTCTATCAAATCTACCCAATCAAAGACAAACTTATATTTTTAAAACTACTTCCTATTTTAATCTAATGGTTGTTGGCCAATCAAATCTTGGCAAAACTTCTTTTATAAACACATTATTAGCATCTGATATCTTTAATAATTCACTCAATTCCAAAAAGCTATTAACCACAAACAATAATGATAATGATAATAATTATAACTATAATTATAATTATAACAATAACAATAACAATAACAATAAAAATGATGATAATGATAATATGAATTTATTAGAGCACAATTTATCTAGAAATATTCCAACTCAGTTTAATTCCGGTTCAACAATTGCAAATTCAGACCGATCTCCAAATAGTCTAGATCAAACAACAAAAATTGTTTTACATAAAACTGAATTGATTGAAAATGATTATAAAATTAATTTCAATCTTATTGATACACCCGGCTTTGCAGATTACATTAATAATAAATACTGTTGGATTCCGGTTTGTGATTATATTGACACACAAAATCGATTATATTTATTCCAAGAATCTCAACCAATTCGAGAAAAAATGGTTGACCATCGAGTTCATTGTTGTTTGTATTTCATATCACCAACAAATAAGGGATTGTGCGATTTAGATATTAAATCAATGAAAGAAATTTCAAAACGAGTGAATTTGATTCCAATTATTTCAAAAGCAGATGGATTCACCAAATTGGAATTGGATAACTTCAAGTATGAAATCAGAAAAACTATTAAAGAGTTTAATATTCCGCTTTGTCAATTTATTCAAGATAAAGAGCTTTTAAGAGAAATTAAAAATGAATTACCATATGCTGTAATTGGGTCGCAATTCAATCATGACTCAAACAAAAGAGGGCGACAGTATAAATGGGGTTACGTTTCTATAGACGATGACAATAATAGTGATTTTTATCGCATCAGCAGCTTGCTAATTAAAGATCATATGCTAGATTTAATTTTAGGAACTGAAAGTTATTATGAGCAGTATCGTTCGCAGTTATACAAGTTGAAATTGGTACAATCTTCTGATTTAAGTGAGAATGATGAGGATAGAAATGTGTATAAAGGGTATAATGATAGTGGCAGCGAGATTAATTATGATGGATCTAGAAAAAAGAATCATTATAAGGAAAAGACTGGCAAAGTAGAGAAGACTATCAATTCTGCTTCGAGTTCAAAAAGCAATGATAAGGATGGTGAAGAGAAGGAAGGAAAAGAAGAAGGACACAATGATGACAATGAGAATGAAGATAAGAATTCAAAGGGAATTGCAAGCTCAAAAGCGAGAAAAGTTGTCGGTTTTCCAGTTGATGATAGTGTTAACATCAAAACAGATGGATTGGAGGCATTTTGCAAGTCGTCAACAGTGGATTATGCGAGTATTGACAGATTCTTTATGGAAATGAATCCAATTTTTGTTGATAAGAAACAGCATCTTTCGAAAAAGTTCAACGAAGTTATTGGGGTTTGGGAGCATAATTTCCGAGAATGGAAGACAGCATTGATTAAGAAGCAAAAAATGTGCAACGAAGACATCCAGCAAGTGCATATAGCAGGTAGAGAGTTGGAGAATCAAATCAAAAAACTCAGAGAAGTTGAGATGCTCAAAACCCATCACGACAGCAGCTATGAGGTAGCTAATACCAAAGGATAGGCGAAGAGGTGTTGGCTATGCCTCTGGTGGGCTTTTGTGCTGCTGGTAAGACAGTTGTTGTTGGACAGTGCTGGAGCAGGTCCACCTACAACATATATAGACACCTATAGCCCAGCTTCAATACACACAATGTCGACACAGAGCAGTCTGAGAGCATCTGGCGATGTTGGGCAATTGTCCAATCAACAGCTGGAGTGAAAAATTTTCATTTAAGCTTTTCCAGGGCAGTATATAAAGGCTTCCACCTCTGCTTGCTTCTCTTTCTTTCTTCTTTATCCACTCCACGACCGGTACGTTGTTCTTCAGAAGCAGCGCTAACAGCTCAACCGGCAGAACCTGAATTGTAAGTTCTATCTACTTCCTCTCAGCACAGCATCTGCTTTCTAGATGATGAACATTTAGTATACATGTTTTTTCTGGCATCTCTAATGCTAGGGCTGTTCGAAGAGCTCGATGAATACAACCTTGACTATTATCTGAGTTGGAAGCAGATGCTGTGTCCAGCTTGGAAGCAAGCTCGTCTGGACCAAGTCTGAAAGCATTACTAACCTCTGTCTGTTGGCAAGCCTCTTAGTATATAGAGTACATAGTAATACACACCCTTCTCTCTTCTGTCCTCTCTCCTCTCTCCTCTCTCCTCTCTCCTCTCTCCTCTCTTCTGCTGCCTGTGCTGCTTCTGCTGCCTGTGCTGCTTCTGCTGCCTGTAAACACCCGCTGCTTCGGCCCAGACCCAGCGCATCGCCTGAGTCGTCCAGCTCCCTTCTACCTTCGTCCCACCCTTCTTTCTGCTTTCTCGCCTCTGCAAATTTTCTTCTCTGTAACACTATCCATCCGCAATATGTCTGAGCATTCAGTATGTTGTTTCTGTTCTCGAGCTTCTGTTGTCGTCTCGTTCTCTTGTTTCTGTCTTGCCATTTACTAACCTCTCGATCCACCATAAGGATGTCCTTTCCCCTGGCAGAAATGCCATACACATCATCGTTGATCCCTCAGCTCTCGTCAAGGGAATTGGTAATATCAAGCGATGGACTGAAAGCTCTTCCACCAAAATTGTTTTCTTTTTGCCCTCCTACACTCTACATGAGTTGGACTATTTGAAAAAGGGCATTTCTATGATCGCAACGAATGCGAGAGAAAGCATCAAGTTCATCGATAAAATGATCACCTTGTCTGATAAAAACTACAATATCCATCATCTCGATGATGATTTTGATAATTTAAACAACTTCAGCATCAACCCTTCTTCCTCAGTTTCATTCAACATTGCTACCCCTGAAGAAGCTGGCCCCAAATGGAATAGCTGTTTGAAATTTAAAATCCATTCTCCAGTTCTCTCTGAATTCCCAAACAATAAGACCACTTTCCAACCAACTACAATTCAATACGAATCCTCTTTCAACACCTACAATAACAGCAACAACTATAACCATAATAATAAACCAGATATGCCTCTAAGATTAAGATACTTGATTAGACCTTGTATCTTGAAATCCTTTATTGAAAACAACATTAAAAACCTAAAATCAAAATCATATCTAAGTGATCTATATTTTGACAAAGTTTATGACAATAATCAAAACTTTACTAAATGGTACATCTTGACTGAAGATTCGATCACAAATATTTGGCTAAAAAGTTTCGGTTTATCAACTATTAATCTCCATGATGCGGAATTGTTAATTAAAAATGGTAAATTAACCTCAAAAAACTATTTAAACAATTACTTTATCAATTATCTTAAAAATTCCTTTTCAATTGGAAATAACAACTTGAATGAAAATTTAAATGAAAATCTAAATCAAAGTCTAAATGGAAATTCAAATTCAAATTCAAATTCAAATTCAAATTCAAATCCAAATCCAATTTCTACCAACAACACCTCTTTAAATGATCAAATTAAAAACATCAATACCAATTCCATTGATAATAGCACCAAAGATACCAAAAATATGCAATTTCCAATCTCTGACGATTTCAAAAAAAGACTTCTCAATAAACTGCATAAAAATCAAAAATCAAGAAGATCTTCCGCCACCTCTCCCATTTTTAAATCAAAGAAATTCCTCTCCAGCAACAATTATTCCACCGCTGATGATTCCGCTTCAAATACAGTTCATCGTGAAAAATTTAATAAAATGACTTATGCCCCTAGAGGATCCGGCGAATTATGGACCCCATAATCAATTTGGCTTTATCCCATCAATGAAACAATGAAACAATGAAACAATAATCCATATTAAATATATGATAAAAAATGAACCATTGGAATTTGAGTTTAACGACTAATATTTAAATTTAGGCAAACTTTAGGCACTTTTTCTTCTTCCTAAGTTGGCGCCTATTTTTATTGTTTAATTTTTTTGTTTTCAATTTCAATTTCAATTTAATATCGTTTATTAAATTTCTTTCAAAGGTTTGTCACTGGTTATTGAAACTAATGTTTTTTTTTTCAACAAATTTTTTAAAATTAGTCTTTCTCGGTTTTCATTTTTCAACAATATTTTAAAAAAATATTTTAAAAATCAAAATAATCAAATGCAATAATATATAAAAGGATAAATTTATTTGATCAAGTCTGGTGCTAATATAAAGTTTAGAAAATATCTTTTAGAAAATATCTTTTAGAAAATATCTTTTAAAAAATATCTTTTAAAAAATTTCAAAAGAAATTTTTTTTTGAAAAAATCTTTTGGAAAATATTGATTGCAAGTTTTAACATTATTTGTTTTTTATAGTATTTATCTATCTTTTTATACGTTTTTTTATTTAATTCAATAATATTAGTTTCCAATCACTACTTTTATATTTCTTACAAATTTTATTAGTCGATGCTGAAAATTTTTATTAATTAATGGATTGAACGTCGCTAGTGGATAAGCAAAACAAAAAAAATAACTTTAAATAACTGTAAAAGGATAAAAGAGTAAAAGAGTATTAATTAGGCAGTGAACGGGCTGAATTGGGCCTTGATAATAAACATATCGAATCAAATAACAGACCCAGCCATATAGTTAAATTTTTTATGGATTGGGTAAATGAGAGATCAGTTGAAAGTAAGTTATGCTAATCAAATTGATTCATTGATTAAACTTATTAATTCTAATGATTCAATTGAATCTTTTGTATGAATTAAACATTATGACTGACCTAAACATTTTGTGTTCAAGTCTATTAGTTTGAGGATATTGATCTAATAGATCTAATCGATCATCTGGATCATTTGGATCATTTGGATCATTTGGATCATTTCGATCATCTAGAAGAGTATTAAAATCATTATTAAAGGTGTTTCGAAAGTTTTGTGTATCAGATGGTACATTTGATAGAGGCAATATAGGATGCACTAATTCTCTAGAAATTTCAACATCTCCTTTTCTTTGTTGTAGTTGTTTTAGTTGTTTTAGTTGTTGTTTTAGTTGTTCTTGTTGTTGTTCTTGTTGTTGTAGTTGTTGTAGTTGTTCTTGTTGTTCTTGTAATCGTCCTTGTTGTTCTTGTAGTAGTTGTTCTTGTTCTCGTTGTAGTTGTAGTTGTATTTGTAGTATTTTTTTTGGTAGTTGTTCATTGGTCAGACCTACCCCTCTAATCAAATGAGGTGAACTGAACTTTCTGAAGACATCCCATAAATCATCATTATTGAATAGATTCTGGGGCTGGTCATTGGGTTGTGTGTTGTCAGACGATGTCAACATTGATTGAAAATTTGGAATGGGTTCAAAAAAATTCACTTTATAAGATGTATTTAGTGGAAGAAAACCGTTCAATTGAGATAACTTTGGGAGACTATTAACGAAAGAAGTGCCAATTGTTCGAGTTCCAGTTGTTTCATTAGCTTGAGCAGCAATTCCAAAAGAGGATTTTGAACCGAAGCTTACTTTCAGGCTATTTTCAACATGGGATGATGCAGAAGACTTATGTTTGCTATTAGCTTGAGAAAAATTGCCTTGATCCTCAGGACTGTGAGACTGTTGCTGGCGATGATCACTTCCACCATTAGTGTTGGTGTTGTCGCTACTTTTGTTATCGAATTTGGAGGCCAGATCGAAAAAGAGACTTGATTTACCAGAACTTCTAGAGTTTTTCTGAAATTTAAGTAAAAAGAAGACTTTGATCTTCTTTCAACTCATAGAAGAGTTCCCTTAGAAGCAGGATGCTTACGCCTTATACGCTACAAGTGTTCTACGAGACCAGTTGAAAGGAAATGGAAGTGAGACAACATTTCATTACCCGCTCTTACCATCAAAATGGCAGGTTCCTTTCTTATGCATGCATAGTAATGAGTTGTGATGCAAAGCACTGCAGCCCCAGCTTTTGGTTCTGCTTTTTGTGTATTGAAGAGGTAATTGAAAAGAGCGAGAAGACAGATCGAAGGTTGGTCAGAGTAAACAGTCTTCAGATGTAGTCTTTGATCCAAGTGGAGTTTAGCTGTTCCTGGAACGACTTGAAGACAGCTAGAATCTCAGATTCGGTGTATGGTCTTTCAAACATCTTTGAGATCTGTAACAATTCATTTGAGATATCCACCACTAGTTTTCTGAGTTCTGGATTGGCAAATTCTTCTTGTGAACCACTCGTTCTGTTTTGCAAACAGAAGTTATTAAAGTAGTTATTGAGATAGAACTTGATGATTTTTTCAATGAAAAGTGCTATCTTAAATATGATTATCTCTTGATTATTAGCCGAAAAGCTGTTCAATTTGTTAATATAACGGTTAAATGTTTTCAAAAAACTTATCTTATTAACGCTTCCATCCGTTAAGAACTTATAGTTTAGCTTCAATCTGACTTGAACAAAACATGACAAGTCCATCAATTTATCTATCTCAATAATAGCTAAATTTGTATTAATTCCACTAACAATTGTTTCAATTTGTCCATCTAATTTATAATCATATGACTGGATTTGGTTTGCAATTGCAACTGGCGAATTCCAATTCTTAATACTGATATATTTTAAATTCAATTCTTTCAACAATTCTGCGCGAACATATTTTTGAGAAATAGCAAAATCAATACTATCATCTAATAAATCGGTGATATTTTTACTTATATTATTTGGTAAATCCAATAAACAACAAATCATTGAATCAATTCTTTCAACAGAAATCCAAATTAGTTTCTCGTCATTATAAACGTTCAATTGTTTTGCTAATGATATGATTTCAGATAATTCTTTCCAAACTTTTCTTTGAAACACAACTTTATTATCTAAGCTGTTATTATTACTAATTAAAAATTCTTCATAAATAATTAGTGATTGCAAGTAAGGAATGGAATAATCTTCAATGTGGTTCTTGTAATACTCATAAATGTTTTTCAAATTGTTAATAAATTCTACTATTTTAATACTTTGATCTGATAAATACTCATAATATGTTTCAAAGGGATAATAATTCAATGTAATGATAATAATTGGATAAATAACCCAGGTATTTAATAAAGCTTGAGAATCTTGAATCCTGTCTGATTTAAATAATAGTTTAATATAGTTTTCAATTACTTTTTTATTAAAAAAAAAACTAATATCATTGATTTTAAAAAAATCTTGAACAATTTTATTAAGAAACCTGTGATCTTTTTTTTTATTTCCCGAAATACTTGGAATCTTGGAGAATTCATTATAAATATCGATATAAGTGGATTGTGAAGATTGAATACATTCCATTAAATCATTGGAGGTTAATTTGAACAAACCTCTCGATTTTAAACAGATATTATTCACCAACCCAGGTAATTGATTATCTTCATGAATTTCGTGATTGTTATTGCTATTGCTATTGTTATTAGCAATTTCAGTTGCAATTTTGGTTTCATGTGAGTCATTACTATAGTTATTGTTGATGGTTTGATAATTATCAAGATTTGGGTCATTAATTGCAGAAAAAGCAGAAGAGTTATCAAGATTTTGAAGAACATTTCTATTTCCATTTCCATTTTTATTCTTAGAGTTGGAATATGAAGATCTTAGTTTCTTTGAAATGCTGCTGTCATTGTTTTCTACAATAGAGGTAGATGTTGATCTTTTGCGCGAATCTTTCGGTTGTTTGATTTCATCTCTATTTAATAGAAAGGAAGCATCCGGTAGAAACTGATCATCGTCTTGGTCAAGATTATTTGGATAGTCATCACGATGGTTACTTAGGGCTTTATTTAAAACTTCAATAATTGAGTTTAGGTCATTTGTGATTATAGAGACTTCTTGATCGGAAAGAGAGTTTTTAATGATTTTGTCTTTTAGTTCATTTGAGTAAGATTTTTTTGAGTTTTTGGGATAAACACATTCAATTTCTCTTTTCCAGCAAGATTCGCAATGTTTTTCTCGATTGCATCTTTTTTTTGCCTTTTTACAAGCTAAGCAGGAGGAAGATTGAGTTAAGTTTTTATATTGAGTGAAAATTCGTTCAATTTCTGGGTCGTCGTAGGAGGATAAACCAAATAACAAGGAGTTGATTTTATGGAGCAATTTCAGAAATAATTTAGCGTTATTTGAGTCGCCAAGAGCGTTTTTTCTGTTTGAGATGTTTAGTTGTTTTTCAATAGACGAGTTATTAATGTCGAATTTGAAGTCCTTTTGAATTTTTTTTTGGATGAGAGATTGATTTTTTTTTTGGATTTGATTATGAGAGGGTTTGTCTTTAAATTTAAAGATTAGTTGATTTGAGTATTGGGATTGATCTATGTTGGGAGTGAGAGAGATGTTATTTTTATTATTTTTATGACTTTTGATGGAGTTTCCATTATTGTTATTATCATCATTTTTATTATTGTTATGATTATTGTTATGAGTATGGTTGATGTGATTATTTGAAATGATATTTTTATTGTCGTTAATGGAAGAGATTTGTTTTAAGGCAGTTGTTTCTAAAATGAAGGTAGGTTCAATATTTTCTAGAGATTGTTCAGTATTTTTTTCGAAATCTAGATCCAGTTGATTTATGTTATCTTCTATTTGGAGATCAGTATCATTTGAGGAATAGACGCCCATGGGGATTTTTTGTTTTGACATTGAGACCCTTTTTCTTTTGGGAAAGCCCTTTGTTTTGATTCTATTTTCTAGTAGGATGAGTTTTTGAATGAGGTTTTTGATTATCCTTTGGTTGTTTGAGTTGGAGGATACGGGTTTTTCTTTAAGGCAGGTCTTTGAGAAGACCTTTGACTTTGATGGGAAAAGACAGTCAGAGTTTTGAAGAGCACATTGGTTGCAGGGAGATAGTTTGTCGCATTTGAGGTTTTTCTCAAAGCAGTTTTCACAGCGATGGGTGTTGACGTTGAAGGAAACGATTGAAGAGTCGTAATCGGAATCGTTGAGGAGGATTTCGCGATCATTTGGGGCGATGTTGAGGGACTCCTCTAGAAAGTTGATTCTTTGCAAGAGATTGTTGATGACCTTTGGGTAGGACTTGGAGATGTTTGAGGGATCAATGGTGATTTTGGAGTCGTCAGGAAAAACACAGGCTCTTTCTTTGGAGAAACAGGGAGTGCACGAAGGTAGCAGCTTGTCACATTTGATTTTACGCTTGGAGCATTCCAAACACCTTAGCAAAGAAAACTGGATTACTTCTGGGGAGAGAGAGTTGGTGATATCCTGTTGGTTTAACGCGTTTGGAGGATATTCGGGCATAGATAGTTGGGATGAATAGGACATGGTTTGAGGGGGAGAAACAGGGTCGGTNGGGGGGGGGGGTCTCGAAGCACGCGAAAAGAGGAGGAGGCGTGGAAGAGAGAGAAGAGGTCAAAAACGACAATTGCGGCGGACGCAGAGGAGCCAATGACACGGGAAGCAGAGGAAGCAGAGGCAGCAGAGGCACGAAACGATGAGCTGTGTCGCAGCGGGTGGAGTGGTGAGAAGGAAATCTCCTCTGGCGTGGTTTTCAAGGCGCGAGCGCTCACTTTTTATAGCAAACGGGCGCAACGAGCCCTCGTCGCACTGCTCGCCCACAACCCCCTTTCTCCGCTTCCAGGCCGTGTGCAAGCGCAGTGCGGCACCACTGCCCAGGCTCTGTCCCGCGTTGTCCGTCCTCCGCTTTGCAACTCCCGTTGCTCACAGGTCCACCCGCGCTGACTTTTGACTGCGCGGGCCCTGCACAAATGCAACATGCGCGCCCGCAGTGCGCTTTCGGCGAGACCCAGATAGCCGCGCGCTCGCCGCCCACTCGCTATTCCTTTAGGCGGCCGTGCTGCGGGCAGGCACCCGGAGCGGTCTCTCACTGGCCCGTCGCACGCCGTGTCACGTGCAGGCCTCGTCGGACTGGTCCCGTTGTGTCTGCCGATGCCGGGTAACCGTCCCGCTCCGCGATGCGCTTGTGGTGCTGTGAAAAATTTCAGCACACGCAGCAGCTTCCTCTCAGCACCCATCCTCCCCCAGCCCATGTCTATCGTTGGCAGTTTGATCTTCTGTGTCGATTGTGGCAACCTCTTGGACTCTGTGGTCTCCCGCAGAACCCTCGACTGCGAAATATGCTCCAGGTCCTATCCTTCTTCTCGTATGTCTCTTGTTCCGTTGTTTCTTCTCGTCCCACTGCCCTTCGTCTCAACTAACTGCCCATATCTCAACTCCAGAATTCGAAAATCTAAGAGTCGTCACAACCTCCTCAGATGACGCCTTTCCTTCTGCCTTACGGCTCAAGCGTTCTGCTGTTAAAACCACAATGTCTGGCGACGGAAATGAAGGTGCGCTCATTGAAGAAATATGTCCCAAATGTGGTCATAATGAAGCTTCCTACCATACTCTCCAATTGCGTTCTGCTGATGAAGGTGCTACTGTTTTCTACACATGCACTAAATGCCATCACAAGTACAGAGAGAATAATTGATACTTTTCCAATCTCATCTCATCTCGCCTCACCTCATTTCACTTCCAAAACTCAGTTTCGCGCTTTTCATCATTCTTTTGTACTCTTATCTATATTCAGCTTTACCCATTATTTTATCTCAATTTCAAACCTACAATGAATGATTGGATTAAAAAACAAAAGAAAAAAAAAATCTATGAAAAACTATGAAAAACTATGAAAAACTATGAAAAACTATGGAAAATTATAGAAAATTGTGGAAAATTATTGAAAACTATGGAAAATTATGGGAAACTATCAAAATGTCTTTATGCTTTTTATCTCTATAAACAATACCTTACCTGTTTTTATTTTTCCTCGGTCAAACACGATTACTATTATCCCTATCGCTCATCTCACTCATCTCACTTACCTCGCTCATTCCTCTTAATTTCAATCTTTTGTAATATCGTGTCGATGAATTTTCAAAGTTTTCCTCCATTTGTATCTTTTCTTCTTTCTCATTTTGCTCTCTTAACCTCGCCTCTTTTTCTTGTAATCTAGTCGATCTTTTTCTATGTACAATCAAATTTTGTATTTTCTTCTCCTTCAATCTCAAATAATACTTTTTCTTATTATCTACATCTTTTAAAAGTAACTTTGGAAAAATCCTATCAATCAACAACTTCTTATAAAAATATGTCACCTCTTTATTTTTCCTCGTATACTTTGACAACCTTTCCTCAATAAATCTAACAAAATCATAAATTGTAACCGTTAAACATTCCCATTTGAAATTATTCATCTTCTTTTGTTTTTTCTGATTTCTCTTATAAACTATTGTCTTCTTATACAACCGGTTCTCATTCAAAAAAAAATACGACTCCTCACTTATAGACGTTATACTCTTATGAATTATCTTGGAATATATAGGAAACTGGCATTGATGTAAAAAATCACAATTTTCACTGCTATTCTCATTGTTACTATTAAATTCTTCATTGTTCTCATTACTATTCTCGCTTATCTCATCAACAAATCTCTTGAATGATTCATATGATCCCACTTTTTCAATCAATAAATAGTATATATTGATTTTCTCTTCCAAATTTAAAAACTTGAAAAAATTCTCATTTGTTATTTTATCCTTATCTTCTTCCTTCACCCCATTTACTCCACTTACTCCATTTACTCCATTCACTACACTCTTTTCATTCTCAATTCTATTACTTTTTTCACCAACCTCTTTGAAATTTCTCGATTTAATTTTCACATTGTATTTTTTAAATAATATATTCAAATAATTCTTATCAATTTTCTCTTGTTCATCAACATCCAATGTTTTATTAACCTTACTCTTATCCTCTTCACATTCAGGCCCTTCGCCCTCATTCTCATTCTCATTCTCATTCTCATTCTCATTCTCATTCTCATTTTCATTCTCATCATCTCTATCATTTTCATCATCACTATCTCTATCTCTATCTTTATCACTTCTTCCAACTAACAAATCTGAAATCTCTTCGTCATTGCTATTGTATAGATACATATACACATAATAATCGAATTCGACTGCACTGGATATTCTTGAGACAAACTTCAAAAGTGGTAGTCTTCTAATTAATCCACATTTAAACTCATCAAAAAATCTTGGTGGCGATATCGCCCCGACCAATTCCTCTTCAAATATAGATATATTAAAATTAACGTTCGGTGAAATCTTGAGATACGATTTAAACATAAGTATCCAGTTAAATACATATGAAAACTTCCAATTCGACCTAGTGCTTTCCAACATCGAATCATATGGAGAAACCTCGCATGGCAAATATGCTGGCAATTTTAGTAGCTGTCCAACGTGATTTTCACTCACTTGAGCCTTAACGCATGAATCTAACAACCCATTAGCAGGATGTTCACTTTCAACATCAAGAGGCTTCTTTGAAGGCATTCTGTCGTGGTGACAATAAAGACAAAAAATGCTGTTTGCTCAATACATCTCTCTTCATTTCTTGAAAAGTCGTTTTGCTCGTGAAAAATTCCCACATGGTCCCATGTAGATGGATCCAATAGGGTAAGCGCATTTTTTAAAAAATTTTAAAATTTTGAATTATCTTTGGGTCTGGAAGTTGTTTTGGGGTTTAAAATAATTTTTATTCATTCAATCTTATCGAATTATTGGTTTTTTTTTCAATCTATTTTTGCTTTGGCCCTTGAAGAATTTACATAAATATTATAGAGTTTTCCCTAGTTTTCTCTGTTTGGTTTTTTTCCTTTTTGTTTTCGAAATCTTTTTCGTTTTTTCATCCATTTGTCAAAAGGCAACAATTCTCAATTTGAGTTTATTACTATACTATATTATATTATATATAAGAAATATTTCTATATCTTATTTTTCAGGGTTTTTTGTTCTTGTGAAAGATGTCCATTGAAGAAGTTGATGCTGCTGTTTCTTTAGAGGAATTAAGAGATGTTCTTATTGATAAAACTGGTGACACTAAGTTAGCTAACAGATTTAGAGCGTTGTTCAATTTGAAATCCATTGGTGAAGAGTTCCAAATCAATGCCAAAAAAGCAAACAAGGCAATTGAATATATATGTCAATGCTTTAATGACGAATCCGAACTATTAAAACACGAAGTCGCTTATGTCTTGGGACAAACAAAAAATCTCCATGCTACTACTTATCTTCGTGATGTCCTTGAAGATCCAAACCAACAAGTTATGGTTAGACATGAAGCTGCTGAGGCTTTAGGTGCTTTGGGTGATAAAGATTCATTGCCTTTATTGACAAAATATTTTAATGAAGATCCATTGATTGAAATTAGACAAACTTGTGAATTGGCTATCGAAAGAATAAATTGGGAAAAAACTTCCAAAAAGAATGAAGTTTTAGAAAAATCTGCTTACTCTTCAGTTGATCCTGCACCTCCTTTACCTTTAGATCAAGATTATAAGATTGACCAATTGAAAAAGATTCTCAACAGTCAAGAAGAAACCTTATTCAACAGGTATAGAGCCATGTTTAGATTGAGAGATATTGGTAGCGATGAAGCTTGTAAGGCATTAGCTTCTGCATTTGCTGACCCTTCTGCATTGTTGAAACACGAAATTGCCTATATATTTGGTCAAATTTGTAACCCAGTTGTTGTACCTGATTTGGTCAAAGTGCTCAAGAAAAAGGATGAAGCTCCAATGGTTAGACACGAAGCTGCTGAAGCTTTGGGGGCAATTGCTACTGATGACGTTTTACCTGTATTGAAGGACATGTTAAAAGACGATGTTGACGTTGTCAAAGAAAGTGCAATTGTTGCTTTAGACATGTACGAGTATGAAAATTCAAATGAAATCGAGTATGTTACTGTTAAAAATTAGCCAATTGCTGTTTTAAATTATGTTTTGGAATCTTGAGTTCTTCTTTATTATATCATTTATTACCATTATATCACTATATCACTATATCACTATTTCACTATACTATTATATCGTTTAATTTTTAATGTTTAATCTGGTTTCGGTAGGTTTGATTCTTTCTTTATCAAGACCCCACATAATCTCGGTCGTAAAGGTTCTCGCAGCTTCTTGTAGGAATATGCAGCAACTCGCCGCTTAAAAAATGAGACCGCTATCCTGGTTCTTCTATTGCTTAGTCAGCATATGCCATTTTTTAAAATTAAAATTACTTCTTGGATCTTGCAATTTTTTGGAAATATTAATATTCAATTTACCTGACTTTGTATTATAATTATAGTATAAATAGTTTTTTGGACATAAATCATTGATTGTCAATAACAATGAATAACTATCCTCCTCCTCCTCCATCGCCGCCTCCACCACCTCCTTCACCACCTCCACCACCATCTCCACCACCATCTCCTCCTTCATTACATCCAATATTTCGCGACAGTGATTTATTACCACCTCCACCACCACCACCTTTAGATTCCATTGAATCGGACAAATTTTCTGCTCAAATAGATAGTGCTCATGACACCCATCCTGTTTTGAATTTTTATGAGGAATTTAATGATATTGATCTTGATAATGATAATGAATTGATGCAAAGACAAAAAGAATGGTTTCGAATCCAGAAATTAAGATTCAAACCAAAAGTATCTTCAAAAAAACGATTTGGTGGTTTGGTGCACCCAAAAAAATTTGAAATGCCTCCTGAACATTTAAGAAAAATTATTTTTGACCATGGAGATATGTCCTCAAAATTTTTTCAGAATGATAAAAGATCATTTCTAGGGTCTTTGAAATACATGCCTCATGCAATTTTAAAACTATTAGAAAATATGCCTCAACCTTGGGAGCAAATTAAAGAGGTAAAGGTTCTATATCATACTACTGGTGCTATAACATTTGTAAATGAAACTCCGAGAGTTATTGAACCCGTCTATATTGCCCAGTGGGCAACCATGTGGTTGATGATGAGAAGAGAAAAAAGAGATAGAAGACATTTCAAAAGAATGAGATTTCCACCATTCGATGATGAAGAACCACCTTTAGATTACATGGAAAATATTGAGGATTTAGAACCTCTCGATTCAATACAGCTAGAACTTGATAAAAATGAAGATAAAAATGTTTATGATTGGCTTTATGATTATAAACCGTTATTGGATAGTAAATACCATGAAAATAATCCCAAATTGAACTTTATAAACGGTTCTTCTTATAAAAAATGGAATCTAAATTTAAAACAAATGGCTGATCTTTTAAGATTGTCAACTCCATTGTTATCCGAAAATATTGATAAAAATTACTTTTTTCTTTTTGACAAAGAATCATTTTTCACTGCAAAAGCTTTAAATATTGCCATACCTGGTGGTCCAAAATTTGAACCGCTATATAAAGATATTGAACCTGAACTAGAAGACTATGGTGAATTTAACTCAATTGACAGAGTAATAATCAGAATTCCTATAAAAACTGAATATAGAATAAGTTTTCCTTATCTTTATAATTCTTCAGTGCGATGTGTCGAAGCTAGTTCTTATAGTGAACCTATTAATTTATATATTAAAAATGATAATCCTGATATTCCCACTTTTGAATTTAATGAAAGTTTCAATCCTATAACACAGAGAAATTTAGTTACAAATAAAGATTTACGAAAATTTGAGGACTATGGATTTGATCCAATTACTGGGGATGACCTTGATGATGATTTTAAAATTTTGCCATCAAAAATAAAACCATTTTTGGCTTCAGAAAATTTGGAAAATGAGAAGGTGAATAGTGCTATTCAACTATGGTGGTCACCTTATCCTTTTAATCGTCGATCAGGCAGAATGGTCAGAGCGCAAGATGTCGCGCTAGTCAAGAAATGGTATTTGCAACATCCTCCTCCTGGTTATCCTGTCAAAGTTAAAGTTTCCTACCAAAAGTTATTGAAAACTTATGTGCTTAATGAATTGCACAAAAAGAACCCAAAAGTAACAAGGAATATTAGAAAAGTAAAATTATTAAACTCTCTCAGAAATACTAAGTTTTTTCAACAAACATCTATTGACTGGGTCGAAGCAGGTCTACAGGTCTGCAAACAAGGCCATAATATTTTAAATTTACTAATTCACAGAAAGGGTCTAGTTTATCTTCATTTAGATTATAATTTTAATTTAAAACCAACTAAGACATTGACCACAAAAGAAAGAAAGAGATCTAGATTTGGTAATGCATTTCATCTTATGAGAGAGATTTTGAAAGTTATTAAACTTTTAGTAGATGCTCAAGTTCAATACAGATTAGGTAACGTTGACGCCTTTCAATTAGCCGACGGGATATATTATATTTTGAATCACTTGGGTCAATTAACTGGTATCTATCGTTACAAATATAAAGTAATGCATCAAATAAGATCTTGCAAGGATTTAAAACATGTTGTCTATTACCGATTTAATGTTACAATTGGGAAAGGTCCTGGGTGTGGTTTTTGGCAGCCTGCTTGGAGAGTTTGGATATTTTTCTTAAGAGGTATAATTCCCTTATTAGAAAGATGGCTAGGGAATTTGTTAGCTAGACAATTTGAAGGTAGACATTCGAAAGAAGTTACCAAAACTATCACTAAGCAAAGAGTTGATTCGTATTATGATCTCGAATTAAGAGATGCTGTTATGCATGATATATTAGATATGATACCCGAAGGAATAAGACAGTCTAAAGCTAAAACAATTCTTGCTCATTTGAGTGAGGCCTGGAGATGTTGGAAGGCAAATTTGCCATATAAAGTTCCAGGGTTGCCTGGTCCTATACAACAAATAATTAATCGTTATATTAAAGCCAAAGCAGATGGCTGGATTTCCGTTGCACATTATAATAGAAAAAGAATAAGAAGTGGCACTAATATTGAAAAAACTGTTGCAAAAAAGAATCTTGGTAGATTGACCAGGTTATGGCTAAAAAACGAACAAAATCGTCAAATAAGTTTTCAAAAAGATGGACCTTACATATCAACGGATGAAGCTATCACAATACATTCTCTCATGGTTCAGTGGCTAGAAGATAGAAAATTTCAACCAGTTCCGTTTCCTCCACTAAGTTATAAGTATGATACAAAATTACTCGTGCTAGCATTAGATAATTTAAAGGAAGGGTTCGGATCCAAAGGACGATTAAATGCGAGTCAGAGGGAAGAATTAGCTTTGTTAGAACAGGCATATGATAACCCACATGATTGTCTTAACAGAATAAAGAGGTTTATTTTGACTCAAAGAGTATTTAAAGATGTGAACCTTGATATGATGGATTATTATGATTATATTCAACCAACATATGAAATTGATCCTTTAGAAAAAATAACAGATGCCTATTTAGATCAGTATCTATGGTTTGAGGCTGATCGTAGACAATTATTTCCTAGTTGGATAAAACCTTCAGATTCAGAAATCCCCCCTTTGATGACGTATAAGTGGTGTCAGACTATTAACAATCTAGAAGATGTTTGGGACACTTCTAAAGGTCAGTGTAATGTTATGTTGCAAACAACTCTAAATAAGATTGCAGAGAAGATAGATTTTACATTACTTAATAGACTATTACGATTAATAATCGATCCCAATATCGCTGACTATGTCACTGCCAAATATAATGTTTCTATTAATTACAAAGATATGAGTCATGTTAACACTTATGGAATTATAAAAGGCTTAAAATTCTCATCATTTGTATTTCAGTTTTATGGGTTGATAATTGATTTGTTACTTCTTGGTCCAGAAAGAGCTGCTGAACTAGCAAATAATGAAACTAACGATGAGCATCCAATTAAACTCTATTGTCGTTACATTGATAAGATATACATGTTTTTTAGGTTTGAAAATGAAGATGCTGATGATTTGATTAAAGATTTTCTTTCGGAGAATCCTGATCCAAATTTTGAGAATGTTATTAATTATAATAATCGTCGTTGTTGGCCTAGGGATCAGAGAATGAGATTAATGCGTCATGATGTTAATCTTGCTAAAGCTGTTTTCTGGCAAATTAGTTATCGTGTTCCAATGTCGTTAACATCCTTAGAATGGGATTCTGATGATACTTTTGTGTCCGTTTATAGTAAGGATAATCCCAATTTGTTGTTTACGATGTGTGGCTTTGAAGTTAGAATATTGCCAAAATGCCGATTAAATGAAGATTCTTCTGTTAAAGAGGGAACTTGGAAACTTATTAATCAAGAAACAAAAGAAAGGACAGCAATAGCCTATCTCCAAGTATCACAGGAACAAGTGAAAAAGTTTAATAACCGTATCAGACAAATTTTGATGTCTTCTGGGTCGACTACATTTACAAAGATAGCAGGTAAATGGAATACGGCGTTAATTGCATTGTTTTCATATTTTAGAGAAGCTGTTATATCAACTGAATCATTGCTTGATTCTTTAGTTAAATGTGAAACAAAAATTCAAACAAAAGTTAAAATGGGATTAAATTCAAAGATGCCTACTCGTTTCCCTCCTGCTGTATTTTATACTCCAAAGGAATTGGGAGGTCTTGGAATGCTAAGTGCATCTCATATTTTAATCCCTGCTTCTGATTTAAGATGGTCTCAACAAACAGACACAGGAATTACACATTTTCGTTCAGGTATGACACATCAAGATGAAAAAATAATCCCAACAATACATAGATATATTTTATCTTGGGAAGAGGAATTTACTGATTCTCAGAGAGTTTGGGCAGAATATGCAATCAAAAGAAAAGAAGCAATCCAGCAAAACCGTCGTCTTGCTTTTGAGGATATGGAAGATAATTGGGACCGAGGTATTCCAAGAATAAGTACATTGTTTCAAAAGGATCGACACACACTTGCTTATGACAAAGGTCATCGTATTCGAACAATTTTCAAACAATATTCAATGACATTATACAATTCGTTTTGGTGGACAAGTAATTTTCATGATGGTAAATTATGGAATTTAAATGCATATCGTACGGATGTTATTCAGGCTCTTGGTGGTATTGAAACTATTTTAGAACATACTCTATTTAAAGCAACTGGGTTTGATTCTTGGGAAGGCTTATTTTGGGAAAAAGCTTCTGGTTTTGAAGATTCATTAAAGTTTAAAAAATTAACAAATGCCCAAAGATCCGGTTTGAGTCAAATACCTAACCGTCGTTTTACGTTATGGTGGTCTCCAACAATTAATCGTGCAGATGTTTATGTCGGTTTTTTGGTGCAGTTAGATTTAACTGGGATATTTCTTCATGGGAAAATACCCACTTTAAAAATTTCATTAATTCAAATTTTCCGTGCTCATTTATGGCAAAAAATTCATGAAAGTGTTGTTTTTGATATTGCACAAGTTTTTGATCAGGAATCTGAACAATTACAAATTGATTCTGTTCAAAAAGAGGCGATCCATCCTCGTAAATCGTATAAGATGAATTCATCATGTGCAGATATATCATTGGCTAGTTCATACAAATGGTCAGTGAGCAGACCATCATTGTTGTATGATAGAAGTAATGAGTTTAATGCAACTACGACCGAAAAATACTGGATTGATATTCAATTGCGTTATGGAGATTATGATTCGCATGATATTTCTCGATATGTCCGATCTAAATTTCTTAGTTATACTACGGAGGCTTCAAATTTATATCCCTCGCCAACAGGTGTTATGATTGCTATTGATCTTGCTTATAATATGTATGATGCATATGGGAATTGGTTTCCAGGTTCCAAACAATTGGTGCAAAATGCGATGAGAACTATAATGAAAGCCAATCCAGCGTTATATGTTTTGCGAGAAAGAATTCGTAAAGGGTTGCATTTATATCAGTCTCAGCCACAAGAAGCATTTTTGAATTCTACAAATTATTCCGAGTTGTTTGGAAATGACACGCAATTTTTCATTGATGATACAAATGTTTATCGTGTTATTGTGCATAAAACGTTTGAAGGTAATATTGCTACAAAGCCTATAAATGGAGCAGTATTTATATTTAATCCTAAGACAGGAGAGTTGTTTTTAAAGATTATTCATGCAAGTGTGTTTGCTGGACAAAAGAGATTGGGGCAATTATCAAAATGGAAAACGGCAGAAGAAGTGACAGCGTTGATCCGATCGCTTCCAAAAGAAGAACAACCAAAACAATTGATTTTGACAAGAAAGGGATTGATGGATCCATTGGAAAACCATATGTTTGATTTTCCAAATATTCGAATTCGGTTATCAGAGTTGCAGTTGCCATTTCAAGCAGCAATGAAAATTGAAAAGTTGGCGGATATCATTTTAAAAGCCAATGAGCCCAAAATGGTGTTATTCAATCTCTATGATTCTTGGTTGAAAACGATATCCTCCTACACAGCATTTTCTCGTCTTTTATTGATCTTAAGGGCGCTTCATATTAATCAAGAAAAGGCCAAATTAATCTTGGTGCCTGACAGCAGTGTTGTTGTTGAAGAACATCATATTTGGCCCACATACAATGATAAAGAGTGGTGCGAGATTGAAATTAAATTGAGAGATTTGATTCTTAATGATTACGGGAAGAAAAGTAATGTTGATATCAAATCGTTAACACAGTCTGAGATTCGGGATTTAATATTGGGACAAAATATTAAAGCGCCATCAGCCAAGAGACAGCAAATCGCTAAGATTGAAGAACAAAATGGAGAAACTTTGAATAGTGAGGAACCATCACAGCTAACAGCAATGACGACCAAAACTACGAATGTTCATGGAGAAGAAATTGTTACAGTAACAACTAGTAATTATGGACAAAAGACCTTTTCATCCAAGACGGAATGGAGAAACCGGGCTATTTCGACAACAAGTTTACATTTGCGTGCTAAGCACATTTATGTCAACTCGGATGAAATTCTTGATGATGATAGTTATACCTATGTCTTGCCTAAAAACTTGTTGAAAAAGCTTATTTTGATATCAGACTTGCGGACCCAGGTTGGAGGATTCTTGTATGGAAAATCACCAAAAGATTTTGAGAAAGTAAAAGAGATCAAGTGCATTGCTTTAGTTCCCCAACTAGGAAACCTCAACTCGATTGAATTTCCGAAAAAGCTACCCAGTGAGGAATTTCTCAAGAAAAACAAGCTCGAACCATTGGGATGGATACACACACAGTCTCAAATTCCACAGATGATGAGTGCGATGGACATAATGACCCAGTCGGGGATAATGAGGGAGAACCCTGAGCTGTGGGAGGCTTCCAAGGTGATTGATTTGACGGTGTCGTTCACACCAGGCTCTGTGACTTTAGCAGCGTACAACTTGAGCGAGAAGGGACGCCAATGGGGGTTGAGCAACAGGGACTTGAGCTCCAGTGAGCCCCAGGGGTTCTTGCCGACGTTTGGAAAGAAGTCGCAGTTGATTCTCTCAGACAAGATGATGGGCTTTTTCATGGTGCCAGACACAGATGTGTGGAACTACTCGTTCATGGGCATTGAGTGGAACGCCGCCGACGACTACGAGTTGAAGGTGGACATCCCGCTTCCCTTCTACCACGAGCTGCACCGCCCCATCCACTTCAGCAACTTCAACGAGCTCGAGAACGATGAGCTTGAGGTGGACCAGCAGGACGTGTTTGCGTAACGCCAAGCGCCAACTGCCACAAACCAAGCTCGAAAACCATGCTCCAGGCTCCCAGCGCAAAGCACCGCGCTCCGGTGTCGTGTCGCACACGAGCACCAAGGGAGTACCGAGGGAGCGCTCATTTCCGGACAGTGCGCTGTCTGGCACTGCCGGTTGGTCACATGATGCAATCTTTTTAGGTGCTTTTTTACCACTGTTAGGCTTTCGCACTGTTTAAGCTCAGTCTTGTAAGCCTGGTTCTATCTTATCACCCATTACTTCTTATATATCTACCCAGGTCTCCTGTTTCCTCAATTGTCATTTGCTGCTTTCGACCTGCTATTGTCTTTGAGCTACTGTGCAACTGCTTTCAAACTACTCTGAAACTGCTCTGAAACCTCTTTTTTCCTTTTTGTTACCTTCCATCAACCATGTTATCGCATTTGTCCCAGGTTTATCGTAAGAATAAAAAGAAGATTATCATAACTTCCTCTGTCTTGGGCTTGACTTACATCATATCTAAATATGTGAACCAGAAAGTCACTGCTTATCAAAACCAGATCCAAGAAGAAAAGATGACCAAAGAACAGATCAAGCGAAGATTCCAGGAAACTCAAAAGGAGGCACTTTTCACCATCTTTGCCTTGATTCCTGCTTTAGATACCCCGATTTTCAAATCTTTACCTGTCGAACAAACCACTAAACTTTTGCAACAGAAAAAACTTCAAAGAAGTCTCAATGTCTCTTCTTCAGCTCCTAACAGCTTGGCTTCTCCCTCTATTCTTTCCAATTCTGATGATAACCATCCAAAATCAGAGAATCAAAACTCCTCTTCTATTCCAAAAGATAAAAAAACAAAGGTAGAATTATGGTCTGATTTAAAAATACAAACCATAGCTAGATTTTTAACCGTTATCTATTCTAATGCCTTTTTAATCGTTTTAATCAGATTACAATTAAATATATTGGCTAAAAAGGAATATCTTGAAACTGCTTTGAAATTGGCCAAAATTAATACACAAGAATTTGAAAATTCTCAATCTTTTTCCTATTTGCCCAACTTTTTATCCTTTCCAACAAATCCCATAACTAGATTATTCAATTTCAACAAAAATTCAAATTCAAATTCAAATTCAAATTCAAATTCAAATTCAAATAATAATAATAATAATAATAATAATAATAATAATAATAATAATAATAATAATAATAATAATAACAATAACAATAACAATAACAATAACAATAAAAATAAAAATAACAATAAAAATATCAACGGTATTGATCCCAAAAACATCGATAATCTTACCAACATTAACGGCCAAGATATTAACAATAAATTGGAAGAAAATTTCCAAAGAAATGATTATCTCGCTGAACAAGCCTTTCTATCTCTAACCTGGTGGCTACTAAATAGAGGCTGGATTCAAATTAGAGACATTATTCTTCAAGCTGTTAAATCGGTCTTTAATGACATCGATCCAAGATCCCCCTTCACCCTCCAGGAATTTAATGAATTGCTATTTAAAACAAGAGATTTAATCGATTTTAATTACAACTCAAATATCAACCTACAAATCTCCTATAACGAAAATAACAACTTCCTACTAAACTGTCTACTACCACCAATCGAATTGGAAACTTTTGTAATTAATCAAGTAAACAACAACAATAACAACGATAACAGAGAATTTGATATAACCTCTTCAATTATCCAAACCGTTAACTCGATCAACCATCACTATCCTTCTCCAATCTTTGAAAATGAAGAAAAACTAGACTCAATCAATTTCCCCGATAACGACCCTAATCTCGATAACGATATTAGCCTAATAAACAATGAAACTTTAAGAATCCTAATCGATGAAACTAAAAACCAAATCCTATCCGAATTAACAGAATCAACTTTAACAAGTCTTGTCACAACTTGCATAAACAAATGTTTTAAACAAATCTATCTTCTAGTTTATAATCAATCATTAGCCTCAAACTCAAACTCAAACAATATTATCAACGATTATAACGATAACAATCAAGAAAATGAAATTGAACAATTATTGGCTTCAAAAAAATTCAAATTGGCCTCGCTCTTAGCTTACATTACAAAAATCACTTCCTCTTTAAGTAGAAATGATGCATCCAATGAATTTATTTTGCTGATGGACAAAGTCCCTGGGTTGGATGAATTAAGTGCCAGTGTCTACATGAATTTTGATATATAGACTTGAAAATCTTATCTCTCGCTTTTTGTTAAAAATAATGCTTACTTTTTTTTTTTTTTTTTTTTCTTTTATTTCTCAATTATTTTTTTAATTTTATTTGTTAAATTAGCTTTATATTTTATATAATTCTGTTCTTTACTGTTCTTTTTTTTTGTGTTTTCTATTTATTTTTATTTATTATTAGTATTTTAGTAAATTTAGCAGATTTTTTTGATGGACTATATAATTAATGTATTGTTTAAAATTGTTTTAGTTACAAACTTTTTCAAAATGTTATTATTTCTTTTGTTTTTCAATATTCAATTTTCAATAAATTATTCATTCGCCTGTAGTGATATTTCAAAACGAAAAAACATTAAATAAAAACAAAACCAACTGTTAAAAAAAAGCAAAAAAAATTAAAAATACTCCCTCCAAACAAAAAAATAAAAAAATAAAAAAATAAAAAAATAAAAAAATAAAAAGAAAAAAAAAGACAAAAGATTTTTCATTTTAATCATAAAGATCAACAAATCATATATAGTATAAAAACATGCAGAAAAATCAAATAATAAGAGCAAAAAACTCTAGCAAAATAAAACTCTTATCTTTACTTAAATAAATCAAGTTCAAAGTCACTTTCACTGAAATAAGTTGATAATAACAAACGATCATTATATTTTCTTCCACTTATATTTTTCATAACATTTGAGCAAATTTCGGAATTTTTGAATTTAATAAATATTTTTCCAAAATTAGAATTGGCTCCAATTTCTTTTTTGAAATTTGCTATGTTTTCAAGATGTGGAATCTTAATATCAATTACCTCTCCATATTTAGAACATTCTTCTCTAAAATCTGATTCAAGGCTATTCACTTTTTCAACAATTTCTTTTTGAATGATACTATTAGATTCCTTATTTACAGCAGTTGATTGTTTATCCAAAATTTCTCCAACATTAAAGGAGTTTAAAATCAATAAAACATTTGATTTTTTATGAATCGAAGGGTCAGTGCCTTTGACTAAATTGAGTAAATTAAGACAATTCATTTGAACGTTCTGTTGATAACCAGCACAACACCTTTTGCAAATCAATTTAGACCCTTCTAATTCAAAAGAGTTTAATTTTTCAATATATTTCGAGGTGTTTTGCCAATCTTTAAATGTAAGAAAGGCTATATCCTTATTAATATTAGGATTATTTTTTTCCTTCAAAAGACATAGATTCTCAATATCTGAGATGGCGGATATTTTTTGTTTCAAAGATTCATCGTCATATTTTAGAGGAATGTTAGAAATTACTAGTTTTGAGTCAGAGTCTGGAACTATAGACCAATAACTATTTTTTCTATCACTGGTCTGAGTAGAATTGGGGATTATATATTCATCAGGTCTAGATATTGAAAGTCTAAAATTTAGATGATCTATTAAACGACCATCAAGTGCAATTAATATAGAAGGGATTCTAAAGTCTTGACATTGTAGTATTATAGTGTTGTTTAAAACAACATAAGATTGAATTGGGTTTTTAAAGAAAAAGTTATGAATTGAGTCAAGGAAATCATTAATATAAGCAATTATTTGAGGAGCAATAGAATTATCAGTAAGATTTCTTACTAAAATTCTTTTTGAATTAGAAGAATTTTCACAGTTGACATTTGAATTGGGATCGGTTATAGTTTTAAGAGTGGCATCATTCTTTACGTTATCAATCAAAAAATTTTGAAATTTACGTAAATCAAGTTGTTGTTGATGCTGTAATTTTCGATTATGAATATTATTAAAATTATTATTCAAATCATTAAGATTAGGTTGAAACTTTAAGCCTAATTTATTATCGCCATTTTCTTTAGGTATATTGAAATTTTGGTTGTTGTTGTTATCGTTATTGCTGTTATTGTTGTTTAAACGGATTCCAGGCAAAAGAAAAAAGCCTGAGATTTTAGCTTTTTCAGCAGAAATTTCTTCAAAGCCTTGAGGTTTTAAATCCCATAAGGTGTATGAAGATCTATCTCTTTTCTCAATGGAGATAACAGTTTCAGGATCCACTTTATTAGAAAGATGGGAATGTTTATCTGAATATCGATTAGACCTTGAGCGATAATCGTCTCTTGATCTTGATCTTAAATTTTGATTTGATCTCGACCTGGATCCAGATCTAGACCTTGAATTGGACATGTAATGTCTGGTGGGAGTTGTAGACCTTGATCTTGAGTATGCACTCCTTCTATATCTTGGATCTAATCCATTTCTTTCTCTCGCTGTTTGTCTGGGTCGTTGGCTTTCTTCCAGCCTTTCAATATAGCGGTTTTGGATTCTTTCCCTGGAGTTTTCTCTTGATATTTCAGTTGATCTCTCCCCACGTCTTGTGTGGTATCTTGAAGGCCTTCTCCTGGCAAAGTCATCGTTAGAGGGTTTGAATGAAACCCTGGGGTCGTTTCTTTCTCGAAAACGCCTGGGTCCGGTTGGAATATTTGACGAGCCCTTTAAATCAGTCACTAGATAATAAGTTAGTCAATGAATTGCAAACATATTAAAGAGTTCGCTACAAATAAAAAAAACATAAAAAAACAAAAAAACAAGTTAGCAAACTTGAAAACACTTGAAATCGATCGAAACAAAAAAAACACTCTGCCCAATACAACAAAGAACAAAGGAAAAACAGGCTCCAATACATACTCAGTAACACAGTAGCCAATATGTCAGCAAAAGAAGCACAGCTGCTCCAACATTTGTGCTCTCCATCAATACCTCTTTTCTTCTACTCATGTTCAGAGAAGCAGATTATGCAATGCTTACGTAACAATCCGGCTTTTCTTCCGGTGAAAAATAATGATTTCCACGTGACTCTTTCCGCATTTTGGCCGCTGTTTCTCAGAGGTCTTCTTCTTCCTCTGCTCCTTCTGCTGCCATTCTTCTGCTGCTTGTGCTGCCGGTGCTGTTGTCATGGAAAGCGTAAACACGAATCCCTTTCCTGCTGCTGCTTCCCGGTCCAGATCAATGACCAGGTCCAGGCCAGTCTCCAAATCAAGGCCCTCATCGGGATCTCCCTCCAGAAACCCTAAAAGGCAGTCTTTCTCTCCAAACCATAATTCCTCCAATGTTGAACATGCTGAACCTCAAGGCTCGAACAGCAATGCCTTTGGCCATTCTCGTTCAAGAGCTCATTATGAAGACAAAGTAGGCTTTCCCAGTTTTCCTGCTTCATTGCCTCCTGTTCCAACAACAAATTTTCAACCCGAAAAGAAATCTAATGGAAAAGTTATTAACTCTGGCAATGGAAGTAACTATAATCGCAATTCCAATAATTTTAACACTACTCAACAGTATGATAACTTCTCTACATATGAAAACGCAGTTGATTATTATGATAATTATGATAATTTCTATAATAGCAATAACTACAGCAATTCTCAAAATCACTTTGATTCGAAATCCAGAAAGTATTCCGGCAATAGAGATCAAAGACAAGCTACTTATTCTCAAGGTGAATCTGAAAGTCATAAATCTAATAAAAGTTATTCTAAAAAATATTCAACCTTTCATGGTTTTAATAATGGTCCTTCAAATAACTACAGAGGCAGCAGCTATTTTGATCAAGGTTTTCCCAATCAAGATAAATATAACGATGATTATCTGAAAAAACATTACAAAAGAAATTATCCAAGAGCTGAAGACAAAAGTATTTCAAATTATAATTCCAAGCATAATACCAACTTTAGTAATAAATTCAATAAAGAACCCACTGCTAGATTAGATATTCAAAATAAGACAGAAAATAAACCTAAAATTGATTATGATGTTTCAAATAGTAAACTGGATCAGCCCGGGAATTATCTTGAAATGCCAAAACTTCCCTTAAATCCATCTTCTAAATCTCCAAAGCCTTCCTCCAAGGCTATAGTCAATAATAAATCTAAGGAAAATTCACATATTGCTCAAAATTCGCTTCAGCATCAATATAAAAAACAAGATTCACCCAATAACTATCAGCCTCAAAAACCAAAGCCCCAGGTTAGAAATGATTTATGGCCTGAAGTTATTGATTTGCCCGAGAATAATTGGTTTTTCGTGCCTAATGATTTAGAAAAAAAAGCACCAAGTATTTTAAGTAGAATGAGTAATGAACATGAATTAGCTCAAAGATATAATGGTGTTGAAAACATTTTTAAATTAGCTAACCATCTAAGGTTAGTAAGGCATACCGTTTTAGCGGCTTCAATAATGTTTCACAGATTTTACATGATTAAAACTTTTCAAAATTATGATTATCACATCATGGCTCCAACGTTTACTTTTATTGCTACAAAGACTGAAGAAAATCATAGAGGCTTGGAGAATATAGCCTTGGCTGCTACATCAGTTAATAGTAAACGTTCAAAACCTCCAATAAATAATGAAAAATTAAAATCCATGAAAGAATATTGGAGTTATAAAGATAGAATAAAGATAAACGAAGAGATTGCTCTTGAAGTTCTTTGTTTTGATTTAAATTTCGACTTTCCTGATAATGTTATTAGCAATGTTTTTCAAAAAGAATTAGAAGAAATGAAAAAAAATAATTGCAACAGTGAAGATCATTTAACGATGAAAAATAAATTTGAAAGAATTTTTGCTGATGCTAAACTTATACTAGACAAATTGATTCATTTTCCTGTTTCTGTTTTATACAATCATGAAGAGATTGCTGCTATTTGTATAATTTATTCTCTAAGTTTACAAAAACAGTTTCAATTGCCTTCATATTTTTTTAAAAAACATTTTCCAAGTATAAAAGCAACAAGATTAGAAGAAATTTCAAATAATATTCTAAAAATGTACAAAAAGCTTGTTAAATTTAATCTCTTTAATCCTGAGACATTTAAGTTTCCTAGTCTCACTGTTGAAGAAATTGTTATATTGAGTGGAGGTCATGATCAGGATGATTTATAATGATAAAAATGGGTTTTTTACTGTATTTATTTGTTTTTTTTGTATTTATTTTTTTTTTCCTTCTTTTTTTTCCTTTTTTTTTCTTTTTCTTTTTTTTTTTTTTTTTTTTTTTTTTTTTTTTTTTTTTTTGTTGTTGTTGTTGTTGTTGTTGTTGTTAATCAGTTATTCAGTCCTTTTTTTCCATTTGAAAAAAAGGGGGGGGGGAGCCTTAAATGTAATTTTTCAAGTAGAAAGTTTCCTATNAATGGGTTTTTTACTGTATTTATTTGTTTTTTTTTTTTTTTTTTTTTTTTTTTTTTTTTTTTTTTTTTTTTTTTTTTTTTTTTTTTTTTTTTTTTTTTTTTTTTTTTTTTTTTTTTTTTTTTGTTGTTGTTGTTGTTGTTGTTGTTGTTGATTGGTTATTCAGTTAAATGCGTGTTTATAAAATAAAATCTGCTTTTATTTTTAAATGTAATTTTTCAAGTAGAAAGTTTCCTATGAACAAGTTTTTTTAATAAATTTCCAGTGAAAATTAAATGAAACCAAGCAATCTCAAGACATAATCTAAGATGATTCCTCCCAAAAGGATTTGGCCTGAAGCGATACTGGCAAAAAAATGCTTCCAACAGTCTTTGGGGTAATCTAAATTCACCGTTTTAATACTATTAAGAAGTCTATATCCAAACACAGAGGCACCAATAAAAAACCCAGGACCCATAGCACCATTGATACCTGCTATTGCTAACAAAGATAGGTGAGCAGCACTTAAAGAATAAAATATCTTTTTTGAATTATTGCCCCATGCTAAAGCAGTGGACTTCACACCTGCCTGCACATCGAATTTTTTATCTTGATGGGCATATATTGTATCGTAAACCATTGTCCAAAGATATGAAGAGAAAAATAAGGGCACCATTGTGGACCAGTCCCACACACCCATTGCAGCAAAACCCAACATAGTCCCCCAGCTATTGCAGATTGATAGCACAGCCTGTGGGTAATATGTGAATCTTTTGAATAGTGGATAAGTCAACACAAATGCCAAAGAGCTGGCTCCTAAGAGAAAGCAGTCAAAGGGTAGCTGTAATAACACCATTAAGCCAACGCATAACTGAGTGAACAAAAAAACAGAAGCTTGACGTACAGTTACTTTTTTGCTAGCCAAGGGCCTTTCAATTGTTCTTTCCACCTTATTGTCGAAATCTCTATCGCATATATCGTTGATTGTGCACCCAGCACCTCTCATGACAATTGACCCAATACCAAACACTCCAAGCATCCAAGCACACTGGGAGAGTGGAATAGCTGCCTGGTAAGAAGCCATTACGATTCCCCAAGAGGAAGGCAAGAACAACAACCAGGTACCCACAGGCCTCTCTAGTCTCATGAGCTCTGCGTAGGGAATCCATTTCTCAGGTAGTTTCGAGACCCAGGAGGGAGAAAGAGCTAGTGCTCTGGCAGCTTTGGCAGCTTTGATCTGCTCTTTGGTGAAGAGAGAAAACGCATTTGGAGCTGGAGCTGGAGCTGGTCTTGCAAACTTGTGATTCGCTGAGGATGTCAGCCATCTGAAATTTCGCACAACAGGACGATATCGTAGTGTCGAGGATAAGGGCCTGAAGGAGAAGAAGCTGCTCCTGAGAGGAAGCCCAAAGAGACTGAGACTGACGCTGCTGTTCATTGTTGCTGTTGCTGGCTCGACTCTTCGACCTCAGCAGAAGAAACAGCTTCTCATGCGAAACTCGAGGTGTTGTTTTCCGCACCACAACATTTCTATCCAACTCAACTCCATCTCCATCTCCAGAAGCTGCTTTATCAGGAGCTACGTCCAACGCAAGAGAAGCTAGCCATTCACACGTCTGTTCAAGGGCTGTTTTGCTGTAACACACTAGAATAACACTGCGAGGATGGAGATGCTATACATACCCGAGGTGGAAATGGCTGTGGGTGACAATCTCCCAAGTAACCCACAACCAGTTGTATTTAAAGTGGAAAACTTCACCATTGCCAACAACCAGTTGCACCACAGCCAGACCCTGACACACTCTATTCCAATCAACATGCCTGATATTCCACTTCCAACAGAGAAGTTTTTTGACTCTCTGCAGTACCAGCCTGCTTCTTACAACAACAATTTAAGCCAAAAAGACGAGTATTTGCAGACCATTTTTGATCCTAATGGTGAGAGGAAAATATCCAAAAATGGGTACTTGTTTGACTACCCAAATAAACAGTTTGTGGTCTCGACTTTTACATTGCCTGGAAGAGGGAAAAAACTATATTGCATGGCTGCTGATATTTCAAAAGAACTACAATTTAGAGATTCCTACTTATTTTTGCACAAGAACAAATCCTTATTGAAATATACAACCACTGATCAGGATAAACAGTTCCTAATAAAAGAAGGGGTCTTGCAAAATGTATTCAAATCAAGATCCATTGGAGTGATTACAATTAGATCGCTATACTTGATCTATGGAGCAAGATTAATTAAAAATGGCAGAAGAATAGTTGATGATTATTGGGAAGATATGGCAAGACAAAAGGGCTTCACTGAAAATGATCCTGTTTACAACTATACCAACGAAGAAATGATAAAATTGGGAAAAATGGAACCATTTCCTTCTAAAATCTTATCTACTTCAAATGCAATTAATGCTCTCAACCAATCAAAATCTGCAAACGCCATTTTAAATAACGATTTGTCCTCATACAGCAGTCCAAATAATTTAATGGGTATGGATGGCAGCTATTTGTCTAAAAATTCCTCATTTGATGACAGAAATCGATTCTTAGCCACTGGCTCTAACAACAGTTTTATTGGTAGTAATAATAAAAATAACAATGCTCTTTTATCACAACTAAACATGCTTTCAAATTCAAGATCAAATTCTTCAAAGTTTTCTTTGCCCATATCCAACCCTATTTCTCTAACTTCGCTAAATTCCTTTTTCCCTTCAAGTAGTCAGTTCATTAAATCTCTTCCCCATTTTTCAAATAAACACACTGCAATACACACAAAGAAACACAATCTTTTAATTAATGGTGCATTGGCTGATTCCTACAATCTCTCTTCTTTAATAAATCATTCAAAATATAAGGAATACTCTTTTCCTTTTATCTTCAAATTAAACTACCAACAAAATGAATATTTGAAACAAAACTTAATTGCTTTAGATCCTACTTTGGAAATCCGTCAAAATTATTTGTTATCATCCGGAGTTTCAATCATCCCATTGGGTTCAACTCTTAATCCTCCCAATTTCAACTCAATGACATCAAGCTCAAAATCAATTTCTGTCACTTCTTCACCTTTAACACTCGCTCAACAGCGTTCACTAATTACCTCTCCTGGTGGCTCCATTCCTCAATCAATTCCAACTTCATTATTGAATGGCGAAAGTTTAATTACTGCCACTGGCGAGGGTCAATTGTTTTATATTGGTTGTATCCAAGGTCAGAACATTCTTGGGGGAATTGATTTGCTAAAAGATTTGAGTATGCCCAGTTATGAACTGGCTTTAGAAAGTTTGAAATTGTCTCATAGTTTCTATTTATCTGACGAAAATGAAAAACTTTCATCAAGAAAATCAACTACACCTGAATCGTTTCAACAACAAAACAAGCACCTTGAAACTGTTTTAAATAGTAATAAAAAAGCAAGATCCCAGACCCCACCTAATTTTTCAGCTTCTAATTCTCCAAATCTCTCTCATGCTCACAAAATTAACAAAAATTTATCTTCACCCATGACCAAAAAAGATAGAATGCTTCAGAATTTGTCTGATACATTTTCTCCTCAGTATTCCACTAATAGTAAGATTTATCAAAACAATTCTGATAATAACCATCACAATCATCATCACAACCATAACTACCACTATCACCATCATAACCATCATTCAAAAGGTGGGGCAGGATTACAAGAAATTCTTCTGAATCTACCAATCACAACAGATTCTCAATTGATTAATCATAAGAGTAACATTGGTTTGCCGTTTTATGATTTACGATATATTATTCAAAGATTAATAGAGTTACAGCATGATGATTATTTTTATGATATACAAAGTTTGAATTTGAAATCAAATACTGATGAAAATAATACGTTGCATATTTCAGAGAATAATGAATCAAGTTTAACTGGAACTCCAATTTCTAATATAGACGACAGTGGAATAAATGATTTGAAATCTGATATTAATATAGAATTTAATAATAATAATAATAATAATAATAATAATAATAACAATTCAAGCAATATTGATGATATTGATGAGGCTGGTATTAATAATCTTAGTGAAAATCTGAGCATAAATGTTGATTTGGATGTTAATATGAATAATGTAGACAATGATTTAACAGAAAGTAAAAATAATTATGTAAAAGAGAAAGAAAAGGAAAAAGAAAAGGAAAAGAAAAAGGAAAAAGAGAGTGGTAATAACCATATCTTTTCAATAATCGATCATAAAGATTTGCATCTCAAACCCAAAGCTACAAGAGGTAAGTTCAGTAATTATGAATACCAATTAATCGGTAGAAGATCCAAAAAAGAAAAAATTAAAACTTTAGAAAATGAACATAATACAGTGGTAATAAACCAAACTCTCACAGATTTCAACAAAGTTCGTCAGAAGCAATGGAGATACTATTGGTTTCAGCGAACTGGTGGATATGAGTTGGTAAAAAAAAACATTAAGTATAATGTCAAAGAGGAATTAAAAATCAAATTGAAACAAAAAGAGATTGAGAAATTAGCCAAGGCAAAAGAAAAAGAACTTGAAGAGTCTACTAAACTAGAAGGAGCGAAAGTGAGTATTCTGGGATCAGATGTGGTTGTTACTAGCGATAACAAAGACTCAAAAAAAGAAAATGATGAAGATGAATATGAAGAAAAAGAAAAAGATGATACCAAAGAAATTAAAGATTTGGAGGACATGTTAACAAATTCCAAGAATAAAAATTATCCCAATTTGAATATTCAATTTGACATAGATAACCTTGATCTAGATGTAGACTCAGATGAGGAGGTGATACATAGTCAAGTGCAGCCTCTACCAACCAACTATTCGCTACAGCCATTTGAAGTGGAGAAGCTAAAGCAGGAGAGAAGAAGATATGAAAAAACAATTAGAAAGGAAATAATCAGTGATTTAGCTGAAAAAAAGAAGAATGAGGAGCTAGAAACCGAAAAAGCAAGCGCTGACAATAAAAATAACAATGAGAATCAACTAAAAGAAGAAAACAAACAGAACAGCGGTATGGAGCCAGCTGCCACGGTGGAACAGGAAGTAAAAACAGGAGAACAAACAGAAGCAGCGGGAGGAGAAGCAGCAGCAGCAACAGCAGAAGCAAAGACCCCAATCACAGTCCACATCACAGGCACTGAGATCATGGAGGAGATGAACAAAAGAGTGCAGTTTCAGCAGATGCTCAGAATCAACAAGGTGAAGCGAAGAAAGCCCAATCCGAACAACATCAACTGCTGCAACATCAGATAGCGCTTTGGTGGAAGAGATGGTTTTGGTGACTGTGGTGCTTTTGTGTCACCTGGAAGCTGTTTGAGTGGCATCTGAAAGGAGTGGAGGGGGCCATCAAACAGGTATTTAAAGCACTACGTATAGATCTGTTTTCCAATTTTTTTATTTTATTTCTCTTTATATATCTCTACCAGATTCTTTTTCCATTTCCAACAAAGGTCAATGCAATGTTTTTAAGAGAGAAAACCAGAAATATTTTGAATAGAATACAAGGGATTCATCCATTGATTCTTCTCGTTCTAACTTTAACTGGCGCTTGTTTTTTTTTCGTAGCAACGTTTTCCAGATCTTCTGTTCAAATTGATAGTGATCGTTTTCAGCTTGCTCGTTCAAAGGCCTTTTCTAACATTATCAAATGCTCTGAATCAAAAGACAGTCTTTTTTGTTTTCAAAAGTATCGGTCAAGCTTGGAAAATGAAGCAGAATATACCATCTCAAGCTTCTCAAAAGTTCAGCTAGAAAGGTCAGTTTTAACTAATTCCAATCTTTTTAAGCGCCAATATAAAAACAATAGAAACAATAGAAACTAAAAACTAACCATTTGCAATTTGACAATCTATATTTACTTTATATCGATCCAGTTGTCTTGATGTAGTATCACAAAATATCAATGATTTAGCGCTACTCTTGAATATTCAAACTTGTTTTCATCAAGCAGATATTCTTGATCGTGCCAATGAATTTGCTGCTGCTGCTTCTCCTAGGCTCAGTTGGCTTGGTCTTGTTGGTATCTTTATTAGTCTTTTTATCCAAGTATTCATTGCGTTGCATTCTTTTATTACATTTATATTGAGAAACAAAGAAATGGAAAAAAGCTATAGTAACATTCATGCTTTAAGTCAAAATTTTGAAGTTTTAAATGACAGACAAATTAATTTTTATAAATCCTTAACTGACCTATCGACGAATATCAAATCAGAAACCAGAAACTTACAAGGAAGACTCAATCGTGGTGGAGATGTTAGAAGGGATTTTGAAAAATTGAATCAAAAGATTGAAGAAAGTTGGGTTGAAATACAAGAATTAAAGAATGCAATCTCAAATGCTGTTAATAATAACAACAGCAGCAACATTAATAGTGGTAATATTATTAGTAAAACCAATAATAATAGTCTTGTTAATAATAATCTTGGTAATCTTGGTAACCTCAGTAATCTTAATCACTTCAACTACTTGATTTCTAATGATCCTCCCATTTATTCCCCAAGTGGTATTGGAAAGATTAAAAGTGCATCAATTCAAGATACTGACAATAAATTGGTGTATCCAAGATACTATTCAAGATCATCTAATTTTGTAAATGTTAGACAAAATAAGATCAGCTCTAACTCAGTTAGTGATAGTAAAATTGATATGAACCCTAAGAAACCAACAAACAGTGAGTCAAATAAAGTTGAAATTAAGAGTATTATAAGCAGAACAATTGAAATTGAAAATAAAAATAAAAATAAAAGTAAAAATGAAAATGAAAATGAAAATGAAAATGAAAATGAAAATAATATTCCTAATCCACCATCACCTTCAATTCAAGCAACAGTGGATGGACAAACATTTGATCTAACTACTCAAGAAGGTCGCAAGAAATGGTGTGAATACATTCAAAATAATCCCAAAAAGATTAAAAATGAGATATGCCAGGAAAATGATAAGCCAGATAATAAGCCGAGTGATAGGGAAAACTACAATGTAAATGACAAGGAAAGGTTCAAGATAAATGATAAGGTGGAAGATGGAAGTTATAATAAAGATTACCAAAAGATCGCCAGTAAGGAAAACATTGATACAAATTTTGACGGGTTAAAAGGCAGCAGCAACAGAAAGAATGGAAGTCAAGTCAAAGATAAGATTGTAGTTGCTAAAACTATCCTTGGAGTGTCGGATATTAATCTAGAAAATGTGTTGAAGACGGAAGATTCAGAAGCAGACTTAAAAATAGGAATAACTCCAGCACTTCTTGATGAGTTGAACATCTCCAGGTTTGATAAAAATGGGAAACCTTTTCGCCGTCTCTTTATTCCTGGAAGGGGATGGATCTCAGCTAAAAAATTGGAGGAGGACAACCCAGAACTCGGAGCAAATTTGAACACCAACACGCTACAGTTCGGTACCTAAGGCAGTCACCCCCTATACTCACCTCCATTTTCATTCTCTCACCTCCGTTCTCACCTGTGTTTTCTTTTTTTGCTTTTGGACGAATCAAAAGGGATTGGTATTGTGGCAGTCTCCTTTCCTTTTTTTTCTTTTTTAGATTTCGTTTGAGTTATTCTTGTGATTTTGTTTTTTGGGCAAACACTGTTTTGCAAGTTCATAGTGGCATTGATAATTGAACCACACTATGTGATAATCTTCTCTGGTTTCTCAGCCCTAAATAAATGCCATTTTGCTTGCTTTTCTCTAAAAACGAGGTGAGCTGGTCCTCCACACTAGTCGCACAGTAGCAAAATGAGAAAAACGAGGTTTCCATGGGGCACAGCACCACTTCTCTCTTTCTTAAGATTCACACTGAACAGCACCCTCAAGTAGCACCCCGTTCTAACAAAAATACCAAGATAAAATATGAACAGATCCCGAAAAGAAGGGTGATTCTGCGCTTAGACAAAACTTTATTTGGAGGCGCTAACGGTCCCCGTCTTTTGCTCTTCTGTGCAAAAACAGATTTAGAGGGTATCGTTTTTGTTAGTGCAGAGGGTGTTGGATTCTATTAGCCATTTGTTTTCTTCAAAAAAATGGGGCAGCTGCAGTCTCACGAATCCCTGCTAGGGCTGGGAGCATTTGCAGCTTTCCAGCTTTGTGTGCAAAAGTTCCCAGTCCAGCTGTCGGAGTAAATGGGTCTGGCAGATACTTGAGACCTTTTACGCCATGCGCTCCAAACAGCCTCCTACCAGAAAAATTTCTTCAGTTTGTCTTTGCAATTATCAATGCTCTCGCTTTTTCGTTTGGCTTTAGAGGTTAGGTAACAGCCTTGCGAGTAATTCCAAAGGTTGGATGAAAAGCAACAACAGATGCACTCACGTCGGACTTATTGAATTTTCGGAGCTCTTCTTAAACGGACTCCGCGCAATTAAATTGCGATTATATGAATACATGTTGAGGTAAAATATCCACCTTTAGATTTCGGACGTTCTTTGTGTTAGCGAACATGCTCGCTATCTTTAATGCGCTCTATCTCACAATCAGACAAAACTTTTATGCTATGGGGAAAAAGAAAGAAATTTCTGAAATCACATTGGACTAGTGGATCTGATAACCACCAACAAGGTGCTGTGAGACCATTTGCTTTCCTCGTTATCCTTTTTCAGTCTTTGGGTTGGGTCTGAATGGTTGCTAAAAGAAAATCAAGCCAGAAGTTACCGAGCAGTGAAAGAGTGAAAGAGCGTGATTGAGATATTACCAAAGAAATAAAACTCTCGCCAGTGGGGATTTGAAGAAAATGAACACCAAATGGCCATTTGCAGGGACCAATCACGGAGCGGTGTATAGTAAGATGGCTCATCAAACAAAAAGCTTAAGGGCAGACATTGTAGAATCAGCAGCAATGGTATCATTCGCGACACCAATCGGCACTCGTTTCTTTTACTATTATTTGAACTCTCTTACTCCGGCGGGCTTAAGCATAGCGAGCAGTGCTCCAGGACACCTTGTTCGCCACCGAGAACTCCTTCGGGTCCGATCGTTTCTTGCTGCAGAGATATGCAGTCCTGCTAGAACGGTGGTGCACTAACCTCCAAAATTATCGCACTCAGCTATCGGACGCTCTGGACGTAATCACAAATACGCAGATGCTAATTGAATTGTTTGGCATGGACTGGTATATAAGAATATAGGAATACTCGCATTTCATCAGCCCTTTCGCTGTGTAGTCTTTTCAATAAAAACCACCTTGTTGATTGATAAAATAGCTCGCACCGATAATAACTATCCCTACCTTTTATCTCCATATACCTTCATGGTTATCCTATAATCAAATCATTCTATTACTTCCAATATAAATAAAGCGATATCATCTTGTATTTCTATCTAGATATCTCTTTTTTTTCTATCTTTCTTGGTAGCACAATTAGAAAATAATACAATCTACAATCTACAATCTACACTGATACACTGATACACTGATACACTAATTCCCTTGCATTTTTCTTTTTTATCAATAAAAATGTCTCACTGCTTCAACCACCACATAAACTCGACTTTGATCTCTTCAAAGCCTTTACTTCACTATCATCACAATAACAATAGTATCAACGATTCCCACGTTTTTGCTCAGACAAATATCAAAACTTCATCTTCAACCTCAATGTTCACAACAACCTTGTCTTCTCAGAATCATTCAATCACAAAAAATTATAATACTACTACTACTACTGATTATAATAATGATAATGATAATAATGATAATAATGATAAAAAGAGAAAAACTATACCCGTCTTATTGCCCTCGCTAGGTAGCACTTTAAATAACTATCACTACTCTGATAACAGCGAAAACTTTTCAAATCTGGAAATTCCATTTTCTTTAAGAAAATCCAAATCCTCATTTTATAATAAATACTCAAAAAACATTGAGTTACCTCCCTTAAGATCAATTACTCCCCTAAAACACAACATTGAAAACACCAATAATCAATTTAGTTATACTAATTCTCCTTCTCCAAATAATTTGAACATCAAATTAAATGACCATTCTTCATGCTTGAACGCAACCCAACCTACCTCACCTCTTCAGAACAACTCAGATCTAACTACAATAACCATCACATTGCCAATAAATTCTAACTTATTCAAGAATATCTCCCCTGGCTCTTTTTCTGACAATAACAGTCTTAACAATATAATAAATGATACAATAATAAATTCAGTCAAGCAAGCCACAACTCAAGCTGCTAACCACATTTTTAATTTTTCAAACAATAACACCTCTTCCAAATTTGAACATTCAACTACTCACAATAACCAATCAGAAATACAGCAAAATGGTTTGCATCCAAATCAAAATAACCACCTTACCACTGATACTAAAAACATAGATGACATAAACAGCAACAACAACAACAACAACGGTAATGGTAATATTAATATTAATGCCAACGCAAATATCAGCAACAATATCAAACCAAACTACCTTAACCAATCTCACTGCAAAAAGAAAAGACAAAGAGTTGGCCCTTCTTGTGATTTGTGTAGATCAAGAAAAGTCAAATGTGATGCTGAAATCATAGTCATTAGAAATTTAAATCCCACCTCAAATCAAAAAAATACCAAAATAAAATCTGACAACTCAGAAACAGAAAACAATGAATATCAAGTGATAAAAAACTTCAATCTCAAAGACTACAATTTGACTGAAAAAGAGTTGCAAATGATCTACGACAAATACAACACTGCTAAAAAGGAACAGTTTCACCTAACCTCTTCCATCTCTGGCATGATCACTCCCAACGCATCCCAGACCTCCTCTCCAAGACTAAATGGCCTTGGAAATGGCCTTGGAAATGACGCTGAATACGATGAATACAATGGCTACCTCTACATCAAAACCCAAACAAAGCTCATCAGATTCAAGCCTTGCAATGCCTGCACCGCTAGAAGCGTCAAATGCTGCTTCTCCAGAGGCTTTACCAGAGAGGACATGGTGAACAACAACAAGAGACGCAAGCTATAACTCTATTCCACATACCCATTGCACTATGTAGTTTGTACCACTAATCTATACTATATCTCACGCCCTTTACCACTTCTCACCGCTCCTCACCACTCCTCACAAAACACGCACCAGAATCACCATCATACACGTGATTTACGGCAATCGAAGTCTATCTGCCGCCATTTGCCGTGGATCACGTGCCTCCAGGACGTTCTAGATGGCTGTTTTTTTTTCTGGAGCTGCATTTTGATTCAGCTCTCCAACTCCACTCAGAACTGTTGTTGCTCAACATGCCCTCCAAAAGAAGAAGATCAACCATACTGCACTCTCCTAGAAGCCTTACAAAGAAAGCAAGGAGAAACAGCGATGTCAACTACGAATTGCAGACCTTTTTGCACTCAACTTTGTCCTTGGTTCAAAACTTGAGAGATGACAACAATCGTCCAATCTCCAAAGAATACCTAAGATTGCCCAATAAAAAAAACTATCCTGATTACTACTCGCAAATATCAAATCCCATTTCTCTTACTGATATCAAGGGCAAAATCAACACGAAACACTACACTGATCCGAAGGACTTTTTGCACGACATTAAACTAATGGCTGACAATTCCTCCACTTACAATGAAACATCCAGCTTGATAGCCCAGGATGCTAGGCACATTTATAACTTTGTTAGTGATCAGGTCAAACAATTCTTAGGCGAAAAAGTCGACATTCCAAGATATGAGAGAAGAACACCATCTAGAAAATTAACCTCTTCTTCTTCAGCAGCCTCAAATGATAGCTTTAAAAAACCAACAAAGCTTCATCTAAACTCGAAAAAATCAATTTCTCAAGAGCACCCAGATACTTTATCTACTTCTTTGAAAATTAAACTACCTTTGAAAAAACTGGAAAAACAAAAAATCTCATTGTCAAATGACTTATTCCATATTCAAATTGACGATTCTTTGAAATCAAAATTGACTACAATAATGGAATCACTCATAAATTATAAAGATGAAGAAGCCGGTCAGATTTCTCTTCCATTTATGATCGAACCCGATAAAGTTGATTATCCTGATTATTATCAAATCATCAAAAATCCAATTGCTATAAATACTGTATTGAAAAAAATTACCGGTGTTGACCCAACTATTCAAAGATCCAATAAAAGAAAAGGGAGAGGCCGAAAAAGATCTTCAATTACCCCGGTCCCTTCTTTTCCTGTTTATCAAAATTTCCAAGAATTTAAAACAGACCTCTTTGATATTTTTAAAAACGCCCAGACTTATAATCAAGAAGGTAGTTTGATCTATGAGCATTCAAAAATTTTAGAGAAAGAATTAGAAAAACAATTGACCCAACTACTTGATTCTTTAGATTCTGAGAGCAGTAAAACTCAAGAAAATATTGCAAACATAGACCAGGATGATCTTGATCGCCTAGAAAACAAGAAAAGGACAAAACAACCAAAATCTCTTGCCGGAATTAAATTACATGTTAAAAATCCTTCAGAAAATTCCTCTTCCTCTAATGTAACAAAAATAAAATTAAAATTACGCGGTTCAAAAGAAAATAAAATGGAAATCGACAATAAGAGAATACAAAATGAAAAATTACAGGAAAACGAAAATCAAGAAGATGCTGCCAGTTTAAAACAAGAAGATGATGAATCACCTACTCAAAATTTGAAAAAGTCTTTGAGGCTTGCTAGCCTGAAAACTGATGAATCAAATAATAATTTTATTAAACCAGAAATTATTAACTCTCCTTCCAAATTGCGTTCCCATACAAGAGCTAATACAAAAATTAGAACTAGATCAAGAATCACAAAACCAGATTCTTCAAGCTTTGCTGAAGATCGTACTAACAAAGTTCTCTTAGAGCATGAATCACCATCAAACAAAAATGAAGATTCAAAAAGTACACCTCCAATATCTCCAAAAACTTCAAAGAACCAAAAAAATCAAGTCCCTGATGATTACAAGAGTGACGAAAGTATCTTATCTAATGATAATGAAAAACACACTGGTACTAAAAATATTAAGACCATAGATAGTAAAGAAAATCTAGATGATATTGAAGATAAAGATGATGAAAAAATCGTAGATGAAGAAGAAAACAAAGACAAAATAAATAGCAAGATCGAAGGACAAGATAACAATGACACTACTAAAATTCTCAAGTCTGAGGAACCTCCTTTATTATTAGAATATCCTTCTTTTGTAATAACTCAAAGAAAGTTGATTCAGCCCAAATCTTCCCCATTGATTCTGGAAATCTCCATTTCTTCCTCCAAAAATACAAAAGGAACTCACCGTCAAAATTTTGCATTTTTCCCTGATCAGATTAATATGAATTCCTTGATAATGCCTACTTATTTTGAATACAAATTCGAATCCTCAAAAGCAAACAAAATTAGTGATTTTGCGATTAATCTACCTCAAAGCAAAAATGCTATCACCATATTAATGTCATTGAATGATATTTTAATAAATAAAAATTACGTGTCTGGACTACTTATAAATGGTGAAAGAGCAAACCCAAGTCCTAGTATGACTTATGCTGATAGTGGAAAAGTTCTAACTTCAAAATATGAAGTCAGACTTGCTAATGGAATTAATAATATACAGTTTCTTGTTCAGATCCTGGCCAACTCAAGAGAAAGAGTTGCACAAGAAATTATTGAAGAAAAAGTTGATTTTTGGGTTCAGGTATCACAATAGATTATGTACTATTTTTGAGAAATAAAAAGAATCATTTATTTTGTTAGATAAATATAATTTTGTAATTTATGTTAGAAAATAAACTTTCAGAAAAGAATTATCAACGTAGAATACAGAAATGCATAAAAAAAATCAAAAATCAAAAATCAAAAATCAAAAAAATGAACTAAAAAAATTACAAATAAAACTAATCAAAATATTCTTCCCATTCCCTTTCGTAATTTTGTTGCTCCAAAATTGCCTGTTTTGTTTTCTCATCAACTTTTCCATCAAATATTGATAAATCAACGTTTTTCAATCCTGTTTGACGGGCCAAGTTGGGAGATATCATATTTATCTCATAAATTACTTTTGCCTTTTTGTTTGCAATCAGAGAATCATCATGCATATGTTTTATTCTGTCATATCTCACAGCTGTTGGCTGAGTTATCGAAGGATAAAAATTGATACCAGTATAAGGGTCTCTTTTTCCATTCCTTAGATTGAGAATATTTAGCCTTGATTGAACTAAAAAATGATTGTATTCCCTGCATTTTACTGCATGGTCATATAACCAATTTGGATCAGAGACCAGCAACTTTGAAGTTTTTGATTTTTTTGACTGATCAATAATATTGTAGTCGTTGTTGGAATGATCATTATGCTGAAGATCTATCAAGGAATCAAGATTGTTTGGCGTGCTATTCTTCTGAAATTTTAGTAAAGCACCATGCCAAGTTACCCATTGCTTTTTATCGTACTTTTTGGGATCGTCTGGGACAGTGTCAGTTGGATCAGCTAACTCGCCTTCAACCCTGCCATTGTCTCTTGCTTTCTGTTCATAGTAATCATCAGTGACTCTTTTTCCACCAACTATAATTTTGGCACCAAATACCTGGTAGAAACTTTTTGCAGTAATTAAACCTATTGATCTCCCCTTATAAGAATGAGGAATAAGGTCTCTGTGTATAAGATCGAATTTCTGATCATTGGAAATGATGTATTTGTATAGTCTTTTGTATTTGTTGAATAGCAAATAGGAGTCTCTAAAACCAACACATCTTGCGGGTTCTGTAGCCAACATGTATTTCTTCTCGCCATTGCCTTTGACAGTAAAAGTCCTGACCCTAAACTCTCGATTGTTTAGTAGGTTACCATTAGAATCAATTTTGGTATCTCCCTGAGGATCGTCAGGAAGTATGTATTCGTCTTGCAACTCGCCGAGCAACAAAACATTACCGTCATCATCTACCTGAGGCACTGGAGTGCTTAGTTTCCTGTTTTTGAAACCACCAGCTCTACCTGTTCTTCGTTTTCTGGTAAGGCCGGTGACTGAGTGGGTTTCATCTTCGTCGTCGTCGTCGTTGTCATTCTCATGGTCGTTTTCATTGTCGTGGTCATGGTCATGGTCATGGTCATGGTCTTCGTCGTCATCACAATCGTCTTCTCCAACATCGTCTTCATTGTCTTCGTTGTTATCATTTTCACGACCACTGTGGTCATTATCACGAGCATCAGAAGTGGCATCGGAATGGGGGTGAGGTTGAAGACTGGACAACCTTCTAGACAACCTCTTGCGCTTCTTCAAAACAGGACCATACAACTTCTCCCTGGCCAAGGTGGTCTTGTTCTTGCTTCCAGGAGGCCTCCCACCTCGTCTTCGCTTGGGGGTCACCACAACAGGCTCGTCATCGTCCTCGTACTCCCCAACGCTATCGTCGTCGTGCTGATCTGGCTCGCTGGCAGCATTATCGCGATAGTCATCGTCGTGGAGGTCTTCTGTGTCCAGCTGCTGCGGTATTTTTGGCTGGTCTGCTTCTCCATCCAATAACAGCTCTTTCGTTGCCCCAGACATATTCTGCTCTCCCAATCCTACCAATCACCTCTACTCAGCTTCCAACATCGTTCAATTCGCAAAAAGCTCCAATGAAGATGCTGTGCACGTGAGCTCCTTCCAAGAAAAAGCGACTCGTTTTGCGATGAGCTGCGAAAATTTTTCAAAGCTGATCCAGAAAAGCTATATAAAGAGTCTCGTTTCCCCTGCTGCTTGATTTGCTTTTGCTCTTGCTTCTTCCTCAGAACATTATTTGCACCAAGAACTCCAGCTTCTGGTCAACAGCCTGCCAATTTCTGTTCTTTCCAATTGTCGCTACCTTTTCTGTTGGTTTCTGCTCCACCCTACCATTTCACCTCGACCATCATTCAATCTCAAACTTATTCTCGATTATCATCTCCTATTTTTGGTCAAAGGTCGCTTACTACTGCAAATTCTTTCCAGATTTCAGTCTCACTGGTTTTTTCTACTTATCTTACTCAAGGTATTTCTTTTTAACGAAAAAAAATATAAATTAACCCGAAACCCAGTATTTTCAAAGAAGAGAACAGACCATTTCTTTTTCTTCTTGCTTAGCATTTTTAAATTATTTCATGTCAAAGGAAGTATTACTTCGTTTCTCTCGCCCTGCTAAACCTAGATAACATAAGCTTACTCCCACTGTAACTCGAGAAATCTCCTTTAATATTTTAGCTAATATAAAGGTAAATCTATTATCACTAATTTTTCTTTTCATTTTTTTTTTTCATCATTTTATTCCCAATTCATAAAGATTTTAAAAGTCTAACCAAGTTTCCCCCTCCCCCTTGGTAAGAATTTTATTATCCTGTTCCTAACTTGTATTAAGATAAAAAGCAAAGTATTTTTTTTTAAGAAAAACAAAAAGCATCCTATTTATAATTACTGAAGAATGGTTATCTCAAATCAAGATTACATTGATCATGAACTATCCACTAGTTTGGATTCAGCTGATTCTTTTGAAGGCCCAGAAAAATTATTGGAGATTTGGTTAACTCCACATGAAAATGATTTAAATGTTGAAAATGGCTTAAGATCTGTACCTTTATTTGAATGGCAAAATCTTCTAGATATCATCAATTGCAAGATTCTTTCTCTTAAAAAATCAGAAAATTTAGATGCTTACATTTTGTCAGAATCTTCTTTATTTGTTTATAATAATAGAATCATTTTAAAAACTTGCGGCACAACAACAACTTTACTATCCATTGATTATTTTTTCAAAATCTGTGAAAAATATCTCCACTGGAATATCAAATTTTTTAAAAAACCTTTCAAAATTTTTTACTCAAGAAGAAAATTCATGTTTCCTCATAAACAAATTGGTTTGCATAAAGATTGGAATCTCGAAGTCCAATATTTAGACTCATTTTTTGAAGATGGTTCTTCCTATATTGTTGGTAAATCAAACAAAGATCACTGGCATCTCTATACAAACGGTAACTCAAATCTTGTTCAATTTCCAATCAATAATGGTTTGCCTTCTCCATCTGTCTTCAAATTCAATGACGAAACCTTTGAAATTTTAATGACTGGTTTATCTACCGAAGCTTCTCGTCAATTCTTCACCAACGAAATTTTCAAAAATAATCTTTCTGGAAATTCAAACCTGCATACAGATGGCCACATTCTGGGCTTAAAAACATCAAAATTCACTCAACTAAACAACATTTATAACACCGATGCCATTATTCATGACGCCTTTTCCTTCACCCCATGTGGCTATTCTTCAAATTCTATTATCGATGAAAAATATTACTACACTTTACATGTCACTCCCGAAAAGGGTTGGTCTTATGCTAGTTTTGAAAGCAATGTTCCTTCATTAAAATACAATTTGACTAATTTAACTATTTTGAAAAAAATTTTGAACCTTTTCAAGCCTTCACATTTTGCTTTCACTCTTTTCCAACTAAAGGATGAATTTGTTCATATTGATCATCTTTATGACTTTAATAATCACGAAGTTGACAACATTTCCGATCTTGAATTGGATAGTTCTCCTAGCCCAAAAAAAGTCAAAAAATTTAAATATAAATCTAATTTTGAATTGTTAAAAAATTGCAAAATTAAAGGATATAAGAAAACTGACAGAATCATCTATGATGTTGATGAATACGAATTATTATATCTTAGTTTTGTAATTGGGGAGGAATAATTTAATTTATTTAATAATTAAAGATTTATATTTTTTTTTTCTTTTTTTTTTCTACCCTTAGTTTTCTTTCAAAACATATTGTTAATTTTTTTTTGTTCTTTTTTGCTTAATGTTTTCCTTTTTTTTTTGTTGTTTACACTTGTCATTTTTTTTTATTTTTTTTTTGTTGACCGTCATAATTGACATCTTATTCTTTTTGACTGTTTTTGTTTTTCATTAATTATATTTCTAAAATTTTAAACACTTTTAAATAATTTTATACATTTACGCATTCTTAGATTTAAACATGATACAAACATACTTTTCAATTGATAAAATTAAATGTATTTTGTAGATTTATTTTATTCAATTATTAAAAAAAGAAAAAAATTATATTAAAAATGAGATGAATAAATATAACTAATAGATAACTGAAAGAATTTATAACAATATAATCAAAATATAACATCTTCATCATCGTCATTAATTAGATCGTTGTCTCCAGATTGATTGCCTCTATCAACCTTTAACACGCCTTTGGCTTCATCTTTGTCTTGATTATCTAATAGCAATTGCTTTTTGGCTTTTGCTTCCAAATCCTGAATTTCTTGTTGTTTTTGTTTTTTCTCTTGAACTTTTTTCAATCGGTAAAATTCTTCTCTATCCAATTCATCTAACTCACTATTAATATATTTGATTGTATTATCAGTTCTGGGAATAATTACATGTTCAATTGCATTAACTCTTCGATTGGTGACTTTAATAACCTCATCTAAAATAATAAAGGCAGTTTGCAAAGAGGCTAGTTCAACTAAAGTCTCAACAGCTTTGGAATAAATCAATTTACATTTTTGAACTTGCTGACCACCTCTACCCAAACCTGTCATTTTAAAATCATTAATTGAATTATCAATAAACGATTCAAAAGCAGGTAGTTTGACACCAGACACATTTTCTTGCTTGGAGTGGACTTTGAACCTAGCCTTTGATCCAACAGACTCTTGAACTTGATAACTGATATTATTCATTCCCGTGGCATAAGTAACTTCAGCCAAAGAAAAAGAAGCAGTTTGCATTACTCTGCCCATCTTTAATTTGGCATCGTTTATTCTTTTTGTAATTTCTCTAAATCTCTTTGTAAGAGCCTCTGATTTTCTTTTCAACAAACTGTGCCCAATCTCGGCACCTTTTAGCTTGAGTTTCATTGTTGTCAATGTCATTCGAGTAGCGAAGACCTGCTCTCTTCATAAACCAAAGCCATGTTAGCCTCGAATCTTTCAATCTAAAAGGTATCAAAAATATGGTGCTTTTAAAAGCAGCATTTCTAGCCAAAAAAGCCAATGACATACCTGTTCCCTGCTCCAGACATCTTGAACTATACACAATCAAATTCCACACCTATCGACTCTTACGAACCCTCTCAAAAGATAGTCAGTGTCTGCTCACTGCTTTGATGATTTTTTTGGTTCAATTCAGCAGCCATTGCCCAGAATCCGGTACATATCACGTGCATTATATAATTTCCGAGGGATGATATAATCTGTGCTTTATTTTCTGGGTTTTTATCAGTCTACAGGTGGTTTATATTTCGCTATCTATGTGAGGGTATCTATGTGAGGGTATCTATGCGAAGGTATCTTTCGCCACTAGGATGTATGGCGACTCGCTGTCCAAGTTATACTGCTCCATCACATTGTTGTCGGACAACTCGAGCTCCTGCAAATGTTTCAAGCAGGAAAGATTTTCCATTTTACTGATTTTATTGAAATTCAAATGCAATTTCTTAAGCTTTTCCAAGTTTTCTAGTCCTTCAATTACTTGAATGTTGTTATGCGATAAGAAAAGATGTTCCAATCTGTTTAAATTAGCTGGTAGGTTTTCTATCTTGGCAATTTGATTATAAGACAACACTAAACTTTGCAAGTTACTTAGCAATTCAAGGTTCTCAATTTTTGATAATGCATTATTCGAGAGATTCAATCGTTTTAAATTATTGGTTTTACTCAACTCACATAATGACTGATGATTGAACTCGATCTTTGAAATTAAGTTATTTGACAATATTAAATCTTTTAGTTTTCTATGAATAACAATTGAGTTTAACGATTTAAATTTGTTAAATGATAGATTTAAAGTCTCCAAGTTATTAAAACCGCTGATGTTGAAATCTTTCAATTTATTGTAAAATAAATTTAAATTTTTTATTGAGGGTATATTGATATCATTTAAGTTGGTGATTTTACTTATTTTATTATAAGATAGGTTCAAGTTTTTTAAACTAGAAAGATTTTCAAAACAATTTAAATCGAATTCGGTAATATGATTTGAATTCAATTTCAAAACTTTGAGTTTATTCAATTTATTGATGTTTGAAATTCTTCGTATTACGTTTTGACTCAAATCAAGTTCTTTTAAAGCTGGACAATTATTCAAGTTCTTAATAGCATTAATAGTATTATAATGAAGATCTAAATAAGCTAGATTTTCATTGTCTGGTAAATTTTCAATCTGGGTTAAATAATTGTATGATAAATTAAGTTTTCTTAAATTTGATAAATTTGATAAATTTTCAATTTTCCTTATTTTGTTATTATAAAGATTTAAATATTCTAGGTTTTTCAATTGATTTAATGCTTGACCAATACAAGTGATATTGGTGCTACCTAATTCCAAATTTTTTAAAGAGTCTTTTAAATAAAGTAAACAAGACTGGCCATTTTCAATTAAATTACCAATTCTTGAAAACCCCAAATTTAAATAGGTTAAACTGTATAAATTTTTAAAACAACTCACTGGAAGATCAATAATCTTGTAATTACCAGATAGATTTAAAGATTTTAAATTGACCAACTTATCAAAACAATTTGCAAAATCAACAATCTGAGTTGTCGCTAAATTTAATTCTTCTAAAGTACTTAAATGCGAAATTTGATTGGGAAATGTAGTTAGTTTATTATTTGAAATTTTTAAAACTCTTAGGTTTTTCAATTTTAAAATTGAATCATCAATATCAAATAAATCATAATTATAACCTAAATTCAATTCAGTCAAATTCAAAAAATCATTCAAATTCTTAATTTTTTTCAATTTATTGGAAGCCAAATTTAAAGTTCTCAAGTTATTATTAAATAAACCATTATAGTTATCCATTTCAATTGATTCCAAATTGTTACCACTTAAACATAATGTCGTGAGATTGTTTAAATTAAGCAATTTTAAGTCATCAATGTTACGTATACAATTGTAGGCCAAAAGATTTTTAATCGATATCGTGTTTCCTAAAAACAAATGAACAAACTTTATTATCATGTTGTTATCGAGTTTTATGCTATCATTGGGATCCTTTAGTCTCAAAAAATTGAAGACAGATAAATCATTAATTGAGGAAATAAAATTAATCTTTCTGATAATTGAAGTGTTATTGAAAAATTCATTTAGTTTAGATGAGCCAATAAAGAAAAAATCAAGAGATAGTTTGTTAACCTGGATATTGTGAAAAGTAGTAAAACTAGCCAAGTCAGAAAAGGATAGCCTGAAAGCATCAAGACCAGAGGTTTTCGAATTCTGCCTAATACTGTTTACAATGAAAAAGGAATTATTCTTGGAAATGTTGTTTCGATTATTGCTGGCATCAGTGCTGTCGTTGTATTCGATGATAAGATTATTAAATAGTTTGAGTCGAGCAAACCAGGCAAGATGATTTATGTTGGACAAGCTGAGCAACAAAACATGGCCCAAGAACAAATAACTAACTATCTGCTCGATTATGTGAGGAGGTAAGATAACACTGTCCAGCCTAGAGCACCCATCCATCGTGCTTTCTGTGTTTGAGTCGTCAAAATCCTCTCATTTGATTATATCTGCTTCTTCTTTTAGGTCCTTGCTTACGCGCAAAAACGCATTTCAATGCACAAACGCAGAACCCGTTGTTCTGGATCTGCTGTATTTTTCACACCGTGCTCACAATTACACACCTTCTGGTGAAAAATTTTCTGGCTGATTAGAAAAGATGCTTCGTTGCTTGATCTGTTCTTTCGTCGTCCTTTTTTGTTCACAGCTACGATGCCTCCATATTTTGTTAGACCCGAAAACGTTTTGAAGGTATGTTTCTTTGGCGTTTTTCAGAGTGTTTGTCTCTGTTCTACGATTTTTTTGTAATCTTTACAATTCCTGTTTTAGTAGTTTTCACTCTCTTCAAATTACATGTTCTAACTGTTTTCAAAGCGTTGCGAGGAGCTCATTGCTATTGGCCAATCTGAGGCTGCTTTAGGTGATTTGAAAGATTTTTTGACCTCAAGTAGAACTCGTCATGTTGCTGCTCCTACCTTAGAACCAGTTGCCTCTTTATTTGTTGAATTAGCTGTCAAACTTAGTAAAGGAAAAGTTGCCAAAGATGGTTTGTACTCCTATAAAAAATTGGTTCAGTCTACTCCAGCTGGTTTGATTTCCTTAGAAAATATTTGCAAAAAATTTATTGATTTATCAGAAGTTCAATTAAACAATGCCCAAAAACAAGCTGACAAAAGAATGCTTGATAACGTTGAAGATGATTTAGAAGCTGCTGTCTCGCCTGAAGACATCCTTATGTCTGCTGTTTCTAATGATCAATCATCTGACAGGTTAGATAGAGAATTAGTAGCTCCCTGGTTAAGATTTGTTTGGGAAGCCTATAGAACCGTCTTGGATATATTAAGAAGTAACGCTAAATTAGAAATCACTTATTCTGCTGTTGTTAGAAAAACTTTTATTTTTTGTCTTGATTACAAAAGAAAAACCGAATTTAGAAAATTATGCGAAATTTTAAGAAGCCATATTCAAAATCTTTACAATTATAAATCAACTACTTCATATGGGATTAATTTATCTGATCCTGATACTTTACAAAGAAATCTAGACTTAAGATTCAGACAATTGAAAGTCGCCGTTACTTTAGAATTATGGCAAGAATCCTTTAGATCTGTTGAAGATGTTCATACCTTAATTGTTTCATCAAACAGAGCTGCAAAACCTCAAATGATGTTGGAATATTTTGAAAGTTTAGCTAAAATCTTTAAAGTTTCCGGTAACTATTTACATCATTCAGCTGCTTGGCTTAATTATTTCAATCTTTATTCAACTTCTCCAATGGCAACCGAAGAAACTTTAAAAGTATATGCCTCAGTTTTCCTTTTATCAGCTTTGTCCATTCCTGAAGAACCTTCCACTGATGTGTATGAATCAAATGATTTTAAAAATAAAAACTCCAAATTATCTTATTTATTAAATTCATCAAAACCAATTACTCGAGAAATAATTTTGAAATCTGCTCAAAATCATAATATTTTATCTTATGCTGCTGATGATGTTAAAGAATTGTTTTTCTTCTTACAAAAATCATTTCATCCTTTACATTATAAAAAAAGTTTAACTAATATTTTTACTTCATTAGAGAAAAACTCTGATTATAAACCATATATTACTTCATTAATTAAAGTTTCTAACATTAAATTATTTCAACAAATTTCTCAAGTTTATGATACTGTTAAACTAGATTTTTTAATCTCTTTAGCAAGCTTTGAAAATACACCATTTGAAGTATCTCCATTTGAAATAGAAGACTCTCTAGTAAATTCAAGCAAAAATGGATCTTTAACTTCTTTAAGAATCAATCATGATTCGCAAGTTGTAACTTTTGCAAATGATCCGTTTGAAGAAAGAAATAGTTTAAATGTTTTAAATGCCACCAACTCTGAAATTTCTTTGCAATTAACACCTCCAGAATTAGTTCGTTCTCAATTGTCTGTTTTAGCAAAATCTTTATCAAGGGTATTAATTAACGTCGATCCAAGTATTAAGAAAAACCAAGAAATAAAATTACAAAATGCTATCAATTCTGCTTCTAAAGGTGTTATTGCCGAACAAAAGGAACTTGAAAAGAGAAAACAATTATTAGAAGAGAGAAAGGAAAAAGCTGAAGCTGAAAGAAGAGAAAAAGAAGAAGAAGCGTTAAGATTGAAACTTGCTGCCGAACAGGCCGCTAAAGAAGCTGAAAAAGAAAGAGTTCTTGCTGAAACCAAAAGAAGAAAATTGGAAAGAATTGAGCGTGAAGAAAGTGCTATTAGAGAAAGAGAGAAAAAGAAATTGGCTGAAGAAATTAATGCAAAAGGTATTATTAAAGTTGATGTTGATAAGCTAGACGATCTTGATTCTGATAAATTAAGAATCATGCAAATTGAACAATTAGCAAAGGAAAAGAAACAAATGGAAGATAGATTGAAAGCCTTTGGTAGAAGATTGGATCATCTTGAAAGAGCGTATAGAAGATATGAATTACCATTATTAGAAAAAGATGAAGAACTTCAAAAGCAAAAAGACTTGGATAATTATAATTTAATGAAAGAAAAAACTATTAGCCATGCTAGAAAAGAATATGAAATGGCTGTTGAATTAAAAAGTAGACTAAATAGAATTGTTCCTGACTATATTAGTTATAGCAATTCTATTAAAAAAGAGAAGAATGAATATTTCGAGAAGTGTCGTATTGAGGCAGAAAAACAATTAAAGGCAGAAAAACATGCTAGGTTTGAAAGTGTAAAGGCTGAAAGAATTGCTGCATACAAACATAAATTAGAACAAGAAAGAAAGGCTAGACTTGCTAAGGAAGCTGAGGAAAAAGCAAGAGCTGAAGAAAGGGCTAAAGCTGAAGAAAGAACAAGAGCCGAAGAAAGAGCAAGAGCCGAAGAAAGAGCAAGAGCCGAAGAAAGAGCAAGAGTTGAGGAAGAGAAATCTCGTAAATCTATTTCTGAACTTTCATTTTCTGAGAAAATGAAACTTAAAAGATTACAACAGTTATCGGCCAATTCCGGGTCTATTTCAAATGAGGTTATTGCTACCACTGTTACTGCTGCCACTAACTCTAGAATTTCAACTACATCTAATGTTTCCTCTTCAATTTCAACTTCAACTTATAGACCAACCTTTTCTTCAAGAGTTTCTACAACTTCTTCACCCCCAGTGTCTTCACCTCCACCTTCTTCATCTCCAACTCCTGCACCAGAAAAAAAAATGACTTATTCACAAAGAATGAGATTGAAAAGAGCTGGAAGATAAATAAAAATTTACAAAGTATTTCTTTAGATCTTAAATTTACGTTTTTACTTTTTCTAATCGTAGATTATATTGATTTTTAATAGATTCACTGTCTAATACATAGTTTGTAAAAATTATAAAACCTAATTAGCAGGTGAATCTTCGTTAAACCTCAAATCCCAGCCTATTTCTGGACCGATTTTGGGCAACACTTCTGCAACACTTTGAACATCTTTGTCACCTCTACCAGAGACGTTGATAATTAAAGATTTACCTTTACCGAGTTTTTTAGCTAATTGAATGGCTCCAAATACAGCATGGGAACTTTCCAAGGCTGGAATAATACCTTCAAGTTGAGATAATAGTCTAAATCCCGAAAGAGCCTCAGCATCAGTAGCAGCAATAAAAGTGGCTCTACCAGAGGCTTTCCAAGCAGCTAACTCAGGACCAACACCTGGATAATCTAGCCCAGCAGAAACAGAGTGTGTATCATGAATTTGGCCTTCATCGTCCTGCAACACATAAGTTCTTACACCATGAAAAACACCTGGTTCACCGGCAGTTAATGTAGCAGAGTGAAAACCAGAGTTCAAACCAGAACCGCCAGCTTCCACACCTAATAATTGGACTGTGAGGTCTTTTTCGAATGGAGAAAACATTCCTGTAGAGTTGGAACCACCCCCAACACAGGCAACAACAGCATCGGGAAGCTTTCCATCATTTAATTTTGCAAATTCGGCTTTTGCTTCTTGACCTATGACTGATTGAAATGTTCTAACTAATGTAGGGTAGGGATGGGGACCAATGGCAGAACCAACAACGTAATGAGTATCTTTTAAATGAGAAACCCAATATCTAAAAGCTTCTGAGGTTGCATCACGTAAAGTCTGAGTACCATTAGTAACAGATACAACAGAGGCACCAAGAATTCTCATTCTGAAAACATTCAATGCTTGTCTTCTAACATCTTCAGCACCCATGAAAACTTTGCATTCAAGACCAAATTTGGCACATGCAGTGGCTGTTGCTACACCATGTTGGCCAGCTCCAGTTTCAGCAATAATTTTGGTTTTACCTAATCTTCTAGCAATTAAAACTTGGGCAATAGCATTATTTATCTTATGAGAACCGGTATGATTTAAATCTTCCCTTTTTAACCAAATATCAGCACCACCAGCATACTCAGTCAATCTTTCGGCTCTGTGTAAAGAACTTGGTCTGCCCATATAAGGATATAAAGAACGAAATTCTTCCCAGAATTTTTGATCCTCAACAGCATTTTCAAACCCATCTTCTAATTCTCTAAGACAAGCATGAAGAGCTTCAGGGACATATTGACCACCAAAATCTCCAAAAGTGGGTGAATATTTATGCTTTTCTTGAAAGTCAACAGGAGACTTGTCTGGTAATGATTGGGAAGCGTTATTTTCAACTGTTTTTGAAAGGTTATGAGAAGAAGACGAAAGTATTAATTTAACATAATTTTCTGCGGTAATACCTCTTTCACCAGGTTTAGACTCTCCAATTAAAGTGACAATTTTACTTCCAATAACTACACCATCAGCAGATTCACCAACAGTAAGATAATCTTGTTTTGTACTAACCCCAAAACCAACAGCCAAAGGAATGTCCTTGGAATACTCTCTTACGTGGGCAACTAGACTGCCAATCTGATTTGAAATGGATCCAGTTACACCAGTTGTTCCCATCCTGGAAACAACATATATAAAAGAATCTGAAATTTTCGACAAAACCTCTAATCTTTCTTCAGTAGTTGATGGAGCGACCAATGGAACAAAGCTTAAATCATATTTAGCACAGTTAGATCTGAATTTAACAGCTTCTTCAGGTGGCAAATCAACAACAATAAAACCATTGACCCCATATTCAGAACATTTTTGAATAAATTGGATTTCACCATACTTTAAAATCGGATTGTAGTAACCCATAAAAATGATAGGAATAGTTACACCATGAGACTCTCTGGCCTCCTTAACTAGATCCAAAGCTTTATCAAGGTTCATTTCATTCTGGAGAGCTATAACGTTGGCTTCTTGGATTGTAGGCCCATCAGCAATTGGGTCAGAAAATGGTAAGCCTAACTCAATAATGTCAACACCTCCATCTTGAAAGCCTTTTAAGATTGGAATAGTATCTTCAACTGTTGGATAACCAGCAGTGATAAAAGTAATTAGAGCAGCACGATCTTGAGCTTTGGCCTTTGCAAAGGCTTCTTTCAACTGTTGAGACATCCTAATATTCAATAAAGAAAAATTAATTGTTAAAGATTTTTTTTTGCAACTATTGAATAAATACTAGGTGCTGAGAGTTGGTTAAATAGATATTTCAGTTTTCAAAGATTAGTCATTGAAAAATAGAGAAATTTCGTCAATCAAATATTGTGCAGAGAAAACTTTTTGCTAAAGAAGCCTTAATCTGTTGATAAGCCCCAAAAATATCTCCAGTCGGAATAATTCCGGAGAAAAACTACAAATATTTCGCACGAAAACTGTCACCAGTGCAACAATTTCTCAAAGAAAAAAGTAAAAGGCATATTCATGTTATCTATCTATGTATCCAATCAAAAATCAAATCTGAATCTCTGACATTAAGTCAATCAACTCGTTAATGGGATCGTCGTCAAATCTAGCAGTGTTAACATTACTGACCACACTCTTGATGCCTATGTTTAGCTTGTCTGTTCCTAAATTGTTTGAAACTTGATTAACAATATATTGCCTTTTCTCTTCATCAAGAAAATTCATCTTTTCCATGACTGCCTGTAACTCTGTGATGTTGCTGAGGTTAGGTACAGGGATTTTATTCGTAAAACATTTAATAAGTTCCATCTGTCTTAACACAGTATATGACGATGTGGTCGATAAAATTAGCAACCTTTTGTTTTTTGGCGGAACTCTTTTAAGGTAAGATTTTAAACATTGCAATACATTATTTGAAAATCTTGGTCCAATTGGAACATAATCGCAAATTGATTCGAGATCGTCAACAACCAAAATATTTAATGGTGATTTATAAGCATCTCTAAAGGCATTATCGATATAACCAATCTTAGCATTTTCAGTCATTCCAATCATTTCATTTGGTGAAATCAATCTTATAAACGGAAATTTAGATCTTAGTGCAATAGTTCCTGCTAATGCTGTTTTTCCAGATCCATCTGGTCCATACATTAAGACGCTTAATAAGGTAGTATTTTTATCTTCAGCTATTTGTTTAACAAATCTTGATCCATCACGAAGAATCTGTTCTATTGTAGAGGAATAATGAATGATTCCACCTCTAACACACAATTCTAAGTCCTCTTCATTAACGCCAAATGCAGGCTTAACTTCATTTAATGCTTGTAAAAAATCATCACGACAAATTTGCATTTTCTCCACATCTTTATTAATTTTAGTGCCAACAATATTTTTAGAGATTTGAAAGGATGTAGCTGATTTAACAAGACCTTCAATTTCGGCCCCACTAAAGTTTTTAGTAAGCTTTGCTAATTCATCAAAATCAATATCGGGATTTAACATATTATTATTTTTCATTTTTTTTGTGTGAATTAAAAGAATTTGTTTTCTTCCAGGTTCATCAGGCAATGATATTTCGACTTGAACTTCAAATCTACCAGGTCTAAGTAAAGCATTATCAATCAAATCTCTTCTATTTGTCATACCAATTACTAAAATATTGTTTAGTTGATCGACACCATCCATTTTTGCCAATAATTGATTAACAACATTATCTGCAACACCTGTTCCATCGCCTCTTGAACCTCTTTGTTTAAAAACAGAATCTAACTCATCGAATATAATGATGTGCAAACTTGATTCCTCGCCTTTTGATTTGTACTCTGTTTCGGCATCTTTAAACAAGTTTCTAATATTTTCCTCAGAAGAACCAACATATTTACTCAAAATTTCAGGACCATTGACAATCTTAGGTTCATTAGCATTAAGCATGTTACCTATTTTTCTAGCAATAAGAGTTTTACCGGTACCTGGAGGACCATATAGTAACATACCTTTAACATGTGAAATACCCAACTTTTCAACAATGCCAGGAGGGAAAATTCTACTTGCAAATGCTCTACGAAAAATTTGAGTAAATTCATTATCCAAACCACCAATTCCCATTTCTTCAAATTTAAAATCAGGGCGAATAATTGCATCAGCTCTTGGTCTTGTTGTTGATCCTTTTAGTTGAATCAACCCATCTCTTCCCTTGAAAAAATTAATTTGAGTTTTGGTTGTTAATATACCTTTAGTATTAACATCTTTTGACTCGTTACCACTTGATGGTTCAACATCAACAAGATTAAAGCATTGCAACGATTGAATAAGAATTTCAAATATAATACCTTTAAATTCCATCAAAAGAGCCTGTGTGGGTTGAAACATCTGTTCATTAAAATTTCTGATAAAATGAGTTGATAACTCATCTTGATCAAATTTTGTATTAACAGCTTTATTCCTATTTCTAAAAGTTATTTCTAAATTCATTGAACCGATATAAAATCGGTCCTCTTTTCTTAATCTATAGGCCTGAACATTTATTGGTTCATTTAATGAAAGATTTAAAAAGCTTCTTTGAGTTCCATTGAAACCAATTGTTCTTGGAGGAATTTCTTCAGAAAACATTGTGGTATATACAAATCTATTATTTATTATAATAAAAGAATTATCAGGAATTCCGTTTCGGCTGCTTATAGCTACTTTATTAGATAAAGCTATCATATTATTAGGACAATTGATAACTGTGTATGCGCTAGAATTCTGCAATGGCTGTTGTTGGTAAGTTGGAGGAGGAGGAGGAGCTGAATAGTTTGAATTGCCCATTGAAAATAAGCCAGAGCTTCCACCACGACCTTGAGAAGGTTTTCCAAATCCACCGCCTGAGCTGAACATGTTAACTGATATAATTTAATGATTTGTGCAAAAGGTAATTGATAAAATAGAAAGAAAGAAGTATATATCAAATCGATGAAGTGTTTATATGATAATCTAAAACAAAAGGACAAACGCAACATGTGATAAAGTAATCCGAGGGAAGACTTCCGAGCAACTCTTGGTTCTTTTCGGTGTTATCGAATTTCAAAAGCTTCGTATCTCCGTTTAAAATCTCGCGATTACCGGCGAACAACGAGAAGACTCTTCCGGAAACAATCAAAAATCCATTATTCATTACATTTTTATAAACCATAGCAAAAACATACAAAAACTAAATAAAAGCAGAGTGAAAACTAGATAAAATCATAAAAAAAATTAAAAACAAAACTAAAGACAAAGATAAAGACAATTAACAATTAACAATTAACAATTAACAGGCAAAATTTAGATCAAAAGATTCAAACAAAAAAGTATAGTTATTTAGAACTTGGTTTCCAATTTTTTATTCTTAAAGATGACGTTACAACACAAACAGAAGAAAGACTCATGGCTAGAGCAGCAAATAATGGATTCATTATTCCAATCATAGCCATTGGAATCATCAACAAGTTGTAAACGCAAGCAAGAAAAAAATTCACTTTGATAGTATTAAATGTCTTCTTCGATAAGCTTAAACTTTGAATCAAAGAAGATAGGCTATCATCAAGCAAAATAATATCTGCTGCTGACGAAGCAATATCAGTGGCACCACCAAATGAAACACCAATATCAGCCTGAGTGATTGCTGCAGCGTCATTAATACCATCACCGACAAATAATACTTTTTTGGTGGTTTGAAAATTTTTGACAAGTTTTGTCTTCTCTGAGGGAGTTTTTTCCGAGAATATATACTCAGGGCTAATTCCGATTTGATCACCAACTCTTTTAGCAATTTCATAATTATCTCCAGTGACCATTGCAATTTCATATCCAGATTTTTTTAAAGTAGTTATAACGTCTTTGGCATCAAGTTTGATATAATCCTTTAAAATAATATAACCAATAAAGTCATTGCCAATTGACACATAAATTTTTGTGCCGATTTCATCATTATCATCATCTTGAATATTCTCAATCAATTTTGAATTTCCAACTTTAACCTTATGACTTGTTTCATTGGAAATTGAAAAATTAGCAGTGACACCAAATCCAACCTTATTAACAATATTTGAAACATTTAATTTGTTATTCAAATTACTAGAAGATGAGAATTCCTTATCATTTTGAAATGAAAGCTTCTTTGAATACTCTCTTAATGATTTAGAAATAGGATGGTTAATATTATTTTCAATCAAATTTATCAAGTGCCAAATATTAACATCGTCCAAATTATAATTTTCTTTAGCAGGAAAAAAATTATAAGAATGGATTTGCATTGAACCAACAGTTAGGGTATTTGTCTTATCAAATAAAATCATTTTAACCTTATTGAGATTTTCCAAAACTTCTCCACCTTTAATTAAAATGGAGTTTTCTGCTCCAACACCAGTTCCAACCATAATTGCAGTTGGAGCAGCTAAACCTAGGGCACATGGACAAGCAACGACTATTACCGAAATTGAAATTTTTAAAGCAACAAAGAATTTACCGTTTATTTTAATTTCTTTGAATAGTTTTTTTGAAAGATTATTTTCATTCAAGTAGTATTCGAGTAAAAACAACCAAGCACAAAAGGTTATTAGCGCTAGACATAAAATTGTAGGAACAAATTTTGAAGCGATATAATCAGCATATCTTTGTAGAGGAGCCTTTTTAGTTTGAGCATCTTTAACTAAAGAAATAATTTTGGATAATTTTGTATATTTACCTACTTTTTGAACCTTCATATAGATCGTGTTTGTATTGTTGATTGAGCCACCAATAAGATTTGAGTTTTTAGATTTTAAAATTGGAGTTGATTCACCAGTTACTAAAGATTCATCTACTTCAGATTCACCATAAATTAAAACACCATCTACAGGAATTTTGCTACCTTGTTTGATTATGATTATATCATTTGGTTGAACTAAATCTGTAAAGATGGATTCTGTTTGCAAGTTATTAATTGAATTAGAATCAATCGAAAGGTTATTAAAGTGATCTGGGTTTAAATTTGTGATAATATCACAAGATGAGGGAGTTAGACTTAATAAATTTGATAGAGTGGTGGTAGTTTGTCCCTTTGCTTTATTTTCTAGCCATTTACCAAAAGATATGAAAGTAATTAACATTGCAGAAGTGTCAAATAAGACCATTGGTCTCATAGATGAAGAGTTGATTAAAGATTTTAGCATTGAATAGATTGAGAAAAGGTAGGCTATTGAAGTTGAGATACAAACTAATAGATCCATAGTTGCAGAGCCATGTTTTAAAGATTTATAAGAATTGATATAAAAGATCTTTCCCAAGAAAAACTGGATATAAGTAGCTAAGACTAAAGAGATGAAATCAGGTAAATACAAACCTGTTTTAAGCATACAAGAATTCTTATGAAAAACTCTATAGAAGAAATGGTGACATAATAAGATCGGAATAGCTAATAATAAGGCTTTTAAAAAGTTGAATTTCCAATACTTGATTTCTTTTGTTTTAGCCAAAAGTTTTAATTGAGTGGTATTGTCGAAGGAGGTAATGGGTAAGCAATCTATGTTATATTTTGTGTTTAAAGATTTAATGATGAATCTGATCTTTATTGGAGAATTTATGTCATAAGATAGTTTGATTTGTTTTAGTGGTAAGTTGATTGAGAGGGATTTAATGTTATTGAAAGAAGATATGGAAGATTTTAGATCATTTGAAGATATGTTTGAGATGTCACCAAAAATTTTTAAAGTGATTGAATTGAATTCATGCTGGGGATTGATATTGAAAATATTTGACAGAATTAGGGAGGGAGTGAAACCAAGATCGTCGATTTTTTCAAGAAAGATTGATGGGTCTATAAAATGGGAATGAACTATTTTTACTTCTTGAGTTAATAAAGAGACAGTAGTTGATTGAACATATTGAATTGAGTTCAAAGCATTTGTGACCGAAGAAGTGCAAGCAGAGCAGGTCATTCCATCAATTGATAATGTGGAGGTATAATGATGAGGGAGAGTTTGTAATTCCAAGGAGTTATGATTTAGGTTAGAGAGATCGTCATTCTCATTAATATGGTTAATATTGTTAATATTATTAATATTATTCGTGTTATTCGTGTTATTGGGTAAGAATAATTTACGGGTATCAATCAACTCAGCATCAAAACCACAATCTTCTATTGATTCAACTAAATCATCAGAATTGAGATGACTGGTGTGAGTTATTTTAGCTTCTTCGGTCAATAAAGAAACACTGACAGAATCGACATCAGGAAGACTTTTCAAGGACTTTGATATTGTTGAAACACAAGCAGCACATGTCATACCATGAACAGACAAAGTTGTTTCGTTATCATATAGTTGGGCATCGTTGACAGTGGTGATATTGGGATAATTGGTATTGGTTGTTTGCTCGTTGGAACGAATGGAGGCGTCAAAACTGCTGGTGTCTGAGTTGGGTAATAATGGAGCAGTTACAGATATTATGGAGTCGTTGGAAATGTGGGTGGGCATCGCAAGACAATAGGTAGACAATATAGAGAATAAATTGCTCTTCTAGACCAAGAGGATATTCTATTAACTAACCTCTTTAAGAAGACGGAGTTTGACAGAGAAGTAGGGAGATGGAGTGAGAGCGTATGAGAATACAGCTGTGTTTGTGCTGAGAACAAGCAAGCCAAGAAGATCTAACAATAGTAGAGATGAGCAGAAGAATGGGCTTTTATACAACAGAAGCAGCAGCAGCTGGAAAATGCTTCTTTCTTTGACAGAAAAAGCTTCCACTGAGCAATATTCCTTCTCCTCGCCCGTTTGGGAAAGCACTGAATCTGCGCAGTGCCGGCCCCAAGCCGAGAAGATCCGGTTGCGGCCGGCAGTAGGGGGTTTGGTTTAACTCTGTTTGCCGCATTATGTACCGTGACGTGATTGCGCGTCCTCATCGGCACGTGCTGAAATCCGCCTTTGTTACCCTGCTGCGGATTACGTAACCGCACAGGCCAATAGAAAGTGGTGTAGAATTGGGCTTTCTCTCTGGAGTTTGGCAGAAGAAGCACCATCGCCAGGAGTGTCTCTATATCTTCGCTGCACCTGTCGTTACACCTGTTACTCTCTCGAAACCAGCATTACTTTCATCATGTCCTTTGTTGCTAGACGTCAATTATCCACCTTGATCCCTCCAAAAATCGTTTCGGTCAAGAACTTGGGGTCAAACCCAAATGCTAAGAAAATGGCCAGTGTCGTCGAATTTTACAAAGCTTTACCTCAAGGTGATGCTCCAGTCAAGAAATCTTGGGGCTTGCTCTCTAAGTACAGAAGTGCCTACTTTGATGGTGAAAATGGTTCCGTCAAGCCTTTATTACATTATGCTCTCTTTATCATGGGTGTTGGTTACTCTTTGGAATACTACTTCCACCATGCTGCTCACAATGGAGAACACCACTAAACTAATGTCGATAATCTGCTTGTATGAATTGACTTTCAATTATAATTTATAATTACTATCGTTATTATTACCATTACCATAATCATAATCATAGTCATAATCATAATTATAATTATAATTATATATGTGCCAACGATTAATATTAGATTAATATTCAATTAATATTCAATTCTATTTACTCCAATTTGTATTGATCCACCTAAGCAACCGATATATATTGTACTAAAACAACCAAAGAAAAACAAAAATAAACTGTTAATACTCCAATCCAATCCAGTCCAGTCCAATTCATACTCACAAATAAATAAATAAATAAATAAATAAATACAAGCTTAATAGAACATACCTTTACTGCCTCTTATGAAGACGTCTCCATATCTTCGAGTCAACGAGTTATCTATGTATTCCTCTGTCTTGGGCCCTAGAACAATGTTCATGTACCCATCAATCATCTGTAGGATTCCATGATACTCAATGCCTGAATTCAACTTGACGATAACTTCATTGTCTTTGATCTCACTTAAAAACTTGGCTGGCCCTGAGCTCTCTTTTTCCTTGGTGTCCTTGCTCTCCTTGCCTGCGCTGCTCTTTGCGCCTGTAACTCCTCCCGTCTTTATCATCGTCTATCCAACACCAGAACTGCAAATCTCGACCCAAATTCCACTCTGCTTCTCTCCAAAACCTCCCCAAAACCTCACAACAAATTTCGTCTTTTTCCTTTGTCGTTTCTCACGGGTCACGTGCGCTTTTATTACTTCTATTTATACTTTTATATATCATCACAATAATCACAATGATAATCACTGTAGTTGAAATAACTATCGTAGTTGAAAGAGTTATCACAGTTGAAATAATTATAATCATGAAAACACTCATACAATTATTCCATTTTTCCCTATTTCTTGTTTTCTTTATACCAACATCTTTAGCAGAGCCACAAATCAAAAACACTTATTCTCTAGCTCTATCTAATATCAATCATCCTCTGCAAAGTGCCATAACACTAGGTGAGCTAACTTACGAAAAAGACCCACCATCTGCTAGTTTTAAAAATACCAATCTCAATAACGATGAAACATTAAATATAAGCTTAAATAATACCTATTGCATCAACATAATCGATAACACCAATCAAGTTGACAATTCAAATTGTTTCTCTTATAAAAAAATCAAAAGTATAAATAATCTATTCATTACAATCGACTCAAGCAATGACATCTTCAAATTGACTCTAATGCCATTGGATAACATCGACACTCCTGAATCTCTATCAATTTCAAATATATCCATAAATCCAATTATTAAACAATTAAAAAACGCAATCCAGCCAATCCTTTTAAAACCAGCAAAAATCAACTATTTTATCAATTCAAATGGTAAAAAAATCGCTAAAAAAGTTAAACCTGATCAAGAAAAATCGTTTTTAGAAAAATATTGGTTATACATTGCTTTAGGTTTTGCTTTAATAATGATCAACAGTTCAGGTAATTAGTATGGTCTCAATCTTAGTTAATAAATATCTAACTTCTTTTGTAACAATCCTCTTATCAATAATCAACCCCTTTTCAATACAATCATCCAAATATTTATTATTATTCTCAATTAATTTTAAAATGTCTCGATAACTATCTAATTCTTCAACATACTTTTTATCAATTTTGATTTTTTTAATTTTCTTATCCAATTCATTATTAATTAATTCATAAATTAATAAATTTATTTCAATCAAATTTATAACAAATTTTAAATACATGAAATTTAAATCTTCATTAAAAGGTGGCTGCAACAATAATTCAGATAGTTTATCCTTAATTATTTTAATTTTTCTATTTGAATTGGAAATTATATTTTCATTCAATCTCATTTCTTTTCGAATTAACAATGGCTTGTTGGATATTGCCGGAATTATATCAAAATTATTCAAATTAAGATTATTAATATTCAAAATCAACGTCCAAATATACGACAACGTATATAATGGTGAATACACTCGACTACCAACTCTCCATAATGGCGAAAATCTAAATTTTCTCTCTGAATTGAAATAATTGATCGAAGCATTCACCCCATAAAAGTTTGACAACCATTCTAAATATCTTTCGTTTTTATATATTTTATTATCATTATTTATTTGAATCATATCTTCCAACGCTTCATTCAGAATCTCGTTATTATTATAATACTGTAGTTTAAACTCATTTATAAAATTCGAATTAATCTTATTAATCTCGGTTTTACTTTGCTCTAAATTCACATCATCAATTTCCAATTTAGAGATTTGTTTTTGAATTGCCTCCTCTTTTAGCCCATTTAATAATTCAATTCCTAAAGGCCACAACGTTCGTAAATCAATTTTTTCTTTGTTCTTAGATTTGCTACTTTTCCCACCTTTACTATTATCAATGTCTAAAATAACCCTAGATAAATTCAACCGGATTATAATAGAAAATACTTTGTACGCAATTTTCCAATTCTTCTTAAAAATATTAATATACAATAAATTTATCAACAAGTTTATATGTTTCTTTGAGAAATTAAAATTCGAATTAAAATTCTGGTCATTGATCTCATTCGAAACACCATTATTATCAATCTTAGAACCCTCGTAATTATTTCTGCAACTGCCATCATTATAGTTATTGTTGTTATCCAATTGAGTGAAAATTGGGTTCAAATAAGGTAGCACTTCATATCCTTTAGTCCTAATAAGAAAATTGGTATAAACCCAGGAGTTTTGATTGATAGTTGAAATTTCTACTGGCTCATGATTTAATTCATGTTCCTCATCCTCATTTTGTTCTTCATCTTCATCTTCATCTTTATCTGCACCTTCCTCCATCCATGCTAACTCCTCATTGCCTTCGAAAACATCACTGAGTTTTCGTTTTCTGATCAACACTTCTTCTCCTAGAGCACTATCACTCTTTTTGCTCTTTTTTATTCGTGAACTGTTTTTCCATTTCTCATTATCTGTATGGCTTAAACTTTTCGTTACTGGATTAATATTCCATTCTTCAAACGTTTCTTGGAGCCTTTTGGATGCTTTTCTGCTCGCTTTCCTTAGGCTTTTTTTCCTTTTTTTCAATTCCCTTTCATCAGACGTGTTTTGGCTAAACTCAGGCAATTTTATGTCTGAGCTTGACTGTTTCTTCAACTTTTCAACGTATTCTTTTAAAAGAATTTCAAGTTTTCTTTTTTTATTATGTTTGCTAGACTCATATACATTGATCAAAGGATTCTCAAACATTTTTGGGACCGCAGCTGAAGATGAACTTACGATATGGCATAACTTGTGCTGATAGAAGAAAAAAAAATATTCTGCGGCCAGTGATGTGAAAAAGTATTCAAATTTTTATTTCGTTTCCTCACCGAATAATCACCAACAATTTAAAGGTTTTATAAAATTTACAGAGAAGTAAACTAAAACAATCAAATTTATCAGCTCAAAATACCTCTATAAATAATATATAAATCAGGGTTGTTAAACGAATATTAAAATAAAAATCTAGTTGAAAGACTATAATTAAGTTTTCCATCGCTAATTCTCTATTAATTTTTTATCTCTATTTTTGCTCCACTTAGTGATAAAAATATAATAAAATCAAAAACATTCCAACAATCAGTTTTTCGAAAGATCAAAGATATCAATTATTTGGTATTTTACATTAAACTATTAACTAATTTGAGCAAAAACTCGACCTAACAACTCTTTTCAATGGATCGGCATAATCATCAAATAACTCTTCTCTTATAAAAACTAAAAATGATGGAGTCTCAGTCGCCCCTCCAGAAAAATTGATAACATTTTCAACACTTACTTCCGTAATCTGTTCATCATTATAACATCTAAATATATTCTTTTTCGCGTCTCTGATAAAGATGAAATAGTGCCCATAGTTGGCTTGACCTCGGTGAATAACAACTGCAAATATCTTATAGCCAAATTTTTTGTCATCTTTGAATTGATCGGAAATTTTTTCTTCCAATTCAATAATTTGATTTTGAATTTTTTCAACTTTTTTATCAAAATTCTCAATTTCCTTTTTAATCACAGCAATTGAATCTTCGCCGACGTTGTTTTGTAAAACATCAATTTTATTCAGTAGAAAATCAACAGATGCAATTAACGATTCTTTTATTGTCAATCCACCTTCCCTTTCTTTAGTCATATAATTCTCAGTCTTTTTCAACTTTTTCAATTCTTCTTTCCACTCCAATACTTGAGTTCTTTTGTGTCTTATTGTAGGATCATCTGTGTCCATGTATTTATCCAAATATATTATATCATCATAGGGCAAAGGATCAAATAGTTTATATAAACACAATCTTTCTCTATCAAACTGAACTCTTGATAATTGCAAATGTAATATTTCGGGTAGTTTAGTTATAGTGACAGATTTTTTTATTTCCCCATCATCCATACTTAAATACTCTTCACCAAAATAGTTGTCTAATCCATCATAAATATCTGCAGGGTGGTCACCCATATTAATATAAACACTTAAGAATCTCTCAATACTATGTCTTGATTTCCCATTATTTTTATGAACTGGCTCCAATAATTGTTTACTTTTTCCAAAGAACAATTTTTTAACAATATCATATTGTTCGTTGCCATCCTCAAGTTTAACCGGAGCTAAGGACGACTCGATTTGACACATAACATTATCTATACATTCAGTAATGTCTTGTTGAGATCCAATATCGATAGCATTCTGAAGCTGTTCAGGTTTAATAACATAATGTATAAGTTTTTCTTTTTCAGGTTGAAACAAATCAGTATGCTTTTCTTCTTCGGGTTTGAACAAATCTGTTTGTTTTTCATTTAAAGTGATCTCTTGTTTTTCAATTTCAATTTCTTTCGGAGTAACCAATTCTGGGTCAGTTTTAGAATCAGAAAATTCTAAACCTTTAAGATTATTCTCATTCAAATCTTTAACAACATGAATTTCATCAATTTCAATGGGCTCTGCTTCCTCAGTTACAGCGTTTATTTCATCAATTCCGGGAAAATCTTTTGTTTGAATCAAACCACCTTCTTTAATTTTTTCTTCTATTTTTTCTTCTATTTTTTCTTTTATCTGTTCTTCTATTTTTTCTTCTGTTTTTTCTGTTTTTTCTACTGTTTTTTCTGTTTTTTCTACTGTTTTTTCTTCAGTTTCTTCAATAGCTTTAATATTAACAAACTCTGAGCTTTGAACCTCTTGAGATTTCTCATCATTAACAGTCTCCTTATTTTTCTTTTGATCATTTAACAATTCACCATTATTAACATTAAATGGAATTTTTTGTTCCATTACTGCTTCCTCATCTTTATCATTTAATTCTTTCGGTGTTTCAACTTTTAGTTCCTCCTCTTTCTCCACATCATCTAAACTCATCAAAATATCATTTTCAGAAGAATCATTCAACCCATTTTTTTCTGGTGATAGTAAAATAGAATTAGACAAATCCCTTTCTGAAGAAGTGCTGGTTTTTTTTAACTTCTTATAAGGTAAATTATTGCTGGACTCTATATTTAAATCGCTGTTTTTGTTTACGTTTTTTTCATAAGGAACAACTGACAACTCTGAAGAATAAGGCGATCTATTCTTTTGTTGGTGTGTGGGTTGTGGTAATGGTACAGTTGGTGGTTTTTCTTCAATAAAATCAACCTCCTGACTGATATTTGTAAACGCTAGATAAACCAATTGTTCAGTTGGAGCAATGTCTCTCTGTTTAGCAGATATCAAATCGTTAAATAGATACTTTAATTGATAAACCAATTGATAAGATCTTTCGACTTCCTTTATAGGAACAAATCGATTACCAACTCTTCTTTTTTCAAGAATTCCATCAACATTTTCTGAGTTAAAAGTCATTGGAAATTTTTTGTTAAATTGAAGAATAAATTCGCGGAGAGGTTTTATGGCAAATAAATATTGTAAAAGAGAATTTAGGTAACAGGTATTTCCAACATTTCTTAACCCAACAGGAAGCGTTTCCAATTCTAAATCATCGGGTTCAATTTTTCCAGTTTTTAAATAAAGAGAAACTTTTTCATTTTTGAGATAGTTGTTATTAAGAAATCTCAAAGCCAATCTCAACTTCATAAAGTGAGAGGGATCCAAAACTATTGTTTTTTGATAATTTGATCCGACATATTTAAATAATTTGCTCTTTTCATTTGCAATTCTTCTGTCTACAATATGAAGTAATTTAAAACAAGTGGTGAACCTAGCAACACCTAAAATGCTGTAGCACTGATTTTCGTCAAGATCATTTGGTAAATAATAGTTATTGTTTAAATCAATATTATCTTGTTCATAAAAATCCAAAAGATAAAAGGATGTTCGATAAATAGCAATGGTAAAAAGAGCTTTATTGATTTTATTAAAATTTTCTATGGATGATAGCCCCTCATCACTAAGTCTAATAGAAAAGCTAGTTTCAATAGTTTTGTCATCACAAGAAAAGTCAACAGTTAAAACTTCATAAGCTTCTTCAATTGTTAATAATTCTTCTTCTAGGAAATTTTTCAAAATTTGTGATTTTTTTGCAGTGGCCAAAACTTGAAGAGATTTTCTTAATTTTTTGATGGAATAAACATCAAAACCAGTTTTTAGCTCTTTATCATAATATTTTTCAATTATAGTATTTTCATCAATATTTTGTAGTTGATAGGAGTCGACAAAATCTAGACCTAAATTAGAAAGAGATTCGTTAACATCATTATTAGAAACAAGATCGTATAAGGACAATTCTTCTGCTACAAAGATTTGCAAATTAGAAGTATCAGTGATATTTTTTAGAGTGTTATTAGAGCAGATTTTGTTTAAAGCAGTGATATAGATATAGGAGTGTAGAGAATCAGTGGCTGTAAAGGTTTTATATAAATGGATTAACAAGCTTTCAGAATAGAAATTAAAAAAACTCAAATTAACAAAACTTTCTGAGTTGTTCAATTTTATGATGGATGAGTTTGAATTGAAATCCAGCGATAAGGTTTCATAATTAATTGATTCGTTATGGTCATATTCTCTAAAGAGATTGAAGAATAAAGCAGGCATTGGAACGAAATTTAGATTTCTAAATAGTAAAGTATAGTTGTGAGGTTTATATTGAGATTTATTTCTTGAAGAAAGAGACCTGGATAGTGTCTTTCCGATAAAAATAACTTCAAAGGCCTTTCTGATGAAACTGTCTCTAATTATGGAGCCATATTTGCCGTAATGATGACGATTTAAAGGTATTATCTCAGGAGTATATTTACTGTAGTAGAATAAAGAGGTTTGGTCTATTAGAGCTTGAGTATCTAGGTCTACAAAGGTCTTTGGAGAGAATTTTATTGATTTAAAGTCATTTTTACCAGTTAATCTTAAGGGACCTCTGAAGACTTTTAGTAGGGTATTTAAACAGGAGATTTGGTCTGGAGGAGAACCAATTTGATCGTCATCATCATCATTTAAGGAGAGATAGGTTGCAAATCTTGTTTGGATTGAATCGTTTTCAAAGTCTTTTAAGAACAAGGGAGTTAGTTCTGATCCAGAAATTTGAATACGAATTAAAGAGTGGTCATTTTTGGAGAAATAAGTTGCATGGTCAACAAAGGAAGGATGAATATTTTGAAGAGTTTTTAATTTTTGTTTCAAGTAGAGATTCAAATCAAAGTCATTTTTGGAATCATTGAGATTGGTTGAGTCATCAGAATCGTTTAAATCGATTAGATTTTCATCAGGTAGATTTTGCTGTTGTTGTTGTTGTTGTTGTTGTTGTTGTTGTGATACAGCATTTTGTTTGATCTCTAGATCGTTTGCAATGATAAAATCATCTTTAATTGAGTTTATATCGATATGATCCAAGTTAAAGTCAAGATCGGTATCGAAAAGCTGAAGATCTAATTTATCGATATCATTTAATTCATCTTCAGATATTCTAAAGAAATCATGTTTTGAGACGGGTGTATCTGAAAGAGGGTTTTTTTTGATAATAATTTTGACGTGGAAGATGTTATTATAGAAATCAGAGATTGAATCGATATCTGATATGTGGTCTGGATTGATTAATATTCCCCTGAGAGTTGTTATGTTGTCATGAATTTCATTAAAAGGAGCGTAGTTCAAATGGTTATCTACAAATAGTAGCTGATAGGGTTTGTTACTGTAATTGAAAGAATTTGACAATTCCTTTGAATATTGGTAGGTTGGGGATCTTAATAGAGTAAAATGAGAATTTGCTTTATTTTTCTTGCTGAGTTGGTAATAAATCCAATTAAGATCTAATTTGATGTCTTCGTAAATTCGGTTTGAGGTTTTGAGACCATCTAAATTTGTGTAGTTTTTAGACAAAAAAGGGTTTGAATTCTGGGATGTGTCTTTGTTGTGGAACTGATCTGGCAGAAAAGTGGTGGATGGACGTTGGCTGAGATCATCCTTGAAGGGGTTGTTTTGAGAAGCTGGCTTTTCAGCAGCAGCAACTGCAGGAACAGTGGGCTCAGAGGCAAGAGTAGAAGTGTTGTCGATCTCCATTTGCATTGTGACTATCAAGAGGTGGGCAGCTGGAACAGAGTGGATGCTGGCTTGGTGGACCTGATCTAGCTGGCCTGAGCAGTGGTGGCAACACAAGGAATTGCAGCTGGCACGAATCAACAGAAGAACAGAGAAGAGCTACTCTGTGCTGAGAATTGGCTGTTGCTGCTTTTGCTGTTTCTGCTGCCTCTGCTGCCTCTGCTGTTGTGCTCTCGCCTCCTTCAGTTGTGCGAGTCACGTGCTCTCAGGAAGAGCATCTGTATTTCCTCAACTCTCCGCGCGCGTCGCTCTTCTTCGCCCGCCCCGACGCTCTCGCCGATGGCCTTCTTCCTCTGCTGGATCTGGAGCATCTTCTCCTCGATGCTGTTTGCCATGATAAACCGCACCACCTCCACCTCCTGGAGTTGTCCTATCCGGTGGATTCGATCGATGGCCTGTTCCTCAAGACTGGGCGACCACCAGGGGTCCATCATGAACACCCTGGAGGCGGCGGTGAGGTTCAAACCCACTCCTCCAGCCTTGAGCGACAACAACAACACTATGATCTGGTTGCAAGCGCCACTCTGGCTACCATTTTCACCGCCATGTTTTTCTCCGTCGTCATTAGCACCACATTCACCATCCCCGATAATCGACTTCATTAGTTTGTAGTTTTGGAACTTTTTCAATATGCTTTCTCGTTGTTCCATGTTTAGCCTTCCATCGAATTTGTACACAACAAGTCGTTTTTCCTTCAAGAGCTCTCTTTCAATGATGTCCAAATAGCTTGAAAATTGCGAGAACACAACCACCTGTTGTCCATCTTCAAATTTACTTATATTCCTTATCAATTCTTCCACTTTGGGATTTCTGAAATCTCTCCCCTTTAGATTGATGTCCAATTTCTCCTCTAGGGTCTTGATCATCTTGTTAATCCTATCTGATCCTGTAAAATTACTTCCGACATTTTTCAAGTCTTCATCGTTAGAGTCTGTTCCTCCAATTATGCCTTTATCGCAACATATTTGTCTTAATCTTAAAATATGGGTCAAAATGGTTGTGTATCGTTTTAATAACTGTCCAGTTTTCATTCCTTCCAAGAACGAATTTTCTGCTCGCGCTAGGAAAAATTCATACAATTTTCTATCAAATTCATTAAATTCTAGTTTTTGAATCCGTACTGTTTTCTTTGGCAATTCAACTAAAAATTTTCCCTCAGAATTTTTCATGTTTTTTGTCCTTCTTAGTATGATCGGTTCCAAAATCGTCTTAATAGCATCTAACGTTCTTTTGATCTCTTTATTTTCAAATGGTAACGTTATAAACGTTTTCCAATACGAAAACCTTGACCATGGTTCAATGTTTAGATATTTAATCAGTGAATACAAGTCATCCAATCGATTTATAATCGGCGTGCCTGTTAATATCCATTTTCTTGTTCCATTTAATAAATATGAAGCTTTAGCTGTTTGTGTGGTCCTGTTCCGAATATAATGGCCTTCATCGATGACGATTCGGAAAAATTTAATTGAAAACAATCCTGATCCTGGAATTTTCGTTATATTGTAATTTTTGATATTTGACTGGATTCTGGAATACTCACTTTGCAATGTTCCATAAGTGGTTAGCATTATCAATGGCGGCAATTTTTTTTCATTTGATTCGCTGTGGCATAAATATTGGCATAAATTCCTTTGAGTGTCATTTCCATAGTAAATGAAACACGAGTACTCTTTATTTGTGTTTGTTGAATTGAATTCGCTTTCCCATTGAGAGAGTAATGACATCGGTACTATGATTAGTGTTGTTCTATAAGCGTATTTATCCTTAATTGACCGGTCTTTACTCTTGGAATGATAAGATGAATCGATTGGACATGAATGAATTAGAGATAAGGTTGATATGGTCTTTCCAAGACCCATTTCATCGGATAGTATTCCACCTTTAACTATTGATTTAATGACTTGTTTTTCCAATGAAAATTCGCCGCTATACATATTTGCATAAAATTCGTCATTTTCATTATCGTTATCGTTATCGTTATCATTATTATTATTATTATTATTATTATTATTATTATTATTATTATTATTAGCAGTATTATTAGCAGTATTATTATCAGTAGTAGTGACGGTGTTAAATGGTGATGGATTGTTTAGAATTGATTTGGTTGAATTTGAAGAATTGAGGTTTCGTTTTGCTTTTCTTTTTTTCTTTGTTAACCAAGAAGAATCCTTTGGCCATTTAAATTTTTTCCATAATGGGTTTAAAATTTCGTCATTTTGATTAAAAAGAAATGGGTTTTTGGTTTCTTTTTGATTGTTTTGATTGTTTTGAATTGACAAAGCGTTTATTAAATCAAATTCCTTTTCTCTGTTCAACATCCAGGACAAACCTTGTTGTTGATATGGTCTTAGATTGATTTTCATTGAGGTTGATGGAGGAGTAGATTGAGGTAGGATGTTGATTAGATTAGAGGCCTGGGTTGATTTGTAAAATTCTTGTATTTGGTTTAAAGTTAGTTTAGATTGATCCTTTGAGTGATCAATTTCCTGAGATCCCAATATTATTAAATCGTCGTCATCATCATCATCATCATTATCTTCTTCTTCTTTATTTTCTTTATTCTTTTCTTTATTCTTTTCTTTTTGATTATGATTATGATTGATTGAAGATATTGTGTTATCATAAGGGTTTAAATTTAGTTTTTTAAATAAATTTGATAAAGAATCTTGACGGTATTTTAAAATGTATTCCGATTCCGATTCATTCAAATGATCATTAAAGTGATCATTTGAATTTGAATTTGAATTTAAATTGGAAATATTTTTATTAAGATTATTAAAATTATTAGAATTATTAAAAGTTTTATGAGTAAAATTGAATAGATTTGAAGTTAAATAACAATCTAGTTGAATGAAAAAGGAATCACCTATTGATAATTTAACATTTTCATTATAAGTGACATAAGCATCAAAAGAGCATATGTCTAAATCTAGTAGAGGAGCGATGATTGAGGAAATCGTTTCGGGAATTCTGCCGATTTCTTTTGTTTTGGTTAGATCAAGTGGATTTGAATCATTTGGTAAAACTAATTTAACAGAAGCAGGAGAATTGAAAGAAGTTTTTTGTTTTTTTTTGAATCTGTTGTTTTTGTTGTTACTGCTGTTCTTATTCTTTGAATTAATAATTGGTGGTCTTGATTTAATGACTAGTAAATTGGTTCCGTAGGATAGGTTCGAGTAATAAGATCTTGATGCCCAAGCGGTTGTTAATAAAGAACCGATGTATCTTTTCCAAGCGTAATTGTTATTGAAATTATTATTAATATTGGGATTATTAGAAAGTAAAGAGTCTTGAGAGGCCTGCTTTAGTTGAGAAGAAAAAATGGAATCTAATTGGGAAAGTGAATTTGTATTTGAATTTAAATTTGAGTTTGGAGATAAATAGTTTTGATGGCTCACAATGGAGGAGTGCTTTCTCTTTCTGTGATTTGCAGGCAAAGCAGATGAATCAGTGTGGTTTATTTCATTGTCAATCAGCTCGAGAGACGTCTTGTTTGCATCGTATTTTTCATTGAAGATTACATGCTGAAGATAAAAGGATGTAGCATGCTCTATGTTATTGGGATCATGTTTGAATCTTTTGTAGAGAAAGGTCAAAGAGGTCGCGTCGTTCTCCAAGGTAGGGCAGATTGAGGTTACCTGGGACTGGAACAAATTGAAGTCGTCCTCCGAGTCGCTGTCGCTCTCCTGGCAACAAATGTTGGCAGCATTGCTGGCGCTATCTTGAGAGGCAGAAGCAGCAACAAGAGCAGACAATCTCTGGTCCATGGCAGCAATGGCACTTTGAGCTTTGGCGATGTGAAGGACCTTTCGCCAACAGCTGCATCGGAAAAACCAAACAAGCGGTGCGCCCTCGGCAGGACCGTGTATCACATGTGAGATTGCTGGTAATGCCGGCTCATATCCGCCCGCGCGGGCACTTCCTTTGAGCAGCGGAGGGAGCGAGCGTGCTTCCTTTGGGCCGAGCGGCGCAACACGAGCGTGCGGCCTGAGGTGCAGAGAAGAAAGCCCCCGCATCGCAGACGCACCTCCAAGCATGTGCCTGCGGTTTGTGCTGCGTGTGCTCCAGGTGGGAGCGACCCTGGGTCCAGTGCTGCGGCGTGCCCCAGCGGGAGTACTGTGCCGGAGAGGAAGACCCACAAGACCCAGCGAGAACAGTGGGAGGAGAGTACTGTCGACAAAACAGCCCAGGACCATATAAAATGCCAGCTTTTCCAATGTTTTTCTCCAGCTTTTTCGATTTCCTCTCGACTCCATCTCTACTCCATCTCGACTTTATCACATTCACCTGAATTTTCCCTTTCTCTTCCTCTTTCTTCGTCACAAGCTATTCTTTGCCTATCTCTCGCCATGATCTCCCACAACTGCATCCGCGCTACTTCTTCCAAGCTCTTGTATAAGAGCTTTGCTTCTTCTTGCCCCTCGTCTATCTTGCGCTCTGGTGCCATAAAATACAACGCTTTCAACAACAAAATGGCCTTTTCCACCTCCTTGGCCAATAAAAAGGGCGATATGTTGTCTTACTTTGACAAAATGCCACAGTTACCTGTCCCTGATTTGAACGATTCCGCTGCTTTGTATTTGCAATCAATCAAACCTTTGGTCTCCTCTGAAGAACACTACAAGTCAATTGAATCAAAACTAAAAGACTTTATCAAGCCAAATGGCCAAGGTCAAATCTTGCAAAAGAGACTAGAAGACAAATCAGCCGATCCAAAAACACAAAACTGGCTATCTGAATGGTGGGACAATGATGCCTATTTAGCCTACAGAGATCCTGTTATCCCTTATGTTTCCTATTTCTTTTCTCACGCTGAAAATGTTTTGCCTGCTTTCCTTGAGAAAAACCAGTTGAAAAAGGCCTCGCTATTAATCTCCTCCATCATAGATTTCAAAGAACAAGTCGACAACGAAACCTTGCCCCCAGAATTAATCAGAGGCCAGTTTGCCTTCTGCATGGCAAGTTTCAAATTCATGTTCAACAATTGTAGAATTCCTGAAAAACCAAGCGACACCACTGCTGTTTACGATCCTTTGGACTTGAAAAATCAATTTTTGATTGTCATTAAAAACAACCGTTTTTACAAATTATACCACCATGACAAAAATAACAAAAAATTATCAAACTTGCAAATCTTAAACCAATTGAACCAAATTTACTTTGACGCAACTTCCAAAAGCAACGGCATAAAACAAAAATCAATCGGCTCTCTAACCACTCTTGATAGAGACTCTTGGACTGATGCTTACAAAGAATTGAAAAACTACACTCCTGTCAATAACAACTCCCTTGAAGAAATCCACAAATCTTCTTTTGTTCTATGTCTCGATGACTACTCTCCATTATCCTTGGAAGAAAGATCAAGATACGCATGGCACGGTGATGGAAGAAACAGATTCTTTGATAAACCTCTTCAATTCTTTGTTGCCTCAAATGGTCAATCCGGTTTCTTGGGTGAACATTCAAAGATGGATGGTACCCCAACCCTACAATTGAACAACTATATTGGCGATCAATTCAAAAAAATCTCCCAAAATGCAATTGACCCATTCAACCCATCAACTCAAGATTCTTCTCTCGATTCTTTAATTCAACAACCAACTGAATTAAAATTCGACATCTCTCCCTCAATCGCTTCTCAAATTGATTCTGCTGAAAAGAGTTTTGATGCCTTGCTAGGCAACCACGACTTGAAAGTCTGGAGATACCCAGGCTACGGTAAATCTCTTATCAAAAAATTCAAATCTTCACCTGACGCCTTTGTCCAAATGTTAATACAATTAGCTTACTACAAATACACTGGCGAAGTTAAACCAACATATGAATCTGCTTCAACCAGAAAATACAAATGGGGCAGAACTGAAACTAATAGAACCGTTAGTGAAGCCTCCAAAAAATTTGTTGAAACTTGGTGCAATAAACAATCTTTTGTTTCCAATAAAGATAAAGCTGCTGCCTTCTATGATGCAATCAATTCTCAAAATTCATACATCAAATTGGCCTCAGATGGTTTAGGTTGTGACCGTCATATTTATGGTTTGAAAAAAAGCATCTTGCCAGGTGAAGAACCTCATCAATTTCTTAAAGACCAAATGACTTCATACTCCTCTTCTTGGTTCCTTTCAACTTCTCAATTATCTTCTGAATATTTCAATGGTTATGGCTGGAGTCAAGTTCATGACTTGGGTTTCGGTTTGGCTTATATGATCAACAATGAGTGGTTGAATATCAACATTGTTTGCAAAAAGGATAACCCAACCGGCTTGAATGTTCAACACATGTACTATTACTTAACTCTTGCTGCTGATGAATTAAAACAAGTTTTAACTGAAGTTAATGCTGAACCTGTTAAACCAAAATTATAATTTAATGACTTTTTATATTTGACATTCTTATTGATTTCAATTGTTATCATTCCTATCAATACCTCCTATCAATATCTCCTATCAATATTATATAAATTTTTTTTTATTGATATAATTACTAAATAACTATATTCTACCTTTTATTTATTTATTGATTTATTTATTTATTTATTTATTTATTTATTTATTTATTTATTTATTTATTTTTTTAATTTAATTTAATTTAATTTATTATCTTGTTTCATTTTATTTTTTTAATAGTTAGAACATCGGGTTTCATTATGAACATCATAACATTTTACCGAACAATATCTTGAATTGCATTTCACACATTTCGTCATGGCACTGCTTCCACAAATGGAGCACAATTTTTTACCTGGCAAATTGTAGAAATTTCTTTTAGGATAAATCGACGAATTTTTCTCATCAAATAATAATTTTTTGATTTCAGGACTGTCTTCTTCATCAATATAATTACTCAACGTCTTTCTTGAACTTAGGATTTTTCTTGTATTGGCTGTCAACCCCTGCCTTACTTTCTTAGTTTGATATTGATCTTGATTTTTAACTTGATTGGAATATGACATTAAATCAAAATTCGGATATGATGATTTATTAAAATTTTTAAACGAAATATTCAATCCGGATTTGGGTAGCTCAAGCTTGAATGATGATTCGTTATAATTCTCTTTATTTAATTCTTGAAGTCTCTTATTTGACTGTCTTTCCTCAATTAAATTTTCAAACTCGTTATAATTCACTTCCTCATTTTTGTTCTCATTATTGTTGTCAATTCCACTTAGAATTTTTTCATTTTCATTTTCATTTTGGAGTTGTAAATTCTGAAGATTATAAGCGCCAGGCTTAAATCTCTTTCGACTATTACTGGTTGAAAATTTTTTATATCGATGGCTACTAGTGTATTTTAGATTTATAGAAGACGAAAAGTAAATATTTGGATCCGATCCTCTACTTATTTCCTCAACAAATGGCATTAATAAATGTAGTTTTGCCTCAACAATAAACCAAATACTATATGGCTAATAAAGCTATGTGGAAAGAAAGCAAAGTTAAGCTAAGACCTATAAAATCAGAAAAAAACATATATTTGATCCCCTCAACGGGATTCGAACCACACTTCTTCAAAACTGAATCTGAGCTTTTTCAGCACTACGAAACCTGCTTCAACTCATATACAATAGAAACATCAAAATCAGCAGAGTCTTTAAACTTTTTCATATATGATAAACCAACCTTGGATATATTTCTAGTTTTTAGAATCTCATATGCTCCTAAAATTATTTTCGAAACTGTTTTTCTAAAACTAATATGTCGATTTGTATGATTTTCATCGTTTATTTTATCAATTGTGAATTTGACTCTATAGCTCCAATTTGATTCTTGTGGAATTGACTTGTTTTTTTTATTTTTATTGCCTACAATTTTCAAAAAGCTGGATAGTCCATTGTTTTTGGTTTGCAAGGGTGTGATTGTTGTTGAAAATTCTAGTTTATTATTTTTAACTCTCGAGACAGAAAGCTCAACTTCAAATTCATTATGAAAGTTTTGTTTTGTTGAATAGTGATTGAAATCCCCAAATAATTTGTCTGTTATTGAAAACGAGTTTGTTGTTATTTCTTTATTGCTTATTTTTGGTTTTGATGGCTTTATCGAGTTTGAGAAATTAGTACCAAGCTGATGATCAAATTGCAAAAATAAGCGATTCATATTTAATCGTTTAAAGGAATAATCATCATCATAATAACTAATATAATCATCATTATCATCATAGTTTGGATTATTATAATCATTATAGTATCTTCTTGTTTTTCCCATAAAATAATATGAATTAATTAATAATCCTGGAAATAAACAGGCAGTAGCTAATGAAGCCAATCCACAGCCATAAATTGAGTGTGAATATAATCCAGCTGTTAGTGTTAGCTGCACTGATGCCTTTATACATTTATCAATTGCAATATGAGTTGAAGTGAATGTTGTAGCAAAAAAAGCTGACAATGTTGCTAAATTTTTTAAAAAATCTTCTGTTGTAATCGGACCGGTATCTAGCTGAGTTTTAATTAAATTTTTTGAATCATCGTTACTTGGGTTAATAAATTGGATTAAGTCTGTTGAATTACTTTGAATTTCTTGACTAATAAAATAATTAATTACGTTGGATTCAATTTTTGTGAAGTTCAATTCATTATTTTGAATAGTTCCATTTACCTGTTTAGATTCAGGCAAAATTGAAATTGGATTTGCAAATAAATTTTTCAAAATTAAACATTGAACTATCAAAAAAAATTTGATTTCGAAAATCATATTTTAGTTAAGTTATTAGAGGTTGAATATTTTTCAATAAATGAAAATAACTGTCAAAAAAACAACAATCGATATAACCGGTTTGAAATATACATTTTATATTCCTTTTGTGTAACAATATAAAAAAAAAGTGAGGTTATTTATTTGTAAAGTAGTATAATATGCAATATACAAGATAAAATAAAAAAAAATGCGTGGTTTTGGTAATCATCAGTTTACAAAAAAAAAAAAAAAATTTAATCTAATCCAATACATTTTTTAATATTTAACATATTTTTTGAAGCTATTGCTCTGGCTTTTTCATTACCTTGATTAATTATTTGATCTAAATATGGTTTATCGTTGATAAGTTGTTCAAAGATTTTTTTTGGTTGAGCTAGTTCATTTATAATAACCTCAGTGGCATAATCTTTGAAGGATTTATGGTCATTAACATTTGAAGAAAGTAGATCTTGCTCTACATGATGTATTGATTTTTTTTGAATACCAGAGATAATATTGATGAGGTTTGATACACCAGGTCTTTCGATGGGATCAAAATAAAAGCGGTCTTGAATAGAATCAGTAACAGTTTTTCTAATTTTTTTTGAAATGACTTTTGGGTCATCGGTTATGTATATACAGGAAAATGGATCAGGATCCGATTTAGACATTTTCTTTAATGGGTTTCTTAAAGATAAGATTTTTTTGGTTGGGGCAAATAGAGTTTTTGGCTCTTTGAAAAAATTTGGAGAACTATAAGTTGAATTAAATTTTTCAGCCAAGTGCCTTGTTAATTCTAGATGTTGGGATTGATCATCGCCAACAGGGACATGAGTTGAATGGTATAGTAGGATATCAGCAGCCATTAAAACAGGGTAAAAGAGTAGACCAGAATTAACAGACATGATGGCATCGATTGAATTTGTATCAGATTTGAGATTTGACTTGCTCTTCCATTGAGTCATTCTATTCAAATAGCCCATACCGGTTATACAAGATAGAATCCAAGTTAATTCAGCATGTTCGGGGATCTGGCTTTGGTGGAAAATAATAGATTTATTTGGGTCCAAACCGGAAGCTAGTAAGCTTGCAATAGTTTCCAATCTATAATTTCTTAACTCGCTTGCGGGTTTAGGAATAGTTATAGCATGTAAATCTGCGGTTCCAAATAAGATTTTTGTATTAGAATTATCATTCTGAGTATTTTGAGAGGTTGATACAGAATCCGAGATATTTTTCCAGACATTTATCGCGCCTAGATAATTACCCAAGTGCAATTTACCAGTTGGCTGAATCAATGAAAACACTGTGCTATTGTTTGGAATTGCAAAATCGTTAGAGCCAAAGGATATGGTTTGGATAGATGACTTTGAGGAGGAAGAAGAAAGCGAGTAGAAACATTTAGCTCTGAATAACTGAGGCTCCAAACAATAGAGCTTTATTAACCTGGCAAGCATCATCAATGTGGTTTTAAACCAAAATTACAATAAAACAAGTGGTTGATTCTTCAAAAAACATGGCCCAAAAAGGCAGGTTTGTGTGAGTCACGTGAAATGTGCAGTTTTTCCCAAAGGGGCATCTCATCAGACCTGAGCAAAAATCGGCTGCCCAAAGCGGAAGGTATGATATAATATTGGAACAGATCGAAAGATGGCAGCGAGCAGTTAGAGTTGGGGTCTTTTATGTTGAACTGACTGCTTGCTCTTACATAGAAGGGACGTTGGAACTGTCCATATATCTGGTTTTGATATTGTTTATGTTAGAAATGCTACATGGGAAGCTTATGATTTCTTGCCAACATCTGTAAACTGGTCTACGTGAACTAAATTTGTGTGGTTAGCCTCTCAAGGAAATATTCAGATCAGAGATTAACTTCCATCTGGGGTTGTTATTCATGGATAGCCGCAGCGAGGGTTTCGTATTTTGAAAGTGAACATTAAGTTTGTTTGGCGAAAGCCTAACACTCGGCTAGAGAAAGAAAATTCAAAAGGCCTAAACCGCAGTCTGGTATAGATCATAGCCAGTCCATGGGAAAGAACAGTGGGCCATGCTGGAAGTCTCTTGTGGGCCAGCGAAGAATAAGCAGAGCCTGGCTGTAGCAGAGGGTATTCTCTTATCGCGATGGGGGCAAAGGTAGCCAGTGCTGCTCCTGTGAAGGCACCTCTGGTCTGGCCGATAAAGCAGTGCTCTTAGTGCTCACTCTTCTCTGGCATTTTCCTCCTGGCGTTTTCCTCCTCGCTCGCATCGCATCTGTCGAGATTCAAGTTGTGATCTTTTATCAATTGGATCAGTAGCTGCAAATCTTCTGCGTTTATCCCCTAAGATGCCCTCAGCTTACTCAGCATGCGGTCACCGCTGACTAACACTGGTTGCTGTAATAGAATATATTGCAGGGTCTGTCGCCGAGCACGTGCACTAGTTAGCTTGCACAAACGGGAGAAACCGCAGCAGTTTAGCTCCAATGCCTGGCGGTACCCTCCTCGGGCAAAACAATCTCGGAGATAAGGCTTTCTCTGTGTCGCGTCTGCACACTGCTTTTGCTCTATTCTCTTATCTGGCCCTGTTTGTGTGACAACAGCCTCTTCCCGGCTAACTACACTGACATATATAGAGATAGTACTTCTGAATTTTGCGAATTCTTTTAATTTTCTTTTATTTCGCATTTTTTCTCTTTACTTTCAACTTCTCTTACCTGTTAATAACAGTTATTGTTTATCATAAGCTCATTATAAGTTTATTATAAGTTTCAGAAATCGTTAAAAGAATTTATTTATTATTTTAGATTATCAAGATTAGATTTACTCTCGGAAATACATGCTCTATGCCTTTAGTAATAGCCAATAGCAAATTCGTCACCTCTAAAACCAAATTTCAACTACTTGACTTAATTTTTATAATTCCCAACTTATTTTAAAGCTGATTAGGTCCTAATTTTGGTTCATAAAACTGTGTTTCAATTTTTTGTTAAGTTTATTACGTTTTATTGCCTTTTATTAACACCTATTTTCTATTTCCTTATATTCGTATTCAGCATCAACTAAATTGTCAAAGAAAATTCATATTACTTAATATAAAGCAGTTCCCAATATTCCCTTGTCTTTTATATTTAATATCCTATAATTCTTTCATTTCTTCTTTCTTTTTCTTCTTCTTCTCCTTCTCCTCTTTATCTTTTTTTTTCTTTCTTCCTCATTAAGTTCCTATAATTTAGATCACTTATAATCGAAATTTCTTCATTTCATTTTACTTCCATTATATCATATTACTAATCAGATCAAATTTTAACTATCAAACATGTCACAATCAAATTCTTCAACTGATAATGTTAATATAACCAAGAACAGCTTCTTCTCTTTCCCTTATTTAAAATCCTTTTTAAACAACACATATGTCAAAATATTTATAAAATATATGAAATTTGTCGGTCCTGGTATCATGGTCTCCGTTGCCTATATGGATCCAGGTAATTACTCAACTTCAGTGTCTGCTGGTTCTAACTATGCCTACAAACTATTGTTTGCCATTTTCATTTCAAATATATTTGCCATCATCTTACAGTGTCTTTGTGTTAAATTAAGCTCCGTAACTGGTCTTGATTTGGCTGAAAATTGTCATAAAAATTTGCCTCCATGGTTGAATATCTCTATTTATGTTTTAGCCGAATTTGCTATCATCGCAACTGATTTAGCAGAAGTCGTTGGTACTGCTATATCCTTGGAGATTCTATTTGGTATCCCACTATTCTATGGTGTTCTCTTAACTATTCTTGATGTCCTTATCATTCTATTTTTTTATAAACCTGGTGGAACAATGAAACAAGTCAGAGTCTTTGAGATTGCAATCTCAATCTTGGTAGCTCTAACCTGCTTTTGCTTTGTTCTTGAATTAACTAAAATCTCAATCCCAAACAAATTGGATGTCTTCATTGGCTTCTTGCCCTCAAAAGAAATCTTCACTGAACAAAAAGCTCTTTATTTATCATTGGGTATCTTGGGTGCAACTGTCATGCCCCATTCTTTATACCTCGGCTCAGCTTTGGTTCAACCAAGATTATTAAACTATGACTTAAAACACCAAAACGCATCATCTCACGATTTATCAAATCCAAAGAACTTGCACAATAAAGATCGTTATGAACAATCCATCGATCAAAGATACAAACCTTCCTTAGCTGCTATCGATGATTGTCTTCTTTACTCCTATTGGGAATTGATAATCTCCTTATTTTTAGTCGCTACTTTTGTCAATTCTGCTATCTTAATTGTCGCTGGCTCTACTCTTTTTGGTACTCCTGACGCCGATGACGCTGATTTGCTATCAATTTATGAAATGCTATCCTCTTATATCTCTCCTGCTGCTGGTTTGATCTTTGCTTTAGCTATGCTTTTTTCTGGTCAAAGCGCCGGAATCATCTGCACTATGGCTGGTCAAATCGTTTCTGAGGGCTTTATTAATTGGTCCTTCAAACCTTGGGTTAGAAGAATTATAACAAGATTAATCGCTATTATCCCATGTCTCATCATAACTTCTATTATGGGCAGAAAGGGTATTAGTTCGATTTTAAATGGTTCTCAAGTTGTTTTATCTTTAATTTTACCCTTTTGTTCCGCTCCTTTGATTTACTTTACTTGCAATAAAGACATTATGAAGGTGGAGGTTACAGACCTTGATGAAGACGTCATCTCCGATATTATAATTCACACATCTTTTGACAAATCAAACTCTGACGATACAACTCCCTTGGTTTCTTCAAATCAACTTTCCAATAACTATTGTTCAACAAGTGACAATAATCATCTATCTCCAGTTCTAAGCAAAACTTCAAAGATTTCAAAAAATTCTTCCCTTAATGAAAGATATTTCATTGGTTCTAATGGTAAAAAATATGTTGATTTCTCCAATTCTACTTTTACCGTTATTATTTCTTTTGCAACATGGGGTATTATTGGTTTCTTAAATATTTACCTTATAGTTTCATTCCTCATGGGTGCTGATATTCATTTTTAATTCATGTTTTAATTCTAATAATTTCCGTATACATATATCTTTCTTTTTTCTTTTGTTTGCTTTTTTGTTTTCTATTGTGTTTTTTTCTTTCTTTTCTTTCTTTTCTTTCTTTATTCTTTCTTGGATTATGGTTTGAGATTTTTAGCTAGATATCAATTTTTTTTCATACTATTATTATTATTTTTATTTTTTGCAACAATTATTGAGGAAATTCTCCCTTTTTTTTTTCCATTTGTTTTGATTTCATTCCATTTTACATGTTATACTGATAATTTCTTTTTTATTGATTTCAATTATATTTTTATATTTCATTGTTATATAGAACATGAATGAAATGCATTTGTTTTAAAAGATAGTTATAACATTATCATAATTTTATTATCAAGTCCATAGAAGCATCGCTTTTATTTTCCCCCTTCTAATATACATATAAAATTTATTGATTAATTATAAGGCTAGTAATCATCTTCACTTTCAGAATCAATAACTCTTCTTTTCTTACGATTTTTTCTTTCATCGTAACCAGTCTCACCTCTACTATCATTGGGACGTTTAGAATATAAATCAGTACCACTTTCTTTTATTCTACGTAATCTTTCAGCTTTTTCTAAATCGTCATCAGAACCTTCATCGTACTGCTCGATTTCTTCTTCATCATTGGCCACAAAGTCATCATCATCTTCGTCATCATATTCATTTATATCTTTATAATTCATTGTTTCATCATATAAATCATTTTCACCATTATAATCGTCCATTTTTGATGATCTTGCATTGTACGACACAGCATTGAGTTCTCTTTCTTCTTGCTGAAGTTTTTTCAATTTTTCTCTTCTTAATTTTTTATCGTTGATGGCTTCTTGTTCTTCTAATTCTCTTATTTCTTTAAGAGGATCCTCTTCAATATCAATTTCTTCTGCAACAGCTTTTCGACCAACATTTTTTCTTTTATTAAATAAGGCCAATTTTCTGTGAGTCAACGAAGAGACAGAAGAGGGGGTGAATTTCATTGTTTTTGTGAAAATCGAGTTGGTTTGTAAAAACATTGTATCCCAGTGACGAACAACCAAGAAATTATCGTTCAAATCACTGGTTATAACATCGAAAAACTCTGAGCCTATTTTTAACGATAGTGAGCCATCATCCCATTCAATAAAATGAGCATTCGACTGCTTTTTCAATGAACCAGAATCCTGAACATATCTCCATCTTATTGTATTGTTGGCAATTAATTTGTTCATCATTCCATTATCGTTAGAGGCCTCTCTTTCAAGTTTTTTCAATACTTTATCACGTTCAAATTGTTTGGGATCAACAGATAGAAAATTGGGCAATTGAATTAGATAGTTTTCATTTTTGGAAGGAATATGGGAAGCTGGATGTCTTGCTATTTCAATGTTTTCTTGCTTCAAGTCAGGATCCTCCTGTTGGTCTTCGTCGATGTAGTCCTCGTTATCGTCGTCAATGGGGTCACTTCCAGGGTGTTGGTGAGCATCTATGTTATCACGATGCTCGTTGTTGTTGTCGTTATCATCATCTCCAAACAAATCGTCGTCGTCGTCTTGGTTGTCAGGCCTGTGGGTGTCGTCGTAGACAGGCTCTTCGTTGGTAGATGCAAAATCAGGGGTAACAGAGCGACGAGCCTTGTTGTCCGAGGGAAAATCAGCAGCAGGATCAGAATCCATTTTGGAGCAGAAGGTGGTGGCAGAATCTGTAGAAGAAGAATTCCCCAGTGAAGTGTAGTAGAAATTTCACTTTTTGGGCTCGCGGTTTTTTTGTCTGTTTTCTGATATTTCTACCGTAGAAGTGGTGCTGGATCAGAAGGGGAATAAGAGCTGAGCAAACAGAGGTATATATTACACAGCAGTCCTTCTTCTGCTTGGTTGTCTCTTCGTACCACTTAGTGTTGACTAATTCAGAGCGAGCACATATACCAGAATGTCGCAGCACAGTAGTCCTCAGGCTACTTCCAGCTCTCTTCCAGATCTTGCTCCTGGCAAGGATTTGAGCTTGTCTACTTCGTATTCGGTGATCGATCCCACCGAGAGCAATGTGCTTCAGAAACCAGACAGCGAAGCTTCTTCTGGCGATGGTGGCAAGGACAAATCAGAAAACACTACTCTGTCTTTTGGTGAAATTGACAGGCCCAGTGAGTCTAATTTCACCGATGTTGGTGATCAAATTCTGGATACCAAAGATGGAGACTCAGACGAAATTTCCGCCAATGATGATGGTGATGATGATGGTGATGATGATGGTGATGATGATGGTGATGATGATGGAAATGATGATAGTAAGAGCGAATTAAAAGAAGAAAAAGTAGAAAAAGCAGAAAAAGCAGAAAAACTGGAAAAAGTAAATGATGATATTTTAAAGGACTCCATTCAACTTGATAGTCGAAATACAGCTAATACAGGTGTTGATAAGGGAATTGGGAATGAAGTAGGTGATATCTCTCAAGATGAAGAAAGTAAGAAAATTGGGGACAGTTTATTGCCAGTGTTATCAAAATCGATTATTAATGGAAACTCGATTGCTGATTTGAGTATTATTGATCTTCCATCTCCCAAGAAAAGCAGTGGTTATGAAGCATATTTGAATTCATTTAGGAATGATTTGAATTTGAATTACAAATCTTCGTTAGATTTGTTTTTGAATAAGAAATTTTTACAAAGTTTTGAGAAGATGGATAATTTGGTTAGCACTATTTTAGAATTTGAGGAGATATTGAAAGATGAGTATGGTAAGAACGATGATAATGATAATGAAAATGAGAATGAGAATGGTGGTAATGATAATAAGATGTTTTTAATTTTAAATTTTTTTAATAATGTTGAAATTAAAAATTTGGTGATAAAGATATTTACATTGTATTTCAATTTAATTGATCTATCGATCCAAAATAAGTTGTTTGATAAGGATGGTTTTATGAAGATAAATTCCAAGTTTAAAAGCAATTTTTTTTTAATTAAAGTTGGGTTGTTTTTCTTAAATATTAATAATATTAATCATTTGTCAATTAAGGAAAAGAAGAATGATAATAAGCTATTTAATAAGACCAAGTTGTTACAAAATTATTTTTTGAAATATATTAAAAACGATGGGATTTCGGATATAAATCCGCAATTAATCTTTTTAATAGTTTTCATCGAGAATAAATTTGAAATATTTGATTTAAATTCATTGAAGATTCAAATTGAGTCATATTTACTATTAATTGATTTTAAAAAATTTAAAATGATTGAATCAGAAATTAATAACAATGAAAATGAAAATGATAATAATAACAATCAATTAATTGAAAATTTAAATGATAAATTTATTGGTATTAATAATCTATTGGAGATTTACCTTTGCAATATACTCGTCAAATTAAAATTAGTTAGTGAGAGCAAAAGAATAATTGATGATAACATATTGCTAAAAGACAATTATGAAAAATGGTTTGAGGTAATTCAAAAGAACAAACAAAAGTTTGAAAATCAAGCAAATGAGAAGAATAAAAGCAAAGATAGAAGAAACAGCACACATTACAATAGCGACAGTAATAACAAGACTGGAAAAGAAAGAGAAAGAGAAAGAGAAAGAGAAAGAGGAACTGAAAAAGAAAAAGAAAGAGGAACTAGAAAATTTGGTGCAAATAAAAATGCTAAAACCAGAGATGCTGGCAATTCCAGCTCAAAGGCAAGCTCCAAATCTGGCAAAGGAAGTGGAAAACTCAGCCAGGAAGAACTTGTCAGAAAGAAAAAAGAACTAATCTACAAAAAGTTCCAATCAAAGCATCCCCATATTGTAATAAACGAAAAGCACCTCCCATCGCCAAAGCCAGGCGCCAAAACCGGCAGTGTGGCCAGTGAGTTGAGAATCGTGAGCTCGAACGACGAGAACAATGGGAGGGTGAAGCTGAAATGGGGCATGTTGTTGGACAGGCTCTGCGAGTTCTTCAGAATCAGGTCCAAGTTGGAGATGGCAGGCTACTTGGTGTTGTTGGTGTCGGTGTATCCTCTCTACCGTCTCGTTGGCAAGCGCGTCAAAGCAGTCAGCGTGCGCCGGCTCGTGCAGCAGCTCCTCCAGAAGGTGGTGCAAACCCTTCGCATGGGCACCACCGCTCTCTAGCACAGACCCCTGGCCCAAACCTCACCCTTTTGAGCTGTTGTGATTCGAGCGCCGTGCAGACGCGTAAACAGGAGCACGCGTAAACGGGAGCCTGGTTCCCTTGTGTTGGTGCCATCCCGTGTAATGGTTTTTTGCTAGCACTGAAAGCTGTGCTTCAACTCCATCTGTTCTGCTTCTCTTTCCTCTCGCTAACAACTCACAATGGCAAAGCTCACCAAGTACCATATCAACCCTCTTCCTGTCTCTGCCATCAAGACAGCTGAGGCCAACTACAAGCTCACCATTATTCAGCAGCCAAAGCAGGCAAGGGCCTCAGGAACCACCAGGCAATGTATGTTCCTCCTCTTCCACCACTAGCGTCAGACACAACGCTTTGCATCTTTGTTCTCTCTTTCTGCCTATTTTTTTCCTGTTTTGGGCTTTTATTTTTCTTTCACTGGCTCTTTCTTTTTCTCTGATGTTTCTAACCAACTTTTGCATTTATAGTTTCTGGGAGACGATCAATTGATCCCTTTCCGATTTTAGCGGTTTCTCTAGAGCACAATGGTGAGAATATCGTTGACCACTCATTCAACTTTTTGATCTGCACTGCTTCTATTCAACATGTTGAGGACTCTGACGACGAAGACGACGAAAAAAAAAGAAAAAGAAGAAGAACAAATCTCAAAGAAAAAAAAAGGCATAATGTTCTATTCGGTACTTCGTTTGTTTCCGCTAATATTTTAAGTCCCAATCACATCAATAACTATAGAAATCCCAACTTGGATCCTGAAGTTTTAAAAGCCTTTTTTGTTTTCAATGATTTATCGATTAGACTTGAAGGCAGGTACCGCTTGGTCTTTAAACTATACGAATTTCCATTAACTCATTCAAATTCCACCTCATTTTTATCTTCAAATTCAAATTCAAGCTCAGCTTCAGCTTCAAGTTCGGGTTCAAGTTCAAACTCAAGTCTAAACTCAAATTTCCTAAATTCTCCAAAACTATTCTTCAGAGGCTCAATTCAAAGTGATGAAATTGTTTGCTACAATGCCAAAGATTTTCCTGGCTTACAGCCCTCTCCATCTTTAACCCAAAAACTCAAAAACTTGGGTTCAAGAATTCGTGTTAGAAAAGTTCCTGCCGCAAAAAGAAAACTGATCAAGGAACCCAGAACTGATGATGAAAATAGTGACAATATCAACTCTATCACCGCTATCGTTAGTATCACCTCAAACAATACTAATAATGATAACAATGCCAACGGTAACATCAACAACTCTAATAAAAACAACAGTAATACTAATAACAACGATAATGACAATCAAAACAAACTAAAAGTTCTATCTGATATTTCGTCTTCTTTGAAACCAATCGAATTGCCTCAAATAGTAACCTCCAACTTCCCTCCTCACTATTCAAATTCCCCGATGACACCTTCAAGCCAGTTTTTATCTCCTTATCCTCTTCCTCATCCATACATGATAAATCCCTATAGCTACTTCAACCCATTGGAAGGCGCTCCACAATCAATCCAAAATATCGATAGCCAAGATTTCAATAATCAAAATAACCAAAATCAAATCAATAATCAAATCAACCAAATCAGCATTAACTCTCCCTCTATTAATGGCGCTCCAATCAACTACTCAATTAATGAAAACAGTAGTCCAAACTCAAATCTACCTCAACTTTATTTAGGTCAACTTCCAAGATATTACAACTATCCATATCCAATACCTGCTGCTGCTGCTGCTGCTGCTCCCCCTCCTCCTCTTCATCTCTCAAAACAAAAACAAAAACAGCAGAAAACTGATTCTGATGATAATCCCAACTCTCCTTCAAATTCGGTTCCTGTTGATTCTATCGATGATGAAATTTTGAAACAAAATCAAAGTGATTTCACTAAACCATTAACTAAAAATAAGAAAAACGATAAAAACGATAAAAATGATAAAAGCGATAAAAGCGATAAAAACAATAGTTCACATAATAACGACACTGATGTTGACATGAAAAGTAATTTAAATGCCAATCAAATCGAAAATACCAATCAAATCGAAATAAAAAATGGAAATGCAAACGGAAACAGAACTTATAAATCTGAAAACAAAAAAGATGAAAATGATAAACACCAATCCCAGAAGAATCAATCAACCTTGGGAAATAACAGAAAAAAGAACAAAAATGAAGATGAAATTAATATTGAAATGGAAATAAATATACAAAATGAACTAGACAAATTAAATGACATGAGATATGAAAACAACAACCATAACCACAACCATAATTACAATCACAATCACAATCATAATCAAAATCAAAATCAAAATTACAATAAAACCGAAAACGAAAGCTATCGTATTAACAGCAACGATATCACTAATGGCAACGCTCATAATAACAGCACATCAGACAAAGAAAACCAAATTGAAAATAAAGACGTGCTGCAAGAAATGAATATGAAATCCAAAAACAAAGGAATAGATGTTTTATCGCTCGATGATGATATTGACGATGAAAGAAAGCTAGAAAGCAAAAGGATGCTTTTGGAAATTGAAAACCAAATCGAAAGCCAAATCAATAGCCGAATCGATAGTAAATTGGTAGATCACGACAATGATTTGGGCAACAAAACCGCAGAGATCAATGACGTGCTTCAAGCCTTTCAGAACAGTAATGATGTTCTTGATTCTGAGGCCAATATTATGCAAATGCTTCGAGAAGCAAATTATTCTCACAACGAGCATCACCACAACCACAATGGAAATTAAATCGCTGTTTCGATCCTAACACTGCTACCAGACACCATGCACACTGTAATCCCTGTTTTTTTTGTTTTTTTGTTCGCTCCAGCTCTAGCTTTAGATGCTCCTTTGGCTTATTGTTTTGTTAATACTTGTTGTACTTTACTTTTCTACTTTTCTAATATATTCTCTCTTTTGCTCCAGTGTAGCTCCGACTCTGTAGCTGTACGCTTCAGCCAGTATTTCCCCTTCGGGTGATCACTTCCAAGTTAGGGGCAGGCTCAAAAACGTAATTTGTAAAACGGTTAACTTTCTGCTGAAAGATGAGTGCTATTTTTACTTTATCCACCATCACCTTGTTTTCCTTATTGTATAAACTAGGTGATTAAGCAGAATGACCGATGATTTAGTGGTAAGTAAAAAGGATGTAATTTTTGTATATTTGCAAAAACAGTGCTAACAACTAGATGGACTTGAATGTTTCCAGAAATTTCCTACCCCAGCTCAAGTTATTGGGGCCAAAAAGCGAAAACCACCACCTTCCAGCTCAGTAAACAACCCAAAGGGACAGGGAGCAGGCCAAAGCTGGCAGAGATTGGAACAGCAGCAGACTCAGTTCCAAGGGAGCAGCCATGTGCAAAAGATTCCGCAACAGAAGACGTATCATAGTGGGCAGTTTTCTTATCAACGACAGCAAGCAGGACCCATAGGTAAAGAGAGTTTTTATTTCAAGGCCCAGCAGACACAAGCACAACAGCCAATACCTTCTCAAAACACATATCCTCAGAACAGATTGAATCACTTTCCTGTTCCTCCTACTCAGAATCCAGTAATATACGGCAGTTCAGCTCCGCAGCCAATTGTTAGTCAAGCGACATATGCCAATCCTAGTGTTCCTAATATTGTTCCTAATATTGTTCCCAATCCAATGAATTATCAAAGAGAACCACAGTTACCACAGACTATTCAACGACAACAAACGTATCCAATGCAGTCGATTTCAAGTAGAAACAATTACTCAAATCAGACCGGATTTGTTCCTTTTAATGGGCCATTACCAGTACAACAGACGTATCCTATTCAACAACGACAGAACTCATATAGTGGGTTTGGGAATGAGTATGATAGAAATACGAATGTGAATGTGAGTGGAAACGGGACTGGAAATATGAATATGAATATGAATATGAATATTGAGCAGTTTCAAAATTTGAATTTGGACGGTAATGATAATAGTTATAATAGTGGTGATAATAATAATAATAATAATAATAATAATAATAATAATAATAATAATAATAATAATAATAATAATAATAATAATAATAATTATAATAATAATCCGCAAGTAATATCACCTAAAAGGAATGATCTTACAAACAGTGATTTAAATTTAAATCAAAATTTCAATCCAAGCTTAAGTAATCAGTTATCAAACCCTTATATTAGTAATAACAATAGCGCTATTGGTGCTAATAGTGGTATTAGCCCTAATAGTAACCTTAATAATAATCCTATTGTTGATGTTAATCACAACGCTAATATTAACACTAATAATGATAATTTTGTGAATAATGAGGAAAATGGGAATAAGTTTAATAAGAGATCTTCGCCAGCCAACAACTTGGGAAATCAAGCGTACTCAAGAAATAGCGTTGAAAATTTGATTCCTATTCGATCGATAGAGGAAGAAATTGAACAGCAAAGAGAAAGACCACTAATGGTCCAAAAGACATCAGATGTTGAAAAATTGGAGATCCAATTGAAGAAATTGTTTGATACAGTTGATGTTAATAAGAGTGGGAAATTGACAGAAAAGGAACTTAGCAGAGCGTTGTACAATACTGACTATTCTAAATTTGAGATCTCGACCATTAGTCTTATGATTAAACTATTTGATAAAGATGGGTCTGGGGATGTAGACTTTAAAGAGTTTTATAATTTGTGGAATTATATAACACACTGGAGAAAGGTGTTTCAAATTTATGATAAAGACAAAAGCAATACAATAACATTCAGCGAGTACCAAGAGACATTGAAGAGCTTTGGATATAGGCTATCTATTGATACTTCACTATATATATTTCGGAAGTTTTCGAATAACAACAGCTCGTCGGCATTTGAGATGAAGTTTGATTTATATGTCGAGAGCTTGATATGGTTGCTAAAATGCACAAATTCATTCAAGAAGTACGATTCCGAAGGGTCAGGAATCGGCGTGATTCCATTTGAGAAGTTTGTTTTGGAGGTATTGTCGTTCAGATAAGAGCTGGGTCCTTATTTGCACGATGGACAGCTGGCTGTAGCACGTTAATACACATTACTGATAATCCATTTGGGGCATGTTCAGCGAGTGCAGCACCGGACACTGGTTACGGGATAATGTTACCCTGCGCGCGTGAACATGGGTCACTCGCTCTTTTCTGTTTGGGCGAAGTATCGAAGCAAAAATCAGCGCGCATTTCACAGAGAATTTTCAGAAGTGATCAAAGTTAAGCTCTGGCAGTTTCAGACGAAAATGGAAACAGGCCAAGATCGGCCGCGCATCGGCAAAAGCGCAGTTTACGAGCAGTGCGGTTCTAGTGCGGTTCCAGACCGATCCACCAGTACGGAACCGTCGCCGGTTCTGCTTCTGCTTGCGTCTGCACACAACTGCACGTTTCGTCCAGGTGGAGCAGCTCGACCCAGCACAAGAAACGACTCCCTCTTCCTCTCCAGCAGCACAAACAGCAGCTTCTTCTCGCCCAGCTCCTCCAGCACCAGCACCAGCACCACACTCCTCCAGCCCCAGCCTAGCGTTGCTTCTCGTGCCCACCTCTGTCGGCCGCCAATTCGCCTCGCTTCAACGTCTTTGCCTTCTCTGCTAGCTTTTCTCCTACTATTTTTTTTCTCTGCCAGCTACAGCTCATTCTCCAACCGACGCCTTTCTCTTCAAATGTCCCAACAGCCCAAGCTCTACCAGGACCAATTACTCCCAGATTCTTCCAAGAACTACCAGTCTCGAGATTCTCACGTCTCTTTGGGCCCTACCTCCACTGCCCCATTTGGCTCCAGTCACCAATCAACAACAGCGTCCTCACTCCAACCCTTACCTCCTCCTCCTCAAGTGTCTGCCCAACATGTCTTAACTCAGCTACCTATCAATTTCCAGCAATTGTATCAGCACCAAAATCACCACCAGCCAACTCTGTTCTACTTTCCTCTTTCTCTGCAACTGACCCCAGCTGCTCCTCTACCTTCCTTACCTTCTGCTGCTCAACCTGCTTCGGTTTACCTTCCTCCACCACACCAGTCCCACCCTCAGTCCCAGAGCATCACCACTCTACCACTCCCAATTCCAAACAAACATCTCGTAAGCTCTATTGCTTTGCAGCAATTACCATCTCAACAGCAGCTGCTGCAACAGATTGACCCCGAACAAAGCCAGAACCAAAACCAGAACCAAAATCAAAATCAAAACCAAAATCAATTCCAATCCCAACCTCTATCTAGGTCAAAATCTCACTTTCATCCACAACCACAGCTCCAACTTCAAACCCAACTTCAACCTTCACTTTCATCTCAAAGTCATCATCAAATTCAAAAACTGAAATTCTCTTCTTCCTCTTCTTACCCCTTCACTTCGGCTTCTACTCCACAATCTCTGCAATCTCTGCAATCTCTGCAATCTCATTATTATACTCATTCAATAAATAGTCAATACACTCCTCAATATTCTTTTCTTTCTTCTTCTTCAGCTACTCCAACAACTTCAAATACTTTATCTTCTGCAACTCCTTTTCCTCCTCCTCCGATTCAACATAATTATTCTCTGCAATTGCTCTCAGCTTATCCATCCCATTCAACTCATTCAACTCACCCACCTCCACCACAATTACAACCACCCTCTCAAAATTCTATCCAACAAAATTCACAGTCCTCTCTTCCACAACAATCTTCAAACAGCTCAATTCCCCCAATTTCTTCCTTGGCTTCAAATTCTCAAGAATTTCAAGACTCTCATCAATCATCTGAATCACAAAACTCCCAAAAACTTCAACAAACTCCTTATCAACAAAATTCCTCTTCCATTTCAAATACAAACCATCCAGCGCCTATTTTAAAACAAATCACTCCTGCAAAGAGATCTTATTCAAATCTAGAAATTAATCAATTGGATCCCGCGAATAATATTATTACTAATAATACTTCATCCATATCTTTATTATCATCACCATCTTCTTCTTCTTCTTCTTCTTCTTCTACTACTACTACTACTACTACTATTACTACTTCTACTTCCTCTATTCCTGCTTCTGCTTCCTTACCCTCAAACTCTAATAAAACTAAAAATAATAGCAAAACTAAAAATAATAAAAGTAAAAGTAAAAGTAAAAGTAAAAGTAAAAGTAAAAGTAAAAGTAAAAGTAAAAGTAAAAGTAAAAGTAAAAGTAAAAACAATGACAACAACAATAACAATGACAACAACAATAACAACAGCAATAACAATAACAACAGCAATAATAACACATTCTCATCTTCAAACTCTCCTTTACCCTCTTTTTCTTCTTTAAATTCCCCTTCATCTACATCTTTATCCTATGAAAATAAAAAATTTAAAAACACAAACTTCAATCGTTCCAGCGAAGAATCCCTATTATTAGCTGCTCAAAAATCACTAACAAATCATATCCAAATTCAAGATTTTGCCAAAAAAATGCAAATCACAAACGATTTCGAAAAACCTTCTCATCCAAAGGCAATAGCTGCAAAGGAAAAATCAAAATCAATTTTCGCTATTAGATGCTTGTTGGATTCGGTTGAAAAGATTCAAGTATCTCAACCTCCTTCTCTAACTAACGTTCACAGTACTGCTACCCCAAGAGCTTCCGTTTATAATGCTTATACTTATCTTTGCAATATCTCAAACGTTTTACCCTTTGGTCAATCGGCTTTAGGAAAACTAGTTAGAGTTATTTGGCCTGATCTACAAACTAAAAGACTAGGAACAAGAGGTAACTCAAAATACCACTATATTGGTATTAGATTAAAAGTAGATATAAAACAAATTCTAGATCAAATATCAAAAAATCCTTCCGTACTACACACCCAATTCTTCGGTAACTTTATAGCCAGCCAACCTGCAATCTTTAAACAAAATCTGTTCCAAAATAATTTTGATCAAAAAAACAAAACTCATTCCGAATCAACGGTTTATAATTCAAATAATATAGATGATTTTGTGGAGATATCTTCTACTCCCTTTTTATCAACTATTGGTCCTCGTCTTTATTTTCCAAAGGATAAAAAAATAATGCAATCTATTGCTTTTTTCGATATTAACAATTCAAATGATCTAATCAATTCTATTATCTCGACAGATTTGAATAACTTGATTCAAAAATTTAAATTCCATTTATTAGATGGAAATTATCAATCTTGTTGTTCTTTACTTTTATCACAAGATGAATATCAAAAAGATATTGCAATATATGCTAGTTCTTTGAATATGTTATCTCCATTGTCCCATACAGGTTCAAAAAAGGCTAATTTAACCAACTTGAAAAATTTGTCCAGCAGTTTTTCAAATTATTTCTCTCAACAATTGTTCAATCAAAAAAATTGCACTCTGGAAACTATTGATACAAATCTGAAAAAAAGACTTAAATATTCGAAATTATTTGAGGTCTTGTTAAAAAGATTACTTCGCGCTGCTGAAACTGCTGTTTCTGTGGCTCGTATTTTTTCAAATTCAGTTGAAATGGTATCAATAATGAATGATTGGAATATAATTATAAATGATATCTCTATTATATCAGGTTGTGAAATTGATAGAGAACCTGAAAGAGTTGAAGCTGAAAACTTATTAAGAAATGAAATTCCAAACTTTTTAAATGTTCTTAATAATGAATTATCTAATGCAGTTGCCTCGAGATCTGATTTTCATGATGATCCAACTAAAGGTGTTTTTAATACTGAATTAACAACTATTGAGAAAAAACTTATGGAGACTACTGTTAATTTTAATATTCTATTATTTTCGAAGTTCCCAAGAACTTCTGTTAGACTTTTTTTATTATTCTTATCATCAATATTAACAAACTGTTTGCGTCAACTACAATCGAAAGGTGCGAGAAGTTTTAGTGCTTGTTGGATAGTTCGTTGTTGGATTGATGAATGGTTTGGATTTATTAGTGAACTTTATGGATTTAATTCATTATCACAAGATCTTGTTAATTGAAGAATTAATTTATATGAAAATAGAAACAAAAATTTCTGCATAAAGGAGATTTTAATTCTAGAATTTTTTAAGGAAAAGGAAAATATTCTATTTTACTGTTTATAATATTTTATTAGTTTTTGTTTTTTTTTACGATTTTAAGTAATTCATTCATTCATTCATTCATTAATTTATTTATATTTTTATTTACAATCATTCCATTTCATTTCAAGATTTTCATTTTGCATTGATATATTATATGGTTTATATGATTTTGCAATTTTACATTAAATTATTGTTAGATGTATTTTTTATATATATATTTCATTATACTTATATTTATACTTATACTTATATTTATACTCATACTCATACTTACATTCATATTTCATATTTCATATTTTTACTTTTATTTTATTTTCATTTTTTATTTCTCAATTTTTCATTTTATTTTTTTCATTTTGATTTTTTCATTATTATTCATTTCCCTGAATTTTCATAATATATATATTGAAAATAACTTGAATTATGATATAAGTTTGAGTAAAAACAAAAATAAAAATAAAAATAAAAGCAGCAAAAGACACCATATTTATAGTTATTTAAGAAGAAATAATTGTAAAAAACTAAAAAGGAAAAAAGTGAAATAGAGTATAAGAGTATAATGATAATGTGCTAGTGATAAACAATAAATGATAAATGATAATTAATCAGATGAAGCAGTTATACTAAGTTCTCTCATTCTTTGCAAAACATCATCGACTTTTTGATCCAATTGTTCATTTGCATAGGCATCTCTACTTTCAGCGTCAAAGGAGTTTTGAACTTGGGATAATCTTGTATATGAATCAGTAAAAAATCTTAATTGAATTTTGACTAAACTTTCAAAACTTGGATCGAGATAAGGTACTCTTAAGGATATTAATTGTGGTAATTCTAATTTTAATTCACTATTTAAGCTTTCATATAAATCCTTTGAATAATTTAATTCCTTTTCTAATTTTGGAATTTTATTCAAATCATCAGAAGGTTTTTCAGATAATTTTTTGACTTTAGATCTAATTGAATCATAATCGATTTTTTTGTGATTTCTTTTTTTAATAGCCTCATTTATATCATTAAAATAAAAGCAGAATTTATTTATTGGATCTAGAACTGTTTCTTTGTAGGGAGTATTAAGAGATTTAAAGGTTTCGTCGTTTAATTCTTTAATTATTTTCAAGTAATTTTTGACAATACCCTCGTCGTTATCAACGGAATTTGATTTTTTTGAAATTAGAGGGTAGGAATCATTATTTGTAGCGTAAAAGGAATCAAAAGTTTCAGTTATTAAAGTTTGAGAATTCATTATTGATTTCAAAGATTCAAAATATTGTTTGGCTTCCTTTTGTAATTTCAACGAGGAATCTTCCATAGATCTGAATCTTTTCTCTTCCAAATCAAACTCTCTATCGACAGTTTTTTCGACATGACCAGTTTTAATCATAACCTGAGCACCTGCTCTGTTAATTGCTTTCTTGAACCCATTCCAAGACATTTTGTGAGTGATGAATAATATAACAAGTGTACTATAGTAAGTGCAGTATAAATGGCGTAAATGATATGTTACTAAGATGATTAACAGCTTTGCTGTAGCGCTGTAGACTGAGACTGAACAACTGACTTTTCTTAGAAACAATACCAGTTCTTGTTGAGGTAAGTGTCTTGTATCTGGATTATATCACAAATACCAATATCAGTAGATATTGTTTTATCAGTTCTGATGTGTATCATTTTATAAAACATGCGTGTATGTGCATACAAGCGTTTATATGTGTTTTACAACGCTTAATTATGTATTCAAACCTCCACTCGCATTTACTTACATCTACTTGCATATATATGAGTGCATCCACACTGCTGGCTAGCATTGTGCAATTTCCAAAAAACCCACGGAGTTCCGTGTGGCGCGTGCTCTCGGACGGCGGCGCGCAGACGCTGACCGGAAACAAGCGACGTGGATGCAGCGAAAAGGAAAGAAAAGTATGAACCGAAAAGAGTCGATCTCGTTATCAGAGCCATAAAGGCAGGTTTGATCTAGACCGGCACCTCCACGCCGACACATGCAGTGTGAAAACTCTAATATGTAATTCTGAAATTCCAGCTTTAAATTTCAAATTCCAGTCTATCTCCAAAGCTGGTCAAAAAGACTCCAGCCAAAAAGCTCTCAGCTGGGGAATTTCTTTCCTTTGAGGCAACTTTTTGACCATTGTCCTGACTTCAGTGATTGTTGTTGTTGATGCCATCTATTGTTCGTCTATTTTTGCTTTCTGAGCTTAGCAGCTGCTCTCCTTTCTCTGCGTAGTCTTCCTTGCATCATATAGTAGCTTGCTCTTCTCACAATCACCTCCAACAACTCTTTGTCGTAATCATACACGCTTTTCACTTTATGGTATAGCTCATCCAAAATTCGCTCTCTTTCTTGCAATGGTGTGTCTCTCACCCACGTTTTGTTTCCCAATTGAAATCCAATATCGTTTTTCAATATGCTCAAAATGTATTTCTCTCTTTTGCCTGCCTCCTCTTGATTGTTTTCAAGATTCAATATCTTAGCTAAAGCAGGTAGTGATAACCTTGAGTCAGACTGTCTTTTGCCTAATTTTTCTCTTGTGATACAATTTTTACTAGAAACGTATTTTCTTTTGTTGATTTTAGAATTGATGTTTATTTCACTATTTGAGTTACTTTTCCTCATTTTAATTTGCCCATTTATTTCACTAACATTTAAACTTGGTGTTTGGAATTTCAATTGGGTTGGTGTTGATGTAATTGAAAAAGGCAGACTTGTTTGGCTTTGAGACTGACTTTGGACTTGAGATATCGTTAATGGCTGAATATTATATTGTGAATTGAATAGTTGGTCATTAGAAATATCAACCGGCGAAATTGGCAATACTAATGGTGTCTGTGGATCAAGCACTAAACCATTGAAATTTTCATTAAGATTATTGCAATTGAACTGTAGATCAATTTCCAGAAAGTTAGTATTAATGTTATTATTATTATTATTATTATTATTAGTAGTAGTAGTATTAGTAGTAGTAGTATTAGTAGTATTAGTAGTAGTATTAGTAGTAATGTTTTCATTATTAGTAGTGGTAGTAGTAATAAAATTATCAATTTCATTAAAGTTGATAAGTTCATCGATTATATTGTTGGAGTCATTTTGAAATTGGGGTTTGATAAACTCATTATTATTGTAGCTGAAAAAGATTTCATTTTGATTATTTTGTATATTTACAATATTTTGAATATCAAAAATATTATTATTATTGATATTTTGATTAAAATTGTTTGGTAAACAATTTAAAGGTGATTGATATTTAAAATCATTTAAATTGACATTATCAAAATTAAAATCACTAACACTGCTCTTGGTGGATAATGAGCTTATGCTGTAGTTAAATTGGTCATCTGAAAAATCATCAAGGGTAAGGCTTTTTGGAGAAATTTGTGTTATTAAATTATTTGTGTTATTGGAATTATTGATGGTATGGATATTATTGATAGTATTGGGAGAAGAATTGGCAATAGGGGAAGAGGAAGTGGAATTATTATTATTTGGATTGAGATTATCAAAGGAAGCGTTAATTAGATTTAGATTTGGGTTGGAAGTGTTTGTGTTGTCAAGGGATTTATCCAATTGTTTTTTTAATGAAGTATTAATCAAGTTGTTGATAGAATTGAGGTTGGTATCGGATTGGAATTTTATATCATTCGGTATAAAAAACGAGTCAATATTACTATTGTTGTTGAAATTATCGAGATTATCAATGTCAGAAAAGAAAAAGAATGGGTTGTTATTTATGTTATCGAGATTATCATTGTTGATGCTGTTATTGTTATTGTTATTGTTGTTATCATTAAGAGTATCAATTATATCATTAAAGCAATAGGGTAAGGATGAGTTTTGCAATTCCATTTTAATTGAATAAATAGTTAATTGATTATTTTATTGTTTTATATAAGTTAATAAGATATATGAGTATAATATATAAGATTGTGGAATCTTGGGATTGTGGTATAAAAAATGAGAGTATAATTAATAATTTTCAGCTTTTTAATTTCAATTTTTTATTTTCAATTCTATTTTCAATTCTATTTTCAATTTGATTTTCAATTTGATTTTTATTTCTTTAGTTGAATAAAATCAAAACAATGTTGAATTAAAAACAAAGGAAAAAAAAAAGGATGAAAAATTGGTAAAATTGAAAGAAATGGTAAAAAATAGTAAGATTGGTAGAATTGGAAGTTAATCGTAATTTGTTTGAAAACTGTCTGAAAACTATTGAATTATTTGAATTATTTGAATTATTTGCAATTTGTATGATAAAATAAGAAATAACTAAATAATAACAGAATAAGAGAAGATTTTGAAGGACAAGTTCAATAATAATGTGAATAAATATAAATATAGGTATAAAATAAAAGTAAAAGTAAAAATAAAAATAAAAATAAAAAAAAGGTAAAAAGACAAAAAGATAAAAGAAAAAAAAAAAGAGACGAAAAAAGAGAAAGATAATTAAATGTTTATATAAGATACTGTCAAAATAAAAAAACCAAAAAAATAAGAAAAAAGAAAAAGAAAAAAGATAAAGTTATAAAGTTATGAAGTTATTAAGTTATAGAATTAGAAATATAAAAGAACACAAAAAGGCATAATGTTGAAATAAGATAAAGTGTAAATATGGAAAAATAGTTAAAAGATAAAAAGATAGAGCTGAAAAAGATGAAAGCGAGAAAACCCAACAAACAAAAGGAAATTCTAGTGGATAGAATGAATAAAAATGAGTAAATGAGTAGTGCAATAGAGCGAAAATAACATTAAGGACATTTTAGAATATAACTAAAAACTGCAATGTCTTTGATAAATAAAAAAAAAGAAAGCAAGAAGTGAGCTAAAAGTGGAAAAGTCAAATTGAAAAGTCAAAAAGATGGTGAGAAGTGAAATTAAAAATGAAAAGTGAAATTGTAAAGTAAAAATACAAAGTAAAAAATAAAAGTGGAATTGTAAAGTCAAATAGTAAGTGGAAGTTAGTAATTAGTAATGGACCAGCCAGTAGTTTGTAGGTTGTAGTTGGTGAAAAGCGAAAGCATGTAGCAAAAGATTGAATAAGACAAATAAGACAAATAAAATGAGTTTCAGAAGTGATTATCTGACATAAGCTGGCAATTGGAGAGCTTTAAAAGAATTAGAGAGAATTGATCGTAGCCAGTTAGAATGGAGTTGGAAGATCAATCAAAGATTTTTTCCCAAAGAGTGAGTAACGAGTGAGTAAAGATTGGATGAACATGAGATAATAGGCCTGAAAAAATATACTTGTAACGGTGAATAGGTGCTAAGATGTGGGATTAAAGATTGGTGTAGGTCTGTTGAGTGAAGCTGGAGAAAAGTGTAGCAGCTTGCAATAGAAGTTGGGCACAATAGAAGAGGAATTTGGAGAGAAGCACAGTGGGATAACAGAGAAGTTGCTAACCATTTGGCCATCCATCTGATATGATAATGGCGATAAACAGACCCTATTGTTGTTTTCCCAGCCAGATACGGAACACAGCAGAGATGGAGAGGGAGGCGACAAATCCAGATAAACAAGACAGCTGGAATAACATTCTAGATCGGACATTACTGAGCAGAAGTAGTAAACAGAGTTATCCAAATATTATTTGTGCTAAATCATAAGGTGAATGAGTGGAATTGAATTCTTGAGATCTCTGATGCTACATATCTATCTGAGATTGCACCTAGTAAATTTCATAACTAGAGGATAATTTCAGATAAAGGAGAACGATCGATGAATGAGAAGCGGACTGGAGATGATAGCGGATTTAGCGTGAGAAGTGGGCCTATTAGCGTTGCCCATAGTCGCAAGTTGGTTTCAGGTCGTTCTGCGTTGGGGACGAAGACGGTCGTGGAGCCCGTGGGCATGGTGCCACCGAACCCTGAGATCACCTCTGCTGTGATACTCCCCACCAGCCAATCACAGCGTGTGCACCCGTTATCAGAGCCACCAGCATGGGCCTGCGTGGGCCACAGCTGGTGAGAATGGCTGCTCGTAAACAGCGCCTTCGACAGGCCCCTCTGGTCTCCCGCTTCCTTTGCGTCCTTCTTGTCTCTTGTTTGGCTTGCCTCCTGCTCCTTCATCTCGCTGGACAGAGCACTGCTCTTGCTGCACTTTCCCACCACCTTTCTAAGGACGGGCGATGGCAGCTGTTCTGTGCAACCCACAGGTATTCCAGAAGCCCTTCTGCCCAATCGCAGTCCACCACGCCGCTGGCCTGCAGCAGCGGTGCACTGTGGAAATGCATTAGCCAATCACAGTCGTTTTTGCTGCGATTGTTCAGGTCCATGCACGGATAAATGTTATAGGAAAGCTTAGTGCTGGTGTACAGTACCTGCCAATCAAAATCCAATTCACAGTGACAGATATGCGGTAGATATGCTTTTCGTTTTTCTTTTTCGCTTTAGATCCTTACTTTTGCACCACCGCTGCGGACCGCAGCTTGACTGTCAATATCGCACTGTGATTGGCTGCTGTGTAAATATGCATATTATACATATGAATGCGTGATCCAGATCTATGGCGAGACCCTTGTGACGGAAACGCGCACTTTTCAAAACAGCATCTGCCGGAGCTGTACTGCACGTGTCGTTCAGAGCCTGCTCGCAAACCTAGTTCTGCGCTTTTATTTTCTCCAGTTGTTTCAGCTGCTGCTTCTGTTTCCTGTGCTGCTCAGAAACATTCAGAGCTGTTTGAAAACAGCTTCAAAACTGTTTGTACCAAGTCCAGAAGCAGTTTGGAGAGAGTTCCGAGACATCTCTGTGGTTGTGTTCAGCTGATATCCCTATCGTTGAATCTTATGACGAAAACGGAAACTCGATCTCCAAAACTTTCTTTCCTTCATCCTCCAATCAAATCGCTGTTTTGTTGATAAACTTATCTAATCTATATCACTGATCTCTTTATCTCAATAACAATCATCAATAAAGAGCTATCTAATCAAAAATTAAAATAATAAACACTTTAAAAATCACTATTCAAATATGAGATCAATACAAAAAAAAATAAAAAAAACAAAAAAAAAACAATAATTTAACAAACAAACAAACAAACAAACAAATTAACTTGAGAAAAAAAAAAATTTATCCACTTGGTAAAAAAAAAATCCACTAATAAACAATTCAATATTCATCGACTTGGTGTGTACATTATTTGCGTAACATACTTCTCAGAATATCTAGTTATACAAGCAACTGTTAATATATCATTTTTAATACTAGTAGTTATCAAATGATTCAAAATTACATGATTTGGCACCTCAAGAACTTCATTTTCACTCTCACTATACGAACTGATTGTCCCATTATGATTATCAGAATTACTTGACATTCTTCTTTGTCTGTGATTCTTGTTTAATAAAACACTATTAAGATATGGTGGAAGCGTAGGTGGCGATGGCAACCCACTTTTCCTGAGTAATGAATCGCTATCAAACCTCTCAAAATCTTCATCACTAAAAAAATTATAATTGTCTGTATATATTAACGGAATATCTTTAGAATAGTCGACTGTAATTTTTTCTTTGTTTTTATCAAATCTTGAAAAGTTCTCCTCATACATTTCACCGCTAGTTTCCTTATCTTCACTCTTTAGAGATAACATTGATTTTATGCTCATGTCTTGAAAATTGTCCATTAATGGTGCAGGAAATGAATATATTTCATTTTTAGATTCCTTACTCTCTTTATCCTCATTTGAATTTGAATTTGAATTCAAATTTAAATTGGATATATTCTCTTTACCTTCTCCATACTCTTTATCCAATTCTTTAATCTCAAACGAATTGACATAATAATCTTTAGCCTTGGCGACTTTTAAATAATTCTTTGAGCAGATCAATCTTTCCTTATAAACAAATTGAAAGTTGTACACATTCTTCGGTAATCTTAGTTCAATCGAATAATAATATTCACCTTCTTTATTCAATTTAATTTTCTTTTGCCAATTAGTAAATGATCCAACAATATATATCTCGTTATCATTAACATCAACATCAACATCAACATTAACATCAATATCATTCATAATATTATCATGATTATCAATGTCTTTCTTAATATCAAGTCCAATAACTATCGGGTATTTATTCTCTTTACTCTCGTTATTAAACTTCAATAAAGAACTACTAGATATAATATTATCTGGACAATTTAAATTTTTAATAATATCATCTGAAATCAATTTGTTTTGAAAATAACTGTTTTCATCATATTCTATAGACCCATCTATAGCTTTATCTATCAATTTATTATCATTATGATCTTTGGAATTTACCATTTTGGAATTCAACGTCGATATTATCGTATTCTTATCAATCAATTGATTTGTATTAGGAATTGAGGTTACGTTATAAGCTGAGACAACTGTTGAAGGATCTGAAGTGTTATTGCTATAGTTATTATGACTATTATAATTGTAACTATTATCTTCAAGGATCTTGGGAATGAGATCAATAGAGGGATTGCTATTAGTAGTACTTGTAGTATTTGAATTTTGACTTAAAGTAATATTAATATTAATATTATTATTATTTATATTATTATTATTATTATTCGTATTATTATTCGTATTGGTAGTGGTAGTGGTAGTGGAGGTGGAAGTGGTGGTAGAGTGTTTGGATTGATCAAGTATATTGATTGGATTAACCTTATTAATATTACTTATATTATATGTATTAAATGTATTCTTGAATGATTTATAAAATAAATGAGAATTATTTTTAGATATATTGATGAAAGATGTTAGATTATCAGGATTTGAATTACTAATAAATTGAGTTGATTTAGAGGAAGTGTTATTTCCCATTTTAATCTTTCGCTCTCTTATTTTTCTTTTTTTTTTTTTGGTCTTTCTTTCTTTTTTTTATTTTTTAATTCCCTTCTTAAATTAAGAAAATTATTATTATTGAAAAAACAAACAAAAAAAAGCCCAAAAAATACAAAAAAAGAAGAACCAAAAATTGAATTTTAATGATTTCTACAAAATTGAATTAGATATGTGGGACTATTGGATTTTATTATGTATATTATACAAGTGAATAAGGTGAATAAAAGAGAAAAGCTAGTTCATGTTAAAACTAAACTAATTGGCTAAAGCCCAAACAAATAATAAATTGTTTAAGATAATGTAATTGGAAATTGGAAATTGAATCACGAATTCTAATTAATGTGGGAACGATAATATAACCAAACAAATAACATAAAATCGTCAAATTTTTCAAAAAAGATTAACTGAGGAATGACGACCTGGCTACGATTTTGATAAAGGACAATGTTAACTCACAGGTACTGGGCTTTAGATTGGATAAGAACTCCCAATTAACAGCATACTTGCTGGTGAATATCAAGAGTTTCTGCTGCTGAAAAGAGAATAATTAGCTGCCGTCTATGTGGTTATCAGTGCCAGCACCAGGATCAGCACAGTATCAGTATCAGCGTAGCACCATCAACAGCAGCACCATCAGCACCATCGCCAGTATCTCTCTTTTGTCCATTCTGACATTGAACTGTGGCAAAAAGCAGGAAACAAACCATCTGCGTCTTAACAGGATTTGAGTTCCTTCTCGCTGTCTCTGTCGAAGGGGAAACATCCCAAACACTCGTCTCGAGGCAGCAGAGGTGGAGTCACAGCACCATTCTCCCTCCTCTGGGTCCTCTGTGCTCCTCTATGCTCCTCTTGTCTTCCTCTGCTGCTTCTCTTCCACTTCTCGTCTACGCTTCTCTTCTACGTTCCTTCCCCCAGCGCGATAACACAATACCCACATTGTGTCAACAGAAACCGAAGTCTGTTCTTTCCAGAACCCTTCCTGTTGTTGCCTCTAAAGTGGCCTTATCTGGCCGCCTGCTGCTTCCTTCAAACAGCCGCAGACCAGGGCCCTGCTTCCTCCTGACCGAGTCGCGCCAAAGGCAGCACCCGCAGCACCGACATCAGAAACAGCTCCAGAAGCACCGCCAGCAGCACGACGTACAGCGACCCTTGTTTCAGCCGCAATTTCGTACCAGCAGCATGGCTCGTTGCTTATATAATCAGAGCTCTATTTACAAAGCCCTATTTACAAAGCCCTGCTATGTAACATGTGATTTCAGAATGCTATAATTAAAACAGAAACCAGTAAATTTCAACTAGTCCGGGCTCAAGTATCAAAATAGGGCTCGAGTTAGGGCTTTCTCTTGTTGCATCTATTGTGCTAAAAGATTCTGATCATTTTCATCAAAAGTTGAAGCGCAACTGTTACACCATCAACTGAATTTGCTTCTGTCGACAACATAATTCATAATTCAAATATAAAATGGCTCCAGCTCCAACTGGTATGTTTTTTTCATCTGCTGCAGCAGTTAAAAATGAGAAATCAAATATCAACCAACCACTATCAGTCCCCGAAAATTAGAGATCACAAATTCATTATAATTGATGGAAAATAGTCAATGAAAAATAAACAAAAATTAAATTGTAGATAGGCAAGAAAAGTTAGTTAATTATTGATATTTTTATAAAACGAAAACAAGAAATAGAATCTTTTTATTTACAGTTATTTTCAATTCATTAAGACCCCACTCTAATAAAATTCAATAAAATCTGAATTGTTAAAAGATTAATATATCCATCATATTTAATGATAAACAAACAAACAAACAAATACAAAAATTTAAAACAATTTTTTAATATGGAAATATTGAATAAGAATTGATATTATTTATTTTTAAAATAAACCTGTTTTGATTTGATTTATACTAGAAAAAATATAATAGAAATCATCAATCATCAATCATATTAGAAACAATTTTATTTCAGTTTTTGTTTTTTATAGAAACATCAAGTAAAACTAAAGTCAATTGAAATTATTATTTTTCAAGGTCCTGAATAAATCTAACTAAATCTGATAGAATACAATAAACATTATTGTCTCATACTAATTTGTCTCAATTAATTAAATATTTTATTAAACATATTTCTGGGACTCTTTTTTAATTATAATGGTCTTTTTCCAAATTAAACTGATAAATGGCAATTTAAAAAAATGAGTCAAAAGTAAAAGCAAAATTTAATTAAATATCATTTATCACAAGAAATTTTTTTTTCTTTTCCATTGGCTATTTTTCATTAATTTTATTAATTTAAATTTTCTAAATGTGCTATTGAACAATTATTATCTATAAACCATTTCTCAATTTTAACTTCATTTTATTAAACTTTATCAAGTTCAACTTTACTAACGTTCTATCATTTTTATTGTATTACAGAAAAAAAGAGACGTACCTTCAAAACCTTTTCTTATCGTGGTGTTGATTTGGAACAATTATTAGAATTGCCAACTGAAGAATTTCCAACTTTATGTCGTTCAAGAATTAGACGTCGTTTTCAACATGGTTTAAACTCAAAACCAATGGGTTTAATTAAAAAACTAAGAGCTGCTAAATTAGCTGCTCCAGAAAATGAAAAACCTGCTGTTGTTAAGACTCATTTAAGAAATATGGTTGTAGTCCCAGAAATGATTGGTTCAGTTATTGGTATCTACAACGGTAAAGTCTTCAACCAAGTTGAAATTAAACCAGAAATGATTGGTCACTACTTGGGTGAATTTTCTATTTCTTATACTCCTGTTAGACATGGTAGACCAGGTATTGGTTCCACCAACTCTTCACGTTTTATCCCTCTTAAATAGTTTAATTCTACCTAACCAATTTATTAATTTCATATCTTGATTAATGTGATATATATTTATTTTTGCGTATTGTATCATGGGTTTTCCACATTTTTTATTGTTTATCGATTATTATCTATATTTGTATCTATAACTATAACTATAAAACAATCAAATTAGAGGTTGAGTTTGAGTCTCTAGCTGAAAAAAAATCTATTGTTTTTTGTGTCCTCCTAAATCTTTTTCAGATCAAACTCCTTTCAAATTTTAAAAAAAAGAATAAATGAAAACTAATAAAGACAAATAAAAATTAAATAAAAGTAAATAAAAACAGACCTTTAAAACATCAATAAATCAAAGAGAAGAAAAAAAAAATAAATAAACTTTAATTTATCTTCAATATGATAAAACACAGGATTTCAGAAAATTAAGGCCATACCAGCAGCAAAAACAGCTCCAATCGCACCAGCACCCATTCGTGCTTCATAAACAGCAGGAGCAGCGTTTTGAGCAGTGGCAGTAGTGCTATTGTTCGCAGCAGAAGCAGCAACAACCATGGTAGCAACTGAGATTAAAACATTAGAGTATTTCATTTTGGAGTATAGAGGTGCGATTTGCGATAGAAACTTTTCAGAATTGGACTGGATGAATAACTTGTTTGTTTAAGATTGTTTTATAATTGATAAACACTCGTCGAAGGTATTATTCTTGCTATAGTATAACGATGGAAAGAAAGAAACAAACGAAAAAGAAGATGGAAGAAATTCAAGCAACAAGCTCATATATAACCAGCTTTGGATGGAGAATCAGCTCAAAAGAACACAAAAGTGGCAAATGAAAATTATTCTTTTTGTGTAATTCTGGGACAAATGAACAAAGAAAAAAAAACAACGACTTTCTGAGTATTCTTCAGAGAGTTTCCTGAAAGATTTTTTGGAAAGAAGTGAGTATAAATTAAGAATTAAACGTAGATTGAAACAAACCGTTTTCGGAAATAAATCTACAAACTAAAATATAAGTAAAATATAACTTGGGGACTAAACAATAGCAATGACAAAATACAAAATGAACTGAAAAATAAAGGAAAGTAAAGAAAAAAAGTAAAAAAATGAATTAAAATGATATGAAACAAATTATTTGTTGACAGTTAATGTTGGTTAAAAAAACTGAAAAATATAGCCTATGTTATTATGCATTTCTCTTTTTTGTAGTTTAATCTTTTCTTATGATTATATAGTTTTTTCGATTTTCTATCATGCAAGTCACCAAAAATATTGATAGTCTTTGCTTTATGGTCAACGATGGTGTGAGAATTTGGTGTAGGTTCGTTGTTATTGGAGTCACTAAGAACTTTTTCAAGAGAAGGGTATGAAGCAATAGATATATCTGCTGATTGCCTTTTCTCTTTTCCTCGAATTTCATTAGGGGGCTTTAATAAGTTACTATTAGAGTCTTCAAAAATGTACTCTGTAGATTTAATTTCAGAATCACTTGCAGCGTCAGACTTTTGAATCTTAACAAAGCTCTCTCCATCTTTACTAATTATAGATGACTTTTCTAAAAGCGATACATCAGATAGCCCAGAATTTTCATTTATATAATTACCTTCTGGAACTTTCACATACCAAAAAAATTTATTTGAAATATCAATATACCCGGGATCATTAGGGTAAGGTTGGGTTGAATCTTTAAAGTACTTAAACATCGATTGATCATGGAAATTATGATGAAGACGATGAATACCAATTCTAGTTGATTTAGATCTCCCAAGATGAGTATTTGAAAGAGATGCTGATAGAGTTGGCTTCTGTTGAACCTGAGTTGGCGCAGAATTGTCTAGATTAATAGTTGAATCATTTGTATTGCTGGATTTTTCAACTTCAATAAATAAATTACTTTGCGAATTGAAAAGCAATTTATCACTATTGAGACTTGAGTTTAAATTAGAGGTTATTGAAGTTGCTTCACTTTTCAAGTTCAAATTATCACTTGATTTAATTTTATTTTCGGAGTTTGTGCTCAAAAAACTATCGTTAAAATTATCAGAAATTTTGATTTTTAGTGATTCCATTTTTGACACCAGACTGGATGCAACAATTGTGCTATTGGCTTTTTCTAGTTTTTCTAGTTTTTCCTTTTGGATTTCTTCTGATTTATTTTTATCGAAAGGAACCATTCTGTAGAATAATATATAAGGCCATTCTTTCTCAAAAACATCCTTGAAAACTCTTCTCCTAACCTTGTTTTCTCCTCTAAGTAAATCATCAAAAAGTAACCATATTGAATTTAGTTCTTCTTCTTCAGAAGTATAAGGATCGGAAGGATTTTCTCTTACTAAGGAGATATAATGGCCTGAATTCACAGATTTCCCTCTATGACAAACAGCACTTTCCAAAATCAATTTAAAATCACCATATAACTTCTCTGGAAATTCACTTTTATCTGTTTTCTCAGTAGATTCCTCTTTAGTATTATTGGTTGAATTATTATTATTAATATTATCATTGGACCTAGAATTTATCATATTATCATCAACTTCAATATCATCAGCAATGAATTTTGGTAAATCAATTGTGGGAGGAATAATAACTCTTCTTAAATTTCTTTTACTCCCATGTTCTCCTTTTTTTTTACCATTCTCATTGTCATAGTAATATCTTTTTAAACAAATGGGTAAGATTGGGCGTTTATTCATAAATTCTCTTGAAGAACTTGAATTTGAATCTAAATCTGTATAAAATGGTAATAATTGCAAAAACATCCAAGCCGGTAGAGTTACTTCATTTGAGGTCTTATTTGACCATATTGATAAAGTTGAAGACCTTGTCCTTGATGAAACGCTATTTCTAGGACGGATAGTTATATTAACATCAGGGTATTTAGATAGAGAAGATGAGCGCAATTTTCTATTTTTTAATAAAACATTTTCAGGTTGAAAAGGGGTTACAGGGGAACGCTGAATGCTGGTTGTTGGAGAAACTGATTCATCCATTTCATTTAAAGATGGAAATGGAATTTGATTTTCTTTATCATCATCATTAGTTTTGTGATTTATAGAAAGAGAAGTAGAGGAACAGCAGTTAGTATCATTAAGCTTAAAATCCTTTAAATTTGAATTATTTTTATCAAACATATAATATTCATCATCGTTGAGAGTTTGATCAGGATCATTTGACAATGAGTCTTTTTGATTGGTAATTTTTGTATTCAATAAAAAAAGTGAGTTGGAATCATTTATTGGTGATTTTTTGTTCAGCTTTTTTAAAAAATCTAAATCTTCTTTAGAGCAATTTTTTTTATCATTATTAGTGAATGAGGAGACAATGCTTTTTGCATCATCATTAAAGATATTGCGATTGGAATTATGTGATTCATTAAGACTTGATTCAACATCCAGGTCATCATAACTTTCAAATGTTACAATACCTTTCTGGCTCATATCAATATTATCAATATTATTATCAATATTAACATTATCAGAATAAAATTTTCGATTTGAATCTGAATAATTATTGTAATAATTATTGTAATTATTGCTATTGCTATTAAAAATTCCACCATTTTTAGTACAATTATTATTTCTTGCATTTTCTAAAGTCATTCTTCTTTCTAGTTGACGGCGAACTTGAATTGAGGTATTGAAAAACTGTTCTAAACATTCTTCTAACAATATTGGTTCAGGGTCTATGTGTGAATTTGAAGAAGCTGATTTTTTAGATTTACTAGATTCATTAGATTCATTAGATTCATTAGACTTGTTAGATTGATTAGATGAATTGGATGGATTAGGTTGATGAGACTGAGATAAATTGATCAAAGACTCATTCATAGGATTTCGGTTATCGGGAGAGGTTTTTTTGAGTATGTTTAAGTTTTCATTTGATTGAGTAGAAAATTCTTCTTCTTCAATAATTTTTGAGTTATTATTGCTTTTATTAATGATATTAATGCTACCAGTATTTTTGATATTATTGTTTCTGGTGTGACTTTTATCATAGTCATCTTCTGGGACCGAAACATATAAAACCCTTTCTTTTGTAAACTTATGGTCATCATTTTGAACTGCTTTGCCACCATGATGAATATCAAGTTTCAAGGTCAATAAAGGCATGTTGAAGTAGTCAGTCAAGAATTGAAATAAAGAAGAAGAATCCTCCTGGCTTCCACTAATAGCTTCGGTGTAGCCATTTTTAGCCAAAGACTGGCATAATAATCTTGTCAAGTCATTTGTTATCAAATTTCCAGATCTTAGTAGATTGATGTACAATCTTAAAAGGAATTTTAGTTTTGTTCTTTTTTTTGATTCTGGAGTAGATTGTGATTCGTTATCAATCAATAAAATTGGTTCAAAGTCCTGTAATCTTGCAAACATGGAAAATAACAAAGAATCTAAATAACACATTACATATCCCCAGTTTTCAGCACCTTTGAGTATTATTTTTTTATTAATGGAGTTGCCCATATAATTTTTGTAAATATAAGAATTTGAGATTAAAAAGCCATCACTTGATAGCTTTATGAATCGTAATAGCTCAAAGGATTTTGTCAAATCCTTTTTGGAAAACTTTGATATCAAACTAAAAATTATTAATTGATTTGAGACTGGATTGTTTTGCAAAAATGATTTCATGATTGCAATTTTCATGCTTGCAATTGATGAAGTGGAAGAAAATGAAGTGGGAAATGAAGAAGTGGAAGTCTTCACAAGCTCTATTATTTCCTTATCGTAGGCCAAAACATCATCAGGATCATTGGGGGTCTCAACGGGAGGATCATCAGTAGGCTTATCAGTAGGCTTATCAGTTTTTTTTTCCTTCTCCTTCTCCTTCTCCTCCTTCTTCTTCTCCTTCTCCTTTTCCTTTTCCTTTTCCTTTCTCTCCTTTAGTCTTTCTTTCAAGTCCTTCTGGTCTCTTTTGATGTCTTCAATCACTCTGAGCCAATACTTGTTGTCGTCTAGCACATAGTAGGCCTCCAAATAGCAGGGCCTGGGCTGCTCGTCATCGTTGGCATCACTGGCGTCTTTCAACTTGGGAAAGGGCAAGCCAAACTTCTTCGACATGGTAACAGTGAAGCTGGTGGAGCTGGTGAAGGTGGTCGTGGTCAAATAAGAGATGTTTGTATTGTCATCAAACGATCTTCAATGCTGCACAACTCGAATGCAGACCAGCACAATGGGGCTTGCTCTTCTCATGCATATAAACGCAGGAGTCACGCTTAATTACTGCGACACAACGCACCCACAGGGCTGAAAACATCCACACTGAGGGTCTCTAACTTTCACATGCACTATCTTTGAATGTTAACAATTTTTCATTTGAAGGAAGTTTTGGGGAGAAAAGTGCATTTGGGTCTATTGGTTGTGCTTCCTCTGCTGCTTTTGCTTCTCATTCAGTGTGCATTGTTTTCTGCTGTGCACTTTCTGACTCATTACATCCTTCAGTCTTACAATGGTAATATATTCTGCCAGAGGGTTGGCTGTGAGCAACTCCTCCGGCTCCAGATATCCAAATCTCAAACCCATATCCACAAAAGACACTATAAGCACAGCTGCCAAATGCAAGAGCTTGAATACCAACCCACTAATTCCTCCCTCCATAATAGACATAGCATCTCAAAGGGTGTATTTCATCTCAATATTTCTTTTGATCCAGGCCTGGAAATTCACCAATTCGTTGAATCTATCGAAATCCCAATTTTCAATTTTCAATTCCTTGAATTTTTACTTCATTTTGAAATTCTTCATAATAGATTCAATTTATCTATGGATTTTGCCTATTTTCAGAGTTCCATATCTCACTTTCAATCCCTTTATAACTTTTCTACAAATAATCTTAGTCACTTGCTTCACCATACTATTGTCCTGTAATTTAACTCTATTGATTTCTTCCATATTTTTTTCATTAATTCCATTTTGGAATTCAAACTCTGCCTCAAGACTATCTTTATCCTCTTCTTTATCCTCTGCTTCTTCTCCAATTCTAAACAATCATATTCAGAATCAAAACCATCTTCATATCAATGAATTGAATCTAATCGATAATAAAATCAACACAAAAAATCTCGATCCAAATGCTCATTTTATCGGCAAAAAAATCATCAATATATTACCAAAATCAAACTCAATTTTTAATCCATTCAATGACACTTATTGTCTAAACGTAAACACTGATTATAATCAAGATTATAATCTCAATAAAATAAACGACCTTTCAATCAATAATTTACCCTTTAATTATTATAATCAAATTGAGATTCCTTTAAAAATTAATTCAACTTATGACATATCCTTTCTACAATTAATTTATTATGATTACAATTCGGACCAAAAACTCCCCATATATTTAAATTATACTAAAAAAGCTCTAAAAAAATTATTTCTTGATCAAAAACTAAACGATTATTATTTGAAAAAGGATATTTCTTCAAATCCCCAAAATCAAGTATTTATTCATTATAATGACTATGATAGTAATCATAATATCCATAAAATCAATATTATCAATAAAAATAACATTAATAATGTTAAAAATAACGATCTTAATAATCATAATAACAATAACAACGATAATAATGATCTCAATAAAATTAATAACAATATTAACATAGAATTTGAAAACAAAAACACAAAAAATAATAACGATTTTCATAAGGACGATATTAAAAACAAAGTATTCTTTTTAAAAATTCCAATTGTCTCTCCAGGTTACTACAAAATTAATAAAGTTTTAGACTCAAAGGGTTCATCGCTTTCAATTTCAAATCCTAACATAATCATCCCTCAATGCCCATTAATTCAAATTAATAATCAAGCTGACTATCAATTGTTTCAATACAACTCCTCTATCGATAAAAATAACATCTCTAAACAACCAGTTAACACCAACTTAAAATGCGTTAATGATTTAAATGATATTGAAGTAACCGTCCATGGTGTCCCCCCATTATCAATTAAATATAAAAAAATGATTAATCAAAAAGTTGATACCATTTATAAAACAAACTTAATTCCTCAAAATCACAACATTACAAACAATAACAACAACAATCTTTACCAATTTTCAAATTTTAAATCTCCTTTATTATTCAGTCCAGTATCAATTTCTAATAATGACTTGGAAAATTTCAAATCTTGGTCGAATTCAGCTCAATTTAAATTCAATCTTGAAAATTCAATACTTTATCAAACTGGTGATTATTCCTATAAAATTGAAGAAATAGTTGATGGCTTTGGTAACATAATCAACTATGATTTGATTTATGATTCCTTTTACAAACACTTGATCAATAATCAACATGAAAAACCAGTCAAAAATTACTTGAAAACCAAAAACTTATTCTACAATTCAATTGACTCAATTGATGATCTTTTTAGAACTAACAATCTATTATATTCTTTGAAAGTTTATAAACCCCCTGTTTTAAATATTCATGATTATGATATCAAGTCCCCATTATTTGAAAATTCAAAAAAAAATATTTCCTTGATTGTTCATAATTCCTTCAACAGAGCCTCAAACTTACATACTTTGAATTCAAATGGTCCATTTAAGGCTAATATTTCATTTGTAGATGATGAAACATTTACTGAATCAAGCTTTATTTACGAGTTTAACTCTTATAATAACTACAATTTAGAAATTGAAAAGCCTGGTACATATTCCTTGATTTCAATCGATTCAAAATATTGTCCTTCTGTTATTCCACTTGATGCTTTACCTGTCGTTGAATATAGGGCTCTCAAACCAAATCTTAAGATTTATTCAAATGAACCTGTTATTAACAAATGTCTAGGCCAAATTGGAATCAAATTTGATTTATTATTCACTGGTAGCCCCCCATTTAAAGTTAAACTAAGTATTTATAGAACTGATCTTAAAAAAAACCAAAAAACCTTATTTGATATAAGAAGATTGATATCAAATATTGATAGACATCAATATGATTTCCAACCTGCTAGCGAAGGCAATTATGAAATTCAATTTGAAGAAATTTCTGACAGCATTTATAAGGATTTTTTACCTCTTGAGAATAAAAAAGAATTGGTTTTTAAAACAACAATGAGAGCCAAACCTGATGCTAAATTTATTAATTCTAATAAAGATCTTAAAAAAATTGAACAATACCAAGGTATGGTTTCACATGAGGATAGACGAATTAATTTGTTTTCAAAAGATATTTGTCTTTTTGAAAATTATACTGCTCGGGTAAAACTTCAAGGTGAACCGCCATTTGAATTGGCATACGAATCCATTGAAGTTTCTACAAATAGAAGATTATCCAAGACCATATCTAATATTAATAGCAATTTATACGATCTCGAGATTCCTGGATTTAAACTTGGAGGCACTTACTCTATTTCATTATTATCAATTGTTGATTCATCTGGTTGTTTGGTTTTGTTGAAAAACCAAGAAATTCGATTCAATGTTAAAAAGTTTTTACCTTATGCTGAATTTTTGGAATTTGATTCTAGAAATAAGCCTCAGTATAAATTAGTTAAAGGTTTAAATGGAAATTCGTACAATTTAAGAATTAAAAAAGGGGATAGGATTGAATTACCTATAAATTTGATTGGTGATAAAAATTTGGAATTAAGTTATTCATATAGGGATCACTCTGGTGAAATCGTTGAAGAAGATTTAATTCGAAATTATTTCAAAGCAAATAATGTTTATGAAGATAAGATTAGTGTTTATAAAGAAGGTATTTATCATTTAAAGGGATTAAAAGATTCATTATGCAAAGGTACAGTTAATGAAAACATTTATTATAATATAAGCTATTTTGATATGCCAACAATTAAATTGCTCGAAAAGCCTGATATTTTTGAAACAGATTCTGGGGATAAATTTACATTTACTAAGCAGGATATTTGCGTAAATAATGATAGTAACTTTGTTGATTTAGAATTCAATGGACATGGGCCATTTGTAGTTCATTATGAAGTTGAATTACCCCATGGATCTACAAAAAAGAATGCTATAACATCTGGAAGCAATTTCTTGTCGATCAATTTGATCAATGGAGATGATTTAAAAGGATATGAGAAAAAAGGAGGTAATTATAAAGTTACATTTACCGGAGTTTATGACTCAATTTATAGTGAGGGAAATTCTAGATTGGATAATTTTAAAGAGATTACAATTTTTCAACAGATTTTACCATTACCATGGGGAGAATTTAATTTCAAAAACAATGGTAATAAACAATTTTATAAAGCATGTCAAAATCTGATATCAAATTCGGGAGACGGGTTTAGTAATTTAATTAATTCAAAGAATTTGGAAAATAACTCGCTTAAGCCAATTATATTGGAGTTAACAGGATCCAAGCCATTTACTATTTATTTGGAGGTATTTAATGAAAGTTTGAATAAAGTTTATCCATTGATTTTAAACAATATAAATTCAAATAGACTAAATCTTAACAGCAAGATTTATAGTTATTTATCTTTGGGAAAACATTATATAACAATTAAAAAAATAGTGGATGGTAAAGGGTGCATTCAAGAAGACTTTTCCAAAATCCGTGGCACCAAGAATCAGCTTATTGTTTCCATCACCGATATTCCCAGAATCAAGAGACTCACGCCATTGGAAATCAACAAGAAGTATTGTGTTGGTGATCATGTTAAGTACGAGCTAATTGGACAGCCACCATTTGAGGTTTCGTACCGTTTCAACTCCAAGAAACACACGACTGAGGTGGAGGACTACCACTTCTTCAGATTGGCATCTGAGGTTGGGCTCTTTGAGATACTGTCGATAAAGGATGCGATGAACTGCGAAATTTCGTTCAGCGAAGAAGAGATAAAGGAAAACAAATATGGTGCATACATCAACCCCATTCCATCGGTGCAGCTCTCAACAAGCGTGGAGCACATCCACGAGGGCGACGAGGTGGAGCTCACATTCAGGTTTATTGATGGAACTCCCCCATTCAACTTGGTCTACAGACGATACTTCAACAATGGAAACAACCACGAAGACTACTATGTGAGCGACATCAGGGAGTACGAGTACAAAACAGTAGCTTATCTTGAGGGCTCGTACGAGGCCATCAAGCTTGAGGATGCCTACTGCCAGGTCACAAGAAGTGTCTAGGCCATGTACTGTGTATAGTCCTAGCTAGCCATAATAAACATCGATGTATTTCTGATTGCATTGGTTTCTAATTGCATCGCTTTCTGATTGTATTGTTATCACCGATAAGAGGATAAGAGATAAGAGGAGACCCGCACAGCCGGCGCCGCGCTGCCTTTGCCCCCAGCCTTTTCTTGAGATAAAAAGAATCCTCCTCTCGCCTTCAGCACAACGAGCTGCTGTTGCAATGTCGTCTTTCCCTGCTTCCTCTGCTTCCTCTGCTGCTTCTGCTTCCTCTGCTGCTTTGCCCTTGAAGCTCGCACCTCCCCAATCCTTTGTCAACTCGTCCTTTTTCACAAAGCTCTCTAACTTGAAGTTGGATGTCATCAAGTTGGATTCCTCTCCAGTTCCTATATATGGCTCATGCGACATAATCTCAAAACCTCCCAGACAAGCTCCAATAATAAACTTGAATTCGACTTCTTTCAGCTCGCTTGCTGAAAATTTGGAATCCTTGCCCACAGACTCTTGTTTTCTAGTCAAGGGCGAGATCAAAAATGTCAATACCATCGAGGAATTCAAAACCTGTGACAAACAACAGTTTTTAAACGATTTGTGCAGTCAATTGTTGGACAGTTTTACTGAAGATAGAAGGACCCAAATATTGGAAAACCCTTATCTTTTAAATACCTTCAAAGTTCTATCCTTTTCTGATTTGAAGAAATACAAATTCTATTATTGGTTTTGTTTCCCTTCATTATATTTACCTTGGAATATAGTGGAGACTTTACCTCTCAACTCAAAAGAAAATGGGTCCAATGACTCTAACGATTACCAATTGATCTTGAAAAATATTAAAGAAAATTGGTGGAACAATAATGAAATCAATAATCTATCAAAACAATTCTTTATCCTAGACAAAAATGATTTAAATCCAATACTCCTAAAAAATATTTTAAATTATGATTTAAACAATCAAGAAATTGTTTTTGGAATGATTGATTCGTCAACTGTGCCAAATAAACCCTCTTGGAATTTAAGAAATTTTTTAGCATTTCTAAACATCTCCTTTAAGCTTACCAAAATTAAAATATTGATTTTTAGAATAAATTACCCAACTTTATCATATTATCTCACCACTGCATTACCTCAATCTGATAATCAAATTACTAAAAACATTGGTTGGGAACGGAAAATGAACAACAAATTAGGTCTGAAATTAGCAGATTTAGGCTCCTTAATCGATCCAATTCAACTAGCTGCTCAATCAAATGATTTAAATCTAAAATTAATGAAATGGAGAATAATTCCAGAAATCAATTTGGATATAATAAAACAAACAAAATGTCTCTTGTTAGGCGCTGGAACTCTAGGTTCCTATGTTTCAAGAGCCTTAATGGCTTGGGGTGTTCAAAATATCACTTTTGTCGACAATGGTAAAGTATCCTTTTCCAATCCAGTTAGACAACCTCTTTATAAATTCGATGATTGTATAAATGGTGGAAAATTCAAAAGCTTACAAGCTGCTCAAGCTTTAAAAGAAATATTGCCAACAATAAATTCCAAAGGTTATAATCTTGAAGTTCCAATGATCGGTCATCCAATTAAAAATTATAATACAGAAAAGCAAAACTATGAACAACTTTACACCTTAATACAAAATCATGATGTAATCTTCTTACTAATGGATTCAAGAGAAACAAGATGGTTACCAACCGTAATTGCAAACGTTTTATCAAAAACAGTTATCAATGTAGCCTTGGGGTTTGATTCATATCTTGTTTTAAGACATGGCTGTATTAAACCTGAAGCCTTGGAATCACAAGATTTAAATGAATCAAGACTAGGTTGTTATTTTTGTAACGACGTTGTCGCTCCAAGCGATAGTTTAAAGGACAGAACTCTAGATCAAATGTGCACAGTAACTAGACCTGGCGTGGCCTTGTTAGCCTCATCTTTGGCCGTTGAATTGTTAGTCTCAATTTTACATCATCCTAAAAAACAATTTGCAAACTCCATAGTCTCTACAAAACACCAACCTACAATTTTAGGTGATTTGCCTCATCAAATTAGAGGTTTTCTACATAATTTTGAAAATATCAAATTGTCAGCTCAAAATTATAAATACTGCTCTGCTTGCTCTTTAAATATTCTAAAGGAATTCAAAGATAGCGGCTGGGACTTTGTTGTTAAGGCTTTAAATGACTACAAATACATTGAAGATTTAAGTGGTTTAACAAAGGTTCAACAAGAAGCCGAAGAGGCTGCGTTGCAATTTGAACAAGAAATGGAAGATTTTGATGATTCGGATGATGAAATACTTGTCTAATTTTTGTTTATTTTTGTTTATTTTTTTTTCTCCCCCTCTATCTCTCTCTCTGCTCGTTCCCTTATAAACTGTTTTGAAAAGACTTTTTATATATTTTGATACACTGTGATACATTTTGACTTTTTTTATTATATACAATTTTCAGCTGGTGACCTCTCTGAGTGCTTCTTCAAGGGTCTCCGGTAAATATCTCGCTTTAGTAGGGAACTATCGTGTTGCACTGAGATACATCTGCGTTTAAATAGAAGACGTCCCATTAGTGTCAGGGCTATTATATCAGTGCAAGAGGATCCAAAAACCTCTTTCTATCTCAAGAAATTATACAAAACCACTTCTTGATCGATGGAGAATTCAGACTCTTTGGACACAGACTTTTCTAATGAGTGTGTCTTCCACTCTTTGTTGACTGGAACATTCCAGCTCAGCAATATAACCTCAGCAAACCTACTCTATGAAAACTCAACAGTGGATTATCCAATTTTATATCTATCAAACTGCTCTAATCATACAATAATAGAAAAATTTATGGAATTTGGCGAGTTTTATCTTCTGAATGATTACTTCATGAGACAGCAGATATCATACAAAAATAGATTTTCAAATAGCACGATTATAATGGCTTATGTCCTAACTGGTATAACTGTTACCAACTGGATATTGCTTTTTTTGCTATTGCTTTCAACTAATAAGAAACCAAAGCTAACTTATTTCATAACAGTCTTTTATGCAATAATATCAACCATTATTCTCTCTCAAACCACTGACTTGTTAAAAATTCAGTATGTGAATAATTATCAAGACATTTTTGAATTTGAAGATGTTATAATAAATGGCTTGACATATTTAATTACAAGAATTATTCTTGAATTTTTTATAAGGATTGCTTGGTTTGATATTTTAATAAAAATTTACAGCTTAAAGTACAAAAGAAAACTAATTATCATTGGTACCTTTTTCACATGTTTATCTGTGACCATGGAATGCTTGAATTTTTTTTTCAATCCTGACAATAACAACGTTAATTTGTCAATTAAAATCTTGTCTTATTCAGTGAGATATTCTGTTTATTTAATTTTCAATGTATCTTTATGGTATTATACCATAAAAAAGAGAAACTTTGCCTATAATAGAAAATCTCTACCTTTGGGTATATTTTCCAATATTCTACTAATAATGCCTATATGTTTTTGTTCATTATCATTAAGTTTGAACAGATCCTATTTTAAATTATTATCAACCTTTTTTGAGGTCGTTTTGTGCTCAATAATATGGGAATGGGTTAAAACAATTCAATATTTTGAAAATATATATGAAAGTAAAACAATAATTGGAAGAAAAATATCAGAAAACAATCTTTTTAATTATAATTCCTGGAATTCCAGTTCAATAGATAACAATAATAGCGATAAAAACAATGATAATTCAAATACTACTCATTTTGGTGGCGGTGCTTTAGAACCAAGACATAAACATAAACATCAAGAACTGACGAAAAAAAATAAAAAGAAAAAACAAAGTACTAGCCAAAGTCGCAAAAGAAAATCAAAGTACTTAACTGATTTATTTACATCAAAAACTCCTATAACAAAAACGGAAAATAGCTCAGAAAATAATGAAATTAACTCTCAAAAGAATATTGATGCAGTTAATCGGAACCTGATTGATGATAACCAAAATAATGAAGGTTATAAAAATGGATTTTCATCAAATAAAATTAACAAATCCATCCAGAAAAATCTTGATAATAAATTTATAAATTTGCTCTTTAAAAAAAAAAGAGTTGATAGTCCTCCAGCAGAGGGCGAAATTATATCTCTATGGGAATTACAAGAAGATGATTTGAATCCAGAATTCTCAAATCAAACTAATATACATTCAACAATATATGGGTTCAATGACAATGATAGCAGCTCAAACAAAAATGAAAACAATATAAATAGCAATGATGAATGCAATGTAAATAATAATGATGAATATGAGATCACAGGGTTTAACCCTATTGATAATATAATTCATTCAAATTTAGTTCAAGACACAATTACCAATACAGAAGATCCCACAAAAAGCTCAGTTCAGCCTTTCAGCTATAACAGCTCTAATGATTATGAAATACAAGAATATGAACTTGATAACATTCATAATTTTGTCTCAACCAGTAATATTAACCCACAAACATACGCAGAAACACAACCAACAATTATTCAGAATAATAACACTGATGAACCTCCTACTTTTGAAATACATGAAGGATTTAAAATAGGAGATTACTTTATAGATGAAAAAAACCCAATGGATCGCTGATTTAATTGCGTGGCTCAGTTTTACTTTTTTTTTTTAATTATAGAGTTCTAGATTTCCCCAAATTGATATTTTTTGTTTTTTTTAGTTTTTTATTTGAAAAAATTATATAATGACTAAATTTACTGATTTTAATCCTTTTGCATATCCTCAATTGTTTTTTGAAGTATTAAAATAATTAATATAATTATAATTCAGGAAAAAACCTCACAGATCTTTCGTTGGAAAACTTTTATTAAATTTCGTAACAGTAATAAAGCACTAAAACCGCTTGTTTATGGTATTTATCAAAATAACACATGTAACCAGTTGTCAGAGAAATTTTTGTAATTCAATAAAAAAAGCGTTCAATTGGAAAAATCAGGTATTTCCATTTAGACCGTCATTTGTATTTGAGCCAGGAATATTGCGATTATTTGTCTCAATATACTGCTGTTCTATCATTTCTGTCCATGGTTCAACAAAATCTAAACCCACACTTGCAGTGTCTTTCATAAACCAGTCCAATATATTGTCGGGAAACTGTGTAGGAAAAAAATCATTTTCAGAAAGATAATTAATTCTATTTTGATCTTCCAAATTTGTAGATTGGTTTGGATCTTTCGGAGCACCTGAATGATTACTGGTATGTGATGTAAAAGTTCTTTTTGAAATAGGATTTGTAACATGAGATTTATGAATATTTTGAGAGACTTGTTGTAAAACCGGTTGATAAGGCGCTGGAGGATATTTGGAAGAATAATTGATATTTCCACTTAAGTTTGTAGAATTATTCTGGTATTGAGAAACACTAATATTTTCTGTTCGTTTGATCTCAGCCAGATCAATTGCATTTGGATTACTGTTTTCAAAATTTGGATCTGTGTTATCAAGTTTATCATTTTCATTGACATTAGAAATATTCACTTTAGACCTTGTCTTCATCTCAGAACAAAGATACATAAGAATAGTGGAATACCTGGTACAAAGATGTAATTCATCTGGTGAAGCTTCTCTAAGAATTATAGCAGCTCTTTGCACAGTTTGAATAATATCATCAGTTGGAATTACAGATAAAGCAATAATAGTGCTAGATGCAGGATCGATAGAGCTAACATTAGCAGTATTAATTAATTTCATATAGCATTTAACCACGAAAGCAACAGATCTAACAATTCTTGTAGACCATCTTACCGGCATAAATTTGAGCATTTTTATTTTATGAATTCTGGTCGTTGATGCCAATACTTCCTTTGCAGCATTGAATGCTAGCTCGACATATTTTGCTGCTTTGGATAATTCATCTAATCTTAAATTTTTCTTTTTGGAATTACTCGCACTTGTAATTTGATCGTTGGTATTGATAGCCAATGAATAAATGTATAATTGACAATAATAATAGTCAAATCTTAAAGATTCATGATCAATTGCAACGCTTAGATCTTTTTGTTGTCTTTTACTTAAATGAATAGCAGTGGATGAGCTATATTTATGATTAGAATTGTGATGATGAAAATTTTTAGGATTGGATGGAATTAATAATTTTTTATATTTTGCTCCCCAATTTTCTAACAAGGGTGAAAGAATGCCTAAAATTGCAAGATTTTGTCTTTGATTTAAAGTTTCAAGTGATTTTGAAGAATAAAGTGATTCATAACCCAAAGACATAATTTTTAATAATTCAACATTAGCTCTTTGATATGTGGTGAATTTCAATGGAGCGTGTATTCTTGATCTTAAAGTCTCCTCATCACCATTCAAAACCAAACAATTTTCTTTCTGATCTGAATCATAAAAGTTATCAAATAGATTATCATCTTCATCTTCATTAAAGTTAGATTCGGCTAGGGATTGTGATAACATACTTCTTTGACCCAAATTCATGGTTGTAGTAGTCTCTGAAATATGAGTTGCAACAAAAATTCTTGAACTAGTTTCCATAAAGCCCATATCTTGTGCTAATCTAATGGCACTTCCAACAAGCATCCAAGCCATCCGACTGCTTCTTCTCATTGCACCCAAGCCAGCTAAAGATTCTTCGTTAGTTTTAGATAAGTTGTTACCATTTGTATCATTTATATCATCATTAATGTCTTCGGGTTTGTTGGCATAATCACACCATCTCCAATGAATAGCTCTTGGATTCCATTCGGTAAATAGCAAAAATGCCAATACAGTTCCAACAGATCTGGTGGATGCCTCAGCCCAAACTGTTTGTGAAATCAATCTTTGACAATGAACCCATAGTCTTTCATGGACTTCAATATGCCTTTGAAGTTTTTGATTTGTTTGAGTTTTAGAACTTAAATTTTCATTAGATAAAAAATTACTATCACTATCACTATCGCTACCGCTATTGCTATTGCTATTATTATCTTTACTAGAATTATTATTATTATTATTATCATTATTATTATTATTATTATTATTATTATCATTATTATTATTATCATTATTATTATTATTATTATTATTATTATTATTATTATTATTATTAGTTTTATTTTTATTTTTATTTTTATTATTAGCAGTATCAGTATCGTTTTCAGTGAATTTTGTATTATTATTTTCGTTGATGAGTTCATCTTCGAAAGGATGATATCGTGCTGAAATAGTTAAGATTGCATATAGTAGGATGGGATAATTCGGCAATATATTTGCAGATCTCAATTCTGGAGGAATATAAGGGAAAAATGGATGCATATTGATAAAATATAATTCTACAAGAAATCTGGCTTCCTTTTCAGTGATTAGATCGTTTTTAGTTGAGCCAATAAATTCAAAATCAGATAAATTTGCTGAAGGCTTGAGACGAACTCTGTTAGTGCTGTCAATTGGTGGCATTTCTAATCTTGAGGGAGTGTTTGAATTTGAAGGTCGTATCAAGGGAGGAATATTTGAAGTGTAAGGAAAATTTAAAATTTCCTTTGAGTTGTTAGTAACTTTCTCTGAATCAATTGAACTGTCATCAGAGGTGTTTTGATGATTAGGATTATTGGCATAATATGGGCTATTCAGTTGATTTTGGTTTATATTTTGAATTTGAGCATGAGGCTGATTATCCAAATTGACACTTGAGGTTGAATTTGAGTTTGAAATGCTGATTTGATTTGAGCCAAAACTGTCATGTTTTGCTCTTCCATCAATTCTATCTCTTTCATCTGCTCTTGCAATTGTTCCGGCAGCTTTAGCTAGAAAGATTAAGGCACCCTGCATAGTTGATAATTCAGAGGAGCCTCTTAGTTTTGGTTTAGGTATTTCTCGATTACCTACAGAGTTGAGGATTTTTTTTTGTTGTTCAATTGTGGGGTTGGAGAAACCATGTTTATTGTTTTGATAGAAAGAAGAGTAATGCGCAGGCTCTGTCGATTGGTTTAATAGAGAAGAAGCCGGAGGTAGAACAGTTTGGTGAGGGATGTTATTTGTTTGGTTTGTGTTTTTGCTGTTGGTTAAGTGATTCTCTATGGGGATATCTGGGTTCGGGGGCCAGTTTTGATCTTTTGAGAAATGGTGAATGTTTAGTTTGGTGTCTCTAATTTTCCTTCTCTTTTTGAAGTTTGCTATATTAGAGCCACCTCTTCTGGACTCAGCAAAGACACACTCTCTTCTTTCTCTTTTGCATCTTGCACAGGGAGGATCATGGGGAGCATCTAAAGAGCCCAAGTCGCATTTGACCTTTCTTGTTCTACAGTTTAAGCAAGCTTTGTAGTTTCTTTTAAAGTGTTTCAGAGGCTTAGAGTGGTTTAGAGCATTCAAGTTGTCATTAATTGGAGTATTATTAGAAATGTTATTGGAAAAGTCATTTGGGCTATTACTTGGGCTATTTGGGATGTTATTTGGGATATTTGGGGATTTGTTATTATTTTGAAGGATGGGAAAAGAGTCATTTGAAGGTCTTTGGGGGTTGAAAGCCATTTTTGAATTTTTTTCTTTTCTTTCATGAGAGATTAAGAGAAGGTGGACATTTTAGATTCAGTATTGGAAATAATGACGATAATGGCGATATAAGATTGTGGGTATGAATCATTGGATGGGTAAAGAAAAAGCAGAGGTAGGAAATGGAGAGTTGAACATGTGACACGAGCAATATATGTACAATGTTTAGGAAGAGATGGAATTGGAGTGGAATTAGCGTGGAATTTGGGTGGGATGGGATTAAATGGGATTAGATGGTGTATTGCGAGAGATATAAACATAAAGGATTAATTAAAAAGAATTAATATTATAAAGACAAAATATAAAACTATAAAGAATTAAAATGAGAGAAAACAAAGGTGGAGTAGAGTAAAAGGAAAAACATAAAAACGATAGAAAAAGATTGAAAAAAAAGAAAATGAAGCCAAATTAATGATTAAATTAAAATTAAAATTAAAATTAAAAGTAGATCAAATTAAATTAAAATCAAAATGTATAATAGTGATGATTATATTGATAATATATATATTTTAGTATAAATACATTATTTGTTGAAAGTTATTTCTGTTTTAAAAGAAAAGTAACTGTTAGTATTATATTTTATTTTATTATTTTATTATTTTATTATTTTATTATTTTATTTTATTTTATTGTTATTGTTGTTTTATTATATTATTCTATTTTTTGTTATAATTTTATTTTCTTAAAGAAAATTTAAATGTAAATTAAAATTAAAATTAAAATTAAAGTAAAGATAACAAGGCAGCAGCAAAAGCACTAATAATGGAAACACCGGAAAAAGCAATTTGTGGAGAACCAGAGTCGGAAGAAGAACCAGTACCAGAAGCAGCAATAGTTCCACTGGCATCAGAACCAGAGGCAGTTCCGGTGGCAGAGCCAGAACCAGAACCGGAACCAGAACCAGAGGAAGAGGAAGATTTTGCAGCTCTACAGGAGTAGTCATCACCTTGAATAACACCCTTTTTGTGTAAGGCCTTTAATTTGGAACAGTCCATGTAGACAGAGGAATAAAAGGTAGCACCACCTCTAACAGATTTCAAACTTGGGAAGGTAACATTGGATAAAGCTCCACCAATGTCAATGGCACCACCAACAGTCTTTAATTTAGGGAAACCAGTAATGGAAGTCAAAGCAGAATTGTTTGTGATATCTAAAGCACCACTGATGGTAACTAAGGAAGCAAATTCAAGATCGGTTAATTCATTGTTGTGGGAGATAGCTAAGGCACCACCAACAGTTTCCAAATTGTCAATAACTAAAGAGTCAATAGTGGTGTTATAAACACCCATTGAACCATTGACAGCGGTTAAGTTGGACATGGAGATGGAGGAAACATCTCTGAAAGTAACGTTGTTAGCCCAGATTAAGTTGTCAAAAGAGACTTCAACGGTTTCGGAGTTATAAGAAACTTCTAAAGAAGTTTTAACGGTTTTAAGAGCACCATCAACAGCTTGCAAATCTCTGTTGTTGTTGACATTGAAGGTGTCAACGTCAACAACGTTAATACCAGAAAGAGTTTCCAAGGCAGTATCGGAGATATAAAGAGAGTCGACTTTGGAGATACCAGTGGTTAAGGTAATTTCACTTAAAGCTGGAAGAGTGACAAAGTAGATAGAACCAACTTGAGTCAAAACAGGCAAGTTGAGGTTATCTAAGATGGTTAAATCAGTCAAGGATAATTCATCGTCAATGATTTGTAAAGAGTCAGCAGAGAAGGAAACCAAAGAGGTGGCATTTTTGATGATTAAAGAACCTTTGATTCTGGTAACACCAGGCAAAGCAGCAGTACCAATAGAACCTTGGATAATAACATCACCTTCAAGGGTACTACATGATGAGATAGTATCTAAGTCACCTTGGTTTTGAATAGCAAATCCACTGTCACTTTCACAGTCATCAGCAAAGACCGAAGAAAGGAAAGCTGAGGCGGTTATCAAAGAGGATAATAGAGATTTTCTGAATTGCATTTTTTGATGGAATGTTATTGGAATATGAGAGTAGTAGATGGCACTAGGGTATATATATAAATATGAATAGATAAATATAAATATATGGATAGTGATAGTGATGAGAGCTTATAAACGAGATGAATTAATTCAAAACAATATTAATCTTCAGGAACTAGGAACGGGAGAAGTAAATAAAAGAAGAGAGAAGTAAGAAAACCTAGAAGAAGAATTGTTGAGCGAGTGATTAATTCTTGTTTTTAAGAGATTTCTTAAAGATAATAAAGGTCAATAAATATAAGAAAAATGGCTGAAAAGACGTCTCTTATAAAAAAGTGGAAAGAGGAAAGAGAAAAAAGAAAAGAGAAAACAAAACAAAAAACAAAAAGACGAAAAGGGGATCACCGCTCGATTTAAATACGCTTTGCCCAGCAGCGCGCTCCCTCTGTCCTCGCGCCCCGTGCGTTTGCAACAGCCTCACTGCGTGTGCAGGCTTAGTTCCATACCACGCCTGTGCTATCGGGACGGTTTTGCGTGCTGCTTGTTCTGTGTTCTGTCGTGCTGACGTCGCTAGGGTGTCTGCACCTGCTTCGAGGTATTTATAGCACACCGAGCCCCCACAGGCCGTGCGTGCTGAGGTTGGCGCCGGTGCTTCCGCCAGCCCAGCGGTCTCTGCTGCCGGTGCTGCCGATGATGCCGGTCCAATAAGCCCCTGCTGCTGCTGATGCCGCTAGCGCCACGTCGGGCCCGCGCTTGTCTTCTTGATGGAGGTGGAGCAGAAGAAGCGGTTGCGTTGAGCTTAAGCGAATAACACGCTAGAGCAAAGCGCAGCGGCTCATTTATACTTGGGAATTGCACATCTGCCGGAAATGAGCTGCTGCCACTATCTTCCAGACGATAAATAATCTGTCTGGTTATTTGATTGGATTCTCCAAAGCAGCAGGCGTTTCCCTCGCTTGCTAATTTCAATTTACCGTCTCCAAAAGATAAAAATGAAACATGCTATCTGATATCGGTGTGTATCATACTTATGATCATATTTATGATATCAATTGTTGCGCTACAATAATATAACTGACAATTGACGGATGACGATTTTCAGCTCCAAACAATGTTAGTATTTGGCATTTAACAACTATGCAATACCTCCTAAAACACAACAATTCTTCCGCCTAAATATAGATTCGTTTTTACAGCAGCCCGCAGAATATCCGTTTTAAGTTGCTAGTGCAATTGCAACACAACTCAAAACACAACAAAGAGTAAAATGGTTGTTTTTTGTATTTTTAACCCATGCTGCAATCGCAACATCTCGCTTGATATCGTTATAAATAAATCAAACTGCAATTAAAACTGGCAATTTAAATTGCAATCACTTGGTTTTCTGCTCAATTACATAAATTGGTTGCAACTCTAACTGCACCATCTTCCTCCTCGCTGGTTTTACGTCCAGAGCCTTCCTCCAATCAAACTCGTTTGTCTGCCCAGGCTCATAAACTCATACCCAACGCTTCATTCTAGATCTCGTTGCCAGGTCAAATGCCCTAATTTCAATACATTCCCGGCTGGCGGTCGAATGTAGTTTCAATTCGCTCCACTTAGCACAGACCTGCACCCTAAGCTTGTTTTGAAAAATGTGAAATTTGTGAAAAAGATGAAAAACTAGGGCTTCACTACCGGGACCCGCTTCTACATAAATACCACTAATTTTTCTCTCTTCTCTCTAGTCTTTCTCTCTGGTATTGATATGCTATCATCGTAACTCAACCATAATGCCCTCTATAATACCACTATAGTACCACCCTACTACCTTTCAATTCTGTAGCTTTCCAGCACCACTGCCCATGAATAGCCCCATGTAACTCATCGCTGAAATCTCAGCTGCTTGTTACTCGGCTCCACGAGAGGCTGTTCTTTTTTCTGGTTCTCCCACCAAATCCCAAGAAAATCTTAGAATTGTAGTTTCTTTTTCGCCTGTTTTCAACAAAACCACTTTGTTCCATCTCCCTGGGCCCGTTTCTCGCGATAACTCCTCCGGAAAAAATCACTTTCACAAACATGCGGAAGTCTGCACTACTATGTGCTGCAACGTACTCTAACTTGCAAAGCTGCATTGAAACGCACTGAATCAAAACAAAGCGGATCCCGTCTTTTTGTCTTCGGTTTTTAACACAAGATTATTACTCGCTCGATTAGGAAACGCTCTCATTTTGAGTACTTTATCATCAAACCTTTTCATTTCTATTCTACTTTATTTCGTTCAATTCAGTTCAGTTCGGTTCGACTATTATTGAACTTTCTCACTTGTTCGATGATCAATCTCATCTTCAGAGCTAAATATAGTCTCAAATAAACTACTCAATTTCTTATTAAGCTCATCATCTTCATTAATACCACTAACCTTATCCTTATCCTTATCCTTATCCTTATCCTTATCCTTATCCTTATCCTTATCCTTATCATCAATATCCTCATTAATATGATTGTTTTCATTTTGGCTATGATCAATCTCTTCGTATTTTTCTTCATATCCATATCCATATCCATTCTTATACCCATCTTCTTTTTCTTCACATTCATCTTCCTTCTCTTTACTCACTTTCTTGTCAGTTGTTTCTGTATTTGATTTCTTATCTATATTATTATCCTCCTCATCCGAACAAAGATTAATTATATCGTCTTGAAATTTATTAGAATTAATTAAATTATCTCCATTAATTGGTTTGGTTGGTCTAGTATTATCCTGATAATCATTTTGATACTTCATTTTATTATAATTATACTTATTAAAATTATACTCATCATCACCATAATAATCATATTTATAATCATTATGATTATGGTTATGATTATGATTATGATTATGATTATAATCTTCATCATCAACACCATCGTCATCGTCATCGTCGTCAACATCACTATTAACATCAATACTTTTCATTATTTTTCTAGTAGTTCCATTCTCATTTTTATTCCCACCTTCATATTGTTCATTATCTTCATTGCCACTTTCATCATCACTAAGTACAATAAAATCCATTTTATTACCATTCATATTTCCATTTTTAACTCCATTTTTAACTTCCTTGATATTTCCATTGATATTTCCACTTTCACTTTCTTTTTGATAAATTTCACTAATACTATATTCAAACTCATCTTCATCTTTTATAATACTCCTTTTCTCTTCACCATTAACTTCAATTTTAGCTCTTTTAAATCTATTTCCATGTCGCTGTCTATTTCTTGAAACTATACTTATTTCAACTTTAGAATCACTATCATCTTCCGAATCTATTTCATATTCTGATATCCCATTTGCTTCACTTTTTATTTCTTTCTTAACCTTAGCCTTTTTCTCATATTCATCAATCTCAATCTTTTCAAGCTTATAAAGCTTATCAAATTTATTAAACTCTTCAATTGTTTGCTCTTTTAATTTAGTCCTCGCATTTCTATTCATATCATCTTCATCTTTTTTAAACTCTTTTTCCTTCTCATATTCTTCATAATCATGCTCTTCATAATCATACTCCTCATAATCTTGATAATCTTGATAATCCTGATAATCTTGATAATCTTGATAATCTTGATAGGTTTTTATATCTTTATTATCTCGAGCATTAGACGATCCTCTTAATCTACCAAACCTATATTCAAACTTATAATCATCATCATCATCACCATCATCATTAATATCAATGCTCTCCATATTATTGTCTTTATCATTACCTATACTTCTAATAATAGATTTCTCACTTGATTCAATAATCGAAAGTACTTCATTATTCACAACCTGATATTGCTTATTTAATTCATTCAATTTCTCGGTCAACTCATTACGATAGGTAAACGTTTTGTCATGATTTAATGCTCCCTTTCGATACTGTCTTAATAATGATAAAACTTTACTTGCTTGTAATGGAATATTACCACTTTTAGGCGTAAGTAATGGAAGTTTAGGTAGCTCGTCATATTCTTCCCCGTCTATCCTTCCATTAATATTACGCCTCACAACAACTCTCTTAATATCACTATCTGAATCTGAATTAGAATCAGAATCGAAATTCAACGCAGATTCTGATCCAGATGAAAGTTCAAACTCACTGTCTATCCTAATTGTCTCAAATGAATTCAATTTCTTTTTCAAAATATTTAAATTATTTAAACTGGAACTTAAATTCGTATTAAATCTAAATTTAAATGATTCTTCCAGAAATTTTTTAAAACTATTGTTACTATTATTATTACTATTATTATTATTATTATTATTATTATTATTATTATTATTACCATTATTGTTAATCGTAGAAGTAGTATTATAAACACCGCGAAAATTATTACCTCCATTGCCATTTTTAATTCTATTATTTATTATGCCTCTATTATTAACCTTAAGTCTAGTATCCCTACTTCTACTAATTTTGTTATTTCTATTAACCTTTGTGTTCTTGCTGCCAAGTCTTTTATTTCTTCTATTGGTTTCCAATGATATGCTGTTGATTTTATTTATTGTTTCTTTATCTTCCTTTTCATTGTACTCAATGCCTTTCATTAGCTCGAGCGCATGTTTTACATTGGTTGGCAATGTAAATAATCTCAAGGGCAAATTAGTAATTTCATTTCCATTTAAATTTGTTCTGTTATTCAATGATTTTTCATCATCTTCTGAATAAAATAAATATGATGGTAATTCTATTATTTCATTATCGTTTTTAATGTTTAAATAAAGTTTGTTTTCGTGATTATTTTTAGTGATATTGATATTATCTTGATTTTTCATAATCATTGATCGTTTTACTATGCTTTCTTGAATCTTTTCCACAATTATGTTCTTGGTTTCAATCGTCAAAAGATTAAACTCTCTTTGATTTTTTTTCTTAAAGGAATAATTTATTTGATCAAATGATTGTAACCGGAAATCAATTGTTTCTTCTCTATAATTGGTTTTTATCTTTAGTTGTGATATAGATTCTCTCGGGATTTTTGTAAAGTTTAATTTCTGTATCACTTTTGGTTCATTGACATTGGGTTTTAATAATGGCCAGGCCAAATTATAAATCCAATAATGACGTACGCATCTATAGCAATATAAATTTTCAGCATAATTTAATTTTCTAAATTTCGAGTATCCAATTTTATAAAATTCTTCTTGGTTATAATTGAAATAACAACCACAATTTCTGCAATCGTAAATATTCATGAAATTTGATGTATCCTTTTTGTAAAACCTTGTCATATACAATTTGTGCAAAGTTCGATAAATTTTTCTTTGTTTTATTTCATTAAAATGTTCTTGTGAGTTGATAAAATCAAATGAATCAATAGAATAATCTATTGAATAATCATCTAAAAGTGTAGTTGTTCTTTCTGGAGCTTTTTTTCTAGGTCTTAAATGTCGCCTTAATCCATCTGGTTCTAATGTGTTTTCTCTGGAGTATTCATCTGATTCCAAAATATTAATTTTATCGATTTCTGCGTGTCTATCTATTTTCTTTCTATAATGACCATGAACATGACCATGGCCATGATTTTGACTTTGATTCTGATTGTTGCCATTTGCTGTATTATTCAGACTTGTCTGACTGTTTGTTTTGTTAATGTAAGAAATGTTAGATATATTAGACGCATTTGAGATGTTAGAATGTATAGTGATTTTGTTGGTCTTATCTAAAGGATCAGATTCACTAGGAACTGGTGTTAGATAAACAGGTTGGTTTTTTTTTGTTGAATCTTGATTTAAAACATGAAAATCATCTTCTGGTTCTGAGCCCGAATCAATAATGATAATCTCATCATGGTCGGATTCATAATTAGAATTGTTCTTATCAAAAGCATTATCTGAATTATTGAAATCACTAAAATCATTATGATCATTAGAGTTGTCATTATTGTGAGCGTGTTTCTTTTTAGGATTCTTTTTTTTCGAGTATGCTCCTTTGCCAGTTCTCTCACAGGTAGCACATAAGCAATCTTTATTATCCTTTCCAAAATAACTTGGAGCATAAGTAACAGTTATTTCTTCGCCTCTTAATATTTTCCTTATTGCTACAATAGTCATTCCGTTAGAGCCCTTTGAGCTAAATCTTGCATTTCCTTTACAGTCATGGTTTACAAATCTCGTTGGACCTAACATTAAGCAAGGATTTGCTTTTCTTGAGGTGTGAATAACACTGAAATCACTTTTTCCCAATCTTTTAAAATCCACTTCATTTAAAGGTGCCAAACAGCCATACAAAAACTTGACTTCCTCTCCCTCTTGGAAAGTCTTTCTGGCAACCACACTTGCTTCTAGTTTGCCAGTTTTATGAAAAAATCTGTCTGTTGTTGAAATTTCAAAACCACATTCCGGAGAAAAAATCTGAAGATATTTTCTTGCATGGCCTACAAACTCATCTCTAATCGAATCATTAGGATATTTGCTAAGAAAGTATTTTATTTTTTTTAGATTTTTAAATTCTTCTATTAGTGCTTTATAGTTTTGTCTAGAGGTGTCCAAGAGATGTTTGTGTATTAACGAAAGAATAACTTTAGTTGAAGGTCCATCGTAATGTGTGGATTCGTCTATTTTCCTTATTTCTGCCCAATAAAAGATCTGGTGTTGAAAGAGAAACACACGTCAAAAATGTTAATATAATTTAGAACACTGTTATGTTTGGAAGAAACGCAGGACTTGGGACATACCTTATCAATAAATATTTCTGTTAGAAAGTCGTCAAATTGCGAGAGATATAGCCAATTGAGATTGTGACTCATGACTAGGTGTATTAAGAAACTATAGTATACAGGTATTTATAAAGCAAAAAAACATTAAATGTAGGTGGTTGGAGCTGTTTTTTGTATGTTGAAGAAAACATCAGATAAACAATAAAACATAAATATTTTTTTTCAGTGTTTTCTTTTTGGGCTTTTGCTTGAAATTCAAAATTTAAATGCTCCTGGAACGGGATTTGAACTGCACGCAAATTCTCTGCATGCCTTATTCTAAACAGAAGCACCAGCAGAAGCACCAGCAGCACTGTATCCAGCTGCTATCTCGAAATGGTGGTTGTATCTGTAGCCTCGTCACAGCGAAGAAGCTCGATGGCCTTCATGCCCTCCTTCTCAAACACCTTTACCATGCTCTCGCATGTAAGCATCAATAGCTTTTTCGTCTGTGCAGCTTCGTAGTTGATCCATTCTTCGATTGTCATGTCCAATTCTTTCTCAGGCATTTGCAATATAAATCCAGTCAATAGCCCTTCAGAATCGCTGTTCAACTGACACTCTAATTTGACAATCTCGTCCAAAAATTGATTGGCATTTTTCAAGTCAGAAAGCTTCTCATTTAGAATTTCTTTGTGGTCCACAACTTTCCAATGCTTTGGGAGCATCTCCACTCTATTTTTGTTTCCAAGCTTTAACCGTAAATCCAATTGGTAATCCCGAAGCTCAGTCGTGTTATTGTCCATTATGCAACTAGTATATTCATAATCAGGTGTTCCTTGTGCAAATGGAGCAATGCTATTGAGATTTGACGTATTATTCATATTGGCTGGCGACCGTATTGGTGTTAGGTATGGAGAAGCCATTAACGATTTTTTGGCATCATCTGCAAATACCAACAGCTTATTAGTTGTATCTAGATTTGGAAGTCTGCTTTGTGTCATTGTGTTTTCTGCCATGGGCATGAATGATGATGTATTTATCGAGGAGTCTTCAATTGATATGACTAAAGAAGAGTCTTCCACATTTATTCTAGAATCGTGGTCATTATTATAATCACTATCATTCTCATGATCTTTTTTGTTCTTGTTATCGTTATCTTTCTCGTTTTTTCTATCTCTATCTAGATTCCCAGTTGAGCTTCTATGAATATCGCTCTTATTTATGCTATCATTATCAGTATCATTGATATTTGTATGATTATTATTCTTATTGTTGTTGTTTTGACTATCATTTTCAATTTCCAAGCTGCCTTCAACTGTATTTTCCATAATAATGTTGTTGAACGTATTATCTGTAACATTTAAAATATCGTTCCCAAAATTATGCATTTTATCTTCTAACTCTTTTATAACTTCTAGTCGAGTAGAATTGGCTGCAGGCTCAAAATTTTGTTGTGCCTGTAGTTGAGAACTTTTGTACTGTGACAAAAAAGTCTTTTTTCGTTGTTCTTCTTGTTCCTCAATAAATGAAAATGACTTAAGAATACTTTCTCTTAAGGACTTTCTTTTAAAGGTTGAAGGAGAAATTTTACTATCAAAATTTCTGCCCCCTTTATTTAACAGTAAAAAATCTATTAGACTTTCTTGCTTGTCTTCACTAGTAACAGCATCATGAAAAACTTCAGAGCTTTCAAAGGTATCATCGACTTGGTAGACTTCTTGAGTTTCTTTACTATGATTTTCATTTAATTCGTTCTTTTCCACATCGACTGCTTTTGCATTATATACATTTTCATCATCTTTAATAGAGTTGTGTATCTTAATCAGGTTTTTATTATCTTCATTTTCACTCATTTCAACTTTGTTATTATCGGTAACCTCACTAGTTGGTAATTCATTGGCAATTTTTTTAGGATTTTGCAAGAAATTGTCAACACTATCAAGTTTATTTATCATATTTTCTGGTTCATCTTTTGATAAATGATTATGCAAACTAACGAATTTTAATTCATTATCTTTTGTTTTGAAATTTTTTACTGTCTCGGATGACAAGTCTTTTTCTTCTTTTATTTTATCAACCAAATCGTTGCTTTGAATAAAGCTATTAGTTTTTCTTTTGTTATTTTCTGCCAATTTAGACTCTTCATTTTTATAATTATTACTATTAAAATCATTATTTTCTTCTCCATCAAGCAGAAAAAAACTCAATAATTCTGTATTATTTGTTATAGATGTTTTTCTTAGAGACTCATTTGTTGTTTTATTTTCCTTGTGCACATTCTTTGTATTCTGAAGTGTTGAATTTTCAGAGGTCTGAGGTCTAGAAGAACTTGCAATTAATCTTGATTTTTTATTTCTGGCTTTCGTTAAACCATCGTTACTGATAAAATCATTTAGCAAAAAGTCTTCAGAATCTAAACCACTATTTGAGTTTATTGAACTTGATTTTAAGTATGATTTTGATCTTGATTTTGATCTCAATCTTGAATTTGACTTGGTTTTCATTTTAGATTTTAATTTTAATTTGGATTTGGATTTGGATTTGGATTTGGATTTAGACGTTGAATATGATTTAGTCTGAATTATACCGGCATCTTCTACTTCTTCAATATCAGAATCTTGCAATATTGTACTTGAAATTGTTGATTTAGAAGTATTACTTCTCGTTCTTTTATTCGTTCTTAGTTTTGATATATTTACGTTAGAATTATCAGTTGTGGGTATTAAATCGGATATATCATCGAGTTGCATAGTTTTTCTTTTTTTTGAAGTTGTTATACTGGCTTTTGAGGAATTAACCAGATGATTTAAACCAGAAATTTGAGAATTATTGGGACTAAGCTTATAATTTTCCTTTTCCTGGTCATTATTATTATCTATATGTATTAAATTATCGGAAAATTTGAAAAAATAACAATCTGGAGATCTCTTTTTATGTTCTTTCAAAGGATCATCATTTTTTTCCCATTGTTTTAAAGATTTGTTGCAATATATACAAAATACTTGATCAAAATTTGAATTTAAAGAGTCAGGTAAATAATAAAAACCTGCATTAATCATTCTCAATGAATTTGGAATCCAATTTGGATGAGTCTTGCTATTATCATAAGGCCATTTTTTGAGAAACGAATTTTTCCTTATTTCAAGCATTTTTTTGCCAAATGGATCATTAAAAATATCAATTTTGGACCAATCGTAATCTTTCAATTCCAAGTTAACATTTTGCTCTAAAAAAGTATCTCTGTGCTGTTTTTGTAAAAGGAAAATTGATTGCAAACAATCTGAATTTGAATATTTGAGGTGATATTCAATAGGATTTACGATATTCTCCCAGTTGGATATTTTTTTATTACAGCCCGAACATGTAACTCTATCTGGATTCAATTTTGTAGGAGTGAAATAAAAGCCTTGTCCAGCCATTACTTCCCACGATGGGTAGCTGTCAAAGCTGTTGTTTGGTGGCCATGTAATTTTAATCTTTTTTTGCTTTCCAATTTCCTTTGGCTCCTTGAAGGAATTTAGCCTGGTTTCTTTGAAGTAAAAAGAAGACACTGCTCTAGTCATTCTCCAGACAGAATCAAAGTAACCAAAACAATTCTTGTGTAAATGAAACAGATTCAGTCCATGCTATGTCAACTGCTTGGGAAAGTTCAGTTGTTTATTTATTCATGAAGAAAATCTCAATTTGTAAACACATCCACAGAACTGGTTTTGATTTGACATGTTTTTTCATGCGTGTTTCTGCATGAATTCTAATCCGGAAGTGCTTCTCAAATGTGACCTTCTAGGAGCAATTTTGTTCTCCCTTTGGTTCCTTACCAGTATGTTTTTTTTATTATATTTAGATCAAATTTACCCAATCAGACAAGCCATCATATCTATATTAACGACAGCAGAATGAGATTCAATATCTTCTTCTTTATTTTTAGTTTGGGTTTTGTTTTTAACCTTTCCTTTTCAAAGAATATTTTTGACCCAAGTAAGTTCAAAGACAGCAACTTTGATTTCAAAAAAGCTAAAAGATCTTATCAAACCATTTTAACTCCCAAGGAAATGAACGTTGATAAATTCACTTCCAATTTGATATCCTTAGATAGTTTTAGAAATAAACAAATATCTGTTTTTTCGTACTATTTAAGGGATCATAATGATTTATTAAATGAATTGCTCACTTCATCACTGAACAACAAAATCAATCTTATTATTTTTGTTCCAGTTGATTCCCAATTAGAAAAATTGCCTTTAAAACCCTGGGAATTTCCTACAAAAATCGAGGATGATAAATATACTGAAAAGGAAATTGACGAAATTTCTTCAGCTAATGTTCAAGACTTTATTAAAAGCCATATAGTTAATGTTAATCATAATTTGGCTTCTCTTTCAAATAATAAAGAAATTTCGTTGATCACTTTGAATGATCATAGATTAGTTTTCACACACAATCATCAAGAAAATACAGACGATGTTTATTTTGTTAAAGCTGAAGATTCTGATGCCAACTCGTGGTTTAAAGTCGTTGAATCTAAAGAAATTCGATTAGAGAATTCAAATCTTTTAGTTGCTGTTATTGATGGTGTTTTGGATATTCCCTCAATTTAATATCACTATTATATTTCTTTGTTTTTTATTCATTCTTATTTTTGAAATTTTTTTAAGTGTCATTATCGAGACAAGTATGTTTTATTTATGGTTTTCTATTATATACTGAATTTATGGATATTTTATTTATTAAAAACTAGAGAATCTTTCTCTACCTGACTTGAAATATTTAGCTATTCAAATCTAGAACCATAAAAGCACACGCATAAAATACAAATAAAAAAACCTGAACACAAAGTGTAACAAATATATCAAAGAAAAAAAGAGAAAAACATATATTAAAAGGTCGACTGGATTTATAAACCATAACCCCAAACGCTAATTTGAATCTCAACAGTATATATTTGCATTTCATCTGTTACGCGTCAATTCTTTCTTTAATTGTTCGCTAAAATCATCACCTACATCATCATCATCCCAATCTTGATCCCATAATTGGTTTTCGCCTTCAGCGCCTAATGTCTGATCTTCTTCCCAATCTTCAATGGCAAAATCCTCAAACTCATCATCTTCTTCTAAAGTTTGGATTTCAGGGTCTTTTTTTAGCTGATTTTCCTTTGGTATTCCTGTTTGTTGAGGAGAACCACTTTGTGGTGTAGCACCAGATTGTTCAGACATGATTGAAATCAAATGCTGTTTAGATATAGAATGAACCTATTAGTTGATGAGAGTCTCTCTTTTCGATTTTTTTTTTCCGTTTATTTACCCGCATTTATATCAACGTACGATCGGAAATATGCGGTCAGGTGATTATATAATCTATTTACTTTTGAATAGTTCTTGTGTATACAAGGTTATTCCTACAGTTAGTGTCCCTTTTTCATTTTATCAGATAGAAAAATTGGACTACTTTGAGGAGGTTTTCTTTGTTAATTTTGTGAGGTTCCTTGATTATATTTTCCGGAAGAAATTTTCGATTTTAAAGAGCGTTTGGTGCCACTCGGAATAAGCTCCATCTCGCATTTCCGGGTAACTCCTTTTCTTGATATTATCCGGTGTGTTCAAAATCCATCTTTCTGAATTTGGTAGAATATTTTTTGGATTCAATTCTGAAAAACTGTAAAACTTTTAAAAACAAACCGAAGATCAGTAAATCATCCTAAAAACCTATCACTAAAAATACCTGCACGAACTTTTTCTAAAGAATTAAGTAAATAAAAGCAATTAAAAAGCTCCCAATTGGCTCAACAATTGATACAAAACAGATTAATAGGGATGCCAAATTTTTATAAACATGATTTAAGCTGAATTTCAGCTAAAAGTAATATTTCTAAATCTTAAAAGACAACTACAACAATAGAAAATTAATAGTGCAATTTAGGTATTAAGTATGAACGATTCCCCATATGAAATAACTTTTTTTCTATCAAAAAAAAAAGGTTATAATAGGTTGAATATAATTTTTAAATTTATCCAAAATAACCAACCAATAGTATTAATTCAAACCCAAGTCATATAAACTTTATTCCGAAACTATTCGAGAAAAAAATTAGATTAGTGAAAAAATAATATTTTTTAGCATTATATGGTGGTAATATTGTTTTCTGTGATAAATTGTTGCATTTTATCAATATTTTCTTTATATGGGCTCTCTTCAATTAAAAGCAGACGTAATTCAGTTTTAAATAGTTCATTTTTAAGCTCTTCATGAGTTGAAAATATAGTTATAAATTCTTCTTTCCAACTTCTAAAACTAGTGTTTGTTGAAAGAGACTCGCAATTTTGTTTTAACTCTTTCAACTTTGTATTTCCATCAACCATCAAAGCGCGTTTTTTCTTTTTCTTTATTTTTCCTCTATTTTTTGAAGAACTTGACTTTCTTTTCAGAGGTAATAATTTTGAATTCTGAATATCTATATTTTTCGAATTCGATTGATTAATAGACGAGACTATATCATTCCATACAGAAGGGGGAGCAATGGATTTTAAAGCAGTTTTCGATGGTGTTAAACTGGTCTTTCTAGGTTTGGCTTTTGTTTTTAAAACTAAGCTTGAGTCTTCAGGATCGATTATAGTTGAGTCATTATTTTCAGAATCATCATCATCAATCAAAACTTTTTTTGGATTAATAAAATTTTGGGGTTTATCTTGAATTGTTTGTTTCATTTTTGACAAAAAAAACGGATTAGATATAGTAATATCTTTAGTGATTGATAAATCTTCATTCGGGTCATCATTTGAAAATAAAAGATTTCTATCAGATTGAAGATTATTTGTATCTGAATCATTTCTAGCGGATGAACTTTGCATTGTAGTATGATGCATGCTGCTCATCCAGCTACTAGATTCTTCTTCATCATTGTTATTTTCTTTCTTTGAATCAGATTTGTTTTTTTCAAATTTATTCAAACGGTCGTCCAAATTTCTTAATTTAGAGGCTGGAGAAGTACTTGTGATAATAGGTTGGTTTTTGGAGTAATTTTTGTTTTGTATTTCCTGGTTAAATATATTCTGCTGATTTAGTTCCTCGTTTATGATTTGTTCTAAATCCATTTCACTGGATGAGTTATTTAACAATATATCATTGGGGCTTATTCTTTTCAATTTTGAGTAACTTGTTTCGGTTTCTAAAATTTCATGAAGATTTTCTTGAATTGTGTTTATATTTTGATTTTGATTTTGATTTTGAGTAGTGTCTCTTTCATCACCATTTATTATATGGTGATTTTCAGCTACTTTTAATTGTAAAAATTCATCTAGTTTATCTAGTATGATATCTTCTTCATTTAAAAGCACGTCGCCCTTTTCAGGCTCGATATTTACATCGCCTTTCAGATATTTTTGATTATCATTTTGAATATTAAAACCTGGGGTGATTATGTTTATATACCAAAAATTAGGAGTAAGTAAATTCAAAATTGAATAGATATTTTTGATTAATTTATTAATTTTTTTACCAAAAGAGAGATTCAATTGTAGAAGACGATTGTTTAAGGCCAAAACTTTGATTGGTTTTCTTTTAATAGTTGGAATTGAAGAAGTAGCACTACATATGGGCAAAACATAGGAAACTGACCATGAATATTTATGGAGTTTATTTTGGTCTTCATATATTTGAATTGAATTTTCGTTTAAATAAAATTTTAAATTTTGAGCGTGGAAAAAGGAGTTTTTAGGGATTTTAATGTTTAAAATGGAGGAAAATAAACGAATTGAATTGATCTTTGAGTTCAAGATCAAGTCTTTGTTTCTATCATTAATATAGGTTATTGTGCCATTTTTGTTTAGTTTTACAGATTTTAGGATGAATCTGATATTCTGACAGTATATTAAACTGTAGTTTATGATTAAGTTTTTTAGATTTTCAATTAAGGAAGGGGTCTTCTTTTGAAAGAATTTTTTCCTTACAGGTAGTTTATTGAATAGATTTTTGACAATGATTGAGGTGCCATTTGAAGCAGCTGTATTCTTGAAAGAGTTTTGAATTGGAAGACCGGATATATCAACTGACCAAGATTGAGCAGTTGAATCAGAGGATGTTTTGGAAGTTATAGATAGATTCGAGGCTAATTGAGTTATAAAAAAGAGAGCTTCACCTCTAAAGCCTAGAGTGTTTATTGACAAATGGATGTCGTTGTAATTTGATATTTTTGAGGTTGTTGAATTGCAGCACATTAGTTGTCTATCAAATTTCGGTACACCTTTGCCATTATCCTTTACCGATAGGTAATTTAAACCAGCAGAATTTGAATCGTATTCGATAGTTATGGTTGTTGCAGAGGCATCGATGGAGTTATCTATTAGTTCTTTTATGACAGCTACTGGAGAAAAGACAGCAGATGAGGAGGTGATAGTAACAGCAGTTTGAGATGGTATTCTTTTTATTGCCATTTGGTGATTTATTAATAGAAAGCAAAATAAAAGTGATTGAATGTTACTGTGGAGAATAATGTATATCGAATAGTATATATTGAATCATAAGATTACATTATAGTTTATGAATTATAAAATGAAGTGAAATGGAAAGGAATAAAATTTTAGAAGAGCAAGAAAAAGTAGAGCGGTGAGTTTCGGCGGTAAAACAACAACAAAAAAAATATAAAAAAATATAAAAAAATGGAGGTAGTTAATTGAAAATACAGAAGGAGTTTCGAAAAACGTATGAATTGAAGAAATGGAAGGAATATTTGAATAAAAAAAAAGGAAAATCAAATAAATCAAGACAAACTCTTGATGAATTGTTCTAGATTAAGGATCCTTTGTTTAAAATCTTTAACAATCATGTCAATTTGCTGGACCTTTAAAAAATCATTTAGTAATTCATCTAACTGGTCATTTAAATCTTTGAATTTAACAACCTCAGACTGGATTTCATCTTCGATAAATACTTCAACATTGTATCTTTTATTTGAAACACTTAGCTCGGTTTCCTCAGCCAAAGACTTGATTCTGTCGTTGATTTTGTAGATAAGATAGTCGAAGTTCAAGGCCAACTGTTTGACGTTCAAGGGGTCGTCATCAACAGAGATGGTGTCAGTATTAGCGTTGGCTGAAGTTTGATCATCTGCGATGCGACTGTTCTGATCGGTGGCTGTTTCGGTATGGTCTTCAGGATTGGAAGTGGCAGAAGAGTCGCCATTATCGGGATGAGCGTTGGAAGACTGTGGATTGAGTGTGTGGGAAGAGGTGAGCGTTAGCTGGGACAAAGAGCAGGTGGCGGTGGAAACACCGGAGAGAGAGGCCACGTCGTTGTCGGGATCGTCCATTGCTGCGTGTGCTGCTTGGTTTGGATGATGTGGAGAGGAACGCGAGCTTGAAAAGGCACAGAAGCGGAAGTGCCAGTGCTGTGGAACGATTGGCACGAGACCAGAAAGCTGCACATCTTCAACGGCGTCTTCTCAGCACCTCCTTCAGCTGTGCGATAAGAAGGGAACCAATGGTTAGTGTGAAAGAGCATATATGAAATGATTGTATAGGAAAATGTTTCATAAAATGTAGAAGGGACTATAGAACTAAAAGAAATTTAAAACAAAATGTTATGGGTCTTCCTTTTTGTGAGATGTGAAAACAGAAAAACATTTGATGATGAATATAGAGGAACGCACTAAATATTAGAAACAAGCATATGAAGAGGAGTGATAGAAATATTGATCAAAAAAATAACTGAAAAAAAATAGGAAAAATTGGAAAAAAATAACAAACATCATAGAAAACAGGCAACAGAGAAACATAACTTGACTTAACAGTAAATAAAAACAAAAACAAAAAGAAAAACAAAACCAAAAAAATAAAATGAAAAAATAGAATGAGAAAAAAAAATGAGCAGATTATCTTATGAAATCACTTGTAGCGTGTTGTTTGAGACTTTTCTCTTTTTGAGAGGTTTTTTGAAATTGTTGTCATCAAAATTGAGAAACTCATCCTCAAAATCATCTCTGTTTTTTCTTTTCTTTTCAGAATTACGAATTGGTATCTTTATGCCTTGGTTGGCAAAACATTTGCTTAGTTCTGTGCTCTTACCGACTCCAGGAAACTGTTTGGGGATGTATACTTTGAATCTGTCAGATAGAATTTCACACAATGAAGTACATGAAGCACTTTGAGAGTTTGGATTTAACAAAGCATCTAGAGGATTAACTTTGAACAATGAGAATTTTAATTTAAATTCGCCTTCCACTCGAACCGAAATCTCTGGAAAGACAAACCATAAGCCATATTCGCCATTTAAGTCTTTAACTTTGCTTGGGTTCTTGACGACTTCTCCATTGAGATTCCGAACTGGACCATGGATAAACGAATCGTTGATATTTCCTGACTGCTTAGCCAATTCCAGATCAAAGATCAAAGTTTTGGTTTGGCTGTGGTTGGAAGTGTTGGGAGTATGAGGAGTGTTGGGGGTGGTGGGGGTGTTTGGCGTATAGCCAGAATTGTAACCGGGAGTGCTAATAGGTGTGGTGTCGAAATCACTGTCTCTATCTCTATCATTATTAACAGTTAGATGGTTGTTTGAGGTGGTGTTATTGGGTGTGTTGATGATGATATTGTTATTCATGTCAATATTTTTAGGGTTTGAATAAGTGTGATTATTTATGTTATTGATGGAAGTATCATTTTTGACAATCTTTTTGAATTTTTTCTTGTTACTGTTTGCGATTTTTAGTTTCTTGGTTAGAATCTTTTTGTCAGGGATTGAATTTATAATACTTAGGTCAATGTTTCTTTCAGGATCCCATAATTGGGCTATCAACATGTAGTACTGAGAATCAGCGAGATCATCAGCAAGAAGTTGTTTTCCAGTGAATTTATCTCTCATACACAATTTTATACAGGGAGGAGGAGAAATGTTTCTTCTGTCTTTATCACCAAGACCACACATTCTAGCCTTTTCTGGTTGTTGTGCAACAATCAATTCGTAGTCAACTGATGTGAGTAGTTGGGTGCTGTTAGTATTTGTTAGACAGTCGACGTGAACTAAATATATTATATTCATCAGCGATTATACATACTATTGTCGTAGCTCATTGTTAATGTCAGCTAAATTGAATGAGTAAAAAAAAACGGGGATTGGGTAGAGGAAAATCAGAAATCAGTATAGGTTAGGGATGTAGCTCCTTTAGAAGTTAGAAAAGTTAGCCAATGAGTAAACGTTAAATAGCAGAATAATAATAAAGGAATATATATATCGAGATAATAGAAATCAGAATATATTCATATAATAGGGTAAAATTAAAGAATTGATGATTTGATTAGGAATGAGGAATGATTTATTTATTGCGGTATTTCTATATTAAAAATGAGATTAAAATGAGATTAAAGTGAAGTGAAATGAAGTGGATTAAATGGATTAAATGGATTGAATGACTTGAACAAAACAAATGGATAAATTGAGTAGTTTATTAATTTATTAATTAATTAATCAAGATCTTAATTGAAAATGAAATGAAAATTAAAATAAAAAAGAGACATCTTAAGAGAATATCAGGAATTTGAAATAAATTTATATTAACAATCCTGAATAAACAGAAAAATTCAGAAATTGAGTAAAGAGACAGAAAGAAGAGAAAGAAAGAAAGTTTACTAAAATGGAGAAATTCAAAAAATCCAAAGAAATCCAAAAATTCATTAGCTATTTTAAATATTCCAAATATTTAAAATATTTAAGATTAAACAACATGAACAGTAAAAGAAATTTATAATTTTTGTAAAAGCATAAAAGTGTAAAAGTGCAAAAATGCAAAGGTTATAAAACCCAGTTTGGAGATCCAAAAATTAAAACACTGAACTTCAAATAGTATCAAATCCAAGCAGAGCCTTTTAGTGGTTGGCTATAAGCTACCTGTGGTTGAAAAGAGCTAACATGGCTTGAAAAGAACTTTGAATTTCAAAGATAATAGAAATCCAAAATCAAAATACCAACTTAATAAGATCACAATAATAAACTTAATAATAGAAATATTATTAAGATTGTTGCTATTGTCTAATTATGTATCTGTATTGTCTTCACCCTATTTAATTACCAATTATGAAGAATCTTGACTTTGTATACTATTGTTTACATGAACCCAAAGATTTGGAAGTGGTGAACGAAAAAGAACAGTGCAAGATTGTTATTAGTTTTAGTGTTAATTTTAAATTTTGTTAAATTTTTTTCTTTTATTTTCCTTTTGATCAACAAGTTCTAGTTTATTGTCACCAGAACTATCCCCAAGATTATCATTGAAACAATGCGAAAGGCATGAATAAAACTTGACATGCTCTCCTGGCATAGTTCAAGCCTTTTCTAGGCTAGTCCAGAAGGCTTTTAAAGGCTATCAACAGAACTGATAATGCGCAAGGCCTAAGGCTATCGGAGCCAGAAGCTGAGGCAGTTGCAACGCTGCAGCTGCAGCTGCAGCCTGTGAAGATAGTCGTGCTGCTGACCCGCTCATCGGCCCCTTCAGCTTGCCTCAGCCTTGTAGGCTTACTCAGCGGTGCAAGCTCTGTGAGCTGTTCAAGCTTTCTCCAAGTTAGAGACTCCGCAGCACACAGCGCAGATCCGTCGTGATCCGTCGCCAGCGCGGTGAGTAGACAGATCCCGCGCTGGATTCCGACTCAGCGCTGCGGGCCGCTTGGAATTTGGTAACCAACAAACTCAGACTGCAGCGCTTCCACTTCGTATAACTGACTTCACCTTGTTAATTCACCACCAGACTCTCGGGTTTGCACACTGAGTGAGCTCATGCACACTACTTTTGCTTGCCCATCCACCTCCAACCACACGAAACGACTTCAAATAACTCTAAATAATCCAAAATTGTCAGCAATCGAGTTGGCAAACTCCTGAATCTGCCGTTTTTTTATCAGCAGAATTATCAATAAAACTATCAATGTCCATTGATAAATAGATTTGCGTCCAGTGGTACTAATTAAGTTGCAAATTCTGCTTAGTTCTAGACCACACATCTTGGTTTGTTCAAGTCAAAGTAATGTATGAAGAATTAAATATAGTCCAAAGGATGCAAGGAAATAAAAACTTTAGACTATCTCAAAAACCTTTTTTAGGAAAATAGGATAGGATTGGGATACCAATGTTATAAATGTTTTAAGTATTTTTAATATTTTTCAATGTTTTCACTGTTTTTATTTCTGCACGGTTTTAGGAAACGGCAGCAACAAATTAAAATATTTGAAAACGGATTGCAATAACACCATGATTGTATGTTGCTTCACCACTCTCACCAAATTCATCTATTACTTTGCCCTTTTAGAGTCGCGATTCTATTTTTGTGGTTTAAAATTCACACCCAGATTTTCAAATATTCTGTTGCCCAATCTTTTTTTCTCCTCGATTTTCACATTAATAGCTGTTGCGTATTTTCGCAATACTCAAAAATCAGGGAGATAACTCAGAGACAATATCAGAGACAAATTTAAAAATCAGCCAGGCTAAGCTGAGCCAATCTTCTTTTCCCAATCATCTTTATAACCACCTCCCACAATTCGTTTATCCCTATTCACGATCCTGATTCTTCCTCCTGCTTTCTAGAACGTTAAATTCCTGCTCGTTCTTTCAATTTCCACCCTTCAAGATTCACTCTTATGACAATCACATGAGATTTACGAACTGATAGCATGAATAGCAGCAATCCAAATAATATTTGCAATAATTATTTTGTTCAACAAATTGTCCTAGAACACACCGAAAACCATGATTCAAAACGACCATTTTGGGGTGCTCTTCCATCAGTTTTGTCAAACCCAAAAGCAACTTTTCTGGCTTATTTCTTTTGCTTGACGATATTATACCATATTATATTCCACCATTATATTGTAACTGACTACATCAGCTTGTCCCACGTTATGTCAGTCTTAGTGTTTTCACTGCTCAACTATCACTTACTTCATTTGCTGCATTTGGTCCATTTTTTTCATTTAAATCACCTTTTCTTCGAATCACTGCTAATGATAATCATTATCACCATTTCGGTTTTTTCAAACTAAACTAAATTTGCACAAAATACACTATAAACTGCGCTTTCAATTACAAATTTTCAACTGTAATTTTAACTACTAAGTTCCTAACAAGAGTCAACTTAAAGTGCAATAACTTGCAAATAGTCTTTTTTTTCTTCCAGTTCAATTGTATTTCCAACTTCTCTCAACAGCTCAGCTTAGACATAACTGATTAACCAGTACTTCGCCTAAGGTTCTGGGTTTTTTTTCTATTTTAAAGCTTGTTGGAAAAATATCGCCCACAACTTTAGAAAGCTGCAATGCATTACACTATCAGTTCAAGAATGCACTCACAATAAAAAAGAAAGGGCTGAAACAATCTTTCTTTTTGCTATCTTACAAATTTGAAAATTCTTCACCAACCTCTTCCCACTGTCAAAAGGAAACCTTTGAAGTTTGCCCACTGGTCGATTCCATTTTCACTGATAAATTGTCTTTTATCATGGCTATCTGCTCCAATTGTTGATAATCACATAATCACTGTGTTATTAAATAATTTCATCATTATATTATCAAACCATAGTTTAAGATCAGTCATTCACAGCAAATAATTGCATTATTATTTTAAACTATGGGTATGCCAATTCTACGATTTTCATCGTCGCCAAAACAAATACATCTCCATATTTATTCTTATTCAATCACTTTACGTACTAATCGGTTATCACCGATTACCAACAATAACCTGTCTCGCTCTCCCAATCCACCCATTTCAATGTGGTTTCCTACTAGTTCTAAACACAATCTCCAGTGTTCTCCTAAAAATAATCTAAAATCATATTTATTATTTTCCCCTTTATCTTCTCGTCTCTTTTTTCAGCTCTCTTAAGGATTCCCTCAATAGAAAAAAAACAGATTCCAGAAAATAATTACATGCTTATAGACCACAGAACGAGGGTTTGCTTATGTAATGTAATAATTCACGGGGATGGGGTTTCACATATCATAAAAGATAATGAAATAAATAATGAATTGAATTGAATTGAATTGAATTAAATTGAATTAATTTTGTTAAGTATTTTCAAAATTAAATCATCACTGCTTATCTTATCCCACAACTAAAAAACTAAGTCAGATTGTAATTACATCAACACCCAACAAAACAATAAAATCAAAAAGAAAACATAATCTAATTCAATGTGCCTAACCACCGTAAATCTATTCAACAAATTTGATATTCATCGCATTAATTATGAAAAATCAATTAAATCGCAACTCTTTATAATAATATCAAATTCATATCAAAATACCGCCAATTTTTGTAATTCTGCCACCATAAACTCCATTATCTATTGAATTATCGCTTACTTTTAAACAATTCATTTAAAACAATAGGCGGCAAACAAATTAAAATTTAAACTTGTTTGCTCTTTGCTGTTTACAATTTCCTTTCTCAATCTTCAGCTTCGTTTTGTTTTGTTTTGTTTTGTTTTATTTTTTTTTTTTTATTTTATTTGTTTTTCTTCTGCCTTAAAACGTCAAAACTCATAGAAATGATTTAAAAAATCAACTTCAAATTAATCTAATCAAATCAAATTTATTTAAAATAATAAGAATCATAAATTACTAATATTATAATATTATTGAGTATTAATGCATTAGCTGCCCTCATTCAACTTCATCAAATTCCCGATTGAAATTAATAAACAATAGCATAGTCCTAAACAATAATCCCCAAATAATAATGGATACTGCAATAAATAATCGTTCACCACCTAAAAAAAGCAGAAAAAAGGATACCATAGAACAGTTTCTAACTGCAAATCAAATCATACTTAAAACTGGTTTATCTCAGCTAAGATATATGATCTTGGTCGATGGTTTGAAGACTCCTCAAGGATACGATAGCTGTCCCTACAGAGTATACGTTTGGTCAATCTTATTAAGAGTAAATTCAAATAATTCCACAAAAGTTTATCTCAACTTGGTATCAAAGGGTCCTCCATTATCTTATTCAAAAATTAAAAACGACACTTTTAGAACTTTAACAAAAGATCTAGTCTTTTTAAGCAAAGTATCGGAGCAAAGTATTACAAGAGTTTTATCAGCTTTTGCATGGTACCAAGAAGACTCTACAATTAATAATAATAACAATAATAACAACAATAATATCAATAATATCAATAATATCAGAATTTCACCTTATGTTCAAGGAATGAACATTTTAGTCGCTCCATTTTTATACATTTCTAAAAGTGAACCAGAGGCTTTTTCATTATTTCATTCCTTATTAACAAATTACTGTCCATTATATGTTACATCAACGATTGAAGGAGTTCATACAGGCTCAATGTTAGTTGACATAATATTGAAAAAAATAGATCCCAAACTACACAGTTATTTAAATTTGAAACTATTGAAAACAGAAATTTATGCATTTCCATCGGTTTTAACACTATGTGCTTGTACTCCTCCTTTAAATGAAGTTCTAATATTATGGGATTTTTTATTTTCTTATGGAATTCATATGAATATCTTATTCATTGTCGCTCAATTGATACTAATTCGAAATGATATATTACAAAGTAGTTCTCCCATGAAATTATTAAGAAATTTTCCCAATTTGAAAAGTAAACAAATTATTAAATTGTCAATTAGTTTTATAACAAAACTATCCGATGAAATGTACCAACTTTTAGTTAAACATCCTTATGATTCTTCCGTGAAATTTAGAGTGCAATCTTTATTGAAAAAACAGGCTCTGAATAATTAATTGTTTTTTTCTTAATCTACATAATATATCATCACCATTTCAAAAAGTCATTTCATTTGTTAGATTTTAATAAAAATTATTGCATTCTGTTTCAGCATCACTTTTTTGTAGAGTTTATTTTTTTATCCTTCAAATATCAGATATCAAATATCAAATCCAAATTTTGTTTTTATAATTTTGATGAATTAATTAAGTTTGCTTTGTCTATTATATTATTGTATTATTATATTTATCAAAAACAAAAAAATTTAAATTTTTAAAAACAAAGACTTATTTTTCCAAAAGTTTATTACATGAAGCTTAGCTCTCGTCATACTCCAATTCTTTCGAATAACTATCTAAATTTTTATGAATTCAACATTTCAACTTTTTTCAACTTTTTTCGACTTCTCAGTTATGCATTTTTTTCATTTACACAATCTGCTTATAGTGAACAAAAATTATAATTTATTAACATCTCTCAATGGAAAACCACAGAAACAATTATTGCACATCTCCTTTGTGATCTTGTTGCCTCTTATTTTTTTATTAAGGTACAATTCTAATGTTGAAATTCAGAATCTAGATTTGAAATAAATCTTTCTATTGTTTTTATTTGAAACCATTAGAATAATTTTGATTAGTACACAATTAGGAAAGACCCATTGAAAAACAATAAGATTATGATGAAATAACGATTTTTTACAATTTCTTTGAAGTTGCTGTCACATTCTGTCCTTCAAGTTTATAGAAAAAAGCTAATTTTTAGGCGATAGGATTTATTTGTCATTTTTTTGTGGGTTTTGTTCTTTCTTCCTTGATTATTTACTTGAATAGAGGCAATAAATTCTTTGAAAAGCAGAACAAAGTGAAACAGGACAAGGTGATTCAATTTTGTAAACAACACTCATTTAAATTTTTTAAAATTGCTTTTACATTTGACACAAACATCGCCTCTAATTAGTTGGGGAATGTTTAAGCTTAAAAAAACAAAAGAGTTTGTTATTAAACTTGCAGATTTCGTTAAAAATCGATTGAGCTTGTCATTTTTCTCAAGCTGACCTTCAAATTTGGCTGGCAAGTTGCTGAGCTTGATTTGGCTCTTTATATTCAATAAAGAACAAAGTTTTGGGAATTGCTGAATGCACAGTTTTTGCAAAAAAATATCAAAAGGTGTTGTTATTTCCAACTCCACCTCCAACTTCTTCAAAAACCCCACCCAAAAACAATAAAAAACAGTTCGCGCTCATATGCATACAAACGCGCCTTTGGCAATTATAACGCATCTTTATTGTTGAGTTCAGACCTTAATACATAAAAGTCTTGAATGGCTAAACCCCCAAATTAGGGTCTGTTTTTAAGAAATCGTGCTCAGTGGTTAAATGGGGTTTGGTGATGGTGCCGAGAGGACAAAAAGGGGGCGGTCGCAAATTTTTTTTCTTCCACTTTTCACAGCAAGATAACATTTATAGCCAAAGTTGGGATTTCTCACTGGAATCATTATCTACATCAAGAGTTGGTTAATCTCTTTATCGTTTTACTCATTTTACCACACATACTCAACGCATTAGACACACATCAGATCATCATTATATATCAGATATTGCAATGAATTTAACTTCCGTTTCTAGTGGCTCTGATTTCAGCGAATATTGGGTTGATAGCTTTCTAGAGACTAAAGGCAATGAGTACTTCTGTGATATTGACATAGAATATATTACCGATCGTTTCAACTTAACTGGTCTTAATAACGAAGTCGACAGAATTTCTTATGTAATTGACATTATAACTGATAATTCTCCAAAGCGCAATCCAAGAGAATTTCAAAGAATTAGAGAACAGATGGAGGCTCAAGCAAGATACCTCTATGGTTTGATTCATGCTCGTTATATTATAACTTCTCGTGGTTTGCAAAAAATGCTAGACAAATACCGAAATGGCGATTTTGGTTATTGTCAAAGAGTCTATTGTGATTTGCAGCCCTTATTGCCAATTGGTTTAAATGACCAACCAAAATTGCAACCTGTCAAATTATACTGCCCAACGTGTGAAGATATATATAATCCCAAATCCTCGAGACATGGTCAAATAGATGGTGCTTTCTTTGGAACAAGTTTTCCAGGAATGTTTTTTCAAACTTTTCCCAACTTGGTTCCTCCCCATCCAACAAAAAGATACATTCCAAGAGTGTTTGGTTTTCAATTACATGAGCAGGCTAAGCTCGCTAGATGGCAGATACTACAACGAAAAAAATTAGAAAAAAAATTGTTGCAAAACCACATCGATATCGCTTCTGGCCCAGGCAGTTATATATACGACGAAGAGGATGAGCAAGAAGCAGCTGGAAATGAAGGCTATAATAAAGGCTCTGTAAAGGGATTACCTCCACCTATGGAAGGCCTACAAAATACTCGTGCTTAACTGGTTTATAAGTAGGGCTGATTCAAACTTCAGGCAATCTTTAGGAAATTCTAAAAAAAAGTCTAAAAAGTTAAAATTTTATTTCATAGTCTTTTCTATATTTTGGTTTTCACTTGTTTTATTCTCTTTCTTTAATCTTTTTCTTTCTTGTTTTTTTACCTATCCCAGTTATTTTCTTGCTTCTTTCTCTACCTATTTATCTTTTTTCTTCTTATACTTATTTTTATCTTTATCTATAACCATATACACTCATAGCTATCTTTTTCTTTTTTTTTGTACATTCTAATTCCTCAACTTCCAAACTTCAAACTGATAATTAAGATTTTTTATTTGTGCCTACTTGAACCTGCAATCATTTTACTGCAGCCCACGATATTTGAAACTGCTTAAAACCCAGCACAATACAATACAAGAATCCCAAGAATCCACAAGAGTTTTCATCTCATTAATTTTGTGATCGAGATATATTTAGATTGCATTTATATATTTATACCATTTTGCTATTACAAAAAAGAAAAAGAAAAGAAAAGAAAAGAAAAAATATATATAATGTTGTTTTTCAGCTCCAAAAAAAAATCCCTCTTTCATCAACTATCTATTGTTTCTTTCTTGGTTGGGTGTCTAATTGGCGTATCCTTAGCTGCCATAATATATATCATAGTATTAGCTGCGTCCTCGTCTCCAATCAGCAATATGTCTTTGTTGGATTATTTAACTTCTAGCTTCGGGATGGGCTTATATAGTGATCGTGAAAAGCACTATACTGTATCAGATATCGAGCTCGAAAAAGAGTTGAATAAGCCTGGAAGTTTCAAGAATCTGGCTCTTAACAACACTGGTTTTGAAGATTCCAAGAGAACTTGTGTTTATTACTCAAAGTAAGTGGGTATTTTTTCCTCTTTTGATTAGGATTACTTGAAATCCTTCCTATCTGGATGTGTCCATACTAACATTTTTTATTTTCTATTTTTTTATTTTTTTATTTTTTTGTTTAAAATTAGTTGGTCCATTTACAACGATAGACAACACTTTCCAAAGGATATTCCTCTTCAACTAGTTACAAATGTATTCTATTGTTTCATGAATATCAATCCCAAAACAGGCGAGGTTTCCCTAAGTGATGAGGAGTCAGATGTTGAGATTGCTTTGGATTCGATCAATAATGATGGAAGTAAAGTGAGTGGTATTATTGGGCAGTTTCAAGAAATGAAATCAAAGAAGCGAAGTTTCAAATTATCAATGTCTATCGGTGGACAATCCAATCATGGGCAATTTACAAAGGCTATGAAATCCAACAAAAAGTTGGAGAGGTTTGTTGACTCCTCTATCAATCTTTTAGTTGAGCATGGTTTTGATGGAATTGATCTTGATTGGGAATATCCCGAGACTGTGTTTGAAGGAAATCAATATTTGAGATTAGTGAAGCGATTGAGAAAACGATTAGACGATCTTGAAGACGAAAAAGGTCTTGAAAGAGGGAGTCTTTTAGTTACCATGGCATCTCCTGGTACTGAAGAATTTTCGTCCAAGTTATTTATTGAGGAGTTTGACAAGTACTTATCATTTTGGAACTTGATGACGTATGATTTTGCTGGAGAATGGTCAGAGAAAGCAGGTTATCATTGTAATCTTTATCCTACAGAGGGAGGAGAATACTCTGGGGATCAAACAGTTCAGTACTATTTATCAAAAGGAGTGAGACCAGAGAAGCTAACGTTGGGAATGGCGAATTATGGACGAGGATTTTTAAAAACCAAGGGACTTAATCAACCATTCCATGGTGTTGGAGCTGGGTCTACAGATGAAGAAGGTATTTGGAATTACAATTTCTTGCCTTTAGAAGGAACAGAAGAAGAATATGACGAAGATGCAGTGTCAGCGTATATATATGACAGTGATAAGAAGTTCTTTATTGGGTATGACAATCCGGAAAGTGTTCAAGCTAAGGCAGAGTATGTGGTAGCAAATAAACTTGGAGGAGGAATGTGGTGGGAATCGTGTGGTGACACCTATGATGATAAAGAACGATCATTGCTTTATACATTTGTGGAAGCAATTGGAGGAGAGGACATGTTGGATTCCGTATCTGAGAATTGGGTTAATTTCAAGGAATAGAGCAATGAAAGAGTGCTAATTGATGTTGAATATTAGATCATTATCTAAGACAGAATCGATATATTTTAATAAAAAGGAGTACTTATAGGATAGAAATTTTTTGATTGACTTGTCTGGTAGATCGTTGTTTGTGAGTGAGATTATCACTGAGAAAATGTAAATATCAGCTGGAGATATCTGATTACCAAATAAATAGTTTGAAATTTCGTTTTCGTTTTCATCTTCATCTTCATTTTCATTCTCATTTTTGTTTTCATATTTGTTTAAAAAGGGAAAATTTGAAGATATTTTTAGAGAATCAGGATCTGATTTTATTTCAATTGATTTTGTAAAAGAAGATATTTTTTTCTTTGAGATTATTAAGATCATATTTGATTCCGGATTGATTGTTTCGGCACTGCTTTTTCCATTCAATTGAGCTAGATATTTTTTATATCGATTAGAATTGTTTTTTATACAGGATAGAACATCGAAAAAATACAAGCAGTTGTTGTTGAAATTGAACTCCTGTAAAAAATCGTCGAGCAACTGGATGCATCGATAGTTGGCTGGAGGAATGGCCAAATACCTGAGGATGGCTAGGAGCTGGTCCAGCACCTTCTGGGGTTTGTAGCTCAAGTCCAAACAACCAAGGCAGTACTTTATCGAGTCGTTTCTCAATCGTGGGATGATGTGGTATTGCAAAGGGAAGGGAATGCATTTGGAGAGGAGCTTCGAGGTGTATCTGGTGTAGTTTGGAATGTGGACGTAGTAGTAGTAATGGGTGAGGTACCTGAAATCGCTGGTGAGGATAGCAAGCTGGACCAACTCGTTGGCGGCGCTGGTGCCTGTGGTGCCTGTGGTGCACAAGTGCTCGACTATGCTGCTGTAGCCCTCGAGCTGAGCTCCAGTGCGAGAGTCGAGCAACACAGGAAAAGAGCAGCTGAGGACCATTTTGTAGGGCGCGCTGGAGGAGGGGCAAATCTGGAAGAGGCGCTGGGGCACGAAGGTCCTGAGGAAGAGAATTGCAGCGAGGGAATCGGAACACGAGGGCGAGGCGGTGCTGCCTGTGCTGCAGACGTAGAGAGAGAGCATGCTGTTTCTGCTGGCAGTCCTGCTTCTGCTGCTTCTGCTGCTTCTGCTTCCTTGCTGTTTCAGCCGCTGTTTCAGCCCGGCGCTAAACCGGGCGAGTCAACAGAAGACGTCATTCCAAACCCAGTTCTCGTCCAGTATATAAGCATATAAGCTGCTTCTCTCGTCTTCTCGTCTCTCTCGTTTCTTGTCCTTCCTCTGCTGTCTCTCCTTCATCTGCTGCTTCTTCTTCCAATGCTCACTCCTCGCTCCAGGTCTGCCTCGCTTCTCGACGCTGAAACGCCCAACGACGCTCCCTCCGAACCCATCCTTGACCAAAAGACCTCTGCTCAGTACGAGCTTCCTCCTCCTGTCACCCAGTCTAGTCCTGCTGACAAGTCTAAATTCAAAAAACTAATCTTCATCTATGCCTTCATTAGCATGTTTTTCTTGTTTGGCCTATTGTACTCAAGCATGCACTCCATCAAGAAAATCAGATCCAACAGCGATGAGTTTGAAAGTGATTTGCTAGCCAGTTTTGCCAACACCAACGAGAAGAAAATCATTGACCACAAATTCAACAAGTACAAAGAACCCAAGATAAAGGCCAGCTTCAAAGACGAAAATGGCGAGTACATAGAGTCTCAAGAGATCGCTGTCGATGAAGATGGCGATGGTGTCGCTGAATCTTACTATCTAATAGAACAATACCTAGTTCTCGATTGATCTGCTTTCACACTGCTCTTGAATTTTCAATATTATTCTCAATATTGTTTTAAATCTAATGAAACTCTTTCTTTTTTTTTTTTCTTTTTTGGCTATGTTAATCTATTGAACCAATTTATTTAATGGAATTGTTTTTTTTTGGATCTTTTTTTTTGTTTTAATTTTAAAAATATCTACGCTCACTTTTTTTCATTTTCTTTTTGTTGATGGTTAATGCTTACTTCAAATTTTATTTTTTTTTTGTTTCTTTTTTTTATCTGTTTTCGTAAAAATTGTTGTCTTTTTTTGGTATATTCTATCACTTTGTCCTTTTTTTTTTTTTTTTTTGCGCTAGAATTGGTGGTTTATATTATTATATATTATTATATAGTATTATTAATACATTTAATTAAAATTTATATATATATATATATATAAACATTTGAAAAAAATAAAACTATATCAAAAAAAAATTTATAATTATTTATCCATTTAACAAAATCAAAATCAAAAAAAAACAAAAACAAAAACAAAAACACCCAATCTCAATTATTTTAAATTCAATTTAATTTATTTTAAATAATAACACTAATAGTAAAAGAATAGATAAAAAAAAATTATATTCGTTATTGTATTTACTGCTTTTATCTCACCATTTAATATGACAACTTGGACTTGTGAGCAGAACTTGGTGGATATGCTGACGACTCATTATCAGTAACATTCTCACTGGGCAAATAGCTGTCGTAATCATATTCGGATAAATCTCCTACATATTGACTCTCAGAATTTTCATACTCATCCTCCTCACTATCATCTCCATCTGATGGTTCTTCATCATACTGTCTTTCACTTTCAATATTATAATCTTTAAATGATTTGTATTTATCAAGGTTTCTATTATAATTGTTACTACTGTTATTATTATCAGTGTTATTATTATTATTATTATTATTATTATTATTATTACTATTATTATTATTACTATTATTATTATTATTATTATTATTATTATTGTTATCGTTATTGTTATCATCTTCATCCTGTTTTTGCTGCTTCAATGCTTCCTCTTCTTCCTCTTCTTGATTGTCTCTTTCCTCTAATTCAATTTTTAGCTCATAACATATATCAAAACATTCAGCTAATAACGAATTCAACGTACCTTGACCTTCGGGAATCTGTCCATCTATAATAAACTTACCATCGACCCTTAAATTGTCAAGACTAGCCAACTTCATTTGATAGGGATACAAATCTCTTGTCGATGTTATTCCTCCCATTCTTTTAACATCCAATAAACATCTTCGAACAGTTTTCAATTGGTTGTGGATTGGTTGCAATGCTTCTGACACTGGCTCAGAACTCTCTAGTAATCGGTAGATTATTGCATAACATCTTCGCAAGAGATATAACAAAATGGATTGCCCTAATTTATATGGTTCATTGGTAGACGAGTTAATAAATTTCCCATCAACTCTTGACTCGTCTATGGTTTGCAATGATTTTTGGTAATTGTATAGATCTGTCTCTCGCAAGGTCCATCTTCTTGTCATTAATAAGTTTTCCAAAACCGTTTTGATTTCAAACAATTTATGGTAAAGAGGCAAAGAATCGTTATCGATTTGCTCTTTAAATTGAGCAGTCAAATCGGTTAATAAATTGCGGCAGTCATCAAACAATCCATTGATCAATTGTAATCCCTTTAAATTTTGAATCTTTTTTTTTGAAGTTAAAGTCAATAGATCACCATTGGAATCTCTATGGTTTTCAATTGTAGCTAGTTTCAATTGCAATGGTTTTAAATCAAGTTGGTATGAATTCGACGTGATTTTGTAATCAGAAGAATCAATAGCAATTGATAACAATGATTTTCTAATCTTAAGCAAATGGTTCAAATAGATTTGCAAGTCAGGCGAAACTTCTTTTATCTTGGATAACAAATTTTTAAATTCGTTTTGACATAGTTTTAATTTTGAGGTTAATAGTAAATTTTCCTCTTTCTTTTTGTTTTTTAAAGATAGTTTGACGTTGGTATATTCGGTGTCATTTCCATCATACTCGTCATAACTGTAATTATCACTATCATCTGAGTTGTTATTGATATTGTTGTCATTGAGAGAATTGTTGTTTGAATCGATATCGCCAGTAGAACTACCTTTAACTATTTTGGAAATCGAGTCTAATCTATCTTTAATTGGATTTAAATCGTGAATAGTGTAGACACCACTTTCTAATAAATGGTCTAATAATCTTTGGACAGTAGACAAGGAGGCATAAGTAGCAGGAGCAGTTTTTGTTAGACCAACAGTAATGAAGGACAAGGATAATAGTTGAAAGATATCATCAAGAACTGAATCAACTTTATTGGGAATTTGTAAATTTTTCTCGGTTTTTCTTAAATCATTTAGTTTTTTATATTTGATTAAAACATCTTCATATAAATTGGAGATGTCTGAAGATTTCAAAAAAGTAGAACGATTATTCTTCAAAGTTGCTAGTTTATTTTTAATTGAAATTAGTTGGTCATAAATTGAAGCTTCAGAATCAGGGAGCAAGTCTTTGTAAGGCATTTTCAAAATACAGTATCAAATCCAAGTAGAATTCCTGTTATTTTTTATTTCGTTGGTTTTGGAGATAAAAGTGAGAAAATAGTAAAAAGAGAACAATGAATATTGAAATTGAAATTGAAATTGAAATTGGTAGAAAAAAAATTTGTTTTATTTCACAATTAAGAAACTAAACCGGGATGGAGAAAAACTGTGGGGAGAAAACTGAGTGGGCAAACTATTGGATGATTTCAACAGCAAGATGAGGTTGAAGTAGAAAATAGATGAGGGTCCCTGGGGCTACCAAATACAAAAAAAAGAAGCAGGAGAAATAAAGCAAATGAGAAAAAAACAACCAAAGATATACAGAGATATATAAAGAAAGCAGAAGGACAGAAGCGTAAAAAAATATAAAAGATGATGGTGGAAACAGAGAGGTATAAAGAAAAGACGTGCTTGTTCGGCGAGCAAATCTGACGTCGGCTTCGGCTGCGGCCGGCGCTGGCCGAAAACAGCGCGGAGCAGACGGGGACCACAGCTGAGGGACTCATACACTGGCCGGTGGCAGAGCGCGCTTACATGAGCGTGTGCTGGTGAGTGCATGTGGCGGCAAAGGCAGCACACGCAGCTCATGCGCCAGAGGTTGGCGCTGGCGAAGAGGGTCTGCGGTCAGTAGTGTCTGCTTCTCTTCTCGGTTCGGAAGTCTCTGTTGAGCGAGCGCTTGGTGCCAGCACTGTTTCTCGCAACGTATCTCACAGCATCGTTGCTGCTGCTGTCGCTGCTGTCGTCGTTCTCACTGTTTCTGCTGCACTGGTCGTTGAGCATGGTATCTACTGCATCGTTCGTATGGTTCTGGTCGAGGTATTGCTGGTAGTTCTTCTTCACCTTGAAGTGTTTCTTTAGCAGGAATCTATCGTTGTTTGCATCATTGTCGGTGAATGTGCTGTGGTTGAAAGTGTTGTGCATGTTGGAGCCATTAAAGTTGCTATTGCTAGTAATATTATGATTAGCTGCATTATTTCCAGTGCTACTGATATCATGATCCATAGTATTCATATTATCAATACTTTCAATCTTATCGCTCTTGTCAATAGTACTAGCACTCTTATTATTCGGCTCATTGATTTTATCATAATCAAATATCTTTACTTTTTTCTTTGCACTGTCGTGAAACATTTTTATTTTGTTCTCTATTGGAGTTAAAGGTTTGGCCTTGTAGGTGAACTCATAATCATCAGATAATTTTGTAGATTTGGTTTGGTGGCTGCCAGATTTCTTTTTAGGGGTTTTATACTTGGTCTTTTCACTATAATCGTCCACAAGATTCTTATTGATATTCTCACCACCCATCAATTCTGCTTTTTTAGTCAAACACCAGTTTTCTATATCCAACTCATTCTCTGAGTGGTTTATCTTGTGCAATTTAATCAAATTAAGCAAGTCATCTATGCACTCCAAGTATCCTTTAAATCTGAGCAACGAGCTGTTGGAATTGGATAATCGGTACAATGTAGCCACTGACTTAGCTGCGTTTTTGAACTCATTGATCAACTTAGCGTCCAACTTGTCAAAGGACTCCTTAGTCACTGGCACTGAGGGAGGCAAGTTGCTGGATAGTTTTGATAAATCCATGGCCATGCAAATGTCTCTATCCTTCTGGTATCGTGGGTATCACTAGTATTTCTGCTGTCTGTGTAATCTGTGCAGTCTCTGCTGTCTCAACTTCTATGCTCTCTCACAGTGTCTTCGCAGACAAAACCTGAGAGAAAAAAAGTCCGCCCCGGATCTGTTTGCTACACACGCGGATATCCGCGGAACCACTTTTCTCAAAGAGGAAAAGCATGAGAAAAACACCAACATCGTGGGTCATGACGCATCCGTTTTTGTCGAGCCATTTAGGTTTTTCTTGTGTTTTCCACTTTGGTCACTTTTCATGATAAGATATATAAACACCTTTTGCTCTATCTTTCCTCTCAGCGGTTGGCTCACTTTACGCTTTTTCCGCTCAATGGTAACTCAGATATTCTCAAAAACTATCTCAAAGGCTCCTTCAAATGTCCGAACTACAACTGGCTTGAGTATTGGTGGGAAGGTCAAACGAAAGATTTCCATTGTCACTTTCATTCCTCCCTCTACCAAACTACCTTTGTTTCAGTATAACTCTGACGATGATCAAAGAAGTTTTTTATCTCTTTGTAATCCGTCAAACGATGTCATGGATACTCCTCAATTCAATATAAATAGTTTTGATGATGATATGATAAATAACAATAACAATAACAATCACAATTACAGTCACAATAAAAACAATAAATCAAATGACGATAGTAATACTAATAATGATAGCAATAATACCTCTGATCAATCTTCTATTGTTTCTTCTCAATCTTTACCGACTAATATCGACAAAATCGATTCTGATCCCGATTTACAACTATATTTCCAAAAAAAACGAAATTCTAAATCCTCTTTATCAAATCACCCAGTTTCTTCTTATAATACCTCAAATGATACTACTCTTGTTTTATCTAGCGCAACTGATTTAACTTCCTTATTAAACCCTTTAAATTCAACCCCATTTTCCTACAACTCTATAAATAACGATAATAATAATAATAATAATAATAATAATAATAAAACTCCTAATAATATTAACAATATAAATACACCCATTTCAAAAGTTTTTGATCCGATTATAGACTCAGATTTAGACTTGGATACGGATTCAATTTCAAATTTAGACTCAAATCTAAACCCAAATCATAAAAATAAAAATAAAAAAAATGTTACATTTTTATCCGAATTAAAAGTTTTAACACATTACTCTATTCCTTTAATTATAACTTTTTTATTAGAGCAAATTTTCTCAATTGTTTGTACTATTTCTGTTGGAAGATTAGGTAAAAATGAATTAGGCGCTTGCTCTTTAGCTTCAATGACAGCTACCATAACTCTAGCTATTTTTGAAGGTATTGCAACCTCTTTAGATACGTTATGCCCACAAGCTTATGGCGCAGGAAAATATAACTATGTTGGAATCCATATTCAAAGATCCTTTTTTTTCTCTTTATTTTTATTTATCCCCTTTGCATTCTTATGGTGGAATTCTAGAATTTTTCTCTTATTTTTAATTCCGTTTGAAGATGATTCAAATTTAATTGATTTAACTGTGCTATTTTTAAGAATTTTAATCATTGGTGTCCCTCCCTATATAGGTTTTGAAAATTTCAAAAGATTTTTACAAGCCCAGGGAATCTTTGAGATTACCACTTATATTTTATTTATTTGCGCTCCAATTAATGTTTTTTTAACTTGGTTTTTAGTTTGGCATTCAAAATTCGGGTTAGGTTACATTGGTGCTCCAATTGCTACCGTAATAAACTTCTGGCTAATGTTCATTCTTTTAATTCTTTATATTATATTCATTGATGGCAAATTATGCTGGGACGGTTTTACTTTAAAGGCTTTTCAAAATTGGGATACTTTGTTGAACTTTGCTATCCCCGGTGTGATAATGCTAGAAGCTGAAAACCTAAGCTATGAAGTGCTTACCCTATTAGCGTCATATTTTGGCACTGCAGAGTTGGCTGCTCAATCAGCGGCTTCAACTGTAGCATCACTAACTTATATGATGCCCTTTGCTGTGGGTATAGCTTCATCAACTAGAGTTGCCAATTTCATCGGTGCCAAAAAAGCCAATCAAAGTAAAATCTCTTGCAAAGTCGGTATTGTTTCATCAATTTTTATCGGTTTGCTAAACTGTTCTATACTATATTTCAGTAGATTTCAACTTGCCTCTGTTTTCTCTAAAGATGACCAAGTGAAATCCTTAATAACTAATATTTTCCCATTGATATCGGTCATACAAATTTTCGATTCAATCAACTCTGTTTCCGGCTCGATTTTGAGAGGCCAGGGCCAACAGATAAAGGGCTGCATTATCAATTTTTCCATATACTACTTTGTTGCGATTCCACTCAGTGTTATGTTCGCCTTTTATTTCGACTGGCAGTTGATCGGGTTGTGGCTAGGCATTGGGATCGGGTTGTTTCTCATTGCGGCCATACAGAGCTGGTTTGCCATGAACGTTGATTGGGAGATGCTAGTCAGCAAAGCCTGCGAGCGAAACGAACTCAAGTTCACCTAGGCTGTCTCACACAACTCCTGTCTCACACAGCTCCGGTCTCATAGCAATAAACAGTTATTATATCGAGACCCGTTTTGGGCACAGATTCCCCAAAGCTGATCCAACCGCGTTCCGGGGGGAATCACGTTCTGCCGGTGGCGTTTGTGCGCCAGCAAAGGACGTTTTTCTTCAGGTGCAGCTGCTGGAGCATCCCAGCTGAAGGCCTTCTATTCTCCTTCCATTTCTGGGCCCAGAGCTGTGCAGTCCACCTTTGCAGCATATAAATTGTCCAACATGTCCTCTAACTTTGTTCAGTATGTTAGGTCTGGCTTTTTTCTTTCTTCTCCTTTTTTCTGTCCTCTTGGGATATAACAGCTTGTGTATTACTTGGTTTTCTTTCTATCCAGTGAGGTAGTTTGATCTGCTCTCGTATCCTTCTCTTTTTTCTTTTCTCTCTTTTTCTGATTTTTGCTCATTTCTTTTCCTATTATTTCTATTTCCCATCGTTTCCCATTATTTTTCCATCCACCAGTTCCTTATTAACATGTATATCGATAGATTGGAAAAATTAGGCGAAGGTACCTATGCAACTGTCTACAAGGGCCGTAATTCCACAACTGGCACTTTGGTGGCATTGAAAGAAATAAACTTGGATTCTGAAGAAGGCACTCCCTCCACTGCGATAAGAGAGATATCCTTAATGAAAGAACTAAAACACGAAAATATCGTTTCACTATACGATGTTATTCACACCGAAAAAAAATTAACCTTAGTTTTTGAATATATGGACAAAGATTTGAAGAAATATATGGACACCCAAGGTCACAACGGTGCTTTGGATCCTCCAATTGTTAAATCATTCATGTTTCAATTATTGAAAGGTATAATGTTTTGCCACGATAATAGGGTTCTCCACCGAGACTTGAAACCTCAAAACTTATTAATCAACTCAAAGGGCGAATTAAAACTAGGTGATTTCGGTTTAGCTAGAGCATTTGGTATTCCTGTTAACACTTTTTCAAATGAGGTGGTCACCCTTTGGTACAGAGCACCCGATGTTCTTATGGGCTCGAAAAACTATTCAACTTCAATTGATATTTGGTCTGCGGGTTGTATTTTAGCTGAAATGTTTACTGGTAGACCACTATTCCAAGGTTCATCGAACGACGATCAATTGATAACTATTTTTAAAATCATGGGAACTCCAAATGAAAGAACATGGCCAGGTGTATCTCAATTACCAAATTATAAACAAAATTTCGATTTGTATTTACAAACTGATTTAGCTCAAATCATCCAAGGTATTCATCCATTGGCTTTAAATTTATTAAACTCTCTTTTACAAATGAAACCCGAAACACGAATAAGTGCAAGAAGTGCTTTGAACCACCAGTGGTTTGCTGAATATTATCAAGTCAATGTCAACGTAAACGTTTCACCCAATACTAATGATATCTACAACCCAATCAACCCAATCAATTCGTTAGGCTCAATTAATCATGGTGGGTATCAACAAGCTCAACAGCAGCAGCAACAACAAAATTTACAGCAAATTCAACATGCTCAACAAATCCAACATGCGCAACAATCCCAAGGCCAACAAAATCAATATATGAATCCCTATCAGGTTCAACAAGTTCAACAAGTTCAACAAGCTCAACAACATTATGTTCAACAACAACAGCAATTGCCCAATATGATACCTGGAAATGTAATAAATTCCAATGATTACAATCAATACCAAGCTTATCAACAACAGCAACAATACCGCATGAATAAAATGGTTTAATAAATTATTTTTGAATGCCAAATTGTTTTTTGTTTGTTTATATTACTTTTTATATCTTAATTTTTTGATCTTGATTTTTCAATCTCGATTTTTTTCTAATGACAGGCCTTTGAACTGCCTTACAATTTATAATTTTTTATTGTGAAGTTAAGCATTAATTCTTTGAAATAGATGATTTTTTTGTTCTGAGTATCCTGGTATCTTAGTATAGTATCTTAGTATAGTATCTTAGTATAGTATTTTAGTATAGTATTTGGTATTTTAGTATTTTAATATCTTAATACTTTAATTTCTTCGATTGTTCGTATTGAAAAAAAAAACTATTTATTGATGTATTCCTATTATTTACAGATGAAATGAAATGAAATGGACAAATAAATAAATAAATAAATACAATTCACCTTCTAGGCTTAATAAACGCTGATTCAATTGGATTATCATTCGCTTTTTTCTTTTCAGCAAATCTAACATTTTTCAGTCGATCAGTATTATTAGTCTTTGGATTATTAGTCTTTAGATTATTAGTTGGATTTGATCCAGATTCCTTTTTAGGATTTACACTGGACGATTTGATCTGATATTGGTTTGTTAATTGATTCAAATTGTCAGATATAGAAGGGTTATTGTTATTCAATGGCATGTTTGAACCATTTGTCCATCTTTCGTCGGCTTGTTTTGCTAGTATTTTCATAGCTTGCTGTCTTTGAACATCAGCAAGTAGTTCAGTTAAAGTTGGATGCCTAGTTCTCGTATATCTCAACCACTGCATCCATTGAGTGGGTATTTCTTGTTTTTCAAAATGTTTTCTGTTATCTCTATAATGGATGATTCTCCGTAATCTTTGATTAGCATTGATATTTTCAAGAAAAAATTCCCAGTAAGTATTGCCATTTAAATCGTAGCCAATAAAGAATTTTTTTCGAAAGGGAACGTTTCTCAAGGACCTCCATCTATGCCATATTCTTTGGAAGGGAGTGACTTTACCAGCAAGTGGATCCATCATTAAACCTGATCAACAGCTGGAAGTGATAAAACATCGAGAACAGATCGAGAAGATCGCTTGTTTTGCAGAACTCAACCGGCTCACGTGCGCATTCTTGGAAAGCCTTTCCACACTTTTCAATAAGCAGTCTGGGGTTTGTGTGATCTGGGGGTTTGCGGAGTCGTGCTCGCACGTTAATTTGGCAAAGAGGTGTCGGATCGAATCACTACGAAAGAGTAGAGGAAGAGCGTAAAGAGATTGGGAGAATTGAGAGGTGAGAGGTGAATGGTGGGATAATTTAAATTAAAGATTACAAATAAGCTTTTTGTATATAAGAATTGGTCCCCAGTTGGAAGATTTTGTTTCTTAAATTTCTTTTTGTTTGGGTAAACCAGGTATTTTGGCATTGGAGAACTGGGTTATCAAGATTGTGCAATTAAAAAAAATGACTGGTATTCAAACTACGTTAATTCATGGAGCAGATTCGATTTATGAACGAGTATCGGATGTTGTTCCACCAATCAATGTTTCCACTACATTCAAGTATCCTCAAAAGGTTGAAGAGTTGATTCCAGTTGATGATCAATCTATCGATAGTATAGCAGGAAGTGGCAATTTCATTTATTCCAGGTTATCGCATCCCAATAGTGAAGCACTTGAATTGACATTTAAGAAATTGTTTGGGAAAGATGTTGTTGTTTATTCGTCTGGATTGGCGGCGTTCAATGCGATTTTATTTCATTACTCGCCCAAGAGGATTTTCATTGACCATTGTTATGCTGGTTGTCATGGGATAGTCAATTTGTTCAAAAGATTTGGACTAAAGGAGTTTGGGGTGAGTGAAGAAGAGTTGAAGGAAAATCTATCGCAGGGAGATTTGATTCATATTGAAACACCAGTTAATCCTGAGGGAACCAGTTATGATATTGAGTATTTTACAAAGATTGCACATGAAAGAGGAGCATATGTCTCAGTTGACTCTACGTTTGCGCCATTTCCACTACAAGATCCATTTTTATTTGAAGCCGATATTGTTATGCATTCAGCTACAAAGTACTATGGGGGACATTCAGATTTGTTGTCGGGTTTGTTAGTCGTTAAGGATGACAAGATTAAAGCTGAGCTTGTGTTTGATAGAGTTTATCTTGGTACAAACATTGGAAATTTAGAGAGTTATTTATTAATTAGATCATTGAGAACCTTTAAGATGAGAATCGAGGTTCAATCTAAGAACTGTGAAAAATTGGTTAAATATTTAAACGATAATAAAGAAGGGAAATTCAGTAAGGTTATTGATAAAATCTATCATTCAAGTTTACAAAAGGAGGAATTTGTTGCAAGACAATTACCAAATGGATATGGACCAGTTTTCTCAATTGATTTAGTTAGTGAGGATTTTGCTAAAAGATTAGCAGCAAACTTGAAATATTTTCAACACGCTACAAGTCTTGGAGGAGTTGAGAGTTTGATTGAATGGAGAGCATTAAGTGCACCTAAAATCAGAAGAACATTGGTTCGAATCTCAGTTGGATGTGAAGAAATCGAAGATTTAATTGAGGATATAGAGCAGGGATTATTATCCTTGTAAAAAAAAAAAAAAAAAAAAAAAGAAAAAAAGATAACAAGATAACAAGACAATAAAATAACAAGATAGTAAGACAATGAAATAACGGAGCTAAATATTAAATAGAATTAAATAGAATTAAATATTAAATGGATATTAATTATTAATAAAATTTTTGATTATAGTTGAAGAGCTAAAAACTGGATTGAGAATAATTGACGATAAAAAAAATTGTAGAGATTTTCTTCTTTTATTTATAAATTCTGTATTAAAATTATTGTTTTTATTTTTATTATTTTTATTATTATTTTTATTATTTTTATTATTTTGATTATTTTGATTATTTTGATTATTATTTAACAAATTGAGATTGAGATTAAGATTGAGATTGAGATTGAGATTGAAGTTGATGTAATTGAAATTTTTTGGTGGTAAATTAGGTATCTGATCAGCCTTGTTAGGGTAATTGATTAATAATTCTTTTCTCAAATTAAGGAAATCATTATACCTCTTATGGATTGTGATTATGGAATTATTCTTTGTCTCGATCTTGATAGTGTATGTAGTAAATTTCTTGAACTGGCTTGATAATAAGTTTGAAGTCGAGTTGCCATTAATTATGATTGCATCACCTATTATGACATTTTTCGCCCATGATTCGTTATCGGTGACGTCGTTATTGATCCTATTGTTCTGATCGATTTGGTTTATCTTGTTGTTCTGGCTGATTTGATCTGAATGAGAAATCTCAGTAGTGTGAGCCATATCAGACGAAGCACTGTTCTTGGTATTGGAGTGATCTAAGAGCTGGATGGGGGGACTGAGATAGAACGTGAAGTCCCTTGAGTTTTTCTGGAGACTTCTCTTGGGTTTGGCTGTGTTGGCGCTCATTTCCTCAGCACTGAGCTTCGAGCCACGAGCAGCAGAAGCAACACAGGCAGCTGGAGCATATATCTCTGGCCTGCCGCGCGGTCACGAACGATGGGACCTGGGAAAACGTGCTCCACACGCAGCTCGAGCCACCAGCTCCGTGGTTCCACAGCGCCAGCGAGTCCCGAGCTTGTGGGAAGAGCCCTGTGTCTTGGAGGTTGCAAGATGATGGCACCTCACATGCCGCTGCCGCTGCACTTCCAGGCCCAGCTTCAGCTGCTTTAGCTGCTCCAGCTGCTCTGGCTGCTGTGGGCCTGGGGACGTGTGGAAAAACCAGCACAAAGAACCGGCCTTGCTGCCTTCGGCCCTAGCGTCCTATGGTAGCCGTTCCATTTCTAAGGCGGTGAGACCTTTGGGTGCTCCTCTCCAGTGGAAGAACGGAATTCCTGCTTTTTTATCTCCAGCAAACTGCGCACCAGCACAATTCTGCTGCTGCAACCGTCCCGCGCTCGTGGGTTTTATCCACTTCTCCCCCGCTCCTCCAATTAAGTCTATTTTGTTCTCTCTGCTCGTATACCTCGTGCTGCCCTATCTGTCCAATTTCTGCCGTTTTCTCGGCCCGGTTTACTCTTGTCCCGTCATCTACACAGACCTTGCGTTGTTTTTTCGCTGCTCAACGAAATCCCATAGCATTTCTGCGAAATCTGCGAAAAACCGGCATCTCGTTCCAACCATCTTGCTCGAAATCTGGAGATGTCCCACGTGAGCTCCCGTCGCTCAGGTCCCGATCTCTCTCTTATATATAAAGCATCACCAACAACCTCTTTTTCTTCTAAACGATCAACTATCTCTTCTTCTTTTCCTTTGTATAAATAAAATTCCTCTTGATCAATTCCATATTCTTCTTCTTTTTTCTTTCCTTGGTATCTCTTTCTTTCACTAATTCTTTCGTCCTTTAAAGGTATGTTGGCTTCAAAGTCTATTTAAGCTTAATTTTTCTCACTCCTGAGTTTTGTTTTGTTCCTTTCAATAACATACACCCATTTCTTCACTTTCGAGTGGAGAACTTTATTCCACCTTTCTTTAATTTCAAGCTCAAAAGGAACTATTTGTTCACTCACCCAAACACATCATCCTTTTCCTATTATATCCTCTCTGTATTCTGTATAATTTTCAATTATTCTACAGTACTCTCCAATAGTATCTCATACTACTTAAATTATTCTTGGTTTACATTTCACTACTGTAATCTTTCCTTATTGATTTTTTCGATTTCACTTTAAAACCAATATCATCATTTATCATAATAACATCAAAACTCAATTTTTTCTCTTTTTTCTGCAGCTCTGGCTTTTCAACCGAGATTTCTCAATTTTTTTCATTTACTAACTTTTTTTTTCCATCACTCAATTGATCAAAATTACAATTCAATACAAATGAGGAATTTCAAAAGAATTCAAATCATCAGAAAATCAAAAATTATAATCCATAAGCCGAGAATCACAGCCCAAAAAGTAAAACAATAGAAATGCAATAAAAATAATAAAAATATAATAAAGTAGCATAATTAGACAACCTTTTTCAAGCTTCGAGCTATTTGTTTAATTTTTATTTTTTGGTTTCTGCTTTTGAAACATGTCTTGGATTATCAGCACTATTTCCTCATTTGTATTGTATATGTATCTTGTACTAAATTCGTTATTGATTTTATCAAAATCTAATTTTTCTTTATTTTTTGTTTTTCCTTTTTTGTTTTTTTTCTTAACCCTTAGATGACTTTACAACACCAAGTAGTTCATGAAGCTAATAACCTAGTTGCTCGCTCAACTCCAAAAGAATTCTTCCAAAATCAACCAGAAGAATCCTTTTGTAAAGATCTCGCTCAATATAAAGAATTACACAAACAGTCAATCGAAAATCCTGAAAAATTCTTTGGTGATTTTGCTAATCAATTATTAGACTGGGATAAACCATTTGTTAAAGCTAAAAATGGTCACTTGAGAAGTGGTGATGCCTCTTGGTTCTTGGGTGGTAAATTAAACGCTTCCTTCAACTGTGTTGATCGTCATGCTTTTAACACTCCTGATAAAGTAGCTATAATCTACGAAGCTGATGAAGAAACTGAATCCCCAGTCAAATTAACCTATGCTGATTTGTTATCCGAAGTCTCAAAAGTAGCTGCTATTTTGAGCGATTGGGGCGTCAAAAAGGGTGATAGAGTTGCCATCTATTTGCCAATGATTCCAGCTGCTATAATTGCAATTCTTGCTGTTGTTAGATTAGGTGCTGTGCACTCAATTGTCTTTGCTGGTTTCTCTGCTGCTTCTCTAAGAGACAGAATAGTGGACTGTGACGCCAAAGTTATTATCACCTCCGATGAAGGAAAAAGAGCCTCAAAGGTCATTCACTCAAAAAAAATCGTTGATACTGCTATTGATGGCTTGTCAGTAGTTGAAAAAGTCTTAGTCTTTCAAAGAACTGCTGCCTCAAATATTCCAATGAAATTTGGCAGAGACTTTTGGTGGCACGAGGAAGCTAAAAAATTCAGCGGTTACTTCCCTCCAACCTCTGTTGATTCTGAAGACCCTCTATTCTTATTGTATACCTCTGGTTCCACCGGTTCTCCAAAGGGTGTTGTTCATTCAACCGCTGGTTATCTTTTAGGCGCTGCCTTAACTACTCGTTACGTCTTTGACATCCATCAACAAGATATCTTGTTCACTGCTGGTGATGTTGGTTGGATTACCGGTCATACTTATGCTTGTTATGGGCCTTTATTATTAGGTTGCGCTACAATCATCTTTGAAAGTACCCCAACTTATCCTGATATTGGTAGATACTGGAGAATTGTTCAACGTCACAAAGCTACTCATTTTTACGTTGCTCCAACAGCTTTAAGATTAATTAAACAATTAGGTGAATCGGCTATCGCCAAATATGATATTTCATCTTTAAGAACCTTAGGTTCTGTCGGTGAACCAATTGCTCCTGAATTATGGCAATGGTATGACGAAAAAATCGGTCAAGGTAGATGTCACATTGCTGATACATACTGGCAAACTGAATCTGGTTGTCACTTAATTGCTCCATTAGCTGGTGCTGTTCCAACCAAACCTGGTTCTGCTACTGTTCCATTTTTCGGTATTGATGCTGCTATTATTGATCCAGTTTCCGGTAAAGAATTAAAAGGCAATGATGTTGCTGGTGTTTTAGCTATCAAAAACTCCTGGCCATCAATGGCAAGAAGTGTCTTTAGAAACCACGACAGATATATTGACACATACTTAAAACCTTATCCAGGCTACTACTTTACAGGTGATGGTGCTGGTAGAGATAACGACGGTTACTACTGGATTAGAGGTAGAGTCGATGATGTCGTCAACGTTTCTGGTCACAGATTATCAACTGCAGAAATCGAAGCTGCTTTATTAGAACACAGCGGTGTCTCAGAAGCTGCAGTGGTCGGTATCCATGACGATTTAACTGGCCAAGCTGTTGTTGCCTTTGTTGGATTAAAGGAAGGTTACTTGGTCTCAAGAATTAAAGAAAGCGAATCTAAAGGTGATCACATCACTTTAACCCAATTAAGACAAGAGTTAAGAATTAAAATTAGAGCTGAAATTGGTCCATTTGCTGCTCCAAAAACAGTTATTGTTGTTCCAGATTTACCAAAAACCAGATCCGGTAAGATAATGAGAAGAATTTTAAGAAAAATTATTTCAAATGAAGCTGATCAAATTGGTGATACTTCAACTTTAAGCAACCCAAGCGCAGTTGAAAAAATTATAACTTCAGTCGATGAACAATTTTTCAACTTTAAAAAATAAAATAATTGATTAAGAAATAAAATTCCTAATCTGATACTGTGTTTTTTTCTTTTTTTTTTCTATTTTTTGTGATATTTTCAATTATCTCATATTTTATATTATTTATAATTTATTATCTCTTAATTTCTACTTTTTTATTTTTGATTTTTATTTTTCAATTCAATTCAAATAATTATTTTGAAGTGCTGACGAGTTGCTATATAGTTTTTGAGTATAAATATCAATTTTAATTATAATTTTAATTATAAATTCAAGTATACAATTAGAAGTAAATTAACAGCTGTAAATATTTATATATATATATATATATATATATATAAATATGTATGTATAGCTTATACAATTGTTGAGTTTAATATGGTTCATTTGTTTATTTTTTTAAGTTGAATTGAAATTGAGATCAAAAAAGAGTAATAATATAAACTAATTGAAAATAAGCATTAATTGAAATATATACTACTAAATTAATATTTGAAATAAAAATGATAACAAAAAAATTAGAAAGAAACGTAGCTTAATAAAAAAACTTAAATAAACTATTAACTAAAATCGGTCAATAAATAAATATAAATAAATAGGTAGATAGGTAGATATTAAAAGGATTAAAATCAGGATTAAAATTAAAATTAAAATTAAGTATTAAAAGTAAATTTTTCAAGAAAAAATGAGAGAAAAAATGAGAGAAAAAACAAAAAAAAACAATATGATAAAAGATATTAAAATGAATAAACACAAGAAAGATAGGTAGGATTAGATCCGATAAAATAAGATAAGAGGAGATAAAGTAAGATAGATAATATTTATGAATAATTATTTCTTTTTGACAGATAATTCTTTGATTTGATCTTGCAATTCTTTAATTTGTTGTTGAACGGCTTCAAGATCTTTATTCAATCTATTTCTTTCGTTGACGATATTTTGTTCCCATTGTCTGAATCTTGATTCTTCAGTTTTAACCTTTTCAGTAAAATAGTTCTTCAATTGTTCTTCATCCTTTCTAAAGAGAGGGTTATTTTGCAATCTTTGGTTAATTGAGTTTGAAGTTGGAACAATTGGAGGAATTGAATCATTGTTTGAGTCAGAGTTTGAGGAGAGGGATTTTTGTTCTTCCATTTTAAAGGCTCTGTATGATTCATAGTGCAATTCTTCGGTTGATAAGATTAAATCTAACATATTTGTTCTTAATAATAAGCTTCTTAGTTTTAAGAAATCGCAATGAGAAGAGTTTTCAACTTCTGCTATACCCCAGGGGAATTTTCTACCAATGATTAAGTCACCTTTTAAGTTTTTAACCAAAGATTCCGAGCCGATTATGGCAAATGGCATTAATTGAATCAAATCCTTTGCATGTTCAGCGGAAGTTTGATCATCTAGATCGATTGGAGGAGAGTAAATTTTGATGTCTTGAGCTTCAATGACGGCTCTTATTCTTTGTTTGAAATCTGACATTTCCTTTGGAGATAAAGTGTCAGCCTTTGCAATGACAGGAATTAAATTGACTCTTGTGCATAGTTTTTTCATGCATTCGATATCCAAAGGTTTCAAGGAATGGCCAGTTGGTCTAATGAAATATAGACATGCATGGACTCTTAAATCGTGGATATTGTTTCTTGAAGGTTGTTGTTCTTGTTTCATATAGGAGTCGTGTTGATCATCAATAAAGTCAATTAAAGATTGATAAGAGTTTTTATTGTTGATATTGTCACCAAAGCCTGGAGTGTCAATGACGTTTAGTCTGATTTTGAAGTTTTTTTCTTCCAATTCAGCTCTAACGACATCGATTTCAACAGTTGCATGAATTCCCTTTTGGTGACGAGCAGAATTTTCAATGTGGTTCTTCAAGGAAGTTTGAAACAAAGTGTTAATGAAAGTGGTTTTCCCTAGACCAGATTCCCCAGCGACCATGAGAGTGAAGGTAGCACCCTTCTTGGAGACAATCTTGTATCTCTGGATGGGCAAGTTGTCAATTCCAACAAGCTCAGAGTATTGGAGTTCAGGAGAGGCAGTAGCAGCAGAAGCCATGGCAGACAGCGAGAAGGACAAGAAGCAGGCAGAACGAGAGGCAGAGGATGGTGTTTCTGGTTCAAAAGTGGTAGCGTGGAATGTGAAGCTGAAGAAACACGACTACGTATTCGATTCCAGGCGTGAACGCACGTGCCGCGGCGGTTCGAGTCCCGGCGAGGTCTTCGGTGTTTTGAGCGTTTTCCGCTCGTGGTGGTTTTGGTGCTTCTGCTTCTGGTGCTTCTGCTGTTTTTGGTGCTTCTGCTGCGTGTTTCGTGTCTGTGTGTGCTTCTATTTCTGTGCAATGTCCTCCTCTGCTGCACCTGAGGCCCCCCAGGACCAGAACTTGTTGACTCCCTACATCAAGTCCTTGTTGCTTGAGCCTCCCAACCTCACGCCCAGCGACTTGAGCGTTGTGTTGAAGTTGATCATCCAGGGCTACTCCAATGACTGCCAGGTCTCGTCCTTCTTGACTGCCTTAAAGATCAGGAAGCTCGACCAGCAGCCCCAGTACATCAGTGCTGCTGCCAGAACCATGTTGGAGTTCTCGCACTTGCTTCCTCTCCTGGTCTTGCCCCAAGATGACTCACTCCGCTACCTCGACATTGTGGGCACTGGTGGTGATGGCAAAAATACCTTTAACGTCTCCACCTCAAGCGCCATCATTGCTGCTGGAATCCAGAACTTGAAGGTGGTCAAGCATGGTGGTAAGGCCTCCTCCTCATCGGTTGGCTCTGGCGACTTGATCGCCCAGTTGGGTATCAATGTCAGCAATATAAACCTCAATTCACTCCCAGATCTAATCAATGATCCCAGCATTAACTTCATTTTCCTTTTTGCCCCCATTTTCCACCCAATTATGAAAAACTTGGTCGATTTAAGAAAAAATTTAAATATTCCCACTATTTTTAATATCTTGGGGCCACTAATCAATCCGTTTCCAAAAATCACTTCAAGAATTATCGGTGTCAATAATGAAGCCTTAGGCCCAATTTTTGCCAACACCTGCAATCTAATTGACCGTTCCTTAGACAATAACAATACCAACACAATGATTGTTTATGGAGAGATTGGCTTGGACGAAATATCTCCCCAGGGAAAGACCAAAATTTGGTTAACCAACTCGAGTAGCAGCAGCAACCCCACCGAAAACGATAATCGCAACGCAGACAGCTCCAACAATCCTACCGGCAGCAACATCATCTGTAAAACCATCTCCCCTGCTGACTTTGGCTTAAAAGAACACTCCATCGACAACGTTAAAAGTGGTACGCCTGAAGAAAACGCTCGCTTCTTGATCGATCTTCTCAACAACAGAGTTCCCTTGGACACTAACCTTCCCTTGGTCGACTACATCCTCATGAACACTGCTGCCCTCTGTGTTGTTGCCGGCGTCGCTGATGACTGGAAAAAGGGTGTGGAGTTGGCAAAGACCTCCATTCTCTCAGGCAATGCTTTGGCCAGTTTGACCAGTTTGGCTCACTCCACCAATGCCTTCTGAACTGCGCTTCCCGATTTATCGGGTATTTCCAACCACCACGTTTGTGTCTCGTGCTCTTTCTCCCGCTCTCTTGGGCCTTCTCAAAACGGTCGATCAAATATAAACAAAAAAAGTAAATAACTGAAGTAACTGATTAGATTTATACACTAGTTTTTTTTATTTCTTCTTTAATAAACAGCTTTCTATCCATTGGCCCATCTCTATTGAATTAGCAATATTTATAAACTTTCATTCAACTAATTTTATTTATATTCTATTTTATATTCTAATTTTCTCTATTTTTCTTTTTTTTTGCCCGTTTTGTTTTGTTAATTTTCAGCTTTTGTTAAATCACTCTATTTTTTTTAATTTTTTTGCTTAATTTTTGCTTTTCTAATTAATAATGTTCTTGAAATCAATATTTGATACTCCCAAACCAAATCCGCTTAATCAGAACCAATCGAATAAAAACTACCAATTTACCCCCATAACAAATCAAGATGACTATGATTACATGAAAATACCTAGCAACAATAATAATAAAATCAATAACAACAACAAAAACAACAACAACAACAACAACAATAATAATAATAATAATAATAATAATAATAATAATAGAAAAAAAACTAGATCAGCAAATATATCCTTTGATAATACTGAAACTTTCGATTCCTTACCAACTTCAACTCCATTCAAAGCTGATAGACTATTCACAAACATTGACAATAATAGTTATAACAAAAAAAATAATAACCAAAACAATAATTTGGAATCAATAACAAATCCTCTAAAATATCAACAAGAATCAATTGATAATTTAAAATCTGAAAATATAGGCTTGAAACTAAAAATTAAAACTTTAACTGAATACTTGAAAAAAAATACTTCTTCATCATTGAATAATTTAATTCTAGAAAATTCAGATTTAAAAGTCGCTATAACTGATTTAAAATTGAAACTAAACAACCCAAATTCATCCAGCAATAATAACCAAAATAACGATCAAAATAGCAATCAAAATAATAATCAAAATAATAATCAAAATATAAATGAAATTAAAAAACTTAAACAACAATTGAACCAAAAATCTTCTTTAATTGAGAACCTTCAGGATAGATTATCAAATAATTTAAATAATTCAAAAAATGAAAAAGAATTATCAAATTTAAATAACCAAATCGAATCTCTAAAAAAACAAATCAATATTAACCAAAATGAAATTTCTTTAAAAGATAAACGAATCTCATTTTTACAAAACAATATCAAATCTCTCCAAAATGACAAAGAAACTCAAAAAAATAATTTTATTAATAATAATCAATCTAGTAATCTCGAAAAGACTAATCAAATTAAAAACTTAAATAACCAGATTGAATCCTTAAATGATCAAAATTTTGATTTGAAAGTTCAAATTAATAATTATAAAAAGGAAAAAAATCTTTTAAATAATAAAATTGATTCACTATCTAAAAATTTATCATTAAAGGATGAAAAATTTAATAATATAAATTTAAAACTAAACTCTTTTAAAAACTTGCTATCAAAAAATGATTTGCAATTAAATAATTTAAAAAGCAATTTAAACGAAAAATTAACTACTATAAAAAATTTAAAAGAAAAAAATATAAGTTATGAAAATCAAATTAATTTAGATCAAAATCAAATGGATTTGTTATCTTCAAAGATAGTATCGTTATCAAATAAATTAGAAAATTATGAAAATTCAAATATTTTAAATACAAACACTCAAGTTAATAAATTAACTTCTGAAATTGAAAGATTATTAACTTTAGAGAATAATTTGAGAAACGAAATTAAAAATTATAAAATCAAAATTCAAGATTTAAACCAAATTATAAAAGAACAAGATAGTATTGTTAATGAAGCGAATAGCTCTTCATTTTTTGACAATGTTGAATCATTACAAGAAGAAAGGGATCAATTGCTTGATGATATTAAATTATACGAAAATCATATAGAAGAATTGGAAAAGGACTTGAACACTTTAGCTTTAGAGAATGATTCCTTAAGAAACCAACAATCGATATTGGACAATAACATAATTGAATTGGAGAATCAAATTCAAGTTTTACAAAGAGATTTAAATCATATGAATAATCAAAGAAGTAGTAATAATTATCAAAATGATAAAAATTATTTAATAAATGAAATTGAAAATTTGAAAATGGTTATAAACAAATTAGAAAATGAGTTGGAATTTGAGAGATTGAATAACAGTACCAATCAATTGAAAATTTTTGATTTAAATAGAGATAATAATAATAATAATAATAATAATAATAATGATAATGATAATTATGATAAACTAGAGATTAAACGACTATCTGCGAAAAATAATGAATTGGAATTATTAATTAATGATCAAAACGATGCATTTAGCAGCCAAATTAAAAGTCATGAAAAGAAAATTAAGACATATAAGAATAAATTAAGTGAAAAGGAAAATTTTTTAGAAGAATTGGAGAATAAATTCAGTGAAAGCCAAAAGGAGTTTAAAAGAGAAATACAAAATAAAGAAAGTGAGATTTTGGAATTAGAAAGTGAAGTTTTATCAAAAGAGAATAAAATAAAGTTATTAAATAAAGAGATTGAAAATGTTCATGAAGATCACCAAACGGATTTTGAGATGTTAAAGAAGAAAAATGAAAATAAAGTGAATTCAGTCAACGAATTGTTAAATAGTGAAATCGAGGAGTTGCGGAAAAAACGAGATGAATTGAGTACGAAACTATCAGTTAAAGAGTTTGAAAATGATGATTTAACTAGGCAATTTGAGAAAATACGGAATGCAAACAAAGAATATGAAGAAGAGATAATGAAGATTAAAGAAGATATGAAAAAAATGATAGATGAATACAATCGTATTAAAGAAGAGAAAAAGGGAGAATTTAAGGGTAAGGACAAAGAAATTTTGGAATTGAGAAATGAAAGGGATAGGCTTGAGAGTCAATTGAGGAAATTAAATGAGGATTATAAAATACTAAGAGAAGATATGGTGAATAAATTTGAAGAATTGTTCAATTCCAAGAAGGAGTTGAACAATGTAATTAATAAACTCAATAGTCAAATTAAGAGTTTGGAGATTAATAAAGAGATTGATAACGAGGAAGAAGAAAAACGGTATAGGAATAAATTGATGTTGTTGGATAATCAAATTAAGTATTACCGAAATAAATTTCACGAACAGATTTATATTACGAAAGATTTAAAATTTTTGAACTCGTTTATGATAAAGCAAATAAAGAGTTGTAATGAAAATTTGTTATATGATTTAGAGACGTTGGGAAATGTTGGTATTGAGATTGGAATTGATGGTGAAAATACGAGAGAAACGCCCAAAAGAAAGAAATTCAAAACCGTTGCATTGGCTGTTTTGGCAATGGTTAGATTAAAGAATCGATATGAGAAGTCAATTAAGCAGAATGTTAAGATGAAGGCAATAGTTTCGAATATTGAGAGCAGTCGAAAAGTGTTGATAAATTTGGGAAATAGTGATAAAAGTGATAAAAGAATAAATTCTAAATATAATCAATGAGGCTGGTATAATGTAATAATTTTGTTTTAATTTATGATTTATAGAGGATTTTTTTTATTTTTTATTTTTTATTTTTTATTTTTTATTTTTTCTAATTTATATTTGTTCAAGATTTTGTTTCAGGACTATTTTTCAATTTTTTGTTTCAGAAATATTTTTTTGAATGTTGTCTTTTTGAAAGGTTTAAGTTAAAATTCATTTGTATGATTGTTATATAGGATTGTATTAATTAATTTGTTTTTTTGCATTATAGATAATGAGTTTTAATATATTATTTAATAGAGTTGAATTAATAAGGTAATTGATAGTGGTAATAAAGATAATATTAGGTAATTGAAGAAGGATGTTAAGAAATGATAGGTAGTTGAAATAGAGTTTAAGGAGGTATAAAACAAGGATAAGAGAGAAACGACGGAGTGTGATTGGGTAGAAGAGAACAATACGTCGCAGTTAAAGTTTGTTGTTGAGTTTGTTGAAAAGGAATTGATAATAAAATACCGGTGAGATAAGTTTTGAATTTTAAAATTAAAATTAAAATAAATTGAATTGAATTGAATTGAAATATTTTTCAATACAATTTTTCAATTGTCAGTAAATAATCGCCCTTAAAGAAACGCCTAAAAGCTAGTGAATTAGAAAGGGAATGGATTGAAAAGCCAGTTGACTGATAGAAGGCTTACTTGAGATCGGAAAGAGGCAACAGAGAAATTGAAACAAGTTGAATGAAGGTGAGCAAGTTAAACAAGATACAAAGCAGATACAGAGCTGGATCAGAGAGATGCAAAAGTGTCAAATTTTAGATCTGGAGGAAGACCGGATTAGGAGCATTGAGTTTGAAATGAAGGAGTTGGATTTCCTCTTTGGGAGTGGGCGTGATGTTCACGCCTTCTGGGATTGTTTTGGGAGGAAAATGCAGACTTGCGTTTGCGGAGAGCTAGACGCGTGAATGGTGCATTGTTTTGCAGCAGTATGAATTTGCGTATATTATAACACGTGACTGTACATGAGAATGGCGAGGAAAGGATGGTGAGAGAGAAATACCATGGTGGCGGTAAGAGGAGGGATAAATTCGTAAATGGTGATAAATGGTGGAAAGACAGCCGGTCGTATTCGCAGTGCTCAGGTTGATGAAGGTTAGCATCAGATAGAATTGATAAGTTGTGATGGTGGAGATTTGCCCATTGAGCTGGAAGGACCTGAAATTGGATGAAATTTAATCTCAGGTCGACAGTGGGCACGAAGAAATGGGATAGGGGAACAAATCTAGAAATACAAAAGTACATAAATAGATGTAGAAATAACACATAGTATGGCAAGAGCTGTTGTGATAATTCTCAAGTCAAGATCAACGATGTGAATTTCAAGAGAGAGATAGTTGAGCCATTAGTAATTCGATTGACGTTTCAGGTTGTATTATATCTTGAAATGCCAGTGTTGATTAAGGGTTGTGTTGATTACGGGCTGTATTTTTATATGGCGAATTTCTTATTTTAGTAATTCCCGGTTTTCAGTTGCGGGCTGTTTATATAAGAACACGTGTTTTGTCTTGTTGAACTGGAAAAAATTTTTATGAATTGGACGAGTTGGTTCAGTGCCAGGATTAGGTTTTGCAGATCATTTCTATCGTTGATACTTGGAGTCTACAACATTGGATGAACATTGAACAAACATTGAACAAACAGTCGTTGAAGATTTAATGAAGCGAGTTTTAGAGTTTAAAGCAGAGAAAAGGTAGGATTAGCATATTGTAATGTCGCAAGATCATATCATTTTGTTTCGTATGAATGAGACTAACTCAACTCAAAAAACATAATGTTATAATTAATTCGCATTTGCGTAGATACAGGTATAAAAGTAGTTGTTCAGGTAAAATTCTTTTACAGTCTTGAACTGTTTTGATGTGATATTCACGTTATAATATGTTGGAGTAAATGATAAAGTAATATGTGCCTTTTTCAGTACGGGCAAATGAAATCAAGTAAAAAAATTATAAATAGGCAGGTTATAATTATTGTATTGGGAGGAGAAGTTTTAGTTATAAGTTCTGCATTTTCGCAATCGATAGTAACTTGTTTCGTAATTTTCAATTTATTTTTTAGTCAATTCAAATAATTATTTGTAAATAATTATTTTAATTAGTGTTTTTAGTTAATAAAATTTAGTGGTATTTTTGCTATCGCTAAAAATTCTCTCACTAACATCAGACTGCTTAATGTTAAAAAATTCATTCTTTAAAAGCAGATATAAAGAAGCATAGACCGGAACTCTAAACGCTAACAGATCCTGTTTTTGCAAGGTAAGTCACTCGGGGGATTCTTCCTTCACTGAGACACCAACAATAGCAAACGTGATATTCCCGTAGCCAGACGCCCGCGCCCTCCCATTGAGGGAGGGCGCCACTCATTATTTTCCTCATCCAACGTCCGAGCAAATAGTGCCCTGAATCAGCTAAACACCACAATCTCAGCGAGCTGCTACAACGCACAGAGTTTTCTGCCTGGATATTCTGCGATACTGACTCCAAACCGAGCGTGTGTTTTCCGTGTCCTCAGCGAAACCATGACTGTGAGCCGGCATGCACCTGCCCGGTCACAGCCCGTAATTGCCAGCACGCGTCCTGCTATGCGGCTGTCTACGCAGGTGCTCCGAGCTCGAGCGTCCCAACGGCTGCACAGCTCCACAACACGCGCCGAGCGCTGGCACTGCAAGCCACGGTCGGCAGCCGGCATTAAACGTGTCCCAACACACGCACACGGCGGCGGGTGTGCGTGCGGGCGCAGTTTGGCTTGCAGGCCCGAGCTGATTATTCTGCTACTCAGCAATGGGCACTGGCGTTTGTTTCGTTTCTCATAAATACCTATCACTTCCTCCTCCATTTTCTTTCTGCTTTTGCTTTCTGTTTCTTCTTCCCTAAGCGCTGACACTTTTCTCTCTTCTGCTTGCAATTATCTCTACTCCAGATCACAGCTCCAGCAAATCCAGCAAATCCAGCAAATCCAGCAAATCTAACAATATATATATATATATTCTCACATCCTTCAATTCCATCCTCTCTTCAACAATCCAGCCCTACGATCTAACCGCTGTCACTTTTTCCTCACAATCCTCTTCATATTCACTTTTTCCTCACAATCCTCTTCATATTCACTCTTTGCTAGCTCTCCATCTCTTTCTATTCCTCCTCCCTTTCCTTTCAATTCGTTCATTCCTCACTCCAACTTCAGCTCGTCCTAATCATCTCATAATAATATTCGTCATAATTCCCTTTACTTTTTAAGGCGTTCCTTTAGTCTTTTTTCGTCCTTTTTCTTTTCTTTTTTCCTCGCTGCTCCATTTAAATTTCCAGTTTTTTACCAGTTTTGTATTGTTTTGTTCAATTTTTCCAATTTTTCTGAAATCTTATTAAACTTTCCAATTTTTAGATCCACTTTTCCAATTTTTAGATTTCACATTTCAAAATTTACACTTTCCACTCTATCTCACTTTTCACTATTGTAAATGAACTTCTTTTATTTCTAATTTATTCTATTCTATCTCACTTTATTATATTATATTATATTACATTACATTATCACACTCACTACAATCCTCCAATCTTCCAATTCTCATACCTACCTACCTGCCTGCCTACCTATACCGCCATCACTCCGTCTCCTCCACCTCTGCTTTTATCATGTTCTCTCCCAATAAAATAATAAAATACCTAGTCTTTTCCGAATTCGACATTAATTCAGGCCCAATAATTAAACAGCAATATCCAACTAAAATCCCTGGCGACCTACCTTATTTCGCTGAATTACTCTTACCTGATCAAATACACACAAGACCTCAGGATTGGACCATAATCATCCTCCATAAAAACAAACTCAACAACACCTACCAATACCATTCAGATCTATACAACAATCACCAAAATAACTCACCACTCGATTACTACAACGATGACAACAACTCCCTCAATCTCGATCTCAATCTCAATCTCAATCTTGATACACAAATAAATAACGATATTGACAACCTAAATTACAACGATGACCAACTATTCATCCTAAACGTAGTAAACACAAGATTCGACCCAAATGTCCCCAGAAACTCAATCATAAGAGGCCTTGCCCTAGCTACTTCCTACCAATTCTTCCAGATCTTTAAACCTCTCCTACTAATAACCCTAGACCAACTCTTTCTAAACTCCTCTTCTGTCAACTCCCTATCAATCCTTAAAAACCTATACTACACCCTAAATAATATAAGTATTCTAAATAACTTGCCCTCAATTAACTTTGAAAAAAAAATACTTCTAAACTCAATCCTAGATTTTCCAATTACTGATTATGTCAATGACCATTCTTATCTTCTAAATTTACTTAATCCTAATAATAACAATAATAATAACAACAATAACAATAACAATAACAATAACAATAACAATAACAATAACAATAACAATAACAATAATAACAAAATCCCTCATGGACATAAATCAAAAACTAAAAACAAAAACAAAAACAAAAATAAAAACAAAAACAAAAATAACCTCAACTTCTCTTTAATCATCAAAAATAATATCAAAAATAATGTCAAAAGCAACTCTCTACAAATCAAGAATAACAACATCGAAATCTTTGTAAACTACTTGGGCATCAAAATCCCTCTAAGAATCCCCCTCCTACAACTACCTCTATCAATCGGCGAATACTCAATAAGAAACTTCATCCAGTACTTTCTAAACAGTACCTTGAAATTCTCAAAATTATACCCCGAACTAACCATCTATGGCAAATCAACTCCTCCAATTATCGTCCTAATTAATGCCTTTTTAACTCATAAAAGAATCTTCTATTTAGGTCACAAAAAACCGGCTAATGAAATTTGCCAATTCATTGTTGCAACAATAGATTTAATCTCCGGTGGTGGCTTAATTAATGGAATCCTAAATAAAACTTTCCCCTACATTGATTTATCAAAGTATGATCTTATTCAAAATTTACCTTGGTTCTTTGCTGGCACTACCAACCCAACTTTTAAATCTCACGATGACTTATGGGACCTCCTATACGACATAGAATCAAACGAATTAGTCCTATCTTCTTCTCTATCTTCCCCTTCTTCCAATAATAATATAAATATTAATAACTATACTTTATCATCTCAACAATCCTCCTCTTTTAATCCTATTTCAAATTTAAGATCAAGTAAAAGCTTAAAATCTAACAGAAATAGTTGCTATACAAGCTATACAACTTCTTCCTCTTTAGATACAAGCTATAGAAGTAGTGTTAAAAGTGTAGCCTATTCAACTCCATATTCAAATTCAAGTCAATACAATGATGACGATTTCAATACAAGTGAATCAATAAATGCCACCGACCCATTTTTTCAACCCATTACTTCTATTCACCCAATCCCTTCTTTACCTTCTTCAAAATCTTTCAATAACATGAATTTCAATAACTTGACCACTATTAATAGTAATGACACAGGCTTTAATAGCTTTAATAATGGCTTGAATTTTAACTCCTCACTCTTAAATCGTTCATATAGCTCAAATCATAACAACATCAATAACAATAATGACCTCGATAACCCAATCATTTTAGAAGACGCAAACTTTTTATCTCAATTACAATCAATGATGTTATCTAAACAAGATGATCAAACTATTCTATTAATATTTAGACAACATATAAATCAAATTTTAAGAATCTTTCAAAGTGAAAGTGATCATGAATATTTTACAATGAATTTAAATGCTAAATTTAAAAACGCAAACTCAAACTACCTTTATTCTATTCAACCAACATCTTCGGCTTATAATATTTTAAATGCAAATCTCAACTCTGAAAATCAAAATAAAAACATAGGAAACAGCCAAAATATTTCAAATCAAGACACTTTCAAGCCAATCATCCCCGGCACAGGTTACTATTGGTCTTCTAAAAGTGACAGAGCGAATGATTTAAAAACTTACTACATTGTTTATAAAAATAGTAAAATCCTTAGTAAAAATAATGAAGAAAGAATCCTCTCTTATTATTTTGATAAAAAAAATCTTCTTAATGATTTTGATGCATGGTTGGACATTTCCTATCAACTTTCTGTTATTAAAAATAATGCAAATCTTCCTGTAGTTAAAATTGTTGAAATTTATTACTCTATATTAAAATACCTAACTTCAAGCGTTTGTGTTGAAAGATTTCTATTATTAACTTACTTATTACCTTCTTATTCTGTTAATGATAAAAACGATATGTTTGAAAAGAATGATGGCTTAGAATTAATCACTTTAGGATTGTTTCATAAAGATTCAAGAATTAAAAAAATGATTCTTTTGATTTTATTTGAAGTTGAGAAAAATATTATTGGGGATTTAATTTTGAAAAAGGGTTTGAATCCATTTTTGAAACTCGCTTATGATGATCTTAAAAAAGCGTATAAAAAGAAACAAAGACAAAAATACAAAGAAAAGAGGCAAAAATTAATCCTCAAATCAAAAAGAAATGCCCTTTATCTATCTAGAAATAAAAATTTAATACCTGTTCAAAAATTTCCTGAAGTAATAGATTCCACGCCACCAAAATATTTTGAACAATTCAATTTTGATGATTATATATATTAGTTCATCATTATATATTAATTATTGATGATTTAATCTCTTTTTATGAACTTTTTTATGAATTTGCTTTTGATATTTTGCTTTAACTTTAACTTTTTTAATTATTATTCCTTTTCAAATTATTTTTTCAGCTATTTTTTTCAAGTTTTTTTTTTTTTTTGTTTGTTTTAAGTTTTTTGATTTATTTTTTATTCAATGTTTGGTTCTCTGGTTTGTTTTGTCTGATCTTGTTGTTTTTGTTTTTATAATCTTGTTCTCTTTATTTCTTACTTGTATTAAAAAAGAATAATTTAGTTTTTTTTAGTTCTATTTTAGAATTGTTAGTTCATTATGGGATTCTTTAATTTGTTTTGTACAATTGCTTCTGTTTTTAGTGACTATTTTATATTAGTTTTTGTAAACTATTCGTTATATTCTTTTAATAATAAAAATTGTAATATTCATATAAAGTGAAAACGCAATAAAAAAAATAAGTTTTAAGTTCAAAGATCAGTGCAAATTTGCTTTGGAAACAAAATTGCTTGAAAGACTGGCAATATCATCTTCTATTTGTTTTGATTGAGAGTATTTGGCGTCTTGACCGGAGTTTAATTGATTTAATTTTTCAGTGAAACTAGAAATTCCCATACTAGAATTGTAATATTTGCTAGGAGGGTTTGCACTACCTAGCCCAGAACGAGAATTGAATCTCTCACCTCCAAGTGGAGGCCACCCTGGCTGCTGATTGAAGGCTCCAAAAGTTCCTAGAGAGTTAAAACTATCTGCCATAAAAGAAACCAATGAAGATGTGTCGAAATCATTGCTAACCGAGCTTTTGACTGTTGAACCAACAAAATTATCAGAATGGTTTGGCCTATAAGGTTGATAATTAGGATCACTTCTATTGCTTAACTGGATAGTACATAATTGCAAGTTATCCAAAGGCCCTTCAACAAGACAGCCCTTTTCTCTGAAATGAGTTAAAAGATTGTTCCATAAAGAATTCCTTGCTAATGATCTGGGGTTTCCTAAAATAATCAAACCATATTTTGCTCTTGTTAAGGCAACATTCAATCTTCTTGGATCTGAAAGAAAACCAATAACTTTTCCCTCATTAGCTCTCACACACGATAAAATAATAAAATCCTTTTCTCTACCTTGAAAAGCATCAACACTGGCAACTTCAACATTCATGTATAATTCGTTGCTTAGAGAACCATTATGTGTCATATACTGTGTAATATACGCTCTCTGACCTTCATAGGGAGTAATAATACCAATTTGAGAAGGTTTGATACCATCGTTAAATAATTTGGTAACAATTTTCTCAACGTTTATAGTTTCAACACGATTTAAGTAAGATGTTCCAGATGCAGAGATTTCTTCCCTGCCATAGTTAGCCCAAAACATCATTGGGATTGAAAAAATAGGCCATGGAAATGTTGAATCAGGAATTAATCTATCTTCAGTTGTAACACCGTTTTGCAAAGAGCCTTCATAGAACATATTTGAGGGAAAGTCGGATAAAAATGGGTTCATTCTGTATTGAACTTCCAATCTAATTGGAATGTGGCCAAGTAATACTAATCTTTCAAATAGTGATTGCTTCAATCCAGCATCACCAGCGTTTTTATCAAGAATAACTGGACCTAATTGTTGATGGTCACCAACAAGAATGACTTGTTTGGCTCCCTTAACAATAGGAATAAGACATTCGGGTTCAGATGCTTGGGTACTTTCGTCAATTAAAACAGTTCTAAATTTTGAATTTTGCAAACGCTTATCACCTGCACCAACACAAGTGCAACAAACCACGTCACATCCACTTAATAACTTGTTTTCAGCTTTTCTGATTAATTTCAAATACTTTTTAGAGTCATTTGAAGATAGTTCACCTACCTCTTCTTTTAGTTTCATTAATTTTTTCAATTCACCTTTTAAATTTGTTTTGACCAAAGAATGTAGAGAAAGGTGAGAAACAGAACTTTCAACGTCTTCACGAGATTTTGCAGTTAATCTGATAATTTTCAAGCCTAAAAAGGATAATTTTGATGCTAGATGATCTACTGCAACATTCGATGGAGCACATACAAGAATTCTTTCTTTATTAATTTTGGAAAGATGGTAAACGATAGTTGCAGAAGTGACAGTTTTACCAGTGCCCGGGGGACCTTGGATTAATGATAAAGGTTTTTGTAAAACTGACCTAACTGCATTAGCTTGAGAAATATTTAAATCTGTCAATTGAGGCAAAGAAAATTTTGGGGGTAATTTAACATCAAACTCGATTTCTGGAACATCATGACCTAATAATTTATGATAAATATAGCCTGAAACGGATTCTTTATCAACAGCAAAAATTTTCATAGCAGTTTGCATTCTTTCATATGATGTGCCTTTCCAAACAAAGTCGGCGGTAAAACCATTAGTGAGATTGACAGGAGGAGAAGTTCTTTGAAGACATAATTCCAATGTGAATTCTTCTTGATAAGAAGAGGGCAACTTAACAATATAGCCATTACATTCCCAAGGATCATGTTCAGTCCCAGAATATCTTAAAACCATTTCATCACCAACTGCGACTTTTAGTTCGTTTGTTTCGAAAGTTGATAGAGTAAAAGAAGCTAAATGACGATTATTTAAACCTAAAGACCATTTAACTGAGATATGTTCAAGTCCTTGCGATTCTTTTAAATGTTTATCATAATCAGCTTCTAATTTAACTAAAGGACCAAAAGATCGTTGGTATTCATAGGCGTCTTTATATCTCATTAAAATTGGCAAAATTTCGTCTTCTTCATTTGTGTTTTTTTCAATGTCTTCTAAAGTAGCGTTTTTGTTCATTCTCCATTGGGCTTCTAATTTTGTAATTTGAGAAGGAGTGATTAATCTTGCATGTAATTGTTCTTCTTCAGAAGGTAGTGCTGCAATCCAACTCAATAATTGTCTATTATCGATTAATGGCTGCCATTGTTCTGTATCCCAATTGACATCCTTTGATTGAGCACAAGGCAATCTACAAAGAATAACAACAACCGACTCAGATTTAGCAGAAACATAACCTAAAATAAAAATGTTTTTGCTTCCGCAGTTATAACATTCCAACGTTGTATCACCCAAATCGCAATCAGCATGCAAAGAAACTGTGTTGTGATGAGATATAACTAAGTGAGTAATGATATGGGAACCAGAGGTGTTTTGCTTTGAGTTACAAAACCATTTATTGCACGATTCACATTTAACGACACAGGATGGAGAATGGATACCGCAATAAGAACAAGCATGCTCAGGTAATTCCTGAAAAGTGTATTGGTTTTCATCAAAACTTCCTTCGATATCGTCAATAATTTCATCAAACCCAATGTTATTATTGTCTTCTTGGGATTTTTCGGGATGTGTATTATACTTATCAATTGATTCAGCTTCATCAAGGGTGGAAGAGATAAAATTGCTGTTAATACTTTCATTGTCTGAATCATCATCAGGCTTTGAAGATGTGTTATTAAATAAAATGTTTTGTCCAGTATTCATTTTTCATTTCTTTTCTCCCAAACAGCATTTATTAAAAGTTGATCCGTAAGAGATGTAAAATAGCTGAAGTATGTTAAACCAGAACCAGTAGTGAATTTCCAAAATGACCAGTGCTTAATAAGTCAATTGTTAATCATGAACAGACTCTCTTTTGCTATCTTCTTTGTTTGGTAGGTGTAGCAGTAATTGAAGAACAAAATTTGCTTCATCTTTTTCCAATTTTTAAACGCCATCACAACCGCCTCCGGATCAACCGCCAAACCATCCGGGCGCGGATTTTTCGATTCCCCAGCACACGTTGCTGCATGGTTCTGCGTGCTGTGTTGTATGTATATGTACTCTGATATACGCTGTTAAATTTACTCAACACGTGTAAACTCTCGAAACTAAGCTTTCGAGCGTGATCATCCCTGGCAGAAATACCGATTTGGTCGGAGAGAGCCCATTCCGGTTTGGTCTGGCCGTTTTTTACTTTATCAGTGCTTTTATCAACATGAGAATATATTTGCTTTGAATGCAATATGTAAACCATAAACTATATGTTCTCCTTCATCGGCAAAAATAATCTTTCCATTGTAGAAATGAAATTTTTTGTTTAAATAACCAATGCGATTTCTGAGTTGTATTTGAGGGGAATTGATCTTGAATATTTTTCTGATGAAATTGATATCAACTTCACCATGGGATAAAAACAAATTAAAAGTTGAAATTGTTTTGAATAATTTTACTCATAAAAATCCATTCATTAGGTTATCAACTAGAGCTGTGTCTGCCTTAAGACCGTGGTAATTTTCTATGATCTTGTTTGAAATCTCTGATATTTTGAACATTAATTTGGGAAATATTTCCATAAAGTCTCTTGAATTAATTAAGTTTTGAAACTTTGTTTGACAGAAATTTAAATTAGTAAATACCATGTTTTTATTCATTAATCCAAAAAATATATTTTTGTTTCCATCAAATAAAAGACTAAGTTTATTAAAAAAGACAGTTCCCGGTACATTATTATTGGTATCAGTTACAGCAGCACTCACTAAATTATCTTGAAATCGATTTGTACTTTGAAATAATTAACAATAGAAATCATTAAAAGGTTTTAGATCAGGATAATTTCTAAAGATTTCTTGAAAAATTTGAATTGGAAATTCACAAGTGATATAATCAGCCATGGGATATAGTAGTTTTAGTTCTTGGGTGTCAAAGAAAGATGTGCATTTAATTGAAAGGCATACGATGAACATTAATGAAATTTCTGGATTTAGCTCCACTAATCGGTTGGAATATGTCGCCAAAGATATAAAAACTGATAAAACAATAAAGGATTAAAATCCCCACTCTCTCGAAAAATCATCAAGCATCTTTTCAGGACAGACTTCAGGTGTGATATATTTGAATGTATTTTGGATAATTAACAGTAGAACATTTATGTTGAGTGTAGCTGCAATAGCATTGGAGAAAATTATAGGATTTAAGGTGAGTAATTCTGTCTATTGTTATAGTACTCAATTTTGGTTATGTTATTCAGGCCTTTCGACAATTTCTTCATCGCATTTATTCTAAAAATTGAAACATGAAGCAGAAATATTGGTTAGCTATACAATGCTTGTTCCAAGAAACAATTATTGAACTAAATTTGTGATTATGTAAATTTCAATAATTATTTAAAATTTTTGACTGAACTGAAAGAAATTTTAAAGAATACTTTTAATATTTTCATAAGTAATAGCACTCTTTTCTTAAAAGCTTTATGATCTAACTACCTTTCATTTTTGTGAAAAGAAATCATCAAGCTATATTCCTGACTATCGCATAACGATAATTCTAGGTTGAGAAGTAAAGTTTGAGTGCTATTGCCTATCAACGCACAACCTGAGTTCAATCTTAGTTAAGGTAGTTACCTACTTGCATATTCCTAAATATGTAAAGCTCGAGAAACAAGTATCGAGCTTTCTGTTAACCAAAATTGTAAGACTGCATTTTGAAGACCATTGAAAATTATCTTCTGCGACTGACCTGACTCGCCAAAGGTATTGTTATTTGAAAGGTATTACATGTTATCTGGCCCACCGCATTTGATTTTTATGTGATTTTTACGACGCTCAAAATTTTCATAACCACAGCCCTTCAGTCCTACAAAAGTGTAAATACTGCAAATACTAAAAATACTACAAAGCCTTCCCACAGACTCTGTTTTTATCTGTTGGTGATCCAGATACAAAAATCTAATCAAAATCTCCAATGGCTAATTTCAAAATAACAACAGTAGAACTAAACTAAATGGTATATATAAAAACAATTTCTAGTTCAGATTTGTGATTTTTATTGATTTGACCAATTCTCATTCGATAGGAACCACTCGATAGAACATCAAAGAAATCAAAAATGGATTTATCTCAAATCAACACAACTGCTATAGATGCTACATACATTTTGAATATTGAAAGTCAATCACGCATTGGCAGACAATCATCAAATAAAACCAAACAAAATTTGAAATGTAATAATATTGTAGTATTATTGACTAATAATCTTAAAGAAGATCTGAAATTCTCAGTGCATGGATATTTACTCGGTGAAGATAGTCACTTTGATGATGTTTATCAAAATTATTTGGATGGTCGAAAAAAAATTGAGCTTTATAGTAACTCTTCAGAAATACTAAGATTTATTTTCTCTAACTCGGGCATTAAAAAAACTGGCTAATAGAGGTTATTATACACTTTGGATGAGAAAATTAATGAAAACGAGCCATTTAGGTTACCAGCTGTTAAGACAGATCCCATTCAAATCCAATCCTCCAATTCCTATTGAGCCTATGCCACAACCAGACAGAACAGAAAATGTTAACTGATGGAAATCTTGAGTATGGTGATTATTTGTTGATGGGTGCTGCGTTTGCTTGGTGAAGGACTACTTCAGTTTTCATCAGATACTCAATTGACCTTAATAGCATCATTTATATTATATATCATTTGCTATACTACTTAGTATATTGTTTGATTCAGAACTGTCATGTTTATTGCCAGCAATTACAAAGCGCTGCTTTTACTTTTCCATTGGCAGCGTGTGCAGTTTACTTATATCCTTTTGGTAGAATAAACAATCTGCATCAAAATGCTGATATGTTCTGATCCGGACGTGCTATCGATACTTTTGCTGTTGTTCAGAAAAGACTTACCTCATAAATACAAATTACAACAATGTGAGGAAATGCAGCTGCAAACATCAAGCACCTTCAGTTTTCAGCTCTAAAAAGCCGCAAACAAAATAATTTTTACAGTTCCAAACAGTAAAAGACCGCTTTTCCGTCTCACGGAAACGGTGCGGATATGAAAATCCTGTTTTTAGAAATTTATTGCTGGATAGCCTATTTTACGGGTGCTGTCCGTTGAAATTGACAAAATGCTAGTAACATGTACAGATTGTTCTTACGTTAGCATTTTGTCAATTTCAACGGACAGGCACTATTAGTGAAGAGCATTTAAAATTCCACTCAATGGCATTGTAATGAATAAAATTTTCAGCGACTCGAGTGGAATAAAACTAACTTCAATTTTAAATTACAAATTGTTACTTGTTCTTCCCACTTGTAGAAACCGCACTGTTTCCGCGAGACGGAAAAGTGGTCTTTTATCGCTTCTTTGAAAAGCAAAAAAATGGTCTTTTTACTGCCCTAGCACCAATATCAGTTTAACTTTTTTTCCGTTGATGTATTGCTAGAAATTCATTGTCAATTAACAGTTATATATGGATATTGAAAGTTCGTATTGTAGGCTTTATCACTTATTAGCTATTAATTACTTATGAATAGCTTTAACATATCTCTCAAAAAAGTAAATGAAAACAACTCATCTTCTCACAAATTATCTCGAGATAATTCTCCAGATTTTGAAACACTGTGGACTGTGTAATTGAATCAACTCATGTTTTTAATTTAAATCAATTTACCCGAAAATATAACAAGAGTTTTTGTGATTGAGATAGTATCAAAAAATGATTGGCTAAAAACAAATGAAGAAAGAATTTTCGATTACTAATTCAATTCAGCCTGTTTTCTAAGAAATTTTTATATAAATATAAATGGAAAAATTACATGTTAGATCTAATTAGAATATTATTAAAACAAGCTCTGATATTGTTCCTTCTAAATTGGAAATACTAAGAAATTCATTTTTGATTATTTATTCCCTCAAGAAAAAAAAACCTAATAACAACAAAAATAAAGAAAATGTCACAAACCATCACTTTAGAAAACACAGAACCACAAGATGTTCGCATCAAAGCTCCCGCCATTGATCAACAAATCGAAGCTATTATCAAAACAGAATTCAAATCTGCTTATGTCCATAGTCAATCACTACTTCCAAAAGATGTTCCAAATGGTAGTGATCCTGAAGGTTTAAAAAGACTACCGGAATCAACTCGTAAGAGATTTGATGATGCTGGAATTGATATTTCCAAAGGATATCCACATGTTCCTAATAAAAAAGACATTCCAATTTTCCTTGATGAAGCGTTTGAAATTAGAAATAAAGAATTTCCATATATTGAAAGAGGATTAAATGCTGACCCAGAAAAAAAAGCATTGTTTGGTGCTGCTAAACAAGTTATTAACCTTACAAAAAAAATTGGTACCGAAATTGTCGGCTTACAATTATCTGATTTGAATGATAAACAAAAGGATGAATTAGCTTTGCTTGTAGCTGAAAGAGTTGTTGTCTTCTTTAGAGACCAAAAACTATCTCCCCAAAAGCAACTAGAATTAGGTCATTATTGAGGCCAAGTTGAGTTGCACCCACAGACACCAAGAGTTCCAAATTTGGATGGTGTTATTGTTATTTGGCAAGATTACAGGTTTAATACTTTGACTTATAAAAACAACAATTATGGTAATTTTGGTAAGTTTGGTGGATTTGGCACTCAAACATGGCATACTGATTTGGTCCATGAATTTCAACCAGCTGGTATCACTCATTTACATAATGATGCCATTCCAGAGCTTGGTGGTGACACTATTTGGTCTTCGGAATATGCTGCTTATGATAAATTATCTCCTGCTTTGCAGAAGTTTTTAGATGGAAAAGAAGCCATCTACGTCTCAGCTCATGGCTATCTCGACAGAGATGACCCATTTAGTGGTCCAAAAAAAGTTGAAAGAAGACATCCCATCGTTAGAACTCATCCTGCAACTGGTTGGAAGGCATTGTTTGTCAATAGGAGCATGACAAAAAGCATTGTTGGTTTGGAACCACCGGAATCTGATGTCATTTTAAATTATTTGTTTAGTGTCTTTGAAAAAAACGCTGATATCCAAGTTAGATTTAATTGGAAATCAACTAAACCAGGTTATGGAACTTCAGCGATCTGGGACAACAGAATATCTATCCATAGTACTGTTTGGGACCATGAAGGATTAGAACCAAGACATGGTACAAGAGTTACTTCGTTGGCAGAAGTTCCATTTTTTGATTCAAAATCAAAGTCTCAGAGAGAAGCTTTAGGCTTGCCTTTGAACTAACTGACTAATTGAGGTTTATATTTTTTAGTTTCTAGTCTTTTTAGTTTCTAGTCTCTTTAGTTTTTCAAAATCTGCTTTTTTCTAGTTATTTTTGTTTGAAAATAAAATCAATATTCTGAAATAGGTATATTTTCTTGTGCTTATTAATCTTTCGGGTAGAGAAATTTTTTGTTCTTGCATATTTAGTTTATTGTTATTATAAACGCTTTTCATTTCTTATGTTGTTAATAAAGAAAGATTCTCAAAACAACAGAGAATCAAGAAGTAGCTGATAGCAAATATCCAATATTTTTTATTTATATAGATCAATATGCTTTTCACAGTGAATATCAACATCAGATTACCAATATTTGGTATCAAAAACTTGTTATTAAACAATAAACTCAAGATAAATTCTAACACATCCAACGATACCAATAACATAAAGAATATTAAAATCATCAATGGGCAATGGATGGAAATCTGTTTTAGTAACTTTTTGATTAGTTTTTATTTATTTGAATAAGCATAGTTGATAAAATTTAAAACTAATAAAATCTAACAATTAAATATAGAAATTTGTAATTATTTTATTAATCTGTTTTAAAGTGCCGAAATTTATTGAAATATTATCCAAACATTAGATTTTGTTTTCAAATTTTTATTCAGTTAATACCAGACCAAAAAGCAAATTAGTTTTATAAGATGTATCACGCATATTTTATTATGCAGCAAAAATTTTGAAAAAAAGTAGAAGATTATTTATAAAAGCATTATAAAAATATAAAATTGAATAAACAAGATTTGTAAAGTGTAATAATTATTTCTAGCCAACTAAAATTTCATTTACAGCTACTTCCTTGACAATATTGTTCTATTTATACTTTGTTTTAATATAATAACATTTATCCAATAAAAAAGCAGGTAGTCGGTTTATCAATAATAAAAAGCAAATTCCTTTTTAACTGATTTAGTCTCTAAGAAAAGAAAAACAGTATAAACCAGATATTAAATATCATCAACGTCTAATCATTTCTGAATAAAGACTTAAAAGTCAGAAGAAAAAAATGACCAATAGTATATAAATTGAACATCCTAAAATTGTAAAAGCAAAAATAATATTTAATTGGAATTTTTTGTCTTGAGTATTTAATCCAAAATGACCACTGGCCTTTAGATGAGTTATTAAAAGCATTAAAATAGTTTTAAACATATTCATTAACTTACAACAAAAAGCTCTTAATAAAAATTTGCTCTTAATAGAAATATCAATACATAAATCGCAGATTGAATAAATAAAAAATTTATACTCTTGTGAATAAAGTTTTAAGTTAAGGATTTTATTGAAAAACAATTGAAAATTCTACTTTTGCATTTGTGGGGACTGAGTATTGTTGGTAGATACACTATTGGGAGAGTTTCTTTGGTTAGGAGAATTCTGTTGAATTATTATTCCATTTTGAATAGGTGATTGATTCCCCTGTAGTCTTTGAATTTGTCCGTTGTTAAGACCCATTTGCATCTGCGGGATCAAGTTCTGTATTTGACCTTGGATTTGAGCCTGGGCAGCTGCCTGTGCTTGCAATCTTTGTGCCTGAATCTGCAATTGATATTGTGTTGCCTGGACTTGAGCCTGTGCATGAGCCTGTGCTGAAATCGGTGAATTAGAAAGGCTTTGTTCTTTCTGTAGAATCTTCAAACGATACTCCTTTTTTTGCAGCTCGGGTAAGTTCGAATTATTTATCATTGCTAATTGTTTGCTTGTAGTTGGTGACAAAGAACTGAAATTAAATTTTCCGGAAATGTTATTTTTATTTTGCAAATTATTATTTTGACTCATATCGGTTATTGAACCTGCAGCATTTACAGATGTATTGGCAGTCCCTCTATTATTGAAATTATTAATTTTAGATTTCTCATTTGTTGCATGTAAATTGATAACAGGGCTATTTGCACTGACATTATTATTACTATTATTATTACTATTATTATTGTTATTATTATTATTATTATTATTATTATTGTTTTTATTATTATTACTACTATTTTTACTATTATTATTGTTATTATTATTATTATTATTATTATTATTATTATTATTATTATTATTATTATTATTATTATTATTATTATTATTATTATTATTATTATTATTATTNTTATTATTATTATTATTATTATTATTATTATTATTATTATTATTATTATTATTATTATTATTATTATTATTATTATTATTATTATTATTATTATTAATGTTTTTACTTTGATTTTGATTTTGGTTTAAATTTTGATTCTGATTTTGATTTTTATCGGTCAATTGGTTTTGGTTTGGATTTGGATTTGGATTTGGATTTGGAGTTTTGTTTTGGTTTGGAATTTGAGTTTTATTTTGAGTTTGATTTAAATAATTCATAGTCAAATTTTTTACTTCATCAGCAGAAATATTTGGATTATTAGCCTGTAGTTGTTGGACAATTTTAGTTATTTGATCACGACGTGAATTTAATAATAAATTATTTCCATTATTCACTTGATTATTTCTATTGTTATTAGATATAATAGGAATATTACCCACATTTGGAGAGACACTTTGAATTCTTCCAAGAGGCAGTTGCTGTAATTGTTGCGGAACCTGTTGTGGTGTTCGTTGCAATTGTTGTTTTTTTGGATTTTGCTGAGGGTTTTGATTTTGCTGGGAATTTTGGCTTTTTTGAGAATTTGACTGTTGAGAACTTGATTGTTGCTGTTGCTGCAATTGTTGTTTTTGTTGCTGTTGCAATTTTTGCTGTTGAAGTTGCTGCTGTTGCAATTGTTGCTGCAATTGTTGTTGTTGGAGTTGTTGCAATTGTTGTTGTGCCTGTTGTTGATTCGGATGCGCTTGTGATTGTTGCAATAATATCTTTCTGTACTCCATAATTTGTTGCACCTGCTTAGGAGTATATGAAGACTTACTTGGAATAGTTCTATTGTTTGGTAAATTTAAAGGCATATTTTGATTTGGAATATTGGCTGCAGGGAGATTAGCTCTACCAGCATTCGCAGTTATAACCTGTTGCTGAGGTAAACTATTGGGTGCTGTTGCAGGTCGTGGAAGAGGATTCAATCTTTGTTGTTGTTGCTGTTGTGCAAGAATAGCGGCTGGATTTTTTTGAATGGCTAGCATCTGCCTCATTTGATTCACATTTGAAAGTTGAGAAAAAGATCTTTGAGCATTATTATTACGTAAATCACTTTCATATTTCATTAGCGATAATTCTATTGGAGTTGGAGAGGCCTGAATTGAATCAACTTGAATATATTTTTTTAAAGAAGAATTTTTTGATTTTGGCTTTACTTCTCTTTTTTTCATACATTTTCTTATCGCATCAAACATACTGGCCCATCTTAATTTTCTATGACCTCTTTGGATTGATTCATTTCCAGCACCAAGAGATAAAACTCTCCTTTTTGTAGAGCTCTGAACTTTATTAATATGATCCATCCAATTTATTGTTTGTTGTGCATGGGGGCCTTGAAGGTCAGATAATTGATACTTGTCACTATTTAACTGAAAAAATCTTTCAAAGCATATCCAAGGTGTTCTTCTTTCTATGTTACTTTCATATCTAGATCTAGAAATTCGTTTAAATAAACAAGATGATATTAAATTCCAGTTTCTTTGAAACTTTTCAGCACAGATTAAAAGTTCCTTATCTTCTTTCGGGGTCCAAATAGAAGGAGGTCTGAGAGACGTTGTTCTAGCTAAAGGTGGTTTTGGTGGAATTAAAGGTAACAATAAGAATTCAGATTTAGTAGAAAAAAGTCCATTCTTTTTTGAAGGATTAAAAGACTTGCGGTCAAGAGCTTTGTCGTTGATCGAGTGATTTGATTTCTTTTTCAAAACAACTTTGAACCAATCATGGTTTTCTTCATATGGAACCAACAACTTAGATACAGGAACGATGGGTATTCTTTTAAACTCATCTCCCATGATTTTCAAAGTATCATGCTGTCTGTCTTTTAAAGCCTTTTTTTTACGTTCTTGTTGAGGATTTAAATTCTCATCATTTTCCAAAAATGAAAATTCATTGTCATTAAAGGCTGAATATAATGGTAAGTTTTCTATTATGGACTTGTTTGTTTGGTTTAATTCATCAAACGATATAGAAGTTTTAAAGGGAGAAACATAGTGTGTTTCTTTTTCTGATTCGATATTCTCTGTTTGAGAGCTTCTTATTATGTCCATTGGATCAAAACTTAATTTTTCGGTAGTTTCAATAGTTTTATGTTGATCATTTGGTTCTGTTAAAAGAGAAACATTAATGCTTTGCAGAGATTTGAAAATTGATTGATTCTCATTAGAAAATTCTTGATTGTTGGGTAAAAAGTTAATTTTTTTTCTTTTAATGCAGCAAAAATCTTTTCCTAAATTCCAATAATCCATGATAGATTTTGAAATAAAATAACATGTTGCAATTTTATATTTTCTTGATTCTTTAAAATCTATTGACATCCAATTCATTTCACTCAATAGTAAATCCCAGTGCGAATAATTGTTTTTAACGTTTCCTCGCAAATTTCCCCCTCTCATTGAGCCAAAGACCTCGCCACTTTTGAATAAAAAAGGGTCTTGATACTTCTCGGGTTGTCTTAAAGACCATCTGCCTGATTTTTTTAATTCTTCAATTCTTGCATGGACAACGGAAATTTTGCCTTCAAGAAGGCCACTTTCAAATGCTTCTGTGGTTAAAACTTTGTGAGGATCTGCTGTTAAATTAAATAGTGGTAGGGATTTGGTGTAGTAATAAAGTTCAGATAGTGAGGAAGATTTTATAAATGTCAAGGGATAAATTTCTGAAGTTAAAAGAATTAATAAGTTAGAAAGATTGTCATGAGTTAATTGGAATTCTTTTTTATTATTTTGAGTAATTTGAATTTCTTTTAAGCGATCTGTTATTAGTTTTTCTGGTTTTAGTTTTTTTAAAGCTTCAAGATCGATTTCATCTTTTTCTGAAGTAATTGGTTGAGAATCTTTTTTTTTTAAACTATCTGGGCTTGAGGGATGATCTTTATTCTCGTTTTGAGTTGCCAAATTTATGAGCACATCCTCTGGATTTAGCGGATTTTCGTTATCTTTATGATTATCATTACTATTTTGTGGAGTTTTTTCATCACTTGATTTATTTGTTGAAGAAAATGTTTGCAGGTCATTTATATGAAGGGGTTCATTTTCATTTTCATTTTTTGGGTTATTATTTTTGTCTACAGAAGAAAGTTGAGAACTAGTGGGATTTTTATTGGAAGATGTAGTATTGTTTTCATTGGATATTAAATTTGGAGATGAATTTGTTTGTGATGAATTTTGTGATTTAGAAGCGTTATTTAAATTGTGGATATTTTCTTGAATATTGCTTTTGCCTTTTTTATGAATATCGATTTCATCATTCTTTACTGGGGGCAATCTAGTAGGTAAAGGAGAAGAATTATTTAATTTTTGTAATTTTGCAGGCCTGTTATCATTAAGATCCTGCAGTTCAGACTGACGACTTGTTTGAAGAGGAATTGAGTTGTTATTGTTTGATTCACTATCTTTACAGACATTGTATATACCATTGCTATTATTATTATTATTATTATTATTATTATTATTATTGTTGTTGTTGTTGTTGTTGTTGTTGTTGTTGTTGGCGAGAGTTTTCAAGTTGTTGTTTTTGTCAGTGTTATTATTGTAGGTATTATCAAAGTCATCATTGAAACCGTTATTGTAGTTTTTATTTTGATTAAGATTTTCATTGGGATTTTCATCATGAGGGCTATTTTTGGTATTATTAATATGCAGGTCATTGGTATGATTGTGAAGATTATTACTATAGCTATTATTACTACTGTTATTAGCAGATTCTGTATTATGGGCCATTGAATTCATATATTTGTGATTGAGTGGTAAAGTGGGAATATTATTTACAGCAGCTTTTAAATTTCTGTTCATTTGGTTCCTGAACTTCTGCTGAACGCTGTGGAAATTTGCTTTGATGTTGCTCGTTAGCTTGGAAGTGTTCTGAATCAAGGGGTGTTTGGGATTGTTTGCAACCACAGACAATGGAGAGCTGTTTCTCTGCTGTGTGGAGTTCTTCGACGATTCTTCATAGTTTTTTTTGTCGTTATTAATCTCGTCAAGCGTCTTTTGATCAAATATTAGCTGCTTTGTGATGTCATTTTTATCTAAAAAGGACGAAACAAAATCAGCAAAAAAGTCTATCTTGCTTTCATTCAAATAAATATAAGGGTCTTGAGACAAACAGAGTAGCTGGGCTAGTTTTTTTTTGCGTTGTTTTACAATCTCTTTCTGCTTCAAACGTCTTCTGGTGATTGCTTCGAGTTGTAACGGATCCTAGAGTGCGAAAAGAATATTAGAAACATGTTGGAGACAAAAAATGGATTGCACAGCACAACCCAAGACCTAAGCAACTACATACCATTGTTACAGCAACATCCACAGAGGTTGGTGATAAGAAAGAGTGATGGAGAGAAGATGGAGGAGATGGAGAGAAAGCGACTCCATAGCTCAAACACAGAGAAGGGTAATTTGCCGGCTCCAGAAGAGCTCAAGAGCCTTGAAGAGCTGAAGAGCTGAAGAGCACTTCTCCAGCCCTGAACAATGTCTCGTTTGGTTGCTGGATACTCGTCGTCGTCTGAGTCTGGCTCAGACTCGCCAGCAGAAGCAGCTGTCTTGAAGACGAGGCCCCTGGTGCCTCTGCTCTCGCTCGACATCGCTCCTCCAGTGCTGCTCCCAGCCAGACTCGCTGGGAAACTGTCCTCTAGCAACACACTCCAAAGAAAGACATTGACTGGGGTCGTTGAGACACAGGACTACGACGACTCCACATTCAACTACCAGAGCAGGACCTTCAGCAATTTGGGCTTTGCCAGAGACGTGAACAATAACACTGTGGGAAGTGTTGGTGGTTTCAGCAATCTGAAGAGTGCTAAGCTAACCAAAAACAAGAGAAGGAAAAAAGGCAGCTTCAGCAATGCCCTCAGTGATTACCAAGGACCATGGGCCAAATACTCCTCTGAAGAAGAGATGGGTCTGTTGTCTGCTTCGGATGGTGGCGATGGTGCTGATACTGACGATGAACATTTGAAGAGAAAACAGCTCCGGAACGACTCCAGTGAACCAAAACTGCCATTATCAACAAAGTTTTATGGGAAAACACAGTTTGATTATCAGGGAAGAACCTATATGCACATACCGAAGGACTTATCCATCAATCTACAAAAGGATCCAGGCTCACAAGAATGCTTTGTTCCAAAAAAACAACTCTCCAAATACAATGGTCACTATAAAGGCTTGACATGCCTAAAGTTATTTCCCTACTCTGGCCATTTGGTTTTATCTGGTGGCAACGATAATAAAATATTGTTATGGGACTTTTACCACAACAAAAACCTACTAAGAGGCTATTTTAACCATACAAAATCAATTAAAAGTTTATCGTTCAATGGCGACAACAATGTTTATTCAATTGATGATAATTTCAGCAGTGGCGAAAGAGGCACCAAATTTCTTAGTTGTGGTTTTGATAAAATAGTTAATGTTTGGGATACTGAGTATGGGAAAACTCTTAAAACTTTCAAAGTGGACTCAATACCAAATTGTGGCAGATTTATTCCATCTTCAGTTTCAAGTAACGAGTTGTTGATTGGTTTAAATAATAACAACATTGAGCACTACGATTTGAGAATCCCAGAAAATGAGAAAAATCTAGTTCAAACTTATGATCACCATCTAGGTCCAATTAATTCTATAACATTCCTCGACTCTAATCAAAAATTCCTAACAACATCTGACGATAAATCAATGAGAGTATGGGACTTTGGAATTAATATTCCAATCAAGTTCATCTCTGATCCAACTCAATATTCAATGCCGAGGGTATCAATTCACCCTCAAGGCAAGTATTTTGCTACTCAATCAATGGACAACTTTGTCTATGTTTATCAAGCTCATGGCAAATATAGACTAAATAAAAAAAAAATATTTAAAGGACATAGCTCTTCGGGTTTTGCTATTGATATGGACTTTAGCCCCGACGGAAAAATTATTCTAAGTGGTGATAATGAAGGTCGATGCTTTTTTTGGGATTGGAAAACTTGCAAAATTGTCAAAAGGATTACAGTCGATAGTTCGAAGAGAGCAATAACTAATGTTGCCTTTCATCCACAAGAAAAGAGCAAAGTGATAATGGGTGGCCAAAGTGGTGAAATATACGTTTGGGAGTGATTATATTTTATATTTTATATTTTATATTTTATATTTTATATTTTATTTTTTGTAAATTGTTTGTAAAATAGTTTGTTCTTTTTATAAAAATTTCTTTAATTTTTATATACAAGGAAATAAAATACAGTGATTTGTGTTCGGTTTTCAGTTTTCAGTTTTCTTTTCTTTCCAATTCAATTCAACTCAATTGGTATCTCAATCAGATCTTTCTAATGTTTAAAAATCTTTCGCAATTACATTATTTCTTGTTTTCTATTGAAGCAGGCTCAGTATCATTTGGTATACCACCTTTTTCAAAAGGAGCATCTTTTCTTGCTTCATTTATCATGGGCATTATTCCTTGCTTTGTCAATGCTTTCTATATGAATTTTAATAATAAATAGTTAATAACTGAATCATTCCATAATGGTTAATTGAAAAAGAAAAAAAAATACTTGAAAACTTCACTCACATCCACACAAGCCTTATAAGTTAACCATAATTCCTGGCATTCATTTTTCATCTAGGGAGATAACGAGAATAAAAAAAAACAGTTAATACATTATTTTGATTCATTTTAAGTTTTTTCGTCGATCAAATAGAAAATTGACAGCTTTAATTGAAATTGTAAACATACACTTTTTCCAGCAAGAAATTCTATAATTCATTATGTTAATTCATATGCAAAAGAATTTTCAGAAGGAAGTTGGAAAACAATACTACACATACTCTCTGTATACCAATTGTTGAAGCAATCGTCATATCTTTTTTTTGATATGGTGCACTCAGGGGCGAAACTTGAAGACATTACTAAGATAAAATACTATTCTGTGAATAAAGATGGTGTTTTCTTGAAAATTAGTTACACTTGATTAGATTTGAATGGTTGGAAAACAAACTGAGATTTTGGAAAGAAAATTTAGTGGGGTGATTACGTAAGTGCGATGAGGTGAAGTAAAGTTTATATAGAGAAGAGAAGAAGAGAAAAGAGAAATTGTTTATGAACTATTTAGTGTTATGACTTGGATAAATTTTGAATAAATACTCCATTTTGAATGTTGGAAATGTCGTAAATATCAGGATTATAGTTCTCCTGGAACAGGATATTGACTAACCCAATCGCTGACTTCTTTCCCTAATTGTTTGACTTTATCATTTTCATCAGCAGCAATCTTGAAATTGGCTAATAAACTCTTTGGAGAATCGCCAGTGACATTATTTTTAATTTCAATGGCTAATTCAACAGCTTTGTTGATGAAATCAGTGACTTTTAAGAATTCATTTTCTTCAAAACCTCTAGTGGTCATAGCAGGAGTACCGACTCTTAGACCATTTGGAAATAAGGCTGATTTATCACTTGGAATTGTGTTTTTATTGGCAGCAATGTTGATTCTTTCTAAAACAGCTTCTAACCTTGCCCCATCAATTTTCTTGGATCTTAAATCAATTAAAATTAAATGGGTATCAGTACCACCAGACACTAAATCAAAGCCCTTTTCAATAAGAGCATTGGCAAATACCTTAGCGTTATTAATGATTTTTTGCTGATATTCTTTATATTCAGGATGTTGTGTTTGTTTTAAAGCAACAGCCAAAGCAGAAATGGTATGGTTGTGTGGACCACCTTGATGACCAGGGAAAACAGAGAAATTTATTTTTTTCTCTAAATCATAAGGAATCTCTTTGCCCTTTTTAGTTGTCTTTCTGATACCTTTTCTAAAGAAAATCATTGCACCTCTTGGGCCTCTTAAGGATTTATGAGTGGTTGTTGTTACAATATCAGAGTAAGGAAATGGAGAATCAGTGACTTTAGCAGAGACTAAACCAGAAATATGAGCCATGTCGGATAAGACGTAGGCGTCAATCTTTTTAGCAATTTCTTTTACTCTTTTATAGTCAATTATTCTTGAATAAGCTGAGGCACCAGCAACAATGATTTTGGGTCTAAATAACAAAGCAGTTTTCTCTAATGTGTCATAATCGATAATACCGGTTTTTTCGTTCAATCTATAAGGCATTGTTTGGAAATATTTTGAAATAAAAGATATCTTGGTTGTGGGAGTTTGATAACCATGGGACAAGTGGCCACCATGGGGCAAATCTAAACCCATCAATCGATCACCAACATTTAAGATAGCAGAGTAAGCGTACAAGTTAGCTGGAGCACCAGAAAGAGATTGGACATTAACACCCCATTCTTCTGGATTCAAATCGAATGCTTCAAGAGCTCTCTTTTGACATAAGGATTCGGCATCATCAATGAATTGATTACCACCATAATACCTTTCGCCTGGATAACCTTCCGAGTATTTGTTTTGCATGGGAGAACCTAATAAGTCCATAACAGCCTTTGAAGTGAAATTTTCGGAAGGAATTAATGTTATGGAATTTTTTTGTCTTTGTTTCTCATTTTGCAAGATCTGGTACATTTCAGGATCAACTTGTTCGACATCTTGGGATATCAATTCCTGCGAGCTTCTCGACAAGGAGTAATTGCGAACATTGAGCAACTTTTGATTTTTGGAAAAGGATTGAGCTAGAAATCTGACAGAAAAGCGAGGCAAAGAGGTTCTTGGGGCAAGAGAAAACATTATCAACAGCGAAGGAGATACTGAGGAAACAAAAAGCAATAACTTGGTTTGAGCTTGAATATTTATATATTCTCCAGCTCTTGGTTGAGTCATTGGAGAGGGGTCTGCAATGCCAATTCAGGGGTCTGATCTGGGGCTATTCCGGAAGAGACCATATATGCGGACGCTTTACATTTGCTCGGTGATCATCTCCAAACACCCGGTGATCGGATCTCAGACGCACCGGAAAACGGCTTCATCACTGCTTTTAAAAGCCCCTAATTGAGGCTGCCAGAATCTGATGCTTTCAGATAATCTCCAAGTGTCTCCACCAGATATAATCCAGATTCATCCAGATTCATCCAGAGCAGCTTAGAGCAGATTCGAGCTTTGCTTATTCTTTAGACACACCACAACTGTTTCTAAATGGCTGAAATTCTTCGTACTCCCTCAAAACTAGAGAGAAAGATCCGTATGTGTCGCTATCTTTTGTCACCTTGTTCAGTCGCCCCAGCTGGATCATTAAGCAACTACTAACCACTCCTGTCTTTCGTTTTATATTGCCAATTAGATAGAGCATGTCGAGCCAACGAACCTGATTTGGCCTTGAATTTCGAAATTGCTGATTTGGTAAATGAAAAACAGGGCTCCTAGTATGTTATAAGTGATCTATTATATTCTTATTTACATTTGTAAAGTTTTTTTTTGTTTGTTGATTTTCTAACTTTTTATTATTTTATTGGATTATTTATCTTTTATTGTTTTTATTAAAAATTTTTCTCAGTCCTCGTGAAGCTTCAATTACTGTTGTTAAATTAATTAATAGCAAAGACCCCTTTGTTGCTGTCAATGCTTTAAGTTTATTAGACGTTTTAGTTAAAAATTGTGGGTATCCATTTCATTTACAAATCTCCAGAAAGGAATTCTTAAATGCTTTGGTAAAAAGATTTCCCGAAAGACCTCCATCAAGATACTCAAAGCCACAAAGAGTTATTCTATCTTATATTGAAGAATGGACTCAAACTTTATGTAAAAACTCAAAATATAAAGATGATTTAGGTTTTATCAGAGATATGCATCGTTTATTGGCTTATAAAGGCTACATCTTTCCTGAAATTAAAGATCAAGATTTTGCTGTCTTAAATCCATCTGACAATTTAAAATCAATAGCAGAAATTCAAAAAGAAGAAAGAATTGCAATGTCTGCTAAATTGCAAGAACTAATTAGAAGAGGTAAACCAAGTGATTTAAAAGAAGCAAATAAATTAATGAAAATCATGTCCGGTTTTCAAGATGATGATTCTTTAGTTAGCTCAAAACAAAAAGTAGCTGAAGATTTACAAAAATTGAAAACTAAAGCAGAAATCCTAAACGATATGTTAACTAATTTCCAATCCACCTCAAATAATGACCATTCAAACAGCTCTCTTGAAACAATGAATGAACTATTTAATTCATTGAAAGTAGCTCAACCAAAAATTACAAAATTGATTGAAGAAGAAAGCTCGGATGAAGAAGCTGTCTCAAGATTAATTCAATTAAATGACACCTTTAATTCTTTGACCACAAAATTCGAATTAATAATGAAAAATGATTTTGAATCCGCATCAAAAATTAATATAAATACTTCTAATAATAACAATGTTCAGAACTTGATTGATTTTGGTGACGACGATGATAATAAAGATAACAATAATACCAATACCAATACCAATACCAATACCAATATCAACCCACAACAATCCCAAAATAATGATCTCCTAGATCTATTAGGCGATTTGAATTTAAATGACAACAATCAGCCATCAACCTCGATATCAAACACTCAAAACTCACTAAATGATCTATTTAATCAATCTGGGTCCGTGCATTTATCCATGACTCCTCAAACAACATCAAATAACCAATTCCAACAACAACAGCCTCGAACTTCGGCTTTTGACTCTTTGAAACAACTACAAACTTTAGACATACTAAGTCAAAAACCTTTAAATCAAGGTAATCAATTATCCTTTCAATTACAAAAACAACAAACAGCCCAAAACAATTTGTTTGATTTACTATCGACACCTTCAACAACTACTCAAACATCATATTCTAACTCTAACTCCGACTCTATAATATCACAAGAAATCAACCCTTCTGTGAAGATAACTGCGCATAAATCCGAAAATTTAAAAATAGACTATGAAGTTTTCCGTCAAAATGATAATTTAATAAAAGTTAATGTTTTATTTTCAAATTTATCTTTATTCTCTCAAATTAACAATCTAACAAATTTAATTGCTGTCCCAAAATCTTTAAAACTTGATTTAAATCCTCAATCTAATAATTTTATGAAGCCATCACAAGATAATGGTATTACGCAAATTTTTACTGTAACTAATGTTAAACCAAATAGTCCTGTTAAAATTAAATGGAAATGCAATTATATAATTAATGGTCAATCCATTGAAGAAAGTGGTGTTAATACTTTACCTTTAATTTAAATACAATTTTTGTCTATTGGAATGTCATTAAGCTCCCATTTTTTTTTTTCTTTTGTTCCTTCCATAATTTTTTTTTATATTTAAATTTTTTTTTGAACTTTTTTTCTCGTTCAATAAATCTAATTAAATTAATTTTTTTTTCCAAATGAAGAATCTTAAAAAAATAAAAAAATAAAAAAAAACTCCTTAACATAGTAAATTTACTTGTAGATAAGCAAATGAAAAATCAAACTAATGAATCATTTTTTACAAAAATTGTTTGTTAATTGATTACTACATCAATTGAAAATTCATCTTCTAATTCAGTCTCACCAACACTTTTAGTCAAATCTAATTCTTCATCATCAAACAATAATTTTATAGATTTTATTTTATTTTCTGGTAGATTTTTTTTAGATAAATAAAATTTTGCAATATTAATTAATTTGCTATCAGAATTAACTCTTATATCAGTTCTTTTATTATCAGAACCTCTCAAACCAATTGTGAAATAAGATGATTTTAAATCATCTTGTGAAAGTTGGTCATTATTATTAGTATTATTGTTTTCATTTATCAATAAAATATGATCGTCAATTTCTCCTAATTCCTTCAATTCTTTATTAAAACTTTCCAATTCTTTATCCTCATAATCAACACTATTATTATAGTTAAAACTATTGTTTATAAAAGTATTGTTGTTGTTTTGATCTAATTTTTCCATTTTTTCCATTTTTTCTAGTTTTTCTAGTTTTTCTAGCTTTTCTAATTTTTGAGCCAAAAAGATCTCAGCGCTATCTTTTGTCATTATTTTTAAATTCACATTAGTATTCATTAAAGAAATTAATGGTTGATCAACCTTTAAGTAATTTGGTTTCATATAATCGAATAATTTGACACTATCATTCCATAATAATAAAACCGAATCAAGGCTATAATAAGATCGAAAATATAAGGGAACATAATAATTTTTAGCCAAGTACTTTAAAGTTGTTAAGATGACTTTTTTGAATTTTTTATCGCCAGTAATTTGAATTGTAACAGTCACACCTTCTGTTCCAGGTAAATTAGAGGTTATATGAAAGGAGTAAATTTTCTTGGCCTCAGATTTTAAATCTGGATCATTTTTATCGCCGAAAGTCTGGAAATTGATATCAGTTTGAGGTATCTCTATTATATCATCTTTGTCATCGACCTCGACAATATTTTCCGATGATTTGTGATTAAGAATTCCAATCTCAACCAGTTTTAAAGAGCTTTTCTTGGATTTTTTCAGATGTTTTGAATTTGCTAAACCAGATGAACCGGTTTGATATTTCTCTTTTAAAGCTTTTAATCTTTCATCTATTCCCAAATAATCGTTATCATCAAGGTCTGAACTAGGTATGTTAACAATAGATTGATTGCTAATATTTATAGAATCATCGATATTTATACTATTTTCTTTATTATTTTCATTTTCATTTTCATTTTCATTTCCTATTTTTGTTTCATTTTCCCATGTTTTTAGCTTCCCTCTTTTGACTCTTTTCTTTGAAGTAAAAGTGGATGAATATTTTCGCTTGTAATGTTTTGTTTCATTCAGATCAAGATACAAAGTTGGCTTATAATTTAATATATTTTCCACGTCGAAATCCAAATCACTCTCGATAATTAACATATCATCTTTTATTTTTGTTTTTGTATCCACTGTTTTTAATATCTCGATGTCATTAAGCTCATCTTCACTTGTAATATTGGTCTTAAGCGAGTTATCATTCTGTGTGTCAAAATCAGGAATCTGTGAGCTAAATTTTCTCTTTGCTGGAGGAGCTTCCTGTTTCACAACCAGTGACAAGTTTCTTGCATCCTTTGACTCAGAAGCACTGGACCCGGCTGTCAACTTAGCCACTGGTCGTTTTGGCCTCGAAAGCACGAAGAAATCATCTTCAGATGAAGACATTTCAGCTAAAGCAGTTGGTTCTGATTGTTGCTGGTCCAGATCAAGGACTGAAATAAAAATGAAAAGCCACTGGTTTGGAACATTTAAACACGTGCATATCACATGCCAAAATTAAATTTCAAATAAAAGACGCGGATCAGGGATCGAACCGAGGAGTGATTTGAGGCGATGGCTTTGCTGGTGGAGAAGCAAACCTTTTTTTGCTCTGCTGCTTCTTCTTCTCCTTTTCTTTTCTTTGACCTTTGCTTTTTTTGCTTCCAGCTTCTTCTTTTTCTCCTTTCTCTTTGCCCAATTGCTCATAGTCATGTCTGCTTCAACAAAACAGATTCATGCCAACTTTTCTCCTCTTCCTGATTCTATCCACGATTCCTCTGCTTCTTGCTACTACAACTCCAAAAACTTGATCTCGACTACTCCCACAATTATTACAAAATCTTTGTTCAACATATATCCCTTTTTACTAACTGCCAATGAGTTTCTAAATATCCCTCTATGGACCTCGACTTCATTGAATACCCAGCAGAATTTTTATTATGCTAATTTTTTATTCATTTTTCTTATTAATTTATTTATATTATACCACAATATCTTGGTTATTCCAGGTTTGGTTTTTGTTTCATGTTACGTTATCTGGATAATCAAAAGTTATAATTCCACTAACGATTTTTTCTCAAATGAAAGTCTCATTGATATTCGTATTATCATAGATGATATTAAAACCACAAACACAATAAATACTGATAGCACTACTAGTAATAATATTTCTAATACTCACTTAAATCAAATAAGTGAAGTTAATGAAGCTAGTGAATTGCTCCAGGATACAGAGAATAATTTTGCAATTGTCACTGATCTCTTTGAAGTCATAAACTTATTAAATATTGTAGTAACAAAACTTGAAATTATGTTATGTTTAATATCAATTGATCAATTAAATAATCCTGATTTAACTTTAACAAACCAAAAAAACAATCCTATGGATAATCCTGATATTAATTACAAATTACCAGAAAAAATCGGTAAATTTAGAATAATTCTAACCATTTTTTGTATTTATCCCTTTTTCTATTTGTTCATTTCAAAGAATTTGATGTCTTTAAAAAAATTTGTTTTGATTTTATTAAATATAATTTTTTTTAAAAATTGTCCAATAATAATTTCAACTAAAAACTTATTATGGAGAAGTAAGTATATTAGAATAACAATCAATTTATTAAAAAATTTCTTTATTATATAATCTCTTTAATTCTAATCAATACACCATATTTTAACATTATTATCATCTCCTGCCGTAATAATTTTTTCTTGATTATTAATTTTACAACATGTAACAGAATTAATCTCAAATACGCCATGGCTCAATTCGTTAACCGCCTCAATTACCCAACGTTTATCATTATTATCATCTCGATTTTCATCCACAATCTCTTTATAAACAACTAATTTACCATCTGAGCCAACACTGATTATTCTATTGGAAAATTCGCTCCAATAAATTGAATAAATCGATCTTGTATGAATTATTGGCAACTCATTTTCTAGTTCCCATTCTTCTTTAATTTCAGATTGTAACCTTATAGTTGATGGCAATTGATCCCTTTTATCTTCTATTTTTTCAATTCTTTTCCAAATTTTTATCGTTAAATCATCACTGCAACTTGCCAACCTTATTTCTGTAAATTCATTGTTATTATCTTTGTCATCTTCATCATCTTCATTGTCTTCATCATCATCCTCATCATTATTATTGTCTCTTTTTTTTAATAAGCTCTTTTTCTCAAAATCAGAGCACCAAACTGTCCCCTTGTGCCCAGTTAATTCACAAACACATCTCCAATCATCTCCATCATCAAAGTCTGACTTCCATAATCTCACAGTATCGTCATACGAGCTCGAAGCTAACAATTCTTCAGAGGGATGCCAAACAACATGTTTAACATCTTGGGTATGTTCTTGTAATACCGATATACACTCAAATTCTTCATTGTTATCATCACATTCCCAAATCCAGATGCTCTTATCTCTAGAACACGATGCCAAATAATACCCATTCGACGACCAACTAACACCCTTAATTTCGTTTTCATGACCCTCAATGATTGCCATTAATTCCCAATCATTTGATCCGCCTTGGTTGTCTGGCATTAAAAAATAATCGTAATTGTCTTCCAATGTTTCATTTGGATCATCCGATAATGAATCTTTACCCCAAATCGATATTGTGGAGTCAAAAGAGCCCGCTGCCAATGAAGGGAAAACCCCAGTGGGCTTCCATGCCACCGATCTTATAGACCTCTTGTGTGTCAAATCCAATGAAGTAACCAATGAATAGTTCACAAGATTATAAATGCGAATTGTTTTATCTGACGAAACAGATGCTAGTAAGGGCAATTCCTTATGAACCGACACTGACCACACCTTCTCCTTGTGGCCCCTCAACGTGTGAAGTAGCTTGATGGTCTTACGTTCCTCTCTAGTCATTATGTTCATCAAAATATCGAAAGCTGGTGTATGATAAGAGCTGAGATGGGCTTCTGATTGTTTTTTTGCTGCTTTGCTGAAAAAGATGAGAAAAAATAAAATGTCTTCCATCAGAACTCGAACTGACGTGAAAAAAGGCGCCTTGAAGCACGTTTCAAAGTATATTGCAACCTTTCAAAGATATACAAAATATCTATTTCGTATTTATGTAATATTTAATTAGTATTTGCTATGTATAACCAAAATCGCAGAGTGTGTATTTATCTTAGTATGCTTTCTCCTCGCCCAAGTTCAAGCATTGTTGGAACTTGTTGAAACCACAAAGACTCAATATCCCAGCAGCATCTTTGCAATGCAACGATATCTTCAAGCTATTTTGTTTTGAAAGTTGCAGAAAAAAAATATTGTCCACATCCACTATCTTGTTATTGAATAATTCCAAAGTCCTGAGATTCCTAAGAATACCGAGGTCTAAGTTTTCTATTTTAGATATCTTGTTATTGTTCAAATTCAAGACTTTTAAATTCTTCAACTCTTCAATTCCTTCAATTTTTTCTATTAAATTATTCGACAATTCTAGAACCTGCAAATTATTATTTGTGCTCAAGTTTTCAATTTTGGAAATGTTATTAAAATCTAGCATTAGTTGTTTTAGTTTCTTTAATTCTGATAGCTCCTGATCAAGTCTCTTTATTTGATTTTTGGAAGCCTTTATCCACTCTAAGTTCCTTAGCATCTTAAAGCATTTTAGTGAAACAATCTTGTTTTGCATTATATTAATGCCCCTTAGTTTTGCTAGCCCGTTATCGATGCCTTTTATATGAACAATCTCGTTTTTAAATAAAATCAAATTTTCCAAGTGTTTCAATCCTTGAATATTCAAATTTATCAATTTATTTTTAGATAGATTCAATTTCGTGATATTCATTTCTTTTAAAATTGAAAATTCTCTTATCTTATTACTTGACAAGTTTAATACTTTGAGGTTATTCAACTTACTCAAGCAGCTGCAGTTTACCATTTGAATATTATTGTTATTTAATTTTAAATCATTTAAATCATTTAGATTTAGCAACTCATCTTTGATGCTTTCAATATAATTAAATGACAAATTTAAGTGTTCTAATTTTTTCAATTTATTAAATTTAAAACTGTTGTGAAAACTTTCGAGGCGATTTTGTGATAAATTTAACCATTCTAATTTTTCATTTTCATTTAACCCACTAGAATCTTTATCGATTTCAAACAATCCATTCCCAGATAAATTTAGTATCTTTAAATTTTTTAATGACTCTAGTTCATTACTTAACCGTTTTATATTGTTGTAGGATAAATTCAAACTTGTTAATTGTTCCAAATTTTCCAAATTTTCAATTTTCATAATTCTATTATCGCATAAATCTAGTTGATGTAAGTTTACTAATTTTTTAAATTCTTTAGTAATCGTTTTGATTCTTGAATTTCTTAAACTAAGTATTTTAAGGTTTTTTAATTTTTCAATACCTTTAATGCTTGAAATAGAAGAGTTATTAAGAAGCAAAGTTTCTAAATTGATTAAATTATTAAAAGAATCGCCAAATTCAGTTATTTTAAAATTATTTGATAAATTTAAATACAGTAAATTAGCTAAGTGTTCCAAGTTTTCAATTTTGTCAATTTGATTAAATGATAAATTTAAATCAACTAGGTTGGTTAGGTTATCAAAATTTTCAATTTTGTATAGATTTAAATAAGATAAATCAAGCTTTTTTAGATTGATGAAATTTTTAAAATTATTTATATTCTCAATTTTCTTGATATTAATATTTCTTGATAAATTTAAAGATTCTAGGTTAAATAAAATATTATTGAAATTTTTAAAATTCTTAATTTTATTATTCGACAAGTCTAAATATTTTAAAGACTTTAAATTTGCTAAAGTCAGAACTTTATGGATGTTATTATTAGATAATTTTAGTATTTTTAATTTGTTGTTATTATTATTGTTATTATCGAGCAATTCGTTTAGCAAAAGATCTAAATTTGTGATATTAAGACTATTTAAATATAATTTAGTAATATTTTGTTTAAATAACGAAATAAATTGAATGAGATTGTCATCATTAGGAATAGTATTATTACTATCGATATTGCTATCGTTATTATTATAATTGTTATTGTAATAGTTTAGTTTGTCATTGGAATAATGAAATTTAATTGAAATACTATTAATTTTATTTAAATTGTGGAGAAATTGTAAATTTGAACCCGAAATGGTTTGAAATTGGTTCAAGATAATAGGGTCAAATATAAAATTAATCTGATCAATATAAGGATAAATCAGACTGGAGAATTCTGAAAAATCTAGCATTGTAAAAGTTAAAAAAGCGTTTTTACTATTGCTTAATTTGGAGATAGTATTGGGATTGTTAATTCTATTGGTATTGTTCGAACAAATTAAATCATTAAACTCATTTGACTGGTTGTAGTCAGAAGAGGATTTATAATAAACCAAGATTTTTTTGTAAAATAGCCTTGAGGCAATGCAAGAGACATTTTTGTTACTTGATATCGTGAATAACCATATTATATCAATGGGCAAAGACTGGAGTATATGCTGTAGGATATGAGGAGGAAAATATAAAGATTGAATAGTTGAACATGAGCTTGAAAAAGAGTTTTCCATTTTTAATATAAGGAAACTCTGTGAGTTAGAAACAGCAAAAGAAAAGTGATAAAGTATGAATTTGAAATTAGAAATTATCAATAGAGGATAGAACAAGTCATGTTTAAATAGCTCTATAGAAAGAAGAAAGAGTAAATTTTCTTTTCGTTTTCAAGGAAACAAAAGTAAAAAAGGGTAGAGTAAGAGAATTATAAAATATAAATTATTAAAAGCACCTACAGTAGTTGAAACTAGAAAAACCTGCCAGTAGAAAAAGTAGATGGGTTGGAAACTAAATAATTAATATTATACTGGGAACAACATAGTTTCTGAGGTATATTTCTGGTGCAATATTCAATTAGATTAAACTCATGCTCTAACATTCTGGGGGGAACCACACGTTGTAACCTCGCAGGCCCTTCAATTGCAGCAGAAGAGAGACTGCACCCACCCAAAGAGCAGACCTGAATCAAGAGAGCAATATAACCTCACCATTCGAATGATTATATCAACGCCCGAAAAGGCTCGAATTCTTCAAAACCAGTGCAAAAGAACAGCAGGCAGCAGCCAATCAGAAACCGTGTTTTAAAGCCAGCGCGGCGGATGATATAAGCACGTCAAAGAACGCATGTACACGCGTGGAATGTGCTCTTGCGCGGTGTTGCGTCATTGAAGCATGTATACGCGTTTTCACACAGTACTGAGCAAGCAAAACACAATAATGGTACCAAACTCTAAATGGGAGCATTTCGAATTGGTTTTTAAAACCTGGATTTTGATTTATTTGTTATTTTCATTGTGGGTGGTCTTTTTCTGGTTTCTTTTTGATTGTATTTGCTCTTTCATTTGTATCTGCTATCTCTTTTCCATTTGCTAGACTTGCTGCTTGTGGTTGGCGATTGGAAAATGAACAATAGCTCCTCTTCACATTAACCATTTAGGACCTCACTTTTCTTCGCCTCTGCTCTTATTCTTTCCTGGATAATGCTCGATAACAAATCTCTCACAAGATTACCTCCTCATATTCAACACGAAATATTCAAATCTTTGCCATTAGCCCAATTACTTCTACTATCGCTTCATTCTAATTATTCGCTATCATCTGAAGCTTTTGGTGTTTTGTTCAACGATGTGGTCCTTCATAATGACCTGCGACCATTTGATATCTTCAATTGCAGTAGAATAACTGGTCGTTCAATTTATTTTGCGTATCAACATGGTTTTTTCCACAAATTTTTGATACTTCATTTAAAGGATCTTTCCTTATTAATTAATTATTTCCTACGCTTCTTCAATTGTATCAAAAATTTAAATATTTTCCTTACTTCTACAACGCATCCGCAACTCTTAAATACATTGTTAATTCAAAAATCAATCAATTTTTCAAATCTCTCATTAAAAACCTTTAAAATTTTCTTGTCTTCTTTATTCATGCAATTAGGTGATGATTCAGTAATTGAGATTTACAAACATGTTCTAACTAATCCTCTACACAGCATAATTGCCTTGGATATTAAGGCACACGCTAGAGATCTCATTGAATTAAACAGCATTTCATTTCGTACTTTTAGATATCTAAAATATTTAAATCTATCATTAAACAGTTTAGAATCAATTCAAAAAAACATCAACACTTTAATTTTTTTGCAAGATTTAAATTTATCCTATAATTTTATTAATAAAATTCAAAACTTGGATAATTTAGTCCATTTAAATTCTTTAAATATGTGCCATAATTCATTACTGAAAATCGAAAATTTAGATAATTTACTTGAGCTAAAGACATTAAACCTATCCTTTAACAGATTTGATAAATTTGAAAATTTATCTCATTTAGCAAATTCTTTACACAACTTGAATTTGGCCAGATCAATTGTGCCATATTTATCCGAAGAAGAACATGAACATGAACATGAACATGAACATGAACATGAAGAGGAATGGGAGCCATTATCTTTTGAGAATCAATCATATTTATTTGGTTTTTTAGACCCAAATTTTTTCAATCATACCAATAGAATGAACAATGTTTTGGCCGACAATTCACTCCTTAATCATACGGAGTCTGATATAATAAACACAGAAGATGATACAGAAAACAGTACACATATGACTCATGATTATAATACTCAAAGATTAATAGATTCAGTTTCCTGTATAAATGAATTGATAAATTTAAAATCATTTAATATCAGCGAATCTCCACAATTTTTCAACACTTTACCTTTTTCAAATGAGCATAAATTTCCATTCAATAACTTGAAAAAATTGACTCATTTAGATATTAAATTTTGCGATTTATTTAGAATCGATTTATCCTCATTAACCAAGTTAGAATCTTTAAATCTTAGTGGTAATCATTTTGGTGGCATTTCACTCTTTGATGACTTTCCTATAAGATATGTTTTTTTCTTTAAATTACACAACAGTAATTTGAAAAAATTAAATTTATCAAACAATAATATCAAATCAATTGACGATGTAATTAGTTTAAACAAAAATCATATTCTAGATTTAGAAATGTTGGACTTAAGCAATAATTATATTCAAACAGTTCAAGATATCAACGTATTTGAAAAATTAAAAAAATTAAATCTAAGAGGCAATAAAATTAGGAAAATTAATTATAATCAATTAAATCAATTAAAAAACTTGGAAAAAATTTTAATTGATAGTGAATCATTGAAAAAATTAATATTGAAAAATAGATTCAATATTTTAAGATCTAGAAAGAAAAAAAAGGTTTCAAAAAATGTTTTGAATAAAATAGTTGAATATAGAATTAAAAATTCTTATTTTTCAATGCTTTGAAAATAATTTTAAAAACAACATACTTTTTATTTATGATTGGAGAAAGGTTTCTTATTTCGTGTTTAATATTTATATTTGTATTTATTTTTTTTCATTCTTCATTTCTACTTTGTTTTTCTTTTTATGCATTGACTTTGAATATTTATTTGAGTATCTATTTAGCGTTTTTTTTTTTATCTATTTAGTGGGTTATTTATTGAACTATTTACTTGTGTTGCTATGTATGAAATCTTTTGACGTTTGTTTTTCCTTTCATTTAATTTTTGATTTAACTCATAAAATTGGTGGAGTTGACATCACTTATTTATAGTATTTATATTTATGATTATAATATTTTGCCTTTATTAATATCAAATCTTTTTTTTTGTTTTGATTTGAAAAATTTAAATATAGTTGAGATGAAATGGAAAAAAATGGATAAAGCGATAGTTAGTAGCAAGATTAATATAAAATTTTCATTTTCAATCAAGAAGTCTTTATTTAATAAGTGGATTTCCTTTTTTCTATCATTTTTTCTATCATTTTTAATTGATTCCAAGATATTTTTAGGTTTAAAGGTTGGTTTTGACATTTCGTAATTAATTTTATCATTTTTTTCAACTTCTTGAAATCTTTCATCTTTTAATGTTATATCAGGGAAGATATCTAAAAACTTATCACTGATTTTTTTAAAATTTTTAAAATTTTTAAGTAATTGATATTGATTAATATTATCTTTAATTTTATTATTTTGCTTATTATTATTATCATTATTATTATTGTTGTTGTTGTTGTTGTTGTCGTTGTTGTCGTTGTTGTTTCTTAAAAATTTAGTGAAAAATTCAAAAGAGTTTTCATCGACAGTTGTTGTATTTAATGAAGTTAGAAAAATTGAATGGTATGGAGTAGGTAGTTTTCTTATAATTTTCTTTAATATTAAATCATTTTCTTGTAGTCTGAAATTTCGCAAATGATAATTGTTTGTAGGCAATTTTGAGAAATTGATTAAAATGATTTTTGTTCTTGTATCAATATAATGTGGAACAGAATCATCATCATCACCATCGTCTTGATTAACGTGAATGATCTCAGCATTGCAATTTCTAATGATGTAGTTTGATATTTTTTTATTGAAAAAATCAGTTGAAGGCGATTCAGCAAAAGGAAAGGTTAGAACAGTCGAAAAGGAGTCCAAGTAGGATATCAAATTAGGAACATTGTCATAGTTTTTCAAGTCAGTTAGTGTCAAACCAGGTTGGTTTATCAAAATAAAAGAATTTGAGGAACATGAAGAGATTAGCTGTTTTGAGAGTTTCAAGATATCGTCGATGGGATAAGGATTGGGCTTGATTCTGGGGACCTTTGGCAACAATCCAGGAATCAACTTGGCTGAAGACACTATCAATGGAGGATTGACAAGCTCAGGAGACTGGAAGAGCTCAGGTCCAGCACTTTCTTGCTGGAGATCATTGCTGTAAGCATTGCTGTGAGCATTGGCTGGTGGATGGTGCTGGTGTTGGGGGAGAGAAGAAAGAACAGCAACAGCTAAACCCACGATAAGAAGAAGGTGTTTCCAGAACCACATTGCAAAACCAACAACAGCACAGTAGTCTTACGAGCCTGAGAAGAGCAGAAGAAGCAGAAGAAGCAGAGGAAAAAGAACTTCGCCAACGCTGTCATCTGATGCTCTATCCGATAAGGCTCAGAATGTGCTTTCTTATCCTTCCATCTCTTTATCTCTCTCTTTATCTTCTTTCCATCCATCTACAAACCACTTCTGCTGCTATAAAATGTCCTTCAGAGACTCCTCCTTCTCCCAGGACTTGGAAGGCCAACACCAGGCTGCCAACAATCAGCAATACCACGACGAGCACGACGCCAGCTTCGACAAGTTGGTGGAAGACATCTCCAACTTAATCTTCGATATCAACAACAACAACCTCTCGATTGAGAAGTTCATTGCCACTTTGGACTCCAGAAAAGATGATTTCACAAAAAACAACAAAAATCTGGTATCCATCGAGAACAGGCTCGTTGAGTTGATTGATCAATCAACAAACAAGTTCTTTGAGCTTAACAACTACAAGAAAAGACTAGCCAATATAAGTAGCGAAAATGAATTCTATTTGAACAAATCACAGCTATTCAAGAGGGAAAAAATATTGAATGAGATTAAAAACTCGCTAGAGCTGTTCCAAAAAAACCAAAAAAATTTCTCAAGCCTATCAAAGATACTAAATAAACAGATGAAGTCCACTCTAGAGGAAACTCCATCATCACAAATCAGTGTTCTTGAGGGCGAAAACAACAACGACCATAATAACCTTGACCAGAATGATCAGATAATAGTCGAGGTGGATCCCATCAACAGACATGAGTTCATTCATCAGCAAAACTTGATCATTGAGAGAGAAAACGAAATCCAAACCATCGAAAGTGGAATCACTGAGCTAAATGAGATATTCAATGATTTAAGCAACATAATTCAAGAACAAGGCATTGTTCTCGACAATATTGAAGCAAATCTTTACACATACAGTGACAATGTTCAAGATGCCCACAGAGAATTGAGAAAAGCCAGCTATTACCAAAAGAGATCTAGAGGCAAACAGTTTTGTTTCTTGGTGGTGTTGATGGTTATCTTGTTTTTGATTCTCGTAGCAATGGTTCTTGGTTAACTGCTTGTCTTGTTTTATATATTGTTATTTTTTTATCTTCATCATATCCATCTGTGTATGAAATGTCTTTTCTAATAGTGTTTTATTTTGCTTCTCATTTCCTCTGTTTTATACACATTTTTTATATAGAATAATGCAAGAACAATTTTGATCTCTTCTAGGACTATTTATTCTTTGTAGCTTTCTTATTTTCTTTGCATTCAACAATTGGTTTTGAAATGACTGATTTCCGAAAGAAAATTCCACATCCGATTTATTGTTAACTTTGTTTTCAAATCATTTCTTTCGTTCTATAAACTTTTACTCAACTGCTGAAGAAAGCTTCTTTAAAAGTGCAAAATGTTTAACAAAATGAGCATAATCAACAAAGGCATTCTTACTCATTCGTTTAAGAATATCAATCGCAATTTCAATAAGAATCCAGAAATAGCCTATACAATTAGAGGTTTCCACAATAATTCCATATACAATAATAAATCGATTAATACTGTCACCAATACTCAGAAAATCGAAAAGAAAATTGAAGAGAAAATTCCATCGCCCCTTTACATAACAACTCCAATTTTTTATGTTAATGCTGAACCACATTTAGGCCATTTATATTCAATGCTACTATGTGATATTAGAAACCGATGGGAATTATTGTCAGGTAAACAATCGTATTTTACAACTGGAACTGACGAACATGGTTTCAAAGTCCAAATCGCTTCAATAGAAAAGGGATATGATAATCCAAAGAAATTTGTTGATGAATTATCTTTGACTTTTAAAAACTTGGCTGATGCTGCTAATGTTAAATATGATCGATTTATAAGAACTACCGACAGTGATCATTATGATACTGTTAAATTTTTTTGGAATTTATTATTAAAGAAAAAATATATATACAAGGGTGAACATTCTGGTTGGTATTCAATATCTGATGAAACATTTTATCCAGAGAATGCAATCGAGGAAAAAATTAACATCCAGACTCAAAGGAAGATGATGCTATCAAAGGAGACAGGCAAGGAGGTTACATTTGAAAAAGAGATTAATTACTACTTCAAATTGAGCGAGTTTTACAAAGACATTTTAAAAATTCTTGAAAAGAAACACGATTTTATCATTCCACGTTCAAGGCAAGATGAATTAATTAGTGAATTGAAAAAAATGGGGAAATTAGATGATTTGAGTATTTCAAGACCTTCATCAAGACTACAATGGGGAATTCCTGTACCAAATGATCCATCTCAAACGATTTATGTCTGGTTCGATGCATTGCTCAGTTATTTAACTGGCGCAGCATATCCATCAAAAAAATTTAAAAGTAAATGGCCTGCAATTCATCTAATTGGAAAGGATATTATCAGATTCCACTGTATTTACTGGATTGGGTTTTTAAAAGCCGCCAATATAACGCTTCCTCAGCAGGTTATCATCCATGGGCATTGGTTATCAAATGGTATCAAAATGTCAAAATCAATTGGCAATGTTGTTGATCCCATTGATATTATCAAGTATTATGGGATTGATCCTGTTCGGTTTTTTTTAAGTGAAACGTCGGTTTTAGAACATGATGGGGACTTTACTGAAGAAAGATTGTTTGATTCAAGAGAAAAATTGATTAGTAAATATTCAAATTTGTTGATGAGGTCTTGTGGTTCCAATTTCGACATCCAGAGGGCATTGGAAAGATATGGCAAGATGAATCTTAGCAGAATCAAAATGGAAGAATTTCCATTGTTTGACAAGTCTGTGATTGAGGAAATCAAGCAACTACAAGACGAATTGAACCAATTGGCCAAAAACATTGGCAAATCGATGGAGAATTTCAACTTGCATTCAGTAACCAATAACTTCATAAGGATATTGAGTCGAAGCAACAACTTGTTCCAACTCTGTGAGCCCTGGAAGCTTGGAGAGCTGCGTGAGCACCAGGACTTGGTGATCTACTTGAGCACTGAAACTGTCAGGATCTTGTCCATAACAATGCAGCACGTCATTCCAGAGTTGAGCAACGCTGTGTTGGATCGATTGAAGGTTGTTAGAACCAGAAGAACCATTGAGTTTGCCAGAGTTGGTGCTGATGAGGCCTATGGTGCCTCAGCCAATCGAGGAGGCGACCATCCCATCACCAGAATCACTAAAAGAACCAGCAGCTATCCAGACATAACCATCAAGCACCAGAAGGCCAGCTAGTGTTCTCCAGTGTTGTGTAGTCCTGTATCTAGTCTATATTCTCGCCAACTCTAAGCTCTGTACATATATTACATATATGGTTCTGTCCGCCAACTGAAATTGGAACTTTTGTAAACAAATCCAGAATTCCTGATTAAGTTTCCACTGCTCTGTCAGCAAATAGCCCTTCTCATCTCTCTGTCTTATTGTCCTGGTGCTCCCCAAACAACACACCAGCTCTACATTGCACTGCTACTGACCCTCGCCTTGTCCAAAAACATCTTTGCTTGTTTTTATGTCGTTGTCCTCCTCTCGAAACACCTCCAGAAGGTCTGGCAGACCTGCTTCAGCCATCTCCTCCACTTTATCGTCCCACGCAGAATCAAACAATCTCTCTGAGTCAAGAAAGAGACAGTCCAAGAGAGATGAAGCCATTAGAAGAAGAATTGATAGCGAGCTATCCAAAAAACGCAAAGAACATGTTGCCTCCAGAAACTCTAGAAAACAGTCAAAGGGTGCTCCTGGCACAGTTCTGTCTCTAAGACCAAACGATCCTGTTATTTCAAAGCCTTTTGCAACTGTTTATGAGGTTGCTCAATTGATGGCCTCAAAGCGAGAAAACTGCATATTAGTGGTTGATGAAAACAACCATTTATTGGGAATTTTTACTGCAAAAGATTTAGCCTTTAGAGTTGTTGGGAAGGGTCTTAATGCCCAAGTTATCACAATTGATCAAATAATGACAAAGAGTCCAATGTGTGCATCCAGTGATACTCTAGCTTCAGATGCTTTGAATTTAATGGTTCAAAAGGGTTTCAGACATTTGCCAATTCTAGACAAATCAAATCAAATTGTTGGTGTATTGGATATAACAAAATGCTACAACGAAGCTATGGAAAGATTAGAAAAAGTATACAACTCATCTAAAAAATTATACGATGCCTTAAGTAATGTCAATGCTGAAATTGGTCTACAACAACAGCCTTTGCAAGTAATTCAATATTTTGAAAGCTTAAAACAAATCATGAATGGTCCAACTTTAGAAAGCGTATTAGATGATATGACAACTTTGCCTGTTTATGTTAACATTAAATCCAATGTCTATGAGGCTGCTTTACTTATGGTTCAAAAGAGAACCACTGCTGTATTAGTAAAGGATTTGAATAATAATGAGGTATCTGGAATCTTTACCTCGAAGGATGTTGTACTAAGAGTAATAGCTGCTGGTTTGGATCCAAAGACTTGCAGTGTGGTACGAGTTATGACTCCTCAACCTGATTGTGCATCAAAGGATATGACTATTCATCAAGCATTGAGACAAATGTTTGAAGGTCGTTATTTGAATTTGCCTGTTATAGAGGATAATGAGATTATTGGAATTGTTGAAGTCTTAAAATTGACATATGCAACTTTGAATCAAATTAAAACAATCCAAACTCCTGATGATTACTCTCAAGAAAATACGAATATGAATATGAATAGCTATGACAATACTAACAATGATAATCCAAATCAAGTTGGCGGTGGTCCAGTTTGGAATAAATTTTGGACCTCATTAGATGATACAGATTCAATGCATTCAGATAGCTACATAGATACAAGTTATTATGAACCACCTTCACTAACAATGCCAAAAATTTCTCAAAACGAGTTAGATCAATTCAATTTATTATCTAGTGAGGTTAGACCCGAAGATTCAATTTCAAGAATCAACAGCAATAACAATTCAAGTGCTAATCTCAATAAACTAGAAAATAAGTTAAATAAGATCGATAATAACCAACTTTTGCCAGATGAATTTCTTGATCTCAAATTGAAAAATTCAGCTGGTCTGGGTTCATTATCGATTGCAAGGGAAGAAGAAACAACATTTTCCTTCAAATTCAAATCCCCATTGGGCAGAGCATCAAGAATAACATTTAAACCCAAAGATGGTATTTTGGAATTGAGAAACTTAATTAATCAAAAGATCTTTGAAAAGGAGTTTACAATGATTGGAGGAAAGAAAAAATATGCGATTTCTTATCTTGATGATGAAAATGATTTGATCTCAATTACAACTGATCAAGATTTAATTGATTGTGTTGTTATAAATAAAAATTCTGGTAAAGAAAAGGCAGATATTTTTATCCATGACCCCAATGACTCTGTGGAAAGAATTTTGAAAAGCTATTCAACAGGTGATGGCAGCAAAATCGACAACTCTCAAAAAATGAAGAGTTCAAAACAAATGAAGGAAAGAAATAGAATGAAAGAAGCTGAAGAGTTGGTCAAAATGGACAGGATAAAAGAAAAGGAGAAAAAACTTAAAAAACAAACCAAGCAGACTCGTTCAGATATTCATTATATAACTGGGGTGCCCAATGAGCTTTTGTTGCCAGCAGCATTGATAACTCTTGCTGCATCTGTGTTGATTGTGTTCTCTGTTAACCACCGAAGATAGCACGCCTGGTGGAATTGCATCCGTAGTTGTATTGCATTCGTTGTTGTATTGTTTATATATTGGTTTTTCATTAATCTACTGTTTTATATTTTTATATTTTTTTATGTTTTTATTCTCCAACGCTACACAAAAGCAGCAGAAGCAGCAGGAGCGGGAGTTTCCAAATCTGAAAGTTTTCAGAACGACCGATAGTGAGTCATTTTGCGAGTTCCGACCTTGAGAATGTTTCTTTCGGCACTAACCGGGCTATTGGCTTCTGTTTTCGGAAATCTCGACTTTGGATGTTGAGCACTTTTTCACCAACTTCATTTCTTTACTCTTTTCAAATTGTAGTTGTTTTTACTTCTTATATTTTTATATTAAATCTTTCCAGATTCTCGTTATTGGAACTCATCACTTTGCATTGTAATTATGGCTAAACAAGTTCTTCTTTTAGGTTCTGGTTTTGTTGCAAAACCAACCGTTGATGTCTTATCAACTACTCCAGGCGTCGAAGTCACCGTCGCTTGTCGTCATCTTGAAGCTGCTAAAGCTCTTGCTGGTGAAACTGCTAAGGCTATTTCTTTAGATGTCACTGATTCTGCTGCTTTAGATGCTGCGGTGGCCAAAGTCGATGTTGTCATCTCTTTAATTCCTTATATTTTCCATGCTTTGGTTGTCAAATCTGCAATCAAAAATAAGACAAATGTTGTAACCACTTCTTATATCTCTCAAGCTTTAAAAGACTTATTGCCAGAAATCGAAGCCGCCGGTATTACTGTTATGAATGAAATTGGTTTAGATCCTGGTTTAGATCATTTGTATGCTGTTAAAACCATTGATGAAGTTCACAAAGCCGGTGGTAAAATCAAATCTTTCTTATCTTACTGTGGTGGTTTGCCAGCTCCAGAAGATTCCGACAATCCATTGGGTTATAAATTTTCCTGGTCTTCAAGAGGTGTCTTATTAGCGTTAAGAAACTCTGCTCAATATTGGAAAGATGGTAAAATTGAATCAATTACCAGTGAAGAATTGATGGCTAGTGCTAAACCTTATTTCATTTACCCAGGTTATGCTCTTGTTGCTTACCCAAACAGAGATTCAACTGCTTACAAAGAATTATATCATATTCCTGAAGCTGAAACTGTTATCAGAGGTACTTTAAGATATCAAGGTTTCCCAGAATTTGTTAAAGTATTAGTTGATATTGGTTTCTTAAAAGAAGACGAAATTCCAGAATTGTCTTCCGCAATTCCATGGAATAAAGCTTTAGCTGCCATTTTGAAAATTGAATCCACTGAAACTGCTGACTTAATTGCTGCTATTGAATCAAAAGCCACATTCCCATCTGAATCTGAAAAGGAAAGAATTCTTAATGGTTTCAAATGGTTAGGTTTATTCTCAAAAGAACCTATTATTCCAAGAAAGAATCCTTTAGATACCTTATGTGCTACCTTAGAAAAATTAATGCAATATGAAGAAGGTGAAAGAGATTTAGTTGTTTTACAACATAAATTTGGTATTGAATGGGCTGATGGTAAAACTGAAACTAGAACTTCCACTTTAGTTGATTATGGTGTCCCAGGTGGTTACTCATCAATGGCTAAAACTGTTGGTGTTCCATGTGCTGTTGCCACTCTTTTAGTTTTAGATGGTACTATTAGTGATGTTGGTTTAGTTGCCCCGTATTCCCCAAGAATTAATGATCCAATCATGAAAATCTTGAAAGAAAAATACGATCTTTACTTAACCGAAAAAACTATTGGTTAAGTTAATACTATAAACTATGATAATATAGTCAAAATACCGCTATTGTAATTTTTTTTTTAAAGTTAAATAGGGCTAGGGTTAGTTTCATATAGATAATTTAAAAACCACTTTCATATAATTGGCTTCGAATCAGTAATTATAATTTTAAAAATTGATTAAAATTATATCCAAAATCAATTAGTATCTATTGAAAATCAAAAAATCGAAAGTAAAAAAAAAACACAAAAGAAACAAAAAACTTAAATATTGAATACTCTCCCAAGTTGCCATAAATCTTTTACAATAATCGTTTTATCTTCTGTAATGACAAGTTTTTCATCAATTAAGTCCAGTTTAAAATTGGTTTGGGATTCATCCATTGTTGCCAAAGACATCGTACTTTTTTGATCAATTAAATCCAATTTTTCCTTAGGAAAAACGTTTCTCTTTGAAAAAAAACCGAAATTATTTCTTCTATCCACCAATATTGCGTTCCAGCCTGCATTTTTAGCTCCAAGAACATCTTTGCCATATTCATCACCGATATGCCAACAACTTTTCAATAAAATTTGCAGGTTTTCAATGTTATTGTTGTCATAATTGATGATAAGCCCCTTAGAAATCAATGATTTCAAAACATAATCAAAAAATTTTTTATCAGGCTTGAATAAATCGATATCATAGGAAATAAAGACAAAATTTTCATTGAAAAAAGATTGAGAATTGTGGTTTTGGTTAGGTTTATAAGATAACTTTAAAGAATCTAGTATTAATTTTACTCTTGGATCGCCATTGCTTATCACAACAAATATTATTTTATTATCCTTTGTTTTCATTTTTTCCATATTACCAATTTCATTATTGTAGTTATTTAAATCAATATCCTTTAATTTTCTCGATATGTACTTCAAGTCGTCAAATGTGCTATAAGCGTTAAAAGTTAGATCGTTCAATAAATGATTTAAAAATTTATTTGAAACAACATAAGGCTCGAATAATTTTCTTATCAAGTAGGCCCACCAGTAATCAGCATGCTCAAACTCCATTTTCAATTCCTCATCGTTTTCATGCTCGACGCTGTTGAGATTAAATTCATTTTTATAATCGTTAACAATATTTGAGTATTTCCCGTAGTTTGGATACTTTTTATATAAATATTTGAAATAAACACCAAAATCCTTATTCAATTGCGCTAAGGGTTTGTGATAGTTATAGTAAGGTAAGGAAGCTATCTCATAATACTGAGTTACTGAGGGCTTTATTGGAGTGTACAATGTGCCAAAGGCATCAAAGGAGATGATTTTGGGTAGGGGATGGTTTTTGAACTGTTCCAATTTGAAAAAAGAGCTGAGAGACCTCTTCGATATGATTTCGTTGAAACATGAGCCCATTGAGTCAATATGTGTGCAATACATGCCTATTTCATTATTTAATTATCCTGGATCTGCAAAATAAACCATTTTCGAGCAGAAGGCTCACGAGAAGAAACAAGAAGCAGAGAATGGGTCTTTTGCTAGCTGATCCGTTCTTCGCAAACTATTCACTTAAGCAGAAACTGTTTGATCTGAGATCAGAGCTGGTGCAAGATAACGAAGTAATGAGTGTTCTATCTAACCAGGTCAAACAGAACTTAGTCTACTACAACCTCTGGAGCAACGCCAAGGAGGTTCCAATAGTGGTGAGCGACTCGAAATGCTTTGTTTTGAAGGCTCTTCCTCCCTCAGACTTTTCCAGTTCATCTAGTGACTCGTTGAATTTTAAATTCTCGAAGCTACAAGAGGCAGAAAAGGACTCTTCTGTGGGTTCTGATGGAAGAGAAGAATATGAGTATATCTTGCCTGTTGATATGGACGATAAGATCACAATGAAGTTCTTAGATGATTGCTTTGAGCAGATAAAGATCAGCGAGAGGATTGCATCCAGACCAAATAGAATAATCTTGGGGATGGTGAATGACGATAGCACAATAGTCTACTATTTTGTTCATGATGGCATTGCAAAACCTAGAAAGAATTAGTTTATAGTATTATAAAAGTATATGAGATATTCTAAAGTGTTATAAGTTATAAAATATTATAAATGTAGAAATGTTTGTTTGGTATGCTTTAGCAAGAAAAATAAAATCAAAAAAACTAAATACACATAATTGAAACCAAAAAAGAAAGCTATATAAAATTTAACAGTTGAAACTGAAGTAAGGTAGAGAAGTTCACCGAAAAATAGAAATTAAAAAAAAAAAAAATGAAAAATATATAACAAAATAATAAAAAGTCTTTTTAAAGATAAAAAAAATCATGCTAACAAAACTTCCCAACCCCATTCTCTCATTACTGTGCTCCAATGAGTCCAGCTTTTAATATTATTATCGTTATCGGTTGAGATTTGATTTCTAACTATTCCCTGAGCAGCAGCAGCAATTGATGCAATTTTGTTAGCTAAAATATCATGTCCATCAAAATTATTTTCTGTATTTTTTTGATTATTGAGCTGAAGTTCTCTTTCTTTCAACATTTGTTCCTCTTGTTTTCTTTTTTTCATTATATCTTTTCTTAACCAAACTTCTTTGACAACTTCTAATGATCTATCAACGTTACCGATCCACATTCTATTGGAAAGTAATTCCCATCTTGATTTTACCCATTCTCTTTCTTGACCAGGTAAACCCTCGCACGAGGAAACTAATAATGGGAAAATATGAGTGGTACAAGTCCTTGAAGATGTTGGTATGGATGCTAATAACATCAAAACCTTTTCAGCCAATTCATGCGATGATAACGATGGTATTTCTGGAACAGCTTGATGTAGATATAGCAAAGCTGAGTACCTATAAGCTTCTGCTGTAGCGATACAAGAAGCAATGTCCCAATTGGGATCTTTAACTTGAGTCATTGAAATAGAAGGAACAGGAGTCCATAATTCGAGACTCTTTTTGAGATTAGAAGCTGTTGAAACTATTTGTAGAGTATTTTGCTTTTGTTTTCTAACCTGAGATATTAATGTTGCGACTCTTCCAATAATAGGGAATAATGTTTGAGCACAGCCTAATAATGGATCAATATCGTCGCCACCTTTTAAAGATATTGTTTTGAAATAATCTCTGGCACTAGAGCCGGAATTTCTTTTTTTCCTATGTATTGTATCATTTGAGGAATCTTGGTCAATAACAGTTATTTCTTCAATGAGAGCGTTATCGTTATCAGTGTCATGCATGGTGAATGATAAATCATCGCCATCACAACTAGAAGAGGTCATTCTAGCCAAAACATCAAAATAGACCCAACCGTTGAATAGGAATTGTAAGCCTGGAGGAATTCTTTTTTGAATTTGTTTTTGTTCTTGATTTTCATTGATATTTTTATTTTTATAATTATTTTTGTTTTTATTATTGTTGTTAATATTTTTATTATCATTATCGTTATCATTACTGTCGTTATCATCATCGTCATTGTTATTGTTATTAATAGCGTTGTTATCGTTATCGTCATCGTCATCATCGTCGTCGTATATGTGTTGAGTATTTTCGATTTTATAATTATTTTTTTGGAAAATTCTCAAGACTTGAATGATCATAGTTTTAGCGCCTTTTAAATGGGTTATACCAGTACTTATGTGTCTATCCCAGGATTCGCTATTAGCCAAAGTTATACAGGTAGCTAGAGCGACATCTGGTGGTATTGAGTTTTCACTTAAACCGTTAGCGAGATCCATTATGGATTGTTTCATATAAGCTATGCCTTTGTTTCTTAGTTGAGGGTTTCCTCTTGCAATATGGAATAAGGTCAAAGAAGCTAAAGCATTGAAGACGACGGGATAGTTTCTAGCTAGGGGAAACATTATCTCTCTCCAGGGATTTTCATTAGGACCATTTTTCATTGACATTATACCACAGGTGTATCTGTCTAAGGACTGAAAAATCTGGAGGTTGTCGTCAGGAATTGAGAAAAAGGGAAAGGCGTTAACATTAGGCATTGTATTTTGGTTGAAGAAGTTGTTTTGGTTAAGAAAGTTGTTGTTTTTGTTGACGAAGATGTTGGTGTTAGTGTTAAGGTTAGGGTTAGCATTGGGATTATTGTTGGAGATATTATTGGTGGTTGACTGGTAAAATGGGGTTAGGTCTATAATTTCGTCGTTATTTGAGTTGTTGCTGTTGTTGTTATTGTTATTATTGTTGATGATGATGTTGTTGTTGCTGTTGTTATTATAATTTTCTATGCTACTATTGAATTGGCTTTCGGTTGAATTTGGGCTGTTTGATATATTTGAGTCGTCAGAGTTTGATCTTTGTAGTTGCATTATTTGGTCTATGGATATATCGTTATTTTGGTGGTTGAAGATGGGAAATGGAGAGGAGGTGAAGTCATTAGCGTGTAAGATTGAGCTTGGAAAGGATATACTGTTGTTGTTATTTGAATTGATGTTATTGATATTATTATTGTTATTGATATTGTTATTTGAAGGATTATTGTTGATTATATCATCTATTGGAACAATTTTGATGTCTCTGATGTTGTTTAAATCCTTTGGAGTGTTCGGGTCTATTGAGGATAAATCGAAGGTGGATGGGGATAGGATTACATCGAAATCAGTGAATGCTTTCATTATAGTTGAGAATGAGTTTGGGTCAGGAATTGTATTTTGATTGAGTATTGTGTTTTGATCAAGCAGTGCATTTTGATTGAGTACTGTATTTTGATTATTTTGATTATTTTGATTATTTTGAGTATCTAAAATTTGTGGATTTTGATCATTACTTTTGGATTTTATATTGACGTCAATTTTTTTATTTTTTATTTTAATTGTATTATTGTTGTTGTTATTGTTGTTGTTATTATTAATTGTAATTTTAGATGATAAGTTTTTGGAAGTATCGTGAGAGTTGACATTTGAAGAATTTCTTGATAGATCAGAGTTTAAGTTGTTATTAATTTGTTCAATTTCTTTATAAGTTTTTCCGGTTAGAGAGATGGTGGCAGCTTCTAATGCATTTTTGAGGATTAAAGGGTCTATTGCGGATTTTCTGTTAAGGATGTTGTTGTTTTTATTTATTTTTGAGTTGTTTGAGTAATTGTTTATGGTTGATATTGATTCATGGAAGGGTTTCCATTTAAAATTTTTGGAGTAGCCGCCACAGACCAAGTTTTTCTTTTGGCAATTTAAGCAATGAGGTTTTGATTCATCACATTTTAATCTCTTTTTTTTGCAAGTGATACAGCCATTTCTTGACTTGTGTTTTTTGGGTTTAATATTTGAGTTAATTTGCAAAGAAGAGGAAGAGGTATTATTGATAGTATTATTTTTAATTTTGGGATTAATTTTGGGATTAATTTTATTATTGTTATTGTTGTTGTTTTCGTTGTTGTTACTATTTATTAATTGCTTATTCGTGGTTACAGTTGACATGATAGGCAAATGAAAAAACAACTGATATATAAGAGCAATATAATTCTTTTTTGGTTGATTAGTTAATAATGAGACAAGAAGAGGATTGCAATGGGAGAACCAAATTAGGATAAAAGAGCAAGAATAGAAGAACTGGGATGAAAAAATTGGAATTAGAATTGGAATTAAAATTTGAAAGAGCTGGAAACAGGTTGGGAAGAGTAGCAATAAAGTAGGATGGTGTGAAGCCGGAGAGTGGTAATGGTATATTATTTCAGAGACAGCAGATACTAAAAAGATTAACTTGAGCAAGCTAAAGGAATAATGAACAAGAGGTTGAAAAGGATATATATAAGAGAACGAGGACGAGGACGAGGACAAGCAAGAACAGAGGAAGATAACGAAGATGGCAGAGACAGTGGGTCTGGAGCAGTTAGAGGAGGATTATGGTTTGGGTGTTTTTGGAAGCAGCTAATCGAGCACTGTGATTTGATTGTCGGTGCAGAGCCTGAAGAGCCTGCAGAGCCACCATTGGCCCGTCGCCGCAACCCGATGAGCTGCGTCTGGAGCACAAATCCCCAGTGCAGCTGCTTCCTCTTCTGTGCTCTGAGACTCTGGTGCAGCTCCGTCGGCTCCTCCGCTGCTGCTCGCGGCCCTCGCGCTTTGGGCCCTCAGCTGCTTGCTCCGCTTATCTCTCTCCCCCGATCGCCGCGTCTCAACGCAGGTCACACACAAGATAAGGTGGTCAAACGCACTGGATACTACTCTGGATATCACTCATGTGCACACACAGGTGCCAAGACTGTTTACATATGCACAAGGGATAGTATTGCCAAATGTAGCCGTGCGGGTAACACCCCGGGAAAAAATTGCGCGCCCACACAAAAAACGCCCGTTTGAGGCAGAAAAATGCACGGATGGACAATGCCTGCACACGCAGCTCTCCAGCCATGCCGTGTGCTGCTGACATAAGTATAGCACGTGGCCACGCAACACTGCGCACCACCAGAGCTCTCTATTCAGGACGCTATGTGGCGGTGCCTTGTGCAAGGGCGCGGCCTGCGGTGTTGGAGGTGGCACCTTTCTGCTGGTGCTGCTTCCGGTGCTTGTGGTGCTTCTGCTTCCTGCCTCACACCTGGATCTGTTCTTGGAGAGTTTCGCCGGCGCTGTGTCCAATTGGCATTTGTTGTCTATCCACTATCGGCAGCATCCAGCTCCACGCTTAGGCCAATATAACCAGCAGCATAATTGACAGCATCCTTCAATTACCACCAAGATCGTCTCCATCAACACAACATCCTCATTGATCTCCATTACTACAGTTTACTGCAACTGCAAAGTTCACTGGGGCCTTATTCACCCTGGTTCACTTCCCTCTGATCTCCCAGCGATCCAATTCCATTTTCTTCTTCATTCCTCACTCTCACTGATTTATCCATTACTTTTTGTTTCTTCTTTAGAGCTCACTGGATCTAAACCTTATTTCCTTTCGTTCTCTATTGATTTTATCTTCAATTAATTGTCAAAACAATCAAATACCAGATAACCAACACATTATCATATTGTCTTATTATCACATTATCAACCTATTATCAAATCATTACCATCGTACTATAATATCCACTAACTATTAATCACTACTTAATACATCACAGAGTTACAAACCAAGTACAATTAAAATTAAAATTACAAAAGACATATTCATTATATACTCACTCCCACTCACTCACTTTCTCACTTATACTGCTTGTCTTTGTTTGCAACTTATCCCAAATTACTTCCACTCTTACTTAACTCTTCCTCTTATATCTCACTCTATCTCCTAATCCCACTTCCTCATACCTGTTCCCTAACCCTTTCTTCCTGATCTTTCTCTCCAAATCCTTTTTTTTTTTGGTTTCCATTTTTTCTGTTTTTTTTTGGTTTTTTGGTTGGAAAATCATATGTATTGTTGTTAATTATCATTTGATAATCTTCTTCTTATTTTTTCCAACAATCGGCTGTTTTTTTCTTGTTTTTTTTCCTACTTATCTATTTCAACATTAATCACCAAATATTACCAACAATCCTCAATCCTTAATCCTCAATTCATAATTCATAATTCCCAATTCCCAATTCCCAATTCCCAATTCCCAATCACCAATCACCAATCCATAACTAAATCTATACTATATCTCCCCCATATCATATCTCTCCAGCAATGTCCTCCCACAAATCACTATCCTCTAGAGTCAGCTCTGGTGCAAAGGGCCTCACAAGTTCCAACTCAAACTCAGCTTCAACCATAAATATATCTAAGATATCCCCCTCAGGCCCCATTGGTGCTGCTAGCCTAATCATGAACCAAAAAGCCAGCTCTGAAAACTCTCTCTTCCACATCTGTATAACTCTACGAAAAAGATTGGAAAAGGTCAATGGCCTAAAACCTTACCTAAATCTAGCCTACTCAACCGCAGAATACTCAAGTGATAAACAAGCTGATGCTATAACTGCCTCTCAACACAACAGAGACTCCCTCAGGAAATCAACAAACTCTTCCTACTCAAACTTCTCCTCCAGCTCCTTAACCAACACCAACACCAACACCAACACCAACACCAACTCAATCACAAACTCAATCACAATAAACTCTGCAACAACAATTAACACAATCAACTCCCAACAATCAAGCCCTCTAGACTTTACAATCCAGTCAATCAACCACAACCTAACAACCTTTGCTGCTGGAATTCTCCCTGCTACAATAAGCTGTGATCCTGTCACTCAAATCTGGAAACTATTCCAACAAGGTGCCCCCTTGTGTCTCATCTTCAATTCTATCAAACCTGACCATCCTTTGCCTATAGTATCCGCCGATGATATCAAAATTTGTAAAAGAAGTGTCTATGACTTCCTATCTGCCTGCCAAATGTTCCTAGACTTGAAAGCTGAAAACTTGTTCACCATCTCAAACGTCTTTTCTGAAAATACTGACGACCTACTAACTGTCATCAACTCAATTAACAAAGTCCTAGACCTAAACCCAAACTTTTCTCTATCCGATTCGGAGAAAAAGGACATCATCCTCAAAAATCTAAACTCATCAAAAAACATCAATGACTCAAGATCAAGAATCATCCTAGAACTAATAGAAACTGAGAGAAAATACATCTTTGACCTAGAAATCCTAGTCAATTACAGAAATCAACTACTACACGCAGACTTGATAACCTCAGAATCCTTGCATCTATTATTCCCAAACCTAAATGAAATCCTAGACTTCCAAAGAAGATTATTAGTAGGAATCGAAGCAAATTCTCTAGCACCTGCAAAATATCAAAGAATCGGTGCAATATTCCTTTATGCCTCCTCTATTCCATTCAAGGCCTACGAACCTTGGTCAATAGGTCAGCCTGCTGCAATTGAACTCATAAACGACCAACAAGAAAACTTGCAAAAATCCTCCTCTTTAATTAACGCTTCATACGAATTGCAAAGTTTCCTAATTAAACCGATTCAAAGATTGTTGAAATACCCTCTCCTATTGGAAGGCATTTTAAAACATTCAGATCCTGCTTGGCCAACTTACTCAGAAGTAACAAGTGGTTTAGAAGCCTTAAAGGGCACCGCTAGAGATATCAATGATGCCCATAGAAAATCTGAAAACGTCAAAGTATTGGCTGATCTCTATACAAGAGTAGCCGACTGGAGAGGCTATGAACTAAAATCCTTTGGTGACTTATTATTCCACTCAAAATTAGGGGTTAGAGACTCAGACACAGAAAAAGAATTTTTTGTTTACCTCTTTGAAAAAATCATCTTTTTCTTCAAAGAAATCATAACAACCCAAAAGAAATCTTCAATTAATCTAGCCAAAAAGAAAAATGCAAACTATAATCAAAATACCTTGTCGAAACTCGAATTAAAAGGAAGAATATTTATCGCCAACATAACTTATATCAACCCAAGCAAAAATGCTTCAACCCTAACTTCAACCCTAGAAGAAAATGATTATCCAACAAATTCTCACCTACTAACAATATCCTGGTCTGGTTTAAGAGATCAGGGTTCTTTTATCATGAGATTTAAAACAGATGAACAAAGAAACTTGTGGGAACAATGTTTAAGAAACTTGTCTGTAAAACAACATGAAGAAATCTTAATGTCTGATGCTTCTCAAAATAGTAACTATTATCAAAGTAATCACTCGAGCAACAGATTTGATGGTTTCACAATCTCTAGAGATCAATCTCCAAGAACTTCAATGAACCATGATCAATTAATGTTCACTAAATATTACAACCATAATTCACAACCCGTTTTCAATAATTTGTATGATCTTCAAAGAAATTCAACTAATTCCAGCAATATTCTTAATCAATATTCTGATAAAAATAATAATAGTAATATCTCAAATAATATGGAAAGTAGAAATAGATCAGCATCAACTCCAGCATCTTCTTTTACTAATTTAAAATTAGTTAATCATAATTTTAATCCAAATCTAATGAATGGAATTAATAACTTAAATTTAAATAATAATTCTCCTCCCCAATCTCGTTCCCGTTCACAATCAAAGCTGCAAACTAATGAATTAAAAACAGAATCAATAAGAGTAAATATAACTTATGATCTGAATATTTATGCTGTTTTAGTTCCAAAAGATTGCTCTCATACTGAATTAAAATCAAAATTAGAAAAAAAATTACTACAATGTGGAGTCGAAATCTCTATGGATAAAATGAAAGTTAAATATGAAGATGAAGATGGTGATTTAATTAGAATTGAATCCAATGACGATTGGAATTTGGCTCAAGATGTTGCATCGGAATCACAGGATAATACTTTAAATATTACTGTTAGCTAAACTATCCCAAAAACAAAAAAATTAAAATCTTAATCTTTTGAAGAGTTGTTGTTTTCTTGCATTTTTTTTTCTATTTCTTCTATTTTTTCTACTTTTTTATTTTTGTTTAAATTTTATTTACGTTTATGTGTTATTGCTTTATTTTGAGATTAGTTTTGTTTTGTTTTTTTAAACAAATTTAAAAAATTATAATTATGAAATCAAACTAAAAATAAGGAATAAAAGAAGGTAAATAATAATTGAAAGGAGAAAAAAAGATTCATTTTATTTGGATGTTTCTTTCTATTTTTTTTTTTCTGCAATTAAATTCACAAGGTGCCCTCCTTCTATGTTTATTTTTTGTATTGATAATAGTCCAGTTGTTTTCATAAATTTCTTATAAGCTTCTAAAAAATTGTTCTTTTCATTTATATTTTAATTTTTAATTTTTTGACCATCATGTTTAGCTTGATTCGATGAATTCTCTTATCCAGTCTACTATTTGAAATTTTTTTTTATGTATATAGTATTTATATATATTTTTTTTTTCTTTTTTTCAACTTCTCTAACAAACTAGTTATTTTTTTTCTTCATGAGTGGTATCTCGTTTTTTTATAATAATTCTTATATCAAACTATATTGCTTTTTGATTTTTGGTTTTTTTTGTTTTTCAAAAGAGAAATCCTTGTTTGTTTTTATAGTTTAAAATAAGGAAACAAAATTGATATTAATAAATATATCTATATGTATAATATTATGTACAGTACTTAAAAAATAAACAAAGCTTTACAGAAAATACATCAATTGATGTAATATATTTAATATTTTCATAACTTGAAAACATTATTTTCTGACCAACCTTTTTGTTTTAGTAAACCAGAAACTTTGCCTTGTTCCAACTCAACGGTTTTAGAACCAGAAATATAATTTATATAGCCATCAGGACCACAAACTATACTTAAAGATGGATTTTGCTTTTCAGTGTTTTTCTCATAATCAGCTTGAGCTAAAGCATTGGAATAAATCTTGATATCTTGAGGACCTAAAGATTGTTCCTCTGATTCAACACTGTCATAGATTTCTTTTTTCATAACTTTGTTGAGTAATGATCTGCCTGTAAAATTGCTTAGAGATGGTTTGTTAATATCTTTTGATATTATAAAATTTTTTTCATCATCGATATATCGCTTCAAAGTAACTCTATTTAATTTTTCAAGATAATAAAGATATCTGTCAAAGATTTCTGGAACTTCATTCTTTGTTTTCGTAGAATAGTGAAGAAAAACATGCCCTTGAGGAGGATTATGAGATAATAAAACTTGTAAAAACGGAGTTATACCAGTACCACCAGCATAAAAAGCATAATTATCAGGCTTGGGAATTTTCAACTCTTTAACAGAAAATGGATCTGCGTTAACCTTTGAGGGCAAGTCTAGCAAGGGAAATCTGGATGGGTATTTATCAATTGGTTGAAATGGAAACACAAACTCAGTATATGGTCCTCTTATTTCAATCTCTGATCCTAAAGGTTTTGAGCTCAACCATTTGGCAACCTCGCCATTTTCGTATTTCTTTATGTAAAAAAATAACTTACCTTTCTTGGAGTCAGGATCTTCCTCATCATTTTGCAACTTAATTAGATCAGGAATATCAAGAGCTAAAGAATTTGATTCAGATAGAAGAATTGGTAGAGGGGTGTATTTTCTGGCAATCATAATATCCGGTTGTTTAAATTCGACAGACCATATTCTATGACCATTCCATAACTCTTTATACTGATTTTGGTATTTTTGACGATATTTGGATAATTTATATTTGGGGGATAATTCTAATAAAAAATGATCATCATCGATATCTTTTTTATATGTGATTTTAAAAGTGGTAAAATAGTCTTGAGATAGTAAAGGTCGAGAAGTTGGATGATCCAACTCTGAAGAATACTTGAAAAAATATATTAGATAAGAACCAGATGCTAAAAGTAATGCAAGAATTAAATGTTTTTTGTAGCGGATATAAAAGTTGGAGTTGCTTTTTTTATTGTATGTTGGAGAATTGAATTTTGGATTTCTAGGGTATTCATGGCTAACATTGGGTTGAAAACCTTTGGAGACAAAAGTATCACCAGTATTTGATAAAAATGCTTCAGCATTCAAAGGAGCAGGGGTAGCAGAAGAAAAGGTTTTAGCAGGTTTATCTTCGTCAGGTTTAGCAGGAACATTTTTTGATCTATTTTTCTTTTTTCTCAATGGGAACGACAAGCTAAAGGCTCTTATTTGATAAGGTTTTGGAGGCGATGGAGAAGAAATCCTAAAACATTTTCCGAAGAAAATCGGTTTCTCAATATTTTTGAAGCAATATAACTGTCCCTGGGTGGCTACTGAGCTCACTAACAGTCTCTGAAGCATTTTGCAAGACCTCCACACCTGTTCTACATGAAAACGACTTCTTCACCAAAACTGCCAAAAAGAGAAACTGATATAATAGTACACGTGCTCTTTTCTGGTTTTCGTGAAGTGGTTCGAAAGGTGTGTGATTTGTTGTCCTCAGATAAGCAGAAAAGAGAAGAACAGAGTTATAGCACAAAAATGGCACCAGATGCTGCTGAACCTCATATATCTAATGCAGAATACCTATTGAAGGTGAGGACATTATTGCAAGCCTCACAAAACACCAGGTCTTCAGTGTATTTCACACAAAAGAGATTGGTGCCTTTTGACCCAATTGATGGAAAGCAGACAGTTGGAAGGATAGATGACCCCTTAATAACAGATGACACCAAGAAAGACACCCAAAAGTATTCCATATTATTAAGAGCAACTAATGGTAGCAGCGAAAAGGACAAAAAACTCAAATATTCAACAATTGTCAAAAGTGATGATTTAGATCAGTTTTGGAAAGATTATGCTATAGCCCTTAAAGGTGGCATGACTGGCTTAAAGAAAAAAGATAAGAAGAGAAACAAAAAGAGAAATTCCAAAAAATAATTCTATTCTTCAATTTGATTTAATTCTTGGGTTTTTTTGTTTTTTTTTTGTTTTCATGTCATTTGTAATATTAGCAATTCAAAGTGATTTTTATTTTGTTATATTTGTTTGTTTATCTTTTGATTATTATATAAATATAAAATACAGTATTATTTATTAAAAGAAATTAGCTCGCAGGAATATCTGCTCTATTAAAACTACAAAATCACTTATTCATACAGGTCATTGCCATATCATTTAAGTTTTATATTAGTATAATATAATATAGTATAATACAATGTAATACAATATAAAGTAATATATGTTCCAAAAAAAAAAAATAGAATATGGAAGATGTGATTAATAATGCGAATGGTGCTTATAGCATAAAGTCACCAATCCATTATCAGAAACAATTTTGATATGTAAACTTGAATTACAATCGTGATAAGATGAAAAATCTTTTAAATGGACTCTTTTACCTTTGCCTCTAGAACTCCGAATTAGTTTCTTATCTTGCGAGCAGTTAAACTTAACAGTATAAATATTTGAATTTGATTTAAAACTTGTCCTTACTACCCAGTTGAGTTTTGATTTCTGATTGATCTTTTCTCTCAAATCTTTTCTAATGTAGTTGAAGACTACTTTGGAACTGTCAATTGAATCATCACTAGAATCATTATTTGAATGGTTGTCTGGGTTATCGTTATTATTGTATGGGTAGTTATGTATATTATTGAAGATATTATCGGATGAGTTATTAGAGGAGTTGATATCGCGAAACCCATTTATAACATTTAAATCGATAAATACCACTTGTATAAATAGATTAGTATCAGATAAGCTGTTTTTTGATAGGAGATCTAAGAAGAAGGAAAAATCATTTAATAGCAAAGAGCCATTGATTTTGAATTTATAATAAAAAGAATCATTAAGTTTGTATTTACAATCAAGTGAAAAATCATTTTGAACAACATGATTGTTAAAGTTCGACTTGCACAATAAGCAAATACGTGAGTTATAGTTGAACTTGCTTAAATCATCAATTTTATTATTGTTATTATTGTTATTATTATTGTTATTGCTATTTTTATTATCATCAATAACATCTGGTTTTATTACATTCGAACATAAAGTGCATAATTTAAAAGGATTTTCAAAATTAGATCTGTTTATAACATTGTTTTGAGATAAGTTTGTTGGTGTATATGGCACATGAGCTGAATCATCTAATAGAGTCATATCTATTAATTTAGTTGGCCTGAATTTTGTAACATTTGAAGCCTTTTCCGGATCCATAACTTTTTCATTAATACTAAAAGACAAAACATAGTTTTTGTAAGGTTTAGAAGAATTCTTCCTTTTTTGGATATGATTTATATTATTGATGTTTCGAATTTGAGTATTGGAAATCTTACTATTTGTTGGTGTGTTATTTGAAGAGTTAAAGAAAAAGGAACTTTCCTTGGAAATTTTGAACTTGGAGGTCAATTGATCATAGGTAGGACGAATTTTGTTGCTTAATTTGTAATTGAAACTATCAAAAGTATTTGGATTATCAGGCAGTGTGTTTAAAATCTCCAGATTTTTATTTGGCAAATTTGGAAAGGATTTAGTTGTATTAGAATTGTCAAATATGTCATCTTGATAAGTTGATTTAGAAGTTGGTGGGAGTTGGGAGATCGCTGTGGTTGAACCAAGCGTGGTATTTCTATTAGCAATGGCAGCCAATTTATCATCAATGTTACTGATGCCGATATTATTTATATTTGTTGCAAGGTAATTTTGGATCAAAGTGGTGTCGATAATATCATCAGAAGCATTGTCATTAGAGGAGCCGGTCTCGAAACTATTGGATAAGCTGCTGGACAAATTGCTGTTATCGAGTTGATCATAGTTTTGACTGGCAGTGTCCTGAAGTCGAAACTTGTGAAAATGTTGGTTATAGGTGTTCATTTTATAAATAAAATAGCGTAGTTTGCGTCGCTGCTCATGACATGAGAATAAGTGGTAGCGATAAGAGAAGCAGATACACCTTTTCTATCAGTTTCTTTATCGTCTTCGATTGCTTGGGCAAAAGTCATCAAAATAGCTTTTCTTTGCTATTGCTCATTTCGGCCAGCAGCCACAAACAAGACATTCTTAATATGGCATTGCCTTAATAAGACATAGTGTGGTATCAGGCAGGTGCTCGCTCAGCAAACGATATCCCACGTGTATGTGTACTGAAAAGAGACTCTAAACGAGATAAAAGCGAGCAAACGACGTATACACAAATGCACGCGTGCTAATATGCGAGAGCGTGCATAAGGTTTTGGGATCTGCTTTCCAAGGCATATCATACCATCCTATCATGGTTTTTGTGTGTGAAACAGTGGGCTTGTTGAAGCAACGGTTTGCACTACAGGGTTTACAGTAACATTGTCACGATTCAGCGCATTGCTTGTTCATCTAAACGAGAGGAACTGAGCACACCAAAATAATCGCCCAGCCGATTCGAAAACGAATATTACTATCAACATCAGTTTCATTAAGGCCATAGCACAATGAGATGCTCCACCGAATTCATATATATATTATTCATATCTTTTCGATTTTTTAATTCTTTTATTCTTTTATTTTTTTCTCTATCTGATATCTTTTCTTTTCGGCCATCATATTATATAACACCATATTATAATAGTCAAAAATAATGAGCTTGTCCACAGAACTAATATCAAAGTTTTCTGTCGTTTCCGACGTTTTCAATAACAACGCTACGTCTCAGGCACTTTCAGCTGATTCCTTTATCCAAGTATTTAAAAATGTCAATACTTCCAAAATCGAGTTGAATCTTCTCGAAAAATTGTGGGCTTCATGGTATATTTATATGAACAATGATATTTTGGCCACAGGTCTTATGATTTTTATTTTGCATGAATTGATGTACTTCGGTAGATGTGTTCCATGGATGATTATTGATCACTTTAATTTATTTAAAAAATACAAATTACAGCCAGATAAATATCCAAGTGATAAAGAACAATGGGAATGCTTAAAAGCAGTACTCAAATCTCATTTCCTTGTCGAAGCTTTGCCAATTTGGACATTTCATCCAATGTGCTTACAATTGGGTATTTTATATGCAGTTCCTTTTCCTTCTTTGAAAACCATTGCTTACCAGGTTGCTATTTTCTTCTTTTTGGAAGATATGTGGCATTATTGGTTCCACAGATTATTCCACTATGGCCCTTTCTACAAATATATCCATAAACAACATCACAAATACGCTGCCCCATTTGGTTTAGCTGCAGAATATGCTCATCCAGTCGAAGTCATGGCTTTGGGTTTCGGTACTGTTGGTTTTCCAATGATTTATTCTTATTTTTTCAGGAATTTACATTTATTCACTGTTTGTCTTTGGATTGTTTTAAGATTATTCCAAGCTGTTGATTCTCACTCAGGTTATGATTTCCCATGGTCATTTAACAAGGTTTTTCCATTGTGGGCTGGTGCTGAACACCACGACTTGCACCACCATTACTTTATTGGTAACTACGCTTCTAGTTTTAGATGGTGGGATTTCACTTTAGATACTGAATCTGGTCCAGATGCTAAATCCAACAGAGAAAAAAGAATGAGACTCAGAGCTGAAAAAAAAGCAAAAAAATTGTAATCTTATAGTCCTTATAAATTAACATAAACTAAATTAAAGAATTTATCATTAATTTGATACTTCAATATTCTATTATTCACCCCTAATAATTACAAACTACCTATTCACTATCACAATTATAAGTTAGATACTTATTCATTTTATTCAACTTCAATTTTTACTTCTTTCGACTGATTTTGTTTTACAGTCCGATTTATATTTTTATAACTTGATATCTTCTTTTACTGCTTTTATTCTTATATACTGTTTTTTTTTCTCACCGCTAAGGCCAAATCAATAAATATTGTGTTATATTCCCAAAAATAAATCCACGAGCACGGGTTTGTATGCACTCCCATGCTTTCTCGGCATAAGATGCGATCATTAAAGTGTCGTGATTTTTCTTGTTTTTTAAAAGCAGAAAAGCTTAATTCGCAAACCGTTCTCCCTTCCAATTGTTTCTCTCAATTTATATTTATCAAAATTCTTCCTTAATTGAAAACTCTCAACACGAATACCTTTGTTGTTTTTTTAACTCGACTATCATCACTTGCCTTCTGCAAAACACATCCTAAGAAGAATTACTGAGATTCTTCATAGCTATCCTTCTTGGTAATGGTTTTCAGTTCTTTGATTGGTACCAGAACTATTACATGTTTGTTGTTTCTTACCACAATAAATGCCAGCTTAGCAATTTTACCCGCTGATAAGGCTTCTTTGTTTGTAGCTGAAGCAACTCCAGAAGTTAATAACAACGGCTACAAAAAAATAATAAATTTGTTAAAAAGAGAGCCATATAGAGAAGTAGTAGCTCCCAAACCAGAGAAAGAAGTTGAAGAAAAGGCTCCAGAACCTTGGGTCAGAACTATATATTCTTCAATTGTCGAAGTGGTTCATCCAACTGTTATTGATGGTATAACATTCAGTGCAAAACCATCAATAGAGACAAACATTCCTCAACCTTGGATTTCTTTGAATAACCAAGGTCGTCCTAAAACAATTAAGCCAAAATTTCAAAATGGTTATACTAAAAATGGTTATCCCGATTATTCAACTTGGTTCAAAGAACCTGTAACCAAAACTTATGACCAAAAAGAGTTAAAAGCCCATAATATGAAAGATGGTGACAAATTGACTCAAATCGAATGGATTGATGAAGATAAAACTTATGTTTCTCTTAATCCCGTCATCAGATGTACCCCCAACAGGTATAAGAAAAAAGGAAGCACAAAGATTCTTTCAAGTGAACCATTTTGTACTCCAACAGAAAATTCAAGTTTCGATTTAGATAAAGTATATTTTATTTCTTGGTATACAAAATACTTTAAAAACGCTAAAAATATTAGATTACATCTCGCTTATGTTAGTGAATCTATTTATGAGAAAAACTATTTGAGAAAGAGGGATGAAATTGATTTTGAACCCAAAGATGATGATTTTGAATCTGATTCTAAAAAAGAAACTGATTCTACTGTTGATAAAAACTTCAACTACAAGCCAAGTGGTATTGAAGATGCTTTTTTCACTTCTGAATGGATGTTAAATGAAAATGGTGACGGAATGTATCCATTGATAGTAGATCCTGATTGGATTGGTGAAAAAAATGTGTATAAAAAAGTTGTAATTAACCTTCAACCTGATAATGTTGCAGATGATGATTTTGATTTGTTGACAAATGGAACCATAGTCACTTTCCGTAAAAGAGCTAAAGTTGATAAAAAAGAGAAGCACTCAGACAATGGATTCTTAGGTGAATTTGGATCAGAAGAGAGTAAATATATGATCATGATGGCTATGCCTACTGTTGTTATTGTTTTTGCTTGTATCATGTACTTTTTGCTTCAACTATGTGCTAAGGATAGAGATATTTCTGAAATTAGAAGAAGCGTTTTCAGAAAAAAATTCCACAGAGATTTAGGACCATTTAAAATGTCTAAAATAAAAACAAAATACGACAGATTACCTGATTTTGAACAGTACAAATTTCATATCAATAAACAAAACTGAAAGAATATAAAATCATTTTAAATAACTTCTCTGTCTAATTCAAACTCATTATATTTAAATAAACATAATTTAAAATAAAAATATTCTCTGTATGTATTTCTTTTTTTAAATCAAACCATCAGGAAAAAATCTGATATTTAAGAATTATGATCTTGATACCAAAATCAAAGAAACTATCTTTTATGAGATATCCAGAAGGAATTTTTAGACTTGGATATTGGTATTTTTGAAAGAAAAAAAAGTATTTTTGTCTTCCAGCTTTTTGCTATTGATCATTATAAAAAAAGGCAATTATTTTGTCAATAAAACACAAATTAAAATTTATTTTTTTTTACTGATTTTACTTTATAAATTAATAATCGATTTCTCCAATTGGGAAACATGTGGGTTACTTTGTTTAGTAGTGAAAAAAGATAATATCAATTAGTAATATGATCATGTAGAAAAGTTATAAGATAAAAAAACAACTGATTGTAAAACTAAAAATGATTTCCGCAATCAAAAAAAAAATATAAAGAATTCGTGACTATCCAGTTAGTTATTTAATTTCTAATTTTCAGTAACTTACCTGATTACCTACAATTATTTTAATAACTAATACGCACATCAAAAGTTTGTTTCCTCTCAGAAGAGTGTTACCCGTAAATAATTTACGAAATTCAACCCATATTACGATTGCCGGTTAGGGCTTTTAGAAGCTCGTTCCTTGAATCAACTATTGAATTTCGTAGTCGCCTCTTAGTTTTGTTGCCTCTCAATCATCTCTAGAAATGATCGAAAATTCAATTAAAAACACCAAGCAATATCAAGTAAAAAAACAGTCTATAGAATCAATAGTTTTATATGTTGATAAATAAATGACTCACTATATTTATTATTCTATTCAAGTAATATTTTTATTGCAAAAAAAACAAAGAATGATCAATACCTAATGCTTTTGTTTATTTTTTACCTTTTTTTCTCGTTACTTTAGCACCTTTTGGCACTTCAAAAAAAATAACAAGAGTTTTAAGAAAAAGTCTTATTTAGATTAATGTGAATTTTGTTATTTTTTATGGGTAAAACAGAAATTGAAAACTTCTTTTATCTCTAATTGATGCCTAAAATAAAAAAGATTTACTGAAGACTCATTTTAATATTTTTGATTTTCTTTTCAAGATATCAAAAATTACCTGTTTAAAATGGGACAGATACGGATCTAACATCTATCCAGATTGCCTTCGTTCCTTCCTACCTTTTCCTGATAGCATAGAGGTGTTTTGATCTCAAAACAATTTTAAAGATCTGCGAGAAAAATTTTGAAAGGGTTGTGTTTATTTCTGGTAATGAGATTCAACGACTTTTTTTCCTTGTTTTTAAAAGGGAAGAACATCAAACATGTAACAGAAAAACAATGTAACCAATTGTAAGCAACAATCATCATTTTCAAATTATAAAAAAATAAAACAAAATAATGATAAACAAAAAACCATATTATAATGTGAACGGGAACAAATGGAAACAGGTTCAAGCGATTTTTCACTCTTTTATAGGGCCTCTACTTTTCATTAAAACTACTTTATTATTAATTTGCCACAGAAAAACAAAAATAAGCTGTAAAAGTTTCTCTGGAAACAACTGGAAGGTATCACAGAGGATTACAAATAAGTCAGAACAAAACGAAAATCATTTCAAGTGATTGGCCAGTAATTGTGATGTCGTAATTCGTTGGCAAATCTAGATTTTCCAAAAAATTTTCTCAATATTGCAAATATTTCTTTGTTTTTATTTTGAAGCCAGGAAATTCAAAGAGAAACACGAAATAATAATAGTGCGATGGTTCTTTTGCAATATTTATATTCTAATTTTATATAACTGATCATAAATCCATGATTACCAGCAAAACTGTTATCTATTCTGAGCTTTTTTTATCAAAAACATAATAAATAACACAATTAAAATGATACTTAAAAAAAAAATTGCACATATGATAAGTATTAATGGCAAAACAAGAACAGAAAAAATCATGCTATTAGTGCTTCAGCTAAATAAATATTGCTATTTGGTAAACCCTATGCAGAAATGCTGCAGAGTGCATTATGAAAGCCCAGCCAGAAATTCAGACAATAGGACTTTTTTTCCGTTTTTGCTGTGACGTATTGAAAGCAAGGCCCAGGCTGGTCTTTTGACAACCAAACTTCTCTGCTGTTGGAGGTTTAAGGTCTGCATAATCGAAGCCTTCTATATATTAAGCAGCAATTCTAGAAGTTTGAAAAAAACGATTTAAAACTCAAAGAATAAAACTGTTTGATTGAGTTTTCCAATTTCAATTGAGCCCTAGATCTAATATTTCTATCTATTTCAATTGCGAAAGCAAAATAATATTGAATAATTCAATTTTAACCTAACTGTCCTTTTTTTACATGAGTTTTGTATGTTATTGCCCGGGTATTGATGATATTGAAGGAATACCACAATTATTATGACTACTATTATTCAAAGTATTGTTATCAAGCCAACATTGACTAATGATCTCTTTGGTATCTTTTTGTTTTCATTCAACCGATGCTATTATAATAGAGCTTTTAAAACCAAATTGTCTATTGATCACGATGGTGACTACCTTTAATATTTATTTATCGCTCATCTTTTGATCTGAACAATTATATATTAAATCAATTTACTGATCAATAATATTAAATCTAGTATAAACAAAATGTGTAATCTGTGCAGATTTATTATTCTGGAGACTATGTCATAGCTTGGAAATCTTAAAGAAATGTGCAAATCATCATTTTGATTATCAAGTGAATTGATTATTCGTTTTGGAGGATTCTTCAACCTATTTTTCTTTCTATTTATAACTTGTAGCTATGAATATGCAATTTGATGTACACACCTATATCCACTATTTTGGATCTATTTATTTCTATTAATATCATTTTTATTGAAATGTTTATATTGAAAACAAAAACAATTCTAATTTGTATATTATAATAAATAATTGTTTACTATTATTTTCAATAATTAGCTGATTTTTAGAAATTGGGTAGAACATTGAAATACATATTCAAATTGAAGGTCAATAAAATTAAGAGCTTAATTTGCAAGTTGAAACGGAGTTTCCATATAATTTTCAAGACAATTTTGAAATTAGGACTTGAACTATTTGGAAAAAAAAATGGAAACAAATCTACAACAATACATTTTTCTAGAAAAGTAAAAAAATAATTATTCATATTGACGTAGGAATCACTTGCTAGTTTGAAATTCATTGTTAACTTAATGATTGAAAAATTGCTAAACAATAAAGCCAATTAAATTTTGAAAAAATGCTATTGACCAGTTTGAAATAAACCTTTTTCAAAAAGCACAGTAACTTTATCTCTTTGCTTTTAGTTATTATTTATTATGTTATAGGGTTTTTAGGGTTTATGATACGTAGATTGATTTGAACAAAATCTATTTTCAATTCTTTAAGATCAAATTGCCAGAATCACAAAAAAATAAAGTATGGGCTGCAATTTTCAAAATCTTATTTAATCTAAAAAAATTTAAATTTAAAACTAATCAAACAAACAAAATATAGATTGAAATTCCTAGTCAAGTGAAAAAGTTAAAATTTGACTGTCTCCATTTGACAACCACCCTATTTCTTCAGAGGTAGCTTGGATCAATTTTTTCTTGTTGCTTTTATTGCTCAAAAACAAGTAAAAAAATGAAAAACCTATTAAATATTTCTGCTGAAGAAAGAAAAAGAATTGAAAATTGAAAATTAAAAATAAAAAACATAAACAAACAAACATAAAGAAACATGGTATATAGAATTTGAACACTTGAATTTTACCCCAAATTAATTTGAGAATTACATAAACCGGTAGTGATAAAAAGTTAAAACATTATAAATAATATTTAGTCACTTCCATTAAATTTGATAACATTAACTATAATTGATTTTAGATTGTGTAAATAAAACATTATTAATTAATTTTATTTACTTTGCAGTCATCAAGCACGATATTATAGTTTTTTGGTTAGTGATTTGTTGATAGAATTTCCCCTACTAGCAGACAAAAATATCATTAAGATGGAAAGTGCTAAGGTTGAGACCTCCTGCGTTGCTCTTGGATTTCGAGACCATAATCAGCACTCCTTTAATCGGGATCTGAGATTTGTTTTGAAGAAAGGAAAACTTTCTTGATAGCGAGATCTCTCGAAACGCTTTTGTATTGGTAAAACAACCACTCTTCTAGACACATACTTGAACATGAGGAAACTCCACCTGCGCTTTTTCCTTAATCCCTCGATATGGTTTCCGGCTGTAGAAACAATCTTGAACTCCAACGCTTGACCAGTTCTTCCACGCATTGATTGTCTCTCTGGCCAGCCAACTGCACCCTCGCTGTTTATTTCAGAAAATTACGACATTTCATCTGCTTGCAGAGCAGTTGGAACTGAATATACAGATTGCAAAACAGCTCTAGCACTACAACAATAGTGGCCTCTTTTGCGATTGTTTATGTTTATGCGCTCATGCATAGTGTCGTTGATTCCACCAGCGTGGCTGCCAACCACTGAAATGGTAAAAAATAGAATCGGTTTAACTTCTATGTTTTCTACTCAGTTTCAGCACTTGACAATTGATTCTAAAATCAAATTTAAATTCTAGTGTTATAATATTATTTTTGAATTGTTTGTCTTATAATTTTTGTTATTTGGGCTTTTCTGTTTTTCTACGATTCACTTTGGACTTATACTACTTTGTTTTTTTCCCTCATTAACATGGAATTAGTAAAGGCAAACATGTAGATTAAAATTAAGTAAAATCTTATTACATCAAAATGATTTAAATATAAAGTCATTTTTCCTCAATTTTATCAACCCATCATTTAATATTTTTCTATATTCATTATCATTTTATTCTCTTTGGATCTCTTAGATGATAGAAGAAACTAGTTAATTCTTTCCTTTTAATTTATATTTTCCTCCAATCATTTTTTAAAATATACTTTGATATTTTTTTTACATTTCCAATATCGACTATTTTGATTCTAATAATTATATTCTCTCTCTCTCCGCTGTTTTATATTGTCTTAATACAAAAATGAATTTCAATTTCAATACTTTTAATCAGAACAATCACATTGTCAACCCTAATCCTAACTCTAATCTTTTGGGCTCACCTTCGGATCCTTTTATTTATGAATTAAAAGTTGTTCAACAACCAATTAGAGGTAGAATGTGTGGCCTAGGTGATAAAGATAGAAGACCACTTACACCTCTACCCTGTGTCAGATTACTGATCAAAGATTCAAGAACCGGTTTAGAAGTCCCTGCTTTTCAAATTGCTGATCAATACCTTGCAAGCTTAGTTCTTTCAACTGAATTATGGAGTTGGGATGGAAAAATTAATTTAACAATAGTCCAAAATGATTACGATTTTACCAATAACAGATTTTTTGCTGATAAAAATAGTATTGGGTTTTCCTCTAATTCACCCAATCCTGCAAACCAATCAGTCTTCCAAATGCCTTCAAATTATCAATTTTTTAATTCAACTTTAAATCCCAATTTAAATCCCCATTTTAATTTAAATGCAATGGTAAATCCACAAATGATGGTCGGTGCTTCAACAAACCAACAGCCATTTTATTCTTCATCTAATCCAAATATGCCACCTCCTCAAGTTCCAACCTCAATTCCAAATCCAATGAATTTAAACCAACCAGTTCAATTTAATCAGTTTAATCAGTTTAATCAGCAAAATCAAAACTTAAATATTCAACCAAATTTAATTAATCAACCAACACAACCAATAAAACCAACTCCAACCCAAGGAAATCAATACTCAACTCTTATTTCAAAAGCTCAATTAACTAGAAACTTGGTTGGAAATACAATCTCAAATGCTAGAAAATTACATGATGATAAGGGTGTTTTGGGCATTTGGTTTATTTTTCCCGATATTAGCATCAGAATTGAAGGACAATACAGAATCAAATTTTTATTAAGCAGAATTAATGCTAACTTGGTCAGTCCAAGTCCAGCTAGTTGTATCATAACTAACACATATTCAGATATTTTTCAGATTTATAGTGCAAAAAAGTTCCCTGGTGTTTTACCAACAACTGCATTAAACAAGGCATTTGTTACTCAAGGTTTTAAAATTTCATTGAAGAAAAAATAGTAAACAAAAAGTTTTCCATATTTGTCAAGATTTCAAAAATTTCAAATTCTAATGGACTATATATTTGATAAATCATTTACAATACTGTGTTTTTAAGTGTAAATTATATTAATTTTTATTTTCAATTTGTTTATTAGCTGCCTATATTTTATCACAATCGCTTTTTTCATTGTTTTTATCTTTATCTTTATCTTTATCTTTATTTTTATTTTCATTTTCATTTTCTTTCTTTTTTTCCCTCTTTCCTTGTTATTATTATTGGCATTCTGCTACTCTAATTTTTAATGGTTCGAACCTTTAAAACAAATAAAAACATATTTTTTTCTTTCTACATCTTACTCTGCTGTTCAATTTCTTTCGTTTTGGATTTGTTTTTGCATTTTTATAATTTTTTATTACATTATATTATTTTCGGTGGATTTTTTTCAAGATATAATTATTTGTATCATTAAATATTTTTTTCTATAGTTTTCAGCGCATTTTAATATATATCATATACTATATAAACATGCAGCTATTAATTAATTATACTTGTTTATTGAAAATTTCCATTTTTAGATCAGGAATAACTTGATTTCAGACCCAATACCAATCATTAGATGATGGTGTTCAAAATTTGAGGTAACATTTGATTTTGTAGCCTACAATAGTTATAGCGCTTTAGCTTAAAATTTGAAGTTATATTAGAGTTCAAAGAAAAACTTTGAAAAATTAAAAGAAAATAAAAAGGGACCTATAGAAATTTCAAAGAGTGGAAGTAACGTTATTACGTTAAAGCCAGATCGAAGCGATTTATTAGTGAGTATTGATTTCACCATCCAATAGTCGTTGATTTTGATTTTCTTCAAATCTATATCCTGATTTCCTAGCATTGAGCTGCTACAGAAGGTTTTGCATTTCTCTTGGGAAATGTCGGTTAATTAGCAGTTTACATAAAGCAGGTGTATTGGTTTTAAACCAAAACCCTTCTTCAAACATCTAGCTATTCATCAATCCTGTTTGGAAGAACCCTATTTGCTAGTATCTCTCTCCGAGAAGACAAAAATTGCAGATTTTTTTCTAAAATAATGCAACAAGAGAACTTTGGATTGCAAAACCAAGCATTTGTTATTAAAATCCATTCGAATATAAAAATCTTTTCTAAAAACAACAAAGAATAAAATGAGTTAAGGAAAGTGAATTTTAGGAACGAAGGAGTTCTGGCTGCTTGCAAACCTTATGTTCTATCTGGATTTGGAACAGGATTCCTATTTTCGTTCTAAGTAAAGTCATGTGCTGTCCGCTTGAAAGTGGGAGGTTTGTGCTAAGACCAAAACACACCGCATTATGAGTCCAATTGAATGAAGGAAAATGTATCCTTTCAATTTCAGTTTTTGTTGATATTATAATAGCTAAAGTACACAATTTAGCTTTCGAGACTTGCTGTATAAGCACAACCTCAGTTGATCTTCCTCCTTCATCAGTACAACATCCCTATCTCACCAAAAACACACAACCGGAAGCTTTTCTCTCGCAGCAAATTTTGTTGATTAACTGTTTTAGTGCAAACACAATAGTGTATAGCCAAAAAGTAATAGCAGGTAATTAATATTTGGGACCTCTGCAAACAAATTTATTGATTTAATTGAACACTATTTTATTTACTTGGTTTTTGTTTTTTAGGTTACTGCAAATAGTGTGCAGAAAAAGTCTGCTAACCAGATTAATCCCCACAAACAAATGTCCTCAAAAATTGCTGATTATGATAGGTGATATTATCGTAAAGAATAAACCATTTGTTGATTGAGTCTAAAATCGTCAAATTGCTATTCATCTCCAATTGGAAAATATACCTGGAAATTTAACATAACTATTATAAGTTTGCCTTGTTTTAATGCTTTGTTTTTTTGATGTTTTGATCTTGCTAGAATCTTTTTTATTCCTGATCACAGTATCAAAGTGCCGGGTGTGCACGGAAAGTAACGGAAACTAGCACCAACTTATGGAATTCAAAATCCGTCTGATCATTCTCTGTGATGTCTTAAGGCTAAATAGCAATTATGGAAAGCAAACTTAAGATACAAGTTGCTTTGACTTGACCGATATATATTTAAAATGAATTTCTTGCAATTTGGTTTTCTTTTCTGGTTTCATTTCTCTATTTATAAAGTTTGTTAATTCAGTTTTTTTGTGAAATTAAAAATTAAAACTATTCATCTATTATAAAATTTACAATGTCTAAACAAGAGTTTCCAATTGACCAAAAAGTTCAGACAATTCTCAATCAATTTATTGTTCCGAAAAAATTGCTTGATGATGGAATTGATTTATTCACCAAATCAATGGATGAAGGTTTAAGAAATCCCTTGGCTGGCTCTTCTTTTATGCCTATGATTCCATCATTTATAACAAAAATTCCCACTGGTAAAGAAAAGGGCCTATTTTTAGCTTGTGATCTAGGTGGAACTAATTTCAGAGTTTGCTCTGTCGAATTAAATGGCGATCACACATTCAATTTAGAACAATTGAAGACAAAGGTCGATCATTCTTATATGGTGGGCGATTCCAACAATTTATTTAATTTTCTCTCATTGCATGTTAAGGAATTTTTAGAAGTTCACCATGATGAATATCTAAGTTCAAATAAAGATAACCAGCGTTTGAAAATGTCTTTCACTTTTTCCTTTCCCATCGATCAAACTTGCATAAACCGTGGAAAATTAATCAGATGGACAAAAGGATATGATGTTAAAGATGCTGTTGGACAAGATGTAATAAAGCTATTTCAATATACTCTAGATCAGCATAAATTACCAGTTGACTTGGTGGCAATCACCAATGACACTGTTGGAACTTTATTAGCTAATAGTTATGTTTCAAATACTTCCAACCAGACGCTTATTGGTGCAATCTATGGAACAGGCACTAACGGTTGTTATATCGAATCACTTGATAACATTAAAAAATTAAAGCCAGAGACAGTAGAAAAATTAAAATCCAAAGGTCAAAATTACATGGTCATTAACACTGAATGGGGTTCTTTTGATAATAGATTACAATGTTTACCAAATACAAAATATGATGAGATTCTTGATTCTGAAACTCCTAATCAGGGTTATCATATGTTTGAAAAAAGAATATCTGGAATGTTTTTAGGTGAAATTTTGAGACTAGTTCTTATTGATTTGAACCAAAAAAACTTACTTTTAACGGAATTCTATTGTTCTGAGAGTGGAATGGATTTTGGTCAAAACAAAGATCATGGCTCTTATAGCAAAAATGCTGCTGGTAAATTCATTCAAGATGGTTTCAATGAATCTGCCAAAAAAAATAATTCAAATTCTTTTAAGAGAAATGGGAGCTTTCAATCGCTATTACATATTAGTACAAATTTACCAAGAAGACCAGGCAATAAGACAAATCTACCTCATAGGCTTTTAGCTCCATGGTCCTTATCAACCGAAATTTTATCAACTATTCAAATTGATGATTCAACTGATTTCAATGTCACCGGATTATTATTACAGGATAAATTGAGGCTATCAACAACTGTCGAAGATAGGTTTATTATTAGAGAATTTGTTAGAGCAATCGGAAAAAGAGCAGCGTATTTATCGGCCATTCCAATTGCATCGGTGGTAATACATACTAAAGCAATAGAAAAATTGAAAAAAAATGAATTTGTTGAGGTTAGTGGTGATGGTGCAATTTTTGAATTGTATCCCGGTTTCAGAGATATATTACAAAGTGCTCTAAAATTAACTAAACTTGGAAAAGAGAATAGTAAAAAAATAAAACTTTTAATTACCAAAGATGGAAGTGGTGTTGGAGCTGCTTTGTGTACTGAATCTGCTAACATAATAAATGACTGAGTTTGTTTTGGGTTGTTTTTTTTGATGATATTTAACTTCTTAAGTAAATATAAATATAAAACCTTTTTTTAAAATATTAGAAGCAAATTTGAATAATTTCAACTGATCAGTCCAATGGTTATAAATTAACAAATAATGATCAGTCAAAAACAAAAATACATAATTTATAATTTAGACTAAATAAATTCTGTTTTAATTAAAGTATTCATCGTAACTAGAATTCATAACTTTTGAATGATCCGGGTCTTTAGTTATTCAAGCATATACCCTTGATAGTTCAATAAAAAAAGCTTGAGTTCAAGAAGGAAACTTGAATTTATAATAAAAATAAAAAATTCCAAATATTTTGAGTTTTGATTTTTGGGTGTCAATAAAATTAATATTAGTAATTTTATAAGGTAAAAAGGTTGAAGAACGGCAAATAAAGTTGTAATAAACAACAAAAACGACCAATATCAATTGAAAGTTGGTAGTGTGCTGAGAAAATCTTAAAAAAATTGACTTTTATCAAATGGTTATTGGTGTGATTGTTCAGGGATGCAATTAAAATCCATACCAAGACTACGGAAAAACACCAATTGTTCTGCTAGCTGGTTATTCCCCAATAACTTTAAATATGACCCCACGGAAAAACTTTTAACTTTAAATTAATCCGGGAATCTGCAGCAATTTTGAGTCTGGAGCAACCATTTTCTGTTCTTCTAAAAAACTAGCAAATCACAAACAGCAGAAAGCAGAAAGATACTATTGTATTATTCAATAACCTGAAATGAGAAACGGGGAACTGCTTTATCTGAATATTAAGGTTAGAAACAAACAAAAAAGCAAAAATAACTGTGACGTTGTTCAGGGATATAACTGTAGAATACCATGTACTATTTTACTATTTCTGACCCTTTTCCCTATTTTTTTAAAAAAAATTTGCTATCAACTGTTTTATTTTAATATAAATTAAACAGTGATTTCTTCTTTTTTATTAATACTCTATAAAAGCAAATTACTTTACATATCTATAAAACATTGTTATTATATCATTTTTCAAAATTTTTTAACAATATGGCAGTTTCAAAATCAGACAATCAAAACAAAAAAGCAGAAATTCAAGAGTTTCTTAAACAATTTGAAGTTTCTCAAGGATTAATTAATGATGGTGTAAAGCTATTTCGAGAATCCATGAGGAAAGGTTTAGAAAATGATTCTTCTAATACTTCAACTCTCCCAATGATTCCATCATTTATTACCGAAATTCCAAATGGTAAGGAGAAAGGGTTATTTTTGGCTTGTGATCTAGGTGGGACAAATTTTAGAGTCTGTTCTGTTAGATTAAATGGTGATCATACTTTTAATTTAGAACAATTAAAGTCGAAGGTTGATGGATATTGTATGAGATCAACAGGAAAAGAACTCTTTCGATTTTTAGCGCAACGAATTCATAACTTTCTTGAATTAAATCATCAAGAATATCTAATGAGAAACAACTCACTAAAAAGCATTGAAAGGTTGGATTTTAAGCAAAACGACAAATTAAAAATGTCATTTACCTTTTCATTTCCAATCAATCAAACATCGCTTAATAGAGGAGAACTAATTAGATGGACAAAAGGCTTTAATATTGACGATGTTATTGGAAAAGATATTGTCGAGGAATTTCAAAAAGAGATTGACAATTTAAAACTACCAGTTAAATTAGTTGCTATTACAAACGATACCGTTGGTACACTATTGGCAAATAGTTATGGATCAATTCTTGAAAGCTCAACAACAATTGGTTGTATATTTGGTACAGGTACTAATGGTTGTTATGTTGAAAATCTTAACAGCATCAAAAAACTATCTGCAAAAGCCAAAGAAGAATTATTATTGAAGAAACAAAACAAAATGATTATAAATACTGAATGGGGATCCTTTGATAATAATTTAGAAATTTTACCAAATACTAAATACGATCAAATAGTCAACCAGGAAACTCCAAATCCGGGAGTTCATATGTTTGAAAAAAGAATATCTGGAATGTTTTTGGGTGAGTTAGTTAGATTAATTATCATTGATTTGCACAAAAGAAGTTACATTCTTTCACAATATTCAACTGAAGAATCCCAAAGTAAAAAGCCTGTAAGTGCAGAATATGAAATCATTTCTAAAACTTCAAACACAGAATCATTTTTACAGATTTCTAAGAATTTACCAAGAGAAAATGATAAACCTATAACACTACCACACAGATTATTAAGACCATGGGCATTTCAAACCGAGGTTTTATCAAAGCTTGAAATAGATGATTCCACTGATTTGAAAATAAGTAAATTGTGTTATGATAATGACTTAAGATTAGAAACAACTTTGGAGGACCGTCGTATCATTCAAAAAGTAGTTAAAGCTGTTTCAAAAAGAGCAGCATATCTTTCAGCAATCCCAATTGCAGCAATCATATTACAACAAAATGATGGAAAGCCTCCAAAAGAAGAAATTCAAGTTGGAGCCGATGGAGCTGTTATTGAGTTTTATCCAGAATTTAAGGAACACATCATGGAAGCACTTAGATTGACAGAATTAACTGAGGCAGGAGCTGGTAAAATCAAGTTTACAATTGCAAAAGATGGAAGTGGAGTTGGTGCAGCATTATGTTCAAAAACAGCAGAAACTTTAAGCCAAAACAACACCTCTCTATAGATTGTTTTTTTTTTGCTGATGAATATATTTTTCATTTTTATTTTTATTTTTATTCTTATTCTTATTCTTATTTTTATTTCTTTTTCATTTCTTTTTATTTTATGTCTTATGTCTTATGTCTTATGTCTATTACTTTAGGTTTTTTATGTCAAGGTTCCAAAAAGCATCAAGCATTTTAGAACCATTTTTATATATTTTGATAAAAGTGTATAAGAATGAAAATTGAAATTCCGGTAGTCTCGTAAAATCACGTGACGTAACTGTCAATCTGGGGATTTCTTATTGTAAGAATCCAGGAACCAATTTTCTAGACAATTAATTAGCTGCCACAAATAGTGCCCAACTATAATCAGAATGCCTAAATATTACTGTGACTATTGTCGAATCTATCTTACCCACGACTCTGCTAGTGTCAGGAAATCTCATTTTATTGGTAAGAACCATATTAAATATGTCTGCGATTATTATGAGCAAGAAGCGAAAAAATTAGGAATTTGGAATCCTGAAAATATTATCAACGAATATAAAATAGAGGATTATTATAAGGGATGCCCTACTATTAAGAATTCTCTCGATGATTTTGATCTGGTTAGTGGCTCTTCGAGGAAAGCAAATGCTGGTAACAATAACTTGAGTGATACCAATCATGTCAGCAGCAGTAGTAAAAATAAAAGCGAAAACTTAGTGAATGGAAATGATATTAATGAAATTGAAAACAAGGTATTGCCACCACCACCTACTTTGCCTAACATGCCCAACCCACCTTCAAGTGCCTATAATACTGTTCAAAGTGATAAGGGTTATAGCAATGGCAGCCATTTTGTTAATACTGGGATTAACAAGTATCATAACATTGCTAATAAAACTAGTAACTCTTTCAACAATATCAGTTTAGTTAAAAGCTCCTCACCGTTATCGAATTTAATAACAGTTAATGATAATAATCACAATAAATTTAATAACAAAAGCAATAGTCATCTCAGTACGAATAGTTATAACAACAAAAATAATAATAACAATGGCAATAATATCAGTAGCATTAATAATGTATTAGGAAACACTGGAAATATCGTTAAAAAGTCAGGGTTTTTGCTTAATCCAAATATGAATTTTAATCCACCAAACAACAAATCAAATTATTATAATAATAAGAGCAATAATTATAATTACAACAACAGCAACAATAGTAATATTAATAATAATATCAACAATAATATCAGTAGTATCAATAATATCAATAATAATAGTAATATTAATAATAATAGCTTTAATAGGAATCAATTTCATGGGGGAAACAAAAGCTATCAAAATAATAATTATCAGAATAATAATTATCAAAATAATAATTATCAAAAGAAAAGTTACCATTCAAATAATCGACAGTTTAATAGTTCTAATAACATGAATAACAACAATAATATCAATACTAACAAATACTCTGTGAATAAACCAAATTTAAATGGAAATCGTCAATATAAAAGAAGCTACAATAATTTTTCAAGATAAATAATTATTTTTATTACGTTTTTTGTTTTTTTTAAGGAAAAAAGGGATATAAATTAGGAAGTTTTACCTAGAAAATTATTAAAAACTGTTTTTTTAATTATTTCAAATTTTCTAGACCAAAAAAAGACTATAATATATAACGACATAGAATCTAATAGGAAAAAAATTACAAAAGTACAAATATAAAACAAACTAATAAAACGTAAAAAAATAATATTTATTAGGCACCTTTAAAGTCTGGATTGATCATTATAAGCAATTTAAAACCTATGTTTGCAAGGAAATTTACGCATATATTCGCGCTCTTCTCTGCTTTGCTCTTCAAATAAATTATATATCTCGTTAAGATGTTTTGTTTCTTTATCTTCTTGATTAGCGAAAGGAATAGCACCTTCATAAACTTTTTGTTTCTTTTCACTTTTCTTAAAGTTAATAAATGGGAAGTTGGGCATGATTACTGTATTTTGATCAAATTCTGAACATTGTGGTTTTTCAGTTTGAGGTGGAAATACTTTTGGAAGTTGGGATTTGTTTTGTTTTGGTTGTTCTTCAGATATAGTCATTTTCAATTATTTTTTTGAAGTTTTATTGGTTTAGCTTTGAATCGAGTTGCAAAATATTATCTTTTATATCTTTTAGCTTGGACTGGATATAGTTAAAAACGAGTGTTTAGTTTTGAGAAATACAAACTTCTATATTCTTTTCTTGAAGAATAAGGCGATATTTATACTAGTGATACTGCCAACGAATAAACAATCAAAACCATCTTAAAACGGATAAAGATTATCTAGAGCTCATTTAGCCAGAAACTTCTGGTCTCAGTGGGTCATCTGTCAAACATCAGTTTTGTAGGACAATAAGTATATGCGTGTGTTGGATCGATCTAGAGACTACCTCTTGTTGGTTGCTTCGCCCATTTCAATCGTAAAACAAGTCTTCTCCCAATATTCAACAACAAAAAGGCTTAGTCCTCCACACTCAAACCAGACACAGAGATGGCCCAACTGGAACCGACCAAAATGTGTCAACGCTGCAACAGGATGAAAACAGATTCTACTAGAGCCCTGATATAAACACCAGAGCCCTGATAAAACAATAAAGCCCTGATGAGGCCGACAGAGCCCTATTCGGTCCGAGAGCGCCGCACAAGACCGACGCCACGCCGACAAGCTGAAGAAGAACCTGAAGCAGCAAAACCATCAAATCTCTCTATCTCACACAGGAGAGAGTAGTTGTGATGCCTAGAATAAACCCAACGACCTTGATCTTTTTCATCATCTTTCTCACCTTCATCTTTCCCTCGCCCAACTCCAACTCGATAGTAACTTCCCGTCAGAAGAGGCAGATCAAGTCTTATCAAGCATACAAAAACCACTTGCGAGAATCCATCTACAATTCAACGTATGCTCAAGGTTATGGTAATGCAACAGGCTTTCTATTATCCTATGATGATGCTTTTTTAAATAGAAACATCTCCCACTGGCCATTCCCCGACAGAGATTACAACAATTTTATAGAAAATCAGAATTACTCAATTTTACCAAATTTGGTTTCAAAATTTGCTCGAAATATATGGAGTTACGAGTTTTTAAAGAATGATAATCAGATCAATGATGGAAAAAACGAAAACGTTGAAATGAACATGGGTTTACCAGGCAGTGCAAATAAAAAAAATCAATTAGTTTTTTTTCCCAACATAACAGGGACATTAAGAGGCGACTTTCAGAGACTTCCACTAAACTTTACCAAAATTCATATGCCAATTCCTCCTCTTTTTAAAACCGACACTGATATATATCCAGATTGGGACTACGATAATAATACAGATAACGACAACGATGATAACATCATTATTAATAACAACAACAATGACAACAATAACAATAACAATAATAATAATAATCAAGCAAAATTACTCTCAAATGAAATCATAGATGGCGAAACACTATTTGGCAGTTTTGCATCAGATGGAACAGAATTTCAAGATGACCAGTTCTTATTTCTGGATCTTGATAATAATTACAATAATGCAACACCTTCTTCGAAAATCGGAAACATAACTCAATTGAATGGCAATATCAAGTTAGATATTTTTAATTATGAAAACTCAATTGATTTTTTAAATAAATTTTCTGAAGATTCAGATAAAGACTATTCAAGCTTTGATTCTTTAAATTATATTTACCTAAAATTGAATTTTGACTCTTATAACCAAGATGATGATCATCATTTTACAATGAAGGGTTTGTATGACCAAAAAACTGGTAACATCATATCAATAACTGATTCAATTAAATTCGAAGGTTATTGGGAATTACCTCATCTAATCCTAGACAAATCTTCTTCTTTATCCTTTTTTAAAGATTTTAATACAACTAAAAAATTCCAATATTTAAAATCTTTGCAATCCAATTTAGATTACAGTTTTGTGGATTTCGATTACCTAGTCGAAAGAAATAAATTGGCTTCAAATTGTGAATACGTCTCTTATTTACACGTCGACTCAATTAATGATTCTAATCTAAATACTCATGATATCAATGAAATCGAAAAAGAATTAAGAAATCCAATTGGTAGACCAGTTAAAAAATTACCAAATTTAAAAATCTCAACTGGCGTATTTTATTCTCCTGATTGTGGAATCTTACTAAAAATTAATGAAAAAAACCCATTAATTGGCGTAAGAAAAGAGGTTCATTTGAAAAGTTTAAGAAATATCGTCCTAATCGGTATAATAATCCTATTTTCTCAAATCTTGCTAACAATTAGACAAATGGATTATACAAATACTCCCTCAAGTATTTCAAAGATTTCCTTTTATTCAATTTCAATCATGAATTTAATCGATGGCTCGCTATGTATGCTTTTCATTTTATCTTCAGCTTTAATCTTTGAATTGTTTATACCATTGGCAATTAGTGGCTTTTTGGCCTTTATCCTATCCAGTGTCTTTGAAGTTAGATATCTTATTTTAATCAATCATTCACAAATTAATGAAAGATCTATAAACATATGGACTGCTTTAAGAGGAGAAACTATTGATAATAGTAATAACAATAGAAATAATAGAACCAATAATAATAATAATAATAGTAATAATGCATCAAGAAATGATAACGCCTCAGAAGATCCAAATCAACCATTATTACCCACTTCACAAGCACCGCAAGATCTTCCACAAATCCAGCAACCTACTCTACCTGCGACTCAACAAACAGCTAATACTTTCCCACAAGATGAACAAACTATTGGCAGTTCAATATTTTCAAGATCTTTTTTCTCATTAATCATTTTTACATTTTTAATACTAAATGCAAGCATGTGGTCTAGAAATGCTAGAAGAAGTTTTGAATTTATATGTTTTTTTTTGCTTAATTCATTTTGGGTCCCACAATTTTTCAGAAATTTAATACGTGGTTCAAGCAGATCTTTTAAATGGGAATTTATAATTGGAACTTCATTCATAAGATTTTTTCCCATAGCATACATTACAATGGTTAAAACAAATCCCTTTAATCATCATTATGATCCAACAATGTGTTTCACGATATTAATATGGCTAATAATTCAAATTTTCTTATTATTTTTACAAGATTGTTTAGGTCCTAGATTTTTGCTACCAAAGTCTTGGCTACCAAATATCTATAATTATCACCCAATTTTAAAAGAAGTTGATTTAGAAAATGGATTTGGTCTCGAAAGAGGTGACAATACTAATAAAAACAATGATGATGACAATTTTGAACCAGGAAAATTTAAAGTGGATTGTGCTATTTGCATGAATGATATTGAATTACCAATAATCAGAAACGAAGATGAACAGTTGAAAGAGATCAATGAATTGAATGCTAAGAAATACATGGTAACACCATGTAGACATATTTTCCATACTGAATGTTTGGAGGGATGGATGAAATACAAATTACAATGTCCTGTATGCAGAAGTTCTTTACCTCCAATATGAGGATGAGCTGTTATTATATCTATGTATTTATGATGTACTTATGATTTGTTTACGATTTGTTTACGATTTATTTAATGCGAAGCTTTTCTAATACCCAATTCCTATCTGCCATCAGCGTATTGTCTCTCCCCAAAATATAAACGGAAAAAGTGCATCATGGGAAACTCGACAAAAATAAAATCATATATAGCCATTCATGTAATAATTGCACACTTCTCTTAACATATTTATCTCAACAAGCCTACATAATCAAATATAATTTCTATTTCTAAATATTAAAAAAAAGAATTAAACAATAAGGTTAAAAGTTCGAAAAGAAGCCTTGTCGCGAATTTTCAACCAAGAACACAAAAAAAATGGTTGCAAGGAGGTTCGAACTCCTGCCTCTTTCGAGATCCGATTACCCACTTTCTAAAGTGAAAGTTATCTAGAACTTGAGTCGGACGCCTTAGACCTCTCGGCCATACAACCTTTGCTATATAGAAGAGTAATATGATTTTTGATTAGACACCAACATTATCCAAAACAACAATGGATTGTTGCAATCAATCAAGAAATTACATAAAGGTGTCAAATCTAAGGTATTAGAAATTATCAAATAAAAAAAAACAATGTTATTCCTTTAAATCCTTTAATGTAATTAATAATCAGCAAAAAGCTAGAACAAAATGGCTGTTTCTTCATATGGTTGAATTTGGCTGTGAAGCACCTGACCCTAGCACCTGATTTTCCAGCTGCAGCGGCTGCCAATGAAAATGCGTAAATTTATAATATATCGAGTGTATATTGCACTTGATTCCTGTGTCTGATACTACTGTTGATTCCAGAGACTTTGAAGAGTTGCTAGTTCCTATCACATTTTAAAACACGCTTACTATCAATTCTACAAAAATGGCTTTCACCGAATTCCCACCACTTCGTATGTTTATCAATTTTATTACCAAAATCCATTGATATTTTCGTGGAGATGGCTCATGATCCACTAACCACTGTCTTTGTTTTAAAATCCTTTTAGTCTCTCATGAGGAAATGAAAAAGCACAAGATTCCTTTAGGATATCGTGACAGATGTGCTGCTTTATTGGTTCCATTAAATAAATGTAGAATTGAAAACTATTACTTGCCATGGAAATGTACCCATGAACGTCATATTTATGAAGAATGTCAATATTTTGATTTCTTAAGACGTGTTAAACAATTAGATGAGAAAAAAGCTGAACTTAGAACCGAAAGAGATATAAAAATAAATGCCGAAAGAGAAGCTGCCAGAGAAGCTAGAGAGGCTGCTGAAGATGATGATGATTGATTGTTTCAACAAATCTTTTTAGAAAGCTACACAAAAATATAAAAATTTGCAAAATTTATATTCACTTAATAAAATGAACTAAATAATACTTAGAATCAATGATATTTGACTGGGTTTTGATTTCACTAAACTCTATGAATTATTAAGTTACAAAGCTACTAAACCATTAAATTTTATGTTTCATTCTTTTTTTCTTTCCTTATTTTTACAACAGATTATATTATTACTATTTTTCTTTATGGCTGTTTTAACTATTATTAAATTTTATGATATTCAATTAAACTCATTTAATATTCATGCTTAAATACAACCACAAAACTAGGTCAAAAACCATTATAAATAGGATATTGACTTTTTTTGGAGGTTTTTGGTTGTTTTCTTAATAAACTTTAAATAACTAAATTAATATTAAACGTAGTAAAAAAGATATGAATTTTCAAATTATATTAAAAGAAATAAACCGTTGATTATTAATATATTTAAAAGTATAAATAATTAAAATAAAATAATCTATGTTGAAAATTTAATAAAACTAAAGATAGAGGCCTTCAAGATTTTCTTCCACTTTATTTTTAAGAACTCTTTCTTTAGCTTTAGTAAAATCATCCATTGTCACTTGCATTCTTCTTTCTCTTAAGGCTAATAATCCGGCTTCAGTACACATGGCTTTAATGTCGGCACCACTTAAGTCATCTTTACTAGTCACTAAATCATCTAATTTAACATCCTCAGCTAGATTCATTTTATTTGTATGAATTCCTAAAATTTTTTTCTTTGTCGATGGATCAGGGTTTTCAAATAAAATTTTACGATCAATTCTACCAGGTCTAATCAAAGCAGGATCCAAGCTTTCAATTTTATTTGTAGCCATTATAACTTTAACATCACCTCTATCATCAAACCCATCTAATTGATTTAATAATTCCAACATAGTTCTTTGGACTTCTCTTTCACCACCTGAAGTGGATTCATATCTTTTAGTACCAATTGCGTCAATTTCATCAATAAACACAATTGATGGGGCATGATCAGCTGCCACTTTAAAGATTTGTCGACAAAGTCTTGGACCATCACCAAGATACTTTTGAATTAATTCCGAACCAACAATTCTCAAAAATGTTGCTGAAGTTTGATTTGCAACAGCTTTTGCTAATAAAGTTTTTCCAGTACCTGGAGCACCATAAAGTATAACACCTTTTGGAGGTTTTATACCCATTTCTTCATATAATTCTGGATGAGTTAAAGGTAATTCAACAGATTCTTTAATTTCTTGGATTTGAGATTCTAAACCACCAATGTCGCCGTAAGATTCAGTTGGAGATTTATCTAATTTCATAACACTCACCATTGGATCATCGTCATCTTGTAATACGCCAATGATTGACATGGTTTTATGATGTAATAATACAGAACAATTTGGTTCTAATAAACCTTTATCGACAAAGGATAATATTGAGACATAATATTCTACGCCAGAATTGGAAGAAATTATAGCATGGTCATCATCGATGATTTCTTCTAAAGTACCAATTGACATTGGAGAGCCTCTCAAATCATCAATCTTTTCTCTTTCTTCAATTACTTTTTCATTCGCAGTTGGTTGGAATGTCTCATTATTCAATACAAACTCTTGTTCCATTAGTAAATGATCTTTGATTCTTTCCATTTTTAATAATTTTAATTTGCAACGAGTTGTTGGGTAGACTACAGGTAATTTTGCTGAAGTAGCTGGACCTTTTCTCTTCTTTCGGCCGAATTTTGATTGAACTGGAGGTTCATATTTTGGCTTATCCTTTTTATTATCTTTTTTATTGGAATTATTATTGGGATTCAATCCAGAAGCACCTTGACCCTGAAAACAACAGTAGAAGATAAAAAGCTATTAGTAAATCATGTTCGATAGTAGTAATAAATCTATGGTCAACACCCATCAAATATAACATACCATGATGAATAAAATATATGGAAAACAGAGTGATCTTGGTGTTGAATACTAAAACTGCAGTCAATTGATTGTGCTGTTTCCTATGGTTGGTATATCGAAAACTGATGCTTCTTTTAGTTCCTTTAGTGGTTGTTCTTCAGCTGAAAATTGGCCACCCATTGAAAACAGTGAAAAGAGAAAGAGGCCGTAGACCGGTTCGCAGTCAAAGATTGATTACGGTCGGTACTGGATGTTCGTGAAACGCCGTACAAATTTCCGGACTCTGCGAAACATCGTATGCTTTGTACTGATTGGCCAGATTTAATACACTTTAATTTTCATATTTGTGGCTATAATGTGCTATTGTGTAATAGTCACAGCAATACGCATGTATATGCAGTGACACATGTGACTGAGACTCTGGAGTTTCGCTGGGAATAAATAATTCAGTGGTGTAAAAGAGATTGCTTTTATCACTTTTGCATTGATAGAATAGTGTTTTAGCATGTTTCAACCCACTCAGAATGTTGCCGGTGGCCAAAGACTGATGAATTTTACTTTCCAAGCAACGACACCACAATCAATATCTCTCACTCCTCTACCAGAGAAAAACGTTCCTGTAGATTTAGTTGATCAATTGGAGGATAAGTTGAAAGAGAATACCACTGACTTCAACACTTGGTTGTTATTGATTTATTTGACTCAAAAAAAGGACAAGTTGGTTGATGTTCGAAAGGTTTATGAAAACTGTTTAAAAGTTTTCCCCTTTTCATCATTAGTTTGGTTGAATTATATCAATTATGAGTTATCAAGGGCAAAATTTGAAGAGGCTGAAAGTTTATTTTCCAGATGTTTAAATAAAAATTTAAGTGTTTCATTATGGCAAAATTACATTGAGTATGTTTTAAGAACTAATACAAATTCTACAAAGATGATTAACGAAAAACAAATTGATCCATCAGTTTCAAGAGGCATTGTAATTCAAGCTTTTGATTTTGCTTTAGACAATATCGGCATAGATATAAATTCGACTCCATTATGGGAATCATATTTGGATTATATTAATAATTGGAAAACAACAACAAATTGGGAAAATCAACAAAAAATGGATATAAAAAGAAGAATTTTTAATAAATGTTGCAAAATCCCTTTAAATAACCTATCCAGGTTATGGAATTTATATACAAGTTTTGAAAATGACTTAAATCCCCAAACTGCGAGAAATTTTATTGATCACGTAAATGCTTCTTACATGTCTGCTAAATCTTGGTTACTTGAATTTAATAATTTTTCAAACGGTTTAATCATCAACGATTACAATAGTATGAATGCTAATTGTTATGTGGATTTCCTTGAACTTATCAAATTGAATCTAACGGATTCTCAAATTAAGTCAAAGATATTGAATTTGAATATTAATAGATTAAATTCCATTCAACAAAAAAAACAATTGAATATTTGGAAAATTTGGATTAATTTTGAAAAATCTAATAAACTAAATTTAAAAGATCCAAAAGCTTTAAATCTTAGAGTTGATTATATTTATAAAAAAACCACTGAGCATTTCTTTTTCTATCCCGAAGTTTGGTTTGATTACATTCAATATAATCTATCTAATATTTCATCTTCAGTTGAAAAAAACGGAGATTCGACTCAAGATATTAGCAATATTACTTCAAGTAACAACATCGATACATCTTCAAATTCTCCTCAACCAAACCAGTCCCAATCTCAATCTATTATTAAAAATTCAATTAAGATTATAAATGAAGCAATTGCAGTTAATCCATTATCATTTTCATTAACTTATTTATTAGCTGAATTATATGAAAAAAGTTTGAATTTAAAACCTATCAAAAAAGTTTTTGGTACATTGATTGCCAATTACATTAAAATCTTTTATAATTTAGAATCGAATTTACAACTTTTAGTTAATACTTTAAAACAAATTAATATAGATATTAAATCAATTAAAGAAAATCAAAACAATTTAAAAATCAGTAACAGTGATGTTGAAATTAAAATTGCTTTGTTAAAATCCAAGTATAAAAATTTTACCGATCAGTTGATTAATATTATTGTTAAACATAAAGAGATAAAAAGATTTATAACATCCATATATATTCAACTTATTAAAATAGTTAAAAGATCGTTTAGTAAAGATCAAGCGAGGTCTATTTTTTCAGAAGCTAGAAGATTATTTCCTAAATTAACATGGCATATATATTATGAAAATTCGATGATGGAATATTATTCAGCATCTAATAGTGAGGTTGGTAAAAAAAATGCAGTTAAAATTTTCACATTATCATTGAAGAAAATGGGGCAAATTTGGGATTCAGAGAAATTAGTATTAGACTCAATTGAAATAGATAAAGCGGATAAAATAAAGCATAATTCAAAGAGAAAAGAAGAACATTTCAATTTTTTTAAGAATGAGAATTTTGAGTTTATATTAAAATATTTTGAGTTTCTAATTATGGTTAATGATTATAATAATATAAGATCATTATTTGAATCATCATTAAAAAATTACAAACTTAACCATGCTGCTGTTGAGGAATCATCAATAATTTCTAAAAATGGGGTGAAAACAATTGAGGATTTAGGATTCAATCACAGTAAAAATAACAGTAACAAATGCTGTATAAAAAGTGATGAAATCGAGTCTAACAATTTGAAGAAATTGTTTAAAATTTTGTTAAAATTTGAATTAAATAATGGCAATATAACAACGATGAAGGATATAATTAATAAATATAAATTTGAATTTTTTCCTAATGAATCTAGATTGAAGATTTTTTCAAATGCATTTGTTGAAATCGATGGGAAGAATTATATTAAAGAATTTGATATTGGAGTTAATTCATCTAAGTTTTATAATATATTGAATAATAATGCATATTCAATTAATAATATTTATGAGGATGAGAGAGATAATGTGATTTTAGCAGGAAATAATTTTGATTACAATAATATAATATTGGAAACAGGATATAATAGTGAGCCTAAAACAATATTTGACGAAAATAATAGGCCATCAAATAAAGTTAATAAAATGTTGGAAGATGATTATTCTGATGATGATTTAGTGGATAATTATAAGTATAATTATAACTGTAATAAAAAAGGCGGAATCAACAACAATAATAATGAGCCAGATTTAAGTACAGATGATTATCATTACACAGAAAACAATTTAATGTTCAAACGAATAAAAAGAGTTAAAAATTTGAATCCTAAATTTAATAATAATATTAATATTTTGTATAATAAAAAGGGGAGTAATGAAGAAGTTGAGGATAGTTATAATTTCGATGACAATTTTGATACCGTTTATAATAATGGAAATATAAATAATAATAAAAATAATAACAGCAGTAATAATAATTTAGCTAGTAATGGAAATGATTTCAGTAGTGAAAACAGTGGGGTTAATATGAACAGAACTAGCACAAATAATATGGGCAGTAATACCAATAATAGCAAAATGAACAACAATAGTAATAATAATAATAATAATAATAATAATAATAATAATAATAATAATAATAATAATAATAATAATAATAATAATAATAATAATAATAATAATAATANTAATAATAATAATAATAATAATAATAATAATAATAATAATAATAATAATAATAATAATAATAATAATAATAATAATAATAATAATAATAATAATAGCACTAGTAGTAATAATACAAACAACAATAATACTGTTACTGTTACTACTGTTGCAAATACTAGTAATAGTAATAGTAATAGTAGTAATAATAATGGCAATAAGGTAAAATTGGATGATAATAATAATGAAATTGACGAAGAATCAAGAAAGTTAACAGAGGATGCCAAAACATTTATAACAGATGAAATTTATTCATTATTGAGACAATTACCCAATAGTAATTGTTTTCAAAAAGAGTTATTTGGAGTTGAGAAAGTTGTTGAGTTACTCCAGGGATTAAGAAAAGGACCGACACCAAATCGACAATCTAATTGGAATTGAATATTTTTTATTTTTTTTATTTTTTTTTCCAATTAAATCATGTAAGTTATAAAATTGGATTCGAATAAAGTAATGAAAGTAGTGTGTATTTACTCCTTTTTATTTACATTTGTGGTTCGATATATAAAATATAATACAGTTTGTTTCATTTTTAGAAAAATTTCACGTGGAATGTGTATAAATTAAGTAAGGGAGGATGAGTAAAGAAAGTGTTATAGGAAGAGATGCTGTTTATTTGCGAGTTGTGTTTGTGAAGGTATTATGAGTAAAAAATTCAGAATCTACACAAATTGATAAAACTTATAAAGAGAGAAAAAAAGTGGATAAAACTAATCGGATGAAATAGTGAAACAAAACGAGTAGATAAAGAGGTGAATAAATTGGTTAAATTGGTTCCTTTTAAGCATTAAATGGTAATCAATTGTTTGAGAGAACCAAACTATGATTGGATTACAGTTGAAATATGGTTGGATTGTTTGATTGTAATTTGAGTATAAGTTGATTTTTAGTCGTTGGAAAGCTTTAAATTGAGGCTAAAAAGAAGAGGGAGACAGGAATAGTAGGGAATTCCCATTTCCGAGTTGGATTTGCAATTGAAAAATTTGCAAGATGAGAAAAACGTACTAGGAGGAGACCATTTCTACGGGGGCAGTTGCAAAACCTGTTTGACAGAATGAAATCTTATGTCAAAAAATGCAGGTAAGAAAAAGCTAGTGCTGCAGAATCGTTCCAGTTAGAACAATTTTGGTTTGTGTGTAAATAGTGAAATAAGAGGACCTTATTGTGTTCTTAACGCACGTGCTCTGTCAGTGGTCTTTCTTCCGGAAACTATCACGAGCATGAGCTGCAGGCTTGACGCAGGTAGCAGGAAAGACGCAGCAAAGGGTTTCTTTTCTTCAATGGGAAATGGTGATATAAATCCCATAAATAAACAATCAGAAACGAAAGTTGATATCTTTTTAGCAATAAATAGTCTTTGAATAAGAGAAAATTGGGTTTTAGATTATTGGAAAAAACTCATAATTTTAAAACATAATATGAAAATTTGTTCAATTATGATGTGACAATTATGAAACTGATTTTATAATTGATTTTTTAAGCAAATGAAAATGTAGGATTAATACAAGAAATGAAATGTGAATTAAAAGGAGAAACACAAGATTGAGAAAATACGTAATTGAGATATATCCATAATATTCTTATAGTGTTTTTGAGATATTTGAGATATATTAGAGATAAATACGAATATGTTTTGAATGTGGCAAAACTATGAATCATAGAAGTAAATTTAATTCTACTGGATGCCATGCTTTTGTTGATTTTCTCGGATCGTTTTTCATGAGTTTTCAACTTTCCAGCTGCAATGTGTGTAATGACCTATGTAATGGTAGATGTAATTATCCAATTGATAGCTCACTATAATCCCGGTTAGCACAGATTGAGGAATTCTTTTTCGCAGCGGATAGTATGTTTGTTACTGAATTATTTTGTGGTTTGAAAGCACAATTGCAAACAGTAATTCTCTTTCAGAAACTGATTATTTTTGTAACAACATTCTTTTTGCAAGCACTGTTTTCAAATAAAAAAGAAAACACAGATGATCAGTACTAATCACAAGAATATATGAGCAGTTTCCAGTTGTTTGTTACCATTAGCTGGAAGATCTTCCTCTGTGTTCATTTCTACCAATCAGAGTCCTCAACAGGCTATTGTTATCCGCGCACAGCCTATATGGCTAACCACGCGTCCTCCTTCTGATGTCCTGACGTATATAGCTCGTTTTTTCGGCGGTGGATGCTCGCTCATAACGCGTTGAAACCTGGACAAATCAGCTGGAGAAAAAAGATAAGCCAATGGCCAAAACAGTTCAAGTGTTTCAGCTGGAAATAAGTCTTTCTCAATAAATTGTAAGACAAAAGGGACCCTTGCACTTTATTTTCAGCCAACTCCAGCAGCGGATTGGTGAAAGGAAATAGAAAGAGGAGAAGATAAAGTCTTATTTGGCGGACAAACACTACAGAGCGCCCACGATTTTCTATGCCTGGATGGACATGGAGGCGAAAAAACAGAAAACAATAAGAACACCAGAAGAGTGGTGGAAGAACACCCAGTAGTTCACCTTTGTGTTACAAAGCAGAATCGTGGTTTATCCAAGTGCGCCCACCCGCACGTGCAGACAGCGGACCTGGGTGCGAACGTTACTTTTTTGCTAAGCGCCCGCATGTTCGGAGCCACAAGGAGCCACCACGGCGCGGCCAAAGTGCTAGAGCCAGGTCCCGGAGCAGGATTGCTGCAGCGTGACATCACCTGCAGGCCAGCGGACGCTGCTGCGATCGACGCTATCTTTTCTTTTGAACCTGTTTGGGCCTGTCTGAGCTAGCGCGATAGTGGTAATGGCTCCCGTTGGGTTGTCCGTATCAGCCAACTCTATCTTGCTCTATTCCAGAATCCCAGCTGGAAAAAATGCTATATAAGCATCTTCTTTTCTGCCCTGACTTTTGCCTTTTATCTGGCTCATCTTTCCTCTTTAAGTTTGGCTTTTATATTTCCTTCGTCTGAAAAATTGTCTTTTTTTCCGAAAATATAAATACATCTCTGTTTCCTCTTTGTCAACACTTCTACCAACTGATCTCAATACTTCCTACGGCTTGCTTATCACTCATACCATAGTCCGATCATCTCACCAATAAATACCTTTGTCATGTCTTCCATCACTTCTCTTAGTAATTCCCTATCCAATTCCTTTATCACTGACTCAATTGATACTGCTAAGACAACCCCCATGGCCTCTCCCGCCATGAAACCAAATATGTCTTACTCCTACTTGAACAACGACAACATAGATCAAATGCAGCCACTTCCCAGAAAGGAAAAAGTCTCTTCTTTGTCTCTATCCGACCAATGGAACTACTCAAGTTTGACCAGACTAAACTCGTCCATTGCCTCAAGATCTAGATCTTCTAGTATAATCTCTGCTGGTATTTCAAGAAATACTTCGATAAATAAGTCAAGAATTCAGAAAAAACTGGTTATTGACCATCAAAGAGTAGCCTCTTATGCCTTTTGTTTCGATATCGATGGTGTTATTGTCAAGGGCCCCGAAACAATTCCCGAGGCTAAAACCGCTCTCAAAATGCTCAACGGCGACAATCCTTACAACATAAAGGTCCCTTACATTTTTGTCACTAATGGTGGAGGTCGCTCTGAAAAGGCAAGATGCCAGGATTTATCCAAAAGACTAAACGTACCTGTTGCTCAAAACCAAGTCATACAGGGCCATACTCCAATGAAGGACTTGATTAACGTTTTTAAAACTGTTTTGGTAGTCGGTGGTGTTGGAAACGATTGCAGAAATGTGGCCCTTGAATACGGGTTTGAAGATGTTGTCACTCCCCTAGATATAATGAAATGGAACCCAAGCGTCACTCCTTACCACACTCTTACTGAACAAGAGCTAAAATTCGCTGAAGATCGTGATTTCAACAATGTTAAAATAGACGCCATACTAGTTTTTGCTGATTCCAGAAATTGGGCTGCTGATCAGCAAATTATTCTTGAATTATTGCTATCCAGAAATGGTTACATGGGCACTGCCTCCGATACTTTTGATCAAGGCCCAGGCTTGTTTTTTGCTCACTCAGATTTCGTTTGGGCAACTAATTACAAACTATCAAGATATGGTATGGGCGCTTTACAAGTTTCTATCGCTGCTTTGTATAGAGAACACACTGGAAAGGAATTAAAAGTTACAAGATTCGGTAAACCTCAAAGAGGCACCTTTAGATATACTTCAAAGGTTTTAACAAACTGGAGAAAAGATGTCCTTGAAGAGCATGTTGACAACACTGACTCCCCCTTTATCTCAGATATCTCAGACGAAGATGAAGACGACTACTTTTCAACAAGTGATACCGATGATGAACCTTTGACTGTTCAAGCCTTGTCAGGAAAATTAAAACTAGATATTCCTCCTGCCTCAACTGTTTACTTTGTTGGTGATACTCCAGAATCAGATATTAGATTTGCAAATTCTCATGATGCTTCATGGTTCTCGATCTTGGTTAAAACTGGTGTTTATCAAAATGGCACTGTTCCTCGTTATCAACCAAAGCATACTTGTGAAAATGTTTTAGAAGCTGTACAATTTGCAATCGAAAGAGAACATGAAAAGGAACTAGCTGAATGGAATTTAACTATGACTAGACCATAATTTCAATATTCATTTTCATTCACAAAATTAAAATAAATTCATTCGATTCATATAACTTAGATTATACATTTATAAAGAAATCAAAAACAAAGGAAAATGAACAAAGAACAAAAAATTGAATAAAAAAAAAAATTATAATTTTTAAATTACTTGTTTTATAAATCAAATTACATTTTAAGGATTTGTTTGTTTTGTTTTGTTTTGTTTTGTTTTGTTTTGTTTTGTTTTGTTTCTGTTTTTTTATTTGACTGATGTTTTTTTATACATTGATTCTTTTTTTTCTGTTTGGGATGGGCTTAAATTTTTTCTTTACTCTTTTTTTAGTGTTTCGTTACAAAAATTAAAATTTTTTTTTTGGTTTTATTTGATTATATACTACTTTTACATATACTGTGTCTTTTTTCTTACTTTTTTTAAATAAAAGTTGTCTTCAATAAATTTTTCTTTCTTTTGTTAGCTTAGTATCATTACTACCATGTTTAGTGTATTCATATGGGAACTAACTCTATCTTTTTAGGTTATAAACCATAAAAAAATCAAATTTAAAAAACTTGAAAAAAAGGAAAATCAAACATGAAACATAAAATTTAAAACATAAAACATAAAAAACAATCGATAATAAATAATAAATGATTTATAAAAAAAAATAATTAATAAAATATATAACATAACTTGAAACAAATATTAATTTAATGTCATCATCAAAAATGCAAATAGAATTTTACTTTTTTAAAGAAACTTTTCTTTTTCTTTTTCTTTTTCTTTCTTTCTTTTTCTACCAGTAAATTTGTAACAAAAAAAATTTAATTAAAGGAAAAACAAAGTTTTCGCTAAAGGATTTAATTTTAGTCTTCGAAATTAACTCCAATTTAAAAAAAGTTGTATTTTTTAAAATCAAATTCCTTAATGCTCAGAAGAACTTCGCCTTTACCTTCAATAATTTTCAAAACGTTTTCCTCTCCAATTGCTTTAACAGCATTAACATCAGGGACCCATATAACATAACAATTAGCTGCAATGGCACCCAAAACACCAGGTTTCCCATCTTCAAATACCATACATTCTTCTGGTTTGATTTTATTGTCTGTATTTAATAATCCGAGATTTTCATTCAACATTTTCAATGATAATAACCATATATCAGGTTTGGGTTTTCCTCTTCCTTTGCCTATTCTTGAGTCATCGCCTGCAATAATATTCCCATCAAATAAATCAAATTCTTTCAAATGAGATGTCTTTCTTTGAAAGTTTAATTTATAAGAAGAAGTGGCAACAGCCATTGGAACTCCTGATTCTTTGAGTTTCTTCAATAATAGTAAGACTCCTGGCAAAAATTCACATGTTGGCCATTTAGATTCTTGCAATTTAAATGAAATATCGTAAACTTCTTGGGGAGAAATAGGTAAATCATAGCTCTTGATCAAAAACGCAGTAGATTCGTTTCCTGGTCTTCCCTGAAGTTCAACCTTAACATCCCAAGTCAATGGCCCCTTTCCATACATGGCTAGTAACTCGTCTGTAACTTCAGTGTATTTGCTTTCGCTGTTGATGAGCAACCCATCCATATCAAATAAGCATGCCCTGAATTTTCTTTGTTAAAAACACAGTGACTTGTTAGTATGTCATTGCACCTTATCTGGAGAACATTCAGAATGCATACCTAGAGATGGTATTCCTGGTCATTTTTGCACTTATGGAATAATACCAAATGTCCCTGATGTGATATCTTTGGTATTTACAGTCTCTGATGCTTTTGATAGTTCAGCTATTTATACCTTCACTAAAAATCACAGTTCAGAGCCCTAGGGTTATGTTGAAGATCATAGAGGTAATTGGTAAATTAAATTAGTACAAATTGGTATAAGCTAATATAGAGTTGGTATACAATTACAGACCCAAACCAAAGACACTGAGTTTTTTGTGACAGTGATGAATATGGTAATGTACTTGCATTTTTGGCTGGCCCCATTGACTGGAAATAACCGCAATTTCCTTAATATGTTGTTATTTCTCTCTTACACCACTCAGGCACCAATTGAGGTGAGACCACAAGAAGCAACACGAGTTGTTTGATTCAAGGTCTACATATCCTATTAAAATAGAAACCAGCCCAGTTTCATCAAAAAAAACGTGGAAAGCATCGTTTCGTCTTGTACTAGTGTCTGGCTTTTGCCAAAAGTAAAGCAAAATCTTTTGATTTCATAATCTAAACCAAATACCAGAGCACAAAATATTTGAAGCTACTATAATTTGAAAAAAGGCAAAAAATAATATTGTTTTTTTCTTTTCAATAACTGACCTGCAACTGGTTCAATTAAAACCAAAAAACAAATTACACCTTTATTGGATGTAAAATCAAATATTTAAGACAATTTTTTGTTTGTTTGCTTATTTTGCATATAATGAGGATTTCTGAAACAAATCTTTAATTTCCTCAATTAACTCATCATTGTTTTTTTCAATATTACTGATTTTTTTTTCATCATTATCCATTATTGTGAGTATTTTTTTCAAAAAAATATCATAGTTATCATTATTAATATCGATTCCCAAATTGTTTAATAAGTTTCTATCCAAATTTTTATTATACTCCTCTAATTTAGCCACTCTTTCAGTTAAATTTGAATGTTTTTTAGCAAAAATGGAAATTAATTCTTGATTGACTTTTGGTCTTAATTCAAAATTTTCTCTTGCTGAGCTATTAATTGTATTTAAGATTTTTTTATCTTGATTCAATAAATTAATTAATTTTGTCGATAAAAATTCATTTCTCTGAATTCTTAATTGTAAAATTAAATTATCTTCTTGTAATCTAGTTATCTCCTTATCATAATCCGGTTCTTTTTCTTTCTCTTGCTCTTTGTTTTTATCTTTGTCCTTTTCATTATTTCTATCTTTATCTTTATTTTGATTTGAATCGCCATCTCTCATTTTATTTTTCTTTCTTTTATCTCCATTAATTGAAAGATCTCTTTCAGAATCTTTTTTTTCCTCTTCTTCATCTTCTTCAACAATCTGAGCTAAATTTGAATTTTCATATTTTTGCAATAAACTATCTGTGCTAATTATATTATTGTCGGGACTATTATTGTATGGTTCTAAAAAAGAATTCGTTATAAACTGATCAAAATTCACATTAACATCATCGGCTAATGATCTTGCAATTTTCTCAACTTCATCATCTTGTTTTCTTGCATCCATTAAATGAACAGATAGTTCATTAATAAGATATTCCAATGATCTGAGATCATCTACTGAAGTCTGGTCCATATCCATTTTGACAAGTAATCGAAACTAAAAGATAAAATGAACAAAAATTTGAAAATGGTTAGCTGTTAAATAAACCAATAGAATTAAGATTTATATAATGATTGGTTATTGATCTTTTGATTACTTAGTCTTGATTATTTAATCTTGATTATTTAATCTTTTGATCTTAATCTTTTAAAATTTAAACGGTGTTAACTTCCAGCAAAAGCAATAAAGCTGACATTGAAAATATTTTTCAACTAACAGCAACAATAATTCATATAATATATCAACCAAAACACAGGTAAAGGAATCTTCAAAATAAACTTAATCCTTTGTTTTCTTTATATTACTAGCAATAAGAATAATCATAATAATAAAAATTATAGAAAATTAAAAGCTCTTAAATTAAATCATGTCCGATCAACCACCTAATAAACCAAATCTTAATTCCATTAAGAAATTATTGGAAATGTTAAGTATGGGAAAGGAATTAACTGAGGCCCAACATAAAGAAATGAAAGATTATAAGTTTTGGAAGACTCAACCTGTTATATCCTTTGATGAAAAAATATCTCAAGAAGGACCAATTGATAGTCGTAAAACTGTTGCAGATATATCAGAAAAGCCCTTGCCATTATTAGAAGGGTTTGAATGGGATACATTAGATTTAACAAGTACAAAAGAGCTTGATGAGGTTTATAATCTATTACATGAAAATTATGTTGAAGATTCAGGTGAATCATTTAGGTTTAAATACTCAGCAGAATTTTTTGATTGGGCATTAAAACCTCCAGGATGGAAAAAAGATTGGCATGTTGGAGTTCGTGTCAAAAGTTCTAAAAGATTGGTTGCATTTATTTCAGCTATTCCATTAAGATTGAAATTACATGATAAGATAATTGAATCAGTTGAAATTAATTTTTTATGTGTTCATAAAAAATTAAGAAGTAAAAGATTAACACCAGTTTTAATCAAAGAAATCACAAGAAGAGTGAATAGATATGATATTTGGCAAGCATTATATACAGCAGGAATTGTTTTACCAAGTCCAATTTCAACATGTCGCTATACACACAGACCGATTAATTGGGAAAAATTACATGAAGTTGGATTTTCAAGCTTACCAGAAGATAGTACTAAAGAAGACATGGTGAAGAAGTATTATATAGATGAGAATAACGAAGCCATTAAACTTGAAGGATTAAGAAAGATGACTGAGGATGATGTTGATGAAGTGCTTGAATTATATAATAAATTTCAAGCCAAATATGAATTAATTCAGGTCTTTGATAAGGAAGACTTGAAACATTGGTTATTAAAAGGTAAGGAGGTGATTTATACTTATGTTGTTGAAGATAAAAGCAATAAGAAAATCACTGATTTCTTTTCATTTTATCTTTTGCCATTTAAAATATTAAATGTTCCCAAACACGAGCAGTTAAACATTTCGTATTTATTTTATTATGGAACAGATCATGATAGTAGTAAGAAAGAATTGGAAACTCGATTAAAGTTGTTAATGAAGAATGCGTTGGTTATTAATAAAGGGCTTAAGATTGATGTGTTTAATGCTTTAACATCTCAAGATAATACGTTGTTTTTAGAAGATTTGAATTTTGGATTAGGTGATGGGTATTTGAACTATTATTTGTTCAATTATAAGGCATTTCCCATTCTGGGTGGAATCAATAAACATACTAAATTGATTGAAGAAGGAAGTGGAATTGGAGTTGTAATGTTATGATAGTAAAATGGGATGGTAACGAGTGTGTTCCATAAAGATTAGAATGGTTTATAGTGATTGCAATTCCAAAAGTAAGCAAATAGAACAGAAAAATTTATTGATAACGAAAGCAAATAAAACAACTAAATAGTCAAACAGTCAGTATATGTGCCTATTGTTATTAAGTAGTTTCACGTTCATTAAGACCGGCATTTAGACGAAATCCGGCAAGGAGAGACATGAAAAATCTGCCGTGCCGGACCAATGAAAAGAAGTTATTACAAATAAAACGACCTTTTTTCTGGAGGAAAGTGCTTCGATTATTAAAACACTGGAGGGAGATAGGAAACATAGATAAAGAAGAACAAAGAAGCTGAAAAACGCACAGAGCAAGAGAATATTTAGCAGCAGAAGAAAATAGATCATCATTTTTGCAGTAGTCTTGGAGCGAAAAATTATAGACAGCGTGGTTTAGGGAGTTTGAAAAAAAAACAAGAATTCACCAAGTTTCAATTTCTACATTCGCAATAGCAGCATTATTAGTGAGTTAGAAACACAAGAAAACATTATTTTGGTCATATAATCATACAAGTGTATCACTAAAAAGCCAAATAGTAGCACATCAGTACTGAGAATCAAAATGGTTTTATGGTATAAGAATGGAAATGAGTATAACTACAATTTCCAGACAGTTTCACTAGCAATATACAACAAATATCCTAATCCGTTTTCCACACATGTATTGTCAGTTGATACAATAGAAAATCGAATTGATAGTGAGGGAAACCTACACAGGACGAGGTTGATAATGAAAGAAGGGAGATTGCCAATATGGGCGAAACCATTTTTGAAAAACATCAACAGATCATGGATTATTGAAAAGAGTATAGTCAATCCCCAAAAGAAAATAATGAAGTTATATACAAGAAACCTTGACCATACCAGAATATTAAAGATTGAGGAGTATTCCAAATACTACTTTGATAGCATAATCAAGAAAACCATAGTTAAAAGCCAGGTCAAGTTTAGTTCTACATTCAAAGGGCTAGGAATCAAAGATCGAATTGAAAAATGGTCACATAAAAGATTTGATGATAATATTAAGAAAAGCAGTAATGGGTTGTTGTATGTGTTGAAGCAATTGGATGAAAAGACAAAGAAGTGGAAGGAGAATTATAAAATAAGCAACACGACCCAAATCCAGTAAAATCCAGTATAGCCGGATAGAATTATATAAACTGGACATGAACTGGAATAAATCTCAAGCTGATCGTTTTCGGAGTTATAATTTTGATTTTTTTTTTTGCATTATACTTTACTGCCACCGCTATTGTTTTTTCAAAACCCTTGACACTTTTCCAGCTGAACAGATCAGAACATGTCATAGCATCATGTTATTTCTCTATTATGCCATCTTTTTGTCTGTTTATAATGAATGTATATACAAAACCCGCTTCCAAAGACCAGTGCGATGGTGCGTCCTTCAGGATATGCACGTGCTCAAGGAAATTCTTCAACGGTCGGCCGAACACACCCCTGCTGTGGTGCGCTTGCCGAACAGCGTCTTGCCGGACGGCTGCTCACGTTGGGCTCACGCCGAGCTCACGAGGAACGGGGGCTCACGTTCTGTGCGTGGCCCCGGCGGCAAAAGCGCTCCCATTTGGGGTCTGGCGGGCCCCAAAGACCCTGCGCCTGGCGGAAATTTCTGCGCTGTATTGCGGGGCCACAGTACGGGTACAGCGGGTGCGTGCTTTGCGCTGTGGCCTTGCGAAACCACCCTGCTATCAGAATGTTGCCAATGAGCTAAAAAGGAATGACATGGACATCTTTTCAACGTTAAAATATAGAAATAAAAAAGCGAAACCGTTTAAAGTGATGTGTAAATTAATCTAAATTCACTTCCATTAACCACTATTCATTCACAAAGTATTTGCAATTCTATTATGTCAAGTTTGAATGAGGGTTTTCATGTCTGTAGGCTCATTGTAGCCTTATTAAAGGAATAATTCAACAACCAACACAAGAAAAAAACTTCACTGTTGTGTTGTGTGCTAATTTTCTTTCTGTTTATACATTTTTTTGTCATATTTTTCCAATTTTGCATGCTTTTCCCCAGGTTTTGTTAAAAAATTTAAAAAAATTTAAAAACAAAAATTTTTCTTAAAAGTTTTTCGTTGTTGTTTTTCCAATTTACTGTGATTTACTGACAATTTTATTGCGATTTTATTGCACACTTATTGTAATTTTTATTAGAATTTTATTAAGATTCCAATACAATTGAAATAAAAGTTTAAGGAAATTTTATTTTTACTCACAGTTTTATTTTTATTCTCATCATTACTACCACCCATCACCCATATAGTTGATTTCTATGTTAATGAAAAAAAATATAAAACCATGAGTTTCTCTCAGTAATTACACATATTTCTTCTCTTTTTTCTCATCTCATATTCTAATATATTAATTTTTCTTTGATTTAAATCAAAATTCTTATTATATCATACTAGCAAATAATAACAAATAATAATAAATAATAAAACAACCAATTTTAATACCTAATAACTAATTTATACTTCACGATTACCCCCATTATCCCATTCACTTATAACTTATATCTACCAAAATGTCTGGAAACCAAGTATACATATCAGTTGGCCGTGGTGGTGCTGGAAACATGGTTAAGGATAAATCACCAGTCAGTCCCAAATTAATTCCAATGGGTAGCGACACTCCTCACATTCCAGCTACTCAACCAAGATACACCACAGGAAGAGGTGGTGCTGGTAATATGGTCAAAAATGACGATCCTGACAAGGCTAGACTAGCCCAAGATATTGAGCCAATTAGATCCAACGGCAGTTACACCTACAAACCCTTAAGTCCATACAAAAGCATCGGTAGAGGTGGATTTGGAAATATGATCGACACCACTGTCTCCAAAACCTCTTCAGTCTCCAGATGTGTGAGTCGTGAGTCCAAGAGTTCCTCCAAGAGCCACGATGGTTCAATATTAAAGAAACTCAAAAACTTTTTCTAGATCTGAAAACTCTCTAAAACCCTCTAAAACCCTTTAAAGCTCTCCATTTTTTTTCTAATAAGCCTTTTCGTTTATCTCTCTTGCTGTTTTATCTTGCCCTGTTATTCTACTGTTGTTAATGGTTGTGTACTTTCTATTCATTTCTCTTCATTTGTCTTGCTTACGTTGCCCTCAAACCTCTCTTTCTTAATGTCTATATTTACTCATCTTTTTGTCCCACTCTCACACTTTTTTTATACTATAATCCACGTCCGACTAGCACAGGTGCTTTGTTCACCACCCGCAGGTCTCCCGCTAAGAAAAGACTGTCTTATCCGTCCAATAAAGTTGTTTTAAGTCAAATCCGGATAGCGCAGATATGTGCCAACCAGTCTTAAAGTGTCATTGAATGAATGGTGTTTTTCTAAGACAATTTCATCTTAGAAAATTTTAAAGACTGCACTAAATGCTCTCTTCTGTTTTCTGGCATTTTAGCGTTTTTGATTTGGGTTGTTGTTTTTCGTTATTGTTTTAATCTTTTATAATCAAATCTAAAAGAGAAAAAAAAAAAGAAAATCACTTAAAAAAAGACTATAAAAGACGCTGTATTTTCCAGATTCCCAGTCTCTGCCTAATTCTTTTTTTCTTTTTCATACATTTCCAATCTCATTTTACTACACTACACTATACTAATATCAACACTGTTAATATCGGTATTCCCACCACTCAACCACTACCAATCGTTACATCACACTTTTCTATCCACTTTATTTCACCACAATGTCTGAAGAAGCCCCCAAATTTACCACCATTGGAAGAGGTGGTGCTGGAAATATAGTCAAAACTGACAGCAAACCAAGCAGTCCCAAATTAATCCCTATGGGCAGTGACACTCCTCACATTCCTGAATCTCAACCAAGATACACCACAGGAAGAGGTGGTGCTGGTAATATGGTCAAAAATGACGATCCTGACAAGGCCAGACTTGCCCAGGATATTGAACCAGTTACATCAAATGGAAGTGGTAAAGTCAAATTGTCCCCAATCAAAAGTATTGGAAGAGGTGGTTATGGAAATATGATTGATACCACTCTATCACAAGATAAACAAAAACCTGAAAAAAAACCCTCATTATTTGAAAAAATTAAAAATGTCTTCAAATAATTATGTCATCCTTTTGTCTACTATCGCTATTTTATGTTGCTTTACTCTACAATGATAAATTTTTTTTGCCCTCAATTTACCTTGTTTTTTACTCATTTGCCTTCTTGATTTTGATTTTGATTTTGTTATTAATCTTTAATTTATAATTTATGTTTTTGGTCTTTTTATTAGATACAATTTAATACAATCTCATCTAATCTTAATACTAATACTAATTGGAGATTCTGTGTTCTATTGCTTTTTTTATCATTATTTTTCTCTGTTTTTAGCCTATATATCTATTTAAATCTATTAATCTACAACTCTTTTCCATAATGATTTACTAAAAAAAATTGCAGCCTTGTTTCTAAATTTTAGTTTCGTTCACAGACTTCCATCAATGCAGCTTCCTACCCAATCACTTATCTTATCATTCAAAATAAACCCACTTATTTCTGATCCAGTGTATCGAATCTTATGATCTAAATTGATGCCGATTTGATCTACAATCTTAATCTCGCGCTCACTTTTACTATTTGTATTCGTACTTGTCTTAATACCATTCATATTATTATTATTATTATTATTATCGTTATTTTCAGTAATAGCTTTTAAAATACTCATTGATTCTATTACTCTCTCATTCTGTTGGATGTTTTCATCATTATCAAACTTAATATCAATGCCTTTCAAATGCCCCTTTTCCACTTCTAAAATTAATTTAAATTTAAATTCTTCATTATAAAGATAATGCTTGAATTTTGGTGTTGAGCCAAAGTTCCATTCCCAATTTTTTAATTCTTCTGAACTCTTTTTAATTTCTGAATTTAAATGTTTCTCTTCAATATAACTTATATTAATTTTAAAGTCTTTATTCCCATTTCCAATTTTTTTCTTGAATCCCTGGATAACAATGTCCATAAATACTTCTTTATCCATTTTCAAATTGCCTATAGATGATCTAACTGACTCAATACTGCTTCCATTTTCAATCTTACCTAATTTTCTTTCATCTCTTTTCAATAATTGCCTGATAATTGGCAACTCTGAATTTAATAGCATGGTCCCATGATGATAACATCTTCCTCTAGATACTTTATATGCTGATCCTGATATCTTTTTTTGAGTATCAAATTCAATTATATCCCCTCTTTCATTCAAGTCAATTCGTTTTTCACCAAAAAAGCCATTTACTTCTTTGATAATCACATTGGAAAAAAACTTTCTATCAAATTTATTCTTTGATGTTATAAATGAAAAATTGACGTTTCCTTTATCATGAACAACACACCCACCTCCGGATTTTCTTCGGAGGGTTGGAAATCCCATTCTTTTAACCAATGGATAATTCATTTCTTTCCAACCATTTTGATTCTTACCAAAAACTATACATGGTTGGTTGATGTAAAAAACTAATCTTTGATTTTTGAAACTCTGTAAATTCTTTCCATCGCCAGTATTATTCTTATTATTGTCTTTATTGTGATAATCTTTAATTGGCATATTATTAAATATATAGTCTTCCAATGCCAAATTTAAGTAGGGATTGTGTAATTTTGATATAAAAACATGAGGCCCACTCTGTTTAACCAAATCGCTTAATTCAAAATCAACAACAGCTTCATTTGCCTTATTAACTTTACCAGCTTTAATTAACTTATTGGGCTGATTAATTTGATTAATTTGACTAAGATCATTCGCTTCACCAACTTCACCAACTTCACCAACTTCACCAATTTCACTGATTTCGCCAGCCAAATCAATACCTTCTTCCAAGGTGGGAATGTTTTTAATGTCCTTGAATAGATCATCGTACTGGCTCATGAATTCATCGTACTGGGGATCATTTTCCAAATCGCTTTGATTAAATGGAGATTGTAATTGAATCAGGCTAACGGTATGAAAATTTGATCTCCAATTGCAAACTCTGTTGTACTGAGAGCTGCAATATATATATCTCTTTATTGTCGAGCAGCTGTTGTGTTTTAATACCAGGCCTATCATGGTGTGCTATGTGTAGTTTTGGAGCTGTATTCTGTTTCTTCATCCATCGACGCTGTGGAGCTTCCTCGTAGGTCTTCAAAGGCTTCAAAGGCTCCTCACCACACACTGCAAAGTTTCGTTCTGTCCTGCGTTTCTATCTCGCTTTGGAACCTCACCAACTGCCTCTGGAGCTATCATCAACAAAGCTGCTTCAGCAGAACCATTTACTGCTCCCATTAAAGATATACCACTGAATAACAACCAGAACAAGCTCTAACCTGCTCTCTATTGACTTCAAAACCCATCCTCCAGCAAACCCTTCTTTCTAATGGCCACTGCCCACCCAGTCGACGTTCCCATAACTGATCTAGATGAGGAGGACGACGACATCATAATCACAAATCCTGAGCTTTATGATAATGATGCTGACAACAATGACTTGAACTATAATATATTCAACGATGACTACGAGTCTTCTATCACTTTAGCTAATCACAGTAACCATAGCAGGACAGACTCTTACTCAATGAAGTTCAAGAATGTGATAAATAACTTGTTTAATAAGAATGATAATGGCAATTATTACGATAATCTAAACTCAAACAATAACAAAAAGTACAACAACTCTCTAAGTGATAATATCGAACTACAGGGCATTGATTCAGAATCGACTTTCAGTTTAAATGATTGCAACATCAGTCGCTCTCACAGCAATGATAGTCTAAATCTAATTCTCAACCAATTTAACCGAAATAATAACAACAAGTTCTCATTCCATAGTTTTGTTAAAAGATTTGGTTATTTTTTTGGTTTAACTGCCTTCTTATCTTTTCTAATTATATCATCAGTTATTGTATCAAAACTGAAGAATAGCGAAATAAATAATAATTCCAGTGATATTGACGATGCTTATAATAATTTATCGAATGAAAAACCTTTACTTTTCAATGGAACTGATTTTTTTTATCCAACTACAATCTTAATTTCTCTAGATGGTTTTCATCCTCATTATATTTCTTCTCAATTAACTCCATTTATGCACAGTTTTTTTGAAAAGTCTTATGGTCCTCCATACATGATACCTTCTTTTCCTTCTTCAACTTTCCCAAATCACTGGACTTTAATAACTGGTTTATATCCAGCAGATCATGGCATAGTTGGAAATACTTTTCATGATCCTAATTTAGATATCAAATTCCATAATACCAACAAAAATTTATCTTTGGATCCCTTTTATTGGGGTGGTGAGCCAATTTGGACAACCGCCTATAACCAAGGTGTTTCAACCGCTGTTCATATGTGGCCAGGTTCAGAAGTTCAATTTGAGTCTGGTAACCCCATGGAAGTAGATCCTTATAATGGTACTGAGTTGTTGTCAACAAAAGTTGATAGATTATTAAGTTGGTTAGATAGAAATATTGCTACAAGACCAGAATTATTATTAAATTATGTTCCTACTATAGATTCTCTAGGCCATAAATATGGCATATCTGGTGAAAATCTAGACAAGGGTTTAACTTATGTTGATAACTTTATTGAAAGTATTATAATTGGCTTAGAAGAAAGAAATTTAACTAACATCATTAATTTAGTTGTTGTTTCTGATCATGGAATGGCAGAAGTTAATAACGATAGAGTATTTTTATTAGACGATTTAATCGATTTAGATAAAATTGAATTTATTGATGGTTGGCCATTAATAGGTTTAAGACCATATAAAAAACATAAAATTGATAAAATTTACAAAAAGTTAGTTAAGAATCATAAAAAGAAATTAAACAAAAACCCTCATATAAAAATCTATAAAAAAGAAGATATGCCAGTTGAATGGAATTTTGGTACAAGATTTGATTCTAAATTTTATGACAGAATTGCTCCAATTTGGATAGTGCCAGATGTTGGTTATATCATTGCCACAAAAAAAGAAATGAAGGAGAAAAATAATGATTATAGACCAAAGGGAATACATGGATATAATAACACGGAAGTTTTGATGAGAGCTCTCTTTTTGTCTAGCGGTCCATATTTTCAAAACATTTTAGAATCAAAAGATAATGAGTTCCATAAAGTAAAACCATTTAATAATATTGAAGTGTATAATATCTTATGTGATTCATTGAATTTAGTTCCTGCATCAAATAATGGTTCAAAACCTATAAATATTTTTAATAAAAAAACTGTTCTCTCATCAGATTGGAGAGATCCATTTGCATACCCCGGAGTTGATTATATGGTTGATGTTATTCCCGAAAACGCAACTTATGACTTGTTATTTAGAGAAGGATTAGAGAATCCATATTTGAATTTGACAACTTTAAAGAGTGACGATGAAGATTTTGATAATGGAAAAGATTTAAAGATTAATCCATCATCGTCACTATACATTGAAGAAGAAACATTGACTGCTATTGAGCCAGATGTGACGCCAGGATTAGATTATTTGGACAAAGACAGTAGCAAATCCATAAATGAGAAAAACACTCAGACATCTACTGACAAAGAAGCTGAAAAATCAGGTGAAAAATCATTATGGGACTATATCGATGATATAGTCGAAGATATTGAAGATACAGTAGATGATATTTTGGAAGAAGTCACTGATTATTTACATAACAATGACAAGGGTAAGAACAAAGACAAAGACAAAGACAAAGACAAAGACAAAGATGAAGATGATGAAGATGATGATAATGATGATGATGATGATGATGACAATGATGACAATGATGACAATGATGACGATGAAGAAAAAGAAGATGATGATAAAAAAGACAAACAGAAAAGCAAAAATAAAGACAAAGGCGACGACAACGACAACGATAATGATGATGATAATGATGATGATAATGATGATGATGATGATGATGATGATGATAATAATAATAATAATAATAATAATAAAACATAATGGATAAAAAAGATGGATTGATACCTTTTTCAGAAACACCAACTTCATCACTAGATATTGGTAGAACTCATTGTCAATCTATCATATATGTTTACTTATTTACTTTTACTTTTATTTATATTTAGTTTAATTTTTCATTTACTTTTATTTTTACTTGATAAACTACAATTAAAATAATCTTATTCGATAATAAATTTAATCACAACCGATGCAATTTATATTTAACAAAAATAAGGAAACAAACACCAAGATTCAAAAATAAATTGAGTATTTTTAATTTATTCAAGTTAATATAAGTTATCGCTGATATAATATACAAAATAGAAATAAGAGTAAGAGTAAAAAACAAAATTGGATAACATACCAATAAATAGGATAAATTGCAATAATTATCTACCACCTCTTCTTCCACCTCTTCCACCTCTGCCTCCTCTGGCACCTCTTTTGAATTTACTATCATTGGAAGATCTGATGGGTTTGGTTTTAGCACTATTAAATCTGTTTCTTGTTTTTTTAGGAACCTCGTCAATCAACAAAGTGTCTAAGTTCAAGGAATCAGGTAGAATTGCCAATCTGATATTGTTCCCCCTGATATTAATAAAGTTCAACAACACTGGATCTCTATCCTTCACAGTCATTTTGACATTTTTCAAAGAAATGTTCATTGAGGGAGAGACATTGAGAATTGTTCCAGACACTATTGTCCCATTTTTAAGCTCGATCTGGACAGTCTCCATGGAGAGCTTCATAAGAAATCTTGTCAACTTCATTGTGTGTGATATGATATAATAAGGCACTTGTCTAATCTGTCTAATCTGTCTCCTCGCAGTCTTCTTATCCAGTTTCTACCCAGTTCTTGCTCAAATCTCTCACCACCTTGGTGATTTTCTGGCGAATTTTGCATATATTCAAGCGTCAGGCCGGGTAAACGCTCTTCTGGTTCTGGAGGTGGTTCTCAGATCCAGAGCTGGGGATTGGAAGGGGCTGCTGGGACACCAAAAAGCTGTTAGTGTTGCCGTAGAAAGAGGCATTTAGTCTGAACTTGAGCTGGATCAGTGTCAGTTGCCATGGGCATTCTTTTGTCAACCAGACCTTTCTTTCGTCGAAATCGTTAAAAAGTGACATGCACATGTATAGTAATGCATAAATACGCACTAAAGCACAAAATTGGGGTTGGGGTTTAAAGTTAGGGGTCTGTAGTGGTAAACCCTTTTTTTAGGTTCTGGAAGCAGAACCATATAAGCTGCACTTTTGCTGTTTCTTCGTTGTTTTTTTTTATCAGCAGAAGATAATAGAGATAGACAAGCAATATATATTAGCAAATAGCCACAACTATCAACAATTACTGCAATTTTCTGAGATCAAGCTAGAAAAAGGTTTCGAGGCGACAAATTCAATTCACAAACAACAAACAACAGTAATCATTTTATCTTTGCCTTCCTATTTACAATTCAGCAACAGAACTCACTCAAGAAGTTTTAATGGATTCAAACCAATCTTACGCTTCCAATACATCAAATATAAACAGCGATAATGATCGAAATAGAATTAAGAAAACTCGTCACAGAATTCCAACAACCTGTGCTGTTTGCAGAAAACGTAAAATGAAAGTATGTGTATATCGAGTTCTGCCACCATTTCTATTTTTTTTCATCCTATCGATTTCTTTTTGACTAACAATTGTTTTTTTTCTGCATTTTATTCAGTGTGATAAATCTAGGCCTTTCTGTGGTGCTTGTATTCGAAATAACACAACTCAATATTGTATATATGAGGACCAGCCATGGGCTATTGCAAATGAGATTCAGAAATTAAAAAATGATTTGAACTCTGAAAAAAAGAAAAATCAGCAATTAAATCAACAGATTCAATCATTGAGGAAATCGGAATTGAATTTAATGGCAGCTTTATCTCATACAAGAAAACTGTCCGATTCAAATTCTTCTTCATCCATTTCTTTGAATAGCGGAACTACTACTGGCTCTTCAATATCAAATCCTCAAGAAGCTTTTATTTCTTTTGACATTTTCACTGCTCCCAAAGTCAACCAATCACATCATAATGATTTTGGTAATAGTAATGATCCTTTAGTTGAATTATCCAAAAAATTTGACATGTTGGTCATTAAAGAAAGTAAATTAATGCATTTTGGTCCTACAAGTTATATGGCAATGATAAATAATGACATGATTGTTACAAGAGTCTTTAATAAATACTTACAAGATCAACAAAAGAAATACTTTAATTTGAAAAAGTCTTTAGACCTTACTGGTGCAAATTTGAAAGATCCAAATGTAACCTTTTGTGCAAATTTAATACCCGAAGATGAGACAAATATTTTTGATCCTAATAAATCGCCATCGTACGATTTAGTAATTAAAGGTATCAATGACTTATTACCTCCAAAATCAGTTGTCGATGGCTTGTTGGATAGATTTTTTAATGTTTGTTATCAAACATTCCCAATCATTGATAAGAGCTTATTTTATGAATCTTTAGATCAAGTTCTTAAAATCGATTACACAAGACCCAATTCTTACATGTTTAAGGTTCCTGACAAGTCATATTTGTCCACTCTTTGTAATTTTTTAATAATGTTGAGAGTGGCTTTCTTGTCAACCAATTTAAAACCGACTGTATATTCTGATTTTTCAACAAATGATAACGTTCCCGCAGCTAAAATATCAAATTCAAATTCAAATGGAAATGGAAATGGAAATAGTGAAGAAATTGGAAATTATAATTATGATAAATTAACTTATGAGTTATCATTAAATAAAACTGTTGTTGGTCCTATTTATATTGAACATGCAAAAAATTGTATTGCTCAAGCTTCAACACTTAGAAAGACAACTTTTAGATCTGTCCAGGCTTTATTACTTTTAAGAATGTATAGATACTACAGTCCCGAAGATGGTGATGAAGGCGCCGACTCCACAGTTTTATTAGCAATGATTATTCAAATGGCTAAAATGGTTGGACTCCATCGTGATCCAAATCAATTTTCCTTAATTGAAGATGAAAGAGTGAAACATGTATGGAGAAAAATGTGGTTCAAATTACTAAGATTTGATGCATTTCATTCCTTCATGTTTGGTGTACCTTTGAGTATTAGCGATGATAATCAATGGGATACCGAGATCCCTTATTTGAAGGCCTCCAACATATTATCTTCTGATCCTTCTGAAACTTTTGTCATTAGATTTATGAATTTAGAATATGAGGTAACCACAGTCACTAAAAAAGTTATGGTTTTGTGTTCCAATTGCAAAACATCTCCAAAAAGGTCTGAAATCAACGAATGTAACAAATTAATTGATAATATATTAAATTATAAGATTCAATCATTTCAAGAATTGATTGATTCGGTTCCCAAGTTAGAATCTAATGACAGTTTTTCTAATAGAATCCATGAAATTTGTCATAAATGCCACGAATTTTGTTTAAGAGATCATCTTTTATCAGTGAAATATATATTAAATTATATATTATTCTTAACTTGTGAGTCTCATGAAACGGAACTCCAAGAGAAATATTTGGCAGCTTCAGTTGAATGTGCTTTAATAATGTTTAAAGTAGCTTATGATTATTCACACAATACATCTGAATTGTTTGGTGGAAGATTTGAGATGCTTTTAGCTCCATCAGTTTTTGTTTGTGCTCAACGAGCATTCCAATTAATTGGATCGTTTATTATAAGAATTCATACAAAATTAACGAATTTTGATGAACTAAAACTATATGAATTTAAATCAAAGGATTCTAAAGGCTTATATGAATGGTTAGTTAATGGCGATAAAAGAACACAACTTTCATCTATATCAGCCTCACAAGGTCGCTTAGACTTAAGTAAAAGGTTGTTCAAATATGTCGAAGAAATGTATTATTGTACACTAGATTTATCAAAAAGATATTTTGTTTCATGGAGGTTATCAAAATTAATTCAAATGTACATTTCTTACTTAATTGAGATACATCCTGAATTCAAGCTAATTTGTCGTAGTAAAAACTTAAAAGGTGACGACGAAGAAGTTGACAATAACCCCGTTAATCCCACTTCTCCAGAAAGTGAATTGGGAGATGAATTTCAAAAATTCCTCAATTCTATTAATCAAAGTGAGTTTGACCCGGACGATGATATAATGATGGATAATATTGACTCCAACTATTGGTCCAATTTAATGGATGAGGCAGGACAAATCAGGTTTGATTATTTGAATCCTGTAATAGATGGATATATCAGAGATCCATTTGTGTTGAACACATCTTTTCAAAATTTTGATGATTTGGCTTTTAAAAATAATATAAGCGATCTTAACAATGGAAATAATAACCACTTCAATTTTGAAAACGTTAACGTTAATGATCTTAATAATTTTGGTTATTTCAACGACATGAATAATATTGAGAATATTGCTGATATTACACATATGAATGATGTCAATAACATGAGTAATATCAACGACGTTAGAAATACAAACAATGTGAACAATATAAACATAAACATGGACACGAACAATATGAATGATTTGAATATAAACAACATAAACAATATGAATAGTAATTTAGGTGGTTTGGAAAATGTTCACAATTCCAGTGATAACTCAGCGATAATTCACAATGAATTGTTGAACTCTTCAAACAGCACCAATTCCAATAATTTGGACTCGATGATCAATACTTTGATACATGGGAACAGTTTAGAAGATACTCTGCCTGGCTTTTCAAGCCTCCCAGCTAACATGGATTTGAGAGACATTAGGCAAAACAGCACAGCACATTATCACAACGAAAAAAAACTGAAGACTTTCTCGAACTAGTTTCCATTAGCACTCGAGTTTTGTGTATATAGTGAACATAATTCACTGAATAAACATCACCTACTCTAGGTAGTTCCTTTTTGGGCAGTTCCTTTTTGAGCAGTTCCTTTTTGGGCACAGTTCATTTGTTTGTAAGCAGCAATTGTAAACAGAGCTCAGAGAACACATTCTTTGCATCACCAACAGCTCCACCAGCTCCACCAGAAGATTTGAGTATATATGCGCAACTTTCTCTTCTCAAAGAACTTGAACTACTCGTTGCTATTCAATTACAACAGGCTTCAAAACCACAACTTTGCACGCTACTTCCACTTCAACTCGACCGACGATATGGCACCTCAACTCTCTTTTCCTCCTCAACCTGCTCCATCCTGGATACATACTCCAGAGGAGATCTTGTCTTTGACTGACAGGTACATTGTGTCTGCGAAGGCTCTCGACGACAAGGTTGCTGCATTGAAAGATGTTTCGATCGACTCTGTTATCAAGCCATTAGCCTATTTCGAGAACGAAAATTACTCATTGGTTTACCAATTATCATTTTATGGGGCGGTTTCTCCATCAAAGGAGATCAGAGACGCTTCTACAAAATCAGAAGAAAAATTGGACAACTATTCTATTGAAGCAGGTTTAAGAGAGGATGTTTTCAAACAAATCGATAAAATTTATAAGGAAACCCAAAATAATGATGCTTTAGATGCCGAGTTGAAAAAATTGATTTGGAAACTCGATGTTACTTATAAGAGAAATGGTTTGGAATTACCAATTGAAGAAAGAAAGGAGGTCGAAAAGATTTCAAAGGAGCTAGCTAACTTGTCGTTACGTTATAACAAAAATTTAAATGAACAAACTGAGTACTTATTGTTTACTAAAGAAGAATTAGATGGTGTTCCTGAGGATACCTTTAATGGTTTTGAAAAACAGGTTATTGATGGTGTTGAAAAATATAAAATGACTTTTAAATATCCAGATATTTTTCCTGTATTAAAATACTGTAAAGTCTCTGAAACAAGAAAAAGAGCTTATATTGGCGATCAAAACAAATGTACTCCAGAAAACTCTGATATTTTAGCCGAAGTTGTTAAATTGAGATCGATTTTTGCTCAAAAGTTGGGTTATAAAAATTATTCTGAATTTACATTAGAACAAAGAATGGCCAAGACCTCCAAAGTTGTTTTAGATTTTTTAAATGATTTGAGGACTAAATTGCAACCATTGGCTAAAATCGAGTTGGAAAAGTTATTAAATTTGAAAAAAGAGGTAACAAATAATAAAAACGAAGAAAAATTATACATTTGGGACCAGAGATATTTCGATACTTTATTAATTGAAACGGAATATAAGATCAATCATCAAAAGATTGCAGAATATTTCCCAATGGAAAATACAGTAGCAAAAATGTTAGAAATATATGAAAAGTTATTCAATTTAAAATTTGTTGAAATTAACGGTCCAGATAAATCAGTTTGGCATGAAGAAGTTAAGCAGTTTGCGGTTTGGAAATTAGATAATGCTGAAGAACCAGAATTTTCTGGATATATTTATTTTGACTTATATCCAAGAGAGGGAAAATATGGACATGCAGCCAAATTTGGTATTGCACCAGGTTATTTTGATCCTAAAACTGGTAAACATGTTAGACCAGTTTGCGCTTTAGTTTGCAATTTTACTAAATCAACCAAAGAGAAACCATCATTATTAAAACATGACGAAGTTGAAACATTTTTCCATGAATTGGGACATGGTATTCATGATTTAATGGGGAAAACCCAATTTGCTAGATTTCATGGAACAGCAGTAGCAAGAGATTTTGTTGAAGCACCATCTCAAATGCTTGAATATTGGACATGGGATAAGAATATTTTAAGAAACTTGTCATCGCATTATCAAACAGGGAAACAAATTTCTGATGAATTGCTAGATGATTTAATCAAGACTAAACATGTTAATGGAGCCATTTTCAATTTACGTCAATTACATTTTGGATTATTTGATATGAAATTGCATACAGTTGAGTCCAGCGAAGTTGGTAAATTGGATATACTACACGAATGGAATCAAATGAGAGAAGATATTTCAATGATTAGCAATGGGGGAGAGTTAACCAAAGGGTATGGATCATTTGGACATCTTTTAGGTGGATATGCATCCGGATATTATGGATATTTGTATTCTCAGGTCTTTGCAGCGGATATTTATTATTCGATTTTCAAGAAGGATCCCATGGATCCTGCAGCAGGCAAAAGATACAGAGATATAATCTTAAAAAGAGGAGGAAGTAAAGACGAAATGAAGATTTTAGAGGAATTATTGGGTAGAAAGCCTAACAGTGAGGCATTTTTAAAAGAATTGGGAATTGTCTACAGTACATTATAAGAAAGAAAAAAAAAAGGTCTAGAAACAAGAGTCTAGAAAAAAAAAAGAACATGGCAAAAATCAAGTTCAAGTAAATAGTAAATAAATGAATAACAGGGATTTTTTTTTTTCATTTTTTTTTTAGTTTTTTTAGTTTTTTTAGTTTTTTTAAGATTGCTATTATGATAATATGGAAAAATAGGGATTTCGAAGAGAGTTGCTTTGAAAAGGGCGATCAGAAGCGGGCCGTGACCGGAGATAAGAGATGGGGAAGGAAGAACTTCCCCAGATTTTGAGGGTCGAAATAAAGCAAGGAAAGCGCGGGAATTGGCCAATTGGAGGCGAGAACGGAGGAGGGAATATCAGAAGGAAAAGAATGGATTCATGTGAAATGATAGTTGAATTAGTATTTAACAAGGAGGGAGGATTTTATTTTATTTTGTTTTCTATTTTCTGTTTTGATAAACATTATAGGTATATTGAATATGACATTTCCACCAAAAGTTGAGGATGTTCTTAGAGGAGTCGAAGTTAAAGCAGCCGTTAGTAAAGAAGGTAAAAAAGTGTTAAATGTTGAAACACAAGTGTTTTTGAGCTGTTTACATCGAAATTTCAATGAAAGACGATTAGAGTTATTGAAACAACGAGATGAGTTTGTAAAAAGGATTGATGAAGGAGAAGTGTTGCCTAATTTTCTAGCGGAGACCAAGTATATTCGCGAAGATAGAAATTGGCGTGGGCCATCATTGGGAAAGGGACTTGAAGAGAGAAAGGTTGAGATCACAGGACCGGTGCATGAAAAGAAGATGGTTATCAATGGATTGAATAGTAAGGTATCAGCATATATGGCTGATTTTGAGGATTCGTTGAGTCCCACATGGAACAATCTTATGAATGGGCAGGTTAATTTATACGAAGCAGTGCGTAAGAGCATTGAGATTAAAGGAGAAGAAGGGGGTAATAAAAAACAATACAAGTTGAATAATAAAGAGGAATTGCCCACGTTGATTGTTCGACCCAGGGGATTGCACTTGGATGAAAAACATGTTTTGGTTGATGGAAAGGCTATGAGCGGATCAATATTTGATTTTGGAGTTTATTTTTTCAACAATGGTAAGGAGACAATTAAGCAAGAAAGTGGGCCATATTTCTATTTGCCAAAGCTTGAGCATCATTTGGAAGCGAAATTGTGGAATGACATATTTAACTATTCCCAAGATTACATTGGGATGAAAAGAGGTAGCATTCGTGCAACGGTGTTGATTGAGACGTTGCCAGCTGTTTTCCAGATGGACGAGATTATTTATCAGTTGAGAGAACATTCATCTGGGTTGAATTGTGGACGATGGGACTATTTGTTTTCGTACATGAAGACGTTTAAGAACGACAAGCGATTTGTATTACCTAACAGGAGCCTTGTGAATATGAGTGTTGGATTTATGAGAAGTTATGTTGAGTTATTGATTGATACGTGCCACAAGAGAGGAGTGCATGCGATGGGAGGAATGGCAGCATTGATTCCTATCAAGAACGATAAAGAGATGAATGCCAAAGCGATGAAGAGCATTAAAGAGGATAAGTTGAGGGAGGTTTTGGCAGGACACGACGGGACGTGGATTGCACATCCAGGAATTGCCCCAATTGCCTACGAAGTGTTCAACAAGTATATCCCAGGGCCCAATCAAATGCAACACGAAAAGAAGAAGAAGAGAGAGATCAGCAACTTTGACTTACTCTCGCCATTTATCGATGAAGGAATCATCAGTGAAGAAGGTATTCGCTTGAACATTCGGGCCGGCATTATCTACTCGGAGAATTGGTTGAAAGGAGTCGGGTGTGTTGCGATCAATTACTTGATGGAAGATGCAGCAACAGCAGAGGTTTCGCGATTGCAACTCCACCAATGGGTGAAGTTCAATGTGAAGACAGACGAGAACAAGAGGGTGGACAAAGAGTATGTCGCAAGATTATTTGAAGAGGAAAGCAGAAAGTTGATCGAGAGCAACAGGGCCAACGAGGAGGTGATCAACAAGGCTGCGCAGTACTTCAAGGAGGGATGTGTTGGAGAAAAGTTCCACAAGTTTCTCACCACGATGCTCTACGACGAAATCACCACCGTTGGCAGAAGCTTTTCGGAAAGCAAATTGTAGCTCGGACCCAGAGCACCGTTGCGTTGGGTGGGTTAGAGCTTCCGGAATTGAGTTGCAGCGATAGCAGACCTACGTCAGAATACATGGGTGTGCATCTGTGTGCGTACGCGCATCAATTTTTCAACCCGGCAGCGAAAGCGAGCGAAAGAGGAGCAATGAGGGCTCGTTAGCGGGTGGTCGCTATGGTGGAAAATGCACCGCTGCTGATACTCCGGCGTATGAGCGGGAAACAAGATTCAATAAGACTCAATAACATTCAATAAGACTCAATAAGATCCAATACGATTCCATACCTCTCAACAACATTCGGAACAAGAGACAATTAGCTGACATTTGGTGACAGTAGGGTGATATTGGGGTGACGTTCAAGCAGATTCTGGGTCTGTGGTGTAGGCAAATTCCACGCCGACGCTGGAAATGATAATAACAGAGGCACGAGAAAGCGTACAAAGTTACTGTTTTCGCCCCGAGAGTGATCTCCACGTGAGACCAGCTGCTTCTGCTTCTGCTGCCTCTACTGCGTCCCGCTCGAAGCCTGGCGGAGTGCACGCCCGACCCCAGCGACTGTGGCGGTGCCGAACAGCAGAAGCAGCGCTCATGGGCCCAGTGCTGTCTATGCTTCCCGAAGTGCTCACAGTGGTGCTTCCTCTGGAACCAGCTGGCTGCCGAAAAGGAAAGGCGAGCGCTGGGCTGGCGAACAGAGCTGGCGAACCCACGGCGGCCAATGGCAGACCGCTGGCTGGCCGGTGCCTGACTCTGCTGCACGTGTTCGCGAACCGAGCGCTCGGCAAGGCCATGAATTTTATCTGCTTATGGTTTGGTTCTCTATAAGCTCTCTATATTAGCATTTATTTATATTTATTCACTTTACAGTCCTCTATGATTCCATTCGCTTCATCTCATTCTCTTCCTTCTTCTTTTGCTTCCTTTCTTTCTTCTCTTTCTCTTCTCTACCATTCCAGTCCCACGAAGCTCCTTCTCCAGAACCACCTCACTCACCAAATATCCCATCTATCTCCCATACTTTCATCTCTTTCTGCTTCACATAAATAGCCTTTCCAGTCATAATCTTAATCAATCTCTTTCCTGCTTCTGCTTGGGTTCAAAAAGAAACTGTTTCATTTCGTTTTATTGTTCTCTTTTTTTTATAATCCAAAAATATTTACCTAATTATTTATTCTAGTTATATTTATCTACTCTTGTTATTGTTTTTTTCATACTATCTATCTATTCTGCTTTTTAAAAGAAAAGTTCTCTTTATTCATCGTTTTTTTTATTTACATTCTCATCTTTTTTGTCCATTATTAATCATTTTCAAATCATTCATTTTTGTTTTAAATTTACCCAATTTAAACTTCATTTAATTTATCTCACATAAATTATCTCATTCAAATTTCATTTATTCACTTTATTATATCTATTCTTATTGTATCCATTCTTGTTATAACTTCAATAACCATATAATAATCCCACACAATAATATCCATCCACTTTTTCTTACTCTAATCAAATAATTCCTTTTCTGGGCTTCTTTATTAATCTTTAATCTTTAATTTTTTTCCATCAAAAAATATAAATAGAAATAAAAATAAAAACAATATTAAAAATAACAGCAAAAAAAAAAAAAATAATAATAATAATTTGAAATGACTTTACCATTTTATTCAATACTACTCCCCTCAAATAATCAAAATAATGTCCAAAATGATAACCAAATTGCTATGAATATTAGAATTCCAAAATCAATCCTAACGAACTTGAAAAACTCAAATAAAAAAGCAAAATTAATTGTAAAAAATGGTGAAATAGTACGTATATTTATCTTTACTAATTATAATGATATGATAATCAAAAATTAATAAAATAATGAAATGCAATTTCATTATTTTATTAATTTTTTTTATCCCATCACCCATCACTACAATACCTCATTACAATAATACTAACACACTCACTCTTTAGTCCTTGAAAATTATCGATTCTTCAAATCAAAAATACTCAATCTATAACACTTCGGTACTAGAAACCCAAAACACTGACTTATATTCCTCAAACAACTTAAATAATTCAAATACCTCCAATAATAACCAAACTCAGTTCTCTCAAATAGGGAAAGTGATATCAAAAGTAACTGTCTTCAATCTCCCTTCAAAATCTCTCTCCTCCTCCTCCTCATCTTCCTCCTCAACACCCATACCAAATCACAACTCAACATATAATCATCCCACAAACAACCTCACTCCCAATCACACCATCCCCATCCCCATTACAAACTCTTACAACTCCTACAACAAAAAACCCTCTCTTTCTCCAAGATCTTTATCAAATTCCCCTTCCCCAAACCCTCTTCCTTTCTCTTCCTCTTCCTCCTCCTCCTCCTCAACTCCTTTGCTATCCAAACTAAATTCCCTAAAATCCTCTACAAAAAACTTTAAAAATCTCAAATCTGAAGACTCTAGAATGCTCCATTTACTAGCTGTTGGCCCAATATCCGCTGAAATCATAAAGGAAAAATGTCATGTTTCTCACATCATCAACGTTCAAAACTTCCTCAACAAACACGCTTCAAAAGTAACCGCTTCCCTAAAATCTTACAACCAAGATACTTATGGCGACTACTCAAAATTGCCAAATGACTACACCATACCAATTGACGACTCCTCCTTTAATAATCAACCAGAAAATCTAAAGTTCTACGTCTTGAATGATCTAAGTTACCAATACCTAAGCATTTGGGATTTTCGCTATACCCCCTCAACAAGAGCCTCTATCTTGAAAAACATGGAAAATTCTTTCAACAGACTAAACTACTCACTATCAAATCCAATAAGAAACATGCTAATCAATCCCGAAATACTAAAAAAAAATGAAATCGAAAAAAATAAAAACACAGAAATGCTTAAAAACGCCTCCTTTAAAGAAAAACAAAAACTAATTCAACAGCAAAATGAAGAACTCTATCAAAAAAACCTTCTAAAACAAAAGGCTCTACAACAACAACAACAATCTTTAAACCAAAAAGATTTAAAAGAAAAATCAGAAATAGAAAGACTTCAAAAAGAAAAGGAAAAGGAAAAAGATTTCCAAGAAAAATTACGATTAAAAAAAGAAAAAGATCTTCAGGAAAGAATAGCGAGAGAAAATGAAGAAAAAGAAAAAGAAAAAGAAAAAGAAAGAATGAGAAAACAAAGAGAACTTGAACAAAAACAAAAACAAAAACAAATACAGCTACAGCTACAGCTACAAAAAGAGAAAGAAAGAGAATTAGAAAGAGAAAGGGAAAGGGAAAAGGAAAAGAAAAGATTGAGAAAAAAAAAGGAAGAACAAGAAAAATTAGAGAAATTAGAAAAAATTAGATTAGAAAAGGAAAAATTGGAAATAGATAGACTTGAAAAAATTGAACAAGAGGCTAAACAGTTGGAAATTTCTTCAAACAAGAAGAGAAAGGTGTTATCCAAAGAATTTGTCTCGTCTTCATCTGAAGATGATGAACATCTAGGTCCTTTAAGAGACAATGAAACTCAGCGCAAAAGATTCCGAACCACTTCCAGTTCCTCATCGGGTTCATTATCTTCTTCTTCCACTTCTTCAACATCATCGGTATTTTCCAAGTCCAATGGTTCTCCATCTGACTCTGCTCCTAATTATTCTACAAACTTGACATCGCCTGAAATGAATCCAAGACTTAAAAAGCAAAAAATTACAACCTCCTCTATTAATTCATCCAGTGCATTGTCCAATGGGTTTCCTTCAGTTCAACTTCAAGATTTATCTAGAAAATTTAAAAATACATACAAAGAATATCAAGAGTTGTATGAATCGATTCAAAAGAATAAATCTAAAGTGAAAAATAAAAATAGTTCATTAAGCAATAAACAAACCGGTGATTATGATTATAAAAGTTATAATGAGGATGTTAAAAAAGTCATTCAATTACACAATGAATTAACTCTTTGGAAGAAAAAGTTATGGTCATATTCAAATAGTAATAGTAATTTTAATAATAATAATAATAATAATAATAATAATAATAATAATAATAGAGACAATAGTTCCATTGGTCAGAGTAAAGAAAAAGAGAATAATCCAATAACAACAACTCCAATCAAAAAAGATGAAACTGTTAAACTTAAACTTTCTCTTAAATCGGATGTTAAAATCGAAAATAAAAGAGAAATCAGAACCGAAATTAGAAAGGAAATCAAAAGAGAAATCAAAAAAGAAATAATTCCGGAAATTAAAGAAGCCAAAAAGGACATCAAAATTAAAAGTAAAAGAGAACCAAAAGACATGCCTGTGATGCCTATGAAAAAGGGAACAATGTCTAAAAACGTAAGAATCGCAGAAAGAAAGGCGGTGTCCATGAAAAGAGATCCTTCTTACAGAAAAGATGGAATGCTGGTCAAAAGAGAACCATTGAGAGATGTTGGAAGAGATGTTAGCAGAGAAATCCATAGAGAAGCTAACAAAGATATAAATAGAGAGAGACAAATAGAAAGACAAAGGGAAAGACCTAGAATGAGAATGGAAAGAGGTTTTGAAAGAGAAATCGACAATGAACGCTCTATACCAGTTGAAAGAAAATTGAAATCAAGATCGAGATCACCCTTGCCTAGCTCAAGATCCCCATTACAAAGACCAAATACCTCCTCGCCTCGAATGAGGAACACCAGCTCCAATGTCAGCTCCAAGCTATCAAAGGTGCACAAACCACCAGTCTCGTCGAGCTCAAGGTCTGGAAACAGCAAAAGGTCGGGCGAAGAGGTGCAGTCTCGCATCCACCATTCGTCCAGCACAAGCAGCATATTCTCCCTTGAAAAGAGCTCTGGCATGAGACCTGGAGTGCGAAACAGAAGATAGTTTACAATACAGTAATGCCCCTACACAAACCGCTTAATACCGTGTTTTACTTTTAGTTCTTAGTTTTTTTTCTGGTTACATGTTAGTTTTATTTTTTTATTCAGTCATAAAGAAAGCATTCATTAATACAGTCATTCCCACTCGGTCAGTTTGAAGTTGTAGTTTCCGTAGGTGAATGTTGGAGCTTCGGTTTCTGGGCGAATGTTGCCCAAACTGGCGTGGAAAATGTTCAGTTACAGTTTGGGAGATTGTCCACTCAGCGGAGTTCTCTGTGCGATAAGAGCAGCTTCACACAAGCTGCAATTTTCAGCCATTTCTAGCTGCCATTTCTAGCTGCTGCTTTTTGTTTCTCGCTTGTTTGTTCACTCCATTGTGTGCTGCTCTTTTGTTGTTCTGTTGCTTCCTACCTGAGATTCTGTCTTCTTTCCTGCCATGGCTTTGAAATCCTATGCAAACGAGTTTGTTTCCTTTCTCAACGCGTCGACCTCGCCCTATTTGGCTGTCGAGTCGATCAAGAAGTTACTTCTCTCGTCCAACTTCACAGAGATCTCTGAAAGATCAAACTGGTCAACAAAGGTCAAGAAGGGCCAAAGTTATTTTGTTACCAGAAATGGCTCATCAATCATCGCTTTCACTGTGGGAGCAAATTGGAAGCCCGGTAATAGCTTTTCCATAGTTGGATGCCATACAGATTCTCCCACCTTAAGGATTAAACCAATATCCAGCAACTCATCCAATGGCTATATTCAAGTTGGCGTTGAATGCTATGGTGGCGGTATTTTCCATACTTTTTTTGATCGTTCCTATGGTATCAGCGGTAGAGTGATGATAAACAGCAATGATAAACTCATTCCCAAAATCATTCAAATCAACAAGCCAATTTTGAATATCCCTACTTTGGCTATCCATTTAGATAGGGCGGTAAACCAAAAATTCGAGTTTAACAAGGAAACACACTTGTTACCCATTGCTGGTTTAGAAAATAAAGCAGAAACACTCGATCAAACCAAAAACTCAAATAATAGCAAACAGGACGAAACATCACAGGGTGGTTGTTCAGACCACGAACAAGGCAAATTATCCGATGAAGAATTCCACTCGTTGCAAACCATGGTTCAAAGACACAATAAGCTGCTAATCGACCTTATCGCCAAAGAATGTGGTTGTGAGGTTTCTGCAATTGAAGATTTTGAATTGATTTTACACGACACAAATCCTTCTACCATCGGCGGAATCAACGATGAGTTCATATTCAGTGGCAGATTGGATAATTTGACTTCTTGCTTTTGCGGTTCCCAAGCATTGGTGCGTGCTTCAAAAAACATTGAAAATGAGTCTGGTATCAGATTGCTAGCCTGTTTTGACCATGAAGAAATTGGGTCTCAATCTGCCCAGGGCGCTGATTCCAATTTTATTCCCGCAGTTGTTGACAGACTTTCTTCTATTCTTGGTACTGGAGAGGAATCGATCATCAACAAGAACCATTTGTACCAATCTGCTGCAAAATCCTTTTTCTTGTCTTCGGACATGGCCCATGGTGTTCATCCCAACTACGCTCTAAACTACGAGAGCAAACACAAGCCAGGCCTTAACAAAGGACCAGTCATCAAGATCAATGCCAACCAAAGATATGCAACAAACTCCCCAGGAATATTGCTTGTTAAAAAGTGCGCTGAGTTGGTCAAGGTCCCCTTGCAATTGTTTGTCGTTCGAAACGACAGTCCCTGTGGCTCCACCATCGGGCCAATTGTCTGCTCGAAATTGGGCATTAGATGCTTGGACATTGGCAATCCCCAGCTCAGCATGCACAGCATCAGAGAAACCTGTGGAACAGACGATGTCGCCTCGTTGGTCTTGCTCTTCGAAAGCTTCTGGGAGAACTTCTCCAGACTTGAACCCACCATTTTGGTTGATGCTGTCGAGTGATGTCGGTGCCACGGCGGCGGGTCTGCCTTTTGTTGACATTTTTGAGGCGATTTCTAATCCTTCATCTCTTTAGTCATTTATAACCTGTAACTCAGCTATCTTTCAATCGATATACGTTTCGCACCTCATTTAATCCCACAAAGTGTTGCCATCAATTGATTCCTATAAACAGTTATTAAATGCAAAAAACAAACAAACATGGGCCAATCATCCTCAAGACAAGCCACATCCCCATCGAGTCATAAAATCGATATCACCAGCTTATCTAAAGAGAAACTATTCGAATTATTCTTAAAGGATTCACTGAACCAATTGTCTCATTTGGAGTTATATTCATTGAAGAAAAACTTGAAACTACATAAACTGCTCATTAGCACGGAACAAACTAATGATAACAATACACTCCACATTTCCGAAAAGCCCTCTTCCACCACTCCATTGACCAATATCACAAAACTAAATAATGAGCACGAGGATTTTTTATATTACGATAAGATAATCAATTTTGAAGAAATTAAATCATTAGTGTTTTGTGGGATTACCAATAAAGATATTAAAGAAGATCCCGAAGATGGTGTTTTGCAAATTTTTCCGATTTTATTTGACTTTTTGACAAAATTATCAATGTTCCCATTTATAAATTTTGAAAAAAGGGAAAATTTTGAACAGCTAGAATCTCAATTTCTGTTAAATTCTAATGGTATAAGTTTTAAAAATTTAATTAAAATTATTGTCCTTTTAAATAATAAAAAAAGGCATCGATTATTATCAAGAAAATTTGATATAATCAAACTATTATTCATTTGTTTTTCAAATTTTGATCTTAAAGAATATTATAATAATAATAATAATAATAATAATAATAATAATAATAATAATAATAATAATAATAATAATAATAATAATAATAATAATAATAATAAATATGATAATATCGGTAATGAAAAACAAGAAAAAATTAACAATATTATTGAGCAAAAAAGGGAAAAAGAAAAAGAAAAAGAAAAAGAAAAAGTTCAAAATCTAATTATGGATGAAAGACAAATTAAAATCCATTGGCATATAACACATTTAATCAGTTCGTTTGATGATATAGACATTAATAAACTATATATATCGGCATCGAATTTATTACATATTATAAATTTTCTATTAATAATAAGATATTGCCTAATATTATATTGTTCAATTAATAACGATCCAGAGAACACTAAAGATAATTTAAATGATAATGGAATTGCGACCGGAATCGAAGAAATGATTAATCCATTAAATTCTACGAGTTTTATACCATACTTGAAAACTTTTTTAAAAAAGGACTTTTACAATAAGTTTAAGAAAAACTCGTTTTCAATATTAAGAGCAATCAATCCCATAATAAGGAGTAATGATATTAAATATCTAAATGAAAAAAGATTTAATATAGATTATACTAAATTTCAAACAAGTTTAAATTTAACGATACCATTCTTGTTTGAGGATTCATTAAATTATTTATTAAATCCATTATTATATAATTTGGATGAAAACATCAAAATAAAGGAAAACATAAGTATAGTATGCGAAAGGATAAGCAATTTAAATAAAATGTTGGATGATCAAAATTTCAATATAATAACACCACAATTGTTGACACAATTATCTACATTTCTTAAACTCAATTTCAAATCAGGAAACGATAATGATAATTACAATAATAATAGTAATAGTAATCTTAATGTTAATGAAAAAATTAGCTTGAATAGTCTAAAGAGTTTGTATGTTGGATCAAGGTATGGATTTTCAATGAAATCATTAGAATATAGAGTATTCAATTGGAATTCTCCTACAATTTTATTAATATCAGGACGAAAAATATTAAATTTTAAAAAATTTAGCAATAAAAATAACAAATTTGAAAAATTTAATGAAAAATTTCCAAGATTAAATAATCATGATCATTACCATTACCATCGCCATTATAATAACAATGATATCAACGGCAAACATTATAATTACCACTATCAAGATGCTAAAGATGACGATAATAATAATAAAAAAATATATGGAGAAAAATTGATTTATGGTGTTTATATTAAAACACCTTGGAGAAAGACTAACAAAGATTATTTTGGTAATAAAGATAATACAATATTTCAATTGAGCAGTCAGCAAAACATTTTCAAATGTAATTTAATCTCAAGAGATAATAATAATAATAATTCTGGTTATGGTTATGATAATACTGCTAATGCGGATAGTAAATTGGGGTATTTCAATACACTTGGAGGAGGAATTGGGTTTGGAAACGAACAGCCCGTTATCAAGAACAACGATTTGGTCAAATATCGACCAGGAAGCGTTTCGCTAACAATTGACTCCAGTTTGGAGTTTTGTGTGTTTCGACATTTGAACCACTCAGAGGTGTACAAAACAGGATCTGTATATAAGAGCTTTGTGGACGATGCAAAGTCTGAGGAAAGCAAACTGGAGAGTTCCACCGAGATTCCTATGGATATTCCGGGGGAGATTCCGATCTACGAGGACCGGTTTGCAATTAGTGAAATGGAGGTCTGGGGAATTGGCGGCGAGGACGCGTTGAGAGAGCAGCAGAAGCAGTGGGCGTGGGAAGAAAACGAAAGCCGACGCAGAAGATCCGTTAACTTGAAAAACTTGGGAGAGGAAAGAGCTTTTTTGGAAATGGCGGGGCTTGTGGGAAGGTACAGCTCGTCAGGCGGGTCAATGTAGCCCATGCAAGCCTTTCTTATACGGACTAAGCATATCTATTTATTTATTAGTATTTATGAGTATTTATGTTATATTATATGAGATTTGATTAAAGCATGATAATTCATATTTCTTAATTGGATATGAGAAGCAAGATCTAAAGGCTAGAACAAGAGAAACAAGATTAAATTAGCATCAGTGATCAAAAGCTTAATTTATGGATAGGAAATAAAAAAAATAAGAAAAACAAGAAAAACGAAAAAAACCAAGAAATAAACAAAAAAAATAAGAAAAAGTTATTAAAATGTATTAAGTTATTAAACAGTATTAAAGATAACCATTCCAACAGGACCAAACAGGGAAAGAGCAGATTAAAATAGGAAGGAGAGAATTACTAAAAGAATAAAAGAACCATGTAATACAACAATAGCAATGTAATACTGTACAGCAGCGTCGTCACCAATTGATATTCATTCAGAGATAAAAGTGGCCTCGCTCCAACAAGAACCTTCTTCCTTTGAAACCTCGCCGTCATGCTCGATCTCAAAGTGGTAGGGATTGATCCATTGGTAGATGTAGGGCTTTGTGCCTGCAACAACTCCAGCAAGACTCTTAACAAACCCAGGGATTTCACCCATGACATCGACCCTGAGAACGAGAGTATCTAGCCTGCCCTTGAGTGAGGCCTTAACGACTTTGGCAGTCTTGTTCTGTATTGCCTCGTCTGTGGAGTCAGCAGTGTATCCGGCAAAATCATAGTCAATTTCCTTAGGAACTGGCCAGCCAACGTCCTTGTCAGGCTCAGAATCCTTGTGGATGGCGTTGTTGTCGACGGTAGCAGCAATTATTTTGTCGTCCTTGACCAAAATCCCAATGCTGACTTTGGTTTTGGCGTAGGAGTTGGGAGTGGTGAACTCCATTTGGACTGCAGAATAATGAGGGCCTTGGTAGTTCAAGAAGTTCCAGGTCGAAGCAGCATGGTGGGGTTTCATTCCTTGGAGGGCCATGACGTACATTGCTTTTCCCTCGATGTCAATTTCCTTTTCTCCCAACTTGATGGTGCCCTTGACGTCGTTTCTGGGCCAAAACACGTGCCTCATGCTTCCCCAGGGGTTTTTGGTGTCTGTGCCGTAGTAGGAGAAACCATTTTCACCAATGATTACACCAGGAGCCTCTTTGGTGACAGTTAAGTCGACGACAGATTCTGGATTGACAGCAGATTTGAAAGTATAGGAATTTCCATCTTCATTGAGTTCAATTGCAAAATTTTGAGCATAGAAATTGTTTCCCTTGATCATAAAATCTTCTAGATGAGTTGAAGTCCAAACGGCTTCATCTTTTTTCAATTTGTTAAAAATTCTGAAAGTAAACTGTGCAGTTGTATAAACGTTACCAACAACAACGGAGTGAATAACTTGAAAGAAGCCCAGATACCCTGATTTGTCACAAATAAAGTAAAATGTTTGAGTTTCAACATTAGTTGATGGAGGTTGTAACCATTCTAAATCTTTGGTGGTCGCCTCCCTAAATGGCTGCTTATCCTTGACAGTGTCTGTGATTGGGTGGAATGCTTCTCTACCATAAACTGGTTCTGCAACTATACCAGTATAGGTCGATAGTGTACCTTGAAGAAGTTTGAACATTTTTATTATATTAATTTAGAATAATTTGTGTTGATCTAGATTATCTCGTTTTATTGTACTGTGATTGATTTTAATTGCTGTAATTATTGTACTGAGGCTTGCTTTGTTGTATTAGAATGAATCAATTAATCTGAAAGGAATCTAAAAAATAAATTTAAGTATAAATATTGTTGATTAAATCAAATTTTAAAGAAAGAGAAGAAAAAATAAGAAATAAACTAAGAAACAGAACTTTGAATCTTTAATATATTCCCACAAAAAAAAAAGCGAAAGGGAGAAATAGTTTTCCGTAATTCAAATTGTCCCTTTATTAGAATTTAACTCAGAAATTAGAAATTGAATGATTTAGAGAGATCTCAAAGAGTGGTGAGCGGTGAGTCTAAAAAAGTGCGCAAATGAAAGAGAAAAACTGGTCGCAAACCTTCTCTCACAAGCGGATTGAACCACTGAAAAATGCCACCTGATGAAAAACCTGCTGGCGGTGCGTCATGTGATCCACACAGAGGTTTGGCTCTGGTTTTTCGGAAGCGGAAGGCGGGCGCAATGGCGACGGTAGCACCGTAGCATCATTTTACACGAGGTATTAACTATTATGTGATTTTGTAAGCAATTAGAAATTTTGGAAAAATAAGAATGTCAGACAGTGAAGAATGAACAACCAGAAAAACATAAAAAAAACAAACAATAAATAAACAATAAAAACCCAAAAAAAATTTAAAATTTAAATTAACTCAAAGTTTGTGGACGTCAACCTGGCACCATTTCAGTTTTAATCGAGAGCAGAAAAACAAAGCAATGCACCAATAGCAGCAAAACAACCGGCACAGCAACCAGCTGCTGCTCCACTGTCGGATTTTTCCTTTTGTTGCTCTTGAACAGCTATTGGTTGACCTTGGTATTGAGGTGATGCATATTGACCCGGTGGAGGTTGAGTTGGTGGGTATTGGTTTGGTGGGTATTGGTTTGGTGGGTATTGGTTTGGTGGATATTGATTTGGAAGATATTGATTTGGTGTAGGGTACTGGTTAGGTGGTGGGTACTGAGGTTGGTTTGGTGGTGAGAAACTATTGAATTGTCTATCCTTTTCATCGGCATAATTTGATGGTGAAGTTCCCGCTGGTGGACCTACTGGTTTTTCTGTAGAGCCTGCTGGAGGGCCTGCTGACTGTTCTGTTGGTGGGGGACCTGCTGGTGGCTCAATCTTAGATTGATTTTCAGTATTAATTTCCTTTTCATTAACAGGCTGAGCAACAATTGGCGCATCTGGAACAGATAAAGATGGATGATTAGCGCTTGTGTTTTCAGCTGGGGGTGGTTGGGTAGGTGGAGCAACATTTCCCTTGTAGAAACTTGATGCGGGATCTAACCTGGACAATCCTTGAGCAGATGAAGGCAGTGTGGGATTTGCCTCAGTTGGTTGAGGTGCAGGCACAACACCTAGTTCAATACCTGGCGCAGTATCTGGTGCATTTGGAGATACTGAAGGCTGGAATTCATTCAACTGATTTACGAATTGGTATTAGTAAGATATTCATGTGTTGTTGTATTGGTATTTCTATTTGCTGTAATCTATATTGACTAGCAATTGGTAAAATTGATCTTAGAATGACATACCTTTCCATCTCCACCAAAGCCTGGTGGTGGTGGATAGAGATTTCTTAAATGTTCTGGAGGAGGTCCAGGTGGGGGCTGAAAGAGCAGAAGTTAGTAAATCGAGCATTGTGATAAAGAGCACTAATTAAACAATAAGATGAGATGATACAGTAGCGTTTTTTTGCCTATATCACACTCGCGCAACAGAGGACCACAACATACAGCATACTCAGACATCTTCAGCGATTTTCTTTTTATTTCCTAAAGGACACAGACATCACCACAATCAAAGCAGCGAGAGCTGTATTTATAGTGCTTGTGAGAAATTGCACGTTTTTTTTGCATACTCAAGAAGTGCTCTGGTAGTGCTTCTAGAGACTCTCAGCATTCTTCAACTAAGCCATTGCTTCTGTGATGCGTGTACTGGCTGTGCTTCGTTTTCCACCAATCACATTCTTTGCCCACAACTTTGTGAGGCTCCACAGAACCTCCGCAATGGAAGCACTGTTTCCTCAACACTCTCCGGCAGCGTAATTTATGCTCATTGGTGATGCTGAAAGTGCTAGATAGATGTGCTACGGACGTTGTTCTGTGGACTCTGTTAGGAATTTGATGGTGTTGCTCAAATCTGCGGTGATTGAGCTGATCTCGTCCTTGGTGTACTTGTGCTGCTTGAACCTCCCTCGTATTTCTCTCAAGTACACACTAATGTCACTGGGGGAGCAGTCCAGGATGTTTGTGTAGCTCCTCCTGTGTATACTTTGACGTCTTCCCAGTGCCGTGGATCCTGCTGCAGCTGTCTTTCCTTTGCCTGCTGCTGCTTTCATGTTCAGCTCTTCTCCCGAATTGGTGGTTGAGAGAGAGTTGCTATTATAATTTTTTCCTATCGCCGAATATCTTGTAGCTGTGCTACTTTTCAAATCTCCAGTGGACCTCGACGACCCCAACTCCTTCATGCTTTTCGAATGGTTCAAATATTTTGCTGAACTTGTCCACGCAATTGATTTTTGTTTGGTTTCTTTTTCCTCAACATGATTTAAAATTGGTCTATTTTTCAGGTTTGTCGCAAACCCAGGTGTTCTTGGACTTTTGTTTGAACCAGTGCTTGAAATATTACTTGGGCTGATACTTAGATTTATATTTGAACTTAGACTTGGACTGGAACTTTGAGATGGTAATCTTTTGGAAACATTCACCCTTAAATTAACCGATGGTTTAGCTCTTAAACTACTCGATGAATTCACTGAATGAATTGTATGCGATCTCTTGATTTTTCTAGCTACTTTTTGAAATAATGGTGATCCCACACTATTTCTCAAGCTATCTTTATCTCTATCATCTTTTGAATTCATTAAATTACTATTCAAAGTAGTATTAATACCTCCTAATTTTAATTCCCAATGGAATAAACACCCATCATTGCTTATAGTCACAAATTTGACTGATTTTTCATTTTTATCCTTATCCCCATTTTCACCTCCATTTTCATTAAACTTGTTTTCAATCAATATCAAACCAGTTATACTTTCCGAATGACCCCAATTAACTGTTAATAATCTCCCACTTTTGTATGAATATGTTCGAATACTTTTATCAGCACATGTACAAATTATTATATTCAATTTTTTAATCACAACAAAATATTCAACTAATTCATATAACTTCAACGCCCTTAAAAGTTTCAAACTAATTATATCATATATTAATAATTGTTTATCATTTGTAGAAATTATTAGTTCATTAAAACTCTCATCTATGCTTCTTTCAATTGCACCAACCTTACTCCTTTGTCTAATATCACTAAGATATGATCTTCTTTTATTATTTTCTTTTCCATTTCCATTTCCATTTCCATTTCCATTTCTATTTCCATTCCCATTCTTATTATTCTTATTTTTCTTATTATTATCATTTCTTATATCACTAATGAATCTCATATTGATTGGTGAACTCTTAATATTAATGATCTTCTCTAAATAAATTTGAATCATATCTTCTTCTTCATCAACCTCAATTTGATGAATCGATATAGATCGATCAGCTGAACATACATAAATCTTATTTTCATAATTAATAACTTTTAGAACATTTCCCTTATGAATAGTTAAAGTTTGAAGTAAATTCCATTTATATATTTCTTTATCTTCAATTTCTTTTTCAGTATCATTCTCATTTTCATTCTCATTTTCATTCTCGTTTTCATTCTCTAGTTTATTCTCTAGTTTATTCTCTAGTTTATTCTCTAGTTTATTCTCTAGTTTGTTGTGGTATTCGATCTTATTTTCACTTTTATCATCTAAAGTTAATTTCTCAAATTGTTTAACAGTCTCCTCATCACCAGCACTAGTATTATCTGTATCTGTATTAATTCCATCATCTTCATTTTCACTATGAATATCAAGAAATATCATTTCAACTGGAGTTTCTGATGCCTCATAATCATCAAACAAATTACTTATTTCTTCATTTCTTTCTTTTTCTTTTTCTTTAACGTCTTTAACATCTTTAACGTCTTTAATTTCTTCAACCTCTTTAACATTTTGTTTAGATAAATTCTTTTTATAAAATATTTGAATAGTTCTATCTCTACTAACAGTTACAATAAAGCTGTAATTCTTAACATCAAAAAAACATAGATCATTAATAGTAGATTCGTGTGCCTTTATTTGATAGTTATATTCATTTTTATTTAGATCGTACACCATTAAAAACCCTAATCGATCTCCAAAGATTAATTTTTTATCATTTGTTAATTCGGCTACAATTATTTTATTCTCAATATAATCATTTGAAAACAATCTTATTTTACAAATAAATTCCATCGAACAAAATTTTTCATGATATTTTTTGAAAATCCCACTTTGTGACCAAATTAAAAATTTGAAAATTTTACAATTTTTAATTCCCTGAATATCTTTAACTAATGGTTCAATTAATTTTTCAATTTTATTATTAGAAATATTAAAAATATTAATTTCTTCTCTATCATTAACAAAAACTATTTCATTTTCATTAATTTGTTTTATAGATATTATTCCCGACCTATTTTTTATAGGCATATTGTTTGATGTTAAATTCGATAAACTTGAAGATAAATTATTATTAATATTACCAAGTTCATTAGATTGTGTCGAAAAACTAATAATTGATTTATTATCATTGAGTACTGATTGTGGGTTTGGTAAAGAAGGAGCAACTAAAAGATTTAATAACAAATCATTGAGAGGAATGAAATCAAAAGAATTTTCCTTTCCAAACCATAATCTTTGATTATGAACATCGATATGGATAACATTGATGTTTTCATTATCATTATCATTATCATTATCATCATTATTATTATTATTATTATTATTATTATTATTATGATTATGGTTATGATCATAACCATAATCATGATCCACCTTCTTCTGATCATTCATATTATTATGAATATTGTAAAAATAATTTAATTTTTCAATTAATTGAAGGGATGGAATTTCAGACGATAAATCTAAATAACAAAGTAATCCATTTTCAGATAAGATGAAAACAGTTGTTTTATTTAAAATTGATCCGGATATAAAATTTTCATTAATTAAAGAGCCTAATAATACGTTTTTACTTTTTAAGATTGTTGTTTTCTTAGTTTTAATATTAAGATTGTTATTTGAATTGCTATTTAATTTCCAAACTCTTATGTTTCTTAGACCTATGGTTATAACGATATTATTGATCCAAAACATATCACTTATCAAACAACTACATTTGTTGCTACCTTTTAAGATGATTGAAAATCTTTTTGAGATTGAATTAATTTTCCAAATGTTTAAGAATCCATCGTTTGCTACACCCAAAGATGCTAAATAGGTATCATCATCAGAGAATGCTAGATTATTTATAGCAAATTGATGTTCTAAAATGAATGCAAAGGGGTAATTGTTAGAATCATTTGCTAGAGAGTAAAAAAGAATCCTCGGTTGATAACCAGACTCGCCAACAACTAATATTTTACCATTGGAGGAGAGAGCAATACAATTTATTGATCGAATTCTATCTTTTAATTTCGATTTTGAGTTTATATTTATATTTGTGTTTGAGGATAGACTTGCAGTGGAGTTATTGTTAATACTTAAATTGGATAGATTATTATCATCTAAAGTAGAGATTATTGAAGAGGATGCTAGGGGATAATTTGAATTTGAATTTAGATTTGAAAACTGAATAGGATTATTAAGTTTGGGGAAACCGTAATTATCTTTTCTTGTATACTCAAAGTCGTTATTTGAAATAGTAATAGGACTGATATTTAGATTGGTGTTATTAATGTTAGAGTTGTTAATATTTGAGTTATTGATATTAAAATTATTTGCACAGAAAAACCTTTGGTTTTTAATTTTACCTTCAAGAATCTTGCAAACCACTACACCACCACTTGCGGTATAAGCAACTAAATCACTGCTGACAGCAAATGAAGACTGATGATGAACAGAAGTTCCAAATATTTTGTTGATGTATAATTGAGAAACTGAAGTATCAAAGCACATTTTAAGAAAACATTATATTAATTGTGTTTAATTGAAATTTTTCTGAAAAAAAAGGGATTATAAAAAAAGAGAAAGCAAATTGGATAGAAAATAGATTAAGAAATGCAACGAATATGATAAGTATAGGAATATGATTAATGAAAACAATGCAAATTCATGAAAAGCGATGAAAAAAAAATGCAAAAGAAGAATAGTGAAAAGGGAATAGGATCAAATAGAGGAAACGATACCTATTTATTTACCAATTAAAGAGATTTTAATCTTTTAATTTCATTGTTTTTGTTTACCCGCATAGTCTGTGCAACTCTGGTCCTGGAGCACTGAATTCTCGAGCAACAGAAAGGACAGCAAAATGGGCAGCATAGGCACCATGACAGCAAGTGTATCTGTTGTGCTGCCTCTACTTCTGTTTCTTCGCAGTGCATCTCAATCTCTTGCCATCTCTCATCTTCTTTCTCAGTGCTTCCACTCTCCTGCTTCTGCTGTGTCGCCCATAAACACCTTTTTGTCCTTGCTTTTCGTCTCGCTCAAACCGAAAAAACGCACACGCGCAGAAATCCACAGAATCCGCAGATCCACCTTCGTGGTAAAATGACGTCCATGCATACCAAACGCATAATATGCATTAATCACGTGAATTATTTCTCGTTAAGAATGGAAAAGTGTCAAAGAAACTGTTTGAGGTACCAGATCAAAACCACTTCTCTCGCTGCTTCTACTTCCTTTCACAATGGGTGCCTTGATACATGTTTTGCCTATTGTATGTGTGTTTTGCTGCTGACGATATTCTGTTTTTTTTGAGTCTAACACTTTGTATTTTTTTTTAGAAATTTTTAGGTATTTTGCCTCTATATATTGGTATGGAGATCATATTGGGAATTGCCATATTAAATAAGTTTTCTGGAGTTTATGGGATCTTGTCGATATTCACTGGCCATCCAATTAATTTCTTTCAATGGTTTTTGAATCTCTCCTCAATTATTATACTACCATTTTACATCAACGCTTTGAAATATGTTAAAAAGCCACACTTAGGTAAATTTTCCTTGGTTTGTTGCGTTTTCTTGTTTGATACTTTATTATCCATCTTATTCATTATTTATTTTGCATTATATTGGTTTGAAACTGAATCTTCAAAAACTGTACCTTTACCAGCTTCTGCAACTTCTACATCAGTACCTGATATCAATAAAATTGAAGATAAATTCGATAATGTTGAAATTGATATTGGAAATGATAATAAAATTAATGATAATAATAATATTGGTAATAAAGTACAAGCTAAAAAAAGAGATTATACCTCAATTTCAGCAACTATCTCTTTAAATAATATTTTAGCCACTCCTACTACTTCTCACGTTATTAACACGGCGATTGCAACAGCGGTATCAAAGATTGATGAAAACTTAGCATCTCAATCGGCTTCTCAAACTTATGAATTTGCAATTACTTTAATGACTTCAATTATAATCTCTGCTATAAGAATTTATTTCTCATTAATCGTGTTGAGTTTTACAAGAGCTTTGTTAAAATCCTCAAAATACGGCGTCAATTCGGATGATTATAATAATTACAGAAACAGAAATAATAATGATAATGATAATAATGCAAATGGTTCTGATAACCTTCATAGTAATCAAATTGGTGAAAACCAATATGATTCTTTATTATCGAACACCAATAATGATAATGCTAATAATACTAATAGCAATAACAATAATAGTAATATTCTATCAGGTAATGGCATTAAAGACACGGTATTGAACTATTCTAGTGCATTCATAACAAAATTAGAAGACAGAAGTGTTGATTTTATTGTTTGGTTATTTGATGAACAATAAATGAGAAAAAAAATATCAAGTACAAACTTTATTCATATGAACTCATTAATCAAAACCTTTAATAAACGGATACTTTTATTTTTTTATTTTTCCAAAATTACCATAAAACTTTAATTCTGATCCTTTCATAAGCGGAATACTATTAATCTTAATTATTTTCTTTTTCCTTTACTTGTCTTTTTTTTTCTTTTTTTTTTGCTGAATTAAAATTCATATTTAAATCTAAATTTGACTTTTATATAATTATATTATACTACAATCATTGTTTATTATCATTTATTATTTATTATTGTTAACTCATCTTAATATGCGCAAGTGAATGTAAATTAGAATATAAAATAATAGAAAGTGAAGATGAAAAAAATGAATAAATAAAAATAAAAATAAAAGTAAAAATATAAATATAAATATAGTGATATTAATGATGTGAAAATACGAATATAAAACAATACAAAATTCATTTACCAGTTAATTATATCTTCAGCTTCTCCAAATACACTATTATTATTACCATTTTTACCTAATATTGATTCATCAACAATCAAATCATTTTCGTCAACTACAGTCGCTCGCATGATATCTTTCAAGTTTTTGTTTAAGAATTTCAATATTATATCATCGATTATTTGGAATTCTAATAAAAATGCATCATGACCTTCGGCGCTTTCAATTTCGTAGAATTCAGAATTTGGTAAATAATCGGCTAATAGTTGCTGTTCGGATAAGGTGAATAAATTATCAGAGGATATTCCCACGACTAAGGAAGGTTGAGATAATGTGCTTAATTGGTCCTCGACTGAAATTTGTAAAGGAATCTTTTGGTTTTCTTCAGGTGATAAATTTGAGTTTGGATTTGGATTAGATATATCGTTGAAATCGGGATCGACATAGGTGTAATATTGAGGAAATGGGTAATAGCGATCTCTTGTTAGATCATGAGTATCTAGTTTTCTTGAGATTTGAATGTAGCAATTTGGATCAAATCTTTGGATAAATTTATTGCCTTGATATCTCAAGTAACTTTGAGCAGTGAAGAAAGTCTGGGGTCTTTTTTTCAAGTTTGAAGAGGAATTATTTTGGCTTCGATTTGAGGATAGAGAAGTGACTGAGGCGTTTGAAGAAGATCTTTGGAGAGAACCGATTGCAGTTTTATGGCCATCATTATGAATAACCCAATTTTCATCCTGGAAATTTTTTAAACTGGAGTTTGAATTTGAAGATGAGTGTGATATTTTATTGTCATTAGCTTCGTTGGAAGTTCCATTGGAAATTTTATTGGCTGTTCCATTAGCAGTTCCATTCGCTGTTCCATTGGAAATGTCTTTTGAATTACCGTTGATAGATGGCCTTGAGTTTGTATTGATAAAGATTTTTGATTTTGGGATGTTTTTTGCTTTATTTGGATCATTTCTACCAAACCTGCTTTCAAAAGAGTTTCTTGATCTGTAGGTTAATAGAGCGGACATTCTTGCGGCAGATAAACCAGTAACAGGACCATCAGCTAGTTGGTAGTAGCCATCATTATATTTCGGATCAGAGTAGATGCTTTGTCTTTGAGCTTCACCCCAAGAAATGCACCAAGCTGAGTGTCTGGCCGAGGTAGCTAGCGCTACAATTGATCTTATATAATTGGGACCAAAAATGCTTGGGTATTCTAGAACCAACATTCCACCCATTGAACCACCGATTACACAGGCAACTTGGGTGACGTTTAGATGGTCTAGGACTAGTTTGTGGATTTTAACGTCGTCTCTAATTGTGCATAGGGGGAATTCAGGGCCATAGTGATGGCCAGTTTGAGGATTTATAGTGACAGGAGAACATGAACCATATGGGGAACCTAAAGAGTTTAAACAAATGACAAAGAATTTTGTTGGATCAAAAGCCTTATCTTTGCCCAAGAGAGGGCCCCACCAATCAGCTACATCGGCAGAACCAGTAAAGGCATGACAGATTATCATGACGTTGTTTCTTTGAGCATTTAGTCTGCCCCATGTTTTATAAGCAACGGGAACATCATAAAGAACTTCACCAGATTCTAGTTCAAATGAGGGTATTATAAGGATTTTCTGATTGTTGACTAGTTTTGAGAAGGGGTTTTCAGGTTGAGAATCGATATAGTGATAATGAGTAGAGGAAGTCATTATTGGTATTGAAAAAAAAAAAAAAACAGAAATTAAAAGTTGATTGAAATTAAGATTGGGTTGATGTTTTCTGTTTTCGTTTTGTGAAATATGAAATGGCCTTTAGCAAAACAGTAAACGAATTAGAAGATAGTGAAAAAAACAAGGAGATATTAGTGTTTATTATATACAAATAAAACAAAAGATAGTGTACAAGGGATCCACAGTTAAGAATATGGCCTAGATGGAGTACAGTAGCAATAGAAAAAATATGGTTATTACAATAGTTGGACAGTTGGAAAAATATTGAATTGATGAAAATTGATTTGATCAACGAAGATAGTGTATGAAAAGTCCCTTGGAATGTTGGAGCAGGAGAATAAAATCGAACAATGCGAGGAGGCCTAACAGGATAAAAAAAAGACAACACAATAAAAGTGGACAGTGAAGACAAAGAGATGCCCATAACAGTCTTATTATAACAGCTCCATCCCATCCCAAGAGAGATTCACTTTACGATGTTCAGTCACTGGCTCGATACTGAAATTTTTTCCCACCTGTTCAGGCAATACGTGGCGCGCGCCGATGCGCACCAGCCAGAAACTGCCTGTATGGGACGCCGTGCCACCATAGTTATTCCATCAATTTTCCACAGAATTGCGAATTCTCACGCACGATTTCTTATCGTGGAAAGCAGAGCACCGCACTGCTGGCGTCAATCTCACACGTGCTACAAAGAGGCCGGTGGTACGGCTCCAAGCTTATCAGCTGCGGTTAACAGGCACGTGTCAGCGCTGGGGAAGAGCGCGACTGCGTGTTTTGGTTCTGCTGCCCGCACTTCCCTTCTCCCAGGTCTGCGGGTGATCTGCGGTGGCAGGACCTGGGGACCGCAGGCCACTGGATGGAGCCTGTGGCCAGAGGGAGTGTTCCCCAGTGCTTCTCCAACAGCAGCGGCAGCAGCGGCAGCAGACCCAGCTTCTTCCCCAGTGCTGCTGCTCGTGCGTCGGGCTTTTGGCGGGTCTGTGCCGACGAAAGCGGCAGCAGGGCTCGGCACGCTCCGGCGGGCTTCGGCTCAAGCGCTGCTTTTCTCCACACCGGTCGAGCTTCGATCGAAGTTTCAGTTGCTTCTGGAGCCCCTCTCCTTGCCAGCGAAACTCTATTTGCTGCGTTCGATCTTTGCTCGATGCTCAATTACTTCACTGACCTCCTGGATTATACTTTGGGGGTTTTCCAGCATCATCAAAATATAAAAGAAACACTTTGTCTTGATTTCCTTTCTTCTGCTGTTCTTCTGCTAGCAATTACACTCCATTTTCTCAGCTACCAACTACTTACCGCTTTCTGTCTCTTTTCAACCACTAACCACCTATTATTGGCTCCCACCAACTTGTCACACATCTATTGTTTACTGTTTTACAATGACAGCTTCTATCCCTGAACGTGTCCTTCCAAAGCTCACCATTCCACCCTTGGAACACTCGATCGAGGCTTTTTTAAGTGCTTTAAAACCTTTGCAATCCCCAGAAAACTATCTTTCCTCAGTTGAAACCTTATCCAATTTTAAAGAAAACGAAATCATCAACATTTTGCAACAACACTTGGAGAAATATTCTTCTGACCTAAACACCAAAAACTACTTGGATTTATTCAGTAACGTTAGAAATCATAATGCCACAAACATTTACTCTGAATATAGGGGAAAGATTTTACCAAGAAACCCTTACTTTATTCTTGAAGCCGATCCTAAATCTAAATTCTCAATTTTCCCTCCAACCCAAACTGAAAGAGCCTCTGTTCTTGTTTCAAGTGCTCTAAAATTTATCGTCTCCCTAAGAAAGGGCAAAATTCCAAATGACGTGACTCCCAAATCAGGTAACCCACTATCAACAAGATCTTACTACAACTTGTTTGGTACAACAAGATTCCCTTCAAACCGTGGTCATGGTATCAACATCAAACAAGATCAAAAGTCAAAACATCTAGTCATCTTGTCAAACACCCAGTTTTGGATCTTGCAAGTGTTAGATGATGACAATAACATCATCTTCAAGGAAAACGAATTGGAAATCTTTTTTCAAAAAATTGTCTACGATGCTCAAAATTTTAACACTTTGGATCCTACAAAGGTAGCTATTGCCTCAATTTCTTCAACCAACAGAACCTCTTGGGCAAGTGCAAGACGTTTATTAAACAACAATGAGACAAACTCAAAAAATCTAAACTCAATCGACACCGCTCTATTCGTCCTCAACTTGGACATGGATGAATCCTATCTAAAAGACGATAACTTTCCTTCTTCAATTGCTCATGGCTATTCAAAAATCTCTCAAGGCTTCCAAGTCGGCTCTGGCATCTCAAGATGGTATGACAAACTACAGATCATCGTTGCTAAAAACTCAAAGACTTGTGTAATGTGGGAACCAACTTCTTGTGATGGCACAACCGTCTTACGTTTTGTCTCCGACATTTATACTGACACGATCTTAAGATTAGCAATAAAAATTAACAACAACTCAAGATTCTCCCTATGGTTAGACGACATCAAATACGTCTCGAACGACTACAAAAAACCTGGCCTACTAAAATTAAAATGGGATTCCTCTGATATCCAATTATTAAAGGAAATCCACTTGTCTGAAACAAGATTGGGCGACATGTTGTGTCGTTATGAACACAAGTATAAAAATTTTACAAAACACGTTGGAAACAATTTATTTACCCAAAAATATAACCTAAACCCTGACTCTCTTGTTCAATTGGCTATCCAAATCGCCTTTTACGCTCTCTACGGTAAAACTCCCTCAACTTTTGAATCTGTTTCAACAAGGAGATTCGAAAATGGTAGATCCGAAATGTGCTCAATTCAAAATGACTTGATCCTAAACATCTCTCAAAATTTTATCAGTAACGTTTCCACGATCCAAAGATGGTCCTTAATTCAAAAGGGTATTGAAGAAATTAATAGACTAAAGTCAGCTTCCATGCATGGTAGAGGCTTTGAAAAACACTTTAAAGCTCTAAAATTGGCCTACATTATGAGAAATTATATAAATGATTTACACAAAGATGTTTCTAATTTACCTCAAATTCCAGAAATCGAAAATTTAAAGGACATTGAACAAAAAATCCCCCTCTTATTTAACGAAAAGGGTTTATACGAATTAATCTTTGAACCAGAAATCTTAGCTGTCAATTGTGGTAATCCTTCTCTAAAATTCTTTTCCGTCACTCCTGCCCATCCAAATGGTTTCGGTATTGGTTATATTATAAAAGAAGATTTAATCTCTCTAACCATCTGCTCCCAATTTAGACAAAATGAAAGATTCATTCATACTTTACAATGGGTATTTAATGAAATCTATTTCTTGTGGAAAAATGTTGGAAAATTAAAGAATCACGCCTCTTTAGTATCCGCCGAAGAAATGCTCAGAACTATCTCAATGGCCACCGGTGACTCAAATAATGATTCAACTTTTTCAATGAACAGATCTGAAAGTTTAGCTGTCAATAATGACCCTGAATATAGTCTTGGTGGTTATGGTTTCTTTGATGTTGATGATTTGCAATTTAGAAATCAAAGCACAGAGGCTTCAACCAAAATATCAAGAAATGCAAGTTACGCCCAAAATTTGACTTCTTTGCAAAACTCAAATCATTTTAATCATTTAAGAAAACAATTACACAGCCGTTTGAGTGATGGTTTTGAAAACAGATTAAGCGGTCTTAATCAAAATGACTTTTCGGAAAATGAACCTGTTGGTGAATTGCAAACTAAACAATTTGTTCTTGATAAACAACTCAAATTATCAATTGGTAATTCAATTGCTCTAAGAGAAGATTAAGCCGAAAATATATTATAATTAATTGATTAGCCTGGAGGGTTTCTGTTTCTTTATTTCCTTTTTTACAATATATACTTATATACACGTACACGAAATTTTAATAATATTCATTTCAACTATCCAACTATCACAATATATTTTATATCTCCATAATAGCTGAAACCAAATCATTAATTCAAACACTATTTTTTTCTGTAAATGAGAGACCACTTTTGCGGGTCATTGTTTATTTCAAATTTTTTTTTTTGTCCAAAATTTTTCACGTTTTCAGTTTTCAACTGATAATAAATAAACATAAAAATAATATATATATATATATTCAATTATAAATAAATATTTAACGAAAACGTGTGGATTGCAATGGGGAAAAATAATAAAAAGCAATCAAGGGGATTAAAAAATAAAAAAGATGAACTTGCAAAGAATCCTGAACCTATTATAACAGATGAAAGATTTTCACAGATATATAATGATCCAAAATATAGATTAATTAAATCGGATAACTTAAAGATTAAATTGGATGATAGATTTAAAAAAGAAGAATTTATCAATACAATTGATGGACATGTTACTAAGATTGATAAATATGGTAGAAAATTAAAAAGTGGATATAGCAAAAATCGAAACACACTTGATCAAGAATTCGATAAATTTTTTGAAAAAGAAGATGAAAAAGAAGATAATATGGGTGATGAAGACAATAGTGATTTTTCTTCTGATAGTGAAAGTGAAGAGGAGAAAAAAATTAAAAAAAATAAAATAAAAATCAAGAAAATACTGAAAACATTATTTGATGATAAAATTAGTGAAAGTAATAGTGAAAGCGATAGTGATAGTGATAGTGATACTTTAGTTGATCGTGCTTGTGGTGAAGAAAGAGGATCAAGTAGTAGTGAATCAGACTCAGATTCTGACTCAGATTCAGATTTGGATTCATTTGGTGAACTAGAGAGTGATGAGGAAATTGAAATTGAAGAGGAAAAACCTGAAGAAGGAGAACCATCATCAGTTTTAGCAGCAGTTAATTTAGATTGGGATAATATAAATTCAAAAGATTTAATGTTTACATTTCAAAGTTTTATAAAAAATAAACAATCAATAATATCAATTACTATTTACCCAAGTGAGTATGGAAAGGAAAAAATGGCTAAAGAAGACGTTGAGGGACCATCAAGAGAGTTTTTTAAAGATAATAAGAAAAAAAACAAGAAAGCTGATGATTTAGAATCCGATTCAGAATCTGATTCAGATTCAGATTCAGATTCAGATTTAGAGATAAATGATAAAAGAGATTTCGATCAAAATAAAGAAAAAATTATTAAAAAATTGTATGAGGAAGATGAAGGAGTCGATTATAATTCTAAAAAATTGCGAAAATATCAATTACAAAGATTAAGATATTATTATGCAATAATAAGATGCGATTCAATTGAGACAGCACAGGAGATATACAAGAATTGTGATGGATTGGAGTATGAATCTACGGCGAATTTTTTTGATTTGAGATATGTTCCAGAGGATATGGAATTTGACGATGATGAAAAAAGAGACTTTTGTGATAAATTGCCAAACAATTATAAGGCTAAAGTTGATTTCACTACATCAGCATTACAACATTCTAAAGTAAAATTGACATGGGATGAGACACCAGCTGAAAGATTAGAGATGGCTACCAAAGCATTTAATCAGAAGGAGATTGAAGATATGGATTTCAAGGCATATTTGGCTAGTGACAGTGAAGAAGAAGAAGAGATTGAAAAATTGAATGGTAAGAGTAGTAAGAAAAGAGCCAAGGAAATAAAAAATAAATACAAAGACTTAGTTAATAAGAGCATAATGATTGGAGATCAATCAATATTTGATGGATTTGAGGATAAGAGTAAAGATGTCGATATGGAAATTACGTTTACACCTGGAATAGCAGATGAGACAAATGAAAGTGAGAAAAATGGCGATGGGGAAAAAGAGGAAACTGAAACTACGCTTGATAAATATAAGCGTAAGGCATCAGAACGTCGTAAAGCTCGTATGGATAAGATCAAAGAAGAGAAGGAGAAAGAGAAAGAAGAGAAAAAGGCACTTAAAGAGAGTAGGCGAAACAAACACAGAAGGAAACATCAAGATGAAAGTGACGATGAGGCGAGCAGAGAGGACAAAGCCAAATCCAAAGCAGAGCTTGAGTTGTTACTTATGGATGAAGACAATGATAAGAAGCATTTCAATCTTAAGGAGATAATGAAGGCCGAGAAGCAGGAAATGAAGAACAAGAAGAACAAGAAGAGGCAAAGCGAGCCAGAGGAAGCAGAGGAAGGATTCCGTATCGATATGGACGACGATCGTTTCAGAGAGATTTTTGAGGACCACGACTACGCCATTGACCCCAACGAGCCCGAATTCCGGAAGACCAAGGCGATGATGAAGGTGCTTGATGAACGCAACAAACGACAGGACAGCAGCAGAAGAAGCAGAGGCAACACCGGCAAAGAGAGCCGGAAGAGAAAAGCCGGCGATGTGGAGAGTCTCGTTGAGAAGCTCAAGCGTAAGTACCGTAAATAGACACCAATACACAGACACGCTGAAGAAGAAGCAGCAGAAGCAGAAGCAAAGGAGAGCGTCGCCACGGGTGTGGGAGTCCTTTGCGGGCGAATTGCATCGCGCAGATTTTGCACCTGGAAAGCGAAGGAAAAGATGGTAAAAAAGATGGTAAAGAAGAAAGAGAAGCACCAGACTGTTGTGTTGCTGAGCAGTTGGTGAAGAATGTCGAGCAGCCTATTGGCCTTCAAGTCTTGTGTCTACTTTTCTCCAGTCTCCAAGTTCAGCGGTGTTGCTAATTCTTCCCTTGTACATAGTTCTCTAAAGTTAGCATTTTCCAACAACCAACGAAGCACTCACACTTTCAATGTCCAGCTCCATATACATCAATTGCATCTTTGTATCAGATGCTACTCGACCTCCAATGGTAACAACAGTAGAAAGGGGTATAAAAAAAACAACCATATAAACAATTTTATTAAAAAACCGAATAACAGTACTCAGTTTGATGCAAACATCGACAAAACAATAGACATTATAGATCAAAACATAAGTTCCAGTGCTCATGGAAATTTACACAGCATGAACAACAGAATAGATAAAGATATAGACCATATAAATCAGCATTCCAATAATAAAAACATACACAAAAATAATTTTCCCATAATACCTCTAGCCGTTGTCAATGAGAATTCAAATTCGACATCTTATTCTGATGAAAATTCCAATCAAAATAACATTGAAAACGATAAAAATAAAGATAAAGATAAAGATAGGAATAAAAATGATGACGATGTCCTAGATGATTTAAACGATCCAATAAACGATCTAATAAGACAAAAACAAGAGGAATTTAAAGAAATCGAAAGACAAAAACAAATTGAGGTTGAAAGAATAAAAAAATTACAGCAACAAGAAGAAGAAAAAGAAAGAAAAAGATTGCATAATGAAAAAATTAAAAATCAGCAATTAATAGAACAAAAAGAAAATCAAAAACTCGAAACTGAAAAATTGGCTCTACAAGATAAACCAAATGAATTACCAGATCTGAAAATTGAAAATCAAAATCAAAATCAAAATATTGTAAATAATGAAATTCCCAATAACGATGATAACCAGATAAATCCTTCTTCTCCTTCTCTTTCTTCGCCCTCTTTGTCTTCTGATTTCACTAAATCATATGAGGATATCAATTCTAACGATGATCAAAGACAATCGTTTGATTATCAAAAATTTAAATCAATATTCAACCAAAATTTAAATACTTATAAAAATTCCAATTCTTTACAACCCCAATTTAGTCTATTAAATTCAAATAAAAAAGATAAAGATAAAGATAAAGATAAAAATAAAAATAATGATATCAAAAATCAAAAACACACTACTACTACTAATGGTAATAATAATAATAATAATAATAAAAGTTTGAAATTTAGTTTTAAAAAATTTATTCCGAGTTTTCCTAAAATTCAAATTCCAAAGATTCCGATAAAATATATAAATTTCTTTAAACTAATTTTTTCAATAATTACAAATCCCAAACTTCATTTTACCCAATTTAAGAAAAACTTTATAATTCGAAAAAATAATAAAAAACAACAATTGAATCTCAAATTGGTTCAATTAGAGGAAAACTTTTATAAAAACTTGGACAAGTTGATAGTTTTTCTTAAAAATGCAATCAATGAAATAACCGATTATAAAAACATTGGCAAAATGAAAAATAAAATTGAAATTATTGAACAAAACTTGGCCGAATCAAGGGAAAAAGTTAAATTTCAAAAGGATATTTACCAAAATGCTATAAAATTACGAACTGATTCTCAAAGAGAGATTAACGAATTATTAACCAGAAAACACATGTGGACTCCAACTGATTTGGAAAATTTTACAAAACTATATAGATCGGACCATACAAATGAAAAAAATGTTAAAAACAGTAGTCAAGAGTTAGAAGAAGCAGAAATTGAATTGGATGCTAATCAAAAGAAGTTATCAAAGGAAATTTTAAAAAGATACCATGAAGAACAAATTTGGTCTGATAAAATCAGACGAGTTTCATCATATGGCACATTTTTATTAATGCTTTTAAACGTCATGTTATTTATAATGGTTCAAACGATTTTTGAACCATTGAAGAGAAATAAATTAATTAATAGATTTGAAGAACGGGTTAAATCTATTATTCAAAATATTCAAAATATGTACAATGAAAATAGAAGTACAGAAAAAATTATAACAATCAAAATCGATTCGATTAGTGATGAAAATGCAAGTTTAATGGCGAATAAAATATATGAATCATTGAGAGGTAATATTTCGAAAACTGAAGGTGTTAAAAAGGTTGATTTAGATGGAAAAGAAAAAGAAATGGGATCTCCAGATGACGAGATAATGGCAATTGAAACAATCGATGATGATAGTAGTCATAAGATCAATAAGATTGATAACGCTACAAGTAAATTTGATAAAAATGAAAGCGAAAGTATTAATGGAATTGAGAATAGAGATGAAGATGAAAACGAAGACGAAAACGAAAGTTACAATCCAGCAAGAACATTTATATTAACATTTAGATATCCAATTCAATTATCGATGAGTATAATTCCCAGTTTTTCGAATATAAGAGATTATTTCAATTCGATTTATAATGAATTGAAAGAACCAAATAAGTTGATAAAAGGATTGAATAAAAAAATCATAAGAACGTTTACATATACGAATATAAAGAGAAATTTCAGTAAGATGACGTTTCAAATTAAGAAAATGATGAATGATACACGGAACTTTTATTATTTGATCAATGATGTTAGATTGTCATGGATTGATAATGTCAATGTGTTGATTTATAATAACAGTAGTGTTAAATTTATCAAAGTGGAAAGAATTGAATTTTTGTACATGTTAGGTAGTATGATGAGTTTTGGAGTGTTTGTTGGCACGATAATTATGAAGTTGGTTTATTCTATTTAGTCTATAGGATAGTCTATAGGATAGTCTGTAGGATAGTCTATAGGATAATCTATAGGCTGTTCTATAGGTTGTTCTACAGATTTATCTACAGATCTGTCTATCATCAAATGATTACGAATGATAACGAATAAAATTATTACGCACAAGTCCGGATATTTTCCGAACGGATATTTTCCGGAGCAAGGAAAACCAAGGTTAGGCGATATAACGTGAACGTGGGTTTGTGAGCACTTTTTTTACATTTGAGTTACAATTTTTGTACGTTTTTTGTACGTTTGTTTGAGAAATGATCTAAATTGCTGCTGTGGGAGAAAGCGACCAATGAGAGGACGCAGCGAGAGAGGGAGAAGGATATAAATTGGGGTGAGGCAGAAGGAGGGAGTTGTTAGGCCTCCAAGTGTCAAGAGAGCGAGCTATTTTAGCGAGAAAGTACATGAGAAGCACAGTACCCAAGATGGTTGAATGGTTAGTAGTTGTTTTCGACAAGGCAGGATCAGATCGCAGCAAGTTCAGGCCCCAGCACTTAGCAGCAATTCCTCCAGCAGTTGAATCAGGGAAAGTTACCAATGTTGGAGCTATTTTCAGCGAGATTCCAGAATTGGGCAAACCGTTGAATTTTGCAGGAAGCACATACAACATCGAGGCTGATACGAGAGAGGAGGTGTTGGAGTTCATCAAGAAGGATGTTTTCGCCAAAGAAGGCATTTGGGATTTGGACAATATTTTAATCTACCCATATGGATGTGCAGCTAGAATTGCTAAGAAATAGCCAATGTGTGGAACGAGTGATGCAAAGTATGAACTCTATGAGGAATTGTGGACGAAATCATAGCAAAACTGATGGTTGCAACAACGAGAACCCAAATGAAAAAAGACTTTTGATTATGGTTATGTATAAGAAAAGTAAAGTAAAGTAAATTGAAATAAAAAAAATGATAAGTCTACGTTATATATTAAATAAACAGATAAACAGATAAATAAATAAGTAAATGTGTAAATCGATAAAATAACCAATCAATGGATAACTAGTATATGAGAAAAGCAAGAAGTTATTCAGTTGATTTTTGGGTAGGATAGCAAAGTTAAGATGAGGATTAAAATTAAGAGAGTGAAAAAAAAGAGATGGTGATAGTGATAGTGATGGTGACAGTGTAATGATATTGAAAGCAAGTGAGATTAATAACCAAGACTAATTAGATAATCAGCCAATTTTTCAACAAAAGTTGAGCATTGGTTTGGTTGGGTACCTTTAGTATAATGAGCAATCACAATAGATTGGTTTGTTCTAACACAAAAGATACCATCAACTTCATGTTTAGCGTGAATAGTTCTGTCGTCGGCTCTTAACAAGAAATATTTAGTGCCTTTATAGTGCAACCCATTGCTTTGCAAATGAGAAGGTTCATCAAAACCAGCTGCTATTTCGGCAATTTCCTGAGAATTGAAAATCAAGCCGTTGGATTCAGCCCACAAACCCTTGCCATCTCTGGAGTAAATGGCAGCACCATTGGAGAAGCCACTGTTGATAATGCTATCAGTGTAAGCTGTGATGGAGCAAATGAGTTAGTAGAATGAAAACTGGAGGTTGAAAATTAGGCAAAATTCAGCCAGGTATTAAAGACAGTGGAAGCAACTCACAATTCCAGGACATTTTAGCAAAAAGAGAAAAACGAGAATTAGTTTCAAAAAAACAGAATCAGCCACCAACAGACGAGCAGTCAATAGCAAAGTAGAGTTATATCAAGACGAGATATAAAACGAAGTTGCAAGTAGCAGTTGAACTGAGCAAAAGGGAGAATTTATAGGGAGAGTCTCTGGAGGTGAGCAGAGCCGACGAGGAAGAACCACGTCCCCGTGCAAAATGCGTTGTGAGTATGGGGTGGCCTGGTTACAGCCGCGGGACCGCAGCAAAGTCCCCCTAGAAACAGCACGTATGCACCAGAAGAGCATTGGAAAGGGGTTGCCCGAACAGCGGTGCGCTCTTTCCAGCACCGCCCAGCGCCAGCTCGTTTTGTTCGCTGGAGCTCTTCGAGGCCCTGGAAAAGCCCTGGAAAGCTGAAAAAAGCCGGAAAAATCCGGAAAAAGCATTTTCAGCGGTGCTTTACCGGGAATCGAACCCGCATCTCAGCCAGGCGTTTCGGGTTCGACTCCCGCTGCGGGCGTTCTTTGCGCGTCCCAAAATGGACGACGATATAATCAGGTCTTAAGCAGCTTTCGGGCTGGAGCTGGAACTGGAGGAGGAAATCACACAACCATGTCTTCCCAAAACACTGCTCCTCCCATGTTCGACGACAACAGCGAGCTTGCTGCCGAGCAGCTTGCGCTTGTGCTTTCTCAGTATACCTTTGACTCTTTTTCCATTCGAGCTACCCATAGCAGTGACTCCACCGATGCTGCTCCTGCGAGAAGAGACACTGGATCTGTCAGGGAGAGATTGCTATCGTACTATGGTGCAAACAAATTGTCCTTGGTCAATGTCGTTCAGATCAGGGAGATCTTCAAAAACTGCATTTTCAAGATCAATCTTCCTTCCATTGTGTATCTAATCAAGAGGAGAATCTTAGACAGCTATTTGAATTACACTTTTCCTACTCTCTATGAGTACCACACTCCCAACGAGAATTTTGATGGCAATCTCAGCGACAATCTCAATGAAGATATTGGTGTTGCTAACAGTGACTTGGAATTCTTAAGAAATCTCGTAACATCTCAAGTTAATGCTCAAGATAATACTGATGGGTTTGTTAAATTGGATAAATCTCAATTTACAAACCAAATCAACCTAACCAACAAAATAAAATTTTCAATTGATTATATCGACGATGATGATGAAAAATTTATAACTCTACTTGCTGATAAATCAATTCCTTTCAATCAAATCATCAATACAATCAATCCTCTTAATCCAGTAAACTTAAATCAAAGAAATGGCTTCATACTAAATTTCGGTGGAATTATTACTGATTTAATCTGGCTACAATTTTCTCTTAACAAAAAAAATATTAATAACAATATTCATGATAAAAATGATTTGTTCAATACTAATTTAAATAACTCGATTTCGAATTATCAATACCTTTTAATCTCTGGTATTCAATTTCATCGATCAAATCAATCTGAAAACTTATTAAACCCTTTTTTATCCATTTTTAATAATAATTTTAACTACAATTCAACCTTAAAGATTTACAAATTAGACATGTTTTCAAATCATCTATCTCTTTTTCATTCATACCTTTTTAAAAACTGGGGTCATATTACCTCAATTAAAATTTGCCCAATTGATTTCAATAAAAATAATTATCTGCCCACTATTATTCATAATGATAACTCGATCTCTTTGATAAGTTGTCTATTTTCTGATGGTAAAATTAGATTATTTAAAATCTTTGATGATCAATTTTATAATCAATATAATAATGATAATAATAACAACAACGACAACAACAACGACAACAACAACAACAATAATAATAATAATAATAATAATAATGGTGATAATGACACAAATTCAAACGATACTCAACACTATCAACAAATGATTAAACCAATATTAGAAATATCTCTACCATACCCTTATAAGATAACTTGCTATGATTGGCTTGACTCCACTTCAATAATTGTCGGCACAAATAATGGTTACTTGTCTCAATTTAAAATCATCGACAATCATTACCCAGTTCCAATTTTTTTAATTAAAAAACATGACAGCTACCTTTCAAATTTAATAATACAAAAAAGTTATCCAAATTATAATAATACTATCATTGTAACTACAGGTACTGATGGCTATACAATCCAATCCGATTTAAATGACTTGATCAATTCATACAATTTGTCCTCAAGATCCAAATCAATGAGCTTTTTAATCGATTTCTCTCCAATTTTATTAGCATATATAACGTCTGATTTAAAAGAATCGAAAATCTCCTCACAAAAGATTTTAAATCAATTGTCCCCCCTAACAAAACATGATGGCACAATTTCTTCATTAAATGTGTCAAATTTGCATCCAATGATATTAACAGGAGGTTCGGATGGAAATGTCTTTTTAGGAAACATGTTGAGAAGATTTTTAAATTCTAAAAAGGGATCAACGCCAAATTATAAAGTTATAAAATTATGGAGAGTTCAATATAATAGTTTTACCAAGATTTATAATATACTATCAAATTATGAAATTTCAAAATTATTACCGACTGGGGTGGTGAATGAAAATGGGAAAAATGGAAAAATAAAGAATAATAAGGATAAAGACAATGATGTGGATGAGGATAATGAGGATAATGATGATGATGATAAAATTTATCCTCCAGAAATGTCCGTTAATTGTTTAAAATGGAATAAAAATGTCAATTGTTTTAACTGGTATGCAGTAGGAACGACATGTGGATTAGTTATTATTGAAAATTCACTGACGGATGATTATGGATTTTAAGATGATGTATAATTTGGTTTACTCTATTTAAATCTAGTATAAATGTAATTTAATTTAATTTAATTTGAATTTAATTTGAATTTTTTCTTTTTTTATTTTTATTATTTAATAATCTAATAGTTTTGTTTTTCCTTTGAATAAAAATAAGGCAAAAAGAAACAAAAAAAACAAAAAAAACAAAAAATAAAAATAAAACAATACAATGCCCAAAAATAGGAAAAAAATAATGTTTTGAAAGATAATAATACATTAAGATAAAATTAGAAGGAAAAAAAAAAGGTAAGTAAAGAGTGAGTGAAAGAATGAATAGATAGATAATTAGATAGGTAGAATAGAAAAGAAAGGAAATTATTGATAAAAAAAAAAAAAATTGAAACAACAGAGAAATTTAGATTGATATTCTTAGTTTGAATATTGAAATTTTTTGAAAATAGTAAGATTAAACAATTTTTTGTTTTACGAAAAATGATTTGAGGTGTTTTAATTGAAAATAACCAACAATGATCAATACAGCTAATTGGATGATTGACCATTTGACTACTCTTGAATTTGTACTTTCACTTTGATCTCTAAAGAGAGCTTCTCTTTCTCTTATAAGTTGTTGTTCTCTTTGAATTTCTTCCACTTTACCATTCAAATCGTGGATTCTACTAGTTAACCAATTGACATCGTCAGTTTTCTTTGAATCAACAGCAGCAGAGTAACCGATTGCCATATCTAATAAGATTCTAATTCTTTGGTCTTTTTTAGGGTATTGAGGAGTCAAACAAAACTTGTGCTCGCCAGAATCTGTAGAGGTGAAGGTAAATTCGGAATCAGATTTTGATTTTTGAGAGACAACTCTGTGATTGTTATCAAAAGTTTCATCGACAGTGAGAGCTAAAACCAAGTTGTCAGGGTGATCAAAAGACTTTGTTTCGTCGTTATAAATTGCAGCATCAAATTTGGTTACTACTAAAGTATCAGCAGGTAGCTCTTCAAAGAAGCACTTCTTTTGGCCAGGGGTTGAGTAGTAATGCAAGGCATCTGATAAATTGAAACAAGAGAGTAGTATGAGCACAAAAGATAGAGAGTATGGAAAGGAGAGAAACATCTTGAAGGAGCTTTGGTGGGCGAGAGTGAGCTGAATCTGCTGGCGATGGAGGATTATCTGCTGGTATATAACACGAGTATCAACACGATCGAAAAAACAGTTGTTAAGTATTGCCGGGCAGAAGCCGGCGGAAGAGCGCCGCGCGTGCGCGGGCAGGGAAAATGCCGCCGGGTGTTTGTGGCAGCAGAGGAAGAAGAGAGATAAGAGGAAGAGAAAGCACAGAAAGAGGAAGCACAGGAAGAAGATATAAAGAGAGGTTTTCTCCTGGATGAGTTATGATCTGGTTGGACTCCATCGCCAGATCCCTTGCTAAGCAGTATCACAGCTCACCAGACAGACTACAACAAAAGAACCCGTCGCAATGACAGTAACAGCAGCTATCAACTCAATTAGAGAAAGAGTAAACTCCAGTCAATTGTTGAGTTCAGACCCCGTTCGTAAGAATGAGCCCAAAATTGTTGAATTGACCTCAGCAGAAGTCAGAAAGATCGAGAAAGTCGACCGAAATAAAGTTGAAACATCAACTGCAATAAAAGCCGCTGAAGGTGACGATGCAAAGCAGGAACTCAATAGTATCACCAATGTTGATGCCCATGATGCTGCAAGTGCAATGGAAAGAATGGGACCAAACAACAGTTTCCCTGAAAAGATGCTCAGACCAGCAAAGGCTGTTGTTGCAACAGCTCGAGAACAACTCAACTCAAGAGTGTATGATAGTCATGGAAAGGCAATTATTCGAAGCAACTTGGATCCAATCTTGAAACCAATCAACGACAACTTGAACGATAACATCAAGAAGTTAAACATCGACATTGAGCCTGTTCCAAAAAAAGGGTACTCTAACGAGCTTTCCAGAACCACAAGACTTATTTCAAGATCAACATCTTCTTCCATCAACCAGCTTTTAAGCAAAAATCCCAACCAAATGAGAAAGGACTTGTTGCAAGTGTACTACAAGGCCTACGACGAAGACGAGAAGAAAGACGCAAACATCTTGTCCAAACACTGGAACGCTGCCAATGCTTCTCTCAAGGCTGTTTCAGCTGTAGTTGGAGCCTCCAAAAAGCAGATCTAGCGTCTTTGCTGGATGATCTCTTTTGCACTCTATAGTTGCTTCTAATTCCCTGTAGTTCCTTATAATTCCTTATAACTCTTCACAAAACGCTCGCTTACCTAATCACAACTCTAGCTTACCTAACGCCTGACTAACAACAGTACTTAAGCGCGGGCAGAGCGGCCGAAGGCGGGGTGTGTTTTTGTGGCCGTCGGCGTTCGTTTTTCCAATCATAGATTGTGGCACACGGGTCTCGGTGTGCGAACAGCCAATCAACGCAGCGCACGCGCCATAAGGCTTCTTTTGAACGTTTTCCAGCCGAATTTTTGCAGACCATCATCAAACCCATCTAGAATTACCTGATCAATATTCTCAGTTACACTCTATAAATATTAATTCTTTTGGCTCTGGTTTTGCATTTTCCTTTGTCTTTAGAATCAATCTCTCTCTGTTCTTTACAGTATTCAAAAAACACTCTCTGAAATTCCCCTGAACACTCTTGTCCCTAATGATGGATGGAAAGCAAGTCAGAATTGTATCTTTATTGATACTAGATACAATCTTCTTCTTACTAGAAGTCATAATTGGTTATGCAGTTAACTCCCTAGCTTTAATTGCTGATTCCTTCCATATGTTGAACGATATCCTCTCTCTTTTTGTTGCCTTATGGGCTGTCAAACAAAAGAAGAAGGAGGCCACTGCTGATTATACTTATGGCTGGCAAAGAGCTGAAATACTTGGTGCTTTGATCAACGCCGTTTTCCTATTGGCCTTGTGTTTTTCGATCCTTATTGAAGCTATCCAGAGATTGATTTCTCCCCAGATTATCACCAATCCAAAGCTAATTCTCTATGTTGGTTGTGCAGGTTTAATCTCCAATTTCGTTGGTTTGGTATTGTTCAATGAACATGGCCATTCGCACTCTCATTCCTCATCCTCGAGTAAACATTCTCACTCTCACGCCAATGCTAATAACTCATCTTCAGTCAGTCATTCCTCCTCGGAAAACATCAATGAAATGTTACCAGAGACTGTTGTTGGAAGAATCGACGATGAAAGAACCTCTTTGTTACACTCCAAAAATACCCAAGCTCAAGCTCACTCCCACAACCATGCTCACACTAAGAAACACTATCATGATAATCCACATGAACATACCGACCATGATCACTCTGATCATTCGGATCATGAAGACCTTGAAACTCAATTGGTACAGCAAAAACCTAAAAAATCACTTAATATGAAAGGTGTCTTTCTTCATGTTCTTGGTGATGCTTTAGGTAACGTTGGTGTCATATTAACTGCTTTATTCATTTGGAAAACAAACTACTCCTGGAAATACTATTTCGATCCTATCATCTCCTTAGTTATCACTGCCATTATTTTCTCTTCAGCTCTACCTCTTTGTAAAACCTCTTCAAAGATTTTGTTGCAAGCAACTCCAAATGACATTTCTGCTGATGACGTTCAATATGATATCCTAAATTTATCCTATGTCAAATCGGTCCATGATTTCCATATTTGGAATCTCACTGAAGATATCTTAATTGCTTCTTTACATGTCGAATTAGATGCCTCTCCTGAAAAATTCTTTGATATCTGTGTTCAAATTAAAAAAATCCTACATAAATATGGTATCCATTCTGCAACTATTCAACCAGAATTCAAATCCTTGGATTTTAATACTATCAACTCTATAAACCCCATTAGTAAATCATCAACCATTAAATCAACATCATTAAAGAAATCTCAATCAAAATTACACTCCCAACCTCAACCTCAATCTCAATCTCAATCTCAATCTCAACCCCAAACTCAAACTCAAACTCAAACCCAATCCTCAAATGTATCTCCAAATGCAACTTTAATTGCAAAATCAGCTCCTTTAGATCATTCCTTAAGTTATGGGTCTGTTAATAATGGTTCCCAACAATGTCTTGTTGATGAAGAAACCGGTTGTAATTCCTCTGATTGTTTACATTAATTATTATAGCATCAATTAAAACTTTTACAAAATTCAATTCAATTTTCTCATTTATTTTTTTTTTCACTACTCCTTTGATTTTTATTTTTTTATTCATTTTTATATCCATTATTTCAATTTTTCACTCACTCACTTATTTTTTTTTCTTTTTTCTTTTCTCTTGCTAGTTGTAATTAGTTGTTCAATCACTAATTTATTAATTTTTTATAGTATAATATAATTGTACATTTATTTTTATTAACCTAAATCTAAATAAAAATCTTATTCCGAACTTTATTTCAAATTCTATTTATAATTTGAATTTTATTTTCTTCCAATTTTGATTTCGTTTCCGGTTTTATTTTCTCTTTTATTTCTTCTCTTACTTACAGCTTAATTTTACTAGTTCTTGAAAATACTCTGGAAAAATAAATTAAATTACTTTATAAAAAATATATTGAAAAATTTTTTGTATCTTGGTATTTTATTTATAGATATATACTACAACACCCTTATTTTAAAACCTTACCATCGCTGATTTCAATTGACTTACCACCAATAACAACAGGTTTATCCCAAGCCCACATATTATTAACAAAATCTTTAGTTTCAGCCGAGCTTGCATCCAATTTCTCATATTCATACGATTCCCAATCAGGTGCAACCTCAAATGCTGGTTTGAAATCTTGTCCTCTGACTAGAAGAGCACCAATAATACCATTGTTATTATTAACTCCATAAACAACCAAACAACCAAATAAATATTTAGTTGATGCTGATAACCTGTTGAAAAAGCCTCCAACCAAATTATTTGACATAAAAGTCAACGTTAATTCGTCATTATATTTATAACCAACTTTCCATAAGGACCATTCTTCGGGGTTAAAAAACTTATCCCAAAAGTATGGTAAAGCAGTTTCTCTAGTTTCCTCATTAGAATAAACACGTTTCCATTCATCTAATGGAATTGTAGATTTACCTAAGGCTTCTAATGGGTGTTTTTGTTTCTTTTTAACAAGTTGTTCATCTTCTTGATCATCTTCTTTGGGTTTTTGTTTCTTTTCTTGTTTTTTAGGTTGTTGTTTCTTCTCCTTTTTTGGTGGAACAAATTCAACAGGTTTTTCTCTAAATTTGTAATCTTTGTAAATTGGATATAAAATTGGATGGCTAATAACAGTCTTGTACCATCTAACAAAGTTTGGAAATTTGGCTCTCCATTCATCACCCCACAAATGATCAAAACCTCTTGTAGCCAATGTAGCAGAGAATAAATCAGCCAAAGAGATTCTTTCCCCAACTAAGTAAGTAAAATTAGTCAATCTCTTCTCAAAGACATCAACAATCTTATCAATTTCAACCAATGCATTTTCAACTTGTTTTTTGTTGTAAGGAGAAGCACCAGTTAAAGGCTTAAAAGCTAATGGCAATTGATACAATAATTCCGAATTAGCAAAGGATAACCATTTGATAATTTGACAGTAATCCTTAATAAGAATTTTTTCATTAGTTGAAGAACCTAGCAATTTTAAAGTATTCTTGGGATCTGAGGATTTTAACAAATACAAATTGATTGCAATACATTCATGCAACTTATAACTTTCAGCATCAATAAAAGTTGGAACCTTTTTCAAAGGAAAATTTCTTGTATAGTTCTCAGCATCTGATTCTGGTGTTTTGACAGCAACATCTAACTTAAAATAGTCAATGAAGGCTTTGGGCAAAACACCACGAATGGAAGCAGTAGTATATAAAGTAGCTTGGGACATTGCAATGGGAAATCAGCTAATTAACAAAGATAGTCAATTTTATCAAACAGTTCAAAACCAATTAAGAGTAATTGAGTTGTCAACTTATAATGAAAAAAAACAGCGAAGAAAAAAGGAAAGAACTAAAAAAATTAGTAATTCAAGGGAACAAATTAGAATTTTTGACAAAGACTTGGAAAAAACACGGATGTGGCACGGAATGTTGAACCACCGTATGAAATATGCAACTGTGTGCGGATATCTGCACCGGAAATTATTTACCACCAACTCGGTAAACTTTTCTCACCCATAATAATGGCAACTGCACCAAAGTCATGCAGTAACCGCAGTTACGGTAGTACATGTGCTTTACCTGTTAAACTGCTTCTGTATCACGTGACATGTAAACTTAAAAGTTCTGAAAAATTCAGTGAAGAACAAAAGCTGTTGAATGAATTGACTTTTATTTATTGTTGTTTAGATATTCTCTGTTTCTCTGTTGCATCAATTCTGGTTTATCTGTTGCTTAGTTGGTTTGTTTATTTGACATGGCTAGAATATCTGTGCTAAACTCCAGCAATGACACCAAATCCAGCGAGTCCACCTCTGCTGAAACTGCTTCCACTGTGTTGAATTCAGACTACAAGATATCTCTCAAGAAAAAACCATTCTTCTATGAAAACATATTTATCGAAGTATTGAATGCCAGATTTCAGTTCCTATCAAGGTTTTTGTTGTTTATTTCTGCTGTGGTTGCTTTTGTTTCGAATTCAATACATTACCCAGTGCTCTTCAACTCCAATGCAACCTCAACTAATTTTCTAAAACAACAATCCCCAATATTGAACTTCAGTCTATATTTTACTCCTAACTCAATTGTATTAAAATTCTTATTGCTTTCAGCTCAATTTTTAATAAGTTTTGCAATATTCAAACAAATAATCAACTATAAGAAAACATTCATCTTAATGGGCAAATCAAATACTTTCACTCCCTTTTTCAAAAATTACTTTAATCAATTTTATAATCAATTTTTAATTTTAAAAAATTTCAGAGTTTTTCTCTTTGAAATTTTTCCTTTAGTTTATTCATTAAGTTTATTGTTTTTTCTGCTTCCACTAATATCCCAGTTCAATTTGTTATTAATACCTAAGATTCACCAGTATCCCCAAATTAATGATATTTTGATTTACATTCTCTTTTTGATATTTTATTATTCAATTATAATTTCCTCAGTTTATCATTTCCTTAACCTAAATCATTTTCCAATATTGAAGTTTAATCAGTTTCACAATAAAATTGACTTTGGAAATATCTTTTCATTTTTGTCATTAAATCATTTTAAATTATTGATCTATTTAAATTTATTCATCAATTTATCAGCTTCTTTTATTTACTACATTTTGAATTTGAAAAGCTTCATCTATAATTATTTGATTTTTACTTGGTTACCTTTAGTTATTAACATTAACACAGATATTCCATTAAGTAACTCAAATTTTTCTATTTTCTATTTTTTTTCCTTTTTCAATCAATTTTTAAAATTATCTTTGATTTCACTAAATCTCTCTATTTTTTACTTGATTATTCATAATGCTTTCAAAATTTATATTCTACAAATCGGTTGTTTACATTATAATCAACCTTTATCATCAATTGCAAATGACTCAAAGACCCAAATAGATTCAATCATTTCAGGCTTGTTATCTAATAAAGTGTTGATCAAAACAACTGCCTATCAGGATTTGGCTTATTTGTCAATTAATGATCAATCTTTCAGAAAGAATTTATACACAAATTTATCAAACATCACTGTTCCTGATAACAAAACCATTTCTTTTAATAACAATGACAATACTAATACTAATACCAATAAAAATGATACAAATAGTAAAAAAAATAACTTCAATAATAAAAATTATAAGAATGATTTCAAAAAAAACAATTTTAATGATAATAAAAAGAATAATAACTATAATAACAATAGCAACTATAAAAACAACAACTACAAGAATAATAACTACCAAAATAACAACCAAAAAAACATTAAAACAATTGAAATTTATTCCTGGTTCATTATTCTTCATCAAATTGAATCGTTAATTAATAATTCAATTAAGAACATAAATAAAGTTTTGGTTCAAAAACCCAAATTAGCTTTAAATATAAATACTAAACCAAGTAAAGATGAAATAAAAATTAAAGGAGATATTTCCGATAAACTATTTGGCAACATAATTCTTAATTCAAACTCAAATAATAAAAATAATTTAACTGATGAAGATTCCAATCAAAAAATTAATTTGACTCCAATTAAATTCAAAAATTCTAGAATATTTTCAAATGTTTATGGCTTATTGCAAGATCCAGATGCAAAACAATCAAATTTAATTATATCAAATATTCAAAACTATGCAAATCTTATAAAGAACAATTATCCAATTTATTTAAAGAAATTTTTGGATTATCTTTTAAATAATTACAAAGTTTTATCTTTCTTATTCAACTCAAATTTCAAAAATGACTCACAAATCATTTTGAATGAAAATTCAACAAATCTAGGTAATTCAATCATAATTATATCAAACTTGCTTTTGTTTTCAATTGATGAATCATCTATAGGTTTAAACTCAAATATTGTTTTTACTACCATTATCAAAATTTTGGATTTGTTAGACAATTTAATTTCAACCACTGCTGTGTTTAAGAAAAAATTTTCAACTGAAATAAAAGATAAAAAAGAAATTGATATTATTTCAGAGATTCACGATTTAGCAATGCTGTATTTTTTCAAAATATCAGTCAAATATAAACATCTAATTAATGATTTACCCTTATCAAAACCTGTTTATAAGCTTGCTAAATGGTCAATTAACCAATCTTTAAAATCAAACAATGAGGAAAACAATTCAATATCCGATTTGAATATGAAGACTTTTGACAATTTGAAATCAAAATTAAATTTAAAAATGAAAGACTCAAACCTTTCTTTTTTAGAGCATGAATCCTCAAATCAGTTTCAAAATCAAACATCCACATCCACTGACACTTCGATGATGTATGATAATTTCAAACAAGAAGATGATGTTACCACATTTGATGTCAGTATATTATATTGATTATACTTTTTGTTAAATTGAAAATAAAACAAAAACTTGTCTCATAATTTTTTTTCATTATCACATTTTTATTTATTGCTTCATATATTATTTTTTTTTTGTTTCATAATGAATCCATTTAAGTTTTTTTATTCTATACTTATGTACAAGGAAGTTTTTAAAACTATAAACACCTAGCTTAAGGATATAATCAGAAATAATTACCCCATTGCAAACAAAAAAAAAAGCATTTTTTCCTCAAGCTTTATAAATTTTATATGAAAATTAAAATGTTTAATACAAAAAAATCTATTCTACATAATGATAAAGTTCGTCTTCTAAAAGATCACTTTTACTTATTAAATCCATTGAATCCTTGTTACCACTTTTTAATTTAGGATCATTCAAACAATCTGAAATTAATACCCATGGATCTTTTGAGCCTCCCCATTTCAAAACCGAATTTTTAAATATATGGCCATTGTTAGTATTAAAGGGGTTTTGATAAAATAATTCATTATAAATTTTAGCGGCAATGGCCCTATCTAATGTGTATGTGTAATAAGTTGAACCATATGTTAAAAGATGACTCCAACCACCTATCCATTTTGATTCATCATCAGCAAATATTTGCAATTTTTTTTCTGTATCCCAATAAATTTCCTTTGCAAAATTAGTTATAGACTGAACTAAATCTTCTACGTTATTTAAATTTATCAAATTTGTATTTTTAAGTGTAATTTCACTTTTAATTCCATCCTTATAAAAAATTGGATTTGGAGTATTGAGATGCAACTGTTGGTCAATATAGGCCAATTTTATTTGAGAATACAATTCGCAATATTTCAAAACATCATTTTCTGATTGATTTAGATAAATTGATTCATGCAATTCTTCATGAGGCCCTATATTAAAATCTTTCAGTATTTTGGAATCATAATGTTCACCGATAAATTCTAGAACACGGATATCTTTTGCAAAAGTTTCCATTAAAGTTGAGGGCAATTCCACAAAATCTGTTAAACACCTTGTACCAGAGACATTGTGTAAATTTGTTCTTCCAAACATTGAATGTAAAGAGTGACCAACTTCATGAAATAAAGTTTGCAAATCAGATAATGAGAGAAAAGCCATTTTTTGAGTCAAGTTTGAATTTAAGAGGACCTTTGACTGCTGTTTGAAGTTACAATTTAAAGCAATTATAGGTAATTGGTAAACATCACCGTTCAAATCTCTAGCACACTGAATAAAACCTTGAGATGAGTTTTTGTTTTGAGGAACTTTGTCATCATTTAATATTTCACATTCATTCAATTCTTGAGGGTTTGTTATCTTTCTTGAACAAACAATAGTGTAGTGAGCAGGATTTGGGGATTTGTCATTTCTTTCAAATAGATCAAAATATATTATTCCAATAATATCATTTTCATCTTTTGAATCAACAAGTAACACTTTTCTAACATCTTTATGCCAAGTTTCTCCCTTTATAGGATTTATGGGTAAGAATTTTACTCCATAAATAATTGATAAAAATTTTGATAATTTTTCCATTACGTTACCGAGTGAAAAATATTCAGAAATTGGTCTATTAAGAATTTGTGGAACATTTACACCATTTCCATGGTTGTATAAATTTATTCTTTTTTGCTGAATTAACTTTGCAGCTAGATAATCTCTGTCCCATGGTCTAATAAAAGATATTAATTGGCTATCATCTAATTGATCAACAGAAGATTTTTTGATAAATGAGTTATGAAATATTTCTAAGCTTGGATCGTTTACTTTTATGGAACTATTTCTATAATTTTGCAAGTCTAGCCATTTGATTTCCGCTAAAGTTTTCAATTCTTCTATACATTTTGGTTTAACTTTATCTATTAATTTATCTAGAAAAAACAAAACGTTTTCGGGAGATTTTGACATTTTATCCTTTAATTGAATGTGATTAAAAGTATTGTATTTTAATTTTAGAGATAGGATTTTTCTTGAGAGTAAAATTTTTTCTAAGATTTTTATTTGAGAGTCATGATGAGAATAAAGGCTTAGATAGATTTTTTTTCTTATATCTTCATTATTTGATGCCATTAAAACTTTATATGATATGGAACTCATTGTGGGGATTCTGATTTTATTTTTGAAGGTAAAATGTGAAAAAATATTCAAAAGATTATTTTCATTTATAAAATCTTCTGGTAAGGACGATATTAAATCTTTATAGTTGAAAACCAAATTTGAGGAATTTTTAAAATTTGAATCTCTTGAATTTGAAATGAATTCGTATTCTAAATGAGAAATTTTATTTGATAATTCAATATAAATTGTTTTAGATTCCTCGCTTAAATTGATCCCAGAATCTTCAAAGTCTTTAAGTAAAATTTTGCCCACAAGAATTTCCTCATTTGATAGAGAGTCTTTAATATGAGCTTTTAAGGGGTTATTTAGTATATCATTTAAATTTGTGTATAAATCAAACGAGGTATTTAATCTTATCATCAATTCGTTCATTTTTTGATGTGAAAGATTAGAGTATTTTAAAAAGTCTTTATTTGGATGGGAAACCCTTAAAAATGAACACAAGTCAATAACTTTGCATAACAAATCACTTAAATAATCTAGGTCTTTGATGTAATTTCTCAAAATATCATCATCGGGATTCTTCACAATTAGTTTTTGTAATAATTTCTCAATCTTTGTGACCATTATATCTGAAAATTTTTCTAAATCTTCAGGTTTTTTCAAGTATGGATTCATAAACAACCCAGTTCGCAGCTCATTGCCAAAAATACTCAAATTCGGTATGTTTGCTAGTCCACTCAAGTAGTCCTTGTTTTTGGAAAAGGACAGCCAGCATTGTTCATTATCAAAGATATTTTTCAATAGTTTGTAGGAACCATCTTTCTCAATGTCCTTCTGCACAGTTTTGTCAAAAGCCACAGCAGTTTTCAGAGGGTCTTTCGAGGCCAATTTGTAGTAGGGCCTCCAGAAGTCAGTTCCCAAGACGTTTCTATCATTTTTGCTTCCAAGTCTTTGTACCAAAGAGCTTCCCCAGCATTGAGTAAAGCTGAAGAAGGGTCGCGACACAGTCGACAATGACCTGGCCTGGCTGGAGATTCTCACCAAGCTGGCGATGGGGGAGCCCACAACATCAAAGCTTCTCACAGACAAAGCAGTTAGTCTCATTGTGGCAGCAAAATCACAGCAGCACTCGTCTCTTTCCCAACTGCTGCTCAACTTCTGCTCTTCTCCAGGCCTTCTCCTCTCCAGCACAAACAGCTCTGGCTTCAGATCTACCACGACAGCTGGATGTTGGATGAGAAGCTTATGCTTACGTCAGCACATCCAGCATTACATCAGCAGCTCCGGTTTCTCTGGGTTTGGAGCTGAAAAATTGAAGAGTGCTTTGAAGGACAAGAGCAAGAGCTCAAGAACCATCAAACACTCAAACCCTCGACATATCTTTGATCACTAAGCTGGTACTGGCTGGTACGATATTTATTTGCTGTTCTGGTTGGTCTGCTATCTCTTTGCAATTGTTGGAACATGGCTGCTTGTTTTGCTTCTGCTGTAAGGTCTTCCATCGTCCCTAGAGCCACTTCTCGGGGTTTTAATTCGAGCATACACAACTACAGATTTGCCAACAATATTGTGAGAAATAACCCACAGGTTCGTAATATTGCGAGTTTTTTCAGAAATGCTTTGGGCTTGGATCCTCCTGCTTCTCCTGACGACCCAACTACCGAAAATCGTTTCCATCCCTGGGACTCCTCACCTTCTGCCGAACTTAGAACCAGAGCTGCCACAATCAAGGCTAATGCTAAGTGCCCTGTGAGCCATAAGGATATTCAATACACTTGCCCAATCTCTGGTATTCCAACCCATCATTCGAAAGAAGACTGGGAAAATGATCTCGAATACCATCAATCCAAAAGATACGAACTTCTCAAAAAAGTTAACATTTATGAACATGACTTGAGGTCTGGTCGTCCATTCCCTGAATTCGAGTTTCCTGAAGAACAAGAATCCGATATGTTGGTCAATTTCCTAAACTGGGATACTTTTTTTTATACAAGATTATTCTATTCCATGGATACTGAATTCAATTTGGCTGCTGCAACAAAAATTCTAAGTTATCCCATAACAATTGCATCAGTTTTGCACGAATATTCTCCTTATTTCTTGAAACCAAAGGGTCCACTCACTTTAGAAGGTTTAAAATCAATAGCCGCATTAAGATATACTTTATATCCAGACGAAACATCAACTTTCAGAGACAGACCTTTAAGAATTTTTGTCTTGGGTGCAAGAGCAGAATCACAATTACCTGCTCATATTTGGAAACAATTAAGTTACTTGTTCCCATATGTACCATTGGAATTACATTTTGTTGGTCCTGAATGTTTATTTGATCCGGAAAAGAATCTTTATATTCAATCCGATACACCTGTTGTTAAAAGAGTTGATGAAGATTTTGCTTTAGTTCATCATACTAATTTTTTTCATGTCTATCACAAATCTCAAGATTTCTTGCCTTACGATCCTTATTTAGACGTCTTTTTCCTTTTCCATCCTGGTTTAGGAGCCCCAGAGACTAATGGCCAATGGGATGAAACAATAAAGGGTTTATTAGAATCAAAATGTGCCATATTTACAACTGGTTATAATGAGTTTGATACAAATAGAGATATAAATTGGCTATTAAGCAATTATAACAAAGATTTAGATATCTTATTCGAAAAGACCAATAACATTTTTGGTTCAACTAAATGGGAACTTAATGATTCAAATCCCCATGAACTTTATCAGTTTAACCAACAATTATTTGGTTTCAGAGGTAAACGTTATCATGCAATCAAAAAATAATAATTCTTTAAAATTTAAAGTAAAATCAATTAGGAATAACTTTTAATAAAATTACAATTTAATTTAATTTGTTCAATTTTTTTTTAACTCTTATTTTTTTTTTCTTAATTTTATTTTGTATTTTTTTTGTTTTTTTTTGTTTTGTTTTGATTTCAATTATTACACACATTATTTTTTCTTTTTCTTTTCAATTTCCATTTTACTTTTTATTTTTTTAATACTTCTATAAGTCTGTTACCTTCATGAGTTGAGTTTTGCTTTATTAATTTTGTTTTTCTTAATTGGTATACTAATTGGCATAAAGATAGAAAACAACAAGAAGAAAAAATGGCAAGAGAAAGATATATCTATTATTAATCTGTTCATAAAAACGTTAAACTATAAATCTTGCGGCAAAGCATAAATATTTCAAAATTTTGTACATATTTACAATATATCATTCTAATAAATATTTTGTTATTAACCGATAAAACAAATCCGAAAATAGATTTATATAAAATTGTAATACCAAGTATCAATTAAATTTAGTTTAATTTAATCACTTATTCTTATTCTTATTCTTATTCTTATTCTTATTTTCAAATAAAATAAAATTATTGCTTAGATTCAAAAAATTCTTTGATATTATTAATCATATCATTTTTTTTGGTTGCTGGTTCAATAAAGCCTCTATTCTTCATTATAAATTTTCGAAGCTGCAGGACTTTAAAATCACTAAGTCTATTTTGTTGCCATGCAGCCATTACATCTTTATTCGTTAAATCATATTCAACTGCGATTTTAGCAGATTTAATTGGCTTTTCAATGTTTTCTTTCATGTCATTAACTGCTGCAAAACCATTAATTCTTGTATTCCATATTTGAATTAATAAAGCTACATTGCTCTCAATATCTTCATCAGTCATTTGTTTCATTTCATCTTGACTTGGAATCGATGAAACAATGAGTTCCCTAATCTTACTAACTCTTTCTAACGTTTTATCAAAATTACTTAATAAGTTTTTCCGTTTTTCATAGTCCTCAATTTCCCAAGCTTTAGATACATCACTATCAGGATCAATTTCAGTTTGTAACACTTCATCTCTTAAAACCTTATAATGCCATAAAAGTGAAGGATTACTAAAATCATTTGGTTTATATGCATTCCACAATTCAAACCGACCCAATATACCTTTTGTTAATGCCAATAAATTCTCATCAACTTCAACTGACATGACATGTTCTGGAATCCTTCGAATGCAATCTTTAAATGGCAAAGGCATTAAAAATAATCCTTCGGGAAAATATAGACCTTCTTTTCTTTTCACTTGTTTGTTTCTTTTGTTCAAACGAATCTTTTCAAATTCATAATTCTTCGAAGGAATCAAAGCAAATAAAGCGGGTGAGGAATTTTTCTTCAAATAACCCCAGATAATTGCAGCTCTTTTGGTTTTTATCATTGATTGATAAAGTGAACTAAAAGCTCTAAATGAATTGGTGAAACTACCTTCTGGGTTAGGCGCAATAAAAGATGATTTTCCAAAATTGTATTGTGGATTAAATGCATCTTGTATTTTTTTAAATCCAATAATTCTTAACCATGGTTTGGAATATTTTATATGGTTTTCATCATTGCTGTCACCTTTATTATTTTTATTATTTTTATTATTTTCATTACTTTCATTTTCAAAATTTTCAAAATTATTTATTTTTTCCAATTGATTTTTATTTAAGATTATTAATTCCTCGCCAAATTTATAACATTTCACAATACAACTTGTTTTATTTATTTCTTTACCACTTATTTGATCGATATACTTGAAGGAATTATTAACTTTTTTCAAAATTTGGCTTTTTGAATAAAAATTTTCAGGCTTTTTTGGGGCTTCACGACTGTACAACCCAAAACCCTTCACTGAAATTATTAGATTTGGACCAATTTCAAGTGGACATTGAAAAAGAACTCTTTTAACTTCTTTTTTCCTCAAAACTTTGGATTTAATATCATTTGAAGCAGTGTGCTTTGTATTGGGAGCATCGAATATAAAATTATTAAATCTCTTTGATTCATCTTTTTTCTTTGAAATAGAAAAGGGATCTTTAGTATGTTTGATAAATAAAATTTCATTATATAAGTTTGGGTTAAATGCTTTTTCTTTGCTTCCAATAAAAAAGTTAACAATATTGATATATTCACTATTTAAATCCAATTTAATTGTTCTTATTTTTCTTTTTAAACTTTGGCCATTTTCGGAATTTGGATCAAAAGGTTTATCGTTATCAGTGAAGAAAAATATTTTTTTATTATTATATTTTCTACTTTTAGTATTCATAAATTCGGAATTCATTTGAGCAAACACTTCATTTAATCCAGTTTTTTTGGATTCAAATTCTTTCTCATTAGAGTATTTTATTAATGGAAATAGTTTATACAATGGGTCATTTAAAAGGTCGGGATTTTCCAGATCAAAAATATTATCGTCACCATTATTATTGGATTGAATTGGGGTATCTTCTAGAATATCGTGAAGTTTTTTTATATTTTTTACTGATAAATCACTCAACGAAAATAAAGAGTAAATACCATTTCTCTTATTATCGCTGGTTTTAGAGCAGTTGAAAAAGTAGCAACCAACACCAGTTCCTTTCATAGTAATGGCTAAGTTTTCCATTAAGATATCCAATGCTTCTAAAATTTCACGTAGCTGAGACTTTCCATTGAGTTCTTTTCTACTTGTATACATTGATTGTGATAATTCAATGCAGAATATTATTCCTTCACGAATTTCATATTGCTAGAGGATGAGAAAAATAGTTAGTGAAAGTAGATGAGCGCAAACAACACACACAACACTCACATTTCTGAAAACAACAGCATTGTCATTAGCATTTGTTTGGGTAGACATCGTTAGTCCTGAGACTGGTTGATACAAAATCTCAGAGCTGATAAGAAATCATTTATTCAAGTGATTTTTGTGCTTTGAAAAGGAACGTCGATTTGGTTTCGCTTTAAAGTTTGTAGCCGCAGAAGAAGGCGTGGAACCGCAGAAGAAGGCGTGGAACCGCAGAAGCAGCAGAAGAAGCAGATAAAACACTAAAACATAACTCCAGATTGCGAATATAATTATCAATTAGAAAATAGAAATACAAAAACACATCCTATAGAATATTGCATAAAACTGTGCGACAAAAAAAAATATAGTCAAGTTAACTTTCACCAAAACTGATTATCTTTGGGAGGAAAATTCATCATATTGTTGTAGAATCGTCTGGTGTTTTCTCCAGGTGTAAAACTATTCTGGGGAGGAATATTTGGCTGCGATAGTATTGGAGTACCATTAGGCGTGAGATCCAAGGGTGTCATGTTAATTGCATTTGGAAAACTCATATTGTTCGTGCTTGCTCCACCTGAATTGAAATTTTCCACGTTATTATTCAAATTATTGTTGAAATTATTCATATTGCGGTTGAAATTGTTGGTCATATTACTCCCATTATTAATCAAGTTAGTATTATCAAATCCACCAGCATTGCTTAGTTGGTTCACATGTTGAAATCCGTTATTATTAGAAATGTTATAACCCAAATTGCTGTTTGTGTTATTAAAATTATTATCGTTGATATTGCTATTGTTATCATCGAGACCCGTAAAATTTGCGTATGAATTATTAAAGCTTAATGCTCTGCGTGAATTTATGTCTCTTTCTCTAAAATCAGAGGTGGATTCAAAGTTCTCAGAGTACTGTTCATCATTGTTTCTCGGTGTTCCACTAGAACTGTTGGTTTTCATTGGCACTGGACTAAAATCAAACACTTCTTCCCAATGAGACTGTACTTGTTTATAGATTGGCTGGCCTCCAAATGGATTATTAACATCATTGCTATTTTGAAATAAACCACTAATAGAAGATGGGCTTAATGCTTCCCCATTGTTACCTCCATTATTAGCCCCAGTATTTCCATCATTCATTAATTGTTGGAAGTACTTATCATCAAAATCAACGTTTGATAAGGTAACATTAAAGAAATCGTCCATTTGATTTTCCATAAAAATATCTTTTAACATGTTGTCAAAATTTTCAATTGAATTTCTGTGCTGAGCAGGTTCAAAAATAGGAACCCTTTGATTGGTTTGTCTAATGTTATTAGAAATGTTTTCATTTAAAAAACTCCTTTGTCCATTAATTTGATTAGGATTTTTTGCATGCTGTTTATCAAACAAAGATTTTACAACAGGAGTTTCCAATTGAGGATTAGGATTCATCTCATTACTCTTAGCTATACTGTTATTTTCCTCATTAAAATCGCTAGCAAATAAGCTATTACCGGAATTGAAATCTTTAGAATTATTGGAATCTATAGTTTTTAAACCAGAAATTGGATTGCTATATGGTGAATTATCAATTGTTAATGAATTTTGAGAAGATGCTAAAGAAATAGTTGTGACAGGACTAATAAAATTTAATGGATCAACCAACTTTTGTGTATTAGATAAAGTTAAAGAAAAGTTATCCTTTGAATTACTATTTTTAATATCCACAAAATTTGGTTTTAAACTTTCAACGGCTTTTTCCTTTCCCAACTCCTTCAAAAGTATAACCAAAGAATTATTAGTAACAGTCGTTGTGATAGAATCAGACTGGTTGTTAACATCAAGAAAATTATTTAAAGAACTGTAATCACACATGCTCATAAAATTGTTATCTGAGATAATTTTTAACCAAGACTTAATTTTTATCAAAATTAAGAAAAATTTATTAAAAATGATTGAAGTTTGAGAATATTGCTTATATTTATAATAAAAACTGTTAAATGTTTCAATTAAATTAAAATCAATCTTTTTAATCTGTTTGATATTATCAGTATTATTATGTGCATGTGAATGTTGTATAATCAATTGTATTAAAACTTTTGCTTTTAACAAACAAATAAAAGCATTCATTGGTCTGTAATTAAAAAACGTAGGAATATGTAATGTTTGCTGGCAAGTAACTAAAAATAAAGAGATTAAATTTTTGCTTGAATTTATTAATTTTTTCAATATCAAAAGATAAAAATCATAAATTTTCAAATATTCATGACTTTCTAAATTAGTACGAGAACTATCACCAACATCATTAATATCGTTATCTGTATTATCATTAAAAAATAATGTTGAGGTTAAGATTTTGCAAATAATATGGTCATACATTGTCATAAGAATATAATTATAAGTAATACCAACCAAATAACTTTCCTTTGCAGTTGAAGAATTATCAGTTAATCTATAATCATACATCAACCGTAGTAATTTATTTTCAAAGCCTGATACAACAATCTTGAGATCAGTTTGAGTAATTTGATCAGATTTATTGTTAAAAGATTTAGAAAATTTTTCAAAATGTTCATCAATTTGTTTGTCATTTACTTTCTTATTATTAGGTTCATTATTTGTAGTATAATATTGATCAATATTTTTATTATCCTTTGAATCATTTTTAAAAAAAAGGGAGTAGCTATTTGAAAAAAATAATTGCATTTCTTGACCGATTGATAATAATCTAGATAAATAACTTAAATAAATATCAGATCTCTGAGTGTCTTTTGGATCATTATTTTGGTTATTCAAATCACTTATCAAGGCTAAAGAGCAATTTTCGTGAATTATGCTCCATGAAACCAATTTAAATTTGGGTAAAGCTAATTCTAAAGAAGCACCGCAGCAATAAGTAGCAAGAAAGGATCTTATTAATTTTTTTTCATCATTTGATAAAGGGATATTTCTTGATAAGCTATTATTAACAAACTCGCCAGATTTTGTTTTCAAGTCCAAGACTAAAGATAAACTAAAGCCTAATAGTAAATCTAGTTGGTGTTTAAAAGAGCCCCATTTTTTAGGAGGAGAATTCCAAATACAAAGAATTAAATAGCAAGATATTATATCAATTAAAATATCACCAGTTATACAAACTCTTTGAGACAAATTTTTTTCCAAGTAATATGATAATTTATCGTGTAGCTCCACATCATTTTTATTTAAACAAGTTGCAATGATACATGCCAATAGTAAGAGAGGTTTATTTTTTATCATGTAATCAAAAGAATAATGTAGGGGGATTTTAAGTATAGGCCAATAAGGTAATAAGTTCGATTTAAAAAAATTAAATTTTGATATTGCGGTTTGATAAGTTAAGAATTTTAGTCTAATTAATTCTTCTAATAAATTTCTTTCATAGGGAATTGGAGGCAATTTGGATATAATATGAACTGGACCTTCTTTTAAACTTGAATAGGATGATGATCTGTTTAAGTATTGGGAAGAAATTGATTGTGTGGGATTAATGTTTAGATTTGAGGGATTTGAGGTTGATAATGAGTATTTTTGGTTATAAAGAGCTGTTTTTTCTTCAATTATATTTGATAAAGTTAACTGTAATTCTAACAATTGGTTTTGAGATGCATATAGTTTATCAATGTCATTTTTAATTGAGTTTAAAGATTGTCTATTGTCTTTGTTAATAGAATTAGTGGTATCAGTGTTATTATTATCATTATTATTATTAGTATTATTCGTTTTATCATTATTTGTAATGGAAGAAGAAGAATTAGTTGAAGAGGTTGTTTTTTTCAAGTAGTCAACGGATTGGAATAATTGTTCTATTGCATCGTCAATTGACATTATTGGGTTTATATTAGAAGAATTTGCAGATAATTTTTTGCTTTTCAAATTAGTTTTTTGTTTTTTTCTTGGTCTCGTTGTTTTGAATTTTGAGGTTGGATCATGATACAAAGAGCACTCAACACCAGCAGAAAAACATCTTTTGCATGAAGTATAACTTGGGTCATCATAAGCACATCTCATTTTTAATCGGTGGCACCTTGCACAGGCTCTAACCTGTCTCCATTTGTTAGCAAAGTCCGTAGTATTTAAGGAAGCTTGTTTTGTTGCTGGTTTAGTAGGATCATTATTATTATTACTATTATTATTACTATTATTATTATTATCATTATTTTCATCTTTACTGGAGATGATTTGAGTTTGAGTTTGAGGTTTTTGAGGTTGGTGTGTATCGTTTTCCTTTGAATTCACCATTATAGAAGGAGAGTTATCAGGATTTATATCTAAATTTGAGCTCATTTTATTGAGTGCTGAGATATAAAAGAATTAGGAATGATCTATTTGGGTTTTAAATTTTGATTGAAAATGATAATATAATATAATATATTGTAAAATAAACCCAATAAATAACTAAATGAATGATATAAATTTTATTTTTTGGTTTGAGTTATGATAACTTTAATAGGATTCTTTTTTTTTTTTGTATTGAATCCCTCTCTGTCTGAAGATTGTTGCAGGTCAGTTCAGTTGAGATGATTAACTACGATATAATCATTCTCTAATTGAAAACGAGCAAGGTAAAACAGTGAAAAAGAGTTTTATTGATACTTCGATAGAGATAAAAGTGAATAAAACAGACAGATTAAAATTTCAGACAAGATATAAACTGATTTTGTCCTTGTGAGCTTGCAGCTTTTGATTTGTTGATTTGGCTGTTTTCATGGGTACTGATAATGCATGACAGGGTATGTGTATGCACACAGCGGTGGTTTCTGCATGCATTTATTTCGCCGTTATGGTGGATTTGATGGATTTGGTGGATTTGGTGGATTTGGGCGATGCGAGGAGGTGGTTGTGATGTAGAAGAGTGATGGTAGAATGGCATAGTTGCTGTTGAAGGCTGAGAAGCACGACGCAAAATATCAGAACAATAGGTGCGATTTGGCGAGATTGAAGCAGAACTGTGGAAAAATGCAAAAGAAGTCAAATATCAGTGGGCATGATAAACCTGCTCGAATCGCTTCTGAGATGAGATGGGAAAGGAAATGTGAGATAACCAACGAGCATTTGTTCAATGGCTTCTTTGGATACAATTATCGAAGTGCATCTGTATGTCGATGAGGAATTGATTGTGGTGGCAGATGATAGAGATTAGGAAGCATATTGTGCTGAAAAACCATCGGCAATTGGCCAATCAGAAATGAGGAGTTTATAATAAAGAATATGCCATTAGTTCGTGGTTTTTCGTATTGAGGAATTAGTGAGCAGTAAGTGGGTAAGTGGGTAAGATGATAGTCTACAAAGATTTATTGAAAATATATAGTAGGTTTATAGATTATAAATTAGAGAAACAGGGGAGGTAAAGTCAAAAATCAAAAAAACAGGTTCATAGATTGCAATTACATTATACGATCGTATTTATTTAGTTAGCTTTGTTGAAATATTCTTTGGAGTCAGCAACGTCTGGTTTGATGGTTAATTCACCTGGGGTCCAGTTAGCTGGACAGACTTCACCGTATTTTTCAGTGAATTGGAAAGCTTCCAATAATCTTAAAGATTCATCAACATTTCTACCAACTGGTAAGTCATTGATAGTGATTTGTCTTAAGATACCTCTTGGGTCAATTAAGAAAATACCTCTTAAAGCAACACCTTCTTCTGGAATCAAAACACCGTAATCTTTGGATAAGGAGTGATTGGTGTCAGCAACTAATGGAATGTTGATTGGACCTAAACCACCATCTTTTCTGGCAACATTAGTCCAGGCTAATAAAGAGTATTCAGAATCAGTGGAAGCAAATAAAACCTGGCAGTCTTTTTCAGAAAACTTCTTAACAGCTTCAGAGTAAGCAATGATTTCAGTTGGACAAACAAAAGTGAAGGCCAATGGGATGAAAGCCAATAAAACCCATTTACCTTTGTATTGATCTAAAGAAACAGTTTCAAATAAACCGTCAACAACAGCGGTTTTAGAGAAAGTTGGAGCTGGTTTTTGGACGTAAGCAGACATGTTGATAAGAAGTAATTAAAATGGTTAGAGATTAGGATAACTGAAGAAGAATTGATGAGGACAATTGGATGAGGAATAAAAACATCAGACGAAAAATCAGAGCAACTTCCCCGGCTTATATACTTGCACAGAACTTCAAGGATGATTCCAGCAGACGGGTAACGACTCCCCTCTAGATCTCGGCCTCTTACTAATGAGCGGTCTATTATTAATACCGGAGCCAGGCCGTTCTGCGATCCACACTCCTTGCTCATCACGCTCCTCGTTTCTTGCCCCACGTCTCTCCTGCGTTTTCTTTCAAGAGCTTTGCGCGGGTCTAACGCGCTACACGCGTGTAAATGCTTAGCATCACTGCCTGGGCTGCAGGAGGAAAATTTCTTCTTTTGGCAACACTGTTTTCTACCATTGCTTCACTAAATGTTCAAGAAACAAATAGCAGCTCCTTGTCATTTATGTTTAAGAGTAAGTCAGTTTTACTTCTTTGATTTTGTTTTTGTTACGTGAAAGTTTATGCTGTTTTTTGATTAAATGTAATGCTTTAATATGCCAAACTTTTTACTTTATAATTGATAGAAGGTCTTGTTTATTATTATTTACTAATCAATAATTATTTTAAATGCAATAAATATGTTGTTTTTTTTAGTTTTTATTTAATTTTTTTTGGTTCTTTTTGAATAACATAACCTGTTTTACTTTTCCTTTGAATTACGGCTTTTTTTTTTGATCGTTTTCCGGTTCGGACCAGTCCGGGATCTACTTTTGTTTTTCAGACGTAATCACTCAATGAAATTGAATTCAAAAGAAATAGCGATAAATCTACTCTTCAGGTATTCATCGAATTTTATTGTTCATTAGGAAAATAAACTAAATTAGAGAGGATGAAAAGAATGACAAACAAAGGAATAGTTTATTTTTCCAAGTTTCCAGTCACTTCTCAAGTGTTTTATAGATCAAATTACTCTTTTGCTTTGGTTAACTTGAAGCCAATAGTTCCTGGCCATGTTTTAGTTTGTCCATTAAGAGTGGTTGCAAGATTAAAAGAGTTGACTAGTGAAGAATCCGTTGATTTCATATTAACTGTCCAAAAAATTCACGAATTCATTGAAAAGATGTATAAAGCTGATGCGTTGAATATATCAATTCAAGATGGTCCTTCTGCTGGTCAAAGCGTTCCTCATTTACATGCCCATATAATTCCTAGATATAAAAAAGACGAATATGGTGATGGAATTTATGATAAATTAGACCAGTTTAATTTCGAATTATCTGATATACTAATTGAACACCAAAAAATAAAAATAGCAAAAGAAAAAAATTATGATCCAAACGAATATAAAAGAAAACAAATGGTAGTGTCCCCAGATATCGAAAGGAAACCAAGATCAATGGAAGTAATGGAAAATGAAGCCAAATGGTTAGAAAACGAATTGAGGAAATTCAAACTGGTTCAGGTAAACTTATAAATTAATAAATTAAATATACCACTTAAATATCATAGTATTTAGAATATAAATATAGAATTTAATTAATTAACAAAAATTAACAAAAATTAAAAATAATCAAATATATACTATAAATTTCCAAGTCACCATATTTTTGTTTTGTTTTTTATTCTTTTTTTTCTATTTTTATTTTTATTTTTATTTTTTATTTACAAGTTTTATTCAATTTAAAAAACAAACTTTTAAAACTTTACAATTTTAAGCTGACGTATTCATGCTTTCTTCGTATTTTTTTCTCAATTCAGCTCTCTTTTGATTCTTCAATCTACCTTCATGCTCTCTTCTGTTTCTCTCGCCACCATTCTTCTTTTTGCCTAATTTCAAATTCGCCAATTTAACCTTTCCCTTTGAAGAAATGAATTTATATCTCCAGTTTATAATGTATCTTCTAATATCGGTCTCAACACCTTTTTCTTTCATTTCTTCTGCAGACATTCTAAAAAACTCGTTCCACGATTCAAACGCCTCTTCGTTTTCAACAGTATTTCTACCAATCTTTTCCAAAAAAGTTTTCACATCTGGTATTTCTTTAGTAGGTTTGGGAATTGGATATATAAATCGCCCAACTGCTGTCAACGGATTGCTTTCGTCAAGAGCTGGTAGTCTTCGCAAGGCAGGACCTGTCGATACAAACAACCTTGCCTGGTTAATTATTCTCAACTTGTTCATTGTTCTACAGACTGTTGTTTTCCACTCTTCTGAGCTGCTTCAAACCACTCTTCAATTGATTGGCTTCACAAACACCAAAAAAACAGCGCGGTTACCCGTTTCAGACTCCACGATATAATCGACCACAAAAAGACGAAATGAAAGGAAGTCATCGTCCATCGATGGTAGTTAGAGATATTGAACCATAGCAGATGGGCGACAAACTAGTATTGGATGAGTTGCAGTGGAGGAACCCTGAGTGGATTCAGATGTTTGGCATCAACACAGACAATGTGCTTGACTACTTTTCTCAGTCTCCATTCTATGACAGAACTTCCAACAACCAAGTATTGAAGATGCAGGCTCAATTTTCAGAAAACTTTTACAACAGGAATTTGTTATCTGAATTGAAAAAAATGACTGGAACTGAATTCATTGTTGCTCATGTCAAAGAGCCCGATTTTTGGATCATCAGAAAGCAAAATCGCTTGTCGATCAACGAAACTGTTCCAATTGCTGATTACTTTATAATTGGTGTCAATATTTACATGGCCCCTACAATCCATTCAATTGTCCAATCAAGACTATTGAATACTTGTTTGGCTTTGAGGAATTCCCTAGATTCAATAAGAAATTTGGCTTATTTCTCTCCCTCGCAGGGCCATGGATACATTGTTGATCCTAATATGGATTCCATAAATGAAAGCAATAACGCTACCAATGCTACCAACAATAACGCATCTCAAACCTCAACAATTCCCATTAATGATAGTTCTGTGAATTTGAGTCAGACACAAAAATCTAACACAGAGTCTCAATCTGCTATCGATGAATCTGTAATACAGGCCCAGCCCTCAGTAATATTTGATCAACTTATAAAAGTAACTTACAAAAATCAAAAACCATATTAAAACTACCAAAGAATTTCACCCAAAAAAAACTACATATTAAACTATTTTTTTCATTTATTTGTCATATATAGGGTATCAATATAACTAATTATAATATACCATCAAAACTCAAAACTCAAACTAACAACAAAATTTTACTTGATAAAAAAAAACTAAAAAACTAAAAAAACTAAAAAAAACTAAAAAAAAATTAAAACAAAAACTGTAACAATTACTAAACTTAAGTCTCCAAAAAAATATAAACAAGTATCAATCCACTAAAGTTCAAATAAAATCTCATAAGACTTAAAAAAAAAACATCTTAAAAAAATAACATATAATAGTTTATAACACATCTTTTATATTAATCAGTACGTGTGAATTTAAATTTGAAAACGTTCATATCATATCCACTATCATCCATTTTATGCTTGGTTTCAACACACCATCTCATAAACAAATGGAAAAGATAGAATAATGATCCTAATGCCCTGAATGCTGCCAATGCTGCAACAGACCAAAGAATGAATGCCAAATAGTTGTTACCACCATTAGTTCCAACTTGAAATACCTGTGTGATAATCATAACTAAGATCATATTACTAATTAACCAAAATAAGACTACCCTAGTTCTAATGTCTCTATAATAATCGGTTTCAGAAACCTGTTTTTCTTGAATTGTCTTAATTCCCCTAGGAGTTTGTCTTCTAGCTCTTAAGTTAAACAACGTTTCTTCATACCCAGTGTCAATATCTCCTCCAGTTCGGATATCTACTTCAACAATTTCTTGTCCAGACTCATCAACTTTAATAATAGCCGTACCTAAATCAGTAGCAACTTGATTATCACCTTTGGTACCCCACGAAACATCATGGGTATTGCAAAATGCATAGATTTGTAATGTGCAAGTGTAAAATGGTAACATGAGAAAGTATTGGAAAAACGAATTGAAAATGTGCCATGGGTCCAAATAAATAAATGACATTATTGCATAAAGCCCATATGTGGATAATAATGAAACAACAATATTAAGAGAAGCCTCTTTGTCTACATCATCTGAAGATCCTAAAGTGCTGAATATAAAATAGAAACCACAACCTGTTGCATACAATGCACATATAGTCAATAATATCATACTAAAAAGATAAAGATGTTTTGCACCTTGAGGTCTATTTCCCATTGATATAATGAATATGGCAGTCAAATCACAAATGCAAAAATACTTGAAAATGGTGAATAGCCAGTAACCACCATTGTTGGGAATAATATCACTATTAACCATAGAACCAGCCAAAAAGTAAAATGCAATATAAAAGTTTCCAAGAGAAAATAATGAAAAAATCAATTGGACAAATTGATAGAAAAATTCAATGTGAAGGAAAGTCTTTCTTAAAAACGAATGATCTGTTTGCCAAATTTGTCTGAAATGAATTTGAGAATAAAGAGCTGCAAATAAAGCACCATTAAGCCATCTTCTTCTTTGAGAAATAAATTCTGGAATATTATCCGGAACATCAGTTTCACCTTTTGCTTGTTTAACATATTTCAAAACCCATTTTTCGTTTTTTTTAGCAACTAATTCCCAACATAAAATACGATCTTCAGCCAAATACATGTTAGCAGAGAAAACGTCTCTACTTGATCCAGCTAAAGTTTCACCTTTAAAGTAAGAATATAAAGGACCAGTTCCATCATCATGATTTTTCAAAGCACAGTACCTATATGCTGACAATGCACCAGGTAAAACAGAAATATATCCAAACACAGATTCCAAGGGTTTATCCAAAATATTAGACATTTTATATTCAAAATTTTGTGAAGCAACAAGTGGATTTAACAAATTTAACCCACCTTTTTCCTTCATTGCAATAATTTCTCCTGCAGCACCGGCAACATTAGAATCATTATCAAAGGCTTTCCACAAATGATAAATTGCTGGAGCTTCAGGTCTTGTTCCAACATCCAACAAAACACACACATTTGGATCCAATAATGGACAGAATGCATTAAACAACCATCTATGAGAATTAATTTTCTTCTTGTTGTTTTCCTTAAGACAAAATAAAATTTGAACAGGAACTATACCTTTTTCAGCACCTTGGAATTTTAAATCTGTATCCATTGATACTTGGGTTGTGTACTCAAAGATATGGGCTTCTACGGCATCATTATTGATATGATCTTTGGCAATACCATCTTGATAGACACCAAGACCACCAAGAACTTCAAGCACCCCTGGGTGAATTTTGGCTCTTCCATCTGCAACAATAATAACTTGGACTTTTTTCCAACCATCTTCACCCCAAACTCTTGATCTATTTCTTTTACATAAATGAGCAATGTTTTTTAGAACAGCATGCATAGTTCTGGTAAATGCAATTTCATCTTCATTATAAAGAGTTATACAAATAGCGACCTGGGTTTCTCTACCTGCCTGTGATGCTCTTAAAGTAAAACCACTTTTAACAAAATCATCTGGATCAGTTGTGCATGCAGTGTATCTAACAAATAGAAATTCTTTATCGTCTCTTTTAGGCAAGAATGAGGCTAATTTTGTTGGAATTGGATTTTCAAGAACAAAAGTACCATTTTTCATTGGGATTTGTTTTCTGATTCTTGATTTTTTTCTTCTTGGTTGTTGTTGAAGAGGAATTGAGTGCATCATATTTTTATCAAGATTATTAGTTTCACCTGAATTTATAGATTGGACTCCATCAGTGCCAACGGTGTTATAATCATAGTCTCTTTGTTGATTTTGGTTTTGATTTCCAAAAGAGACTTCTGTCATGGCATCATAATCATTGTAGGGACTTTGGGCACCTTTTTCATAAAAGAAGTTTTTTTCACTTGAGTTTGGATGATTATAGGTATTATTTGAGTAGTTGGATTCACTTTTATCAAAAGAAAATCTATCACTAGAACCATGTGGAGTATGAGCAGAATTCAAATAATTTATCTTTTCACTAAATTGATTTTCATTTTCGCTAAAGGAATCTTGACTAAGTCTCTGGTTCATGTTTAAGTTTGGAACAGTTGAATCTTTTAGAGATCTAAAATTTTGTTGATCTTGGTTAGCTTTAACGAAAGTCGATGCTGAAAAGATTGGTTTTGGTGGAGGAAGAACTTTACTATTGGATAATCTTGAATATTGGGACCCAGTTCTACCCAAAGATTTCGTTGGAGAATCCAATTGGATCATATCATCATATTTTTCATCAAATTTATCATCTCCATCAAGATCAATGATAAAGGGTTTTTCTTTGGTTCCATTTGATTTTTTAAAACCGTTAAAAATTGATTGATTTTCATCTTCCTCAATAATAACACTTGCTTGTCTGGTTCTTTTTGGTGATTCTAATCTTGTCCATTGAGATCTAGGAGTTGTGGACAGTAAACTGTCGGAGTTTAAATTATTAAGACCAATTGTATCACTAAAATTTGAGTTGGCAGTTGATGCACCAAATATGCTTGGAGAAGATTGTAGAATGCTTTTATTCTCAAGATTTTGTTTTGAACGTCTGTTGAAAGATACTGAAGGAGAGAATTTTTTAGTTGGGGAAGGTGGTCCACTAGTGCTTTCCCTTGGGAAAGCATTAAATGACATATCATCAGACATGACACTTTCATTGTTTTTCTTTGGAGAGGTATTGATGACTGATCGTTCTGGTTTTCTAATCAATGGGGATACTGAGTATTTGTTTGAAGAACGAAAAGGACTTATGGAATTATCATCATCAAAAGGATTTGACATTTCTAAAAAGTTGCGAGATCAGTTTTCATCAATTGTTTATAAAAAAACTTAAGTAGATTTTTGTTTAGTAGAAAGTAAGATAAGCGAGATCGAAGGATATTGAACAATAATAAATGCTCGTGAATGATATCAAAAAGATTAAGCAATAAAAAAAGGATGTGACTAGATTTAAAAGAATCAAAAAAAGAAATGTAAATGCTTTTTAGGTCTCAAAAAAAGAACAATTAAAGGAACTAGCAGTTAGTTTTATATCAATTCTAGTTTATTGGAAAGATCTAGCAAGAGATTCAAAAATATTTCAAATTTCCCAAAAAGGCAAAAGGTAAATAACCAATTTGGGATCATCGCACCATTTCGACCTGGAAAGTGAATCAAACTCCACCTCGAAAACGGGCCTGTACTGGGAAGAGTGTTCGGGTTTTGAAGGGAAGTTAAACACAAACTCTTTTTGGTTCTGCAGATATACCATTTAAAGAAGGGGTAGTGATCAGGTGAACCCGCAAATTGCAGCACTTCTCTACCATCAACTTGTGGAAATATTTTAAAGGCGATTTGGTCAGAAATCAAATGTATGGAGCTCTGGAAAAGATGGATGTGAGTTGTGAAAAAGGGCTTAAAGGTAACCATAGATTTGACCAATTTTATCACAATTAACCAGTTTTGTCGTTATTGGCTATTTGGTAGATACACTAGCAAACCTTAAAGTGCTGTATTTTATTTCGAGAAATAGTTTTTGTAGTGGGCATTTTCTGGATAACAGTCAAAATCGCTGGAAAGCCAGTGGAAAGGGTCTCATGCAACACATTATTTGTTTGAGACACGCATATAGATGCAAATATACTGCATTTATCACGTGAGTCAGGGTAATAACAACACGTGAACTGCTAAGCATTTTTTGTTGCATGTGGCTGTGCATTGTGGTTGATGACCTTCATCCACGTGCAATAATAGAATCAATTCCTTTTGAATAATAACGGTCGAAAAGAAATACTTCAAAAAGTATTTAAGCTTCCTTTCATCACATCAAAAAATGATTTTTTACATCTATAAGTTTATTGGAAACAATTCATAGTAGATTTATATCTTTCACGTTTGGGAGTGAAAAAACCGAGTTTTTTTATCAATCTGAACCTGAAAAATCTGATTTACGCAGTTCGAAATGGCTACCAACATAACATGGCATGGAAACATCACTCATGAAGAGAGAAAAGTTTTGGCAAAACAGAGTGGTTTAACTATTTGGTTGACTGGTCTTAGTGGTTCGGGGAAAAGTTCCATTGCTTGTCTTCTTGAGGAACACCTTTTAAAGAGAGGTTACAACAGTTATAGATTGGATGGTGACAATATTAGGTTTGGTCTTAACAGTGATTTAGGTTTCAGTGATGATGATAGAAATGAAAATATTCGCAGAATTTCCTATGTTTCAAAGTTATTCAACGATTCTTGCACTTTTATTATAGTTTCATTTATATCACCATTTAAAAAGGAAAGAGAAAATGCCAGAAAAATCCATGAAGCTGACAATTTGCCATTTATTGAAGCCTATGTTGACGCTCCTTTAGAAGTTGTTGAGGCTAGAGATCCAAAAGGATTATACAAAAAAGCCAGACAAGGTATTATAAAAGAATTCACCGGTATATCTTCACCTTATGAAGCTCCAGAAGACCCGGAAATTCATTTAAAAAACTATGATTCTCCAATTGAAAAATCTGTTGAACAAATAGTCAAGTACCTTGAAGAAAATAACTATATTAAATAGAAGTGGTTGATATGTGTTTTTTTGTTTTTTTCTTGCTTTTAATTTTTCATTATTTTTCTATAAATTTCATGAACTCGTAACTTGTTTTTTTATTTTATTTCATTTCATTTCATCTTATTTTGTTTTATTTTTAATATTAAGCTGATAATTCAGGAATATTTTATTTTATTTTATTTTATTATTATACTTAATATAACATAAATGTAACTGTTGGATGATAATAAAAGGAACAACTCCAATATGATTTTCTAATCTTATTATCTGATGATTTGTCATTTAAAAATTTTAAAGTCTCTTCTGGAATTTTTATTGTATCAAACTTGATTTCCAATCCGTAGTTGTTTAAATCAAGTTCAACCACTTTCTTGTAAACATCATAGCATACTTCTCTATCTGCACCCAATCCATTAAAAAACGAAAAATTTCCCTCTGGCTTTAATAAACCAACAATTAAATCAAATAGTTCCAACATATCCTCATAATGCTCCGAATATGTATCATAATAAATTCCATTGAAAAATACGTTTTGAGATAATAATTTTGGCAATTCAGTTTGCCATCTCCCCTTTAATATTTTGATATTGGAAATTTGGTCTAATTTTCGATTTTCAATTTCCTTTAAAACATCAGGATGTGCTTCACATATAAAATGAGTGAATTTAAAACCTTTGGGTAATGATTTTCCTTTTTTTTCAATAATAGAGTCAATAATACCCATACCATAGCCAATGTTTAAAACATTAATTTCTTTGGTTTCATCTTCCTGGTAATTTTGAAATAAGGAATCACATCCTGCTTGCATTAAATTTTCTTCCCATCTCATCATAACACCATCATTTCCTTCTTTGGTTAATAGAGAGTTATCTTTGTATTCGAGTTTGGATTTTAAAAAGGCCTCTTGATTATAAGATGGATCGGCTTTATCGTCTTCAATAAGATCTTCATTTGTTTTTAAAATTTTGATATTTTTCTCAACTATTTGTGGATTATTATCTGTTTTTTCATCTTCAATGGAATCAACTCTGTTCTCTATTATTTCGCTTTCTGCTGGTTCATTTTCCTTAACCAGTTCATCCGTTTTATCTTCAACAAACTCAAAATCAGAAGCGTCTTCGATTTTTCTCAATAATATTTCTGCTCTCACTCCAGCATCCACAATCTTTGAATAGAATTCAGAATCTTTAAGCCCTCTACTCACCAATATACATCCAGGAGTTTGGTTATTCCTATCGGTTAAACACCAACCAGCACCCCAAAATAACAATTCGTCAATCATTTCCAAAACCACATTTCTTTCAGATTCAGAAACATCTTTTGGTATATTTGAGCAAATCAAATGCAATGGAGTGGTTGCAGAGGTCACTTCAGCGTTTTCAATATTCTTCTCATAGTTGGCAACATCTTCCAAGGTATACGTCGCTGGAATTCCAGACTTCAAATAATGCTTGAGTGGTGAAAGATATATATCTCTAGTAACTGGTCTCTCTTCGAAATAACATAGTTCATGTAAATCTGACATTTTTGCCCACTTTCTTTACTGGTAATAACATTTCTTTATCAATAGCAAGAATATTTCTTCATCAAAAACCTGGTTGAAAAAAAAAAAGAAAAACCAGCTGTGTGGGACCAAGTGCTCAGCTTCTACTCAGCCCAACGTTTAAACCAAAACTGCTTTCAAAATCTCGATAATTCGAGTGTTACTGGATTATTTGCTTGAATTCAATCCCACTGACGTAATATCCATTTCTCTGAACAAAACTTGAGGTGTAACTTACCAGTTTGTGTGAATTAAATTAATCGCTTTTGAAGCCCGCAAAGCTGGATTTTGAAATTTTTAAGCTTTGAAATTTTCAAGAAAAAAAACCTGAATCAGAAAAAAATCAGAAAATAATCAGAACATAATCATTAAAAGGAAAGCATTTCTACTGCACGAAGCTCGGTATCTTTAAGTTTTATTTTATCATGGCTAGGCCACAGAAGAACGGAAAGAAAAATTTTGTAACACAATCATTAGACAGCAAGATATCAAAGTTGGTCCATGATCTATTGAACGAAAGACCTGGAAGGTCAGTGAGAGATATCACAGTCTTTGAAACCTTGAAGTATGTTCAATCTCACGATCTCTCCTTGCAAAGAATGAAGAAAATTTTGTTGGAAAAATCAATTCAAAAAGCTTTGGTGCTAATCGAAGCTGATGAAATTGAAAATGGTTATGCTTCAAACAATAGTGTCGTGGAGATTCAAAACCGTACTGATTTGGTTGAGGTAGAAGATAGTAATGCAATGAATAACACTGTTGTGAATCTTTGGAATATTAAACCTGCTTCAAAAGCTGCTACTGCAAATGAGTCACTGAATTCAGTAACAGAATCACCTAAAAAGAAGTACAGCACTGTTGCACAAGAGGCAGTGATAAAAAACGAAGCAAAAGAAAACAAAGAAAGAACAAGAAAAAGAACTAAAGAACCTTCAATCTCGGGTCTAAATAAAAGACAAAAAGGTATGTTTTTATTTTTTCTACTGTGTTATTATTTGTGCAATTAGCTAACTAAAATCTAAAGTAGACAAAGACAGGTCTCCTCCAAATGCCTCATTATCTCAGTTAGGTGGAATGGATGAGATAATCACAGATTTATTGGAAGTAATTGGTATACCCATATTGCATCCAGAAATTTATTTATCAACAGGCGTTGAGCCCCCAAGGGGAGTTTTGCTTCATGGGCCTCCAGGTTGTGGTAAGACAACCATTGCCAACTGTCTAGCTGGGGATTTAAAAGTCCCATTTTTATCTGTGTCTGCTCCTTCTATAGTTAGTGGGATGTCAGGAGAAAGTGAAAAGAAAATAAGAGAATTGTTCGAAGAGGCTAGATCGTTAGCTCCCTGCTTGATATTTTTAGACGAAATTGATTCAATCACCCCCAAAAGAGATGGTGCTCAAAGAGAAATGGAGAAGAGAATAGTGGCTCAGTTGTTGACCTGTATTGATGAGCTATCTATGGAGAAAACAAATAATAAGCCTGTTATAATAATTGCTGCTACCAATCGTCCTGACGCTATCGATCCAGCACTAAGGCGAGCAGGTAGATTTGATAGAGAAATTTGTTTAAACGTTCCTAGTGAAGAGTCTCGGGGTTATATATTAAAATCTATAACTAAAAACTTGAAAATAAGTGGTGATTTTGATTACAAAAAACTCGCCAAAATGACTCCAGGATATGTTGGTGCAGATTTAAAAGCATTAGCTACTGCTGCCGGTTTAGCTGCTATCAAAAGGATTTTTTGTTCTTTAAGTGCAGCACAAAATGAAACAGAATCTAAAATTGAAGATGTTGAAATCATGGATATAGATGATATAAATGAGCAAAAGGAGAATAACGAAAGAAATGAAAATAAAGATCAAAATCATTTAGAAACTCAAAATATTCTAAAAGAAACCAAGAAAAAATCTTTAGATGACACTACTCAATTATCCAATATTCAGAATTTTCTACTAAAATACTCAAAGCCTCTAAAAGCACACGAATTACAAGGTCTATCTGTGGAGTTTGACGATTTTCTCACTGCATTACCAACAATTCAGCCAACAGCAAAGAGAGAAGGATTTGCTACAGTGCCTGATGTTACTTGGTCAAGTGTGGGTGCGTTATCAAAAGTACGGATTGAATTACACATGTCTATTGTACAGCCAATAAAAAGACCAGAACTATATGAAAGAGTTGGTATAACAGTACCTGGAGGTGTGCTATTATGGGGCCCACCAGGTTGTGGTAAAACATTATTAGCAAAAGCAGTTGCAAATGAGTCTCATGCCAATTTTATCTCTATAAAGGGGCCTGAGTTATTGAATAAATATGTTGGAGAATCTGAAAAGGCAGTTAGACAGGTTTTTACAAGAGCAAGAGCTTCTGTTCCTTGCATAATATTCTTTGACGAGCTAGATGCTTTGATCCCAAAAAGAGACGCTTCATTATCAGAATCGTCATCAAGAGTGGTAAACACTTTACTAACTGAATTGGATGGTTTAAACGATAGAAAAGGGATATATGTGATTGGTGCTACAAATAGACCAGATATGATTGATCCAGCAATGTTAAGACCCGGAAGATTAGATAAAACACTTTTTATTGAATTACCAAATTCTGTTGAAAGGTTTGATATTCTTAAAGCAGTAATTAGAACACATAATACTCCATTATCCAAAGATGTTGATTTGGAAAGAATTGCAAATGACGAAAGATGTAAAAATTTTTCTGGTGCAGATATTGCTGCATTGGTAAGAGAAGCAGGTATTATGACATTGAAGAAAAAATTTTACACAAATATTTCTAAAGGAGACGAAAGCATTGAAAAAGAATTATCGGATGAAGAAAATGAAATTGAGGTTACTGCCATTGATTTTGATAATGCTCTTAAAAATGTCAAGCCTTCAGTTACTGAATCAGATCGTATGAAATACAAAGAACTATCTCAGACTTTAGATAATTAAGCCAAATTATAATTATAATTAAAATTTTTTTTTCTTTTTTTTTTTCGTTTTAATGTACAATATGAACTTTTCAAAACCAGTTGAAAAATTATTTCCAAGTTTATAATTTTTCTTGGTTTAATTTATTTTAAATTTGTTTTTGTTTTTTGTCTTTTCTTGCTTCATTTTTCATATCATCCAAATATCGTTGAATGAATAGAATCAATATTCTAGTATCAACATTAATGTTGATATAAGTTAGCTCAATTTGGTTTTTGATAGGTAAAAATAATACCTCTAAAATTGTATTGATATCCAATTGGTCACTTATTTTATTAATAAATTCATTAATAGGTTTTTTTTTAGAAAGAATCTTTTCATCAAGATCATCTTTTTCAACAATAGGATTAGACAGTGGGTTTACGCATTTATTCATTACTCTCAAATAAGTTAAAATATCATCTTCAGGATGAATTGGACTAATTGTTTCAGATAACTGGTTATCAGGGGGTCGTTTGGGTTATTAATCAGCTCATTTTGGTTTAATTCAATGTTTTGTTGAGCTTTGGAATGGCTTGATGGACTGGTTAAACATACATTGGTTTTTGCTAGGATAGGCATTTTTTGATTTCTCACTTTTGTTATCTTGTAATTGTTTACATTTATAATGTTTAAAGAATTGATGGTTGATGATTTTGGATAATGTTCTTGATTGGAAATTACTGAAGACGAAACTAAAGCTTGACTATTGCCGGTCGTAAAACTGCCATCATTAGCTAAATCACTATTTCGGGGGAATCAACGTAGTTTTATTGATATTGCTATCAGCTTCAATTCTCATGATCTCACCATGCTTAATTCTTATGTTCTCGCCAGTCTCAATTGTCGTATTCTTCTTATCTGGAAAATAGTGCAAGTTAACTCTTTTCAAGCCATCTATGCCCAGAATACCACCCATTGATACCATCAGAACGATGGTATCATTATCAGAAAAATAAGGCAATAGACGAACCAACCAATTGCAATCTCCCTTTATATGTAAAATACAGGCAGTCAATATTAGAAGACTTTTTGCAAGGGAGCTTCGCTTTCTTGAGCTTCTCGTCCCAAGTTGCATCAGGATCACATACAGCCTTGATGTAGTTGAATAGAATGGTTCTGAGCTTCCCTTTCACTATCGCAACCCGAGTGATTGTAACTGGAGGAGTTGTGTTGCAGTTGTCGTTGATGTACTCAGCGATTTTCGCAGCGTCAGTTCGCTTCAAGATATACTCGTGGGTGTCCTCTACATGCTGGGCCAATCAGTCAGCAAATAAGTTCAATCTGTCTGTCGTCCACACCTGCTTTTTCTTGCGAAGACCCACCACCAGCACACTGTCTTCAGCCATGTTGAGATGAAGAAACTGCGATGGAGAGAAAAAGCTCCTCTTCTTTTCCCAAAGCGGCAGTTTTCGCTGACTCATCGAGTCGAAAAGACATAAAAAGTCGATCTGAGCTCGACCTGAGCTCGATTTGCTGTTTCTTGAGAGCCATTGTGAAGAAGTGCTTGACAATGACAGGCTTCAACTTGGAGAGATTGGTCAGACCAAACATTTGGGCTCTTGAGCCCTATCGCTGTGCCAGAGAGTAAGTGCTTGTGCCGGTGGAACTTCAGCAGAGGCAGTACTAACACACTCTTCTAGTGATTTCAAAGAAGGTATTCTTTTAGATGCCAACGAAAATGCTTATGGTCCTTCGATCGAGAACCTCAGCATTCTATCCTCCAGTTTCTCTGAGGCTGGTTACGATGTCGACATCAGCGAGTTAAACAGATACCCAGATCCTCACCAGATTTCTCTCAAGACAAAACTCTGCCAGTTCAGAAACTACGAAGGTTCGTTGCCAAACTCCTCGTTGAAATTGGAGAAGGCAGAGTACAACTCACTAAAATTGACTGCCAGCAACTTGTGTCTAGGTGTTGGTTCTGACGAAAGTATTGATGCATTGATTAGAACCATTTGCCAGCCAACTGTTAATAAACTATTGATCTGCCCTCCAACTTATGGTATGTACCACATCTGTGCCCAAGTTAATGATGTTGAAATTGTGAAAGTCCCATTGGATTTCACAACCTTCCAAATCCAGCCCGAAAGAATCATTGAAGTCATTTCAAAAGATCCTTCCATCAACATGATTTACATTACTTCGCCAGGCAACCCAACTGCTGCTTTGGTTGATTTTGATTTGGTCAAAGTACTCTTAGAATACGACGGTTGGAATGGTTTGGTTGTTCTCGATGAAGCCTATGTTGATTTTTCTAAAGTTGGATCTTCTTCCTCAATTTTGGTTAATAAATATCCAAACTTAGTAGTCTTGCAAACTTTATCTAAATCCTTTGGTTTGGCTGCTATAAGATTGGGCATAACTTTTGCTTCAAAAGAATTGGCCGGTATTTTAAATGCACTTAAAGCTCCTTATAATATCTCAACATTAACTTCAACTATTGCAAACAAGGCTTTATCTCCTGAAAGCATTAAATTAATGAGATCAAATGCTGAAATCTTAGAAAAACAAAAATACAGAGTATTGGGTGAATTGAAAAAAATCAAGGGTATTGGAAAAAATCTTGGTGGTTTAGATTCTAATTTCATATTAGTCCAAGTAATTGACAAAGATGGAAATCCAAATTCTGACCTTGCTAAACAAATCTATGAAAAATTGGCCATTGAAAATGGCGTGGTTATTAGATATCGAGGTAACGAACCAGGTTGCCCAGGTGCTTTAAGAATTACCATTGGTACTGAAGACGAAAATACTTCTCTTCTTGAAAAATTGAAAAAAGTTTTTTCTGAACTTTTATAGCTAATTTGCTTTGAATATTAATAGATCCATATCAATTTTTTTTTTTTTTGCACTTAAAATTATCATTTTAAAAATAGATTACTAGAATTCACTAAATAAAAAAAATTATTCAATTATAGTTTATTATAAATTAATTATAGTGTGGAAAAATGTAAGAAAGTTGAAAAAAAAAAAGATATGAAAAAGTGGATATTATGATAAATATGTGTGTGCAACCGTAAGATGAATAAACCAGTATTGTCGTTAATTGACTTCCTTAATAAAAAAACACCAATGAAAAACCAAATTCTGTAAGTCGAATTTAAAGTAAAAAAATAAAATAATAAAAAATGAAATATAAAGTGTTAAACTGAAATAAAAGCCAGTTATAATGTTACTGGAATATCAATCCCTTCAATTATATCACCAGTAAAACTAACAACATCAACTCTGACGTTAATTTTATTCTTATTCTTCAAAATATCTTCAGACCCAGATATAAACCAAGAATTAGTAAATGCAATACCCACAAATACGCTATCTATAAACACATTCCAGTGAGAAATTAATGGTGCACAATCTACAGTTTCTTCCCATTTAATAATATATTTATGGTAGTTCTTAGTACCATGTCCTAAACCACCACCGGCTCCAGATAGTGACATGAATGATGTGGCTAAATTAGTAATTGGTTTAATTGTCGACAAAACAGATTTTGGCACTGAATATTTATTAACTTCCAATAAATTGCTAATTGGCTTGATAAGTTTAGTTTGAGGATCATTCTCTATATCTAAAGTTTGAATTGATATATCACCTATTAACAATTCAACATAGTTATTTGGATCTGTGTTTTTGGGAATAATAACCCATTCATCAAGACTATTACTATCGGAATTGTTCAATGAAGGGAGATTGAAAAGAACATTATTATTATTGTTGTTGTTATTATTATTTGCTCCTAATAATGCAGTTGATTCGTTAACATTTACATTATTATTATTATTATTATTATTATTATTACTATCGTTATTAATCATATTATTTTTAATTATATTATTGTCAATATTGCTATTAATTTCTGATGATGTAGGTTCAACCAGATAAACATTTGAAAATAATTTTGGAAAATTTTTTTGTTCCAGTTTTAATCTTAATTGATCATTTGTAATCCAATTAATATTAATTTTTTCTAAAACACAGTACTCATTTTTATATCTTGAGGGAGTTTTGATAACTTTTTCAATAGTATGCCAGCCATTTATATCACTGTCCAAAAACTTCTTTGAGGGAACATCTAAAGAAATGGCGATTATTCCCTGAAAGACTTTGGTTTTATTTTTTCTTCTTCTTTCAATATAGTAATTTATTTCTAACTGGAAAAACCCATCCATTTCATCGAAATCCTCGTCCGAGTTATCATCAGTGAAACTTATAACAGATTCATCTAGAAGTTTTTCACCTTCGATCATTGAAATTTTTTTGATATTACTATTATTTTTAAAATCATCATTTGGATCCTTTTTAATATTGTTTAATTTGTAATTAATTTTGAATTTAATATTTTTATTTAAACAATCATTGTTAAAATTAAATAAATTTTTCTTATAATAGTTTGAATCATTTTGGTCTAATAATAAAGAATTGTTTTTAACGATTTTTAAACATGAACCACCATTAAAAGAATCTAAATAGTTTAAAGAGATTTTTAGAAAATCATAATCTGGGATTTTATTTGTATAATTATTTTGATAGGATACAATTAAGGGAATTTCAAATTGATAACTATTGTTAACCCAAAAGTCATTAAAATGTGATTTACCATTAATATTGAAAAAATTTCCCTGACCATTAGAAAAATTCGTATAGAAGATAAAGTCGCTTTTGTTATTGATACCTTTGAGGTTTTCATGAAGCGTATTGTTTAAGGAGTAGTCATGATAAAAGGGATAATAGCAAGTAGAAGTATAAGATGAGATAAAAGTTGATATTGTATCAACATTCAAACCATTATCGATCCAGAATTTTCTATCATTTTGTATGAAATTTTCATGGCCCAAATATTCATAAACCCAAGCTGGAGCAAATAAAGCAACATTTGATTCATAAGCAGTACAATAGTTGATTGCCTTTGGGGTGTCATAGCCACCATCAGATAATTGGGAACCTCTGCCCCAGACATCGATACCGACATAGAGAGAGTTATTAATACCATATAACCCAGCTATCGCTATGTTTTTTTTCAAATTATCTTCATTCCACCAATAATTAGTGAAAAAGAAATCTGAATTTTTAAATAATTCATAATTATCAACGGATAAACCATTTTCATATTTGACTTTATTAATTGAAGGAACAAGGGAATCGTACCAAATGATTTTTGAATTTTTAATGTTTAAATGTAGATTTGATTTTAATGCTTCAATAAAGGATATTAAGTTATTCGATAAATCAAAATTTGAAAAATGGGTTTCAATGTTCAATAAAAAGCCATCAAAACTATAATATTTGCATAAATCAGTAAGAATATCGACAAAGATGAATTTATTATTAGTTGGGTTAATAGATAATAAAGAGTCTAATTTCTTTATGACTTCTATAGAATTTCCTTCGAATATTATCGTACCTAAACAGGGGATACCAAATTTATGACAGTTATTGATCCAAGATACCGGAGGAATTGTAATTAAATTATGAGAAAAATAAGTGAACATTTCAACAAGTTGTGGAAACTGTAAGAAAAAATGAGTGCCATTTAAATGAGGAAAATAACCTTGTGGGTTCATGTCTTCGTAATTTTGATAATTACCGTTAAAATCATGACAAACCAAAAGATTAATCTTTGAAGAATTTGATATGTTTTTGAATCTTTTAAAAGAATGATGAGTTTTGAATTTAGGAATTCTAAATGAATCAAATGATTGATGGATATTTAAATTCGGAGGAGACGAAAATGAGGAGGAAGAGTTTTTATGGGTTTGGTTCCACCACAGTTTCAATTGGTCGAGAGAAGTAAAATATAAACTATTTAGTGAATTGTTGTGCAAATAAGGATTTGAAGAGGAGTTAGTCAAAGTGTAATTGTTATATTGAATACCATTTTTAGATGATGTATGAAACGATTTGTAGTAGTCTTTGTATTTTACTAGTTCGTTATTGGTGATATTATTGGTGATGGGGTTGTTATTGTTAGGATTACTATTGTTAGGATTATTATTGTTAGGATTATTGTTGTTAGTAGCCTTATCAGTGCTGTTGTTGGTAATTTCTAGGCCAGAAAGAGACTCATTTATGGTATAGATATCAGCTTTGTTGGCAGCAAAATCAGCAGCGGTGGAAGGGTCTTTATTGGCAGCAGAATCAAGAGGGCTGTTGGTGGCAAGCGAGTGAAGGGACTCGTTAGACAAGATTGACTCGTTGGAGGACCTGTTCTTTTTTGTCCTTGAACGCTTTCTGTTGAGATGAGCATAAGATTTATAGCCTAGCATGGGGATAGTACTGGTGGGAGATTGGAAGCACAAGCATCTGTTGGAGCAGCTTCAGCTTCTTCCTTTGATTCTTATCTCGTTCCGATAAGCATTTAAAAGAACCAGAGAAACGGATCTTCACGTGATTATGATTATGTGCACGTTGGAGACCACCGAAACGGATTTGCTTCGAAGATAAGACGGCTGGATCGAGACAGCCGGATCGGAGTTTTCTTGGAGAGAAAAAGAGAAAATCTATAGTAAAATAGTGAGAAACAGTGAAATAAATTGTGTTCTAGTTATTCAGTCTGCATTCTATGCTTTCTATGAAATTGTGGTTGAGTGGCATTGATTTTAGGCTTGCACATTGACACCGATATCCAACCGAGGTGGAGAATCGATTTTAATCACTTCTTCTGGTTGTGTATTATCAGCTCCAGCTGCAGCTCCAGCTTCAGTTCTACCTCCAGTGCTGGCTCCAGTATCAGGCTTTCCTACTGCCTGAACTGGATCAACTTGTGTCTGTCCTTCAGCATTGGGCTGTCCTTCAATATGCACTTCTTCAATGACAGACTCGCTGATTCTATTGAAATAATTGAATTTATGTGATTTTAATCTTTGTTTTGTTGGTCCATTGGGTTTCTCCAAACCATTCAATTCAAAATATAATGGGATACAACTAATTTGGCTCCAGTTGTAATCTCGTTTACCATCACAATCACATCTTCTTTTAAGTCTCTCTTCAAATGATCTTGGACATTGCCCATTTGGTGGGTGATAGTAGCCAAAATTATCAAAATAATGCAACTTATCTTTGTTTAAAAAAATAGATACAGCCATTGAATGAATGGGTGCATCTCCCCATCTTTCATAAAAGAAGCCTCCGGATTTATCTATAAATTCAAAAAATTTCGAGTAGGCTTCTTCCCTATAAAAATCCATATCAGCAATCTCAAAATTTGACCAAAAATGGCACATATTAAACGTTTCTCCATTATCATCTGTTAAAAACTCAAAATTATTGTTATCGGCCACATATTCAGGATATTGACTTGTAAAATTCAAAACTGTTGACCATAAATTTCGCACTGTTGTATGCAACTCATACGGGGCCATTGTGAAGCCATATGTTTTATTATTATCATTCATATATTTAAATGGATCATAATTGATATCACATCTAAAATTAACATCTGGCTCCACTCTCCAGTAATATTTATAGTTTAATAATTCTGGCAATCTATAAAAAAACCCAGAATTAAATCTACACATATGACGATAACTTTCAAGGTGTCCATATTTAATCTTTAGTTTTTTCATTTTGGCTCGAACTTTTCTAGCCTTTAACTGGTCAATCCATTCAGGATAAGACCAGTATTCATTTGGAATTTTAATAAATTTGGAGTTGCCACTGACAAGATTTGAAACTTTTATTTTAAAATCATTCGAAAATTCTTGATTGTTTGCAAAAATCCAGTCATAATGATAGTTTTTATTGAATCTATCTTCAACATTCCGAATCGCAGTTAAAATACCATATAAATCTTCGTCTCGTACTAATGTGAATAATGTAGCATTTTGTTTTTTATAATTGGAAATACGAGACCTTACGTCAAAATCATAACTATTAATGGGATTTAAAACATCAATATTAACAATATTTTTTCCAAAGTTTTCAGTATCATCAGCCACTTGAAATTTATTGTCAATATTACCAGTATTACCAGTATTTTCTGAATTATAAGCATTTGGTTGAATACCTGAATTTTGTGAATTTCTCAAAAACTCAAAATCCACTTCATCGTTTGGACTGTTATCATCAGAAATGATAGAGTTGTTGTTTAGATTAACACCATTTTGTGAAGTTGTATTCAAAGACGAGTACAACATAAAAGAGAGAAACGTTATGAGTAGTATGAAAACCACCCGACGATAGTTCTTTAGCAACTTGAAGCCTAGGGATCTGTGATGATAGTAATTTCTGTTCTGTATCATCTTAAACAGCCAGTATCATGAACCCATTCATCAAACCATGGAGGAAAAGTAATAGAAAGATCTAAAGACTTGATCGGATTAAGCCCAAAAGTGCCAAATTTACACTAAATTTATACTGGGCTTAAGCAGTTTATGGCATGAGCCTGCATGATATTGCAGCTACAAAGAGCCCTAAAGAGAAGCCCTAAAGAGAAGTCTTGAAGAGCCTTAAAGAAGATAACAAGAATTGTGAAAGTTATGGGAGTTACAAGCTGTGGAAGTTATGAAGGGCTGTGAAATTAATTTTAAATTATAGAATAAAACAGAAATAAAGTTAGGAAAAAAAAAGAAATGTAAGTATCGATGAGCATCAACGTCCCCCAAGCGAAAAAAACACTCCGAAAAAAATAGGATAGAATAAGACAAGACAATAAAAGAAATAAAGAAGATAAAATGACAAAGTGAAATAAAAGAAGAGAAAAGAAAAGAAAAGAAAAAAAAAGAAAAAGAAATTTAGAGAATTACAAAGATGAAAGAAATTTATAAATAAAAAAAACTAAATTATAATAGCCACAGTAAAATCACTATAATACATAGATGATATTATAATTACCATTCGAGCTTTTCAGCCCATTGAACTTTTTTCTTGCTATTAATTGACGACGCAAAACTAGTGATACTAAAATTGTCATTATAGTTATAATATGTTGATGAAGAGCCAATTGAATTGCTTTGACTATTCATTGGTTGGCTTTGAACCATTTCCAAATGTTTTTTTAAAGCACCTGCAGAATAGACTCCCATTAATTTTTCTTCTGTATTTAAACTAATGTCGCTAATAAAACTCGAGGTTGATATGTTGTTATCTAAATTGAATTCAATATTACTGTTAGAACTTAGTTCATTATCAATTGAGTTTTGTGAAATATTTTCATTGATTGGTAATTTAACTTCATAAGCTTTGATGACAGCAGCTTTTTCTTTTCTTTTATGGGAAGTTCCTCTTTTCTTTTTTTTATGTCTTTTGTTATTTTTTTTTCGTCTTGAAGAAGAGGAGGAGGAATCACCAGCAGGGATGGTGACGATTTCTTCAGTTGAGTCAGGTAGGGGGATTCCCTCGCAATTTTTTGAGTTTAGTTCCGTTGCATATTTTGTGGCTAAAGCCAAACCGCCATTTTTAGCGGAAACGACTAAATTTAAAATTTTTTCATCAATAATTTTTTTGCTTTTGATTGATGGTTTAATTGGTTTAGCAGCGAATTTATGAGGAGAAAAGATCCTGCCCGGGGATTTGATTAGATCATCATTAAAGGATGTGTTGTTATTTATTTGATCATTATTGTTGTCAATGAAGTGATAATTATGATTAAAATCGTTATAATCGCTGTCGTAACCGTTATCAGGATCTGGATGGTTGATTAGAGACAAGTTGTCACTTGAAGTGTTGTCCATTGAGTAGACAAATTGGTAATTTTGGAGACTATTAGTTCTTTGTAGTTTTGAGTAGGAAGAAAGGCTAGCCAAGGGAGATTCGTCTATATTGTCGTACTTTTGATCATACTTTTGATCGTACTTGTCATCATAATTATCATAGTTATGATTATGGTTATGATTATTTGATGAGGAAAGAACTTCTTCTTCTATGTCATTGTAAGATAAAGTTTCAAATTCGTCATCAAAATCCAAGTTGAATTCATTATCGATATCAGTATCAGTATCAGTATCAGTATCAGTATCAGAATCGTAGTAGGAATCAGAATCAGAGTCTGAGTATGAGTTTAAGTTTTGATTTGGTTCTAGATTTGCATTTTGATTCAAGTTGAAATCTTTGTTAAAGTCGAAATCGTTGTTTGAGTATTTGAAACCATATTTGTAATCAAAAATTTCGTTATCGTTGTTATTATCTTTATTAATGTTATCTTTATTAATGTTATCCTTAGTAGTAGTAGTGGTAGTAATAGTATTGATATTGTTAATATTTTTTTTTGAAGAAATATCTTTCTTATAGTTTAAATTTGTAGAGTAATTGAAGTTTTGGATTAAATCGTCAATTTGATCAATAGTTTGACTATTTTGTCTTGAATGAGAGCGGATGATTCTTCTTTTATTGTTTGAGATATTGTTTGGGTTATTTGAAGGAGAAACAAGATTGAAATTGGAAAAGGGGGAAGGAGAAGGAGACGATGAGAAAGAGGAGGAAGAGAAGGAGAGTGCAGGAGAAGGGGAAAGAGAAGAGGATGGAGAGAGTGATTTTGGATTGGAATTGGGATTGGGCGAGCTTGAAGATATTGATGGTGAGGATTTATGAGATTGAATATTTTTCAATACTGAATCTTGATTGAAAGTTATAATGTAATCGTTGTAATAAGGGTTATTTTCAAAGGGCTTGAATTCTTTGAAGTTGTTTTCCAAGGTTAAAGTTTCATCAAAATCGCTTTCATTATTAAGATTTTGATTAATTTGGCCATGGTTATAAGTGTGTTTGTGATTATGGGGAGAGTGGTGGTTTATGGGAGGGAGGAGAGATGAGATTTTGTCATCATTAGAATGGGAAGAGTCATTTGGGTTGTAGTTTAGTTTTAGACTTAGGTGATCGTTTGAAGTGTTATCATGGATGTGGTTATGGGTATGATTATGAATTGAGGTGTAGTTGATGTTGAAATTGAGTTTTTTGTTATCGCTAGTAGGATCAGGATTATCAAGGTTAGTTAGAATGGAAGTGGAGGTTGAGGACATTTGTTAGTAAGATAAATTTCAGGAAAGAGTGAATTAAAAAAGATAGAATAAGTTAAATTAAAGAATGAATGGCTGAATAGGGAGTAAAAGTTAAATAAGTAAACCAGAGTGAAAAAACCAGTATTTCCAAATAATGTAGTTTGAGTAAGTTTTTATTTCCTTAGTAAAAAAAATAATTTTTTTAATCGTTTTGATTTTTTTAGATTTTTTTAGATTTTTTTGGGGTTAGAAATTCTGCCGTAAAGATTTAGAAGAATCCTGAATAGAAATCAGATACAATAGGTGATTCTGATGAGATGAGTAGAATATTGAATTAAAAGAGTCCAAATAAACCAGAATAATCCAAAGATAAAAAAACAAAAGAATGAAAGAAAACTGAGGTGCTGAAATGAATGAAGTGAAATAAGGTGAATGAGCGAATGGATGCCAACGAAAGATTGGTGGTTTTTGTATCTCTGTTCTCAGAAGCTGTTTCTTCTGGTGCTGTTTCTGATGCTGTTTCTGCTGCGTCTGCCTCTTCCCCCTTCCTTTCTTATACCGCCGCGCTGTTCCTCCGTCCAGCTCAAAAGCGCGCCCCACCATTGGATGCCGCTCTGTTTGTTTATTGCCTAAAACGCGTGCCGGGCACTTCAGTCCCGGTCCCCTGGCTCGTGCAAGACCCTGCATAATAGTGTGCAGTTGTGTTATATGATGTAGAGTTAAGCTTTTCAGCATGTGCAGCCAAAACAACCAGCTGACTCAGCGCTGACCAAACGATTAGATAATCTGCGTCCGCGCGAAGAGCTTGCCGCCGCGGTGGTTTAGCAACGCTCGATGGCGATGCGACACCTGCTGGAGCCGGCGCCACGCCTCCTCGATGTGCCCGGGCTGCAACGCCTGCGCGGCCTCTTCAGGCCCATCAAAAAGGTACCGCCTTCGCTTGCGTCCGCCCGCGCTGGCCTCCGTGCGCTGCTGGTCTTTGCGCAACGACTCTTCGTGGCTCTTCACCTCCAACGCCTCTTCCGTCAACGAGCACACGATCTCAAACGTCAAAAACCCCAAGATGTCGATTACATCGTCCGATGGCTTCGTCTCCAAAATGTAGCTCGTTCCGCACCAGTCCTTAAACCGCTTCGCCTTTCGGAATGTGAACGACGCCTGCCGGCACTCCGACCAGTGCACGTACTCGTCCTTCGTCATGCCCTTCGTCCTCTCGTCTGCCTGCTTCAACCTCTTCAACGACGCAATGATCGCCTTCTTCTCGTCGTCGTCCACCAAATCATCGTCTTCGTTGTTCTCCAAGGGCTGCTCGCTGAACATGAAGGGCAACTCCCATGGCAACCGGATTTTCGACTTCTTTAACTTCATGATGTTTCCTCCATTGTTTGCACCAACACTGCTGCCGTTGCTGCCACCATTGAGTAGCATTCCACCCTTGGTGCCTCCTCCTGGGCCTCCTCCATGCTCGTCGATCAAATCTGCGCTGGGATCCACACCTCCATTTTCCTGATCTTTGGCGTTTTTTCGCACGTCCTTCCATGACAAATACGTTCGTAGTCGATTCACCTTTGCCTTGTCGTGGCGAATCAAAAAGATAACATCCTCTGGCGCAATGCTCTTTGTGTTTCTAGCATACGCTGTTCTGCTTGCCTGTAGCAATATCTCAACAACCTGTCCTCGCACAATGTCCTCAATGATCGATGTAGTCTCTATCGGCGGCTCGTTGGTTTCTCCACTCACAAACATCATTTGCTGGATTTCTATTTTATACTTGTATTTATCCGCCATTTTCAGTCTTTATAGTATTCTTCTCTTGTCTATTTTCTATTGTTTCTTATTATTTCCTATTGTTTCTTGTTCTTTTATATCAATTTTGTCATTCTTCGATCTCACAGTTATAGCAATAAGTACCACTGATTCATTTTCCTGTCACTAATCTCTGCTTCCATCCATCGCTCCCTTACAAAACAATACTTTTCATTAAATTTCCATCAATCACCTATACTAATCTCCCCGTATAATCGCAACTCACTCAAAGCTCACTTCAAACCTACTCTAAATTGTGCTACAAAATCAATTTCAATTTCAATTTCAATTTCAATTTCAATTCATTATCCATAGAATAAATCAAACTATTTATCACTAATAATTAAATAAAACTTTGTAATTCAATGCTCGACTTCCTAGTAAATCCCAATCTCTTCGATTAATCCACAACTCTTGAACTATCTTTAACCTAGCCAAAACACTCGCGCCTTTCCAACTCAACACCTCTGGTCTACTAACTGATATAACATCAACTCCCATATTGCTTCCTCCAACATTATTATCAATTAGTTTATCTAAATTATCATAAATCACATCTTTTAATAACTTTTCAATCTCTTCAATTGTTAGATTACTATCTTCATCATTATTATGTCCATTCCAATTATCACTATTGCTTTCACTGTTTTTTTTCTTCCTTCTTTTATCAATAACCTCTTGCTGTTTTCTCTCAAATTCCCTATTAATAGCCAACAATATCCCATTCAAATTACTTAATGACAACGTAATAGGCCTGCAAATATTGATTCGATCCTTCAAAATAAAATCCAACGCTGGAATCTTAGATCCTCCTCCAACAATTAACAAACTCTCATAGAAATTCTTGGCTTTATTGAAATCAGTCTTGATGGCATTAGTTATACTCTCAATTATAGCCAAATCCAATTCCATATCATTAATAACCTCTTCTTCCCCAAAATTTAATATAAAATTGGGATTGTTTAAATTATTAGAATTAATTTCATCGTCCTTCAACATTATCAATCTCTTGATAATATCATAATCATTATATTTGGTAATTATATCCTCATTAACTAAATTCTTTTGTGACAACGAACTGGGGTTGTTATTCACCCCATTATACGTATCCTTGGATTTAGTTAATAGCCTGCCATCAAACTTGTGAATATCTCTTTTTTCAACATTCTTAATCTGAAATAACTTGGGGAAAAATAGCCCCATTGGTGCTAGCATAACTTCATCAAATACTCGGAAATTAAACTCCTCAGTCACTTTATTAGGCGACCTCCTAATAAATTTGTACAATTGAATAGCAATATCTGCATCCTGAAATGTTATAAATTTCTCTTTCAACTCATTTGCAAACTTCCATTCATAATGATTGTTCAAATTAATATCTTGAATTGGTATCTTGCTTTGTAATAACAATTTAATAAAGGCTTTGGTTATATCGTCTCCTCCATAATCCAACTTAATCCTCGAATCATTTATTATCATTCCCTCGTCAACACACGAAATTTTAATACTCTGTGCTCCAATATCAACAACACATGCTGATGAAACTCCTGCTCCAAAGGTGGCCGCAATAGATTCTTGCGTGATAGCAACAGCAATAAAATCTAATTGTAAAATTATTTCAATCCATCGTTCAACATACGCTTTATCATATAAATCTGGTATAATTAATACAACATTGTATTGTTTTAACTGACTTCTACCAATATCAAATTCTTTTTCTAAAAATTTGGTTATAATAACTTGTAAATCACCAATAATCTCTTGTGGACTCTTATAATCTTTAGGATTTTCATTAAATTTCCCATTCATTATAGGCTTTCTTAATTTATATTTAAATTCATTTGCTAATTTAAATGCTTCCTCTCCAATTATATACCTTTCATTTCTAGCTTCCAACTCTTTAAACAATTCACTGTCCTCATGAACCCAATCAATTTTATGTGGATCATTAATATCAAGAATTTTTTCACTTTGAGATTTTTTATTAAAATTGACAACTGTCTCATGCGAATTTGGTATGATTTTTCTTTTATAATACTTCATTCTTTCTTTAAAATTTTTAAATATAATCTTTTTGGCATCATTAAATTCGCTATTAAAGAAAACTTCTTCGTTATCGTTATTCGAATTATTGGTCTTAATTGTTTCTCTTTGTGGCGAAATATTTTCCTTTAAATAATCTTTAGTCTCCTCAGGTGAAAAATTTGGTACAGCAATCACATTTGGAATTGATTTAGGGAAAACATCTGTAGCCAATCCAATTTTAATAGATGATGAACCAGGATGAATTACAATGGTTTTTGAACCTGCAGGAAAATTATCTGCTTGATCCTCATCCTCATTATTTTCATCCTCCTCATTATTTATAGTCTCTGCTATCTTTTCTTTTTCCTTTTCAAGTTGTAATAACTTCTCCTTATCAGCCTTTGATTTTCTGCCTCTTTTAATCGTATACAACTCTTTTCTATCCCTTAAAAACGTAATTTGATCGTCCTTTTTCAAATAATCTGTATAATAGTTTTTCTGATTTAAGACATTAATCTGTTGAAATAAAGAAAATTTAAGATTATTCTCAACTCTTTCAATTCCAGACTGTTTGATAATATTAGCCATTGATTCAGCTGCTTTAATTCTACCTTGCTTTCTTCTTTCTAAAATCTCCTCGGAAACCTTTTTCCCAGCTAAGGGATTCTTCTTCACTTTTTTTTTAGTGTCTGTATTTGTATCAGTTTCATTGTCAGATCTTACTCTCGTAGCCCTGCCACTGCTATTAGCACTGATGTTTGTCATCTTGGAGGGGGTGGGAGTGGATTGTTTAGAACTATTTTCAGTATCATTAGCAGCAAAGGGTGTTGATTGCTTTGGTATTTTTAGTTTGATTTTTTGAACAGAGCCATCCAATGCAAGAGGTAAAGGCAACGTTTCTTTATTTTGTTCAGCATCAGACAATGAATCAGCCATAGTGAAATTCTAATTGAAATATTAAAAAATAAATATTGTGGGATATCTTTACAGATTTTTTTTGTTTTCCTATATTGTTGTCAAAATTCTTTGAGAAAGTTTTAAATTCTTACTATTATATCTTAGAATCTACCTTGATTTGATAAAGCAACATATTAAAATTTTAATAATTTTTCTGAGTTTCTTTCCATGATTCAATCTTCAACTCATTCTCGCTTTGATATTAAAAAAATTACTATCTTAGAAAAAGATGAAATTCTAAATGAAAAATCAGAACTTTCCCAAATATGTTCGGCTTCCACAGGGCTTGAGCATACTGAAGAAACCGATTATGAATTAGTCAATACAATAAGAATCTCGTAAATACAGGTGCAATGCGTGACCTTGGAGAAAAACAGATCAGCTGTGGTTTCTGTGGGAGAGCAAAAGAAACACATTTGAGGTGGAATTCAGCAAGAGCAGTTGATGTTGAGAGAAACAGTTGTTGGAAAGAGCCATCAATTAGTCGAGTGTTGTGAAGAGAGCGTTGGAAATGGCAGAGGAGTCTGATTTGGCAGCTTTGTATCCACCACCACCACCATACTACAAGTTTTTCACGGCTGAGAACATTGATAAGGCCAAAATATGGTTGAAGGAGAATGAAGATAGTTACAATGATGATAATGATGAAACAAATTACCCCAAGGAAGAATTCAGGTTCTTGATACCTCCAAAGAAACCTACGGGACCACACTATCGATGTTTCGGTAATATATGGCCATTTGATGACAAGATACCCACTTTGAAAGAGCAAAATATCCCCCAGCTATATCAGGACATAACTTCATCACAGCATGGTCAAGTTAATGGATCCAACGATTCTAATGATTTGGAAGCTGAGAAGAAAAAAAGGGTACATGAAGATAAAAACAATGCTAATACACATGGCGAAATTGATAGAGCTAATGATAGCCCCAATAAGAGTTTGAAAAGTGGAAAGGATCCCACGCAAGTTGAATTGGAAAAATTGACCAAATCATTGTTAGTTGTGTTTCTTGAGATAATTGGTATAATTTCAATAAATCCCAATGTTTACCAAGAGAATCTTGAGAGATTACGGATAATATTAATAAATATACACCATTTATTAAACGAATATAGGCCTCATCAATCTCGAGATACGTTAAAATTATTATTGGAAAAACAAATTGATATTAAGAATAGAGAGATCATGAAGATTGACAATGATTGTAAAGTGGTAAAAGATAAAATATTCAAAATTGTTGAAAATATCAATAATCTTAATAAAAATCAAGATAGTAATACTAATAATATTAATAATGATAATGATATTGAAAAGGAAATCCAAATAAAGGAAAGTAAATTATCAAACGAATCAATAATAAAGGATATATTAAAAGATCTAGAAAATTCTTGATAATATATATATAAAAGAAGAAATATATAATATAATATAAATATTTGATAGTTACGGATAATTATGAATAACTGTGGATGAATAGTCATAAAAATGATAAAAATGATAAGAAATCACAATGATAATTTTTAAACTTTACCAGTAAAAGTTAAAAATTTATCAACTTCATCCTTACTACCTAACCAAATTCCACTTCTCTCATGGATTTCTTTTGGAGATAAATCTAATATTCGTTTACCTTCATCGTTAACAGCCTTACCGCCGGCTTGTTCTAATAATAAAGCCATTGGGAAACATTCATATAGCACTCTTAGTTTACCGGATTTGCCCTTTACGGGATAAGCAAATAAACCACCATATAATAGCGTTCTGTGAACATCAGCAACCATTGAACCAATATAACGAGCAGAGTATGGTTTACCAGTTTCCTTTTGAGTTTGTTTTAAAGAATCAATAAATTTTTTAATTATAGGTGGCCAATAGGCAGCATTACCTTCATTGATGGAATATATTGTTCTTGATGAAGGTATTTTCAAGTTGGCGTGGGTCAAGATAAACTCACCCAATTGAGTATCTAAAGTGAAGCCATTAACGCCATTACCAGTGGTTAACATCAAATGAGCAGAAGCACCATACATTGTATAGCCGGCAGCAACCATTTCAGTACCAGGTCTGAGAACATCTTTAATTGAGCCCTTTGAACCAGGCAACAATTTATAGACACCGAAAATGGTACCGACGGAGACACCTGCGTCAATGTTAGAAGACCCATCAATAGGATCACAGCAAACAGCATAATTTCCTGGACCATCAAAAATGATTAAATCTTCCTGTTCTTCAGAGACTAAAACCTTGACGTTACCACTTGCTTTCATTGCGTTGATAAAAATCTCATCACCAATAACATCTAATTTTTTTTGATCATCACCAGTGGAATTGGATGCACCAGCCAAACCGATTAAATTGACCAATTCAGCTCTTCTAATGGTGTGAGCAATGAATTTGAAGGCAAACTGCAAAGAATTCAACAATAGAGTAAGCTCACCAGTAGCTTGTTTTGCAGTGGCGGCTTGCTGTTGCAAAATGAATCTTGTTAATGTAACAATATCAGTGTTGACATTATTGTCTTTTGCTAAAGAGGAACTCATAATTGACAGTGAGAAATTGCGATACAGCTAGGAGAAGAGAAGAAACTCAAGAAGAATTTATAACAAATTTATAACAAATTTATAACAAATCGCAAGGAAATCACAAGCAAGTTGCAGAGAAATTGGAAGATATTGGCAAATTGTTAATAAACAGATACAAGAAAGATAACAACAATGTTGCAAACTCATCGCTTAAATAATTAGTGAGACCCTCAATTGATGCCTGTAACCGATAAAGAAAGTCACCCTGGAGCTTTTTAATAAAGACAAGAACATGATTTGTCGAAACCAAAATACCTAACAGTACTTTATTCATCAAACACAAAAGATTAAAAGCAGCTTCACTTTTGATGTCAAAATCTCGGTGCTCGCGTGAAAGCACCGCGCAAAGTCCGCGACGGGCAATTTCCAACGGGTAACACCATCCCGGGACAATTATGTAAGAAAATTATAACCGCTACGGTGGGTTAAGTTGCACGCGTTTACATGTATTAATGTGCACACATGCACAGTCAGGTGCATATAGCATGTTTGTGTATTGAAAACAGAAAACAAAAAGATACAAATGAGGTTGAGAGAATTGAATAGTTCTTCGTCTCCTCTAGAATATCCATCCGAGATACCTGTTGTATGCCCAGCTCCAGTCCTTTTTGTTCCCTCTTGCAATTCGCTTAACTTCTCTCTCCCTGTCGTGTTCTTCTTGCTCTCTGAGGATAACATCTCTATAGGTATGTAAGTCTGCTTCCTCTGGCTTTACCATCTTGGATTTCATAAAGAACTTGTAACCGAAAATGCAAATCAAATACACAGGGATGCCAATATATCCAGTGATAAATGTCTTGTAATCAAATTTTCCAAATAAAAACACAGTAAAGTTTTTGATTAATGCAATTACAACTGTGAAAAATAGTGAAATGTAATCTGCCCAGGGCTGGAATGGGGCTTTGTAAAGTAAAGAATCTCTTGAAATACCTTGTGCCTTTAGTGCTCTCA